TCGTCGCCGTCTCCACCAACCACATCGTCGTCGTCGTCGTAGTCGTCGTCGTATATGGGCAAGCAAGTGTGTGTGCTCATGTGTATGCCTGAGCCCGTCAACTAGTCGACGCCGTCGCCGCCGCCGCGCCACTCTGCTCTCTGCCACGTCATCAACACCTTTCTGACCCGTCATCTTTTACTCGGCCCCCCCCCCTCCCAGTCTGATCCTATTCATGCTTCCAACACCTCAAAATGTCTTCGAGTAGCAACAAGAAGGTTCAGGTCAAATTCTGTACGTTTTTCGAGATTCCTTTGGTGCCTCTTGTACCTGTCTGTTCTCTATCTCGTCAAACTTTGGTGTACTTCAAGTTGCGTGTGCGTTTTTGTCGATTCTAGAACGTACTGTTACTGTAGCACAAACTCAAACTCGAAACGCAAAATACTGCGCGTCAACGCAGCCAATTAGAGCGTGTATTGAGGCGGCTTATCCAGACAAATCAGGTCAACGCACGTCTTGCCTTTTTCTGAATCCAAGCCAATTATTAGGCTTGAAATGACACAGTACAGCTTAGAAAATGAGCTTTTGTAGAAATTTAAAATCTTTGGGGGCCTAGGCACATCTAAAAAAAATATGGTGATGCAATAATAATTTTCTGTCATTTCAGTCAAAGAATTCCTCGACAAGGCCCGCGAAGACTTCAAACAACGATGGGAGAATCCGGCTCAGGTACGCCTTTTTTTTGTTGTTGTACTTATCGATCCGAACCTTGTATGTACATGCAGCGGAAACGTTGACCATTGCGCACACGTGTCTATCTGAAAACACACTTGAAAGTTTCGTGAAGAAGTAGTAGCCGAAGCTTCCTCTTCTTCTCGTGAATATCTAAACGTGTGTGTGTGTGTGTGTGTGCATCATTTGCATACTGACTGAGGCAAAGAAGAAGAAGAAGACGATGAAGCAAGCAAAACGGGCTCTTCTTTTGGAGCTCCACGACTTAATGATTTGTATTTTTAAGCATTCACGGAGAGCTAATGAACGTTGGAGCCAACGAGGCGAACCGAAAGTCGTCGAGATTTAGGAGGGCTAGTTAAAAACTGAAACGTTAGAAGTCTTGTAGCTGCAAAAAAAAATGTGGTTCCCTCGTTTTCCAAACTGAGTACTTCATCAAAAATGAATGTAGGTTTGGTGGGCCCCCCCCCCCCTGCGTCTCTTTGGCTTTCCATCTCTTTTTTCTTGCTTTCGAAGCCGAGAAGGCTCGAAAATAAAACTGCGAAATGCTATTTTTAGCCTCCTTCACTTTCTCTCTCTCTCTCTTTTTGTATATAGTATTAGAGAGCAAGGAGAGCAAGCATACACACACACACACAAAGCAAGATGAAGAATACGGACGGACGGGCAGAATAAGACTGATTGGAGACCCCCCATGTATTTATGATGGAGGAGGAGCACAATAAACAACAGCTCAAACCCATTGGGGGAGGGGATCTATTGTAGTTTCTCCCGCAACCTAGTTGTACTCCCATTGCCTAACTTTTCGTGTTCCTGCGGTTACAGACAAACTATGTGACCTAGGTGAAAGCTAGACCACTGTCACATTAACTATTGTTCGTTCAGTTTCTCTACTAGCGTGTGGCCTAGAAAAAAAACTAGGTGACTGTACAGAAATCGTAGACTTCTCAATTTTCCACACACACACACACGCACTCACTCACACACAAAAATGAGAAGCGAGAAGGACACAAACCCAATTTAAATTCGAGACGATTCCCCCCCCCCCGCTTCTTGCCGAGAATGAGAAGGAGTCATCAGAAAAAGAGGACTGCCCACGCGCCGCGCCGCGACACACTCTGAAGAAGCACAAGAAGAGAGAATGACACCTCGGAAATCGAATTTGAAGAAGAAGAAGAAGAAGAAGAAGAGCAGTCAAGGAGCCAACGCGGTTTTTTTAGGAGGCTGGGGGGGGGGGGGCAGAATAGAATACATACAATGCCGTCAACAACGCAGAATTTGTGTTGATTTAGAAGTGGCAAAGTGGGAAAACAGTTTGTTATCATATTGTATGCTCGCTAGACTTTTCTTCATTCATCACACGCTAGTGCAGTATTCTTGCCTACTTCCTTGGAATTTCTGATGAGAAGAATGTCGGAACGTCTCGCTCGCTCGCTTTTTGCTAATGCAATCAATCAAAAGATTTGGGAGGCGAGGGGCCGGTATCGCAATGAGAAGAATCCCTATTTGAGTGTAGATTTACGAGAATTCGCTCTTCTGATTCGTCAGGCGATCTTCTATTTATGTATATCCTCGGCCAGACGTGGTGTACGTGACAAAACAAGCGGAGAGGAATTTGTGTGTGTGTGTGAATGTGTGAAAATTTTGAATCCACTTTATTCTCTTACAATCACAAAGTTCATTCAACTGAAATAGACACGCATACACACGCACGAAGGGATCATTGAACGAGTTTGAGGAAGCGAACAAAAAGCGAACACATAATATCATTTGCAAAACGTTGTTTTCAAAAACCACCTGAGCACTACTGCACTTCCTTCTTTTCTCCGTTCAAGAGTATAATATTGGAAAAGAGTTTAGTTCGAGCACCTGCACAATATTGGATGCTGAATTAAAATTAGATTTCGGCTAGATTGCTGCATACTTTTGGGATTATAGTAAAGTTGCAGCCAATAGAATCCTGAAACTTGGAACCCCTAGAAAAAGGCGCTGAAAAAGTAGCCAGCGCGCTTCCTGCAGACCAACTTTTTGATGAAAGAGGAAGCGAGGAAATGACTTTCCATTTTTAGACATTCAAATTTAGAATTCGAATTGCATCTCGGAGGGGGGGTACGAGTATAATTAAAGTTTCCACCCCCCATCTTTTTTTTTTTGGAAAATGGAGAGTCCTCCTCCTCCCACATTTCCACTACTCCACGCACACTCATCATCCGATCCGATCATCATTTTCTATTTTCGAATCCCCCTTCTCCTTCTTCCTCTTCTTCTTCTTCTTCAGATAGATCTTCTAACTGCACACCGGAAATTCTTTCGCTCTCTGCTGAAAATAACTTTTTACATTTCGACACGAGAGCGGCTCCTCCCTGAGCAAAACATGTTGTTTTTTGTGCCAAATGCTCTGAGCAACAGAGATATCAGAAGGCGAGAGCCGATTGGAGGGAGCAGGAGGTGGGCTCTGAGGAGCCGGCAAGAGGTTTATATATATATATATATATATATATATAAAATATCTAAAACGTACATGAAGAGTTGATCGAATCAAATCGACGTCCCCCCGATCATTTGATTAGTCGAGAGTTTAGTCACATCAGTCGTCGATGAGTAGCCAACACACGATTATGTTTTTTGTCAGCAGGTAGCAGCAGCTAATTTAACAACCGCGCGCCCTTTTTGAAGTTTGTCGCCCAATTTCTCTACCGTAATCCTACCACATTAATCAGACCCTATCATCAGATTTAGGTCAGGTGACCAGGACTTGGAAGAATGTTTCTCTAGGTATACCGTATTCTCGAGTACTTTTCCGAACATCCTGTTGTTGAAATTGATGTTGAAAAATCGATTTCTGTCGTACGCCTACTTGCTTGAAGTATCCGGTGATGGGCACAACGTTTTCTTACAGTAACCTTGTTTCAAGATCAATTCCTTTCTGGTCTGCTGCCCAAAACGATCACTGAGACATACTAACTGCTATTCTCCAAGGTATCCAAACGGCTTGAAGAGCTGCATGAAATGGTTTATGTCGCCTGGCTCCTGGTACCCGTGTGCAACATCTCCTTTCTCGTGGATCCCTTGGCCCGCGTCGTCCCAACTGTTTGGATACCTGCTGCTCACACTTTTTCTCTAAAAAAACTCCACAATCTTTTGTGAGATCTATAATTTAGCCCTAACCTTTTGCACTCGAGAAAATTCCTATTTTCCGCCTTCCCGAAATGCCACCGTTGACAAGGCAGCTGCTGTGCTTCTTTCTTTCTTTCTTTATGCCAAATCAGGGGTTGTGCACCGGCGGCAAGGCTCTAGCTGAAACTGAAATTTTTGCGGATCCGTAGCGTCTATTTTGAGCTGTAAACGGATGATCTGGCGCTTAGTTGGTGGTGTGTTTATTTATTTCGGATCACGTGTCTCGTGTAGAGGCTAAGCCTGTACGCGCACTTTGAATCTGTGATTTTATTTAAAAGCAGAGCCCAGGAAGTTGTCTCTAATTAGTCTGTGAAGCCTTCCGAGAATTCAAATGTGAAACTTTTGGAACCCTCTCAGTAAGCCTTCAGATCTGTTGTGTTCTTATAGTTAGGCAAACACGTGTAGTTGGTACTCTAAGATTTTGAGACGACCGAACTTTTTTTTAGTACATTTAGGGCATCTAGCCCCCCATCCTGCCCTCATTTCGTGTAAAAGTACCAAAAGTCGCGAACTCTTGGCTTTACGCTCCCCGCAGAGCTTTTCCCGACGGGAATGGGCGGTTCTTTTCTCTTTCTCTCTCTCTCTCTCTCTCTCTCTCTCAAATCGTTCAAAGAAGCCAGGCGCGCCTCGTCCGAAATGTTTGGTGGGGTTCTCTCTCTCTCTCTCTCTCTTTCTTTCTCGACGAGAGGGACTGACTGACTGACTGACTGGCTGTGTGTGTGTATGTCTATTTTTAGCATTCAAACACACACACACCGGGCAAAGGAAACGAAAAGGGTGGTCTTTCTCTCTCTCTCTCTCTCTCCCTCCTTCTCTTTCTCTTTCTCGTTCTCGATCGCGAGCGCGCGAGAGGCGCGTGTCATTTCTCTCCCCTCTACAGTATCTACTACTCAACGCAAATTTCTGCGTCTCACTTCCGATTTTTCACTCTCTCTCTCTCTCTCTCTCTCTCCTTCTTCTTCTTCTTCTTCTTCATCTTTCTCGCTCCCCCCGAAAGCCTCCTTCTTCTTCCATCTCCTCGTATACCGGCTTTTTTTTAGTGTGTGGTCTGATTCTCGACCCCCCCACACCCATCTACTACTACTATTATTGAACAACTTTTCTCGTTGTCGATGACGTCCACACAAACGCAACAGGACATTGATGAGGAATGGAGGCGGCGATTGTCGGCTGCGATCCGACGTGAGGACGAAGGATCTTTGGAGGAGGAGGAGGACGACGAGAGTCGCGACTTTGTACTCCATCCACTGTGCCGTGCCGGTCCCCTTCAGATGACCGTGAAGCCATCCTCGTCGTCGTCGGATGACATGTCACTGTCGCCGCCTCACTCACTTCTACCCCTCGGCGTTTTTCCATTAGTCAAAGCGTCGTCGGTGGCGCAGACGTCGTCCATCACAACTGGATTAGTGAAGAAGCGGCGGAGCTCGTCGTCGCCCGAAGATATTTGTCGCGAAAAGATTCCACACCTTCAAGCGGCCGCGTTTCCGTTGGCGCGTCAACGCGCCGGCGCCACGACGCTGCTCACGTCGTCGCCGAGCCGAACCGCTCCGCCGCCGTCCGGCATCGTCCGGTTTCTTGAAGAAGAGGATCTTCTGCTCCAGAAGCCGACGACGAGTACGAGCGCGCCGGCGAGCCCGCTGCGGAGCCAGATGACGGTGGTGGCGGCGGCGGCGAAGAGCAGCAGCAGCAGCCGCAGCGAGAGCCAGGATCTCAACTTTTCGTCGGAGCTCTTTTGGCTCAAGAAGCAGCTGTCCGATCATTGGTCGCTCAAATGGATGTTCCAGGTACATATCTATCATCTTTCCACCTTTTTTTTTTGACTGTTCTGAGCCGTCTATAGGAATGCGTAAGATCTTTGTCTTTTCTGCTCTTTGACATGGGTTTTCTCAAAACGGTGCATCGGCAACATAGAAGTCTAGTCTCCTGTACACCCTCTGACACATGGTGCATCGACCAGCAGACGACGTAACGTGGCAGACCACAGAAAATAAGTAGCTTATCCCGTTTTTTTCTCCTAAAAATAGCCACCACAGTGTTGTCTTCATCTCACCCGACGCCCGACAGGAAAAGAGGAAGGAAAACAACAATTTTCGTTTAGCAAAAAGGGGCCATATTATCTGTGTGTGGTGTTTCACCAATTTCCGATTATGACTCATTTTGCCCCCCGCTCCGATATCATAACAAGTTGATAATTGTACAATATCAGGTGATTTGGGGTCTTAAGATCTCCTTCCAAGTTGTTTGTGGCGCCTCCAACAAAAAAAAAACACGCGTTTCTTCATCTCTTCCGCTTCATGAATTTGTAATCGGTGGTTCATGTCGAAAATAGGTCAACTAGAGGGGAAATGGTGGCATTTGAAGAGAAACAGCTCGCGCGCTCTCGTTTCGACTAGAGATGTATGTACAAATTGAATGCTAAAACGGAAATTGAGATGAATTCTTGGCAAATTGAGCAAATTGAGCAAATTGAGGTCAGGGAGCTCACACGCGGACGCTTGTTTAGGATTATTTTGGAAACATTTGAAGGAAAGAGCTCATTGAAAGGCTTCAAGAAAGTGAAGAGCCGATGAGAAACCTAGAAATGAAGTTTCTTTCGCGTGGTGCACTCGCCACAAGTACCTATTGAAAGACTTTTAAAACTAATCAGGTTGGAGCAGCATTACAACTTGTCAACAACATGGTTCATTGGCCAATCATTGTGCATTGACGTGAACTTGTGAACTTTTGAAAGAACACCACAATATCGGTTTCAGTCAAAAGTGTATAAACACATTTGCGCAACTCAATACCTTTAGCCAGAACAATGGAACTTTTATAAACACTACTTATTCCTCTCGCTCGTTTTTTTTTAAATGGTAATACAATACCTCCAACCTGGAACCCGGTGTCGTCAGTTTACTTTTTCCTAAAATAGACACGCACTGTCCTTGAACACCGCCTACGCCTTTCTCGAAACTTTTCCTATCACTGATCCCTCCTCTGTGCGCTGTGGCGAGGCGGGCGCCCAATTGGGAAACATACACGCAAAACGAGTGTTTCCAAATTTCCCTTTTCGAGAAAAACCGGACCCGAAACATTGGTGTACATGGATGTTCCGAATAGAGATAGTTGTAGAGACAGTTTTACCTCCCCCCCACCCTCCAAAAAAAAAAGGTTTTTTTTTCCGCTCTGTTCAATGCCACACTAGTAACACGAGAGGAGTATATAAACATTTTCGGCCGGTAGAGGGGAAGAGAGAATACAAATATTGTCGGTCTGTAAACATTTCGGTTTATATACATGACCTAGCGGAAAAGTTAGTCCAGCCTCAACCGGAAGGAAGAAAGTGTGTGGGTGCTGCTGGAAGCGAGCAGAAGAGGAAAACGTTTCTTTTTGATTTTTCCCTCAGTTTTTTTGGTCAAGATAGTGTGTTGGAATTGCTCTTTCTCTCTCTCTCTCTCTCTCTCCCTCTCTGGATCTCCTCCCCCATTTAATCCGAGGGCAGCACACACACACACACACACATTCAAATGACGGCTTCTTCTTCTTCCGCTCCGTCGTCACCGCGCTCCGCGTCGAGTCAATCGATAAGTTGCTCTTCTGAAGACGGCGGCTCCTCATCGTGCACCTCGTCGTGCTCTTCCGAAGATTCGTCGTCGGTGTGCGGCGAGACTTCGGAAGACACGACGACGTCTTCCGACGTGTCGGCCGAGGAAGATTTTTACGATGACGACGACGACGATCGTCTCACGAATCACTCGTTGACTCCGCAACCCAACGTGCGTTCCAACTTTGACGCTTTTTCGTTTGAAAAACCGCTTCCAATGGCGTATTTTTGCGTCGCACATGTTGTACAAGGTTCCAGGGGGGAAAAAGATTGATTCAGAAACATTAAAAGTCAATGTAAGGTGATTTTTTGCAGAACACGGCGTGTCTTGACGACTTTGATCGGATAAAAACGCTCGGAACCGGCTCGTTTGGACGCGTGATGCTCGTCAAGCACAAACAGTCGGGGAACTTTTATGCGATGAAGATTCTGGACAAACAAAAGGTACCCACTCCCTCGAATTATCGTCTCCAACGACTGAAACTTTGCAGGTAGTGAAACTCAAGCAAGTGGAGCACACGTTGAACGAGAAGCGAATCCTTCAAGCCATCGATTTTCCGTTCTTGGTCAACATGCAGTTTTCGTTCAAGGTAAGAAGATAGATGGACACTCCTGATGATACCCATGCCCAAATTGAATATTGTAGGACAACTCGAATCTGTACATGGTGCTCGAGTTCATTTCGGGCGGTGAAATGTTCTCGCACCTACGCAGAATCGGTCGCTTCTCCGAGCCGCACTCGCGGTTCTACGCCGCTCAAATTGTGCTCGCCTTCGAATATCTCCACTCGCTCGACCTCATCTATCGCGATCTGAAACCCGAGAATTTGCTCATCGACTCGACCGGATATCTTAAGGTTTGCAAAAAATGCAATCTTCCTCAACCTCTTTCCATTAGTTCTAAAAAAGATGTCTCATCGATTGCTAGTAGAAAATATATTCATATTTTATCGGCTCGATGAGAAATGTACGTGTGTGTGTGTGTGTGTGTGTGTAATCGGATTAGAATCCCCATGTCACTTTCAGTATGTGCCAGGGGAGAAGCGAAGCAATCAGGCGTGCCAGAGAAGAAAACGGGATTAGCTAGGCAGGATAGGGGATAGTAGCGGGTGATAAAAATAAAAACGTGCATTATATATATATAAATATAGACTAGGATATAATCCCTCGCTCCTCTAGCATCTATTTCTCCTCTCTAGCCTCCTGTCATTGGCAGACGATTGAAATGCGTCAAGATCTCATTTTCAACACGCGTTTACGCATTTGGAATGAGTTTCTGGAAAAAGGAGGAGGGATGTCACGGAAATGGACTGTGAAAAGGAGCCTAGACTGGTGCAAAGACAAACCACTTTTTGATATTATAGGGACACCGGACAGAAAGGGCGCGCTATTGAGAAGAGCCCGCGAAAACCTGGGGGACTCTAAATTTGAATGGTGTGAGAAGAGAAAGTTATGGGGCTATTCAGCGTATGTTTGTTTTCCGTTTTTTTTCGTTTTTTTACATTGCTGAATTGGATTTTTTGACGTAAAAAAACGAAAAAAACGGAAATAATCATTTTTTCACAGCCTGAATAACCCCATTAGTCCGCGGCCACGTAGGCTGCTGCAGAAATTTTTGTTTTCCTTCAGTTTTTTCGTTTTCGTTTTAATAAATCGATTGTGTTCTCACCTTTTTCGTAGTGAATTTAATTGAATTTTTTCTTTTTCATGTATAGAATTTCTATAAAAAGCTATCGCAGTCGAAAAATGGTGCACGCGTCGTCAATGTTTTCTCTTATTTTCCGCAAACTGTTGATTGAATCTGTTTAGAAACGCATATTTCGAACATGAAAAAGAAAAAACTAATTAAATTCACTACGAAAAAGGTGAGAACACACTCGATTTATTAAAACGAAAACGAAAAAACGGAAGGAAAACAAAAATAACTTTCTCTTCTCACACCATTCAAATTTAGAGTCGCCCAGGTTTTCGCGGGCTCTTCTCAATAGCGCGCCCGTTCTGTCCGGACGAAGAGTTTTTACGGAAAAGCAGAAATGCTTCTTTCAGATAACCGATTTCGGATTCGCGAAGCGTGTGAAGGGACGCACGTGGACACTGTGCGGAACGCCCGAATACCTGGCGCCGGAGATAATTCTCTCGAAAGGATACAACAAGGCGGTCGATTGGTGGGCGCTCGGAGTGCTCATCTACGAAATGGCCGCCGGATATCCGCCGTTCTTCGCCGATCAACCGATTCAGATCTACGAGAAGATTGTGTCCGGCAAGGTTGGTCCCCCTTATAAAACTAGCATCCAATACGCCTGTTTCCAGGTCAAATTTCCGTCGCATTTCTCGAATGAGCTGAAAGATCTGCTCAAGAACCTGCTGCAAGTGGATCTGACGAAACGGTTCGGAAATCTGAGGAACGGAGTGGCGGACATTAAGAATCACAAGTGGTTCAGCAGCACCGACTGGATTGCCATCTACCAGAGAAAGGTGAGCACGAAATCGAGGAGGATGCTCCTCCGAACGTCCCTCCCGAATGAAGCATGTGCATGTGTCTGTCTATCGCTTTGTTCCATCCTTATTACTTTTTCTTCTTCTTCTTCCTCCTCCTCTTCTTCTTGTGTGTGTTGTCCTATTACCGTAGTGTCGTGGTCGTGTATTCTCATGATTTGTAGATCACGCCGCCGTCGTTCTCGAAAGGCGACTCGAAGGATCGGCTGTTCGAGGCGCTGTATCCGCGCGTGGACGGTCCCGCCGACACGCGTCACTTTGTGGAGGAGGTGCAGGAGCCGACCGAGTTTGTCATCGCCGCCACGCCTCAACACGCCGACCTGTTTGCCGAGTTTTAGAGAAAGAGCATGTACTTCATGTTCTCCATGTTCTTCTTCGTCTTCTTCTTCTTCTTCGTCGTCGTTTTACTATAGCCGCTGCACACACAGCACTCTTTCTCTTGGTTTGGTTTCCATTTTATTATTATTATTATTATTATTATTATTATTATATAGTAGACATTTAGTCATAGGCACCCGAGTTTTTTGGCTTTTCCGGCGGCTTTTTCGATTAAAACTTTGAGTTTGACTCTTCTTTTTCCGATTCTTTTCTAACATGTAAAAAGCAATAATTTCTGTGCGCTTCGATATTTGAAGTTTTGATTTTGAAGGTTTTGTCAGAGTTTAAAAAAACAAACAAATTGATTGCAAATTTTGTGTTTTCCAACTTTGTAATGATGCATTTCTCATGAAAACATGGGGAAGTCGCACTTTTCCAAGAGCCCCAAATGGATGTTGATGGCATGCTTTGGAAAACTAGAAATATCCAAAAACAGGGCCATTTTCATGAGAAACTATCAATTACAAAGTTGTAGAACATAAAATTCTCTATCGATTTGTTTGTTAATCATATTTGAAATTTCGCCGAGTTCAAAGTTGACTTTCGGCAAAAATGAGAAGAACATGAAAAATAGTTGTTGTTGTGATTCAATTTCTGCATGCCCTAGGGTCTAGACTATAACAAAATAAGGTGCGAACACTTTTCGAACGTCTCCCCACACACACACACACACAATCAATTTCAGATCGAAGCTCCGTTCCTGCCGAAGTGCCGTGGTCCGGGCGACGCGTCCAACTTTGACGACTACGAAGAGGAGCCGCTTCGCATTTCGGGCACCGAAAAGTGCGCCAAGGAGTTTGCCGAGTTCTAGACCCGCCCGCCCGTTGCTCTGCTCTTTGCGCCTCCACCCAGCACTTCTACACCTCCCCCCCTTAGTACCCTTTTTAGTCCCTCTTTTTCTCCGCCTCTCCAATCTCCTGTTTGTTTTGCCTCTCCCGAATGTTCCTGCTGTCCTTCCGGTGTGTGCTCCCCCTCTTTTTCTCTCCAAAAGCCTCAGCTTAAGCCTAAAACGTCTCTCTCTCTCTCTCTCTCCCTCTCAGCCAAAAAACGTTCGTAGTAGAGTGCTTTACTTTTTTGCCTCTTACCCCCACTTTCTTGAGATCCTTAATAAAACCCCCCCAAATTATAATATTCTCATGTAAAAATAAAATGACAAATCGCCACGAATCTAGTGAAAAAAATTCCGTCCGTTTCTCTGTCTCTCTCTCTCTCTCACCCTGTCTCGTCCGTTCTAATCTAATCAATATCAAACGTTTTCTAGTCATTACCCCCCCAGAACACCTCTTTTTTTTTACATTTTAATTTTCAAGTTTCACTTCTAGACCACCCATACACAGACTCACACACACACACAACTCGCCATGAAACTTTAATTGTTCATTGTCCTTTTTGTCAAAATTGGTTTGCGAACACAAATTTGTTTGCAACAACAAGCGCTTCATTTCTCGTTGTTTCGTCGTCTCCCGAATGTAGTTTCACACACTGAATTTTTTCATAAATGTTTTCTTTGATAAAATGTTCCCCCCTCTTCATTATATATATACTCGTCCCGTCTCAAATTTTGTCGTATGTACGTACTATTATACTACCACACTATTTTGTCACCTAAATAGCTTTAAAGTGTTGATATATAAATATTGATATTTCTGAATTCTTGCGGTTGTCTTGTCTCATTGATTCGGGGCCACAGTAGAGGAAGTTTACAGGTACCAGGGGGGAAAATGTAGTCCCTATGCTGGGATTCGGGGAACAACTGAGCGCCCCCAAGAAATGGAGGATTTTAGCTAGGACATTTCTAGCCTACACCAAAGTGTTCAGCACGGAACCCCAGCATTCCAATGCGCAAGCGAGTTGTCAATGGGGCGCGCTTGCATCCACCGTCGACTCGGAGTTTCTTTTTTCAATTGAAAACCAGAATTCTTTCGTTTTTCTCTTAATACACACTCAAATTTTGTTCTTTGCGAACCGTAGGGCGATTTTCTGAGTTAAAAGCATCGATTTCGTTCAGAATTGACCAAATTGAGGGTTTTTGTCGAAAACTACTGAAAAAACGGAGTTTTATCGATTATTTTCCGAATCGAGTTCGGACACTGGCATTCGAACCGTCCAGTCAACAAGTAGTTTATTGCGCATCTTTTAAGCGCTCAACCGTCGAAAAATATACAGAATTGAGATAATTGAGGCAAATTTTCGATTCCTAAAGGAAAAAATTCTGTAATATTCACATAAAACGTTTCGAAATTGATGACGAAGCAGTTAAAACTTCATTTTTTATTCATTTCTAATCATTATCATAAGTTTTGACACTGATTGGTTCTGAAAAGATGGGGATAATGCAAAAAATGGGAAAATTGAAGTGAGAAACTCTACAACGACGCTCCGGAATTACGCGTTACGCGCTTTGTTTAGCGCACCGCACGTGAATTGCGCCAAGGGAATTTTTTTTGGAAGGCTGGGGTTCCGTGTGCGGTTGTCTTGTCTGATTGATTCTGGGCCACAGTAGAGGAAGTTTACAGGTACCAGGGGGCATAGTTGCCACGGGCCGGGCCGGGCCGGGCCGAAATTTCCAAAACTCCGGCCCGGCCCGGCCCGGGTCGGCCCGGGCCGGCCCGCATGGCCGGCCCGAAATCTGGCAAGTCTGCCAGGGGGGAAAATGTAGTCCCTACGGTGAGATTCGGGGAACAACTGAGCGCCGCCAAGAAATGGAGGATTTTAGCTAGGACATTTCTAGCCTACACCAAAGGTGCGGCGCAGTACACAATGCCTCATCAATCGTGTCCAACACGTGTTTCTAGTGTCTATTGAGACGTGGACGTTGGCTAAAAACACTGTCGCTCACCACAATCTCGTCTGTTTTTTGTGTTGTTTACGGCGCGAACTTTCCGATTTCATAATCGTGCGCTTCAATCAATGACGCATCCTTCTCATTCCTCTTCTTCTTCTTCTTCTTCTTCTTCGGGCGAGTAAGGGGAGGCGGCAAATTGAAGCATGAACCAGTTCCATTCCATCCTCTCAGCCGGCCTTTCACTTTCCCTCCCATCCATCCCTCCCTCCCTCACTCATTCTTTTTATTTTCCACGTTCATTTTTAGCAGAGATGGTCGATACGAAGAAAGAAGAAAAGCTCATCGACATCGACGCAGTCTATCCGAATGTCGAGAAGGAGAAGCGAGAGTTGGAGAAGGAGTTTGAGAAGAAGAAACTTGGTGAGTTAGCCCTAGCTTAACCAAACGCCATGACAAACTGAAACCGAGACACTTTCACGCTTTCCAATCAAATGTATTTCAGAAGACAGCGACGATGAGGATGATCTGAAGAAGCCGAAGAATGACGAGAAACCGCTGAAACAAGATACGGAGCTGTCGGACTGGAATCTCGTGATGAAGGCCAACGACTTCGCCGCGCGTCGTCACCGTCATCAGAAGCGCAAGGACAACGCGACGCCGTACATCAACCATCCGATCGGAGTTCAGTTGATTCTCACCAACGAGGCGAAGGTCTACGATCCGGTGACTCTGGCGGCGGCGGTGCTTCACGACGTCGTCGAGGATACGAAGACGACGTTGGAGGAGATCCGCGAGCTGTTCGGGGAGGAAGTGACGGAGGTTGTGGAGCAGTGCACCGACGATAAGACACTCGCGAAGGCGGAGAGGAAGAGGCTTCAGGCGGAGAACTACGGAAAGCACACTCATCGGGTAAGTGATATCGCGAGAAGTATTGAAAATTGGGAATGTACTGTTTTTGAAGACGAGAACACATTTTTTGCGCGGCCAAAATTAGCTTCTTTCTGGTTTTCTCTTGATGACCAAACTATTTATAGGCCAAACTTGTTCATCTCGCTGACAAACTGTACAATCTGCGTGATCTGGAGAGAAAGGCGCCGATCGGATGGGACAAGAAGCGGGTGAACGAGTATTTCAAGTGGAGTCGCGAAGTGATCGGCCAGATGAAGGGGACCAACGAGGCGTTGGAATACGCACTCGACGACGTCATCAACCGTCATTTGACCTAAATTGTGATTATTTGAATAAATAAAATAATGTGTCTTTTTCCAAATGATTATATTGTTACCAGAGATACCAATGCGCATTTTTCGCGGATTTCGCTTTTTCGCCTTCGCCGCCTAAAAACCGCATTTCTCATTTTGCGCTTTCTTGACCGTTTTCAGACAGAACTGGTTTTGAGAATGATAAATCACGTGAATACAAGAATTTTGAGCGCTCGAACAGCGAAAATTACCGAAAAGCAACTGAAATTCACGCAGTTTTAACCAAAAACCTTCAAACGGATAAATGTGATTTGCGACTTGACCAAATTTAACGCTCTTGCGCTTAAAAAATTCGTAATAGCCTATACAATCGGTCTATCGAGAGACAAATGAGAAATTATCGGTTTTTCGTGGCTGATCTGGCAAAAAACACAAATTTTGCTGTTGAAATTTGAATTTCGCGCCAATGTATCGCTCTATTGCGCGGGGCGCACTTGCGCGCCCATTGTCTGCTCTGGAGACCGTGTTCAGGACTATTCAAAGTGAACATTCGAATTGAATTTTCTCGAAGGTTCCAGTGGCTCCGATTGTGTTTCCGGCCATCAAGGGCAACAATAGAACCATTTCGGAGCAGATTAAACAACAATAATTTTTACGGAATCTAATTTTAACATTCCCTGAAAAAAAATGTTTGCTCAATTTGCTCTAGAACGCTTCTACTGTGTCTGCAGAGAGCAGAGTTGAGCGGAAGAACTCAACGGAAGAACACGGAAGAATTTTTATCTTTTTTAGAACATTTTTTCATGAAATGTGATCAACTGACGAAATGTATAGCAAAGTAAAGTCAGCTCATAGAAAAATAATTTTAAATTTAACTTTTCATACAAAAAAGTCCTTCCGTCTTCCGTTAACCCTTTTTTCACAGAACAACTCGAATAACTTTTTTGTATAAAAAGCTAAATTTACAATTATTTTTAAATGAGCCGAGTTCACTTTGCTATACGTACATTTCGTCAGTTGATCACATTTCATGAAAAAATTTTCTAAAAAAGATAAAAATTATTCCGTGTTCTTCCGTTGAGTTATTCCGCTCAACTCTGATTAGAAGGTTCCAGTGGGTCCCATTGTGTTTTTTGACATCTACAGACACAGTAGAAGCGTTTCGGAGCAAATTCGGAGCAACTTTTTTTTCGTGAAATTAAAAATTTCCAGATTGTCAAAAAAATGTTGTGTGCTGAAACTGTTCCGAAATGGTTCGACGGCTGCGTTAGACGTCAAAAAAAAACACTATGACACCCGCTGGAAGCCGCTCGTCTTTGAGAAAATCCATTTCAAATTGGTCTTCGAACATTTTCCGACGCCCAATGCCGATACGGTGACATCAAAATGGATGAGGCCCAGAAGAGAAGATTTGCTCAGTTCATTACGAAAACAATGGAAGAGCGCGAGGATGAGATGGACCAACTGGAAAGCGAGCCGACAGACGATGATTCGTTCTTGATGATCAACTTGAAATAAGAAACTACCCTAAATACTGTACAGTACCGCTTATTCTTGGCAAAATATCTCAGCTGCCTGAAGATATAACAAAAAGTTGTCAACAGATCGAATATTTTTGGAAGACATTGCCTATATTTCATTAGTTGACAACTTATTGATATTTTCAGCAGCAACTGAGATGCATTGCCTCGAATGTACTATATTGTTGTTAATTTTGCTTTTGCTCTTGCACTTCTTTTATTTCATGAATAAATTATCGACAAACAAAGAGCAAAAGTGTGCCAAGAAATGGTAGATCATCGAAACAACTCAATCGGATATTATCCACCATCAAAATAACAAACCGACGGACCGTAACCGTGAAAGCCCCCTTTAAAACAATTTCTTTCACTTCCCAAAACTCGAGAACCGGTTCTTCCATTTCGTTTTTTCTCTTTCACTCTCCCTCTCTCCTGCCGACTGGGCTTGGCGTCTCGGAAACTTTCTCCCCTCTCTCTCTCTCTCTCTCTCTCTCTTTTTCTCTCCAATAGATATTGTACATATACACAACGACGTGTTGCGCGGAGGAACAGAACGGACGGTCACTAGCAGCAGGCAGTTAGTTACTTCTCCCGTCTCGCACCACCACCCAACACGCTCTTCTCGGGCCTTTATTTTTAGTCCAAATGATAAGGAGAGGAAGGGAGAGAGGGAGAGAGAGAGAGAAAGATCAGTTCTCCACACAGACAATCGATCGAATTAGGCAAAGCCTCAGAGACGATTTTGTTTTTCCATTTTCCTCTTCTACCTCGTGGTGTCCTTTCTCTTTGAGATCCTTATCCTTCTGATGGACGACTGACACCCCCTACCACGTTTTCCCAATTCCGTGCCCCTTAGAATCAGACAATGTTTGTTTTTAATTTTATATTCTTCTTTGCTCGCGGAATTACATGAATCAGCAACTGATGTTCAGTTTTGTGACCTGGAACTTTGCCGGACGAGTTGTCAGCTAGATGCTCAGTTGTAAAGTGTCCATTCGGTTTTCGGATTTTGTCTTGAACATGTTCGGTTGCAAAGCGTCCGGTCTAGTTTGACCACCCACTTATAAATCTTCTGCTCTATTCTATAAATTACATGGTTGCAATGTGTCTAGATGCTCTCCTATTTGTCACATCACAAAAAACTTCTAGGGAGGTTACATTAATTCATAAACACTCAAAGTTTCCAATGACTAATTCTCCGTCGGAACAGTGACCTCCCTCTTAGTGTCCTCTCCCCGTGGTACTTGAACTTGAATCGCAGAAACAAGTCCTTTTCGTGTCGTCATCTCTCTCTCTCTCTTTCTCTTTCAAAAGTGACCGCGGACGGACCAAGCGGCGGGTCCACGGCGAGACCACGATCAAATATTGTCAGTTCTTTGAGGAGCTGCCTGCCAGTGTGATACCACTCCCCCCAATCCTCTTTCGGCAAATGAGTCACTATTCTCCATGCTTCCTGCGAATGCGCCCCATCGCAAACTATTCCAGACGTCGAGGAGGAGGATGGACACCACCGACTACGGTGGGATTCAGGCTCAGTCCGCCCAACCGCAGGCATCCGGGCCGCACGTCGTACTTAGGTATGGAGGCATTCGGGAAATGATGCCGCTTGTGAGGAGTGAGCAGGTGAGCAAGGCCTTCACAAAAAAAGGATAGTTGCCACGGCGCCACGGGCCCAAAGATGATCACAATTATGCGAATAATTCTTCTTTTCAGATGTTGGAAACGTTAATCGATCGAGCTCGTCACATCGTAACAGCAGTCGGAGTCACGGACACTCGAAACATGTACCTTTTCCGTCACGAGTACAATTCGCCCACCCTCCTCTACCCCATCACTGCAGCTTCACAAATTGTAAGTTTCCTCCTTCCACCCGCTTTCATTCCATTCCCATTTCTTCAGAATCCCGGCTCAATAGTAGAAATCATTCTAGTGGACCGGACGGACGCGGCGGCAATACCCCACGTCGTCGAACCCGAATCCTACATGCGTCCCACGTTTTGCGACTTTTGCGGAGAAATGCTCACCGGGCTTCTGCGGCAGGGTGTCAAGTGCAAAATGTGCAACGGGAATTATCACAAACGATGTTCGAACGCGGCGCGCAACAATTGCATGGCCGCCGCGTCGAATCCGAACGTTTCGGCGGCTCCGGCAGTGCCGAACAGGCCGCCGAACCTGCCGCCGCTTCCACCAACGCCCACCGGATTCCCCGTCGCCGCGTTGTCAACGCCTTCAGGTACGAGATAGGATATTCAGGGGTGGAGCAGGGCTGGGCAAAACATTGGCCGGCCTTGGCTGGCCAGCGGTCGGCCAAGGCTTTGGCCGGGCTAGTTGCAAGCGCGCTCCACTGCAAAAAAAAGCCTAAAAAAGGTGAAAAGAAAGTGTTGTTTTCCTTTTTTTTTTCGTTTTTTTACATCGCTGAATTGGATTTTTTGACGTAAAAAACGGAAAAAACGGAAAACAATCTTTTTTTTTATCACAGCCTGAATAACCCCATAAGTGAGTTAAATTTCGATGAAATGAAAGCTGGCAAATTTCGAAAATTAGCAGAAGTGAAGAGAAAAATAAAAGAGAACGATAGAATTAATGAGAACGAGATGCGTGAGAACGAAACGAAAGAAAAAAATGTATGGGAACAATGTTATGAATCGAATTCATCGAATTGAGCATTTTTCTGTGAAAATATTTGATCATAAAGTGAAAAAAAACGTTGAAAAAGAAGAAAACCTTTTCGAAAACACGTTTTTTCGTTATTTTAAATGCTTTGTGTGCAAACACCGCTCAGTGAACTTTTGCAGTGGAGCGCGCTTGCAACTAGCCCGGCCAGGGCTTTTCATTGGCCGGCCATTTGCCCAGCGGAGGGGCTACAAACTATGGAAAAGTGTTTCAGGCCTTCCGCACACTCTAATCGAACACAGCTACCGTCAATTCACAGTATGCAAAGTGTGCGATCATCTGCTAGTCGGTCTCGTGAAACAAGGACTCAAATGCCGCGATTGTGGAGTGAATGTGCATCGAAAGTGTGCGATGGAGCTGGCCTCCAACTGTGTCCTATCCGAAAATGCAATATCCCGAGTGAATTTTGTGGATCAAGACAGTCACGGCTCGTCTTCGGACAACATTCCACTGTTCAGATTGCCTGGTGCGTTGGACTTGTCAACTGAACGTCAAAGGTGAACAGGCGAATTTCAGGTCAAGTAGGAGTGCGAGCCACCGAGAAAAAGAACCTCGAGGGCTGGATGATTCACTTCATTCTCGCGGACCCGGAACGCCGTCTCAAACACTACTGGATGATGCAGAACCACGCGATCCACCTCTACAACGAGTACACGGAGGGCATCGGCGTCAATCCGAATCGCGTCTACCGGATAATTCCACTCGCCGAAATCACGTCGGTCGTGCAGAATAACGGAAAGTCGGTGCTTGCCAAGCATCCGCCGCATTGCTTCGAGATTCGGACGACGACGAACACGGTGTTTTGTGTGGGCGAAGATTATCACGCGTTCTCGGGAGGGCCGCCCAAAAAGATACCGAGGAGTATGAGCTGTCGGCCGACTTCCAACACTAACATGTGGTTTCAGGTAAGGTCCCGATCACGGTCTCCAGAGCTGGCCTCGGCCAAATGGCATTTTAATGAATTGAGCAGGTTTTCTCTGATTTTTGTGGTCAACGGCAATAAAAAATGATTGTTCGACATGAAAACACACTAATTCTCGAGAATTAATGACGTTTTGGCGCATTTTTCGCCGACTTTGCTTTTTCGTCTTCACCGCCGATCGCCGTCTAAAAACCGCACTTCTCATTTTGCGCTTTCTTGACCGTTTTCCGACAGAATTGGTTTTGAGAATGATAAATCGCGTGAATACAAGAATTTTGAGCTCGAACAGCGAAAATTACCGAAAAGCAACTGAAATTCACGCAGTTTTAGCCAAAAACCTTCAAACGGAAAAATGTGATTTGCGACTTGACCAAATTTAACGCTCTTGCGCTTAAAAAATTCGTAATAGCCTATACAATCGGTCTATCGAGAGACAAATGAGAAATTATCGGTTTTTCGTGGCTAATCTGGCAAAAAACATTAATTTTGCTGTTAAAATTTGAATTTCGCGCCAATGTATCGCTCTATTGGGCGGGGCGCACTTGCGCCCATTGTCAGCTCTGAAGACCGTGTCCCGCTGTGTTTGTTAATCGATAAATCCGAATGTTATTCAGTTCATAAAAGAGTCTCTCCAACCGCCGTCCCGCAACGAGGACAATGCGGAGCAAGCGCTGGAATTCGCGAATCTTTACCAAGTTCTCAGTGATAAGACGCTTGGGAGTGGTCAATTCGGGACTGTTTACTCGGCGATTCAAAGGCATTCAGGCAAAGAAGTCGCCGTTAAGGTAAGGGTTCTGCCGATAGAGCGCATTCGGCAAAAAACGCACCATTTCTCAGGTGATCTCCAAAGAGCGCTTCTCGAAGAAAAGCAGTGGAGCCGAGTCGATGAGAGCGGAAGTGGCGATTCTCCAGCAGACGTGTCATCCAGGAATTGTCTGCTTGGAGTTCATGTGCGAGACCAAGGACAAGATCTTTGTGGTCATGGAGAAAATGAACGGAGACATGTTGGAGATGATTTTGAGTCAAGAGCTCGGACGTCTCAACTCTCGAGCCACCAAGTTTTTGCTTGTGCAGATTCTGTGCGCTCTCAAGTATCTTCACGATCAGGGCATTGCGCATTGCGATCTGAAGCCGGAGAATGTGCTGCTCTCGGATATGGGCTCCAACTTTCCGCAGACGAAGATCTGCGACTTTGGCTACGCGCGTTTTATTCCCGAGTCTCAGTTCCGGAAGACGGTCGTCGGAACGCCCGCGTATCTTCCGCCCGAAGTGCTGCAGAGGAAGGGCTACAATAAATCGCTGGACATGTGGTCGGTCGGAGTCATCATTTATGTCACTCTTTCCGGAACGTTTCCCTTCAATGAGGGAGAGGAGGTAGCGTTTCTGGATAGAGAATCTTTCGGTTCACATCCTGTTTCAGATCTCGGAACAAATTCAAAACGCGTCATTCATGTTTCCGTCGGAGCCGTGGAATGAGGTGGAACCGCTGGCGGTGGACCTCATTCAAAAGCTGCTCAAAGTTGAGATCGAGGCTCGAATGTCCATAGAACAGTGCCTGGACCATGATTGGTTGAAAGGCGAGCAACTTTATCGCGATCTCCGCGACCTCGAAGTTCGTCTCAACACTCCAAGGTATCAAAAAAGGAAATAATCGAGGAAAAGTGAATCGTTTTCAGATATCTCACAAGCCCAACAGACGATGTACTCTACGGTCCTCCTTGCTAAACTTTACCAACAAAAAAGCGATGCTATATAGTTTTTGTATATATTTTCCCAGTCATATTTCTCACTCCCACCTCTTGTCACGTCTCTCGAATGAAACGATTTCACTCAATCTTCCGCGCCACGGTCTCGCTCGGCGCGAATGATTTCAATGGGGCGCACTTGCAACAGGCGGGCTGTGTCGATTTACGCGGTGGCCGATTAATTAATTTTCAACGGGAGTTCGCGTTCTTTCCATGTTTTCTGTACCATACGCCTATTTTTTTGTACGCCTGGAACCTGGCGTCGAATATTTAGAATAATTAGAGCACTAGCTACGTTTTGGTAACAGAAATCTCGCATATCGTTGAGAATTAGCCGAGTTATTTCGATTTGAAGGTTTTGGCCTGGATTTTGATGTTTTTCGAATATTTTTCGAAAACTGCTCAAGAAAACCAACCGCCGGAACCTGAATTTTGTGAAGAAAGATTCAGCGAACATTTTTATCGTTTGTTGCGCTCATGAAATGCAAAATGAGCTGAAATATAAAGGTTTGAAGTTTTGACGAAATTCGAAAAACATGAAAAACTCGAAATTCTGTTAAGAACGGTTTCCAATCAGTAAAATATTGTTTTCTAGACGTTTTTCAAGTCAAAAAGAAAGAAATAAAGGTCGTAAACTCGAATTGAACTGCATTTTTAGACCAGAAAATTGAGAGCAGAATAAACGGTTCGAAAGAGCGGAATGGGAGGGGAAGGGAATTGCATGTTTTAATGAGACCGTCTGTTAACTTCTGACGGAAGAAGTGATTTCGTGATAATTCTTTCCATTTTGAAATTAAATTTATTTGATCTGCAAAAACTAGATTAATTTGCTGTTCATTTATTTTCATTTCCAATCGGAGTATTTCTAACCCTTTTTTGCTCTTTGTGAGCGAAACGCCTCAAAATTCAGTGCGCATTTGAACCGCCGATACATCGGAAACCGTTGTCTGTTGTGAGGAGTCGCAGGCAGCCAGTGAGCGCTGGCCGACGGCCGTGGCCGAGTTCAAAGGCGCACGAGTTAGATGTGCAGGTACCGTAGTCCTCGTTGATTTCACCGCTTTGACGCCGTTTTTCCCACATTTTTCCGTTGGCCTACACGATTTTTTCAATTTTTTCACCGATTCTCCATCAAATTTTTAGCTATTTTGTATTCTTTCGATAAAATGGAAAATTTGGAATCCGTTGAGATGCTGTTTCGACAATTTTTCTTGTCTAAAAATTATTTTTCGATCTGAAAATCCTGCTGAAATTTGTTTTCAATCTTCAAAATATGGTTTTCCGCTTGTACTCCGTAAAATGTTGCTTTCTTTGAATTTTTCTCTCTAATTCTATAATTCTTAACTTTTTCAGGGTACAATGACGTTCAAGAGACGTAACCACGGAAGAAACAAGAAGAACCGCGGACATGTCGCGTACATTCGCTGCACCAACTGCGGACGCTGCTGCCCGAAGGACAAGGCCATCAAGAAGTTTGTGGTCAGAAACATCGTCGAGGCTGCTGCTGTCAGAGATATCGGAGATGCCTCCGCGTACACTCGTGAGTTTTCCTATATTCAAAACCTGGTAAAAACCATGATTTCGCCTCCGATGAAACAATTATGCGGTAGGGTGCTAAATTCTTTTGTTTAAAGCAAAATTCTGAATAAGAAGTATTTCTCATTGACAGGAAACAAAAATCGCGTTTCAGAATACACTCTGCCGAAGCTCTACCATAAGCTTCACTATTGCATCGCCTGCGCCATTCACAGCAAGGTCGTCAGAAACAGATCTCGCGAGGCCAGAAGAGACCGCAACCCACCACCGCGTTTCGGACAGCGTACCGCTACCGCCCGCCCGGGAGCCCCTGGACCACGTCCATAAGTTGTTTGTTCTTTGATATTATAAACGTTTGTTGGCAAATTCTATCGCATTAAAGTTAAACTGATTACAAAACAATGTGGACATAAATTAATATTTATCAGAAGAATTATCAACAGAAACAACAAAAATGGAAAGTGCGCAAATATAAGTGAGCTTCTAGACCCGAACTGAATTGTGTTGCTCAATGCTATTCACATTAACTCCTTTGAAATTGCTCAAGTAGACATTGTGCGGCGACGACTCGACCGTCAAATCGCTCTTCTCGTCCTCTTCTATCCGTTTCGTTTGTGGTGAACACGAGGGTATAGAGATTCTCCTGGTGGCTTTTGTATTCTTGTCGCTCCATTTCTTCCCTCCCCGTTTTTTAGAAATGTGTGGGTTGTCCTGATACAAATTCTTCAGCTTATACATGCGCAGTTGCGTGTAGACGCGCTTCAATTCAGCCTGAAAAACAAACAATTGATTGAGGGAAGAAAGTGTGTCACTTCCTACCCGAATATCCTCCGGGTTCATGTCAACAATCGGAACTTCGGCGAAGTCGATAGTTCCGTTCAAAATGTTATCACGCAGTTTGGCTAGAGACGGATGCGCCCGTCCCGAATGACCGCCGAGCGTCATAGATCGACGACTCGGCTCTCCGTTTGATAGGTAAAATTTCGGAGCCACAATAATAACAATGTTCACAGAGACTGTGAGTTGTAAGTGGACGAATGAGACGATAAAAAGAGTGTCGGCTCGTCCGGAATTTCGAATAGAATACCTACAAATTTCATGTATTTTTCTGCATTTTTACAGCTCTGTTTATACCTAATCAGATTGGCCATCAAGGTGATGATGGCTTCAAGGCAGACGGCGACAGTGAACTGCCACCTCTCCAGCCAATCGCTATTTCTGGCCTTATAGCAAAGACGGACTGCGTAGAGCAGAAAGAGCAGCTCGTATCCGTGCCATATCACATGCCATCCCTGCATGAGACACTGCGGCCAGGCGGTCCTCCAGAGGGCCGTGTCGCCCCAGGAGCCGACCGTCCACGCCATGAGTCCGGTGATTGTGAGCGCGAGCATTGCAGCCAGGTATTTGAGCATGTCTTGCTCGCGGACCGACACGTGCTGCGCTTTCCGCACTCGGTACTCTTGAAGATTCCTGAATCGAGAACGGCTTTGTGGAGCTTTCAAAAGTTGCCGAACTTTGCTAATTTGAATGGAAGTAAGTTGGAAAACTAGTTTCAAGTTTTTATAATTTCAACGAACCTATAAATTTTAAGCACAATAGATCCATAGAAGATGGAGAATCCGATTTGTCGGAGCCAGACTGCCACGCAGCAACCGTACTCGGGCGGCGCCACAAAATCCAAAAAGAGGACCGAGTACAAAATGGAGGCGCCGATCAGAAAGAGCTCCATTAGAGCCCAGCCTCTGGCCTAAAATGCGTTCGAAATGTAGAGTTGGCTCAACACTTCGCTCACCTCATGCTGCCGTTTTCGTTGATAACAAACGATCGGAATGAGGGCGATGCAGATGATTGCGCAGATGGAATTGAACGCGAGCAGCATGTGACGACCTAGAATCAGAACAAAAGATGTTGGGGTGCTCTGTCGAAACGAGAACACACGCGAAAAGTGCGTTGCGTGAAGCATCGAACACAAGTGTAAAAGTGCGTTATTAACGGATTAGATTGCCACACGCATTGTCACTCGGAAAATAAGAGGTAGAAGTGGAAGGGAAAACGTACTTATAAACGAACCTCGTTCCGCGTCCGTTCTGCACAACGCCACGTCGTCCGGGTCGCAGCACGCTTTAGCGGACACACGAAGTCCGCCGTGCACCGTCCATGTGCACTGAAAATCGGAAAATCGAGCATTTGAACCGATTGAATTTGACGAGTTTTAGTTTTCCAGCTGCATATTCTTGCAAACAAAGGCAGGCATTTCAAGATTATTATGGAACTATTACTACCAAGGCGGCCTAAAAGACCGCAGATTCCCCCGCAATTTCCTTTTTAAAAACCCCCTCTTTTCCTCTTTTCCCTGTTCTTTTCCGCTCTGCTCGGTCCCCCCTGGCGTTCCCTCCGGCCGGGCCGGTAATATTTTCTCCTCGAAAATTCGGCAAGTTTGGTGTGTGCTCGTGGTGCTCCCTTGCTCTTTTCCTTCATCATTCTCCTCCAAAAACTCTTTCTTCTCCTTCGTCGACGACGACGACGACGTCGTGAAAGCACAGCCAGCAGAAGAGGGGGGGACCATTGAAGCGTGGGGGGTTGGGCGGCCCGGTGTTGGCGGCGGCGGCGGCAAGGGGCCTACAACATGTCGTCGTCGTCGTCGTGCTCCACGAGCACAAGAAGAAGAAGAAGAAGAAGAAGAAGCTCACATTGTGAGTGTGTGCTCGATGAGCTTTCAGTGAGTGTGTGTGTGCGTGCGTGCGCCTTAGAGGCATATCCTGCCAAAAATGATGGGAGGAGAGGAAAGAAGAAGAAGAAGAAGAAGAAGAAGAAAATCTCGTCGTCGTCGTCGTAAAATCGCATTCTCCCCCCTGTGCGTGTGTGTGTGTGTGTGTGTCTGTGCGTGCTCGCTGAGCCCAAAAGAAGAAGCGAGAGAGAGAGGGAGAAAGAGGTGCACGGAAGAGCAAGAAGCACAAGCACATCACATTATCCTCTTCCCATCCTCCAAAGAGAGAGAGAGAGAGAGCCGTTTTAGGGGCCATCTCTCTCTCTCTCTTTCAAGCTCTCCTTCGCAAAAGAGCCAATATTGATGAGAAGGAGTAGAAGAAGAAGCTCAGAAAAGGAGCACACACAAAATGTTGTGTCCACGTCATTTATTGCCTAATGTGTTGCTGCTCCTGAAGAAGAAGACGAGCAAAAAGATTCGGAATGAAATGAGGCTACTTTTTGCAAAAGTAGCATACGCACACACAGACACACGTCATCTTGACACGAACAGAGACGGGTGTACCGTAACCATGAGCACTGGGCGGCGGAACGTCAAAGTTTGATTTGGTTCGGAAAAATGAGAAAGAATATTGTCTGTGCGTTTCTGGAGAATCTGGAGATATCGGCCTGTGCGAATTTATTTTTTTTTTCTACAACTATTTGGGCAATTTTGTACAGGCGTCCAACGTTTTTTCAGAACTTCAGCAGCAGCAAAATAACGGAAATCGTTGGATGAGTTTGCGTATGTTCTACTGTGCGAAAATCGCCTAAATTTGGTCCCCTCGAAAACAGGAAAGTCAGAGTTTGACGCCGCAAAGTCATGTCTTTTTCATTTCCTCCACTCCCCGACCCGCTTTCCTCCAGCCGACTCAAAAACCCAAACAACAAAACATTTCTTGATTGGTGTTGTGTAACATTGGGACGGCCCCGGGGCCCCTGATATAAACATTCAGAGTGTCACCTGTCTCGTCGTTATCAATGGAGCGAACTTTGCTCCAGTTTTCCCGCGAGCTCTAAAAAAACGACGCGTTTTTTGCTCGTTGCGCCGCGCAAATAGTCAAAGTGTCAATCTGAGAAGGAGCAGGCCCTCTGGGGACCGCCTTTCCCCCCTGTGTGTGTGTGTGTGTGTGAAGAAGAAAAAATATATATCGGGTTAGCCTTTTGCTGCCGTTTTTCGCCGTTTTTAGTGTGCTCTTCAGGGCTTTTGGGACCGGTTTCGGAGAGAATTGGTGGAAGAATTGGGGATTCTAGGCCAGGCAGGAGAAGTGGGATTGGAAATGTTAAAAATGTTGAAAATCAATCCGGCTTTTGAGTAAAACTAATAGCAATAAAGGCTCTCCACGCGTGTGCTCCTGTGAGAAGCAAGAACTCAAGCTCTTGCAAGGTTTTGTCGCCGCGCGCGGGGGAGGTAACACGTTGACAATCATTAGGGCGCGCTGACTCGACTTGGAAAGAAAATGACTCACTTTTGTGTGGCACGGAACGGCCGAGCACAAGTCCACATCGAACTGATCGAGTTGAAGTGTCAGGTAGGCCTTGCGATTCGTGTTGTTCGGATCGTGTGACACGAAGACCAGTCGAGGGAGCCATCTGAAAACAGGAAGGAAACGGTTTGTTGGAACGTAGAAAAGTGCGTCGGGGCGCACTTTGATCTTATTCATCCTCCTGTCCCTCTCTCTCTCCCTCTCTCTCTCTTTCGTGCGCAGGCGCGTGCGTTAATCTAATCCGGATGTCGCCGCACAAAATCTCTCAAGTTTCCTCCTCGTTTGTGCCGCCGCCGCCGCCGCTGTTGCTCCAGCTACTGCTTGTGCCCAAAAAAGAGAGAAGAGGGGGGGGGGGCCGTCCGTCGGCCAATTAATTATTCTGATGACACACAGCCCCGCACACACACACACACACACACACACAACTCGCCACGCAGAAAGATGCTTTTCCCCCCCGCTTTTTTGGGGGTTTCAGATTATATAGAAAATGACGACGGCCCCTGACGACGTGACGCCACAAGAAAGACCCAAAAAAAAGTGCCTCAGGCCCCGTCGGATAGGGGGGGAGGTATGTGTGAATTTGTGAATATTGTAGTAGAACACAAATTTATTCACATTCTCCCACGAGGTGTGGAGAGTGGAAGAGGATTTGAAAAGTTCAAGGATGACGCATTTTTAAGCGCCCGCCACGCGCGAGCTCTGACGCATTGCATCGGGAGGGTGTGTTGGAAAGGTGGGGGAAAAACAAACGACTCACTTATGGTTGTTGCCTGTGCAATTCAGCTGAAGTCCGTAGAAATGTGTTCGTCGACTGAACGAGAGGTCGAACGGCGGATGCGGCAGGAATGAGGACTTGTCCAGCAGTTGTGGATCGAAATTTTTCGAGTGGTTCGCGAAAAAGTGCGCCAACTGTATCAATCGGGGGAATTTGAGCGCGACGGCGGTCGCCAAAAAGTGTTCGGCCTCGACGACGTGGCCGCACGGGTACGGCTGATCGAGCGACGAGAGAAGTTCGGTGAGCGGAAGGCCGCCTTCAGTGACCTGCTGCTGCGCGACACGGGCCGCTGCCAGCGTGGCGGGAATTGTCGACGATAAGAGCAACAAGTACAGGTAGAAGGGGCGGGGAATGTATTGGTGGTGATGAAGATGATTGAGAGGGGGCCATCGCCTCGTCGTCGGAGGAGGCCTCATCGATTCTGTGGCGGCTCTCTCTCTGAAGCACAACGGGCGGGCAACGAAGGCGACGACGACGACGGCTGCTGCTGCTGCTGCTGCTGCGGCGGCGACGACGACGACGACGAGGACGGCGCTGGCGGTGGTGGTGGTGGTGGGGAGGGGGCTGAGCAGCAAGCGTGTGTGTGTGTGTGTGTATGTGTGCTCCGTGTGCTGTGCGTGCGTCCAAGAGACGAAGAAGACGAGCGGCGGCGGCGAATATTGTGGGGAAGAGAGAAGAAGAGATTCTTCCTCTCTTTCTCTCCGGCTCCCATCTCCTGCTGCCCCAAGAGAGGCGGGCTTCGAGGAGTTGGAGAAGCGAGAAGAAGAAGAAGAAGAAGAAGAAGAAGAAGAAGTGTCGGTATGTCTGCGTCCTTCTCTCCCTCCCTCTATCTCTTTGGGCTCCTTTGACGGGAGGGGGCCTATTCATCACACATTATTCTAGATCACACACAGACGGGGACTCTTCTTGTGTGAAGCGCACACACAAATGTTTTTGGAAAAATGCAAACTATACGATTCGCTTTTTTATCGGACGCACTGTATACACGCTTTTTGGTGGCATTTTTTTGGCCCATATACTATAGTTGATAGTGCAAAAGTCACAGGGGAAAAGTGTTACTGTAGATTTTTGAGAAGACGGTCGTGTTTCAAGTAAAATCAAGGGCAATCCCGTGACAAGTCATCTTTTTTAGCGAGAAAAATCATTTTTCTACACAATTTGATAAACTAATCGAATTTAACAGCCCAGAAACTTTAAAAATGCCGAATCTTCGTCTTGCGTCGTTCCATCCTTCATTTTCCGATACAGAACTTGCTGAAAATATCGTCGAGCACATTTTCGGAGACGACTTGCTCGGTGAGCTCGCCGACGTGTTCAAGGGCGGCCTCGACGTGCGAGCACATGATGCTCGCGTCGAAGGAGCTCGACACGGCGCACGTCAACTCATCGGCGCACTTTCTGCAAAATGAGAACATTTCGGCATATAATGAGCAGACGCGCGGCTCGGATTACTGTAGCAGTGCGCCGTCGAGCAGATAGTTGGCTTCTGGACACAGCTCCTCGACGTGCTCGGCGAGCTGGCGACGCAGCGATTCGATGCCGGCGGAGGAGGTGGCCGACGTGGATACTGTAGGCAGACTGGGCGGGAAGGAGGTGAGGGAGGGGTACGGTAGACCGAGGTCCGACTTGTTCTTCACCAGAATCACTCGCGATTCACGGCTTTTGGTGGTCTGAAAATGAATAGATTTCAGCACCCACAAAAGTTCTCGACAAATGCCCAATTAGAAAGTTGTAGAGCAAAAAGTTCTCTACCAAATTGCTTTTTGAAATTTGAGGAACCTTAGCTCTACCTTAACATCCTCTAGAATCCTCTCAACTTCTTCCCGATCGGATTCTGGATCCACGACGACGATCACAACGTCGGCGGCCTCCAACTTCTGCCGTGCTCTCCGCATTCCTTCCTCCTCGATCACGTCATCCGCGCGGCTTCTGATGCCGGCGGTGTCAGTCAGTCGACATCTGACACCTCCAATTTGGACGTGCGTCTGAAGACGAAAACAATTTTGGCGCCTTTTCCGGATACGCCTACACACACACACACACACACAGAATGGAAAAGGTCAGAGTCAAACGCGGAAAACACATTTGCTCACCACTAAACTGTCGCGTGTGGTTCCGGCGATCGGGCTCACAATTGCCACGTCATCGTGCGCCAACTGGTTCAGAATGCTGCTTTTTCCGGAATTCGGCCGCCCGTAGAGCACGATGTCGATGCCACGTTGCGCGAGTTCGGCGCCCTTCCACGCGCGGATCATTCGGTTCACCTCGAGCAAAACTTCCGACACGTCCCGCTGGGCCTCTTCCAGCTGCAGCTCCACGTGCTCACCGAAATCTATTACAATGAAGAGCTTGGCGAGCACTTGCACTAGCTTTTTGCTGCAAAACAACGTACGGTCTTAGAAAGGGGTCTTGAGGTAAAATGAATATGTTTCAGCGCCTACGGGTTTTCGTTAAAAATTATCAATTGCGAAGTTGTAGAGCACAAAATTATCTATCGAAATTTTGAAAAATCATAGATTTATCCCCACACAAAGTTGTCATTTCACATTTTTTAAAAAAGTTTCTACCGTAGCTCGACGCCTCTGATTCCGCCCCTCATCTGTCCGAAAGCCGCTCTCCGCTCCTTTTCCGTTCGCGACCGAATCAATCGATCGAGTCCTCGCACCTCCGAAATGCTCAATTTTCCGTTGTGAAACGCTCTGTAATTGGGTCGCATTTTCGGCGTGCAACACGTGAAAATGAATGGGAGCCAATGGCCATAATAATGATGACTATTATTGGTTTCACTTTCTACAGTAACTTCCTACAGTACCGCCTCGTGAACTCTCCCCGTTTCGCTTCTCGAACATTCTCAAAAGTGGCCAGCGCGGTGGCCAATTTTGTGGCGACCGCCTGACTTCCGTGCACAAACAGCTCGGTCGTGTCTTCTCCGGTGAACGTCTTCGGGCCTGACAACATGAAAATGTAAATGAAAGTGCGCACTATTGATACATTTTCGGAAAGCGCGCTAGTTTCCTGTTTCTGAACGGACTCAGACAACGGCTTCCGATGCATCGGCGATGCAATGGCGATGCCGAGCCTACGGGCGGTGTGTCATGGCGCGCACTGTTTAGCCATCGTTATTCGCACTGAATTTTGAGGCGTTTCGCTCACAAGGAGCAGAAAAGGGTTAGAAATATTCCGATTGGGAATGAAAATAAATGAAAAGAAAAAAAATTTAGGGTTTGCAGATCAAATAAATTAATTTCAAAATGGAAAAAATTATCACGAAATCACTGCTTCCATCAGAAGTTCACAGACGGTCTCATTAAAACATGCGATTCCCTTCCCCTCCCGTTCCGCTTTTTCGAGCTTTCTCTTCTGTTCTCGCACACTTTTAGTTTCTCTCTCAGGTCATTTTCAGTATATTCGTGCAGAAACGGAGACTCTAGAATCGGGCAGACCTCTTAAAACTTCAGATCTTACGGAATTTACGGATTTTACGTCTTCTTGAAACCGTAAATTTACGTTTTTACGGATCCGTAAAGATACAATTTTACGCCCTGACGGTGATCCCAAACAGTTGGCCACGCCCACAAGGTCGGAATATTGCAAGTGGTTCAAAGGTCAAGGTCAAGGGCCGGCCAACGAAAAGCCCGTGCCGGCCAAGCCCTGCTCGGAAGGTGTTTCTAAAAAGGATAATCTTATCTGATAAGGTCCGAGAGAGCCCTGAAAAAGGCTCGAAAGGTTGTCCTGAAAAGGATTATCTTATCTGATATGGACTGAGAGAGCCCTGTCAGGTGGTGCGGCTGCATCAAAGGTGAAAAAGTCTGACATTCGAGATTTGAAAAAAAAGGGGAAGAAGAGCCATTATGCAATTGGGACTTGGAGCCTGCTCCTCTGTCCACTATCATGGTGTTTTGGTTATGTTCGGACTATTTCGTTTTTGAGACCGGGGTTCGAATACGGATCGAAGTGTGATCCCCGGATTTCAGACCATGCGATTCAGTATGTCGGATTTTCTTTTTGGTGACGTTTGGTAAGAAAATAATTGATACGCTCTGACCGTCTCGTTTCTCTGCGTATCGCGTTTTTTGGCACCAAGGTAAGAAGTCTGCCCGATTCTCGAGTCTCCGTTTCTGCACGAATATACTGAAAATGACCTGAGAGAGAACCTGAAAGTGTGCGAGAACAGAAGAGAAAGCTCGAAAAAGCGGAACGGGAGGGGAAGGGAATCGCATGTTTTAATGAGACCGTCTGTGAACTTCTGATGGAAGCAGTGCTTTCGTGATAATTCTTTTCATTTTGAAATTAATTTATTTGATCTGCAAAAACTAAATTCGTTTTCTTTTGATTCCCAATCGGAGTCTTTCTAACCCTTTTCTGCTCTTTGTGAGCGAAACGCCTCAAAATTCAGTGCGAATAACGATGGCTAACAGTGCGCGCCACGACACTCCTCCCGTAGGCTCGGCATCGCCATTGCATCGCATTTGAACCGCCGATACATCGGAAACCGTTGTCTAAGTAAATTGCTCAGTAGTTTACTAAAGAATGTTATAATCAACTCAAAAATTCGAGCGAACTTGCATCGGCCAACCTGGAAAGTAGACCGCCATCGCCTCGTCGATTATCCCGTCCCGATCGTATAGTTTCGTGAATTCCATCATTTTTGGCCTCCATCTCTGTCGTCGGCTCAATTCTCGAAGGACCGGAAGGCTTTGGGAGCCTAAAATTCAAATTTTCCACGTGAGAATTCTCAATGGAGCGGGTTTACCTGAAACGCGAAAAATTGCAATCGCACTCGGCAGGGATCCGGACGAAAGCGCGAAAATTGTGGACATTTTCTGAAAGAAGAAAGACAATTGTTTGACATTTTGAAAATTCGATATCTTGACGGAAAACTTCTGATGAAGAAAAAAATATTTAGAAAAGATAATAAGATGTTTAAATATACATTTTTAAAGGGACACAATACTTCAAATTAAGTAGATACCCGTAGGATGAGAAAGACAATTAGGGACACAAGTGACACAAATGATTAGAAAGTCTTGTTCTTCAACTGCACTTCGCACTCTCGCAGATCAGGAATGATCCATTTCGGATCGCTGAGATACGTGACGACGGGCCGCGGCGCCAGAAGATCCGATATCCGCACCGGTGGCTGCTGCGACCGGATCGCGAAGCGGCAAAGGTACTGCAGGGAGGGCATCAGTTGCCGTTTGTTGAGCGGGCGTGTCAGGTGCACACGGGCGGCTTCCGCTTCGTGTCCGCGACGGTAGTGCAGCATTTCTTGTTCGCCGTCCTGGGATTGCTGGAAAATTTGAATTTCGTTTTTCGTGTCGAGACCAAAAAGCGAACCTGCACAGCTCGCTCGATAATCTCGACGAGTCGCCGGTAATCTCGCGAGACGTACGGCTGTCGGCTGCCGAGATTCCGTCGAGAATCTTCCAGCGAAAGACGGGTATGATAGACTTTCTCTGAAAAATCTTCAATTTCAAATAACTTTTCCGGGGAAAAATACGAACCTTCGGTGCGAAAAGAGACCGAAAAGAGATGCGTGTCACTTTTGCTGTCTCGAATCAAAAAGTATCCAACTGGGCACAGATTGAGAAGACGTTCCGCCCATTTCCAGTGCACATCGCCCCAATACCAGTCGACGTGATAAAGGTCCGAACTTATAACTCTTTCGACCATTTTTCGGCCTAAAATTGACTTTTTTCCACTCAAAGTTCAATCGGATTAAAAATCACAAACAAAAAGATATAAATAAGAGCATTGGGAGCAACTTTTGAGAGCATCACAAATAGAGCGGGCGCAAGAATAAATATAGTTCATTCACGAAATAATTGATTGTGCAATAGTGTGATAAGGACAAATTGGAAAAAGTACATAAAAATCGAATATCGAAGAGACTAGAAAAGATTCAAGAAGTGAGAACGTTTAAGATAAACCCGTACATGATGGAATTGTTAAACATTTTTCGGAAATTTAGAATTTACATGAAAATTGTTAGTTTTTTGGAGAACATAAATAACTTATTGCATATGCGGATGCTGATGATGATGGTGTTGCATGTACGGATTCTGTTGGAGTTGTTGTTGTTGTTGTTGTTGTTGTTGTTGTTGTTGTTGTTGCTGAAGCTGCTGTTGTTGCATTTGCTGTTGCATGTGCATTTGTTGCATGTAGTACTGCTGCTGCTGATGTGGCGTCATGTTGTGCATCTGAATTAATAATTGTCGGTATATTGAAATCACAAAGGTTGTGGTTGCAACAAAATGACAGACAAAAAGAATGCATGCATGCATATTTAGTTTCGCTAATTACATGGCCCAGGACAAATTGATGAGCTAGAAATGCTTTAAACTGAACCGATTCTTATTCTGTTCATTACTCTAAGAGTGTGAAGTGCATACCCCGAGCTACAAAGACGACAAACACACGCATAACAACACAGAGAAAAGCGTTAGAAACTTATTGAGAGCCCAGACCTTTCTTCTTACCATATGATGCATTTGTCCGGGCATCTGTGGTGGTGGCTGTGGATGGTGCGGGGCCATCTGCGGCGCCGGCTGATGCATTCCGTACATTTGTTGCATTTGCTGTTGATGCATTTGTTGTTGATGCAACTGCTGCTGCTGCTGCTGCTGCTGATGGTGCTGTTGTTGTTGTTGTTGTTGTTGCTGCTGCTGATGTTGCTGCTGCTGCTGATGATGCATTTGCATTTGTACAATTCCAGGCGGGTACTGGGGCGTCATATGCATTTGATGATGTGTTTGCTGCGGTTGATGCTGCTGCTGATGCTGAGGTTGTGCGTGGACGTTTTGTTGAACTTGATGATGCTGCTGCTGATGCTGTTGGGGGTATTGAGCCTGAGCCTGGGCTTGAGCCTGAGCTTGAGCCTGCGCTTGAGCTCGAGCCCGTGCTTCGGCCTCAGCTCGAGCGCGAGCTGATGCTTCGGCTTCAGCCTCCGCTTCGATTTTTCGTCGCTTTTCCTCTTCCTCCTCTTCTTTCCGTATTAGCTCTTCAAATTCAGCCAGAGTTTGCGGTTCGCTCGGCGACAACGGTTTCTCCTTGTCGCGCTCCCGCTCGTCCTCGTCGAGCATATCCATTATCTTCTTTTTCCAGTCGACCCGCTCCGGTGCATCATCGCCAACCAGCGCCTCCAGTCCCTCGATTTTCTCCTGTTGCGTGTTTAGCCATCGTTGCAACTCAAAAAAATCCTGCCGAAACTGCTCGCCACTCGCTTCTTTCTCCTCTTCGGCGCTCGAAGTCGACGGCACCGAATCCGTGTGCGATACGTAGTGCTTCATGCGTTCGCGCATAATCTCCGGGAATCGTGCGAATTGCGCGAGCGCCGACTCTTTGAGTGTGTCGCCCACAAACAGGTACTTGCAGTGGTAGAACAGGTCGCACAGATGCTTCTCGTACACAAATTCCACACCTCTCTGCGCCATGGCGCCCACTTTTTTGAAAATAAGGTCATGGATGAAGATGGGCTCGAAACTCTCTTTTTGCGCTCGCAACTTCTTCGCCTTCTCCTGATGGTTTTCGTTGAAACGCGAGAGGATCGGTTGGATCAGCCGCAGAAAGTACCACAGATCCTTCTCAGTCCGCACTTGACTTATGAACCGTGGGACATAGCCACGGGCGAAGATTGAAAGTGCGTGTTGGTGGCATTGAGTCCAGTAGGCCTGCGAGATCACATTTATCGATCGGGCCCGGCTTGAGATGTTCACAAGTTGATATTCTTCGTAGTTGTCGAAAACAATCTCCTCGAAACTCAGCTTCTCCGTCTCTTTATTGAAGAGAACCATTTGGAATTCGAGGTGTAAACAGTGGGAGAAAGCTTCGGGTAAGGCGGTGAGCAGGGAGGCGATCAAGTTGACCACATTGTAGGGCCGGAGATGGGGCTTCATCTGCATCACGTTGATCATCGCAGGAACCAGAGCGTCCGCAGGATGAGGACTCGCCAGAAGTTCGATGCAGGAAAGGTAGAGGGTCTGAGCGCCGGGCGGGAGTTCGGCGGTCTTCCAATCATTGGCAACCCAGGTCGGGGGCGTGAGAATGAAGTCGAGACTCGTCGTCATTCGATCAATGAGCTCCATGATCAGTTGCTCTTTCGAGTTCTTTTGATGGTTATACTTTACGAACGCCTCCGTCAGATGGACATCTTCGATCTGACTCGCAAAAGTCATGACGAACGCACGGGCCTCGGGGCCTCTCAGCCGTCCGTGAGTAATGTAGAGGAGACTGTACATGAAGTGGATGGGCATCGGATGGAACTTGTAGAACATTCCCAGAGTCTGCAGCACTGGCGGTTTGAATCTGTAGTTCTGCTGCTCCAAAGTAGCGTAGATGAAGTGATCGAGAACCGGCAGAAGTCGTTCGATCAGACAACCGTAGTAGATCGGCAAGTGCACATTTGCCGAATCGTTCTTGTGCGCCAGTTCGACGGCTTCAAACTCCGGAAACTCGGAATGATATTTGGCGATCGCCTTGATGTATTCGGTCGGATTCGTCTCCTTGCGCGGCACATTCTGATAGTACCACTTGATGCGCTCCTGGAATTCCGACGTCAGAATGAACTCGTTGGCGATGAGGATGCAGATGAGCGAATCTTCGTCGGTTCCCGGATGCGCGACGAGCGAAAGGAGTAGTCGGTCGGCCTGGTAGACTCCGTACGTGAAGACTACGGTAGCGACAGCTTTGGCAATCTGGAAAATACATGGAGATATTGTGGGTTTTATGGGAAAATCATCCGTACTCGTTTCAATGTGCGCTCATTTCGGTCTTCGAGCACTTTCACATCGGCAATAATGTAGTCGACCATCACATTTCCCATGATCACGATGTCCTTCGGCGTCTTCTTCTCCATAACCCTGTAAGCAAATTTAAAAAACGACTTTCAGAACCCCATTCTTCTCGGTTATTTACTCAAAGAACTCGGTGGTCAGGTCCTGTTTGGTGTCCGAGTGTTCGAAAGCGAACTTGTAGAGCACCGCGAGCATGTAGTAGTTGTTGGCGGCGTCGGGCTCGTCGCCGTACTTGCGCACGAATTGGTGGGGTGTCAGCGAGGGATGGAGACGGTAGATGTCTTTGACGTTCGCCAGAATATCCTCAAAGTCCGGCCGCAACTCTTTCCAATCCGACCGTTTCACTTTGAACATCGCCTCGAGCGCCCATCTCGGGAAGTAGCGGATCGACTTCAACGGCCAGCAATATCCTTCAAGGATGGCGGTGAACGTCGTGTTCTCTGTGACAATCTCCTGTCCGGTCATTCGGAGGGCTCGCATGAACGAGTAGAGCGCACACTTGAACAGCTCCGGGTTTATCGGGAACGCCGATCCGTCGATTGGCGACGAGAACGTCTTCGGACGAGTCATATACCGAGTTGTCGGCTTTTCTCGATCACTCGCGCCGAACAGGCTCTTGAAGTTTTGAATGTTCTCGTGGAAACCCGTCCAGCACCAGCGGCGCATCTGCAGAAATTATTTTTTTCTCTAAATCTTAGTTTTTCGAAGTTACCTGAAACTGTTCCAGCTGCCTATAAATCTGATGGTTCTGCGGAGTGTTCGAGAAGTGATTGATGAAACTCGGGATGGTTTTTCCGACCGGCGAATATTTTGCGTAGGCGGGCATGTGCGGTATTCGGTAGGTGAGGAAGTTGTACATGAAGTAGCACTGATCCTTGGCGCCAGAGTCCGGCGTCGAGCTGGAAACGTTCAAAGAGCGGTTGGCAAACTGTTCCAGGTCCCGGATGGCCGTCTCGTAGTCCTCCGACAGACAGATCGTGGCGACCGTCTCGAAGATGGCGGGGCTCGGCAGACGATCGCCTTGGAAGTTGCGCAGGCACGTGATGCACGTGTTCAGCAGGTTCTTCTTGGATCGGTGCGTCAGCGCCTGAATGAACTCGGCGGAGAAGGCGTCGAACTTGTCGACGGCGCACCGATTGTAGGAGAGCTCGAAGACCGGCGTCGACTCGTCGTCTCCTTGCAGCAGTTCGTGAAACGCGTTCGGGATCTGGTGACGACCCATTTTCGAGTCGGAACGGACTAAAACTTTTGAGAACATGGGGATGAGAATTGTGAGTGAAAGCGGTGGCACTTACAAGCATTGGCGAGCACGGCGAACAGCGACGGATTGTTGACGTCAAAGTTTTCGACAGAGTCTTGAATGAACTTGATGTGCTGACGAATCGTGTCGTTCGCTGGCGGCATGTCTTTGAACTGGAAACATTGAAATGGAAAATGAAGGGAATTAAACTCTTTAGAAAAGTGCTCACATCCTTCTCCAAAATCATCCAGGTGCTCGCCGCGGCCAGGAATCGCGCAAAAAGAGCCGGGTGATCGGAGGCGCCCATCCAGACGACGTCTCCATCGAACAGGTCGTGATATAGGCCGACAATCTCCGGAACCGCATCGTAAATGGGCGAGAGGTTCGAGAGAGAGCCGACCACTTGGAACACGATCCACATGACCTCGTCGCGGGCTCTCGTGTACTTGCACTGCTTGATGAGCCCGCGTAGCACGTGGAAAAAGTTTTTCGCATTGCTGAAAAATCAGTTTTTGCTGGAAAAGTTCTAGAAAAAACGTACAGAAGGTTGTGAATGACTCCGTAATGGACAATATTCACAATATTGTCCCATTGGTAGCGGGGGATCGTCTCGTTTTCGGCGAGCGACTGCGCCTCCGCCATCACTTCGCACACCATGATTGAGACGAGCACGTCCCAGTGCGACTTGTGACTCTTTTTCGATTGCAAATTAAACTGTAATCGTAGCTTGTAAATCTCGAGAAAACTTTTTCGAATGCGTACCCAATCCTTGCCCATCGGTTGCCGGAGAATCATGTAAAGAGTGTAGAGGAAGTTGGGAGTGACCGAGCTCGCCGAGGCTGTCATGTACTCGGGACGGAGGGGAAGCACGTAGGACGGCTTCATGTGCGGCTCTTCCCAATTCGTCGACTGCGGACAGAATGCCGGATGGAGAGGGATCGGATAGAGGGAGTGGCGGCCGCAAGTGTGACTCAAATCGGCGATCGGACGGAAATAGACCAACAGGCCCGACAGTACTTCTGTTAGTCTCTGCAAAGAAGTTCTCGGATTATTATCATTTCAAAAAGACACAAACCGGCAGAATATGCACTTGTTTCGCCTCGTATCTGCTCATTTCTGAAAGAGCCATCACGGCTGGAAGCAGGTTGGTCTCTCGGTCGATAATGTGCAGAACGACGTCTTCCACAATCCGCAACTCGTTCATTTGCTCGGGAGTGAGCTCCGGCGGCAATCGCCGCAGCTGGGCTTCCATTATGAATCGAAGGAGGCGCTGATTGCCCTTATAGTCGATCTTCGGAATGCATTCGTAGATGAACTTCCACTTTTCCGGGCAAATCTGGCTGCACATTCGGAAGTCCGTCGTCATGATCAGTCCTTCCGCACACAGCATTGTCGAGATTGTGCCTTTTTCGTGGGCGTACCGAAGAAGTTGGTCTACTACTCGCTCGTAATTTGTTCTGAAATTTACTAGAGTTTCGGCGTCAAATTTGAAAAGTTTGAAACGTTTTATAAAATGTTTCAAACACAACGCAGTAAACAGAAATTTTATCAAGGTTTTACGTAAAAATTTCGGAAAATTATGGTTTTTGAAGAACTTACCCCACATACATCCTGTCCGGCGAATTTTTTTCCGCCACCATATGCACCATTTTGATGAGCTCATTCTGCAACGACTGCTTCTCCTTTTCCTCCATTTTGTTCAGAATATTGTTGAATTCGATGCGTAGCATAGCGGTACTATCCGAAAAATTCGAGGTGAGAACTCGGAAAAAGCTGCGAGTTTCGGTTTCCTCCTGAAGAATGATTCTCGATTAATTTACTGAATAAAAGAAAACGTACCACGACTTGTTTAATTTTTGCTTTAATAGTTTCTACTTCTCGCGTGAATTGCGGAGAAAACGATTCATCTGTCTCTATTTTGTCTTGATCCGTCATTTTTGCTCTGAAATTTCAGATAAGAAATCAGTCAAACACGCAAAATAAAGGCAGAAAGTGAAGTGAATGGAGAAATGGAAGAGAATTACGAAAAACTAGTCCCCGGTCTTCTCCAGCTAAAATACCCGAGAATTTTAGATTTTCCTAAAAATATTTTCTGGTTTCAGATATAGAGGTGTTAAACAGACAATTCGACACGTTTTCAGACTAATACAAAACTATCTCCAAACTCAGATTGCTCAAAAACAAACGATAATCACTGATGGCCTAGAAACCCCACTCGGCGCGAATTACCGCATTTGAAATTTGATTTTAGCACTGATAATTCCAGTTTTTCCGTCTGAAACTAATCTATTATGAACAAGGACGACATTCTTGCGCAAGCAGTTGAAAAGTATGTTTTTTCTTAAGGATTTTTTGTTACCATCAATCAAAATAATCATTTTCAGTGATGCCAACTACAAAGATCGTGCAGCACTTATTCGGTCGAACGATGAAATTGACGCGAAATTCGGATTTGTCAGATATACTGGAATTCAGGAGAGAAAGGGATTTCTGATAAATATTCAACAGGTGAGATTTTGTGAGAAAATTCATAGGGAAAATAGTATTGCAGTCCGAACATGTGGACGAGCAAACAAAAGTGATCATCTCGGTGGTCGACTACTTTTTCATCAGTGACATGGACGAGCGATTCAAGATTTCCTATCCGTTCCGCCCGTATTTTTACATTGCGACGCTGGACGGTTTCGAACATCAAGTGTCGAGTTATTTGTCGAAAAAGTACGGAGCGGCGACGACTGTCGAGCAAATTGACAAAGAGGACTTGGATTTGGTACGCGTCTTTTGAAAAATGTTCAAAAAAATTAATTCCTCTTCCTTTTTTCAGAAAGACCATCTCTCCGGCCTCAAAAAGACGTACATCAAGCTGTCGTTTCCAAGTATTGTCGAACTTATGAAAACGCGGAAAGATATAATGCCGTTGGTGCGTAAAAACACGGAGCGCATCAAAAAAGAGTCGGCGTACGCAGAGTTTCTCGCGAAGAACTTGGGCGGCGGGCAAGGATCGGACGGCGGACAGCAGGACGGCGACGTTCTCTCTACCATCATCGACATCCGCGAGTACGACGTTCCGTTCCACATGCGGGTCTCGATTGACGAAAAAATCTTTGTTGGTTTATGGTACGACGTGAAGGGGATCGGTCCGCACCGGGTGCCGACCATCAAACGCAAAGATCTCGCGTTCTTCCACGCCAAGCCTAAAGTTCTCGCTTTCGATATTGAGACGACGAAGCTTCCGCTCAAGTTTCCGGACCGAGAAAGCGACGAGATCATGATGATCTCGTACATGGTCGACGGCCAGGGCTTCCTGATTATCAACCGAGAAATTGTCTCGGCTGATATCAACGCATTCGAGTACACGCCAAAAGCAGAGTACAAGGGAGAGTTCACAGTTTGGAATGAGAAGGACGAGACTGCTCTCATCCGCCGGTTCTTCGATCACTTCCTGCAAGTCCGTCCGAACATTGTCGTCACCTACAACGGCGACTTCTTCGATTGGCCGTTCGTGGAAGCGAGGGCCAAGATCCGAGGACTCAACATGGAACGGGAGATTGGTTTCTCGAAAGACTCGGCGGATGAGTATAAATCTAGAAACTGTATTCACATGGACGCGTTTCGATGGGTGAAAAGAGATTCCTACCTGCCCGTCGGATCGCAGAACTTGAAAGCCGTCACACGAGCGAAATTACGATATGATCCGGTTGAGGTGGAGCCGGAATTGATGTGCAAAATGGCCAGGGAACAGCCGCAGCAGCTCGCTAACTATTCGGTTTCGGACGCTGTGTCTACCTATTATCTCTACATGAAATACGTGCATCAGTTCATTTTTGCCCTCTGCACAATCATTCCATTAGGAGCCGATGACGTCCTCCGCAAAGGATCCGGAACCCTTTGCGAAGCTCTGCTCATGGTTGAAGCCTTTCATAATAATATTGTGTTTCCCAACAAATACACTGGTCCGGAGGAGACGCGCTTCAGTAAAGATGGACATCGCGTGGAAAGTGAGACGTACGTGGGAGGACACGTGGAGGCGCTGGAAGCGGGAGTCTTCCGCGCGGACATTCCCGCCCGTTTTCGCCTCTCGCCGCCAGCTCTGGAGCAGTTGAAGGGCGAAGTTGCGGAGACGTTGCGAAAAGAATTGGCTCGCGAGTTCGGAGTGGAATTGGAGCAAGTCGTGGACTTTGAGGAGCAGTGCGACACGGTTCGGGACGCTTTTGACGAGCTGCTGAAGGCGCCGACGCGACAGGAGAACCCCCGCATTTATCATTTGGACGTTGGAGCCATGTACCCAAACATTATTCTCACTAATCGGCTTCAGGTTTGTTTTGACGCTTCACACGGTTCAGCCAAAAAATCTCAAAACATTTCAGCCGTGCGCAATGGTAAACGAGGAGATTTGCATGGGCTGCTCGTTCAACAAACCGGACGCCGAGTGCAAACGAACGATGGCGTGGGAGTGGAGGGGCGAATTGACGCCTGCGACGCGCGGAGAATATCAGACGATCATGCAGCAGCTGGAGGCGGAATCGTTCGGAAAACCGCCCAAACACTTTCACATGCTCGAAAAATCAGAACGCGAGGCGATCGAGACGAAGCGCGTGAAGGACTACTGTAGGCGGGTGTACGGAAAGACGCATTTGACGCGGTTGGAGATGCGAAGCACGACGATCTGTCAGCGCGAGAACCACTTCTACGTGGAGACGGTGAAGGCGTTCAGGGACCGGCGGTACGAGTACAAGGACATGCTCAAGAAGGCGAAAGGGCGGTTCGATACGGCGCAGACGAGCAGCGATTTGGCGACGATGCAGACGGCCAAGTTGGAAATGGTTCTCTACGAATCACTGCAGTTAGCGCACAAGTGCATCCTCAATTCGTTCTACGGATATGTCATGAGAAAGGGCTCGAGGTACAGATATTTTTGGTGAAAAGTGGAGAAAAAAACGATGGTACGGAACGTAAACGGGATTCACCCTGGGAACAAATGCCGTTTTCGCGGCTCTACACATCACTCCCGTGAAATTGTTCGACGCAATGCTCTGGATCCTTAGAAAAACATCCTAGTTTTGTTGACGGAGCGGATTTTTTCACTGGAGCTTTAAATAAAAACATTTTCCAGATGGTTCTCAATGGAAATGGCTGGAATTGTGTGTCACACCGGCGCCAACATCATCCGCGAAGCCCGGAAATTGGTGGAGCAGATCGGAAAGCCGCTGGAGTTGGACACTGACGGAATCTGGTGCCTCATTCCTGCGACGTTTCCCGAAAATGTCACTTTCAAGCTGAAGAATCACAAAAGAAGCTCAGTGACCGTATCGTATCCGGGTGCGATGCTCAACGCGCTCGTCTACGAAGGATTCACCAATCACCAGTATCATACACTCGAAAAGAACGGAAGTTACTCGAAATCATCGGAGAACTCGATCTACTTCGAAGTCGACGGTCCCTATCAGTGTATGGTGCTGCCGGCGTCGAAAGAGGAGGGAAAGAAGCTGAAGAAGCGGTACGCCGTGTTCAATTTGGACGGATCGCTCGCCGAAATGAAGGGATTCGAGCTGAAGCGACGAGGAGAATTGAATATTATCAAGCATTTCCAGGTTTGCTACTCTTTCTACTAGAAATTTAAGAATTTTCAATTATGATTTTGCAGGGTTGTGTGTTCAAAACCTTCCTCAGCGGCAAGACCCTCGACGAGACGTACAAAGCGGTGGCGGGCGATGCGGATCACTGGCTGGACATTCTCTATTCGCACGGCTCCGACCTCTCCGACGCCGAGCTGTTCGACTTGATTTCCGAGAATCGGAGCATGTCGCGCAAGCTGGAGGACTACGGCGCACAGAAGAGTACGAGCATTTCGACGGCGAAACGACTGGCCGAATTCCTCGGCGACGACATGGTCAAGGACGCCGGACTCGCGTGCATGTTCGTCATTTCGAAGCATCCTCTCGGCGCGCCCGTCACGGAGAGGGCCATTCCGGTGGCGATTTTCAAGGCGGATCCCAAAGTGCGCAGTCATTACATTCGGAAGTGGACGAAGCAGACGGACTTCAACGAGGACACCGACATTCGCGACCTCCTCGACTGGGACTACTACATCGAACGCGTCGGCAGCTGCATTCAGAAGATCATCACCATTCCGGCCGCCCTTCAGGGAATAGCCAATCCGGTGCCACGTGTCGCCCATCCCGATTGGTTGCAGAATAAAATACGCAACAAGTACGTTTTAGGCCGTGGCCTACTTTTTCTAGCAGTAATATTCATGACCTAATATCTTAGGATAACCTAGAAATGCACTAAAATACTATAATTTTTCAGAGTTGACGCTCACAAACAACCGCGAATCAACCAAATCTTCGCCGCCTGCCAAAAGCCTGCTCCTTCAGAAACCTCTTCGGAAAATGGAGGAAAACGGCGGCTTAGCCCGGATATTATCGAAGAAACCGAAAGAGAAATCGGCAGTGAGGATAAGGAAAACAACGGAGCGAAACGGCAAAAAGAGACGGAAAAGGCGGGCGGTTCGGCAGAAGTTCTGGAGAAAAAGACGCTGTCGGAGCACGGATTCGACGAGTGGCTCTCGTTTTTGAAGAAGAAATGGAGGATTCAGCGGAAGGAGCGGAAGAATCTGATGGCCTCGAAGGATTCGGACACCGTCGAGATGATCGTTCGTGGGATTCGCGAGACGGAGAACGAGAAGGAATGGCACATGCTGAGTCTCGAGCCGACCACCGATCCGTGCTTCTACAACGTTTGGCTCTCGGTGCAGGGGCAAATGCATCGGGCGACGATGAAGATCAAGAGGAATATTCTGATCGACTCGAAAGTGGCCCAGCCGGGGCGGGAGACCGTCCGTCGCACACTTCCCCACCACCAGCAGCCCAACTTCTTGTACGAGCTCAAAACGGACGATCTGCAATTGCACCGGCTCATGGGGAAGTTGTACGCGGAGACGTGCTCTGCCAAGATCATTGGAACTTACGAATCGGAAATTCCATCGGATTTTCGAGCTATTATCGAGTTGGGAAGCGTCGTTCGTCCGGAGATTGGAGTTAATCTGGGCTCCGCGTTGAACTTGGACAGTTTACGGGCTGTTCATAACGAGAAAATCACTGCTTCCTACTTGCCAGGTCAAATTAGAACGATTTTCCTGTACAAGTTCTCGCAGGACTCGAGACACGTTTACTCGCTCATCGACACCGCCGGAACTGCCGCCTATTTGTACATTGTCAACTCGGGAGACGTACAAATGCCCAACATGGAGTCCCTCTACACGACGGTCTACAACAAGATGATGTCGACAGAACGCGGTCAAATGTGCCAGACCACTGCGAAAATGCCGTTCACCGTCAAGCGATTCAGTTCGAACACCGAGTGCGAGCGGCGGTTGGGAAGAGCTTTGCGCACCTATCGGGAGCAGAGTTCCAAGACTGCCATCGTCCTCTTGCTTTCGGATACGGAGCCGTTCCGATTGGCGCGGAAGGTTCCGAACCTCGGCCTCTTCCCGAATGTCCAGCTGCACGTCACCGAACCCTCGTCTCTGCTGAATCAGATCGATTGGCAGAAAGTGGTGGCCAGACGCATTCTCCAGCACTTCTTCAACAGCTTCTTCTACGTGGCCGACTATTTGGAATGGGCCCGTTACCTGAGAATTCCTCTCGGCAACTTGCCAGCCGATCATTCACTCTTCGCCTTGGATCTCCTCTACGCCCGACATCTTCAGAAGGCCGGACACGCGTTATGGGCCACCAAGGCCAGTCGTCCGGATCTTGGAGGCAAAGAATTGGACGATATTCGACTGTCGGTCAACTGGAATCCGGTCTCCATCGACGATACAGTACTCATCAACCGGGAGACGTTCTGCGAGACGGCTTGCGTCGAACTGCAGCTCAGCGCGGTCGCCGTGACCGCTTTGGTGCAGCGGAGTCGGGTTTTGGAGGCCGAGGGCGCCGACGATATGGTCACATTCGATTCGGTCAATGCTATTGGACTGCAATCAATTACAGGTACGTCTGGACTTGTGATTTTCTTTGAAAATAGAATAAAATTTTTGCAGGAGTCCAACAAAATACGATAGCGTGCTACGACGAAGGCGCCGCCGTCGACGGAAGCATAAAAGTGCTGAAGCAGATGCTCACCGAGTGCGTCCGTCACATTGCCCATCAGGGAAACGCGCGCGCCGACGAGATTGTCATGTCCGTCTCGCGATGGCTGAACACCCGCTCGGCGCTGCTCTTCGACGCCGCCCTCACTCGCAGCATTTCTGTGCTCGAAAGCAAGTTGGTACTGTTGCTGTGCGCGGAATGCGAACGAATCGGCGCGCGAGTCATTCATGCGACCGCCCAGAAACTCGTGTTGAATACGGGAAAGTCGACGAGTGCGGAGGCGCGTGGATTCACCGAAATGCTCATTCAATCCCTGGGAACAAATGTCGTTTTCGCGGCTCTACATATCACTCCCGTGAAATTCTTCGACGCAATGCTCTGGATGGACGCCCATAATCATACTGGAATTCGAATTAAAGGTACTAACAGATTTTGGAACATTTTGGGGCCAGAAATTTATTGACAACTTTCGAGAAAGAAAATATCAGAACATGCTGAAAAGGGGGATTGCTAAATTCTAAAAATGTGGTCTTCAGAATCGTCCGAAAACATTGACGACGACGACGACGAGAATGACGGCGAACAACCGACAGAGCCCGAAATGGAGACGACCGCGCAATGGAAAATAGCGGAAGAGATGCCGGAAGAGGGAAATGTGCGCGAGGAGTTCCTGCAAATGATCGGCGCCTTCATCGTCATGTTCCTCGAGACGAACCGCAAACTGAAGTTCGACACGGAGTCGGCGCAGAACTTCCGCTCCGACTGCATCAGCCAGAAGATCTCGCATCGTCTCTACAAAGTGGTCACCAAACTGGCGCACGGCTCCGCCGACAGTGCTCATTGCGCTGTGTTCCTTGTCGACGCGGTACGACATTTTCTAATCCAGTGATCCTGAGCGTTTTTTTTTCAGATTTGCCGTGCTCTCTCTTGTGATTCGGCGTCCCAATTGGCTGTGGAAGGCCTTCGCGACAATGCGAAACGTCTTTTGCACAATTCACTTGGTTAGCGAATTTTCCCGAATATATTTCTCAATAAATGTTTACAGTGGAAGCCGACACGACGCCGATCCAATCGACCACCCTCTTCATCTCGAACGTATTCTGCAACAGCTGCTCCCAAGCGACCAACGTGTTCCTTTCCTCCACCGACGAGATTGTCACGTGTTCCACGTGTCAAAGTGTTCGTGGAGCGAATTTTAAAAAAATTTTTAATTTTTTCTTGTAGAAACTGAACATGAACACGATCGACATGATGATTTGTGACCGTTTGAACGAGCTTCTCACCGCCTACCAAGTGCAGGATCATCAATGCACCAAGTGCAAAACGGTACGGGCGTTGCGGCTGCACATGCTGTTACGCAATTTTTTGCATCAAAATTTTTTTGTTTATTCGAAAACAACTATTGTAGGTGCGTCACAACAGTCTGTCTGTCTATTGCGAATGCTGCTCCCCGTTCACTCCACAAATCACGCCGGCGCAGATGAAAACCGAAGTCAAAACTGTGGAAAAGGTGGCAGGCGTTCGAAACTTCGCCCTGAGCGCCGATCTAGCCACATGGATTCTCAAATTTCTTTGATTCATTTACTTGCAACAATTCACCCCCTCGTTCCCCGTTTTTCCCCATTCCATTTTGTCATTCGGGTTCCCTACTGTAGCATATATATATATATAATTGATTCAATTCATTTCAACTATTATATTACAACTTTATTGTTTACCATCATCATCATCATTATCATCAAATACAAATATTTTTCACTGTGTTCTGGTGGGGACGGCCCATTTGGGCACATTCAAGAAATATCTGAAATGTCGGGGAGAATTGGAAAAGAAGCTGGTTAGTTATAAGGGAGGGCGAGGCCGTCGGCTAGCAGTCGTCGCCGCACTTTTCCTGCTTCGCCGAATACGTCATCTTGAGCTGCTCCTCCGGGTCGTAGTAGTCGAGGAGACGGAAGTTTGCGGGCTTCCATTATGAATCAAAGGAGGCGCTGATTGCCCTTATAGTCGATCTTCGGAATGCCTTCGCAGATGAACTATCACATTTCCGGGCAAATCGAAAAATTCGAGGTGAGAACTCGGAAAAAGCTGCGAGTTTCGGTTTGCTCCTGAAGAATGATTCTCGATTGATTTACTGAATAAAAGAAAACGTACCACGACTTGTTTAATTTTTGCTTTAATAGTTTCCACTTCTCGCGTGAATTGCGGAGAAAACGATTCATCTGTCTCTATTTTGTCTTGATCCGTCATTTTTGCTCTGAAATTTCAGATAAGAAATCAGTCAAACACGCAAAATAAAGGCAGAAAGTGAAGTGAATGGAGAAATGGAAGAGAATTACGAAAAACTAGTCCCCGGTCTTCTCCAGCTAAAATACCCGAGAATTTTAGATTTTCCTGAAAATATTTTCTGGTTTCAGATATAGAGGTGTTAAACAGACAATTCGACACGTTTTCAGACTAATACAAAACTATCTTCAAGCTCAGATCGCTCAAAAACAAACGAAAATCACAGATGGCCTAGAAACCCCACTCGGCGCGAATTACCGCATTTGAAATTTGATTTTAACACTGATAATCTATGATGAACAAGGACGACATTCTAGCGCAAACAGTTGAAAAGTATGTTTTTTTGTTAAGGATTTTTTGTTATCATCAATCAAAATAATCATTTACAGTGATGCCAACTACAAAGACCGTGCAGCACTTATTCGGTCGAACGATGAAATTGACGCGAAATTCGGATTTGGTACTCAGAAGCAATTGTACGATATCGAGCACGGGAAGGACGTGAAAAGGCCGTCAGCAACGAGAGAAATGTTAGTCGGCGGAAAAAAAATGAGAGAAATGAGCTCCAAGTTTGCAGGCTTGTCGAGAGATAATCGTGGCGGCGGCGGAGAAGGCATTGCTCGAAAAAGTGTAAATATGCATACCGTATATGGTATCCGTCGGAGAGAATCATCAGTCAACCGCCTCCGCTTCTGTCAAAGCTCCGACTCCCGAGACTAAGGTCCGTCCTAAATTGTGAAATTGGGTCTAGAACGTGGTCGAAGTTCCGAGATTTCAGTCGTTTTTTGCAGGAATTTCAATGGGCAGGTGTGGCGGCGACGGCACGACGTCTCCGGCTGAGGCGACGTGTCCGGCGGAGACCTCTTCTGCCACGAAGAAAACAGCACAGAAAAAGCGGAGACCGACCGATACCGAAGAGGATTTCGACGAAATTTCTTCCCGATTTATCCCCCCTTAAAAATGCCTTAACAATTATATGGTTTTTATGAAACCCCCCTCACACTTTTTTGTTGCTTTTTGTACGGGTTTTCCGAGCGCAAAACGCACTTTTTGATTCTCATTCGTCCCCTCGTTCTTGCCCCATCGTGTATTTCTGTGTGCGTGTGTGTGTGTGTGTGTGGAAAATTATTGGAATTTTTAGGCTATTATTTGATTATCCGTGTGTCAACTGAAAAAGAATGGCGAAATTGGAATCGATTTTAGTCCTGTTTTTACTGGTTTTTTTAATCCCAGAACTTTATCTTATGTTTTAGTCTTTTTTAGAGATTTTCCCTGAATTTCGGTTTCAGAAGACATGACGTCGTCGCACACCATCCTTCTCATTCAAACGTCGTCACGTCTCGACACGCGCACTTGGGCCGACTTTGAGAGTGTCACCGATGCTCTCGATTGTACGTTAATCTTTTTTAGAACAAAAGGGCCGGCCCAGGCTTTTTGAGGCCTGAGTTTTGACCCACTTGCAGTATTTCGATCGGACCCAAACTTTGCAGGCTTTGCGGACTTGGACTGAACTATATATGGGGCCGAGTTTCAGACCGATCGCATCATTTACACTCTTGATATAGTGCCTTGGGCCAATTTCTTCTGGTATACCAGAGATATACTGGTTTGAGGTCGAAAAGGCCGGGATTTTGTGAAGATTGCCGTCTCACGTCAGTATATCGGTCTGAAATTCGGACCCAAGATACTTCAATTAATATTCAAGAAGGCTGCAAAGTCTGAGTCTGATTGGAAAGACGAGAAAGTCGTTTGTTTTCTACGCGAAATTTTACAAAACATTGACGAAGCAACAATTTTCAGCGCTCTGCAAAATGTTCGAAGAGTTTTTGGCGAAAAAGGCGAGCGGACCGGTGACCTATGACGTGTCGCAAGTGTACGAGTTTCTTGACAAGATGTCCGATATCTCGCTCATGATTTTCAATCGGGTTTGTGATTGATTTTGATGTTAGCATTCTATAATTTTCAATTGTTTAGGAGACCGGCCAGTACATTGGACGTACTCGTGCGTGGATCAAGCAGCAAGTGTACGAGATGATGCGTGGACGCTGCAGACATCCGGAAGGCGGCGAGAAAGTGATTGTCGGCTACTGAAGTACTTCTGAATAACCCATCCAATTGATTGCCGATCCCCCATTATCCCTTGAATCTCTTGAACTTTTGTGCAAATGCTCCGATTTTTTTAAATGTTTACAAGACTGAGAAAAGGTTATTAATGTGTTACCATACTTATGTTGGGTCCAGATTACAGACCGATCGGACTATCGACTCTGTGTTGAGTGTTTGCATCCGAAATCGGAAATCTTTCAATTCCTTATCACTCTTTTTCCGAATCCTCTTGGCACGGTGCCATGACTTTTCGAAATTCCAATCGTTCTTTCCCATCGAAGTCCTTATCACTAATCTCCGTCTCTAATTAAGTCGGCTTCTTTGAAACTTGTCGCAAATCCGCTTGAAGCTCACATTCCCACACCTGCGGTGTTAATTAAAGGCGGAGATGAGTTATAAGATGCCGACAAAGCCTGGTGCAGTGGCCACGCCCACTAATTAGAATGGTCACGCCCACAGGGGTATATATAAAGGCAGAAATAGTCATTTTATCAGTTACCGTCTCGTTTTTTTCATCTCTGCCCATTTTTTTCATTTCTATTTTTTTATTTTTTTCATTTCTATTTCTTTTTTTCATTTCCATTTCTTTTTTTCATTTCTATTTTTTTATTTTTTTCATTTCTATTTCTTTTTCATTTCTTTATTTTTTTCATTTCTGTTTTTTTCATTTCTATTTTTTTCATTTCTATTTTTTTCATTTCTATTTTTTTCATTTCTTCTTTTTTTCTTTTTTTAGTTTTTATTTTTCATTTTTTTAGTTTTTTTATTTTTTTAGTTTCTATTTTTTTCATTTCTATTTTTTCGTTTTTTTATAATTTTTTTCATTTCTATTTTTTTTCGTTTTTTTATAATTTTTTTATAATTTTTTTATTTTTTTCGTTTTTATAATTTTTTTCTTTTTTTTCTTTTTTTCATTTCTTTTTTTGTTTTTTTATAATTTTTTTCATTTCTATTTTTTTCGTTTTTATAATTTTTTTCATTTCTATTTTTTTTCGTTTTTATAATTTTTTTTCTTTTTTTCTTTTTTTTTCGTTTTTATTTTTTTCATTTCTATTTTTTTCGTTTTTATAATTTTTTTCATTTCTATTTTTTTCGTTTTTATAATTTTTTTTTCTTTTTTTTCCTTTTTTTCGTTTTTATTTTTTTCGTTTTTATTTTTTTTCATTTCTATTTTTGTTTTTATAATTTTTTTGTTTTTTTCTTTTTTTCATTTCTTTTTGTTTTTATAATTTTTTTCATTTCTATTTTTTTCGTTTTTATAATTTTTTTCTTTTTTTTCTTTTTTTCATTTCTTTTTTTTCGTTTTTATTTTTTTTCATTTCTATTTTTTTCGTTTTTTTATAATTTTTTTCTTTTTTTCTTTTTTTCGTTTTTTTCTTTTTTTCATTTCTATTTTTTTCGTTTTTATAATTTTTTTCATTTCTATTTTTTTCGTTTTTATTTTTTTTCATTTCTATTTTTCGTTTTTTTATAATTTTTTTCATTTCTATTTTTTTTCGTTTTTATAATTTTTATAATTTTTCGTTTTTATAATTTTTTTCTTTTTTTCTTTTTTTCATTTCTTTTTTTGTTTTTTTATAAATTTTTTTCATTTCTATTTTTTTCGTTTTTATAATTTTTTTCATTTCTATTTTTTTCGTTTTTTTATAATTTTTTTCTTTTTTTTCTTTTTTTCGTTTTTATTTTTTTCATTTCTATTTTTTTCGTCTTTATAATTTTTTTCATTTCTATTTTTTTCGTTTTTTTATAATTTTTTTCTTTTTTTCCTTTTTCGTTTTTATTTTTTTCGTTTTTATTTTTTTCATTTCTATTTTTTTCGTTTTTATAATTTTTTTCTTTTTTTCTTTTTTTCGTTTTTTTATTTTTTTTCATTTCTATTTTTTTCGTTTTTATAATTTTTTTTCATTTCTATTTTTTTCGTTTTTATAATTTTTTTCTTTTTTTCTTTTTTTTCGTTTTTATTTTTTTCGTTTTTTTATTTTTTTCATTTCTATTTTTGTTTTTTTATATTTTTTTGTTTTTCTTTTTTTCATTTCTTTTTTTTCGTTTTTTTATTTTTTTCATTTCTAATTTTTTTCGTTTTTTTATAATTTTTTTCATTTCTATTTTTTTCGTTTTTATTTTTTTCATTTCTTTTTTTTCGTTTTTTTCATTTTTTTGTTTTTATAATTTTTTTGTTTTTTTGTTTTTTTGTTTTTCGTTTTTATTTTTTTCATTTCTATTTTTTTCGTTATTATAATTTTTTTCATTTCTATTTTTTTGTTTTTTTATAATTTTTTTCTTTTTTTCTTTTTTTCGTTTTTTTATTTTTTTCATTTCTATTTTTTTCGTTTTTTTATAATTTTTTTTCTTTTTTTCTTTTTTTCGTTTTTATTTTTTTCATTTCTATTTTTTTCGTTTTTTTATAATTTTTTTTCATTTCTATTTTTTTCGTTTTTTTATAATTTTTTTCTTTTTTTCTTTTTTTCGTTTTTTTATTTTTTTCGTTTTTATTTTTTTCATTTCTATTTTTTTGTTTTTTTATAATTTTTGTTTTTTTGTTTTTTTCATTTCTTTTTTTCGTTTTTTTATTTTTTTCATTTCTAATTTTTTTCGTTTTTTTATAATTTTTTTCATCGTTTTTATTTTTTTCATTTATTTTTCGTTTTTCATTTTTGTTTTTATAATTTTTTTGTTTTTTTGTTTTTTTGTTTTTTTCGTTTTTATTTTTTTTCATTTCTATTTTTTTCGTTTTTTTATAATTTTTTTCATTTCTATTTTTTTCGTTTTTATTTTTCATTTCTATTTTTCGTTTTTATAATTTTTTTCACACTTTTTCCTTTCTATTTTTCAAACTATTTTTTTACAGATGCTCCAGTACTTCATTCAACATACTCTACATCTCCGAAAACTCCAAACTTCAACTGACTCTAAGTCTGGAGAACAACGATAATTTTTTTGTTAAATATTCTTTTAATAAATAATTATTTAGCACATACATCATTGTTTTCTGTGTTACTATCGACCAATTTCAGCAGAGGGCCCAGAGGGGAGGGAGGGGCCTACATTTTTCGAAAACCGCGGATGCGCGAACGGTTGACAATCAGTGGACCGCTCCTTCGGCCAGGAATTGTCCCGCTTTGAGCAATCGGTATAGCCACTGATTGCTAATCCTTCGGCCATCGCGGTTTACCTGTGAAGGTGACGGGTTCGAAAATTTTGACCTCTAAAGTTGCTTTGCTTTCTTAGAACATCGTTTCTGCTCATTTAAAATGTTGACTCTTTGGTTTGGTCCACCAGACAAGGGCAACAAACGTGTGCGGCAAACTTGCTAGTGAGACTCCGCCCCCTCCTCGGCCGCCGACCTGAGAGAAAACAGGGCAAATTTTCGAAAAAAAAAATTGGGAGCGTACTCATATAGAGTAGGGGAACACATTCCAACAAGAATTTTATGAAAATTCCGAGTTTCGTGAAACCCGTTGCGGTACCTAAGTTTAAAATAGAGGCAAGCGTTCGTGGAGCGAAAGGCTTTCAGAATTTGTTTGAAAGCCTCTGCAACTTTTGCCCTCTTTTGATTTTGAGCTGTTGGTTACTGTTTATCAGAAAGTGGAGAGAAAAGTGAGACTAGTTTCTATAGTAGCCTAGTTTCGAGGCGTTCATCGGTTGAAAAAGTGAATAGTGAATGTCTTTCGAAAACTAAAACTGACCTTTCTGAAATTGTTTCACATTTTTCATGTTTTTTTTGGTCAGTCCGACACGACAGCCTTCTGATCGAACAGACCGACCGATATTGATGAGGATACGTGGAAGCGGTGACTGCGGAAGAGAAAGAAGAAGAATTTGATGGAATAATTTGTTGTCAATTTGTTTGTCAGTCACCCTCGCTTCATCTGCTCGAAGAATGCAGGAGCTTGTGGTCACTGGCGGGGGCGGGTGGAATTTTTCTGATGGTAGAGCTGTGATCAGAGGAGGAGTAGAATCGCCCTTGAGTTCTGACAATCACATGTCTCGAAACCGTGACCTCTTGATACCCACGTGAACTTTGAAATTACAATTTGTTGCCAGGTGGTTCACGTGTATTCAAATTTTGATGGTCTTTTGGACTTGGATTCAGGCAACCAAACGGCTTATGCTGCATCCGTATCGTTGTGCCAAAAGTATGTTACATGTTACAAGGACTTTTTTTTCTTGGTGTGCTGAAAAATTTTCGCAAAAACCGTACCTGTTCGGCCTAAAAAATTTGCATCTCTGCCGATCGGACCGATACATGGGCCCTAAATACTTTAATCCAAGTCTAAGAAGCCTGCAAAGTTAGGGTACGATCGGATAATTGTAACTGAATCAAAATTACAAGTCTCTAAAATCATCGAATAGTCTGGGCCGGCCGTTTGTCCCTGGACATGGTTTTCCAAACAGAAATGTTGCGTGTCTGAAATTCTGACCTTGATATTGTGGAACCTAGACGAAAACAACTGTTTCGAAGACAGTTTGGGAAGACAAAGATTGTGGGAGCAGTAAGGTAAGGAGGTTCGACAAATGTAATAGTGGCGGATAGGATTATACAGAAAATTGTGTGTGTAGGTCTTCGTATTAAGAATAATAGTACAGCAGAAAGGTGATGCGATCTCTAATTGCGATTGAAAAGTCCCAGAGTACCGATGCGCTTCTTCATCGTTCCCGAAGCGGTCTGCGTGGGCGGCGGGCTCGACTTGCTCGTGCTCAGCGTCGAGTTCTGCGAATTCTCGTTGTACATCGCCAGCGACGTTTGTGAGCTCGTTAGATTTCCGTTGCGCAGCTCGTTGATCTCGTGTCGCAAACGGATAATTTCGGCGCGTTTCGCGTCCAGCTTCTGCTTGTTTATCTGGTCGTGCTCCTCGAGCGCCGTCATCCGCTCGTTGTTCCGCTGCTTTCGCGAAGTCGTCTTCTCGTTGAACACCTACAAAATTTCAAAATAAATCATTGAAAAGGATTGGTAAATCCCACCCTCTCGAGCGTGGCGCGTTTCTCGGCCAACTCCCGATCTTTCTGTCTTCTCTCCTCTTCAAGATGCGTGAATGGATCGCTGAAAAACATTAAAACCATGTATATTCAGTCTAACGCACAAGTTTCCTACCGATTCTTCTCATTCTTCGGCAATCCCTCCATCTGTCTGAATCGGAAGTTTTCGTAGTGCACATTGCGCGTCACGTCAACCATATCAATGAGATTCGTGCGGATAATCATGTCTCTGAGGGTCAGGAAATCATTATGCTCACAGTTTTCCACCTCGACAGTGCCCCACGGATACTCGCGATAGCGGATGCGCTTCCCGTCCTTCTCCTTCAGCGAATTTGAACCGATAATAGCGAAGGGCAACGTTTTGCGAAGCTTTTCCGCCGACGCCTTGTCCTGATTGTCCTCTACCTCTGGGAATTTGTACAATTTGATCTCAGCCGCCTCCGCGTCCTTCACGATTTGCTGTTTGAAACGGCACAACTCGTCGCGCGTCAGACAGTCCGCTTTGGCGATCACTGGAACGATGTTGACGCGTCCGTGCAGATGTTTCATGAGCTCGACGTCGATGGGTTTCAGTCCGTGGCCCGACGGCTCGATAAAGTAGAGACAGAGATGGACGCACTTGTCCACGATCTTCTCCTCGCGATCGATTCGCGTCTCCTCGCAGAAGTGCTCAAAGAACTTGCTCTCCACATAGTTCACTATCGGCTCCCAGCTGAAAATTGAGCATTTTCTTTGTTTTCAGCCCAGTTTTTCGTTCTCCGACAAAAAATCACGTGCACATTCGAATTTCTGTAGAAGAGCGCTCTCCGCAGACAACTGTTCACATGACTTTGATTAATTCGCTTTGTCCCCCCTCAACTGACCACTTTGAATTGTTGACGGCGTCTCCGAAGCCGGGCGTATCGACAAGGGTCAAGTTCAGCGAAACACTGTTTTCCACCAACTTGACCAGCTTCTCCTCGACGCGAACCGTCGATGGATGCGGATGGGCGACCGCGTCCTTCTCGTTCAAATTGTTGATTTCGGCCAGAAAAAGAGTGTTGATGAACGTTGATTTGCCGAGACCGCTGCGTCCTGGAAAACAAATTTTAGGTGGAATGTTGGAGTTTTAAGTTTCTAGCTTACCCACGACCATGAGCGTGAAGTCGAAGCCATTTTTGACGGCTCTGCGGAACACTTGATTCGGAAAATTAGCGAATCCCCAGTAGTTTTGCGCCTCTTTCTGTGTTACACGTGACTCGTCCAGCAGTTTGGAACTGTTCGTTGTACGACTCATTTCTGAATGAAAACGTCGTAAAGTACTACTACTACTACTACAATATTTGAGAAAAGGATGTACATAAGCAAGCGCAAGCGAGAAGCGAAAAGGAAATCAATTGAGCGCAACACGAGCGGCAGATGTGCATTCGAAGCACGACGGACGGACGGAAGGGGAGGTGCGCAAGACGGACGGGTCGCGAGCGAAATGACAGCTGCGGGAGATGGACTGAGGTCAATTTCGATGGGTTTGGAATGGCGAAAAATGCGAAACGCGCCCCGCGAAATCCGTGATGAACCAGGGAAAATCATGCCTGCCTGAAACACTTGAAAACTTGAAGAATCTAGAAACATTTGCTTGAGAACAATCGCAACAAGTGTCATTTTTTAAATTTTTATGTTAATGTTCTCAATCTACGTCTTTCACGCTGAAATTCCACTGTTAATCGCTGAGATTGTCGGAAAAATTGGGAAAATCAACGAAAAAATAATCAGATTTGAATCTCGCGGAGTCATTTCTTAGTTCGTGGCGAGACCCGTCGGTCGATTTACGCCGTGCGCCTTTAAACAAATAATTTTTTGTTTCGAAAGAATTCAAGTTTCCACCCATTTTTAACTAAAAACTCCCGGTTTTTACAAATTTTTGTGTCCGAAAATCTGGAAAGTTGTTTAAAACTTAGTTTTTATAATCTAAGTAACAAAGATCCCGTTAATTTTGTCATTTTTCAAGTCAAACTTTGTCTCACTGAAATTCAAAAATTGTGCAGTGTTTTCCTGTTACATAATGTTTTAGCAATCTATTTTGACGATGAATTACAATAAATTATTGCATGTATCCTTCTCCACTTTGTTTTCATTAAAATTATCCCTTCCCGCTCAGGAATTCCTGAAAACTACACCTCAATTAATTTCTTTTAAGATTCATTCAACTTGTTGTAATATATAAAGTAACAGAATGGTAAGTTCAAATTATACCCTGAATCATCAAATCCTCAATTTCTTCTTTTTTCAGCCGCAGAACGAACACATTGAGTTGCACAGAAAGCGTCACGGACGCCGTCTCGATTATGAGGAGCGTCTGCGCAAGAAGCAGGCGAGAGCCGCGCACGATCGCTCAGAAATGGCCAAGACTCTTCGTGGACACAAGGCGAAGCTGTACCATAAGAAGAGATATTCGGAGAAGGTCGAAATGCGCAAGCTTCTGAAGCAACACGAAGAAAAGGAGCAGAAGAATACTGTAGAGCAGCCAGACAAGGGAGCGGTGCCGGCGTACCTGCTCGACAGACAGCAACAGACGACCGGAACGGTCCTTTCGAATATGATCAAGCAGAAGAGAAAGCAGAAGGCTGTAAGTCTACATTTTATTGAGTTTCTACCTCATAATGAGATGTTCAGGGTAAATTTAACGTGCCAATTCCACAAGTTCGCGCGGTCAGTGACGCCGAAGCATTCAAAGTGGTGAAAACCGGAAAAACGAACAGAAAGGGATGGAAGAGAATGGTGACAAAAGTCACATTCGTCGGCGAGTCATTCACCCGCAAACCGGCCAAGTTCGAGCGATTCATCCGGCCGATGGGGCTGCGATTCAAGAAGGCCCATGTCACGCATCCAGAACTTCAGACGACGTTCCACCTCCCGATCGTGGGCGTCAAGAAGAATCCGTCGAGTCAGATGTACACGTCGCTTGGAGTCATCACAAAAGGAACCATCATCGAAGTGAACGTCTCCGAGCTGGGAATGGTGACGCAGGGAGGAAAAGTGGTGTGGGGAAAGTTCGCGCAAGTGACGAACAATCCGGAGAACGACGGATGCATCAACGCCGTCCTCCTCATCTAAACGATCTTCACTTCAATGTTCCTTTGCGCTTTTTGTTGATTTTATTACTGTTTTCACTTTCATTCACAAATAAAGTCGGCCCACTCGTTGCTCGTTCACTTTACACCTTTTCACGACTTCGTCCGAACTTTTCCTTGCGTTCATCAATACTTTTACCCCTTCTGTCACTGTTTCCCGTTGCGAAATCTCCGAAAAACTGGAATCAGAAGCCGCTTCCTCTGGAAAAGTGTGTAGACACTTTGGTGACGTGCGACACTCAATCTTACGCGCAAATGCACACAATCCTCGTGTCCAATGGCCATTTCCATAAAAATTCCTCCTTTCCAACCCTACGCTCCCCTTGAAAAACCCCATGAAAAGCTGAAAATTGGCTCATTTTTCTGCAGAATGTCGCCATAAATCGGAAAAAGTCATGAGCGCCGGTCGAAAATCGATTGGAAACATGTTTTTGAGGAGCGGAATCGAAAAGATACTCGCCGACCGGGACATCAAACGGAAAGAAAACCAAGAGCTGAAGAAAGCGTGTGAAACTGCATTGGGTTTGTTTTTTCGAAAAACAACATTAAAATGTTCAAATTTTGCTTATATATCTCTACTTTGGCTGAAAGAAGTTAAAAATCACAAATTTCATTGCAAAATTTGTTGAAAAGCTCAAACAAACCGAAAACATCCGTCACAATGGTTGATATTTAACATTTACTCTCATTATAAAATCCTTTCAGAAAAATTAAACAACTTTTAACAAAACGTTGTACCTAACAAAGTTTGTTAAAAACTTCATAATAGTGGGGGACAACGTAAACCCTGAGTATCCAGGATAACCGCAAAAAAAAAAATCATTTTCGCTTCCAAAATTTCTCAAAAAACGAGTCCAAGTACTTTTAGGTGAGCTAAAAGCGGCAGAAGAAAACGATGCGCCACCGGCAAGCACGAACGGAGAGCACCTGCCGGACGCGGGCATCTCCGTCGAAGCCGACCGATATTTCCTGCCATTCGAGCTCGCGTGCAACTCAAAAAGCCCTCGGATAGTGATAACAGCACTGGATTGTCTCCAGAAGTTGATAGCATACGGACATTTGACCGGAAAAGGAGTGGACACTTCCAATCCGGAAAGGAAGCTGATCGATCGGATTGTCGAGGCGATTTGCGCGCCGTTCGTTGGCCAGGGCAGTGATGAACAAGTGCTTTTGCAAATAATCAAGGTAATTGGTGTGCAGAATGTTCTGGAAATACTAAAAACCACATTTCAGGCAGTGTTAGCCGTCGTACTGTCCACACATTGCGAAGTGCACAAAGACTCGCTGATTCTGGCGGTTCGCACTTGTTTCAACATTTATTTAGCCTCCAAAAGTCCCATTAATCAGGCAACAGCTAAAGCCACGCTCACACAGGTTCGGGTTTATTTCAATACCAAAAAAAAAGGGAAAAGTTGTAGGTAATTAACGCAGTATTCGGAAACATGGAAGTGTTCGGAAATCTGAAAGACGACAATACAATTGTGAAAGAAGTGATCGAAATGTTGGTGTCTTCTACAGTATCCAACGAGCTGAACGACGAGAGAAGTGAAGGAGACACCCGACGGAACGGATCGACGATGGGAGAATCGGAAGCGCCGACAGACGATCAGTTCACTTTTGTGAATGCGTATCAGAAAGACGCCTTCCTCGTATTCCGCGCTCTTTGTATTCTAGCTCAGAAGGAGGAAACGAGCGGCCCGTCGAATGAAGTGAGCCTCAGATCCAAACTGCTCGCTCTCGAAATGCTCCTCCTTGTGCTCCAAAACTCGGGACCCGTACTTCAGAACAATCAGCCGTGTATTTATGTGATCAAAAAGATTCTCTGCGTCGCGCTCTCCAATAACGCCGTCAGTGTCCACGTGCAAGTCATCGAAAAGTCGCTGGCCATCTTCGTGGAGCTTCAGGACAAGTTCAAAGCGCATTTGAAGGCGCAAATCGAGGTGTTCCTCAGCGAAATCATACTCTCGATGCTCGGATCGGCGACGTGTCCGTTCGAGCAGAAATGGATCGTGCTCAACACGATTGGCAAGATTCTGGCGAATCCCCAGTCGGTCGTTGATATGTTCGTCAATTACGACTGTGATATGACGTCGGCGAATCTGTTCAAATCGATCGTCGACGTGGTTTCCAAGACGACCCGAACCACGATCAACGAGAATGCGCCGCCTGCGCAAAAGGAGAAGTGAGTGGCCTCAGAAAATATTGAAATGTTTAAAAAGTTGCATTTTTCAGGGAAAGAGCGATGCGCCTGCTAGGTCTGAGCTGCCTGACCGACCTGCTCCAGTGCCTCGTCGACTGGTTCCAAGTGTGCGAAGTGGCCAAATTGAAGAACGATCTGAAAGATTCGGAAGCCGACGAGCAGACTGAAGACAGCTTCGAACGATTTGAGCATCTCAAACTCCAAAAGGACGCTCTCGAGCTCGGAATCCAGATTTTCAAAGAGAAGCCCAAAAAAGGACTGAAATTCCTACAAGAGAAGGGATTTGTGGGCGCCGATCCGGTAGAGGTCGCTGATTTTATGCTCAAAGAGGATCGGTTGAATAAGACACAAGTGGGAGACTTTTTGGGCGATTCTGACGAGTTTAACAACAAAGTCATGCACGCCTACATTGATTTTCTTGACTTTTCCTCGCTGGACATCCTCGCCGCACTCCGACTCTTCCTCGAAAAGTTCCGATTGCCCGGAGAAGCGCAAAAAATCGACAGGCTCATGCTGAAATTCGCCTCGCGATACCTGGACTGCAATCCGCGGCAAGGGATCTTCGCTTCCGCCGACGCCGCCTACGTACTCGCCTTCTCGATCATCATGCTCACGACGGATCTGCACAACAAGACGGTGAAGAATAAGATGACGCAGCAGCAGTACATCAACATGAACCGAGGAATCAACGAGGGCGGAAACATCCCGAGCGATCTGCTTGAAGCAATTTACGAGGATATCTCGAAGAATGAGATCAAGATGCGGGCGGGCGCCACGGATTTGCTCAAAAGTCGTCTGACACCGGGACAAGGGAATCTGGCGACGGACAAAGAGCGCAAGGCGATGGCCGCACTCGAAATGGAGGCGATGAGCGAAACGGCGAGGGCTCTCATGGAGAACGTCTCGGACGCCGACGCATTCTTCGTTCCCGCCCAACACCAACATCATGTGAAGCCAATGTTCGAGCACTGCTGGAGAAACTGCCTCGCCGCGTTCTCCGTCGGCGTTCAAATGTCCGATGATGATGAAGAATGGGCATTGTGCCTACGAGGATTCAGGTTGGGAATCCGTGCAGCGTGTGTGCTCAAGGCCATAGATGAAAGGAAGGCTTTTATACAAGCCCTCGCGAGATTTACCCTCTTGACCACTAAAAATTCGCTTAGTGAGATGAGAGTGAAGAATATTGAAGCCATCAAACTGCTTTTGCTGATTGGAGACGAAGACGGAGAGTATCTGGAGGAGAACTGGTACGATGTGATGAAGTGCGTCAGCTCGTTGGAAGTCGTCCAGCTCATCGGCACCGGACTCAGCGCCGCTCACTCGAACGACGGGGACAGTAGTAAGCAGTACGTGTTGAAGGCGACGGGCGGTCTCGACGAACGGACACTTCATACCCTCCAAGACGCACTCGGAGAGACGTCGAGTCAGTCGGTCGTCGTCGCCGTCGATCGAATCTTCAACGGATCTTCGCGGCTCTCCGCAGACGCTATTGTTCATTTCGTCCGAGCGCTTTGTGCAGTCTCCAGGGAGGAGCTTTCGAATCCACAAGCGCCACGCATGTTCTTGCTAGGAAAAGTCGTCGAAGTCGCGTTCTATAACATGAACAGAATCCGATTGGAATGGTCGCGAATATGGCAGGTGATCGGAGAGCACTTCAACGCCGCTGGCTGCAACACCAACGAAGGAGTCGCGCATTTCGCCGTCGACGCTCTTCGTCAGCTTTCCATTAAATTCCTGGAGAAAGGGGAATTGCCAAATTTCCGATTCCAAAAAGACTTCCTGCGGCCGTTCGAGGTGATCATGTCGAAAAACAAGCATGATCCGACGAGAGACCTCGTCGTGAGATGTTGTGCGCAACTCGTCGACGCACATTCCTCGCAACTCAAGTCCGGATGGCAGAACCTTTTCTCGGTGTGGAACTTGGCCGCCAGTGACAGATGCATGGAAATAGTGGAGACGTCCTTCCTGACGGCGCAGCAAGTCATCTCCACGAGGTTCAAAGACGACTTCCCGTCGATTCTCGACTCGTTCCAGGAGGCGCTCAAGTGTCTGCAGGAGTTCGCGTGCAATGCGAATATGCCCGATATGAACATGGAGGCGATTCGGCTCATCAGGCTTTGTGCTGAGTTAGCAGTGCTAGAAATTGAAGAAATATATCCTCCCTCATTCCAGATATGTCTCGAAAAACAGCGAAAAGATTGCGGAAGTATCACGAGAAGACCTCTACGGATTGTCTCCCGATCAGCACGTGTGGGTGTGCGGATGGTTCCCGATCTTCTTCGAGCTCAAATGCATCATAAACCGGTGCAAACTGGACGTTCGCACGCGCAGTCTCACCGTCATGTTCGAAATCATCAAACATCACGGCGGCGAGTTCCGTCCCGAGTGGTGGAAAGAGCTGTTCGACGTCGTCTTCCGCATTTTCGACCCTTCCAAAATGGACGATCATCGTAGTGATGTATGCAATTTCTGTTCACTTTTTGTAAAAAAAATTCAGTCCTTTTCAGAAACGCGAATGGATGTCAACGACTTGCAATCACGCAATGCTCAGCGTCGTCGAAGTGTTCACCCAGTTCTTCACTCAACTGTCTACCCTGGCTCTTCCGATGATCTACAAGCAATTCGGCATCTTTATCCGACAGCGTAAGTGCGCGGGAAAAGTACTAACATCGTAGAATCGTTTTCAGAAAACGAACAGCTCGCTCGATGCACAATCAGCTGCCTCGAATCGCTGATCTCACAGAACGGCGAGCGATTCACCGAACAAATGTGGCAGCAGACGATTGAATTGATCCGCGAGCTCTTCTCGGCCACCCTCCCACGCTCCCTTCTCACCTGGGAACCGCCAACGCATCACAACGGAATCGTCGGCCCGTCGGCGGAAGAACGAACGAACGGCTCCGACGCACTGTTCACCGAGCAGATCGTTTTCTGTGTCGTCCAGAGCGAACTCGTCGAGGCGGTCTCGCGAATAGTGCTCGGAGACCATCGGGAAGCGACGAGGAGTCTGCAGGCCGACGGACTTTTTGCCGAAATGCATCCGCTTCTGCTGATGAGCATTTGTGATGCACTCGCGGAGAGTCACAAGCTCGCCAAACAGTTTAACGATAATAACGGACAGAGAACACTGCTGTGGAAGGCGGGGCTCAGAGGATCTTCCAAACCGAACCTCATCAAGTAGGTTGAAAGAGTTGACAGATAACTATAATGATATACGTGATGTTCTCACAGAAAAGTGCAAATTTCCAAGTACTTTCAGACAAGAGACTCAATCGCTGAGTGCGATGCTCGCCATCATCCTCAGGCTCCTCTACGATCCGCGTGCTCAAGAGAAACAGATTGCCGACGAGATTGCCATTCGAGTTTTAGAGTAAGATCCTCGCTCCTCCACTCACAATCCCCATTTTCCCCATTTTCAGAGTAGTATCGCTGGCGCTCAATGGCTACGGAGAGGCCGAATCGGACACGCGGCGGACGGCCTACGGCCCCGTTATTTGCGAATTGCTCAGAGAATGCATAAAACTGCCGACAGAACTGCTGCCAGCGCTCGGACAAGAATTTTCGTTAAAGTAAGCAATTTCTATGCAGTTTCCTACCAGAAACCTGAAATTTTGCAGACTTTGTGATCTTGTGGAAAGTGCGGAAGGACAGCAGATGCGACGGCTCCTCGCCGATCTTCTCCGCCGACATCTCACGCTCCGACAATAATCTTTTTCGATCTTTCCCTTTTTCCCCTCATTTTGCTCATCATTTCTTCACTTTTGTGTGCTCCTCTGAAGAAAGTAGGCTCTATTGCACACCCAGAACTCGCTCGCTTTACCCATTCTTTTTGGTTGTGAACCCCCTCAAATTCCTGTTCGTCTAGTTGTTGTTTTTTCACCTCATCATGTGTGAAATGTGATACACGTTCTTCTCAAATCGTCATTATGTCAAAATAGACCAGTTATCGTTTGAATGTATCCCCTAATTTATAATTTATTCCCCGCCGCATTCAAACGCCTTTCTCTCCATCCCCCATCCCCCTCCCACTGTGGTTACGGTTTTTAAGAATAAGATGATTTTTTTCTGAAATTTATGCATACCTCTTGGGGTCATTTTGCCCATCGTTACTTTTTCCTTGTCCTTTTGAAGCTCAAACTGAATCATTTTTCACTCAGATGGCAGTACTGGGCTTCCACGTGGTAATATGCTTGATAGCGATCACTTTGATATCAAAACTGGTACATCGAGCCAATTTTATTCATCTTTTCATCACTAATGGGTAAATTGATAATCGAAATAGTTTTCCAAAAGAATGCGAGTAATTTTCAGATTATACCGGTTTCTAGCGCCTTCGAATCAAGAGCTCAAAGCCCTCCTTCCACCGAGCAAAGAGAAGCTGAATCAGAGAAATCGACGGAAAAGGAGGTGCGGAAAATTTGAATTTTCTTGAAAAACCGTCAATATTCTGTGCAGAGAAGACGAAGCAGCGGAAGGTTTCAACGTGCCGAAAGCGTCGCCGTTCCAACTGCATCTGATCGCCGTCGACGTCAAGGATCTCGTGCAATTCGAAATGTACACCTCGCTCCACTGGCTCTGCCTCTGCATCCCCGTCTGTCTGACAGTCTACGCGCTCTCCGAACTCTACAACTACCTGCTTCCCGAGAATCGCGACTTCAACGTCTCCATCGTCTTCATGCTCGTCATCATCATGTTCGTGCTCCAAGTGCTCGCCGCACTCTCCTCCTACCTCGCCAACAACGTCGGCGAACGCGGATTCATGATCTCCGTCGGCGCCGTCTACTTCCTTTTCTCGTTCATTTTTGCGATGAGCGCCCATAAGATTTTTGATATTCAGATGTTGGAAGGTGGGCGAATGTTTGCAAAGTTCCAGGAAAACCGTTATCTTTCAGCCTACGACCAATTGAGCACAAACATTGCCGAATTTGTGGAGAACGCCGGAGTATTCGACAATTCCACCAACATTCGCGACTATCGCCCCACAAATCCACTGATGATGTGAGCATTTGAGCAATCTAGGGGAAAAGTTCCATTAGACCGCTTTCAGTTTTCATCAAAACACCAAAAAAAATGCGAAAACTTGCTATTTCAAGACTTTCAAATCGTCCGCTTTTTCCAGGTACATCTCCCTATCCGTCTTCTTCTCGCTGCTCTCAGCGATGCTCGTTTTCCCGAACTTCCGCTGCGCCATCATGTATCTGAAAGCGGTAGAATTAGACGGACGCGTCCGCAAGGCGCTCGACCACGTGGCATTCCTCCTGCCTGCTTTCATTCTCGCATTCTACGCGAAACCCGTCGTTCATCAACTTGTTCACGGTCCCAGGAAGATGTAGGCGAGCTGTTGAAGCTGAAGGTAAAGCTAATTCCGCCGTTTTTCAGAATGAACTCGGATCAACTGGACATTGTCCGAATCTACCTGATCATCTTCTGGGTGCTCACCAAATTCATCACCCGTGTCTCGCACCTTCAGGCACATCTGAATCTCTCCTACGATAAGGTTGCCGAAATGCAGGCGGAAGCGGGAAAAGTGAAGAATTACGCGATTCAATCAATGGTCAGTTCCCAATTCATCCAGAAGCCACGACCCCTTTTCTTGTGAATTTCAGATCTACCGCTATTATCGTTATCTGTGCTGCGCTTCCCTTCAGTACTTTGGCCCCGCCATCCTCGCCCTCCTCTTCGCACTTTTGCTCAAAACCACCGGAAATCTCTCGTGGATCGGCGCGCCTGCACCAACTTCGCCACCCGATTTGAGCTCTCTGGCTCTCAGCGGACCGATCCGATTCGTGTTCGACGCGTCGATCTGCCGCGCCTTCTTTTCGTTCCTGCTCGTCGTCACGCTTCTCATCAACTTCACCCTCCAACTCTTGGGCGTCGCCTATCACTCGTACTTTGTGGGCACCAAAACAAACTAGGTCATCTTCCTGTTAAAATCAATCTTTTCATAATAATAGATGTGTAGACGCTCGTTTATATTGCCTTCAGTCTTTTTTGTTTCTCTCTCTCTTTGTTTCTTATGTTTTCTGCCTCAATTTCAAAGATTTGCTCAACTTTAAACCAAACATCAGTGCTTTCAACGCTTTAACTTTCACAAAGAATCATTTGTTTAATTGACTTAATTTTTGTGTCTTTGTATCTGTTTTGAACAGTTTTCATACCTTAAACAGCCAGAAGCGCAAAAGTTCCATTAACCTCTATTTTTGTAAGTGGAAAAATGAGCGAGTGCCTAATGTTCGGCATGGATTGCGAGGCGCGGTGTATGGTTTCGGTGGCGGCCGACGAGGACAACGTGTGCTTTCTCGTGGGGACTAATAATATCAAGAATGATAATAATCAGGTGAGCATTTGCAGAATTTTTATAAAATGCGAGTTTTTTTAGGTGAACAAGCTGTACATGGACAACGAAGCGTCCCGTCTCATGTCAAAATCGTTCCGACATCCGGCCGGAGAGGTCCGCGCAATTGCCGCCCATCCCGAGAAGCCGAACATTTTGGCGACGTGCACGGCAGATTGTAAGCGATCACAAAGCGATCGCTAGAAACCCGACCTCTCGTTTTTCAGTCAACACTCTGGGCGGAAAGCACTCGATCACAGTGTGGAACATTGAGGAGGACAAGCGAACGCTGGAGACAATCTCGAGATTCCCGTGCGAACCCGTGATGCATTGCCTCGAATGGGAGCCCGCGTCCAACCGAACCGCCGCCCTTACCGCCTTCTCGCCGTCCGTTCAGATTCTCGACATGACGGACGAACCACAACTGGTGCAGACTGTTGAGGTTCGGGAAGAAGGAGAGATGTTCAGTGCGCGATGGAGTCCGCATTACGACGGAAATATGTTGGGAGTGACTGTCGGACGAACGGCCGTCTGCATGGACACACGCACGCCGAGGGACCATCTACGAGTTGTCAATGCGCATTCGCACAGAACCATTTCCATGGATTTCAATCCTAATTTACAGCATGTGTAAGTAAACAAATCCGAAGAAAAACGTTATAGCGTGTTGAGAATTTTCAGAATAGCGACTTGCGGTGACGACGGTCACGTGCGCATCTGGGACACGCGGTCCTCCGGCCAGGCTCTGATGTCGCTCCATCCGCACGCACACTGGGTGTGGCAAGTCAGATATCATCCGGTGCACGATCAACTGCTTCTCACCGGAGGCGCCGACGCCAGCGTTGTACTCTCGTGCGGTCAGAGTGTGAGCAGCGAAGAATTCCACGAGGAAGCGGACGAAGAAGAGGAGGAAATGGTGGAGAGACTGCAAGACGGACAGTTGGAACGAATCGACGAGCACGAGGACAGTGTGTGCGTTTGATACTGAACTTTTTGGGAGAAATGAGTCATAAGAACTGTCTGTCACTATTTCGCAATCATTTCAGATACGCCTGTGCCTGGTCCTCCGCCGATCCCTGGTCATTTGCCTCGCTTTCCTACGACGGACGGATGATTCTGTCAAATGTGTCACGCAAACACAAATACGCTCTAATGCAACTTTAATTATTTTATATTGATTTCTGCTTGGGAAACGGGTTTTTTTTTCATACATGTGAATAGCCATAAAATATTCATGCTTTACTCGGTTTTTTTGTCATATTCTTGAAGTGTTTATTCCAGCGCATTACATATCTTTCTTTTGTACGTTTCTGTCATTCTCTGTTCAATTTTCAGATGGCCAACAACTCAAACGCCAATCTGATGCGTGAAGTGCGCCTCTACGACAACCATTCGGAACGCGAGCAAATGGAGAATCTGTCGGAGCTGTTCGCAGTGCTCAACGCGCTCGAACACCTCGAGAAAGTGTTCAGTCGGGATCACGTGTCAGCCGACGAGTACAAATCCGAGTGCTTCAAGCTCATCGACCAGTACAAAGTGGCGATGCGGCTGGTGCACGGCGCCACCAACGTCGAGGAGTTTGCCAAGAAATATCGACTACACTGTCCCGCGGCCATTGAACGAATCCGAGAGGGACGGCCGATAACGGTGAAGGACGATCAGGGAAACATTCTCAAGCATATCGCTTCTATTGTCGAGGTAACATAATTTTGTGGAGTGTTTTCCTAAATTTCTGTTATTTCCAGCAATTCATCACTTTCCTCGACGCTCTCCGACTCAATACCCGTGCCGTCGACGACCTTTACCCGGGACTCGACGACCTCTTCAATGCGATCAACACGACGAGCCGAGTGCCGATCGAGCCGGTCGTCACCACAAAAGTGAAAAAGTGGCACGATCGTCTCTCGTCGATGGCCGCTTCGGACGAAATCTCCGACGAGGATGCCCGTCAGATGATCTTCGACATCGAGTCCGCCTACCAGTCATTCAACAAAACGCTCAACGATCAGAAGCACTGATCCGGTTTGTAAATATATAAGTAAGCACACGTTTCGAATTATTCATTGCTTCCTTCTGAGCTTCCTCTTAAAAATAAATAAATGTCACTCGAACACGCTTGGCAATTATTGAAATAATGCAAAGACATCGTAATTATGCAATAGGAGAAAATAGATAGCTAGTTGGATCAATTGACGGAAAACAAAACTCTTTATAAAGTGATTTTGAGATAGTTGGAACCAGAAAATTGAAGGTTAAGTTTATTCCCTAATACAATGATCAGAAAAAATGTAAACATTTATACAGTGGGATTCTTTCCACAAGCGTACAACTTTCTGCGTGGACCAGAAGTGTCCTGACAGTACTGGTCATCATAATCGCCGTGATGAATTCCCGGCCACGTCGGATGAGTGTCTCCGTTCGAGAAGATGAACTGATGGATGCACGATTGAATTCTGGAAAAGGTCCGGAAATTATCTAACTATTAATGTTTGCACTTTTCAAAAATGTCGTAATTGACCGTGCACCAAAAATGACGCTGCTCAACGAAAATTTTTCAGTGCATAGTCTGAGCTGCTCCGGAGCAGCATACCCAGTTTGAAGCTGCTTAGCTTACAAACTACATTTTTCGTTAAGCAGCACCAAAACTTGGGATTGATACTAAACCGTTCTAAAAACCATTCTGAAACCTACCCCGATGCATTGATAAGTCCATCCGGTTGACACGTGGAGAAGAAGAATCCATCGAGGCCAGTAGTGAAATTGTCGGTCCACTCGAAAGTGTTGCCAGGACTGCAGACACCGACTCGTGGACACGCGGCCCTTCGTCTCGCTCCCAACCAAATCGCCGCGTCGCCAAGGTTATACTTCAACAGGATTTGTCTTCCAGCATCTGCAAATCTTGCATTCCTCTAGGAAATCAAATGATTTCAAGGTTTTAAGGTTTACTAGCAATCTTAATCCTCTCGTCGTTGTTCTGAACTCCAGTCAGTACGGCTCCGATCTTCTGGCACTCGGCCTGTGCGGCAATTTGACTGATAGTATTGTAGAATAGCTAAAACAGTCCAAATTTTGAGACTCTAGAGGATGTCTTTGATTCTCACCCCAACACACCATCTTCCCTGTGGCCGATCGAAGGTCAGCCATCCGGCATCACACTTTTTCTTGGGGACGACAGCTGGACGTGGACGTGGACGTGGCCGTGAGCCATGGTTGTGATGATGACTGTGATCTTGATCATCGTCTTCGGAAGAGGACTGGGAGTCCGAGTCGACAGACATAGCTACTGTCATCCCGAGAAGGGAAAGCAGAAAAAGAGCCGATAGGGTCTTCATGTTCAATAGGAAACGCGCCCGAGAATGGTGTTTTATAGGTGCAAACTTTTATACTTTTCCTGTTTTTTATCATTTTTGGAATCATCCTCTGCACAAGGTTACGTCGCTATAAAAAGTTCTTCAAACAACGTTTATAGTTTGGTTTCTCCAGCGTTCGGTTCCGATTTGCCAACAAGGACATTTCGCAACTGAATTCATGAGGCAGTATTGCAAAACAATCCGTTACAAAACGACTTCCCCAATAAATGGCATCAGAAAAAACTAAATTTTCTCCTATTTTCGCCATTCCACTCCAAAATTTGATTTTTTTTTCTCTGCATTCTGCTTGTCCGCGTTCGTCCACACCTTGTGTTACACGCTTCAAATGCCACAAAACGGCTCCTTTTCCCCTATTTTGCGTTCTCCGTGCTTTCCTCATTAACTCGTTGTTTACCGGGCGTAAAAACGAGACGGAATAGTGATATTATCGTGGCGAGACCCAACATTAATGGAATTATTTTGCGATCTTCACCTCCAGAAGCTACACAAGAACATGAATTATTTGTGATTCCACATTTTTCGCTTCTAATTTTCATATCTTGTTCCAGAAGGATCTAGGAAGGGTTTTCTGCCGTGTTTTTCATCCTTTCACCCCGTTTTCTTCCTTTTGTTATTCTCATTCTAAAAGAGAACCTAATCTAAAAATGAGAATTTTTGAGTAGAACCTTGGAGCTCCTTCCTCAGCTCACAGAGCTCTCACACGCCGAGCTTCTACTCTTTTTGTAGTCATTTAGTCAGATTACAGTTGCGAAACGTACTCTAGTTGCGAAACGACCTTCCGCCATGCACATAGAGCTCTCTAGACACTTGGTAAACGACACAGCGGATAAGTGTCTTGTTGACTATAACGGATATCATATTTCAACTTTTTTGCTCCTTTCCCCCCCTATACCAATCACATAATACTGGGTAGATAGACTATTTTTAGGAATAGAATTTCAATTTCAAATTGTAATTTCAATGGATAATATTGGGTGCGTGTGTGTTTGCGTCACACCCACATAAAAGTGATATTGAATTAATTTGTCGCTGCACTCGCTCTCCTTTTTTCGCTGACGACGAGCAACGAGGCGGCAGTAATTGAGAAAATAAAGAGAGAAAGAGAGAGAGAGAGAGAGAGAAAGAGCTTCTGATTTTTATTATATCTGCAATGTCATTTACATTTGTAACACGTTTATATCCATTTTGTGCATTTTTATGACATTACGTGCATTTCTACTGATCTTCTGACCTTTTCAAGTTTGATCTTCGCACTTTTTTGTTGCAAACACAAATTGCAGATTTTCAGACAATTTTTTAATATGAACACATTTAATGTGTTCCATTATTTTCAAGTGTACTGTAGCTTCGAAAAACTTGGTACTAGCTACAGTACCTCTAGAAATAGCTGTACAAAAAAGTTGTCACTTACAAAAGTTTGTACAGTTGTTCTCAGCATCATATGCAGTCTTTGGACTCTGTAGTTCTCAGGCAAATCGTTTGTAATCTAGCTAGGAGATTTCGTAATCTAAACCGAGTCGAGAGTATTTCTAACCGGACCTAATTAGATTGCACTATCACCTAATTAGATTTGCAAATCGGCTAATTAGATTAACAAGTTTCCTAACTAGATTCGGATATCTCCTAATTAGATTTGGCCATATTTTCAAAATTCTCGTTAAAAATCGACAAATTTATTGGGAAAACAACAACAAATAAGAGTTTAATGGGGCTATTCAGACTGTGAAAAAAAATGATCGTTTTCCGTTTTTTTCGTTTTTTTACATCAAAAAATCCAATTCAGCGGTGTAAAAAAACGAAAAAAACGGAAAACAAACATACGCTGAATATCCCCATAACAGAATAAAAAGTAAAAAATTAAAAAATTAGAAGAAAATTTCGACTTCGGCGGTTTAAATGTGCTCGCGTCAGCCTACACTCCTTTCGCTCTCTTCAATTCTTTCTTGCTCGTCGCACGACTGTGGTTGCTGAAAGCAGAAGTCCGTGTTATACGTGCTCCGGGAAACATACTCATGCACGTGCGGAGTTGCGGAGATCGAGTTGTTATTTTCACACGTGGCATGATTGCCGTCTGAAATAGACACATTTCTGCACAAAAATGTAAAAATAATAGTATAACAGCTAAAAAAAAAACGTTCGAAATCGATCGAAAACGGCGTGTCTTCCTTCTGTTCAAATTTCTGTTCAAATTCCCGTCAATCTAATTAGGTTGACTTTAGATTCGGATTTTTTCTAATTAGATTAGCAATTACGTCTGCTGGCGCGATTCGAGATCGCGCCTTCGTTTTTACAGTGAAATCTAGCTAGGTTTAGTTTAGATTCCGTTTTCACCTAGCTAGATTCGGAACTCGGTTTAGATTACGAAATCTCCTAGCTAGATTACAAACGATTTGCCTGAGTTGTTAATTTAATCTGAAATTTCACCTGTAAAAGGCTACCAAAAGTTTATGAGATTTTTTGATTTTCTCAAAAGTTTGTCTCGCGATGTAAGTTCTCTGAAACCTTTCCTCATGTTTCAGAACTTACTAGAGCCTTCTCAACTTTTCACAAAACCTTTTCACAAAAGTCACTGTTGAAAAAAAAAAGTTCGACGTTGGAATCGAATCTGGCAGCGTGCCAAAGCCCGGCCCCCCAAACGCATATATCGCTGCCCGCGATTTTTGCAACATTGCCGCACGCTTTATTGTTCTTCGTCTTTGTCTTTATTTTTCGCCTAAAAATCAGCAGAAACTTCGGTTTTCATCCGGGTTTTTCTCATTCGATGAATATGAGAATTTTCAGGTTTTCCATCGTCGGAAAAGTCGAACAAGCAACTAAAGGACATGGATTTCTTTTTTTCCTGTTAGTTTTTAACGTAACAATCTTTTTTCTCTCCGATCAACGTTCACAGATTTTTCGCCGTCACCACACAACGGAATACCGAAACCTGTCGTGTTAGTTTGAAGAAGAACGAAATTCTTTTCTCTCCGACCGTATTTTCAGAGTCCGTGGACGCTTCATCCAACGGGAGATGCATGCTTCTACAGCTTTCCGTTGTGTGCCGACGAGTGGAGAAGAATCTGTAAATGTTGATCGGAGATAAAAACTATTGTTACGTTAAAAACTAACACGAAAAGAAGAAATCCATGTTCTTTTGCTGCTTGTTCGACTTTTCCGACGATGGAAAACCTGAAAACTCTCAAATTATTCGAAATCGGAAAGAGCAAAACAGAATTCGAGAAATGTTCGAAAATTCAAGCTAAAAATCGATAAATCGTTCTTCACAGTTGATTTTTTATAGCTATCTAATTAGAAAAGTTTGCAATCTAATAAGAAAACGCTCTATTTCGCAATCTAATCAGATTTAATTGAAGTTCCAGTAAAACCGTATTAGATTACAATATATTTTTCCTGAATTGCAATCTAATAAGAAAAAATTGCAATCTAATTAGAAAAATTGCAGTGATTGTAATCTAATTAGAAGATTTTGCAATCTAATTGAAGCGAATTCTATTTCAAACGAGTTCGTATTAGATTGCAAAGTTTTCTAATAAGATTGCGATCGAGTTCCCAGAGATCCAACGTCGAACCTTTTTTTTTTCAACAGTATGTACCCTTTTCTTTCGTTTTCTAAATTATTTATCTGTTTTTCTTTTGTCTTCCGTCCATATTTTTCCAGCTTACTGAACTTGTTGAATAATTTTTTTTGCCGGAAAACAAGAGGAAAAGGTGAGAGAATACCGAAAAGGTCGGCAACTGGTCGAGGCTTTCAAACACCACATATTTGTTTTGACTTTCGAATGGCTCCCAAAAAAAAAGTCAGGGGATGTGGGTCCGGGGATGTTTTTCCCATAAATTCTCGTTTGGTATTAGATGCCAAAGGACGTTGACATTATGGAAATGCCATGAATTCTGCGACGTACACCAAGTGAAAATGGCAATTTCCTTCATCTTTTCGGGGCTCTTGACAGGTGTAATAATTCGGAATGTATCCTGTGATCGAGAACGTGCTCACTTCTGGCATGTGCGTGCCCTCCGGCACTTTTTGACTCTGCTCTAATTAAAAAATAAATATTTTTACGACAAGTCAGTTGCGAAACGATTCAGCAGCTCCGAAACTCGGGTCTGCCAACGCGAGCCGTGCTGCCTAGGCTACACACTAAACTTTTCGGTACGCAGCACCAAACGTTCGGTATGCACCAGATTGAGAGTTTTCTCATTTCCAAGTAGCGTACGTGTTAGTTGCAAAGTGTCTTTGAGTTGCAAAATTGCATCTGTCAAGAGAGTGCCTGATGAGCTCGTTCTTTGGCTAGTCAACCCGCCCCCATTAGTTGATCCATCCTAAATTAGTCTCCTACTTTTCCACTTTCAAGGTGTCACTCACTCCCCCTTTCCCGTTTGCGTCATTCGTTCTCGAAAAAACGACACATGCTTCTTTCTGGTTTCCTTTTTGTGCTCCGACGGCTCCGAATAATTATCCTCCTCCTCCTCCTACTTGTTGCTTCTTGCCCTCCTTCTTTTTTTTATGTTTCTGTGAAAGATTCTTCTATCACCTTTTTATTCCCCCGACCGTTTTCGTAGTATAAATGTCCCCCGTTTATCAAATCTTTCCCCACCCAAAAATAGTTATTTACTCACTTTCGTAAAGTACGTAGTTGCGCGTAGAATGCGGCGTCTCGCGCACCACACACACAAATCTTTCAGCCCGCAAAAATCTTAAGTATTTTGTTGGTTTCAATTTGTTTCTCCCAATTGAGTTGTTGTGTTAGTTCGCCAGTCCCTTCCGTCGTTCTGTTGTCATTTGTGCGAGTAGAATAGATGCATATTTTGTTGTAAAATTATATATTCCCGGAATTCTCGTATAGTATGTTAATGGTTTAATTACCCAAATTTAGAGAAAGAAGAAAAAGGAGCTCAAGCATAGGGAAAACAATTCATGGTGCAACGATAAAGACAAGAAGTCGAGGCACGGATAAGGCCCGCGTGATCCATCCTAAATTAGTTTCCTACTTTTCCACTTTCAAGGTGTCACTCACTCCCCCTTTCCCGTTTGTGTCATTCGTTCTCGAAAAAACGGCACATGCTTCTTTCTTATTTTCTTTTTGTGCTCCGACGGCTCCGAATAATTATCCTCCTCCTTGTTGCTTCTTGCCCTCCTTCTTTTTATGTTTCTTCGTCTCGAAGAACAACTTTCCATTCTTTTCTCTATGTAATTTTTGTCACTTTTTCAGAATGAGCGGTCGACGACGTCAACTTCCGGCCACTCCGGACGATATCGCCAACGGATACCCCGTATTCTCCCCATTGACCCCACAAATTATGCGACGATGTCATCCACGTCTTCAGGAAGTTCGAAGCTTCGATCCGATGTTGGTATCGCAGTTGAGGTACGTCTTCAACATGAATTTTAAAGGTCATTGTTCTTTTCCGAGTTGTCCATCATCAAAAACCTACCATACTTCTCTGCCATGGCACTAGCATTGTCCATCTCATAAAAAGCGTCCAAGAACGAGTGTACAGCAGGTGTTTAACCGCCTAACTGATAGTATAGTATACAAATATACGTAATAACCACCTCCGGAAACGATCATCATCACAAACTTTTTGCACGTGAACAAAAACAAAGGAAAAAGAGCGTTTTGTCGGCTTTTCGGCTTTCTCACACAGATATGATGGCTCCCCGGGCTCATGTTCACGTTACTATTACACCCCCGGGGAGGAACTCTTTCTTTCTCTTTCTCTTTCTCTTTCCTCAGCTGATGACCATCACCACATACTACTAGTCTAGTGGTTCGGAGCAGGAGCACAAAACTTTCTTTTATGATGTTTCTGCTGTTGGCAAGTGACTCAGAGATAGAGAGAAGAAGGGGGAGTAGTTGGCTCTTTTCCACAAGAAATCAGAGCTCTCGGTGAAGGCACGAACACTTGATCCTTATCCTTGTCCACCTTACAGTCGTACTTTTACCCTCTTCCCCTTGGTACGTTTTCAGATGAGCTCAAGTTTCCTGCTTCTGACTCCGCCCCGGAGCATTTGTCAACATTCCTGGCACTATACAGATATAGTCGAACTACTTTTCTTTGCTCCAAAGAGATTTGAAGCTTCTACTGTATTTTTGACGATTTCATCATTGATATCTTCACAGTTTTCAAAGTTCAGCACACTTTGCAACTGCTAGTTGGGACATTGGAATCTTTTTGAAACTATGTATGAAAGTATTGGTTGCAAACTTGAACAATGTTAGAAACCAGTTGGACCACGACCAAAGTTCATTTTATCTTTTTTCCGCAAAAAATCCACCTGACTCGATGCTCTTGTTCTTGCTCCGTCTAGACCCAAGTACCAGTTGAGATTCTTTAAAAAAAAGAGAGAGAAAGGGAGAGAGAAACTTCCCGAGGTCATATCCCACCTGATTGCACTTGCATGTTAGCGCTCTTCTTGAAATAATAACGGAACAGGCGGAGGTCACGTATACTGTTTGCATCTCCCACTCTCTTTCTCTCTGTCTCTCTCTCTCTTTCTTTCTCTTTCTCTTTTGATCTCGCAAATCTAATCCCAAAGAGCATACTATTTGCTCTTTCTGAGCTCGCCCGAGCATCCCAATCCTCTCACGCGAACTTTTTGTGCACAGTAGCTGGCTGCTCGGCGAGCGCCGCCAGCCGGAGCATTTCCCATCCTGACATAAGTACCGCCCGTGTCTTGTTCGCAAATTTCGAGAGAAGAGAACAAGACACACATTCACATTTTCACTTCTGATCTTCTCACACACATTTTCTCTGATTTCATCTGGTTCCTTTCGGATTTCATTAAAGAAAACAATCAAGGAAAGAGTATTTGTTCCGTTTTCTCAAATGGGTTTCAGGTTTAAGTACGGGGCGTCTTGAAAGAAAAACAAAAAACTGGTGACGGGGGGTCTTGACCAGACCACTGCCTCAGGGGCTGGCTCAAAACTAAAAACCACTTCATTCCATTTTGCATCCGTTCCGCTCTTTTCTCACATGTTTGTGTATTTCTTCTTTGTGCCACGTCATAGTGCTTTCAATTAGCTCGAACTTTTAACTTTATGGGGTTTTCGGGTCGTAACTGCCACTTTTAACAACTCCGAAGCTTGTCAAAGAGCAAGCTAGGGACGAAAAAAGGAGCAAAAGTTTGGTACTAATTACAAAACATCTGGACCCTTTTGAAAAGAGACTCTTGTTTTCAATGATCGGGTGCTCCGGCATACTGTAGGTATACATTGAGAAGTTCAAAATTGGTGCAGGCATTGTGCAGACAGAAGGTTTGGTGCTGCCTACCAATAAGTGTAGTTTGTAGTCTAAACAGCATCACGACGCACGATGGCAGTCCCAAATTTTGAAGCTTTATAAGATGGAGCTTTGAAAGCCCAAATCACACTTTAAAAAGCGATTTTTGTAAAAACGACAAGGGACACTTCAGCTTACTTCTCACGCTCTATCCAATTGTGTAAATATCTGAACGACAAAAAAGAGGATCCTTCCAGTGACTGTAATAACTACTTGAACTCTAAATGACCATTAGATCGTAGAATTATATCTATCTTTTTTATATTGAGGGATCCACTCTTCCTTCGTTCCGTCTGACTCATCAGCTTTTCCTGTACAAGTGCCCTGATTCCTCCCGGCGCAACGCCTCGGTCATTCCGTCAACACTCTCAATTAGCCTCTTCTCCCCTTCCCACCGCCACCCACATTTCTCATATATATAAGAGAACCCATTTTCACACATCCGATTATCATCTAACTTTTATATTTCTTCCCTTTTGCCAATTTCCGCTAACCAGCACTGGATCTTTTGATCAATTTTGTCGATCAGTAACACATTTCACAATGTATATCCAACCACTAGTGCTCAAAACTTTCCAAAAATGTTTTCATGTTGTGTCGTAGCTGCCGATGGTGTGAAATGATGTGTATTCTTGTCGCTGTGCGCTCGTGTAACCGCATTATCCTGAGCACCCCTCCCCGAATGTGGAAAAGAATAAGAAGAAGAATATACTGACTCCCTCTTCCTTTTCTTCTTCTTATCCTTTTCTTGGAGCCGTGCCAAAACATGTGTTACTCCCGTCACAATCAGCTGGGTTCACAGAAGAAGAAAAAATGTGGGAGGAGGGGGAGGGTGTTCGGGCTTAGGGGGTCAGTTACGAATATTTTCGTGCATCATGTTGCGCTTCTCATTCTTTAAACGATAATTCTGCAGAAAAACAGACCTAAAGGTTCGCGCTGCTTAGAATACAAACTACAAAACATTGTAAAGCAGCCCAAAGTTTTGGTGCTGCTAACAAGGTTACGTAGTTTGTAGTCTAATTGTAAGCAGCATCAAACCTCGAACACTGTAATTTTAGAAAATTTTTGCTCATTTTTTGCATGACTTCTGTCGAAAGGAGCGCATTCTGCCTAGTTTCTTCTCCATGTTCTCATCTTTTTCTCTTAATCCTCTTCTCTTTTGGTTCTGGTTTTTTTGGTGCCACGTCACGAAGGATTAGTTGTCGAAAAGTAGAGGAAACTTCTCTTCTTGCCCACTCTTTTGCCTTGTTTTTGTATACTTTCCCTGCTTTTACAGCCAAATCAGTTTTTGAGAAGATTTAGGTAGATTTTACTGACGCATTCTTGTTCGAACTAAAAAATTGTATTTTGCTCGTGATGGTTTTGGTCGGAAAAAAGGAAAAAAGAAGGGAAACGAGTAGGAAAAGGCAAAAAGTGGAAGAAATTCAATTTTCGAAGAAAAGTGTATTCTCCAGACGCATTCATCTTCAGAGCTCACTTATTTTCTTGGCAGTAGAAAATGTTTCTACAGAACTCGTTATACTGCAAAAAAAAAGGCAAAAATGACCCCTGAAACACCCGAAGCATTAAAAATCCGTGTGTCATCTCTTTTGTGCTCCCCGTTTTCCAATATTGTACGTCCCAAATGACAACTGAATGCGGGAAAGTGGGTCATTTATCCCGAATATATTGGCCAATTCGTCAAATGATGGACCGACGCGTGCCACCCAAACAAAACAAATAAAAAAACGGACGAGCTCTCTAGTCAGCCAGTGTGTTTGGATTTGAATTTGCATTCCGAATTTCAATTTTCGATTTTCTATTTCAAATTTCCAATTCCCTATTCCCAATTCCCTATTCCAAATTCCAAATACCATTAACAGTTGTCCAAATAGTCAACAAAAAGTAGTAATGAGGGGGTACTATGGGTACAAGGATTTGTTTTCTTGAAGCCAACTCAAACAAAGCTGATTTGACGCATATTTTTTCTTTGATTTGTCACGTTCAGTTTCTGGATGAAAGTCATTCTCACGAATCCAGACACAGCTCAAAAACAAGTACTTGCTAACTCTCTCACCTTTTTCCAGCCTTTCCAGTATCTTGTTGACACATTCTGCATTTCTCGAGCGAGTGCCCTGGGAATCAAAAATCCGCGGCACTTTCCCACTTTCAACTTTTATTCACTCAAAACAAGCCTATCACCTACTCATTCTATTTATTTGTTTTCAGCAGAAAAAGTTCGGAAAACTGATGTCTGAGTAGAAAGTTTGACTGCTTTCGTGGTTGAGTGAGGAAAGCGAACGCTTGAAAACATTGCAAAATTTCAAAATAATCACTGTCAAGCAACCAAAACTCAATACCATTTTACGCTTTGACAAAAATTTTGTATTAGACGAAACCAGCATAATTTTTGAGGTAGTTAAACTCCCTTTCAAACTGCCTTATGTATTTTTCTGTTTGCTCTAGTCCCATACTCCAAGACCTCCCTCGAAGAAAGAGGGAAGGGTGACCAGGCCCCCGTTCTACATTAGATTTATTTGAATCTTGAACGTTCGTGTCCGTGGCTCCAATAGTGTGAGATGTCATCTGCCGCATTCAAATTGACCTCCCTCTCCCTCTCTCTCTCTCTGTCTTCCTCTCTTTCAATAGTGCACTCGTCGGATGTGTATTCCTTCCGGCGTTTCTTATTTTCCGTTGTCGGAGGCCCGGCCGGTGGGAGCGGAGAATGAATGTGTAGTAAAATTATGACCCCCCGTTTCCTCTTGCTTGCCCCCCCCCCTCTACTTCCTTCCACTCTCATTCTTCCTCTTCTTCCAAAATGTGCCTTTCATTTTGCACTCTTTCCCAGCCCGCATCTCCTTAAAAACTTTTTGTGCACCCCTCATCTCCAAATGCCTCGTCACTTTTCTTCCCCATCTTGCTTTTTTGCCATTTTGCCCCATTCTTTGACCAAACTGGTGATGTGTAGTTTGTAGTCTAAGCAGCTCCAAAATAATAGCCTGCTTGGTGCTGCTTAGAATAAAAACTACAAAATCTCGCTGGGTCGCTTCTCCTCACCATTCTTCATTTTCTCGATCTCCAGAAAGAATGACGAATGACATGGTTTTCTGATAAAATTGATGATGAATTGGAAAGTAAAAATAGAAGAAAACGAGGAAGAAACAGCAGTAAATAACTGCTACCAATTGTTGTTATTGTTGTCTTGTAGTGTTGTGTTCCCAATCTATCACAACTTTTTTTGCTGCTTCTTCTTCTTACTTTTTCTTTTACATCTGAAAAATAAGTAGGAGGAGACTAGACTTCCGGAAGAGAGAAAATGACGGAAAGCGTCGATTTGATGAATCTTCGGTGGATGCTCCAGGAGAAATGGAGATCTCATATTTCACTTTTCCCCTCCCATTCTTTTCCACCAAACTTTTGCCATCTGCCCCTTCTTTTCCCTTCATGCTCTATTTTGGCTCAAAGTTCATTCGACCATATTAATATTATCAAGTTCCCCGAATTTTTCAGAGGCGAAGATTCAAACCGACTGCTTCTCGAAGGATTTCTGGGCGACGAGATGCGGAACCAACCGTTGAGATCGCAAAGTTTCAAACATCGGCCGAAGCCTGTTGTAGAGGTAACTAAAAAAATGTTTCCATTTTTCTTGTAGTCTCACTTACAAGGCCACTTTTCTTAATGTCACGCGTCGTAAACGTTACAGAAAATTAGCCTAGTTTATTTAATCTTATCCTCAAACTAACAATCTTCTCTTTTCCTTTTTCTTTTTTTTCTGCTATATTCGGTTTGGCTTCATTTCAACAGAAAAGTGGGTGGAGCCTAGTTATCGTAAGATGACTTTGCATTTTTTTTTTGTTTTTCCGGTAAGATGTCAACTGGTTGTCATTATAGATATCTGCAAAGATACCTTTTATTAAACAAATTCCCCTTTTTAGCTGGGTTATTTATTTATTTCATCCTAGTCAGCTCAAAATCGAATTCGCAAGTATCCCTCTGAAAATCTGAAAGTGAGAAGGAAGACAAAAACAGACGTGTCCAAAAAACGACGTCGTCGTCGTGCAAATTCTGTTAGTCTTCGCGCAATCAGAATTTTCTTTAAAAAAAGAAGAAGAAATATTTGCTCCTACGACCACCACAAACACACACAACTTTTTGATTGACGTATTATTTCAAGTACACTACCTCCGGCGCCGCGCCGCCTACAATATTTGTTTTTCGAAAACGAGAACTTCTCGTCTTCATCACTTTTTTCCGTGTAATCTACACCTTTGCTAACTGCTAGTTATAGTTACTGATAAACATATATTCTCGAATAAGCTCCGCCCGTCTTTTTTCTAGAAGTCTCGACGAAAAATGACCGAATTGATCAGTCCTGAGATGCTGCTTCAAGTCGAGGTGGGTATAGAGATAGTATCGAGTGACGTGGAAATTCCTATATCTAGATACTAGAAATTAGCTCCTAGACCCCCTAAAACCTCGGTTTTTTATTCTTCCGCTTCAAAATGCACTCCTTTAAGGTTCGCCGGATGGCCGTAGATGATGTCGGATCACATGAACGTCGTCGCAGCACGCCTACTGTATCACGAAGACCTTCTCTTCAGAAGTAAGTGCTTTTGGATTCTGATTCTTGCTCTTCAAACGTGTGACCAGCCCATGCGATTTCTGTTTATATTCGTGGGCAGATCTCCAGATGTGGTGGACCACTAATCATTCGGAAGAGTCTTTCAGAAACTTCTCATTCATTATTTTATTTAGACAGCGCATCATGGAACCGAGAACCGACGTTTGGCCGGAAGCGAAACCGAATAATGGAATTGAAGAGCGCTTTTTGAAGTTGCCCGATTCTGAGGATTATACCAGGTCAGTAAATTTATCAAATTAGTTCAACCGATTTTTTCAATTGTTCAGAGTGCGCCAATTCAAAATCGACGAGAAAGGAGCGGTGGTCGCGCGTGGCGACTCTTTTCGTCGCAAACGTACTCCCACCTACAAATCCGACAAATCGCCGTCTCCGTTCCCAGTTTCGGCCTCTACCGATTCGGCTCGTGGCTCTCGCAGCGAATCTGAGGCCAGCGAGCCGGTGGCCGATGAGATGGCCAAGCTTTCGGTCAATGATTTGACGAATGCGTCAACCAGTCACAAGACTTACAAGGTAATAATTTGTCTCGGTGAAATGACATGGCTCACGATAAACAAACTTTAGATCTACGTTGTCGGGGACACTGGCACTGGAAAGAGCTCGTTGATCTCTCAGCTGATCACCTCCGAGTACAAGAATGCGTTCGCTGATGAAATTCGTGAGTTTTTCGTCAAACTCTTCTGAATCTTCCGGATCTCTCTTCAACGAAAAAGTTTCAGAAGACTACGAGAACACCGTCTCAATCTGCATCGGTGGCGTCGAGTGCGACCTGGTCTTTTTCGAGTCCGATCTCGCCGACCCCTGCTGGCTGACAAATGAAGTTCACGCTTTTCTGGTCGTTTACAGCATCGACTCAAAGTCCAGCTGGAAGCAAGCGATGATGGCTCTTGAGGTGAGCACGTCTACAATAAACCTGAAACTCTTCAATAATTTTAGATGATCCGTGACCAGCCGGACTGCCGAAATCTTCCGACATTGGTGGCTGGAAACAAAATCGACTTGGAGAGAAAGAGGACTGTGACGAAGCAAGAGGTCCGAGCTGCTAAGGCCGCCATGGGCTTCGAACACTTTGAAATCTCGGTTGCTCTCGATCATGACGTGGATGATTTGCTCGTCGGTCTGGTGGCCGAGATCCAGGAGGCGTTTGCTCCGGAAGTCGTGCTCCAGAAACCATCTCCACGTCATCATCCTATCGACGATTTCCACAGCGCCATTCGTCGTTATTCGCAGCGAAAGAAGAAGGCGCCGTTGAATGATTTGGAAGGAGGTAGAGGAATACTGTACCTATAAACACACGTTTTCGGTTTTCAGGAAAGTGCTCGGTGCTCTCACCGACTGGACTCTTCGCCAAGTTCCGCAATTGGCGACGTGGCAGCTCGCCACGGATAGAAACCAACTGAATTTGAAACTTTGCAAAACTAAACTGAAACTCTGACAAACAATTGACCACACCCACACACATAATTAATCAGATGTTTTTTTGAAAAGCGGTTTTTAAACAATTCGTGCATTTCTTGCTATCATCCACCCAAAAACTATAATTATATCGCCCCCTCCCCAATGCCAACCCCTCCCCAAGTACTTTGCTTCACAATAGGAAAATCATTGACAAAAATTCTATTTTTTCGTACAAAAATGATATTTGATGAACAATTTTTACATAATCAACCTTGAAAAACATGAATATAATCCGTGACCATGCCAAGTGCCTCCAAAGCGTTCTTTGCAGCAACAATGAATCCATCAGGTCCGCAAATGAATGCTCGTCGCGATTCTGGAGCTGATGACGTGGAAACAATGCTCTTGAGAAGATCAGCCGATACCCGTCCGTGCAGATAAGGAGACGTCAGAAATTCTGAAGATTCTGGAGCCGAGAGCACGTTCTTCAGGATGATTTTCTCGCTTTTCTCGTACTTCTTTGTCCACTCCGACAGCTTCCAATTGTTATTCGCCACGTCTTCTACTTCTGACGTGTGCACATCCTTTTCCGTTTTGTTGAACATGACCAGATACACAGAAGCTTCGGGCGCTTTTAAAATCCTTCTCTCCAGAATATCGATCATCGGAGTGATTCCACTTCCGGCTGCCAAGAGGATCAGTTGACTGGAATTGATGATCCAATCGTCGAAATTCCGATTACCTATCGGATCACTGATCTCCAGTTCGTCGCCTTTTTTCAATTTTGACAGAGAAGGGGTACAAATTCCATCCGCGTAGATTTTGATCATCAAATCTATGTTCTTTATGTCAGATGACGTGATTGGTGTGTACGGACGGTAGAGAACTGCGTCTGGAAAGAGATTGAAAGCATAGAAAAAAGCTCAAGTTTCACGTTTTCTTTCAAAGTAACGACTTGTTTTTTTTTGCTGCTGAACTCACTTCCTTTCCTAACTTTCACAGAAACATGATGTCCTAGTGGTATCCGATATGTTGTGTGATCCGGAAACTTCAACGAAAACACCAAAGTGTCATGATTCACTGGGAACACTCGTACAATTTCCGTTGAATGATACGAGACTCCGGGCCTCCGTTGTACTTTCACCTTTTCCCGTTTGAAGACGTTGCCGAGATCCATTGCGGGAAAAGTGACTTCTACTCTGTTTTTGAGCACTTTCAACTCGTATTTTTGATTGGCAAGGCGGGAAGACGGTTCAAATTCAAACTCCATTGCTGGTTTCCAGAAGTGACGAACAAGAATGCGTAGGCGAGCGTGCTCTTCCGTCTCCTCTTCTCCTTTTGTGTTGATAGACATGTTCACAAAGGTCGGCAGAAGCGTCACAATGACATTGTGCTCGGTAAGTCCGCTCCAGTCGTCGTGCTCCAATGCCATGCCGTTTTCCAGCGTCTCTATACGACTTCCAAACCCATTTTCAACCGGATCATTGCCAAAAACAGACGTCATCGAAGCGGGAACACCTAGCTTATTCGGATCATTAGATGTAGTAGGTGGAAGTGGAGGAGGCACTGAAAATTAGATGCATTAGGAAAAAGAAAGAGAACTACAAAAACTTACACTTTGAAAGGTCTCCAATGAAGGGTCCAACTACACATGCTTTTAGCATACTTTCATAGTTCACCCACGCGTGATACTGATTGAAAAGCGGCGTGGCGTCGCGACCGGCGCCGCGGAGCAGCTCGGGAATCCCTCCCGGGTGAAAGTCCAAGTATTTGGTGACGTCATAGACCTAAAAGTTTAGATGTTCAAGTAAAAAGTGTGCATGAAAGCGTACAATTCCAAAAAGATGAACCCAACAATCCTCTTTTTTGTCGTGCTTCACCAACTCCACATGATCCACTCCTTCTGACTGACGTTTCGTGAGATGCTGAAAATATGAGACATTACTTTAAAATTTTGGTAAAACTCATACTTTTCGCAATAATTTAGCAATAGCAGAACACATTGGAGTTTGTGACTGACGCCCACTGACACCCGAGAGAGGTTGGGAGAAAAACTAGACGCAGGGAAGGAGAGGTGGCTGTGGTGGCGGAGAAAGCGAAAGGAAAAAGCGGAAAGAAAAGAATTTTCATTTGGCATGCACGCGATGATGTCATTTCAGAGTGGTGATTGGGTTCATTAGTTCAAACTGGAGCTCTGACAGAAACAAAGATCAGATCTGAAACGTTAATGACTGACTTTATTGGTCGTGAGCCGAAGCCAGTCCATGAATCCCTTTCCGGGCGCCAGCGCCACTTTCACACGTCCATACTCGCTCCGCCCGATCGTCGGTTTCGCAAAGAGTCCATTGCTCACTGACAAACTGTTCATGAGCTCGAGCTCTGAAATTTCAGACGTTGGCGCGTTTTTGGGTCAAACTTCTCAGATTTTTTTTTTGAAGGTTTTTGAAGCATCGTACTACGCCTTGTTTAGCAGAAAGTGGAATTTGTTGGATTTTGACAGAAATTTCAATACAAATCAAGGAAGAAAATAACTAAAGCAACAAAACTTTTCGATCTGGGTACTGCCCGTGGAAATTCGCGTTCTTCGGGACTAGTAAATGGCTTTTGAAAAGCTATTACTCTTTCACGGTAAGAAGAAAAAATCCCGGAAGACGGCAGACGGAAGACGGAAGATAACTTTTCTCACGGAAGACGGAAGACGGAACAAAAAAACCACGGAAGACGGAAGACGGCAGACGGAATTCCGTTCAACACTGATCTCCAGCATCAATTTCACTACATTTTCGAAAACAAAAGGGATTTCGCTGTAAAAAAAAAATGCCGCTTTCTGCTAAACCGGGCGACATTACGACGCTCCAAAGCGGCCAGTGAGTGCTATCTTTTCATTTTTACGCTGTTTTGTGCGGAAAATCAATCAATTGTTAATATTTTCCAGACGACATGGACGATAAAGAGCAGCGAGGAGCTGAAATCGAGTCACTGGAATCGATATTTCCAGATTTAATCAACGGGAAAACAGAAAAACAGATAGATTTCAAGTTCGATCGGAATATCAGTATGACTGTCACACTTCCTGATGACTACCCTTCTTCGTAAGTGTTTAAACACCTTTCTAACTATCAAAATTTTAAAAATTAAAGAGCACCTCCGCTTTTCGAGCTCAGCGGGCCTTATTTGAGTCGGGAGCAGAAGGAGTTGCTCCACAACAGTTTCAACGACGTTTACATTGAAAGCATTGGCTTTCCAGTGATTTTCAACTGGATAATATTAATTCAAGACTTTATACGAGTAAGTTTACATGTTTTTGAGCAGTTATCACAATAGGAATGAAGCTTTAGGATCTTCCAGCTGAGCAAGAAGTAAATGAAGCTGAAGATCAAGAAGAAGCTGGAGAAGCTGCTCCAATTGTAGACGATATGAATATAAAACACGGAGAGGTGTTCACAGATCGAAAAAGTGCATTTCAAGCGCATTTAGCAGTAGTTTCGAGTAAAGAAGACGTAAGAAACTGGTATAAAATATGGATCGATTATTTTTTAACAGGTCGATCGAGTATTAAGAATACTACTATCAAATTCGAAAATTAGCCGTGCAACACATAATATCTTAGCCTATCGGTACACGACAATAAAGGACGGACGACAAATTCATCATCACGATTGCCAAGACGACGGAGAATTCGGAGCCAGCTCAAAAATGCTCGAGTTGATGGATCGAATGAAGGCGGACAATGTAATGGTAAGCTTTTTTTTTATTTCTCCAATTACTTTATGCTATTTTGCAGGTCGTTGTGACACGCTGGTACGGAGGAATTCATCTGGGACCCGACCGGTTTCGACACATCAATAATCTAACTCGCCAGATACTAAGTGATAATAACTACGGGCATAGAAAATCGTGATATTTCCATCTAGTCTTTTTAGTTTCAATGTACCTTCACGTTTTGTTCATATTTCCTCACGCCATACTATTTAATCCATATTAATCATTTTCTAACAATAAAATGCGCTATTTGGTGGAGCTGGGCTCTCCCGAAAGTGCCTATCACACGTTATTCTGTTGTTCTCATATCATCATTGCTTCTTTCATTTTTCTGGTGAGAAAAGTTTATGAAATGTTAGGAAAATGTAAACATTTTAGATAATTGATGCAACATTAACTCTATGGCTGTTCCTTTTCGAACTTTTTGTGACAAATGTGAGATAGGAGGAGCGTCGGAATTGAGAAAACTTTTTTTCAGTATCAAGGCATTCCGGATCAAGTTTGGGTAGTGTTCCACGCGATTTCTCTAATAAGCATTGCTTCCGGTGGAATGGCTCTTTGTGTGAGTATTATTTTAACGGGGCTTTTTTCAAGCAAAATATTTTCCTTCAGGACTGGCCGTCAGCTGTAATAGTGTATGGTTGTAGAATTTCTCTCATTTTGGGTATTACAATTGTTCGATTCATGTAAGTCACACTAAATTTGTTGCAGAGCAATGCAGACCTAAGCTTCGGCGCTGTTTAGCGAAACTACATAGTTTGTAATCTAAGCAGCCCGAATAAAATTGGTGCTGCTTAGACTACAAGCTACAAAAATGAGTAAAGCAGCACTAAGGTTTGGGTCTCTCCAAAACGAGCAATAAAAGCCCTTCAGAATTTCAATCCGCGAGTTTTCATCTTCGGATGAACCGACCCTATCGGAGCTTGCGAATCTGTTCCAAATCATTCCGGTCGTCGTGTACACCGTCGGCGTGTTCCTCATCATGCGCTTGTTTTCCTATTCGACCGGAAGATATCGGTATATACTTATGCTTGTTTTGCATTACATCTCTCATATTCTCTTCTTCTTCTTCTCATTTTTTATTTTTCGTTGACTAGTGAGCATGATGGTGTTGTCCAAAAAAGACGTGAAGAGAAATAAGATATTTTCGTGAGGCACAAAAAAATGCACTTCTCATATTTCAGCGGATATTATGACGTGGATCTGGAATTGCGGCAGGAAGTGAAAAGGTATTGATTGCGCCTGGTCGCCGGTCCTGATTCTGACTTGCAAATTGCAGGAAGTTTGCCGAGTTTGAGGCCTCGCTCGCCGACGCACCAGCTTCACATAAAACGGATTAGGAGGGATGGACATGTTTTGTGAGCGCGGATTCTCTTCTCACATTTGTATAAAATCAATGAAAAATTGCGAGTGATTTCTGGTGTCTTTGCTTTGTTCCTAGAAAAAAGGTCATTTGACATGTAAGAATGAGTGCTTAAAGTGGGTGTCGAGGAGAAGGATATTGGCTTTGGAATGGCATGGAATACGATGTGTGCTTTAGAAAAGAAGTGCATTTGTTTTGTGAAAGACAATTCAGTAATAAAAATGGAAATTGTCGTTTACCTGTAAAAGAACGTAGTTAACTAATTTAAGATCATCGAATGATCATGTAAAAAAAATCAGAGAATGAAAAACATCAAATCCCCACCGAATACTAAATTTTTAATCTTGTCTGCCTTTTCTAATACCATGAAATTTTCAATATAATCCTTCTAGTTTTCAATAATGATTCAAATCGAAAATTTTCCTGATATTACACTTACAACAATGCATTCTGTGCTGAAATCAGACCTGTTCCCGATTGGCGCTGCATAGCTGAAAAGGTAGTTTGTAGTCTAAGCAGCACCAAGATGTTTGGTAGATTGTGCGAAATGCGTCTAACGCTATTATCTTCTTCTAGAAAAAGAAATATCGCTATTTCTCTTCGTCCGCAGTGAAAGTGACATCATGCACCATAACTGACAACCCTTTCACCTCTTTTCTTTTTGTTCTTTTTTTATTTCTGCCATCTTCTGCCCTACTTCTCTTCATAATCGAGTATTCATCTTTGGCGTTTCTCTACTTCTTCCTCATCATTCTAATACATTTTAGGGGCTGCCGTCGTCAATATTATAATTCCTCCTCTCCGGTGAAACCCTAGAGCGTCTCCTCTTCCAAAAGAGCTCTCTCTTTCTCTTTTCGCCGCGGAAAATGCTCTTTCTCTTGCTCCCCCCGTTTTCCTTTTTCCATAATCGGAGTGGGGTTGGGCAAAAGCCGAGAGCTCCCGCGCACTTGCCTCAACTCACGGCTTCTACACTGCCTCCTCCGACACACACTCAGCCGTGCTCGGCGCGCCATTTTTTGCCATTTCCCTCGTCGTTTCTGCCCGCCTCTGAGAGAGCCCAACGGAGCAAGCAAGCTCTCCGTCTTCTTCTTCTGCTTCTTCTTCTGCTTCTTGTGCGCAAGAATCGATGTGCGCCAAGCTTCTTCTTCAACGTTTCTACCCCCTTCCATCTTTTTTTTCTTCTCGCCTTGCTTTTTGCCCCGAGCACCGCCCGCTATACACATCTTTTATATGGGGGCTTAGGTGCCCGCCAAACTGACTACGTCACTCTGAACTTTTTTGTTAAGAAATCAAACACGGCTTCGTTTTCTTTACAGATAACATGCAGAAAACTAAATGGCGATTAAACCAATCCATCCTTCTCCTCGTCACAGCTCAGGTATGTCTGAGCAATGAATAATCAAATGGTGAATAATACCAGGGAAGCTCTTGTTTTGAACCTTATTGGCGGTCTGCGTCATTTTTTTGAATCAAAAGTTTGACAGTAACGTACAGTACCTAAAAAAAACCTAAAATCAATCTCTCACATTTTCAGATAGCCGCAACAGCAGCTGTACGGTGTTTCGATTGTGTCGGAATGGATTGTATGGGTGCTTTCTGTGAAGGCGAGTACTGTATGGTGTCCCAGTATGCTCCGCGTTGGGGTTCCGCTCGGTGGGGTGAGCCCGAAGTGGTGAAAGGCTGTGTGAAAGGATCAATGATCGGGAAAGATGTGCGAAGTCACTGCGAATTCGCCGAAGATTCTGACGAACCTTTCACCTGCTTCTGCAATGGAAAAGATTTGTGTAACGCGCGGAAAAACATTCGCAAAGTGGAGAGAGAAGACGTTGAGCTCGTGAGTTCTCAGAATGCGCGGGGATGACTAAGAATAATTGGATGAGCAGGTACAATGCGTTTGCAATGGAGCGCACTGCAAAAACGACAAGACGTGCGTCGGCGAATTGTGCACTTATGTCGTCAATCACAAGACGAAGCAAGTGGAGCAAGGATGCACTAATGCTTCAGTGCCGTTGATCGAACGAAGGGCCATCGGTTCATGCATGGCGCCGCCCATCACCGGAGCAATGCATCACAACGTGGCAAAGGTTAGCTTTTCAGAATATACCAGATCTCTGAACTCTCATTTTTTTTAGGATGCTCAATCCCTTTTGGCAGTTGAGTCATGCATTTGTGGAACGGATTACTGTAACAGTGAGAAGCCGTCGATCGATGTTCCTGAGAACGAAAAGTGTAATGCGTACGTGGAAGTGACCACAATGGGCACGACCACCAAGAGTAAGAATATCTCGTGCAGTGGAGAATACTGTTTTACTGTAAGTTGTGTGTGACAGTGAGCAAAACACGACATGTGTTTTTCTAGGCTTCCATCAAGTCCAAGCTCGGAATAATGTCTGCTTACCGTACATACGGATGCGCCTCTTTCACCGGAGAAGATCCGCTTCCGGAGGAGCTCGACCCGACCGGATGTGCCTCTTTCGTTTCCGAGAATTTGGAAGTGAAGACGTGTTTCAAGGTGATTTAGTGCTTTTAGTAGTCATGGAGAGCCCACGAAGTGCGCGCAGAACACGCAGCAATTACGAAATCTCAATGGCTATGAGAAAACGCAGACCGAAAGTTTGGTGCTGCTTAGACTACAAACTACATTTTTTGCTAAGCAGCATCAAAGATTTTGGTCTGTCACACTTGTGCTGAAATTTACTAATTTTTTTTCAAATTTTAGACTTCTGACAAACAAGCCGTGGGCCGTGCTCTTGCCTCGAAACAAATCCCTGAGTCTAAATCATCGAAGCCTTCGAAAGGAAGCTCACAGTAAGAAATTTCATGAAATTTCAATAACATTCCCCCGATAAATTTAGAAAACAAAAGTCGAAGCCAAAGCAGAAACAAGTGGAAGTAGAGTATGACGAGGAAGAAAATGAAGAAGAGGAAGAAGCCGAAAAGCCAAAAGAGAAGGCGAAGAGCGGAAAATCAGCGAAGGAACGACAGCAGGCGGAAGAAAAGAAGGAGAAGGAGCAGGAAAAGGAGAACGAGGAAAAAGAAGAAGAAGAGGAAGAAGAAGAGAAGGAAGAGGGAGAGGAGAAGAAGGAGGAGGAAGCCACCACGAAGAAGTCGTTCATATTTGAGAAGCCGACTCAGCCGCCAATTCCAGATGATACCAATACCACAATGGTAGGCTTTGTAGTTTCTGAATATGCTTCATCTTGAAATATCCGTACAGATTACTGTCTTCGTGCTCATCATTTTGTGCATTCTGGGCTCGGGAATAGTTTGGAAGTTTGAGCTGCACAAGAAACTGAAGAGGAGCAGTTATGACACCGTCGCTGGAGGATAATAGGGACTCTGATCGTTTTCATTTTCCTGCTTTTATTCACAACATCTGCAATTGTTTCTTTATTTTTCATTCCATTAAATTACATTTAGAACATTTTCCTCTAGTTCCATACTATCCCTTTCACTTCACTTACCTAATTTATTTATTTTTATCACTATTTTTTTTACCCAAAAACGCACCTTTTTTCGAATATGAGTAGTTGCAAAAGCTATAAGCCCCCTTGAACCGCCCGCAATAACATTGATTCACAATAAACTTTATTTTTGTCGTGTCGAGGTGAACGAGTAGCAACAATAACAGAATAGGGGAAAAGGAAGAACCAACAAAAAAGAGATGAGACCGATCACTTGGAAACTTCGGTGGTGTCGCGCATCTGGATAGAACGGAGCTGGCGCTTCTTCGTCTTTTTGAGCTTGTGGATCTTGGTGATTTTCTGAGAATTTAACCATTTTCACGTCGGTTCATGAGTTGTCAAGCATATACCTGCACAATTTCGGCCTTTCGCTCGTTCTCAACGCGTCGCTTCTCCTGCTCCTCCTTTCGTTCCTTCTTTTCCCGTCTCTCCTGCACTTGGCGCTCTCGAATGACGCACTGCACACGTTTCACCATATCCTTCTTTGCTTTTTCGTACATTTTCTTGTCCCACGACGTTTTCAGCGTCTTTACTTTCTTGATTGTGGAGTGTCTATAGAGAAGTTGAAATTCTTCAGTTAAAACTGGGTAGAAACTCACTTTTTCTCCTGCTTCGTCTTCCACCATCTGTTCGATTTGCATGTGTCGTTGACTTCTAACATATTTCCGCTCGTTGAGGCCATTTTCCTGGAAGAAAACTATAAATTCAATTAGAGAAAAAGACTGGAGGATAGGAAAACAGTGAGAAACAATAGGGTTTGAAGAAAACCGCGGAGAAGCGAGAGGACAGATTTTCGCTATTAACTAGGACCAGATTTTATCGAAAATTGATAAACCTTAAATTCTAATTTATTTTTCAAGCAGAGAATAGCAGAAAAACGACGAGAATTCAGTAGAAAACTGGCAAGGAAAGAAGCAGAAAAGAAAAACGTTGACGTTTTCCCCCAAAAGACGCTTGTGCGGTAGAGCGCACTTGCAGACCTCTCGGGCGTTTTTGTTGTTTTTCATCCAATTTTCGCTCATTCTTTTTCGTTTTTCTAAAGTAATATAATAATACACAGAAAAAGAATGCCGACACAGTTTATCCGAAACCGAAGCGCATTCCCGCAAGGCACTCACAACGATATCGACGACTTTCAGTACCAAGATCGTGAGTTGTTCAAATTTGGCTTCCCAACATGTCATTTCAGATTTTGGTGCTCATCAGCTTCCATCGACAGCTTCGGACTTTTCCGATCCTACGACTCAACAACAGAACAATTCGCCGCCGCCTGGAAAATCCGCGAATGATCCGCTGGCCGGAGCGCTCCTCGGCCTTTCAGAGTAAATTGCTCAGCTTATCACACACTGCGCAAAATGCTAAATCTTTACAGTGTCATCACGAAATCCTTAATTTCTCATCCGTGCGCAGTGATCCGACGTCAATGCCAAGTCCATCAATTCGCTGGATCTCTCCATTTGACCCCTGTTACCCTGATTCCTGTCATTTGCAATTCTGTCGCCAAAGAAGGAGTTCAAACTTTCTGGAAAGGAGCAATTGGCTCCAGTGTGCTCTGGGGACTTGCCAACGTCACCGAGATTGTACTCGGCGATCTTCTCGGCTTGCCACGTACATTTGTCGTCAACGGAAGCTCGGAAAAGTATTGGAAACATATTGTGCTCAAAGGGTGAGAGAAATGGAATTTCAAAAATTCCGAAAAAAAACCATTAGTTTTCAGAACAACGTTTATTATAATGACGCCATTCTACGTCTCTTCGTTTATCGAAACAGTACGAAGCGAGTCGGGAATCGGAGGAGAAGACAATAAAGTGCTAGATGTGCTCGTGAAGGGCGTCGATCGGATGCGCTACTTCGTGTCCTCCGGTCGAGATCCCTCACGAAAATTCTCAATAATTCACCTAGCTATTCCTACTGCTAGTTTCCAGTAATTCCCGTCCCTCTTCACCAGCAGTTCTGAAACCTTTCCGTTCAGAGTCGGACACTACATGCTCCAAACGGCCCTCTATCATCAATTTTTCCGAATGGCCAAACGATACGTGAATCGAAAAGCTCCGTCGGAAAAGACGACGTACCACGACTTTCTGCCCCAAATGTTTGCTCAGACGTCATCAATGGTGCTCACTGACCTGATTCTCTATCCGTTCGAGACGATTCTCCACAGAATGTACATTCAAGGCACTCGGACACTAATTGATAACATGGATACGGGACTGTCGGCTGTTTCCATGACAGTCAAGTATTCAGGCTTTTTCGATTGTGTCAAGCAAGTGCTGGAAACCGAAGGATTTTGGGCGTTGTACGCGGTGAGTGAAGCAAGCCCTAAAACATTTTTTGAAAATTGCTGCTATCCTTAATCTCGCTAAACAGCACTAATATTTGAGCATACCCAACTTGATTCCGTGCCTCTTCAAAACACGAATTCACTATTTTCAGGGAGTCGGGGCAGTTCTACTCGAGTATTCCCTCCATCAAGGACTCCAACAACTGGTCCGCGCGTGCTTCGACCGTGGCTCCGAGCTTCTCCGCAAAGCCACCCGAGGTCATCCCGTTGTCCAATCCTCTCAAATCACTCCGCCAATCTCTGCCAAATCCAGCTTCAACGGCCCAATTAGTGGCTCGTTCCCGCCGGCCGCGGCCGCTGCAATGTCTCCGATGAGCACGCCGCGAAAGCACGCAACACCTCCGAAAGATCCGACAGAGTTTCCGACGTTTGGAGAGACCGTCAGTCAGCTGAGCAGTCCGTATCAAATGCCATCAACTCAGTTCGGAATGGGCGGCCGGCCCAACGTGTTCGGAAGTCCACCGAACAGGTAAAACAACGAAGGTGACTCTTCGTCTCTAAAGCAAACAATATCTATACACGCTCTCCTCTTCTGACTCTCTTTTCATATCATTTTTACGCCACAGTCCAAAAATTTCCACGTTTCCCGCACGAAGAACCGGTTCTCTTCCGCGGCCGCGCGTGGTCACGCAATTATCGATTTTCATTGCAGAAGTCGCTCATCTCACGAAACCTCATCCTCCTCTCCAAATCTTCCGCCCCTTCACCTCAACATCCGCCCGTCGTCTGGTGACCCGTTCTCCGGATAATAGCTCTTTCGTTTCGTGCTCCGTTTATTTTATTATTTCGCCTCTAGTCCACGGTCAGCATTTGTACGCAAACACCGAGCCGGTGAATTACACAATTTTTGATGCTTCAATTCAGTCCTCATTTCTCATTTCTTTCCCCTATTTCATGAAGTTTCCCAGGTTTTGTCAGACTTCGTATCGTTTTTTCACGTTGGTCGCCATCCATGCGTGTTATTTTATCTTCTCGCGTACCATTTATGTCATTTCCCGCACAAATAACTCTGTTTTTGCAGTAAATTCTAGGTAGCAATGGCTGACAACTGGGACGACGACGATTTCGAGGTTGAGGTGGCCGCCTTCAAGCGTGAAGAGCTGGAACCCGCGAAGCCCGTCGATGCCCCGCCGAAAAAAGAGACAAAAGCCACCACGTTGAAAAAGGCGCCCGTCTTCGCAATGGAATCGCTCGGACGAGAGTTGAATGCCGCCGAGAAAGAAGCGCTTCAGAAGAAGCACGACCTCGAGCTGGCGCGTGATTTATTCGGAGACGACGGCGACGATGCGGCCGAAGCCGCCACGTACGCCAACGCGTCGACAAAATCTGAGTTCGAGTACTGGGGAGAACGCGTCGGAGGATTCCTTAGTAGTCGGCACAAGGCGGCCCATTACGGAGACATGATCGGAAAGCTGCTGGGAGCGGTTACGGAGAATTGTGAGTGATTGAAAGCACAACAGCTTTCCGAAATGATTGCGATTCCAGTGACGCCCGCCGATATCCAAAAAATGGTCACCTACCTGCAACAGATCAGTACCGCTAAAAAGACAGCCGAAAAGATCAAGGCGGTAAGTGCAAAAAAAACAACTTTATTTTTGCCAGTCATGAAAATTATTATATCACTTTCAGAAAACAACGCCAGCTGCCGCCCCAGCCGCTGCTGGAAACAAGAAGAATCAAAAGGCCTCGTTGAAGGTGTCGAAGGCAAACGACAACATGTACGACGACTATGGAGATGACTACGATGATTACGACGATTAATACGCCTCGCCTTCTCGTTCACTGTTTTCCCCCCTTGCTCGTTTCTTTTCATGAGAATACACACACACACATTTCTGTCTGAAATACGGTGAATTTGATTCTGTTGCCCTTCCCTCAATTCTTTTTGTTCGTTTCTTTGGTCTTGGCTCTCGAATATACGCTTTTCATTTAAAAAAATTGACGCGTTTCCTCCTTTTTATGGATCGTTCCCAACGATTTTCTACTTCATCTTTCTGTGTCAGCGTTCTCATTATCGGTTCTGTTCAGAATGTCAGACACGGGTTCCGACGAAGAACGCGGCGATGAGCTGGCGCCGAATATGGACGACACAGGTAGAAACGCCATCTGAGTTCTCTTCTGAAAACGTCTCAGTTTTCAGCGCTGGCAGCAGCGGCTCGTCGAGCACGTATGACTTTCGATCGGCCCACCGAACACGAGTTGGCCTACTTTCCGGAGATTTGGAACAATCAGGCGGCGACTGAAGTGTTTCTGCTCATTCGTAATTCGGTTCTTGCCACGTGGCAGTATAATCCGTGGAAAGAGGTCACGGCTTCCGACGTGTGCAGAAACTCAATCTTTGCGCCGTTCAATTCTGATAGTGAACTGGTTCAGAACATTGTTCTCTATCTCACACGCTTCGGACTCATTAACTTTGGCCGCTACACACGGGCCACCAAGATCCAAACATTGTTGCCACGTGAAGAACGAACAGTGATTGTGATTGGCGCAGGAGCGGCTGGAATTGCGGCCGCCACCCAACTCACCTCGTTCGGCTTTGAAGTTATCGTAATCGAAGGACGCGAGCGAATAGGAGGAAGAGCACACAACTTGGAGTTCACAGATCAACGAGGACAGAAACACATAATGGAAACTGGTGCCGATACTCTGAGACAAATGGCCGACTCTCCGATGGTTCACCTCCTTCATCAGGTTCAGCTCGAACAGCATCCGGTTTTCGACAGCCCCATGATCTATTACGAGGGCAGACCGCTGGATGTGTCGAAGGACGCGATGCTCACCGGAGCCTATGTCCGAGCAAGGAGCACACTCAACTGGCAGTCCTACCAAAGAGAGCACCGCGACGAGAACGGACGCTTTATTTCGAGACAGCAGGCGTTCGAGAATCTCATAAATCTGATGGAGAGGGACACGGCGATAAGCTACTACAATTACTGCAAAGCGTGTGAGGAAGTGGCTCGCGCCCGTGAGCACCACTACATTCACTTGAGGAACCTGCGACATACTGCGTTGATGGCTGAGAAACGGCTGAAGAAGCTGAAGGACGGCGAGGATCCGCTGTTGCAGAGATCGCTCAAAAGAGACATCGCCGACGCGCTGAATGAGTTCGAAAAGGTCGCCGAGGCTTTGGAACATGCCGATCAGCACTTGATCCGGTTGAAGAAAGATCCGGCGCCAAAGCAGTACATGCATCCGATGGACTACCGCAAATTCAACTTCTTGCTCGGATTCGAAGAGTATATAATCGGCGCGCCACTTGAGCAAGTACAATTCTCGAACAATTCGTTTAAGAACAAGACGAACGGAGTGACCACCAGATGTATGCTTTCTTAGAAGGATTTCTGATACAAATGTTTCATTTTTCAGTGACAAAGGGAGTTGCCGAGCTATTGAAGCAGCTCGTTGTGAAGCGAAACGTGAATCTTCGCCTCAACCACCGTGTCCGTAACATTGATTACTCTAACGAAGATTTTGTGTCGGTTCGAGTGGAGAAGGAGAACGGAGAAATGGAGGAGATGACGGCCGCTCTGGTAGTGTCCACTCTTCCCATTGGAGTGCTCAAACAGTGAGTTTATCGCCGACGGCTCTGCTGAAATTGCGATTCAGGAGTGTCGTCAAGAACGAAAATGCTCCGACGTTCACGCCGCCACTGTCGGAGGAGAAAGTGCAAGCGATTCGAGGCATGGGCAACGGACTCGTTAACAAAATCATATTGGTGTTCGAGCGCGCGTTTTGGGAGAACGGAAACCGCTATCAGTTCCTCACAATTTCTCCGGATATGTGAGTTTTAATCTGTTTTCGATTCATAAGCCAACTCTCTCGCATTTCAGAAGAACTCGCGGTTCGATGCTCCTCTGGTCGGCTGTTCCGGCCACAAAAGTGATCACAACCTATATGATCGGCCACGCGGCGACGCACGTCTTGCCGGACGCGGAATTAATCGACAAGGCGTTGGACGACCTTAAGAAAGTGTTCGGAAATAACTGCCCAACGCCAGTCCACGCACATGTCACACATTGGGAAAACGATGAATTCTCGTTTGGATCGGGCAGTTACATGAGTCTAAACACCGAAATGAAGCACTTTGACGAGTTGATGAATCCATTGACGGGTGCGGACGGCAAGAAACGAGTCTATTTCGCCGGAGAGCACACCTGCTCAAGCTACACTTCGACTGTTCAAGGCGCATGGATGTCGGGTGTACGAGCAGCCGCTAACATTGCCAACGATCATGTTGGCTTTGGATTTGTCGACCTGTCCACTCTGGAAAAGTATCGAGGCGGACCAGAATCCGACGAGATTTTCGAAGTGGACAGGGACGGAGTTTTTTCTCCGCAATGCGAGGAAGCCGGTCCATCAACGTCCCAGTGATCTCATTTTTTACCGATTTCGAGTATTTGTCCTGTGCATCTTCGTATTCGTATTTATTTTCACTCTTGAATAATGTCTTCCATTCCAACAGAATGAAGGTCTTGTACGCATTGGAGCGTGCCCCCTCTTTCCCTAATCATTTTCCGTCGCGACCTTCTGAACATTATCTTCCCGGAGCCATTTCCTCCTTCTTTCCATTTCACATTTATTCGTCTTGGCCATCGGTACTTTTGATTGAACATGAACAAACAACCGGGAAATCGCAAAGCAGCGGGCAGAAACCGCCGCGGTGGAGCGCTTCCGCGAGAAAGAAACACTCCGTTGGCGATTCCGAACCAAGTGGCGGCGATGCCAGTCCAGATGACGGTGAGTCCGCCCTTGTGCAGATCCACACACACACCTTCCCTTGCAGGGCTTCATGACGCTGGTGCCGCACACGGTGCTCGACGCGATCGCACTGACGAACTGTCTGATGATTGTGCAGTGCACCGAGCCGCTCGAGATCTTCACGGGCATCGAGACGGCCAACCGGTACGTAGTGCACGACATGTATCTGCGGCCGATGCTCTACTGCAACGAACGGTCGAACTTTGTGATGCGGCAGGTGTCCGGCAAGGACCGCAACTTTATCATGGAAATGAGGGACGTGTTCGGCGCGCCGTTCATGAGCGCCCACCGCAAGAAACCGTGTTGCGGATGCACCGACTACCTGGGCACCGAATTCAAAGGCGGTCAGATCGGACTCATGAAGAGAGAGTGCTGCGATGGAAATGTGAGCAATTGTAAACCGATGTACCGTAGTTGTCTGTAGAGATAGCAAACAGTGGTGAACTGATAAAATGTACACAATGTTTCAATGAACATTTTGTCAGTTGACACCTTTTTGATATCTCCGCCGGATGATTAAATATTTCGTTTTGAATCAACAAATCTACTGTCTGTACAGTGTCTGAAGCCCCTGAACATTTCGTGAGGTGTCCGGTTGCGAAATGTCCAGGAGAATTAATTAACCAATACTGAAAGGTAATACGACGTTTTGAAATCAAGATACTTTGGTTACAGTAACCCTTTTGTTTGCAGTTCCAACTGTTCGGCTCCGGCTGTAACCAGCCTCTTCTTGTGGCGACGCCCGGATGCGTTGGCTGCGGAGGCACCCAAATCTTCCCGGTGCTCTGTTATTCGGGCGTGAAAGTCGGCGAGATTGTGCGTCTCTACCCGGGATTCCTGCAGGAGATGCTCACCGACGCCGACACCTACCTCGTTCACTTTCCAATGGACATGCCGCCCCTTCTGAAGCTCCTTCTCATCTCCTCCGTTTTCCTCATCGATTTCACCTATTTCGAGACTGATGAATAGATACTCAACCTTTGTGTGTCATTGGATATGAAATAAAATTCAAAAAAAAAAAGAACCGTGAACTTTCGAGCTTCCAGTTCACTTTAAAAAGATTGTCTGCTTCTCCTCCGCTTCTACCAAAAACCATTTATTTTCCTCGATACATTTATTGTTCGTCAGTTGATGTACAGACAGCCCCTCGCGCGCCGTCGTCGTGCTCTCCCCGAAGAGCAAGATGAGCCGATAGACGTTCCGAATGCAATCCCGTCGATGCCGGTTCGAGTTACCGTAAGTCCCCCGGGCACCCCGATCCCTCGGCCAATGATCCTTCTCCATTTCCAGGGCCACGGTCGACTTGAAGCCGGCGGAGCAATCGATTCAATTGCCGCGAGCAACTGTCTTCTCGTTGTGCAATGCTACGAACCCATCGAAATTCTGACGGGAATTGAGACACCGAATAAATATGTCATTCATGATATGTACTTGAGGCCGGTATGTTTTAGAGTTTAGAAACGTTTATATCACGGTCTCCAGAGCTGACAATATGGGCGTGGCCTCGGCCAAATGACGTTTTCATGAATTGAGCGGGTTTTCTCTGATTTTTCTGGTCAACGGCGATGAAAAATGATTTTTCGACATGAAAACACACTCATTCTCAGAATTAGTGACGTTTTGGCGCATTTTTCGCCGACTTTGCTTTTTCGCCTTCGCAGCCGATCGCCGCCTAAAAACCGCACTTCTCATTTTGCGCTTTCTTGACCGTTTTCCGACAGAATTGGTTTTGAGAATGATAAACCACGTAAATACAAGCATTTTGAGCGCTCGAACCGCGAAAACTACCAAAAAGCAACTGAAATTCACGCAGTTTTAGCCAAAAACCTTCAAACGGATAAATGTGATTTGCGACTTGACCAAATTTGACGCTCTTTCGCTTAAGAAATTTGTAATAGCCAATACAATCGGTCTATCGAGAGAAAAATGAGAAATTATCGGTTTTTCGTGGCAAATCTGGCAAAAAACACAAATTGGGTGTGAGTGGAGCAGACAGAATAATAACGGGGGTTCTTCTCAATGCACATTTTCATAGTCGCTCTCTGGGGACCGTTTGAGCGCTCAATTCTCTGCCAATTTAAAAAAAATCAAATCAGAGACTTTAACACAGCATTTTTTAACACAGCATTGCATAGCATTCATGAAATAGGTGCAAATTTCAATCAACACTAGCTTTCTTTCCACAAGCGAACAGGCGATAAAGCGGTGCTCGCGTCGAGACGTCACAATCCCAATCGTCCAAATCAGCCTGGTACCATCCGGGATTGCCTCTCCATGCGGGCGTGATTATGAACTGTTGCACACATGATTGGGGAATACTGTAGTTCAAAAATTACTTGCACTTGTATGGTAAAGTCGATCACATTTATATTGCTCTTGGCCTAGAGTTTTGAGAAAAGTAAAGGTTTTCTTCGCCTCTGGTATACATTGGACTGATATTTTCCACTTGTGTTCGTATCATAAGACTTACCCGTTCCTAAGAGCACCGTCCGGTTGGGCGGGTCCAAAATGGAATCCCTCGGTTCCGTTCGTGTACCCATCCGTCCACGCGAATGACACTCCCGGTCCAGTCCTCTTGGCTCCAAGCCACGTGGATCCGTAAGTCGCTCCTGAGCTGATCACGAACGGCAATGCCAAGTCGGCGAGAACCAATCGTTCGGCCCCATTTTGAAGACCGGTCAGAACAGCGCTGTATTGAGAGCAAAAGGTCTGGCCCGCATCGTAAGCTCCCTGCGCCACAAAGATCTGCAAATGCAAAGTAAGATTTTTCCGAAAGCGCACAAAGTATTAGAACCGGTACCTTGACGCACCAATTTGTGGGTCGTCTGTAAAACGTCGTCCATCCGTCCTCACAACGTTTTGGTCCTCGAGGTGGTGTCGTCTCATCCGGCTTAGCCGCATAACGATGATGATGATGATGGTGTTTTCCTATGCGCGTGCCGTCGTGATCCTTTTCAGAAGAGTCGGATGGTTCCGACGAAGAGGAGGAAGACGAGAAGTCATGGCCGGAATAAGATGAACCTCTTCTTTCCATAATAATGGCGTCACCAAACAGGACGGTGGCTCCGAGAACACAGAAGAATAGGAGTCGCTTCATCGTGCTGATCAATTTGTGGTTTTTGCAAACGATAGCGGGTTTTTGTACCCGCCGTTTCTGCTTTAATGACGAAGTTTATTGCGCTTCTCCGCAATGAAAATGAAAAACTGAAAAACCAACTTTTTGATCCTCAAAGTTCAAAAGCAAAAACGTTTGATCTTTGTCAACCCGCACAATAATAACTACAGTACTTGCAGTGATCCAGTTCTCCTTGTTGGAATACATTTCCCCATCCGAGACTTGACCATTAGGCTGGCGTGACTACTTTGAGTTGAATTTTCGCGAAAATCAAAAGATTTCAAAATGTTCCATCGTGTTTTCTGACATCTACAGACACCGTAGAAGCGTTCTAGAGGAAATTGAGCAAAAAAAATTTTGAGCGCCACGGTCTCCAGAGCTGACAATATGGGCGTGGCCTCGGCGGCCAAATGGCCTTTTCATGAATTGAGCAGGTGCCCTCTGATTTTTGTGCTCAACAGCGATGAAAAATGATTGCCCGACATGAAAACACACTAATTCTCAGAATTAATTACGTTTTGGCGCATTTTTCGCGGACTTTGCTTTTTCGTCTTCGCCGCCGATCGCCGCCTAAAAACCGCACTTCTCATTTTGCGCTTTCTTGACCGTTTTCAGTCAGAATTGGTTTTGAGAATGATAAATCACGTAAATACAAGCATTTTGAGCGTTCGAACCGCGATAACTAACAAAAAGCAACTGAAATTCACGCAGTTTTAGCCAAAAACCTTCAAACGGATAAATGTGATTTGCGACTTGACCAAATTTAACGCTCTAGCGCTTAAAAATTTTGTAATAGCCTATACAATCGGTCCATGAGAAATTGGCGGTTTTTCGTGGCAAATCTGGCAAAAAACACAAATTTTGCTGTTAAAATTTGAATTTCGCGCCAATGTATCGCTCTATTGGGCGGGGCGCACTTGCGCGCCCATTGTAAGCTCTGGAGACCGTGGCGCGTTTAGAAACGAGTCGATTGATAATATAAATACTCTCAGATTCTATACGCGCACGAGGAGAGCAATGTCTTAGATCGTTCGTGCATGCGTTCGCGGCGCAACTTTGACATGCACATGGTCGACAATCGAGGCAGACTTTTGATGAGCTCTTCGAGGTACGGCGGAGGATACAATTGCGGAATCGATCAGTTGGAGACGTGGCATCGCGGACAATCGATCGGAATGCTTTCGAGGGATTGTTGCGATGGAAATGTACTTATGTCTGTCTTTCATTCATCTATTTTGAATCATTTTTCAGTTCTACCTGCGAGTCGCCGGATGCAATGCCGAGTTCGCGATTGCCACTCCGCAAAGTGCTCTTTCGAGCCCGTTGTGCCGCGCGAGACACACGCTCCCATTCCCGGTGTACGTTCAGGGCGGCGCCCGTGTCGCCGAGATTATCCGTTTGGATCCCGGATGGATGGAGTGGGTCAGCGACGCCGACACGTATATGATACACTGTGAGGTGGAAAGTTGTATGTGCAAGTTCTGATATCATTTTACAGTTCCTGCCGACATGCCACCTATCATCAAGCTTCTCCTTCTACAATCCACTTTTCTGATTGTTAGTTTCACGTGGCACAACTTTTATTGGTTTACGGGATTTACAGGACTTTACGTACTTTGAAGATCGTCAGCAACGCCAAGCACATTATGCATACTAACTCACACGTTTGCTTTTTTCATCTTCCGAAACCGATCAAACTGCACTCGTTGTGTACAGAAGTGCGAAGAAGTGACATTAAAATTGCGAGTGGACGGTATACAATGACGCACAAAGTTCACTTTTTCCCTTTACAATGAAACTGGCTCTCTTTCTTTTCCTGCTCGAAATTTTTTTGCTCAATTTGCTCTAGAACGCTTCTACTGTGTCTGTAGATGTCAGAAAACACAATCTCAGGTAATTTTCGGCAAGGATGAGGCGCGCGAGCGGCAAGCGAACAGCAAGTTGCTACACTAGCATGGGGTGAGCATGTGTCACGCACGGATCCGGCATGGCATCAGCATGGATAGGGCGTGCAACAGAAAAGAGTGGGATGGGAGGGAAGCAGCAAGGTTTTTGAGCGGCACGGGAGCAGCAACGGTAGCAGGGTGGTTGTGGCAAGGAAGTGGCACGGAATCGGCACCCTTACAGCAATTTTCCGCGGAAAACGGCACGGATGACGCTTCCAGTCGGCACCCATGCCGATTCATGCGGCAAATTGCCGAAAATTACCTGAGATGGGACCTTCTGAAACCTTTTGACTTTCGCGAAAATTCAACTCAAAGTAGTCACGCCAGCCTAATGGTCGAGTCTCGGATGGGGAAATGTATTCCAACAAGGAGAACTGGATCACTGCAAGTACTGTAGTTATTATTGTGCGGGTTGACAAAAGATCAAACGTTTTTGTTTCTGAACTTTGAGGATCAAAAAGTAGGTTTTTGAGTTTTCCATTTTCATTGCGGAGAAGCGCAATAAACTTCGTCATTAAATCAGAAACGGCGGGTACAAAAACCCGCTATCGTTTGCAAAAACCACAAATTGATCAGCGCGATGAAGCGTCTCCTATTCCTCTGTGTTCTCGGAGCTACCGTCCTGTTTGGTGACGCCATTATTATGGAAAGAAGAGGTTCATCTTATTCCGGCCATGACTTCTCGTCTTCCTCCTCTTCGTCGGAACCATCCGACTCTTCTGAAAAGGATCACGACGGCACGCGCATAGGAAAACACCATCATCATCATCATCGTTATGCGGCTAAGCCGGATGAGACGACACCACCTCGAGGACCAAAACGTTGTGAGGACGGATGGACGACGTTTTACAGACGACCCACAAATTGGTGCGTCAAGGTACCGGTTCTAATACTTTGTGCGCTTTCGGAAAAATCTTACTTTGCATTTGCAGATCTTCGTGGCGCAGGGAGCTTACGATGCGGGCCAGACCTTTTGCTCTCAATACGGCGCAGTTCTGACCGGTCTTCAAAATGTGGCCGAACGATTGCTTCTCGCCAACTTGGCATTGCCGTTCGTGAAAAGCTCAGGAGCGACTTACGGATCCACGTGGCTTGGAGCCAAGAGGACTGGACCGGGAGCGTCATTCGCGTGGACGGATGGGTACACGAACGGAACCGAGGGATTCTATTTTGCACCCCCCCAACCGGACGGTGCTCTTAGAAACGGGTAAGTCTTGTGATACCAGCCAACACAAGAGTAATTTTTGAACTACAGTATTCCCCAATCATGTGTGCAACAGTTCATAGTCACGCCCGCATGGAAAGCCAATCCCGGATGGAACCAGGCTGATTTGGACGATTGGGATTGTGACGTCTCGACGCGAGCACCGCTTTATCGCCTGTTCGGTTGTGGAAAGAAAGCTAGTGTTGATTGAAATTTGCACCTATTTCATGAATGCTAAGCAATAATGTGTTAAAGTCTCTGATTTCATTTTTAAAAAATTGGCAGAGAATTGAGCGCTCAAACGGTCCCCAGAGAGAACCCCCGTTATTATTCTGTCTGCTCCACTCACACCCATTTCAATACCTCGTGCCTCTCATAGACCAGTCAGAAGAGCAAGTGGCCGAGTCGAGCAAAAGCATTTGAAAAAGAAGAGAGCGCGAGAAAGCAGAGAAAAGGTGATAATCGAGGGGTGGGGTCTGCGCTTTCTGCTAACGAGCTCCGGCTCAGAAAGAAGTGAGTGCGAGAGGCCGATGCCCGAGCCTAATCCCCCTGTTCCGGGCCCGGTTCCGGGTCCAAATCCGGTTCCGGATGCCCATGCTTCGATCGCCCACCTAGCTACATGGACCTTCATCTACTTTATCAGTCTCTCCGTGTGTTTCGCCCTTCCCGAATGGGCTGGATGGAACATTTCCTTCATTCTAGTGGTTAGTCAGAAATCGTCCTTTGTTACCATAACATTTTATTTTCAGTCAACTGGCGTCATGGCTATCACCAGCGGCCCGGGCGCCGAACTCGAAAGGCGTAGAACTCTGCTCTACGTGCTCTTCGCCGCAATGCCAATTTTCTGGCTACTCAAGGTTGGAGGTCTGCTTATTGGTGCATGGGTGAGTACTTAGAACTGGTGCAGAAATTATTTGTATTGACGCCATCATTTTCTTTCAGAATTGTGTGTGAATCTGTGGGACTATGAACAATTGTTTGTAGTTGTTTAGTCAAGTCGATCACACTTCTTTGTAACACTTTTTCTAGTAATTTAGTCGTTTTTCAGCCTCTGACTATCGGCGCAACCGTCTACAAAATCAATTGCGATGGCCACGTGTCGCTGCAATTCATCGTGACATCCATAAAGACAAAGGCCCTGGAAATGCACAAAACCTGCAACGAAGTTCTTGGCCAACAGAACTCACACATTCTTCCCGTTTTCTATTTGTTCCTAGCCGCCTATTACGCTGCCGCTCTCGTCAGTCTTCTCAACTTCAGACTGGACATCTCTGCTCTTTTGGTCAGCTCCGCACGGTCTCCAGAGCTGACAATATGGGCGTGGCCTCGGCGGCCAAATGGCGTTTTAATGAATTGAGCAGGTTTTCTGTGATTTTTGTGGTCAACGGCGACGAAAAATGATTGTTCGACATGAAAACACACTAATTCGCAGAATTAATGACGCTTTGGCGCATTTTTCGCCGCCGATCGCCGCCTAAAAACCGCACTTCTCATTTTGCGCTTTCTTGACCGTTTTCCGACAGAATTGGTTTTGAGAATGATAAATCACGTGAATACAAGCATTTTGAGCGCTCGAACCGCGAAAATTACCAAAAAGCAACTGAAATTCACGCAGTTTTAGCCAAAAACCTTCAAACGGATAAATGTGATTTGCGACTTGACCAAATTTAACGCTCTTGCGCTTAAAAAATTCGTAATAGCCTATACAATCGGTCTGTCGAGAGGCAAATGAGAAATTATCGGTTTTTTGTGGCTAATCTGGCAAAAAACACAAATTTTGCTGTTAAAATTTGAATTTCGCGCCAATGTATCGCTCTATTGTAAGCTCTGGAGACCGTGGCTCCTAATATTTCCTATTTTGGCTTTATAATTAAGCGTTCAGGTGCTGACATCTGACCTGTTTTTCACATGTCTCTTGAGAATGCGTTTTCTGGAATTCATCACTATCGCCGCTTTCTTCAAGCTCTTCGTCGGTGTTCCGTACGTTCTGTACATGAGCAGTGGCATTGGAGCTATAAGTGTGGTGAGTTTGAGATCACAGCTCTTAGTAAGAGCTTTAAAATTAAAAAAAAAACGAAACATGTTCAGTACTTTTCCTTGTTCGCCCTCACCGTCTCCCTCTCTGTGGCCGTCTATTTCTACGCGGACAATCGCAAAAAGACCAGCGCGATTCGAGCGATGGAAATGAGAACATTGGGAACGATTGCCGAGGTTCTGGAAGTGAACGCCGACTTTCGCGCAATGCAAATCAGATACCGACGCGCCGTCGCCAACGGATTCGTGCTCGTCGATCCGAAATAATCAGAGAATGTGATATACGTTTGTGATAACGTTTCTTTGCGAGCAAAACAAGTGAATTCCTATTAAATGCTTCGAATGATGATCTTATCCGACTCTCTGCCATATTATCCAATTTATACTGCTATTTGAGTAGCTGTTTTATGAAAGTAGAATATTGAAATGTTGAAGAAGCTCTTACAATTAAAAGTACTAGGGCGTGGCCTAGAAAATGTGGGCATGGCCTAGAAAAAGTAGGGCGTGGCCTAGAAAAAGTAGGGCGTGGCCTAGAAAAAGTAGGGCATGGCCTAGAAAAAGTAGGGCGTGGCCTAGAAAAAGTAGGGCGTGGCCTAGAAAAACTAGGGCGCGGCCTAGAAAATGTAGGGCGTGGCCTAGAAAAAGTGGGCATGGCCTAGAAAAAGTGGGCATGGCCTAGAAAAAGTGGGCATGGCCTAGAAAAACTAGGGCGTGGCCTAGAAAATGTAGGGCGTGGCCTAGAAAAAGTAGGGCGTGGCCTAGAAAAAGTAGGGCGTGGCCTAGAAAAAGTAGGGCATGGCCTAGAAAAACTAGGGCGTGGCCTAGAAAATGTAGGGCGTGGCCTAGAAAAAGTAGGGCGTGGCCTAGAAAAAGTAGGGCGTGGCCTAGAAAAAGTAGGGCATGGCCTTGAAAAAGTAGGGCATGGCCTAGGAAAAGTAGGGCGTGGCCTAGAAAAAGTGGGCATGGCCTAGAAAAAGTAGGGCGTGGCCTAGAAAAAGTAGGGCGTGGCCTAGAAAAAGTAGGGCGTGGGCTAGAAAAAGTGGGCATGGCCTAGAAAAAGTGGGCATGGCCTAGAAAAAGTAGGGCGTGACCTAGAAAATGTAGGGCGTGGCCTAGAAAAACTAGGGCGTGACCTAGAAAATGTAGGGCGTGGCCTAGAAAAAGTGGGCATGGCCTAGAAAATGTGGGAATGGCCTAGAAAAAGTAGGGCATGGCCTAGAAAAAGTAGGGCATGGCCTAGAAAAAGTAGGGCATGGCCTAGAAAAAGTAGGGCGTGGCCTAGAAAAAGTAGGGCGTGGCCTAGAAAAACTAGGGCGTGACCTAGAAAATGTAGGGCGTGGCCTAGAAAAAGTAGGGCGCGGCCTAGAAAAACTAGGGCGTGACCTAGAAAATGTAGGGCGTGGCCTAGAAAAAGTGGGCATGGCCTAGAAAATGTGGGCATGGCCTAGAAAAAGTAGGGCATGGCCTAGAAAAAGTAGGGCATGGCCTAGAAAAAATAGGGCGTGGCCTAGAAAAAGTAGGGCGTGGCCTAGAAAAAGTAGGGCGTGGCCTAGAAAAACTCGGGCGCGGCCTAGAAAAAGTAGGGCGTGGCCTAGAAAAAGTCGGGCGTGGCCTAGAAAAAGTAGGGCGTGGCCTAGAAAAACTCGGGCGCGGCCTAGAAAAAGTAGGGCGTGGCCTAGAAAAAGTAGGGCGTGGCCTAGAAAAAGTAGGGTGTGGCCCAGAAAAAGTAGGGCGTGGCCTAGAAAAAGTAGGGCATGGCCTAGAAAAAGTAGGGCATGGCCTAGAAAAAGTAGGGCGTGGCCTAGAAAAACTAGGGCGTGACCTAGAAAATGTAGGGCGTGGCCTAGAAAAAGTAGGGCGTGGCCTAGAAAAAGTAGGGCATGGCCTAGAAAAAGTAGGGCGTGGCCTAGAAAAACTAGGGCGTGACCTAGAAAATGTAGGGCGTGGCCTAGAAAAAGTAGGGCATGGCCTTGAAAAAGTAGGGCGTGGCCTAGAAAAAGTAGGGCGTGGCCTAGAAAAAGTAGGGCGTGGCCTAGAAAAAGTAGGGCGCGGCCTAGAAAAAGTAGGGCGTGACCTAGAAAAAGTAGGGCGTGGCCTAGAAAAAGTAGGGCGTGGCCTAGAAAAAGTAGGGCATGGCCTAGAAAAAGTAGGGCATGGCCGTCAACTACAAAAGTATGAATAATGTGTGCAAATATTGAAAGTCATAGAACGTCTACATCTCTTGCCATCTTCATGTTTCACTGAAAGTTTGCCGCTTCGGCTTTCCCGAACACTTTCTATTCCGAGCATTCATAAAACCTATACGTCACCTCAAAGATTATTATGATCACATTGGCAACAAGCTCGTGACTCTGTCCCCTTCGGAGCCGTCTCTGTTTCTCTTTTCAGACCACATTACCTCATCGAAGCGACGGAAAGAGGACGTGAAAGCGAGGAGGAGAGTGCCGACATTGAGCAGAGCAGAGCTCCTTCGTTTCGCCCCCGACACTTTCTGTCTTCTCCCATTTTTATTAGCGAAATGCAGCAGCGACCTCCTGCTTCTCCGGAACCTTCAGAAGAGCTGGAGACCGATGAAAACGACGTTCTGAAGATTGTTTCGATCAATTTGGCCGCCAGTTGGCTGGCCGGTCTATCTCTTTACGTGGCAGCAGAATATGAATCCCTTCTTTGGCTTCTCGTTTGTCTCGTTGCGGTAAGTTCAAAATCATTTGGCTTGTTTTCTGGTCGTCTTGCAACTCTGATACTATGAAGGGAAATCCGCTAAGGCAACAGTTCAAAATTTGCTTAAATTCGAGTCAAGCTTGAAGAAATTTTCGGACTGAAAACCGCTCCCAGACTATTGTTTCAGCCAAATGAACATTTTCGCAAAGTCTGACTCGTCGCTCGTCGCTCTGACCCCAGCGCTAACTTTTTTCTTGTCGCTCTAGGAAAACAGTTCATAACTCGAAAACTAATTTTTTTTGAAATAGACGATCAACTACAAACTTATTCACGAGATAATTTGCGTTAACTTACTAGTTGACCATATTTGCAACGGACGCGTGGTTCTTGAGATACAGGTCGCCGAAGATGAACTTGCCAGGAAAATGTGGCAGAAACAGGCAGATTTACTCGCCAGCCAGTGAGTGCTCTTAGCAAAAATAGAGAGCAGATTCGGATTCTCCGTGAAATTCTCTTTCGAATCGTGTAGGTCCCATTCCAAAAGCGCAAGGTAAGTGCGGGCCATTCCCTAGTTAGCGAAATTCTGAGAGTTCCCTTGTGAAGAATACGAATTTCAGTACTGCTTCCTGCTGAGCAAATGCTGGCGCGACAAAGCCGACAGTCTCTCGGAACCCGGCTCTCCGATCGTCATCATCCTCTTCTCCATTCTAACCTACTTTTCCATACAGTACATGGGAGTTGCGACGAGTGGATGCGTGAGTATCGCCTCCCAATCAACTGTTTCAATCAACTGTTTCTTTTAGTACCTGATGGGCACGCTTTCTCTCATTCAAATATGCCGTGAAGCGTGGTACCCTTTCGCGGAAATCTTCCAGTCGGCCATCGAAAAGATATTCCTGGATCCTCGCCCCGAAGATCCCATTCCACGTTTCTACTGGCTGCAACAAGTCGGCGTTCCGTTCGGCGGTTGCGCACTGAGCACTTTTGTCAAAATCTACACTGGACACAATCATCCGGACTATTATGAGTTTGTACTGCTTTTGGTAAGCCCAGCCCGGCCCGGGGCACACAAACTACATTGATATTGCACGTTTCTAGTCGATGGTCCACGACTACCTGGTGCCACTTTACGCCGAATGGTACTTTGTCGAGTGGTTCATCGTCTCGTTCTCTTCAAAATGCACCGTTTGGATTCTTCTCAGAATCTTCTATAAATTCGGAGGCTTTGCCATAAGCATTGTAAGTACCGCACTCGCCTTCTAAACAGCAGCCACGGTCTCGAGAGCTGACAATATGGGCGTGGCCTCGGCGGCCAAATGGCGTTTTCATGAATTGAGAGCAGGTTTCCTCTGATTTTTGTGGTCAAAGGCGATGAAAAATGATTGTTCGACATGAAAACACACTAATTCTCAGAATTAATGACGTTTTGGCGCATTTTTCGCGGATTTCGCTTTTTCGCCTTCGCCGCCGATCGCCGCCTAAAAACCGCACTTCTCATTTTGCGCTTTCTTGACCGTTTTCCGACAGAATTAGTTTTGAGAATAATAAATCACGTAAAGACAAGCATTTTGAGCGCTCGAACCGCGAAAACTACCGAAAAGCAACTGAACTTCACGCAGTTTTAGCCAAAACCTTCAAACGGATAAATGTGATTTGCGACTTGACCAAATTTAACGCTCTTGCGCTTAAAAAATTTGTAATAGCCTATACAATCGGTCTATCGAGAGACAAATGAGAAATTATCGATTTTTCGTGGCTATTCTGGCAAAAAACACAAATTTTGCTGTTAACATTTGAATTTCGCGCCAATGTATCGCTCTATTGGGCGGGGCGCACTTGCGCGCCCATTGTCAGCTCTGAGGAGACCGTGGCTAACAGTATCTTTCATATTTCAGTTATTTTCCACTGCCGCCGTTTTGCTCGCTTCTTACGTCGGCGCACACATGTTCCCTGTCTACCAGAAGAATGTTCGGGAGCTCAGAAAAGTCAGTGAGGAACTGAAAATAATGAAGGCGGAGATGCGGAAGATCAAGCGAGGAATGAGGGAGTTTATGGAGAATGAAGGCTTCGAGATGGTTCCCAACGAGGCTCCGAGATCACCGGCTCCTGATTTCTAAATAATCTCCGAGAACCACTCTGTCAACAATTTTAACTTTTTAACTATACATAATATCCCCCCTACCCCTCATTCTAATGACTTATTGAGAGAAATTTTGTAGACCCTTCTGGCAATCCCCTCAAATTCATTTATCTTCTTACATCCAGCTAGCTATGGAAGTTCAATGAAAATCGGTGATATTGTTGTACACGTTTTCAGTGACTTGACACCAATTTTTCGTTTTCTGAACTGAGCCAGTAGTACCCAACATTACAGTGTACGATTTAGGGGTTTTCGATTGTTGTCACTTCATTTTCATCTCAAAACGCTGCTAGACAATGCGTGTCCCAAAAAAGTTGCCGCAAGAATCGGCATCCGTGCCGTTTTCCGCGGCAAATTGCTGTAGGGGTGCCGATTCCGTGCCATTTCCTTGCCACAACCACCCTGCTACCGTTGCTGCTCCCGTGCCGCTCAAAAACCTTGCTTCCCTCCCTCAAATCCCACTCTTTTCTGTTGCACGCCCTATCCATGCTGATTCCATGCCGGATCCGTGCGTGACACATGCTCACCACTGTGTTGAGCGGAATTCCGTCTGCCGTGGTTTTTTGTTCAAAAAAAAAAACAATTTTCTTCCGTCTTCCGTTTTCCGTGTTCCGTAAAAAAATTTTCTTCCGTCTGCCGTCTGCCGTCTTCCGGATTTCAAAATTCCATTTCCGCTCAACTCTGATGCTCACCCCATGCTACCAGAGTTGAGCGGAAATGGAATTTTGAAATACGGAAGACGGCAGACGGAAGAAAATTTTTCTTACGGAAGACGGCAGACGGAAGACGGAACAAAAAAAACCACGGAAGACGGAAGACGTCAGACGGAATTCCGCTCAACACTGCATGCTACCGTAGCAACTTGCCGCTCGCGCGCCCCACCCTTGCCGATCGGCTATGTTCTTCTAGTTTTGTCTCAATTCGATACACGAGAACACTTGGTACGAGCACAAGAGTCGGAAATGTTCAGATTGCGGGAATGTCCGTAACGGGCACAGCGATCTGGACATTTGCCACATTCACGGCTTTTTCTTCCCCGGTGTAGGGGTTCGAAGAGAAACGATTAAAGTGCAAAAGAAATCAGTTTCCAGCGGCACCTGATTTCCCGATTTTAATACTTCAGTACCTCATTCTCTCACTGTTTCTGAGCCTCCTAATGACTCTTTTTTTAAGTTGTAATTGATCACAGTCTCGACGTTTAATTCTATTCCTTTTTGGCGGCTAATTGGATGTCCCTCTCAAGTCCATCTGGTCCCAATTACCAAAGCGTTGTCTCGTTTCTCTCTCTCTCTCCTTCATTGTTTTCCTTCTTTCCGATTTCTTAGCGGAAGCCCCCCGCCGCCCATGTCTATTGATTCCCCTCCCATCCTGCGTCTCCTCCTTTTCCCCAGTCTCTCTCTTCTCTCATGTACTCGTTTTTGTCGGCATGCTTTTTTGTTGGCCGGAGTACTCAAAGTGCGAGGACAACAATTTTGTATTTTTTCAACGGTATTCGCCGTTTTGACGCCTGGTTCTTTATCACATTTGAATGTTCTACCGATTTTTGATGAATTTTGAATCAAAATTTTTGATGAACGTTACTTGTATGACAGTAGTTCCGATGTTCCGATCGCCGGTGATGATATCGGTTGTTTGAAGGTCATGCATAGAATGTTGCCAAAGCGTACCATACAACTAATTTTTGAACCCCTTCTAGACGCTTTGCAAACAGAGTTGAGCGGAAGAACACGGAAGAATTTTTTATCTTTTTTAGAAAATTTTTGCATGAAATGTGATCAACTGACGAAATGTACAGAAAAGTGAACTCTGCTCATAGAAAAATAATTGTAAATTTAGCGTTTCATACAAAGTTAAGGGCTAACCGGAAGACGGAAGGACATTTTCACGCAACAACTCGAATAACTTTTTTGTATGAAAAGCTAAATTTACAATTATTTTTCAGTGAACAGAGTTCACTTTGCTATACATTTCGTCAGTTGATCACATTCCATGAAAAAATTTTCTAAAAAAGATAAAAATTCTTCCGTGTTCTTCCGTTGACCTCTTGCAACCATACCTTCTTAAAATGCCTCTTTTCGGTTCTATTTTCATGTTCACTAAACTCGATATATTTCCGTCCAGAATGGATTCTCGTCTCAACGTGCTCCCTTCATTGGTTATCAGAAAAGCGCTGGCATTTTTATCGCCTTTGGATGCGTAAGTTCTATTTTTTTTTTTTGCTGATTTGTGTTAATTTCCATCATTTGACAGGTTCGAAACGTTTCTCTCCACACCACATTTGGTGCCCAAATTAATGGAGCATAAACTTGAATTGAACGAGATAAAAATAGAGTGTTGGGATGATTTCTACCACGTTCAAATCGGTTCGAACGAGCGAACACCTAGTGATCCCTATCCGGCAGCTCATTTGTACTTTTTGAGCACAGCCGATGATACACGTTGTCCAGGTGTGTTTTTATATCAAATACGCTACATAAATGTCTTTTTTTAGCGCTTCCAAGTTGGCAGGAGGATTGTGAAACAATATACTTGCGAGAAGATTTGCGCATTAACTTTATGTAAGTTCAAAACAATTTATCTCAGTTGTCGCTAGCGTGATCAAAAAGTTGTCAACTAATAAATTGTTCACTGAGACATTGTGTACATTTTATAAGCGGATCACTTTTTGCGATTTCTACAAACAACTACGATTCGTGACTGTTTTTATGAACAGACACAAACTGACTTTCAGATGTACACGTTCAAAAGATCGCCGCATTCATGTGACGTGCATTCCCGACAAGCAACGTCTTTTTGAAGCGTTTCGCGAGACGATCACGTTTTTCCAAAAAGTCTATCGATTCGCAGCCAGCTCAACTTCAACGCTCACCATTCATTCGAACAATGTGCTCAATGTGCACAGTATTCGCTTTGAAAAGTTCCGCAATTTCAACATTTTCCTGAGGTCCAACACGATCGCTCCGTGCTGGTTTATGAGCTGGTTGCTCGAGAATTTCGAGCTGAACAAGTTGCACACTCTTCGCCAGGACGTTTTCGAGAATTTCAGCCCGAAAAAGGTAAGCCACGCACGGTCTCCCAAGGGGCGCTAATGCTAAACACAGTGCGCTCGTAAATTGCGGAGTGTCGTTGTAACTTTTGAAAATTTGCAGGTCTGAAAATGCAGTTCAATTCGAGTTTACGACCTTTATTTCTTTCTTTTTGACTTGAAAAACGTCCAGAAAACAATATTTTACTGATTGGAAACCGTTCTTTACAGAATTTAGAGTTTTTCTTGTTTTTAGCGTCTTTTTCGCATTTCAGCTCATTTAGCATTTCATGAGCACAACGAACGATAAAAATGTTCGCTGAATCTTTTTTCACAAAATTCCGGTTCCGGCGGTTAGTTTTCTTGAGCAGTTTTCGAAAAATATTCGAAAAACATCAAAATCCAGGCCAAAACCTTCAAATCGAAATAACTCGGCTAATTCTCAACGATATGCGAGATTTCTGTTACCAAAACGTAGCTAGTGCTCTAATTATTCGACGCCATGTTCCAGGCGCACAAAAAAACAGGTGTATTGTATAGAAAACATGGAAAGAACGCGGCCACCCGTTGAAAATTAATTAATCGGCCGCCGCGTAAATCGACACAACCCGCCTGTTGCAAGTGCGCCCCATTGAAATCATTCGCGCCGTGGGAGACCGTGGCTATGGTGTTTGTAGACGTCCAACAGTTGTCGTCATTATTTTCAGCCAATCCGATGTCGTGAGGAATTCCGCACCGTTGGAAATTGGGTCACATTCGAGATCCTACAGAAAATCGACTCGCCGACAATTTATCTCCGTCAGCCGCTCGTCAAGACGGTTCAGATGAACGCATATATCAAAATGTGGACGGTCGGAGAAGTTGGACAGAATTTGAAACTTCTGCACATTGACGTCATCGTCTCGGCTGCGATTGAGGATCTCAAAAAAGGGATAGAAGTGGAGGAGACGACTGATTTCGAAGTTCCGGGAAAGTTCTGCGCCGGCTCGTACATTTCCAATCGGATCACCGACGGATTCAACGTTCGTCGGACCACTGATAACGCCGTTTTCACAGTCGCCGTCGGCAAATCCTCCTTTTTTATGTTCGCGCGGAACCATTAACCAATTCCTGTTCCCTTTGTCTCGTGTTCTGATCTCCTCATGATATCCATAAAAAGTACATACCGTAAATCCGCACACTGTTCTCTAAAGACAATATATCTGAGTTGCCGATAGAGATATCAAATAGTTGTCAACTGATAAATTGCAGAGAAAGACATTATGCACATTCTATCAGTTGACAACGTTTTGATATCTCTATCGGTAGCTGAGATAAATCGTTCTGAATTATCCTCAACTATAATTCTGTTATTCACCATTGTTGTACTCTTGTGTTTTGAGCTCCAGATCAGTCAGACCCATTCAGACCCATTCAGACCCATTCAGATCCATTCAGACCCATTCAGACCCATTCAGACCCATTCAGACCCACTCTCTCCTCCAAGCTCCACCGAATCCAAGTCAGAAGAGCTCAATTTCCTTTATTCTGGCAGAAGCTCACGAGATTTAATTCCAAAACCCAACACGGTTTGGACTGGCCAAAACAAAACATTGAAATGTGTGCTTTCGATTGTTGTCACCTCATTTTCATCTCAAAACGTTGAGAGTGAGCAAACGAAGACGTCATCTCTTAAAAGTCACGAACTTTTTGCATTGTGAGCACCCTGGCCGGTGCGGGGAGAAATTCTCGAAATAATCGATCGGAAGTGCGGCGGTTTCCGTCCGTTTCACTTTTTGCCCTCCCCCCCCTCCCTTCTTTTCCTACTTGACACCTTTTTGCTCTTTTTCAGTGAATAGAGGTCGTTATCTGACTTTTCTTCTTTTCTTTTTCCTTCCCACCTTGAGCACTGATGATTCATTGAGAGCCAACATCAGTTCGGTTGACTGATAATATCCGACAAAAAAAGTTGAAGAAGAAAAAGAAGAAGAAGAAGAAGCAAAAGAGATTCCTTTGATGGTGTCTGGTGTGATAGAGCTTTAACAGCAAAGAGTCTGATGAGCTTTCGATGCGATAATACACGAATTAGACGTTCTTAGACCCTTTCCTGCCTCCATTTGTACTCCTAACATTGTAGGTTGCTCATTTTCTACAGCACTCTTTGCAAGTCCTAGTGATTTATAAATAAATAATTTAGGTCTCTCTAGCAGCAGATTTTTGACTTGATAAACATGTTTTCCTGTTTACAAGCTCTCACTTTTTTCCTCGATTTTAGTTTATGCCACATTTAATAAACTTTTCAGCTTCCAGATGTCATAAATCGATTTTCTACAAGTTGTACTCGATCTCCCCTCCCCTTTCCAAAATAATCTATATCATTGTTCATTCCAATTTCCGGTCAACCCACACATTTTCCTTCCGTCCAAATATATCACACGTTTTTGCCGCCGCTAGTAAGTAGTTAGTACCTATTGTTGATAGCCGCTCGGCCCCCTCTCCTTCGAATCGACAATATTCACAAAGATCGCTGTGTGCGACGAGCATCAAAAAACATCCTTCGACTTGTCTCGTACATGACGTTTTTCGTCTTCGTGGAAATGAGCACGAAATGTGTACCTGTCGATCAAGAGACGTTTCTCACTTTTTCCCACTAGTCGTCTATTTGCGGCCTCCTCGCTTCTTCTTCTTCGTCTTTTTTTGGGGCGTGAAGAATCTGAAGGGAAATGAGCGGTTGGAGCATCAAGTAAAAATGTAAAAAAGCCAATTTCTCATCAAGCCGATTCACACTTTTTGCGTCTCCTTCTTCTCCTTCTTCTTCTTCTTCTTCTTCTTCTTCTACTTCTTCTCCGTCGTCGACAACGACGACGACGACGCCTTTTTAAAATTGGTTTAGTTAGGCAAACAGAGCGAAATGAGCAGAAAAGGGACTTCTCGTCAGAAGCAGGATGCACCTTGTTTTCGGTTTTGATTTTGTGTGTGTGCAACTACAAAAATGTTGTACTAGGTATGTATATTGTGCAAAACAAATTCGAAATTGATTGGATCTCATCGAATGCTACAATACTCGAAAATAAATGGGCTCCGAGTGCTCTTTGAGCTGATACAACTACAAAATGCTCGAAAATCATAATAAAAGTTGTGCCAATTAATCGCAAATCTTCATGTGACTTTCTGTTCCCAACTTATTAATCCATCATGTTTTTTCGTCGGTCTTTTGGCGCCAAAACAGGGCGTCGCCTCTCTTTTTTGGTTATTTTACGGCACTGCGAGCTTGAGCTTCAGCTTGAGCCTGGGCTCCAAAAAGCTCCGCCCCTTTTGCTTGGCGCTAGAATTCTCGACAAGTCTCTGGTTTTTTTTCTTTGGCTTTCTGGCACAAATGTCGTCGTTCTTTAAGCTTTTGTGCTCATTTTGAGCTCTCTCTCTCTCTCTCTCGGGCTTATCCTCCACGTTGTTTTTCCACTTTTCACTCACTTTTCAGTATGTGTTAATGATGATGGCCGACAATCTGAACAACTCTTCGTCGTCCGACTTTGACGACTACGATCAGGATCAGATCATCGGTCTGCAATTGGGCTCCGACGCCGAGTACGAGGACATTATTGCGCAGGCACTTTGGCCCAATGTTGTCGAGCAGTGGTAGGTCGAAGTGAATGCGAACGCTTCTTAGAAAACGGCGCATAACTCAAAAATGACAAGTTTTGTGGCAAATTGGTTGACTACAAAATTATTCAGCACAAAATTTCCAACAACTCTTCAGTTGACCGCTTTTCAAAACAATCATTGGTTTCTGAGTTAGAGGCCTTTAAAGTTTGGGCTGAAAAATTAGTTTTACTTTTTTAAAAACCTATTCGAAAAGGTCAGTTTATATTAATCCTCTCTGACGCGTGAGAAGCCTTTTTTCATTCGACTATTCTTAGAAGAGACACATCTAAATGCGTATTATTCTTAAAATTTGATCACTTCAAAGAACACCTGAAATAGACTGACTTTTCCAAAAAGTGCCTACAGTAATCCATCCACAAATTCTTCCACATGACCAACTTCCTGAAACCCCCCGCACAACCTCTATTTATCCGGCTTCGAGAGCCATGCGGAACTAGTTGTGCGGGCCGTGTCTAACTCGAAAATTACGAGGATGCCTGCCGCTCGTTGACAAGTGTGACACGCGCCAAGAATGTCAATGCCACGTGTCACCTCCTTCTCCGGTTGGTTGCAGGTTCGTGATCATTTTGGCCGCGATGATGGTGATCGGAGTGGTCGGCAACACGCTCGTCGTCGTCGTCGTCGCCACGAACAAATCCATGGTGAGCTCATATTTTATTTGGCCGCCGAAATTAGACGAACCCAAGTTTGGATTAGGCTCCAACAAGTTTCGGGTAATCCCGAGCAGCGGGATGACGCAAAAGTGTGTGACACATTTGAGCGGCGCTCTTTAGTCTTAAATTTGGGCGAAAGTTACCCTCACTGAAAAAGTTTGGATTCAATGTTGTTTTCAATTTGGACGAGGACCGAGCCGAGTCGTCTGTTTTCATTAAATGTTTATTGGAATGTGTGATGACGGGGAGGGGCCACAGGGGCTGAGCTGTTGTAAAATGACGAAAAGTGAGGGATAACGAACACACACACACGCGCGCGATCGGAACAGAAGAGAGAGAGAGAGAGAGTTTTTAGGGATTCTATTGAAAAAGTGCGGAAAAAGACGTTTTCAAGGATTTAAAATATTCTACACTTTAAGAATTCTTAGAAAAGTGGTCCTGAAAACATCATCAATCGCAATGAAACGTGACCTGAAAAAAAAAAACGTTCATTACATTCAAAGCAATGTATCTCAGTTGTCTGCAGAGATATCAAACAGTAGTCAACTGAAAAAATGTGCAAAATGTCTTTTTAGGCAATTTATCAGTTGACAACATTTTGATATCTGTGCCGGTAACTGAGATATATGATGTAGAAGTGACCACAAAAATCCATCAAAATGATTACTGTACTTATTGCCAAGCCGCAAAAGTTTGACTAAAGTCTAGTCAAGCGCTTCCTCCTTGACAAATAAAGAATAAGAATGCAACCTAACATTTTTTCCATCCAGTTGCTTCAGATATTGATAATCGAAAAGTGCAAAAAATTGCTCTTCCAGCTCTGGCCTATAGTCGGTCATTCGTGTGTCTGTGTGTCATTTTCAGCCATCCACAGTGCATCAATTTCCTGCATTTTGCGTCTCTGTTAGGCGCAAATTGTCAATTTTCCAATTTTCCCCTCGTCCGCTCATTAGTCGGTGCATTATTTCACATCATTAACTGCAGCTTCGGCTGGCTTCGTGCCAACCAACAAAAAGAGGTCTCCGCCACGTGCGGAGCACCGAAAAGAGGGACAATTGGATTTGGAGACGAAATGTTTACCAAGCGAAAATGATATTTGGAACTTGGTGACGTCGTAGGCGTCTATGAACACGAAATTTCCGGTTCGATTAGAGGAAAAGTGCACAGTGTCTGGAAATGTGAGACTCGCTCACAGATCAAGTAATCAGGGCTCATTCGCATGTTCCCAAGAGAGCACAAGGTACCGAAAATAGTGCTCCGGAAGCTGGCGCAACATTAAACGCTTATAAGGGACCGAAATGTTCGACTAGAACTGTCAGAATAGTGATAAACTTCAAGATTCCAGAGTTGAGCGGAAGAACTCAACGCAGGAACACGGAAGAATTTTTATCTTTTTTAGAAAATTTTTTCATAGAATGTGATCAACTGACGAAATGTATAGCAAAGTGAACTCTGCTTATAGAAAAATAATTGTAAATTTAGCGTTTCATACAAAAAAGTTATGGGCCAACCGAAGACGGAAGGACATTTTCACGGAACAACTCGAATAACTTTTTTGTATGGAACGCTAAATTTACAATTATTTTTCTATGAGCAGAGTTCATCTTGCTATACATTTCGTCAGTTGATCACATTTCATGAAAAAACTTTCTAAAAAAGATAAAAATTATTCCGTGTTCTTCCGTTGTTCTTCCGCTCAACTCTGCAAGATTCCAAACCCTTGCCGGATCGTATCGAGCAAAACACTTGGAGCACGAATTCTCGCACATTTCGAGCCCACAGGATCATAAAAATCGACGTTGCAAATGTCACGTACACCTCAAAATTCATGTTTTGTTTCAGAGAAACGCACTCAATCTTGTGCTAATGAACCTGGCGATCGCCGATCTTCTGATCCTCCTCTTCTGTCTCCCACTCACCGTCGTCAATGACGTCACCAAGACGTTCTGGTTCTCGGCCGTCTTTTGCAAATCGGTCAACTTTATCAATGTAAGCAATTCTCTTCTTTTTAAAGTTGTGAATACTGTAATAGAAGGGCGCCACCGTCTATTCAAGAATACCGTCTATTCAAGACGGCGTATCTCAGCTGTATGCGAAAATATCAAAAAAGTGGTCCACTGCAGAAATATGCACAATGTCTTTATAAACATTTTATTAGTTGAACACTTTTCGATATCTCTTCAGACAGCTGAGATACATTGTTTTGAATGAACGGTACAGGGCAGAGTTGAGCGGAAGAACTCAACGGAAGAATTTATATCTTTTTTAGAAAATTTTTTCATGGAATGTGATCAACTGACGAAATGTATAGAAAAGTGAACTCTGCTCATAAAAAAATAATTGTAAATTTAGCGTTTCATACAAAAAAGTTAAGGGCTAACCGAAGACGGAAGTGCATTTTCACGCAACAACTCGAATAACTTTTTTGTATGAAACGCTAAATTTACAATTATTTTTCTATGAGCAGAGTTCACTTTGCTATACATTTCGTCAGTTGATCACATTCCATGAAAAAATTTTCTAAAAAAGATAAAAATTCTTCCGTGTTCTTGCGTTGAGCTCTTCCGCTCAACTCTGCTACAAGGGTCGATAAATGTTCGAAACTTACAACATTTCAAAATTATTTCATTTTCAGAACACATCAGTCTACGTGAGCATCATGTCGTTGGTTTTCATAACTTGTGAGCGGTGGAGGGCAATCACTTATCCGCTGAAGAGTCCGTTTGGGAGAACACGACCTGTTATTGGAGGTAAGTCAGTTTTTCTTGTACTTGTGCTCGAAATTTTTGCCATATTTATCGATTTTTTATCGTTTTTACGGTCTATTTGTGTTATTCTTAACATCAACGCCAAAACAGCTTGATTGCTGCACAGTTGCAAACATTTTCTCAATCTAAACTTCAGGAATCTGGCTCCTTGCGATGCTCCTCTCCTCCCCGGAGCCAGTGACTCTTCATCTGGCGCCAGCTCCCTTTGCTCGACCCAATTTCACCACTAAAGTGAGTGAAATCGATTTTCTTCTTCTCTAAACACACCTCAATCATTATTTTCAGTGGGGCACTCGTTGCAAAGAGTCGTGGTCGGAGGGCTTCCAGAAGAACTATCAGCTCGTGCAGACCATCTTTTCCTATGTGCTCCCGCTTCTTGTCATTTCGGTTTTGTGCTCGCACATGGTCCGAACTCTTCACTTCTCATCGAGTCAATTGATGTGAGTTAAGGGGAGAAAGGGATGGAAAAAGGGGTCTAGTCTTAAAAAAGGCAATTGGAGCCTTGACGTAAGGAGAAAACTAGTTATGAAGAAGATGAGGCTAGTTAGTTGTTGGTTTTCAAGATTTTCGTCTTCCCGAATGCTCAAGCCTAGTTTTTGCCACGCCAAAGTTAGTATTGATTTTCAGAGTAGCCAACCGTCAAATAAACATCCGCAAAAAAGCGGTCCGAATGCTTTGCGCCGTCGTATTCCTGTTTGCGCTCTCCAACCTACCGGTACATCTCTACAATATCGCTTTGTCAGTGTCCATCAAGTACTTTTTCTGAAGCGCCGTCCCTTTTTGCAGAAGTTACGGGTTATTGTCGAGCGACGTCGACATCAACATGATCGCAATTCGCAAACTTTTGCCACGTGTCTTCTCCTACTCGTCCTCTTGCCTCAACCCGATATTGTACAGTTTTTTGAGTGGTAAGTAGTGACCCCTGGTCGAACAACAATATTTTCATTTCAACAACATTTTGTGTATGTACACGTAAACGGATTGAGAGACGCAGAGAGATACACAGAGACCTTTTGTGCCTAGGAAATGATCAAAAGACCGGGGGGTGGGAATCAGATGAATGATAGTCAAGGTCACGGGCGATGGACCCGTGAGTTCAGGGGGAGGGGGAAATATTGTAAGATTTAGAGCGTTTTAGAGCCGGAAAACCGCAGAAAACAATAGAAAAACAAAACGAAAATGAGAGAGAATTGCAGGACGATTTCGAGAAGAGTTCAGCCGAGTGGTGTGCTGTCTGCGGGACCCGAAGAGCAGCCGCGAGTTTCGACGAAAACAGGCGTCGTTGTACGCGTCGAGCCAGCGGGTGCGAGCGAACAGTTGCTCGACGATGCTCGACCGCGAGATGTCCTCACTGATCATCAGACGTCCGGCGCCTCCCTCTTCACCTCCGCAGACGGCTCTGCCTTCGCTGCTCGAGGAAGCGACAGATTTAGTGGTTGTTCTGTCGAGCCACTGATCCGACGCGGCCGCTCGAGAAGGTTCGCGATCGACTGATGACGCTCGATAAAGTCGGATTTGGTGGAGGTGGAGACGGAAGAAGCGGGTGGCGAGAGGAATGCGGGTGGCAGCAGCATCGGAGTCCCGGGTGCCGCCATCAGAAGCTGCGGATTCGGGTTGGCGCCACTGGAAAGCGAGCGGAGACGATCGGAATGCCATTGGCGAAGCGTCCGAACATCGGCAAGCAGGGACGGAGCAGCCGCGAGCGCCTGAATGCCGCCGAGCTTTCCGAGCACACACCACAGACGCTCGGCGAGCAGCATCGGCTGCTGACAGTTCGGAATGAGGTCGGCCTGGCAGACGGCGATGGCGGTCAGAATCGGAACGGTTTGCGACGGAAGTTGACGGACACGCGCCGAAATCGATTGGATCGCCTGTGGAATGACCGGATTGGCAGCCGCCACGTCATAGCCAACACCACCGGGCGGGAACGACGAATGCGCCGACGCGAGAAGCATCACGTCGAAGACACTGTTCTGCAAACGATTTGATTCGACTTGTGTGCACTGTGATATAACAATTTTGTTCGAAAAATAAACGATACCTGTAGTAGATGAACTCGTTGCGTTTGCGGAATCGAGAGGAACGCGGGGATCGAGTTGGCGAAATCGATGGCCGCTTTCAGTGGGATCACGATGAAGTTGGAGGAGATCGGACAGCGATCCGTGTACACCGGCGACGTGCATTTTTCCAGCTGAAAACACGCTTCTTGACAATGTTTGGCCATCTTTTTTTCTCGCTCTTCTTACCGTATTCTGAAGCGTCGCGAACGCGTGATTAATCTTGTGCATGACATCGGTCAGGTTCTCGTACTGAATCGCGATCTGATCCCTCTGCGACTGCACATTCGTTTTTTGCATCTCTTCGAACATTCGCGCCTTCTCTCGCTTTGGCACGCGTCCAAAGCGCACAGCTGCAAAAAGGACACACTTTTCGGGGAAAGTACACGCGACCCGACCCGACCCGGACAAATGTTTCTTTGTGTCGTTTTGTCCGAATTCCGAAGGGCACTAATGGGGGGAAAAGAAAAGAGAAACGAATAAATTACCGTCGCGCGACATGCCCACCGACAGACACTTTTTGAGACGGCAGCATTGGCAGCGATTACGGTTGTTGCGGAGAATGAGACAGTCTTCGGTGCGGGTGCATGCTCGGTAGCTGATCTTTTGCTGGATCGATCGTCGGAAGAAGCCCTGAACGAATGAGGTTGTAGAACACGAAACGTTTTGTTGGGTGACGGCCTAACTTTCTGTATTGTGGAATTCTAGGCCACATGATCTATAGTCTGAACTTTTAGAGCGATTGCCTTATCAGGGAATGGCCCGCACTTACCATGGGCTTTTGGAATGGGACCTATATGATTCGAAAGAGAATTTCCCGGAGAATCCGTATCTGCTCTCCATTTTTGCTAAAGAGCACTCACTGGCTGGCGAGAAAATCTGCCTGTTTCTGCCACATTTTCCTGGCAAGTTCATCTTCGGCGACCTGTATCTCAAGAGCCACGCGTCCGTTGCAGAAGTGGTCAACTAGTAAGTTAACGCAAATTATCTCGTGAATAACTTTGTAGTTGATCGTCTATTTTAAAAAAAATTAGTTTTCGAGTTATCGTCGCTCTGACCCCAGCACTAACTTTTTTCTTGTCGCTCTAGGAAAACAGTTCATAACTCGAAAACTAATTTTTTTTAAAATAGACGATCAACTACAAAGTTATTCACGAGATAATTTGCGTTAACTTACTAGTTGACCACTTTTGCAACGGACGCGTGGTTCTTGAGATACAGGTCGCCGAAGATGAACTTGCTAGAAAATGTGGCAGAAACAGGCAGATTTACTCGCCAGCCAGTGAGTGCTCTTTAGCAAAAAGATTCGGATTCTCCGTGAAATTCTCTTTCGAATCATATAAGTCCCATTCCAAAAGTCCAAGGTAAGTGCGGGCCGTTCCCTAGTTAGATAAATTAAATAGTCCTTTGAACTTCTATTACCTTAAGGTCACAGTAAAGAAGATTCCTATTTAAAACGATTTATCTCAGCTGCTTGTAGAGTTATCGAAAAGTTGTCAACTGATAAATTGCTCAAAAAGACATTTTGTACATTTTTTCAGTTGACTGCTATTTGATATCTTTACATTCAACTGAGATACATCGCTCTGAATAAACGACTTTTACGGTAATCGGTAGTTTTTCCGTTCAAATCATTCATCTCTTCCCCTTTCCCGATCTCAATCTCAATCTCAATTCTATTCTATTTTTTTCGGATGAAAACAACCTTCTGCCCGGTCTCTAATTACCCCATTTCTCCTTCTCTGTGGACAGCCGGTCACTTCTCAGTGCACTTAGAGAGTACAGTCATTTTCGTCGGATATCCAATGCCATTCCCCTTCCATTCATTTTTTTTTCTCCCAAAGCGAATAACGAACCTTGCATCCTTCGCACGCAAAAACACCGTAATGGAATCCGCTGGCCTTGTCCGAACACACTTGACACAGAATTGTTCCAGCTGTGCCGGAAGTCGACGCGTTTTCGTCTTTAGGTGGTGGTGCTGAAACATTGGTCTGATCAGTTGGTGGCCTAGTTTGCCTAGTAGTTTTCTAGGCCAAAGTTAGTCCGCGACATAGACATAGCAACTATAAAAAAAGCAGCGAAACGCCACTTCCATATTTCATGATCACATTTCTCTCACTCTTTCTCTCCACACACACAAAAAAAATGAAAATCAGTTCAAGGCCACAGTAGTACTCTCTCTCTCTAGTAATGGCTTTTGATAAGTGATAAGGGGGGAGGGTGCCACGTCATCATCATCATCATCATGACCCACTCGTATGTCTTGCCGACGATATCCTCTGACTACAGTAGCCTACTGAACTTGACCCATTTCTCTACTTCTCTCTCTCCATCTCTATGCCATTTTCATTCCCTTGGCTGTTTTTTTTCGGCGGCAACCGATTCTTGCGTAATTTGAAATTCGGGCGCGCGCGCGCGGGTCGACCTCGAATGAATCACACTGGAAGCCAGGAGGAAGGAGGCGAGAACAAAAAGTGAGCGGATGGGGACAAGGACAGTGAGGAACGATCACATGACGATGATGATGATGACGTGGCATAATATGCGGAGGACACATGCGCGAGGAAAAGATCGGAGATCAGAGGAGCACGGGTGACGGATGAATTTTATTGCAAATGGTTCGGAAACCTTTACAGGTGTTCCAGCGATTCTAGTGAACACTTGGTAGGTTACTAATTGAGCTCAGACGTTCAGAAGCTTTGAGTTTTGGTTTTAGCTTGAGCTCAAGCTCAGTGAGCACTGTCCTAGAATCAAAAGCGCGCATAGAGCTCCAAAATGCTTCAAAAGACACCTCTAGGTACCGCAGTTTTACCAAAATCTTGAGTTGGAATAGTTCCAGACACTCTAAAGCTTCATAGTGCCCAAAAGCTTCATAGTTGTCCTAGCGAGCATTCCTCAAAGGTTCTAGGTATCATAATGTCAGTCAAAAAGCACTTTGAACACGTCTTCGAACTTTAAAATTATCAAAAATTACTTTTTTCTGCTCCATATCGAACAATCCGAACTCTTTCGCTTTCACTTTCAGTTTGTCACAAAACCAAAGTTCTCAAATCATTTCTCTCACTCTCTCTCTCTCTCTCTGCCTTCTGCTGCCAAATGCGAAAATAGTTGTTGAAATGTTTGAAAAGTAGGTCACAAAAACACTGACTAAACTTGTGGACGAGTAAACAAGACGACAGGCAGAAAGAGAGAGAGAGAGAGAGAGAGGGAGATGACGTGCCGATGCCGTCCGTGGGCGCCCGCTCGCTCTTCTTCTTCTTCTTCTTCTTCTTTTTCGTCTTCTTCGTCTTCGTCTTCATCTGTTTCGAGGTCACCTTCACACACACACACGCAACCCACCCAACTAGGTCTCGACAGAGTTTTACTATATATGACGATGATCATGAGGATTTGTGGAAATGAGAAATTTGAAAAAGGTCTCTCTGGTTCTTGGGTTGTACTATTGAGTGTAAGAAGGGGGGTCTTGTGACTTGCGAAATTACTGTAGAAGGGGGTCTAGACTGTCTAGGAGCGAAGGCACTAGGATCTAGACACATTCAGACGCGTACAATATCTGTTAACGACGGTAGAGCTGGTCTTGTGAGCTGCTCAGAAACTCAGAAGCTCTAGAAAGTACTGTAGAAGGTTTGGAACCAAGTCTCAGAAACAGACAGTACTATTAGAAGACTCTAGAAGACTCTAGGCTCACTCACCGTCAGAAGATCCGGAATCGACGCTGAACTGATCGTCGCTCGTGGAGACGACGAGTGATTGGATGGCCGACATGAAGAAGGTGTCGATCGGCGGCGGCGGCGGCGGCGGCATCAGAAGGCTCTTCGGCACGACGGGCCGGAACGCCGACGAAGGCGACGGCGAGAGCAGACTGGGCGGCGAGGCCATGCTCGGCGGGCTCAGAGAGCCAACGGCTCCGGAGGAGGAGGAATTAGTGAGGAGAGTGAGGGGTAGGTGGCAGGGAAGACTGGCACCACTCGTTGAGAGGTCCATGATCTGTGAGGAAGTAGGTGAAGAATTGAAAGAGAAGTGGAGGAAGGAGGAGGAGAAGGGGGAGGCGGAGCGTCGGTCCGCGATTATTTTGCTTTGCCAAGGACAAACTGAACTGTGTGGTAGTGGGGCAAGCGGGCGAAATGCGAAACGAAATGAATGTGTGGCGCCGTGGCCGACCGACCGACCGCCCCACCGATCCAAGTGACAGATAGGGGCGACGTGGGGGCAAAAGAAGACTGTGCGGGCAAGCGAAGCGATCGGAAGACGGAAGAAGACGCGCGCACGGCAGCATTTTTGGCGCCCTCCCCCCCCAACGGTCAATGCGATGAAAGTGACACTTCTTCTTCTTCTTCCCTTTCGGTGTAGCATTTGGAGAGAGAAGGCGAAAGGAAGGAAGGCCGTGTGGCAGAGCGAATCTATCTGAGAAGAAACTTGAAACGAAGCAAGTTGGGTTGCGTTGCGTTGTGTTGGCTACTGTAGAAGGCGAAAGGATAGGTGTGATGGATGGAACTGAGAAGACTGATCATTGAGGCTTTGGGGGCGAACGAAGTACTTTCACAGAAACTGAAGGAAACTGCCAGCATCTTGAACATATTCCGAATCCTCAGAGCCAACAGGAGCCCAGAATCCGAATTGAGAATCCCTCTATTCAATTCACACTGTTCCAGTTCTAGAACTTTGAGCTTCTATGTATAGTCTCAGCAGATTCACAATCATTTTCCAATCACTTCTATCCTTCTATTTACCCAACAATTCTCCAATTCGATCGCATCGCATAGTTGCCCAATTCGTTCGCGTTCACGCTATCCGCTAGAATTGCGTAATCTAGGTCAGTTGCATCCGAAAAGACGTCGCGCGTTCGATGGTTGAGACTAGTTGGCTTGCCCTCCAAAAACGAAAGACGAGACAATTGGAACGAGGACATATGTGTGTGTGGGAACTCGAAAAATGATTGGAAGGAGACGAAGAAGAATTGCCACGTCATCTCGTTGAAAAGCCGCTTCTTCTCTCTCTCCCTCTCCAAGTGTTTCATTTCGCTTTTTCATTTCACTTTCTCACACCACGCGAAACGGATGCCAATGAGACCGATTATCTTCGAAAACTGGTACTAAAGTGTTAAAAGTTAGGTGCCTAGCGGTCAACCTACCGTACTTCCCACTTGACGTCATTTTTCACAGCTACTGGCGGTGCCCACGACACCGTTCCGATGACTAACAGAGCCACGTCACTGGTCCGACGCGGTTGAGGTACCTCTGGGCATTCTGTAGTTTGCCACGTGTCATCAGAACTCCAGCACGTTCTGAAGGATTATTGTACTTGGTTTCAACCGTATCCTTGTCTTCTCGCCCCCAGTGCCACGTCATCTACAGTAACCCCTTCCCATCCTTTCTTCCCCCCCATTTCAATGCCATTCCCTTTCCCGTGGAACACCTTCCGCCTCATATAACTTTCCTCTTCTCAAACACATTCAAACGACGTCTTTTTTGTTCTTCGTCCCCCCGTGGCGTCGGAGCGCGCGAAAACTTTTGATTTGAAATGGGGGGAAAAAGGAAAAGATCTTCATGCCAATGGCCTCCAATCGTCTCCGGCGCCATCGTTGCGCTATGAGAAAGGGGGAGAGAAAAATCGAAAAAATGCGGAGAAAAGAACGGTTTAGCTGGCGGGCAATCAAGGTCGTCAGCACCCATTCGCCGCCGTCCGCCAAATCAGCACACATAGTTAAGACCAGGAAAAAGAGAACAAAAAACCAAAGGGGCCTTGAATTTTACAATGTTTTGCCGTAAACAGTCTGTGACCTACTTTTCAACAGGACTTTTCATTTTCACAGGAAAGAAACAGAACACCTAAATTTTGGGTCAATAAATAGGAAAAAGAGGGGAAAATAAATAAATTATGATTCTTTGTGGATGAAGGATGTGAATACAATGATAAAGTGACTTCAGATACATTTCAAACTATTCTCCCGTATTCGAATGCTGCTCTTCTCTGACTATAAAATACACTATTCACAAAAATATAATCAGATGCCGCTGACGGAGCGCGGATCGTGGTTGAGCGATTTGGAGCGGAGAGTGAAGTATTTGCGAGTCTCGTTGAAAATGAAAACGGATGAAGTGATGGTCGTCAGGAAGATGAGATCTGCAAAGGAACCCGGTACATAGGTGTTTTGTATTGCGCACCGGCAGTTCGGGACCGGCGAGTGGGAGGGGCCTAGTTCGGAAAACAAAATTTGGCAGTCAAGTTGTTCTGACTGTCTGAATTACTTCTATGGGTCATATTCGATCAGTTTCCATTTATTTGAACCCACTAGGATACTTGTTACATGCACTACAGTCCACTAATGAACAGATTACTGGAATGTCCTTAAGGGGCAGCAATCTGGACATTTCCGACTTTACCGCGACCGTAATAGTCAGGTTGTGTCAGGTTGCGCCAAGTTTTTTAGCCTTTTCCACAGGGGGGTCTTATGGTTGCCGCTGGTTCGGAAATTTCAAAATGTTTTGGCGTTTCTCAAACAACCCGAACCTATGAACCCGTATATTCTAATTGCTCTTTGTACACATTTCTTACCAAAGAGCGAAAGAGCCTCGGTCTGGAAAATGTGTTGAAGCGGCGACCAGTAGATGACGAGCAGTTGGCAGATGAGCGACGCGGAGACCGCCAAACAGAACATCCGGTTGCGACGGATCCCGATTTGCCAGATCATTTTGCGCGACGATCGGCACGAGAGCGCATTCCACATGTCGAAGAGCACGAAGCACGTGAACGTCATTGTCGTGTCGCGCGGCGTCACTTTGTTGTCCGCTGACATCTAGAATGAAACGGAGACCCTAAGAATTGAACCATATTAGTGGCCCGTACCTCTTTATAAAACACGCTCAACGTGCCGACGACAATGATAGCTGCCGAGGCGAGAATGTCTCCGATGAGTTTTCCGGTGAGCATCGGCTGTTTCGTATTCCTCGGCCGCTGCCGGATGATATCATCGTCGACTGGTTCCACGCCGAGAGATTGTGCCGGCGGTCCGTCCATGATAATATTGATCCACAGAATTTGCATCGCATTCAACGGGTTCTCGAACTGGAACATTGTGGATGCGGCGATCAGTGAAAGGGCGGCGACGCTTCTGAAATTTAAACTTTGGAAGGTTTTTCTAGACGTTTTGCAAACTTACGTTGATAGCTGGAACCTGACAAAGTTGGTAATGTTGTGATAGATGGCTTTTCCCTCCTCGATCGCGGCGGTCATCGTCGAAAAGTCGTCGTCGCAGAGTATCATATCGGCCGCTTCTTTACAAACATCCGTTCCGCACAGACCCATCGCCACTCCAATGTCCGCCTTTTTCAGTGCGACCGCGTCGTTCACTCCGTCTCCGGTCATCGCCACAACTTCTCCCAGCGATTGGAGAGCCTTCACAATTTTGAGTTTATGGCGAGGGGATGCTCGGTAGAAGACTGTCACTTGACGGATCACCAGCTCCAGGTCGTGGTCCGACATCTGATCCACTTGTTGGCCGGAGAGGCACGAATCCGTGCTTGAGAGGATTCCCAATGTGTGTCCTGGGAGATTGAAAGTTTGTCTCACTATTAGGGGTGTCCGCCCACTCACCTATACTCTGTGCAGTCTCCATGGCATCTCCAGTGATGAGCTTCACGTCCACTCCGCTCGCCTTCACAATACTGATCGCATCGGAAGCGCCGGGCCTCGGCGGATCCATCATTCCGACCATTCCGAGGAACATCAACGACTGCATACTCTCCCCGCGAGCCACTCCGAGCACACGAAGCCCTCGGCTTCCCAGATCCTTTCCAATCTCTAAGACCATCTGGCGACTGTACTGATCGCAAGGTTTCCGTTGATTATCCGAAGAGTAGTAGGATCCGCACTGCTCGAGCACTCTGTCCAGGGCTCCCTTGATGAAGTAGACGGTCTGTCCGTTCGAGTTGTCCGCGCATTGGACGCCCATCCATTTGGTGTCCGACGAGAACGGCATTTCTCGGAGGCGCTTGTACTGATTGCGCACGTCTTCGAGTCTCGCCTTCTTCGCCAGCACCACAATCGCTCCTTCGGTCGGCTGTCCCAGAAGTTTGTCTGCTTCAATTGTGGCGTTGTTACAGACAAGGCCAGCTTCGATGATTCTGGCAAACTCGGGATGGCTAAACTGTTGGATGATCTCTCCGTTCCAGGTGACGACTCCGCCGTCCACCGAGTATCCGAGCCCCGTCACGTCGGCCAGTTTGCCCTCTGGAGTGGCCACTACCTGCGCCGTCATCTCGTTCTTCGTCAGAGTGCCAGTCTTATCCGAGCAGATGACAGTGACGCATCCGAGTGTCTCGACCGCCGGCATCTTTTTCACCACCGCCCGTCTCTTCGCCATTCGCATCACTCCGATCGCCAAAGTGACGGCCACCACGATCGGAAGACCTTCGGGAATGGCGGCGACGGCCAGAGAGACTCCGATTGTGAACATGTCGACGATGTTTCTGCCCTGGAAAAGACCGATCAGAAAGATGACGGCGATCACTCCGAACGAGTAGAATGAGAGCTGTTTGCCGAGTTCGTCCATGCTCTTTTGCAATGGGGTTTTCGGCGATTCCTCGCCCATCATCATTTTGACGACTTCTCCGAATTGCGAGTTGGCCGCCGTTGAGATGACGATTCCGCGGCCTCTTCCCGAGCAGACAAGGGTTCCCATGAAGGCGATGCACGTCAGGTGCTCCACGTCTGTTCCTTTTCCGACCACGGGAACTGCTTTCGTTTCCTGAAATTACAAATTGAATGGTTTCGGAATTCCTAAACTTCTCCGTACCTTGTGCTTCGGCTCGGTCTCTCCGGTCAGTGAGCTCTCATCGATTTGCAGCGAGAAGCTCTCGGCGATTCTCAAATCCGACGGTATCCGATCGCCGGTGTTCAGCAGGACGACGTCTCCCGGCACGAGCTCTCTCGCGAGCATCATCGCCTCCTTGCCGTCCCTCAGCACGTGGCACGTGGGCGGAACGAGCTTCGTCAACTGCTCCAGTGTCTTCTCGGATCTGTACTCTTGCACGAATCCGACCGTCACTACAATCACGACGGCGACCGTGATCGAGATCGCGTCGTCGTACTGCTTCATGAGAATCGAGACGATCGCGGAGGCGAGGAGGAGGAGGATGAGCGGGTTTTGAAACTGTTCGAGGTACTTTTTGTAGATGGGCTCCTCCTCGCCGACGTCGAACTCGTTGTATCCGTGATATTGCCGTCGTCGCGCCGCTTCCGCCGTCGTAAGTCCTTCTTCGACGTTCGTGCGAAGTTGATGACTGCACGGAACGACTTCGTGCGTGGCCGCCTGCTCCGCCGACAGCGTCTCGATCATTATGTCGTCTTTCGGCTTCGAGATGCTCTTTCGATTCGCGTTGTGCTCCGCGTTCACCAGCGGCGTCGATTGCTGCAAAGATTTTCGTATTTTCAGTTGTTTTTAGACGCCAAAAGTGTTTCAACGTGCACTCTCCACAAACAAACAAAACATTCACGCTTTATTTTGAAAGTCTCAATGCCCATGATCATTTCAAGAACAGCGTGGGCATTTTCAGACCATTCTATCCTGAAATCACACAAAATACGAACATGAGTAAGTGTCGCAGAAGCAATGGGAGCAGTGTTGCCCTGCACTCGAAAGATCGCTGTCGTCGCTTGCGGAGCTTCCTTGTTCTGAAAAAAGAGCATATTTCGCTTCATAAACCGCTAAGATGTTTGTAGTTTATTCCCCATTTTTTGTTACCTTGACAGAGCTCGCAGAGCCATTGCTAGCCGCCGGCTGGCTTCCCGTGGATCCGTTCATGATAATCTTTCCCCAAGTCGCTTTTTCGGCTCTAACAAATCAGATTTTTCGAGCGAAAAAGAGTAAGAGCGAGAATAATGGGCGCAATATAATGATGATGGACGATCGTAAAACGGGCCAGTGAGAACTATATGCAACAAGAGAGAAACGAGAAGAAAAGTTTGTGAAGCACTTTTTTGTCTACACGATTCTGATTTTGATTTGCCTATTCGATTCCATAACAACGACAAGAGATCATTGAATGCGAGGAGACGCAGAGAACGGGCAAAACACGTCATCCTTCCGAACGGAGAACGCAAAAGAAAGCAACATAAAACATTTTTTGCTCAAAGTGTTTGCTTCCGATTATCCTTTTGCACTGTCATGCTTTGCAAAAAGTGAAAAGTTTCAATTTTCACGAAATCCAAAAAGATGACTTATTTTTGCCAGATTAATGAAAATGAGGTCAAGTAGTGGTTTCCGTAGGTTAAATAAGACGGAAAAGTGAGAACAGGTACCCGTTTTATTTATCTATCATCAAAATCTTTTTACAAGTAAAAAAGAGTACCGTATTCGAAACATCTGACTTTTGCCACTTCAGGCTATTCAGTCACATGATTCAATCGAATAGGATGAAATGAAATGGAATAACAGAACAGATCGTTTCTGGAGATAGAGTGAGGAAGGAAAAATGGGCTGGAGAGGTACGGAACAGGCTGAAAATCATTCAGAAAACTAACGAAAAGCCACATTTCTAGTGAAATTGGTTCATGCTGAAATGTTCCATTTCAGCTCAAGTTAGAGCCAAACTAGGAAGAAGGTGCTCCTGAACCTTTTCAAATGTCACGGAGGGGAAAGTCGCTCAGGTTTCTCTGTTTGCAACAATTTGTGCTAAAACGCTCGTCTCTGATGATAGAGAATATCCGAGAAAAAGAGGAAGGAGAAGGAGGCGCTAATCTATTCAAATTACATTCGGATGTCGTGTGTGTGTCTTCAGGAAGGCACGCATCACCCGAAAATGCCCCTCTTTCCGTGCCTACTTATCATTTCGGAGCAGAACGACACTTTCAGTAGTTACATAGTAGTAGTTGAGCCAAGACGGGAAGGCGAGAAAAGTGGTGATGACACCGGCGGATTAGCCGCTGATTTGTCCTGATTTCCTTTTTTCGCTCAGACTAGACTGGTCGCCGAAAAGAAAAGGATTATTTTCAATTTCCGTTTGCCAAAACAAACTTATTATGAGATTGTGACGCCCAGAAACAGTACAGAAAAAATTATTGTTCTCTGGTTTTGACGCGAATGCTCTTGACTCTTGACGCCAATTTTTCCACTTTTTCTACTGAAAATGCACCTGTTCTCAGAGCTTCACCCAATGACGTGGAACTGAAATATTATTGACAAAAAGTCGCGATGGGGCGTGCGAAAAACAGCCAGTTCGTTGCCAATGGCCATCAGAAATGAGGTGGGCTGTGTGTGGGAGTGAATTTGCATATAAATTGAGGGAATTTCGAAGAGTTCATACTAAATTTTTTAACTAGAATCTAGGAATGCGGATGAGCTCTATCACAATTGTTGGCTAATTTCAAGTCCTGGCGATTCAAATGGAGCTCACAATCTTAGCGATCTTCAGCTTTTCCGCTTTGGCATCTGTTTTTCTAGGAACACTTTGATGATAAGCTCAAATTTAAAGCTCGGGATCTTTACAATCTTATCATTGGGTGATTCAGTTCAGAAATCTGAGAATTTCATTGACATCTTAAGTCTGGCTCAAAATGAGCTCATGATATGGAAATCACGCATTCGAGCTCAACATTTTAAGTTCCTAAGCCTGTCAACTTTTGCTGCGAGCACGGGCGTCTTCTAGTAAAGGAATAGGGCACTTTTGATGAATTTCTGATGCATCTTCAGGAGGCCGGCAACGTCGACTTTTCCTCCTCTCTTTGCTTGTTTGCAATTAGGAGAGACGACCCGCCGGAGGCGTCTGAATCCAAAAGTAGGCGCCGTCGCGCAAGATTATTTTTTTTTCTACTTGCTTTTTTCTATATCAGAAAGAGAAAAATTGTAATGAAGGGAGGAGGAGAAGACGAGCGTGAAGGCATTGTGCCGTCATCGGGCTTCGAGACAAACATTTTCCGGTTGGATGACACTGAAACACACCGGCTCACGGCACGGCGCACAGATGTACGGGGAATAGGATGAAAGGGAAGGAGGCGGGGAAACAGAAGGCTAAAAGCATTTCCGCTTTGTGCTTTATTTTTATGGCCTCTTTCCGGGGCTCCTGCGGCCGGAGACTTGACTCACTGAAACTGAAACTGATATCATGACATTCTGAACGCTTTCAGCTTTGCACTCTTCACTCTTCAGACACGGATTAGATGACGTCGTCCGGATGACGTGGGCGTCGCCGAATTAAAAAGTTGTTGCACAGGACGCGCACACGGACAGGAAGACGCTAAATTATGCGTCGAGGATGCTTTGCAGAGGAGGATAACGTTGTTGTTCATTCTCGACCAAAAGTTTATTTGAACTGAAAATTGCTTTAAAAAAAATCCCAACTAGGATTGCAAACGAGCGCTCAAATTTTGCTGACAATAATCAGTTGTTCTGGAGAACAACTGCAGGTGTGCGCCTTTCTCGGAATCCAATAAATTCGCTGCGAATTGCATTTAATGTTCTTTACGAAATAAAAAGGTGTCGCTAAAGCTAAATATTTCAGACTTTCGTAAGGAAGCTCGAAACAGGGTTCATAGCTTAAAGTCGAACTGGTTAAAAAGTGAAAAAGTGTCCTTTCCAGTTGAACTCACTCCCAATTTCAACCTTTTTCGGGCCCATTTTTACTGCGGAAACTATGGCTCGGGAGAAGACGTGAAAACGACGACGTCGAGAAGAGACAACATAAAAAGGGTGAGAAATTCGAAATGCATATAAAACCCCCCAATACCTTTTGTCACAATCTCTGCGTCTTCCATTCTTTTGACGATGAAAGCCGGAAATGGCGAACAAGAAAAGGTAGTCGCAAATTGGGGGGCGCTGACAACAAAAAAGCACCAAAAGTGAGCATAAAAATGCTCGGAAATGGCGTGTTTCACCGGAAGGCAAAAAGAAAACGCGACACGAATGGGAGGGCGGGGGGGTCAGGTGTCCTATAACACCTGGAATGCGAGCCAATCAACCAAAAAGGCGAAATTTGAGGAATCCGTGGCTTTCGAATGAAAAAATGCTCTTCCGGGAGTCGGCGCTCCATTTTTATGAGCCAGCTGCGGTTTTACAGCCTGTTTATAGCCAGAAAAGGACATCATTAAGAGAAAACCAAAGAAAATGTTCGTTACACCAAATTCAGCCAAAAACTAGCCGACAAGTTTATCGACCGAATATTATCAAATTCTGATAAAATGCGGGGATGAAGCTGCGGAGACGAGGCGCCGAAACGGAAACAATCTAATTGACTCGAGCCGACAGCTGTTTTTATTTTTCTGAATTTTTAGAAAATCTCACCTATGAAAGTGCTGTGCAAATGTGTTGTCGGTTCAACCCGTTCTCCGCTTTGTCCTGAAACTGAACATTGCTAAATTTCCAAAAAAAAACTAGGTGAAACAGCGAAGAAACACAGTGTGGAGATGAACCAGAGCAATATGAAATTGCAAAATACAACAAAAGAGCGATAAAAAAGAGTGGGCGTGGATTGTGATTCATTGAATTTTCCAGAGTTGTCAATTGAAGGAGGGAGATCTTCAAACATTTAAAATATGAAACGCTATCAAGATTTTAAGTAATAGGAAGAGAGTTCCAGATTAATCCGTCCACAATTTCAGTAGTCCGTCTTCTGCGAACGTGGCAATCAGATTCTGGTGCGGGTGGTGCGTGAGGCCGATCGGAAGACGTTCCGTCACCTGAAATTTGTGGATTTTGAACAGAACTTCTATTTTCTGATATTTAGAGGGCAAAATGAGGGCCATTCGAAATTTAGTTTTCCGCGGGAAATTGGCTCAAAGATCTCATTGAGCACTTTAAAAAAATTTAAAAAAATTGCAAGATTTCTAGAAAAAATTGCCTCTAAAACTAGAAAGATATGAGTAATGAAAAATTAGTATTGACGGATGAAACAAAAGGACGGACTGAAGAATGATGGTTATCTCGGGGGGGAGATGAAGCAGGAATGCGCAGAAGTGAGACACTTTTGAAGAAATTTTGGAAGATTTGTGAAGGGGATAACGAGGACGGTGGACGAGAAAATTAGAAGTAAAATAGAGTCGTGGATTTCCAATGGACCAGACTAGAGCAGAACAAAGCTACAAATGCCAAAAAACGAGGAAATGGAGTTTCCTGTCATTAAACTTTCCCTTCTCCTTATCACCCAGGTTTTGCTAAACTGATAACAAAAGTCTACGTGTACTACTTACCGGCAAAGTGGTCTCTAGGGTACCCGAAAGGACCATGAAACAGTACATGACACCGTCTTCGGCCACCGCGTACGCCCATTCACCTGAAAAAATTCGATTTTAAAGAAAAGAAGATTCGCTATAATTGCATCGAACTTGACAGAAAATCGCCCCAAAATCGATTCAGAGTTTAAAAGTTTTTTTAAAAATCCAACCTTTCGGCGAGAGTATGCAGCTAACAAAGTCTCCTTTCTCACGCTTTCCAGAGCTCATTGTTCGAACCACCTGCAACACGAAATCAGTATTTTTGACGTAATTTTCTTGAATTTCTACCTGTCCAGATAAATTGACGACGTAAAGGGTGTTGGATCGTTTGCAAACGACCATCTGAGGGGGATCACTCTTCGGAATCGGTATCACATTCAGAACGGGCTGCTCGTCGGCGCCCACGCGGAAAGTCGACAGGCACTCGCCCGATTTGCTGTTCCAGACACGGATTGAGCCGTCAGTCGAGCATGAGATCTGGAACAATGCGTTTTAAACGATGATTGTTTGCGAGGGTGACGAGGAAAATTCTAGTCCATTTTGCCCGGGGTCGCGAGCAGGGGTGTGCGGAAAATTTTTTTCGGAAAATTTCGGAAAATCGGTTTTTCCGAATATTTTTTTTCGGAAAATTTCGGAAAATCGGGTTTTCCGAATTTTTTTTTTCGGAAAAATCGGAAAAATCGGAAAACTCACTTGTTCATTGGTTCAATAAAGTGTTTAAACAACGTTCTAATACAAAAAATGCTTATTATGATTTGAAATCACTTGAGTGGGCGGAAGCCAAGCAATGGAATATTTTTTTGCAAAAAAATTAGCCGAGAGAAGCTCTCCGGGTCCAGTGTTTTCCGATTGTCAGTGAGAATCAGGGGTGTGCGAAAAATATTTCGATTTTCCGAAATTTTCCGATTTTCCGAGAAATTTTCGGGAAAAAGACGCTCGCTGCTAGACCCTTCCAAAAATTTTGTGATGCGCCTTTAAAAAGCATACGGTGGTTTCGGACAAATTGACCTTGAATCCACACTAATTTTCCGAACATTTTGCCGAACATTTTCGGAAAATCGGAAAATTTCGGAAAATCGAAATATTTTCCGCACACCCCTGGTCGCGAGCCGGGATACTATGCCACGGCTTCCGCCGAGTCCTCCGGCTGAACCAGAAATACTAGGACACGCCAGTTAGGCCTGGGTCCCGAGCCTATTTTTAGGAATTTAAGATGCGCGCCGCCGGCGAAATAAGCAGCCGACAGTTCACGGGACGGGGGCCGAAATTTCTCCCTCTCCTCACTGCACCCTCGCAAAGAATCACCGTGTTTAAGGGGAAAATTAGCAGAATTTGTGTTTAAAAAATCGTCCCTATTGCGAGTAAAAAAAGGTCAAAAAGTGCGAGAGTGGCCGTTTGCACAAAAAGCTGCGCAAACATACAATGTGATTGCCCTCGTCCGAGTATCGAACATCGGTGATATAGCTCGTGTGGCCGCGCATCTCCTTTAAACATTTGCCGCTCTTCATTCCGTGCACTCTGTAAACAACAAATTTAGCTAATTGGACTGGAAATGTTGTTGTTTTCCGGACATAGGTGCGGGATGTTTGAGAAACGGAAATTCCGGAACCTTCTCGAAATTTCAGCACTTCCAGATCGTTTTCTCACCTAACAACATGATCATTGCCTCCCGACAGAACATGTGAATTATCTTTGGAGAATCGAACTGCACAAACTCCGTTCACGTGAGCCCGATCGAATCGTCGCAAACAGTCGCCCGTCTCGATCTTCCACACCTGAAAACCAACGTTTTTAGTATTTTTGAAAGGGCGGAGAACCTTAATTCTTCCGTCAATACATCCGGTGGCCAGCATTTCCGAATCTCTACTGAACGACATGCAACGGACCGCCGCGTCCATCATCATTAGATTGTCTTGGGCCTGAAAAATAATAGGGTTCGAAGGAGAAATCTTTGAAAAATACCTGATACTTTAAATCCTTTCTCAGTTTTCCATTCATATAGTTCCAGACCTCGATAAACCCGTCTTTGGAGCCGGAAACGAGGTAATTCGCGTCCGGGGAGAACGCCGCGGACTCTGGGTAACTTTTCGTAGAGAATTTGATTGATCTGGCCATCATAGTCGGATATCTCTCTTCCACTTGCTCCTTCTGCGCCGCCTTTCCACGGAACAAGTCGATGGCGGTTCCGGGCGGTAACAATCCCTGATGGAGCTGCCATTTGAGACTCTGTCCGAGCAGAGAAAGCAGTCGGGACGGCGGAACGACGTGTACTTCCGAGGAAAGCGACTGAGCAATCACTCCCCGCCGCTTCTCCTTGCTCACATCGCCGTACACCTCCTGTCCGTCGAAATACGGACGATTGATGAGGGACTCGAGGCGAGCGAAGCGATCCGGATCGAGCTGTTTGAGAAGAATCATCGGATCGGTCTGTCGGGCGACAAGACGGGCGGTGGCCAGCTCTCTGAGCTCCACGAGCTCAATAATCACATGCTCGTAGAGATCGATAAGCTTTTTGGCAGGTAATTTCAGGGATTGAACCGTTTTGAGAACATTATCCCAGTTTCCGGAGGTTATCTCATTACAAAACCCGTCGATTGAATCCACAGTGTTCAAGGATACATTTGTTTCTTCCTAGATCAATTAGTAATTGTCTAAAATCTCATAAAACTGCTGAAAAATACCTGTAGAACTGCCAAAGTTCTGTGCAAATTGGACTCTTTTAGAAACTGCTCGATTAACCGAATTACACTGCAAAACAGCTGTCATTTAGAAATCCGTGTGAAAAATTAATAAAACACTTACTCTGAAGACTCGATTTCAATGGAAGCCATTCTTTTTGTTCAGTTTTTAATGTGAACAACGTGGCGAATTTCAAAAAACCGCTCAGCTAGCGATTGTGGAAGCCCCCTGTTTTTGAAGCATCGTACTGCGCCTTGTTTAGCAGAAAGCGGGATTTGTTGGATTTTGACAGAGATTTCAATAAAATCGAGGAAGAATTAATGTGAAACAGCCAGAAAGTTGGTGGTCGGCGCCTCCATCAGAAATTCTCCATCAAAATTTCCACGCGCTCCTGCTGCTTCCAGAGATATTGAAGAAGCTGAATAAATTTTAAAGGGATTCTGAAAAAGTAATCTTGTATTTCTTTCATTTATTTTTATGCTTTCTGGCTGTTTCACATTAATTCTTCCTTGATTTTGTATTGAAATTTCTGTCAAAATCCAACAAATCCCACTTTCTGCTAAACAAGGCGCAGTACGATGCTTCAAAAATCGGCGGATATCTCCGCAGGGCTTCCACTAACGCTACTTAGCTGAGCAGCGGGATTTTAAAATTGGAAACAGGACGACATTATTTATTGTTATTCTCACACGCACACCGGTATTTGCTGTTGCTTTTACATTTAAAAAAAAGAGAAACAAACATTTAGGACATAAGAAGTACGATTTATTGTAATTTACGGAGAAAAAAGACTGTGTGAGTGGGGCGCGTCGTCAAAAGATTCAGAAAAAAGTCGTTGTCATTTCGTTTCGGATGGAAGATGGATGATTTCTACCTAAAAACTCCAAAACAATACGCTCAACTCTACTTTTTCCAGTTAGATTACTTCAAATATGTGTGTTTTTGTTGTAAACTGAAGAAAAAGGAGGGAGCAATTACAACTTGAAGTCGTCGAAGCCGGATGTGCTCTGAAATGTGTAATTGATTATATATTCGGAGTTTATCAGTCTTACCACTGTGTCGAAGGCTCTCTTGTTGAAACCGTCGAATCCGCTTCCGGCCAGCGAGTCAAAGGCTCTTTTGTTGAATGCTCCGAAGCCGCTCCCGGCCAGACTGTCGAATGCTCGTTTGTTGAATCCGTCAAATCCACTTCCAGCCTGCAAATTATTGATTTTTTCTAGTTTTTCTCCTTACCCGGCGACTAAAGCATTTATTGCCGATTCTCACTCGAAAGTGGCGGGTCAAACCTCTTTTGCACTTACCAAAGAGTCGAAAGCTCTTTTGTTGAACGCTCCGAAGCCACTTCCGGCCAAACTGTCAAAGGCTCTCTTGTCGAATCCGTCGAATCCGCTGCCGGCGAGCGAATCGAACGCGCGCTTCTCTTGGGGTCGATTCAGGAAGAAGAGCGATCCGACGGGACGGAGACGGACTGCCGCACTCTCCGCCTGCTGGCTCACCTGCAAAACCCCCTAACATTAATTTTGTCCGAAAAAAGAAAAGAAGAAACATTCGATCCGATGTTTGTGTGTATGTATGTCCATCATCCGTTGGCTAGTAATTGGAAAATTCAGTTTGACGCACCACTTTTTCGCGTCACCACCCCAGCGCACGAGAAACTTTCCCATCTCGCCTCTGACTAGTGGCCTAAAAAGTTTTCGCGGAAAACTAAAAACTAAACAGAAAAATTTCACTTTTTCCAAAAGGATTATCTTCGAAGACGTCGTATTAGTTGTGATTGACGTGACGTCAATGAGAACAAGTATTCACTTGCCGGAAAAGGATACTTTTTTCCAGAAGCCTACGGCGTCATCCTGATATAAATCTAATAAAATCACGGCATCTTTCTCCACAGACCCCTCTTTTCTGCATTTTTGCACACACACACACACAGACGGGTCTTCCAAAAAATACGGGGCGAAAAGTCGTGGAAAAACACGGAAGTATTATTGTCGGTGGGAACCATGAACGCGCAAGAAAAAGCAAAGAGCGACGACGTCCGTTAATTTTGGCGGGCGGGTAATGAGGATAGACACGTGTGTGTGTGTGTGTGTGTGTCTTGAACGGCGCACACATATTATAGGGGGCACGGCACAGAAATGGCGCTCTGTTGAGAAACTCTTTTTGCGGTGCAAATTGAGCGACCTCGGGGCCGAGTTTGAAAAGTTAGGCCACATTTTCAGTGGAAAATTACTTCGCGGCCTAGAAATTCGGCCAGATTTCGAACAGCGCGCCCTTTCTGTCCGGTGCCCCTATAATAACAGAGCGAGTACGAATTGTGTTGAATGAGTACGGAGCTGGCCGAAGAATCTTTAAAGTCCTAAGACCCTCAGGCTGAGTTTCGTCCAAGTTAGTAGGTTTGTTTGAAAAGTTTGTAAGTGTCAAGCTCAACTATTTAGTAAGCGTTAGGGTCAAGAAGTGTGCGTGACATGCGTGAACAGAATGCAATGTTTTTTGTAAGTATCAAGAGTTTATGCGTTTCAGTAAGTTTCGTTATTCTTCTTGGAGCGCAGAAATGGCTCTAGAAGTTTCTAAACATCTTGGAGATGTATTCTCTAGTTAGTACTCTAGTTTCAACTGACCCCCACGTCATTGAGTACGTTATGGACTTTGATTCAACTTCGTCCTCTTTCTAAATGCTCTCTCTCTCTCTTTCTCTCTTTTCAGGAAAAAATCCGTGCCTTTCTACCCCTTGACAGTCCTTGGGGAATATCGGGAGGCCAAAGAGAAAAGAGATAGCAAATTGTTTTGTGTTTGTGCTTCTTGACCCCCTCTCAACGCCCTCGTAATTCTAATTCCCTAATGTCCTTCTTTTCACGGATCTTTGCTTCCACCATCTCATTTTTCATCTTCAGATCTTCTCATCATATCTTATGAGTGTCAAGTGTTTATTTTTCCCCGTTTCTCACAGATTCACACTGAAACGTCACTTTTCCGAAAAAAACAGCGCTACAGGGCCGAAATCGGAACCCCGTCCCGCGTAGCCGAAGGATCGTCACATTTCTTTCCACTCAGATGGAACTTCTAGCTCGTTAGTTAGCCGGCCAAACACCCTTTCAGGACCATCGTTTGGTAGTTTTCCGAGAAAAGCACGTAGAAAAACATTCGACTCGCTCATTTTTGTCACTTTTCTGCCCTCCACACTAATTAGCTCTTTCTCTTTTTCTGTGGCTTAGAAAAGGGCTAGTAGAATGAGTTGACGGAAAAGTCTTGAAAGTTCAAGAATTATTTTGTTCTCAACCGACACCAGTTAGAAAACAAAGACAACGGGTCGTGCTGAACTGCTGAACTTTCAGATTTGTGTAGCTCTATGTTTACCACGTTCTGGACAGCGCTATTCAGAAAAAATAGAGAATTGAGTGCTTTTAGGGCTTGAAAGGATGTAACGTGGACTTCTAGAATTTTCTAGTGAACTATCAGACGCTTCTGGACCTATCTGTGCTCCAGAATCTTTCCAATTGCTAAGACACCCCTCCCTTCCAGTTCTCCCGCGAAACAAAGAGAAGACCGATCGCAAAAACCCATTAAAATTTGTCATGCACATATACAAATGTGCCGCCCTCCGACTTACCATGACGACAAGAAGCAGAAGGACGGCGAGCTGCGACGACGACGACGACGACATCGTTCTCGTTCTTCTCGGCGAATTCAGAGAAATGAAATGGGGATGGAGATGGAGAAGGAGCACAAGGAGCCGTCAAAGTGGGCGGAGCCTCGTGCACCACACAAAAGGGGCGGGGGGTTTGAGCAGAAGCCGAGGGAGAGGAGCTGGAAAGAGAAAATGAAGAAGATTTGGGAGGTAATTGGGATAGTTGCCGATGATGACGTACCTGGAAGGTTCAAAGAGCTTCTTCGTCTTTGATGAGCTAAAGAATCTATGTATCATCTGGAGATGAGTTATAGTCTTTCTAGGAGTGGTGGCTTAGAATTCCAATTTGTTTGAGCCAGGTTCTACAAAGATCAGAAACACGAGAAAGATCTCGTACAGACCGTGGCCTAGAATCCGACATCCTAGACACCGTAGCTATTATCTGGGTTGGCCTGGAAACCATCTTATGGCCCACGACAGCTCAAAGACCGGACGAAGGCCGATGCGCCGCCTCTAATTTTTGGTCTGTTCTTCCAGACCAGCGACACTTTGTTTGTCCCAATTTCGTTCAACTCCATTAAATTCTTCTGACGCACTTTTGCGGGGCGAGCGACACTTTTGGGCAGTAAAAAGTGAGCGCCCGTCACACTTTCTAGTCAGAGAAAAAAAAGTGAGTGAAAATGTGGTGTAAAATTGGAGAGAATAGGTCCCACGGGACAAAAAGGAAGGGGGATTAGTCTCCAGAATGCCCCCCTCACCGACTGATATGAAGGCGTTGACGTCATCTAAAAAGAAATGGTCCCTTGGTTTTTTCCTTTGCAAATCTGTGGAAATCCGTATAATACCGCCACATTTTTTTGTATCTTTTGCCCTCACAAAATACGTTTCTCTTTTTTCGTTTTCTCTCCGAAATTGTAGGTGCCCCACTATACTAACGAGGTGTGGGCATAGCTCGAGACCACGAGCATATTGCTCTTCTGATTACGGTAGGGACGTGAGCAAAAATGCGTAGGCGCCCTTCTTGGAGCTTGCGAAACAAGAGAGGAGTTAAAAATAGTAAAAGGATAAGAAACGAGTGGGGGGGTTGAATGATTTATGGACAAGTATATATTCCTCACTCACTGGAATTTCGCAAAAAAACATAATCGTGTGGGAGAGGGAGCATGGGTGACCAGAAAACAAGAAAATTATGCGGGTGAATTCTCACAATTATCTCTTCGCGGGGATCTAAAGAGCTTTGCCACGTGGTTTTCAAGATCTAGATGTGGCGTGTTCCAGAATTTCTTTTAGAAGCCATCTAACTGATTTCTGGTGAAATCCACGGTCTCCCACGGCGCGAATGATTTCAATGGGGCGCACTTGCAACAGGCGGGCTGTGTCGATTTACGCGGCGGCCGATTAATTAATTTTCAACGGGAGTTCGCGTTCTTTCCATGTTTTCTGTACCATACGCCTATTTTTTTGTACGCCTGGAACCTGGATTCGAATAATTAGAGCACTAGCTACGTTTTGGTAACAGAAATCTCACATATCGTTGAGAATTAGCCGAGTTATTTCGATTTGAAGGTTTTGGCCTGGATTTTGACGTTTTTCGAATAGTTTTCGAAAACTGCTCAAGAAAACTAACCGCCGGCACCTGAATTTTGTGAAGAAAGATTCAGCGAACATTTTTATCGTTCGTTGGGCTCATGAAATGCAAAACGAGCTGAAATATAAAGGTTTGAAGTTTTGACGAAATGCGAAAAAGACGCTAAAAACATGAAAAACTCTAAATTCTGTAAAGAACGGTTTCCAATCAGTAAAATATTGTTTTCTAGACGTTTTTCAAGTCAAAAAGAAAGAAATAAAGGTCGTAAACTCGAATTGAACTGCATTTTTAGACCTGCAAATTTTCAAAAGTTACAACGACACTCCGCAATTTACGAGCGCACTGTGTTTAGCATTAGCGCCCTGGGAGACCGTGAAATCAACAAAAGTTAGGCCATCATTTGTTCAAGGTAATCAGACGAAGAGTCAGAAATTCTGCAAACCTCGCTATTCGTCATCCTGTACATTCAGTTCAAAAACTGATAATAATGATGTCTACTGTGTTGCGATAATGTGTCTCTTGAAAATACGATCAGTTTCCTTCAAACTTGAACTTGTAGTTCAGAATGTGAAGAGGATGACTGGACACTTCAAGTTTCTCCAAATTATCCTTTCGCAAGTTGACTCTGATCGTCTCGCTGGAAAAACATACTTTCTCGTTCCACCATAAATCGTCCAAGCGGCCCACTCACTCACCTAAATTGTGTTTGGTCTCTTCTTCCCCTTCTTTTCCGCCTAATGGCCGAGGCTGACGCATAAATTCGTGATCACAAGAAGGCGTCTTTCGACATTCAACAAAATACCTTCGTTTTGCCGACCAGACTCTGGGATTTCTGAGACCCCAGAGCCTTTCCCGAGGGAGATTGCCTTCATCTAATGGGCGGATGAAAAACGTGTTTTGCCAATACTTGAGCTACTACTCAAATTGGTCAGAGGAGGAGAGTCTAAAGGGGTCGGAATCGGATTTCTCGGGAACCTTCCAGGGCTATTTCGAGCGTAGGTATCCGAAACGTCATCGGTACTTGGGACAGGATGACGTGGCGGCAAAATTCGTGAGGGCGCCAGATTGTAGCTTTGATTGTGTGTGGTGTTCGGCTCGACCACCAACCACCACACACGATTCGATTAAAACGTGTGTCAACTGACAACAAAAAGAAGGAAAAAAGTGCGATCCGATTTGTCTGTAAAGACTGAATGCGTGCGGAAAATGAGACATTTCCGGGATGGGGAAAAGCACTAATTCATCTGCAATTGGCCTAATGTGAAAAAAAAACGGAAATTATTGCGAAGATCGCCAATTATCGGAGAGAAAGTTTTTCCAACTTTTTATTTCGATATTATATCCTTGTTCCGTCACCTCGTAGGTCACAATCTAAAAGACGATACTTGCTTAAATCACAAAATTCGCTAGTTTTACCTCCGTTCTCTCCACGTTCGCCAGGGCGGAATTTTCGGCGAACGGCGACTTCCACACTTCGATGACATCGTCGTGACACACCTAGAAAGCATTTTACTTTGATTTTTTTTTGAAAATCCCTCTTACGTTGTAGGCCTTTTTCGTGTAAACTTCATCGTTGACACGGACCTTTCCCTGGCCGATTAGTTTGATTACTTCGCTGAAAAATAGTGGCATTTTCCATACAATTTGTGCGGGAAAATGCTCGAAACCTGCTGCTCTGGCCAGTTGCTCTGTTGATAAAAGTGTCGAGACGTCGGCTTCCGGCCTTCAACGTCTTCAGCTTGTAGTCCTTCGGAAGGCCGTCCTCGCCGACTTCAGAAGCCGTCGGAGTTCTCGTCTTGGCCGACGCCGTCTTCTTGACTTCCTTCAGAAGACGTGACGTCGTCGATAGGCATCTTCTGGAGCACACGAACAGCATTTCCTGAATTTTCATAATTCTTAACACAAAGAATTGTCAGAAATACATTCAGCTTTGAGAACTGTTGGAAAATTACAAGATAGCAGAATTCAGGAAAAGAATGATTTATTGTTTAATAATTTCAGGAACATAGCTAACAAGCCTGTTATTATCTTGATATTTTTTGAGAAAAAGTGAAATTTCCTCTTTTTCCGCTAAAATTCCGTCGATTTTTTCGGTGAAATTCACACGGAATTTTCCCGATTTGCCGAACGCGCCCTCGATTTTTCCACGCATTCCAGATGACGTCACAATCTGCAAAACTGGTCTAAAAATAGAAAAACTTGCAAGTGAAAACCTGAAAATTGCGGAAAATGTCAAAATTTGTTTCCGCCTTGAACATTCCTGTGCAGATCGCCGAGTATCCGTCCTTCTCGATTCGTTCCACGTAGCCCTGAAAGTGTAAAAGTTTAGAACTTTTCAGAAATTTCAAAGCATTATTCCTAACCTTTCGAACTTTTCGACTGAATCTTTTGATGTCTTTCTCTTCATTTTCAGCGAAAATCCTTCTGAAGTTCCCGCTGAACGCAAATCTGCATCCTTTTCCAGCTTGCTGCTCCAGCCGAGAAGCCACGAAGGGAATTCTGAAGTCGTCGGGGACGAATATCGACTTTTCAAACGTCAAAAGTACGAGGCACGTGGATTCGGTTTCCAGATGAGAGAGCTAAAACGAGAAAAAAGACATTGCAATTCTGTTATTATAGGGGCACCGGACAGAAAGGGCGCGCTGTTCGCAATCTGGCAGAATTTCTAGGCCGCGAAGTAATTTTCCACTGAAAACGTGGCCTAACTTTTCAAACTCGGCCCCGAGGTCGCTCAATTTGCACTGCAAAAAGAGTTTCTCAACAGAGCGCCATTTCTGTGTGGTGCCCCTATAATAGAGTTTCTTACCTGCTCCAACTCCTCAGTTCCTGGCACTTCTCTCAAAAACTGACACTCGGCCATGACGGTCTCGAAGGCTACCGAAATGTGCAGTTTGCTCCGAGAGCTCACTTGGCTTCGGAAGAAGAGCACGGGCTGCACGGAAGCGAGCACAGTTCGGACTGATCGGAGAGCGCCTGGAGCACCGATCAGGCATCGGGAGAAGCGGTGTTCGTCGAAAGAGGCCACCAGAAAGGCGGCTCGTTCCCCGGCGGACACTTGATCCACCTGCTGCTTCCAGGACTCGAGAGTTTTGATGCGACGTCGCTCCTGGAGGGCCGGGAACTCGAGTTCTTGGTCGAGTCTGATAGTTCACAATTGCACACTTCTATGAAAGCGCGCAGGACAGAGCTGAACACACTCGGGAAAAACGACGTGCCGTTCAAAAACCACGGAGTCGTGGCGGGGTACACTGGCGCAAGTGCGCTCTACTGAAATTTTCAAGAATTTTGCTTTGGCCTAATGCTTTAAGATAGGGGCGCTACGCAATCGACCGTCGGCGGAAGTTCAAATTTTAGTTTTCGATGTACCCATGACGACCCCGTGAAAAACTAAACTTTTTCGCGCCCCGTAGAAGAACTCTGAAATGTCCTTCGCGAACACTCTTAAGCTTTTCTTGGCCGATCGTTCGATTGGTTTTTGTTCGCAACTTTCGTCAATTTTTCGCTTTTTCTGTAATTTTCAAGGAATTCTTCTATCCCTTCCGTTTTCTCTTCGAAAAATCGTTGAAAATTGTTGTCTTTTTGCTTTTCTAAATATTTCGCTATTTCACTAAGTACTGAGTGTTTTTAGTGCGATTTCTACCTCAAAATTCCGCGAATAACGGTCCCGGTAAGCACTGTTCCTTTGCCTTTGGCTGCGAAACAATGATCCAGCGCAATTAGAAGTCTGAAATGTTGTCATTTTCTCACTTTTGGTCGAAATTCTCCTACGCTTCTTGGAAATCCCTCTGTGGTTCGAAAAGCTTCGAACCAATCGCTTTTTTCAAATTTTCGAGCATTTCCATCTGAAAATGACCGTCCACCAGACTCATCTCGACAATTGGTGATTCTTCCGAAATGCCCACCGATTTCAACCCTCTTCGCACTTTTCTTTTAACGTCGTCTAGCTGAAAACATTAGAATATTTTCGAACATCTCAAAAATCCGAGGTATACTTTCGCATGTTTCTCATTCGCCAAATCGCACTTGTTCATCACTATTATCACTTTTTCAGGGCAGAAAAGGGAGGCGAGAAGGAGGTGTTCGGCAGTTTGCGGCTGGATTCCGGCCATCGCGTCAATTATCTGCAATTTGCAGAGGAGCGAGGTTGCATTAAAGGAGGTCTGTCCCTAAAACGTTAGCGTGTGAGATATGATATTTATACCATCGGCATAATTACAAAATCACTTTTAGGGTCACATTTTCGCTCACCACAATGGCCATATCGAAAACAGTGCTGGCGGCGAGCACCGCCCGAATGAGCCCCGAATGTCCGGGACAGTCAATCAGAGCCAATCGCCTTCCGGAGCACGTCATCGTCGAGAATCCCAAGTCGAGTGTGTTCCGACGGAGGTCTTTTGAAGTGGAGGCGTGGGCGTCAAACGCCGACGTCGATCCCATCTGAATCCGACCAATTTTTCCACAAAAATTCTCGTTTTCTTTGCGGAAACCTCGGCGATTCTTCGCGTTAATGTCGTTTTTCCCGAGTCCACATGCCCCAAAATGCCGACATTTAGAGCGGAAGCGGACGTCGACGGCGGAGATGTCATTTCTGATTTCTGATGTTGCAAGTGTGCTCCAATGACTTTTTTTTTGAAAAATAGGAAAAATAGGTGTAAAACCTTCTACTTTTTGCGAAAACGCGTATAAAAATTATGTATCCCTCGAGCGGAAAGGTTACAGAACAAAAGGCACAAGAAATGTGGGCGGTACAGAGAAAAAGAGGAATAAAAAGCGAATATATTATTAGGCCCTAAAATACATTGTACAGATTATATATTGGGTTTCATCAATTTTGGGGGGAATGTTAAATACGGCAAAATAGACAATTATGCAACTTTTTTGAATTAGAAAATTGAATTTTATGCCGAAGAAAATCCATTCGGATTCTTGGTCTGCCAGTTCCAGAGATCGGCGCACATCTCTTCCAGTCCGTTCTCGGCCTTCCAGCCCAGTTTCTCGTGGGCCAGCGATGGGTCGCAGTAGACAGAAGCCACGTCACCAGGGCGCGGCACTCCGATCTGAAAATTTTGGTATTTTTCTGAAATTCTGGTGTTTCCTACCTTGACAGGAATCTCTTTTCCGCTGACTTTCTTCAACGCGTCGACCATTTGTTTGACGGAATAACCGACGCCAGTGCCAAGGTTATAAATTTCAGTTCCGATCGTTCCTGCGTGTTTGATGCGGTCGAACGCCTTCACGTGTCCCTTTGCCAAGTCGACCACATGAATGTAGTCCCGCACGCCAGTCCCGTCGACCGTGTCGAACTTGTCGCCGTAGATGGTGAGTACGGGCAGTTTCCCGATGGCCACTTGGCTCACGTAGGGCATCAGGTTGTTCGGAACGCCCTTCGGATCCTCACCGATCAGTCCCGACTTGTGCGCGCCGACCGGGTTGAAGTAGCGGAGAAGGACGACGTTCCAGTCGGGGTTCGCCTTTCCGACGTCGATCAGAATCTGCTCCATCATGTACTTGGTCTGTCCGTACGGGTTTGTGATGCCCTGGCCCGTCGAGCTGTTTTCGGTGATCGGCAACTCGGACGGTGGGCCGTAGACGGTCGCCGATGAGGAGAAGACAAAGTTCTTCACGTTGTACTTTAGACACATCTGAAACAAAGATTCTGTGAACTCTAGAAATGTAAACTCTGAAAACCTGAATGAGATTGAGACTGGCGACCAAGTTGTTGGAATAGTACTGAAGTGGCTTGGCCACAGACTCTCCGACAGCTTTCAGAGCGGCCAAATGGATGACTCCGTCGAACTTGTTTTCAGAGAACACCTTCTCCAACGCCGCCTCGTCACAGACGTCCACATTCTGGAACGGCACCGCTTTTCCGGTGATTTCGGCCACGCGCTTCAGAGAGATTGCGTTTCCGTGCTCGTCTGTAACTGCAGATTGAAAGGAGAGAAGCGGATAGATCGGGGCGGAGCTGGTGGGTTAGAAGCGGAAGCAATGGGAGCATACCCGAGATTGCGTTGGCAAAGTTGTCGATGCACAGCACGGTGTAGCCGGACTGGAGAAGTTCGAGCACTGTGTGACTTCCGATGAAGCCGGCGGCTCCGGTGACCAGAATATGCATAACTGAAAGCCAAAACGTGATTAGTAAATTCTGAAATACTTTGATAGAAAAGGCAAGATAGTCCAGTCCGGGTGAAGAATGGCCTTCGCACAGAAAAAAGTGAATAGATCTATTTCTAACTTTCTCACTGATAAGCGATTATGTTTTGCAGAAACAACGAAGAAACGCGCGTGCAGACGATAAGATACGGACTTTCTCTTTAAAAATCATAAAGTTCAAGACATCAACTGACTCACAGCTAACAATTTTCATACGAATTTATGTACACAGCTTACTTGGAAACTAGTGGGATTTCTCCCAAATTTTCATGAAATGTACGGAGAACATTAATGAACGTACCAAATAACGTTCAATGAAACTATGATATCACACAATTTTTCTTTAGTAAGCTGTTGATTTCCGAGCTTTGAGACTCGGATTCCAACTCAACATTTCAATTATCAGAAAACACTTTGAGAAACTAATGAATTTGGCCTTTTGCGACCAGACACACATAACCTTAGATTCTATTCCTACGTACAAAAGTTTGATGTGATATCATAGAATCACGATGAGAAGAACAAGAACAAGCGCGAGAAAGTGCGTATTCTCGTCTCCCATTCGTCCGTTTATATAGGCCATTGCCACGCGTCGTCTCCGTGTTCTGTCTGCTTCTCTCATCCTCTCCTCAACTTGTTTGCTCTTTCTTTTTCATTCTGATGATTGATTTAGAAAAACACACGATATCATTATAAAATAGATCATCATCAAGGTTCGGGCTCGTACGGAACTGTAGAGGGGACAACGCCCACGGTCTGTCCATTAGGCTTATCATTCGTCAGTTTGAAAGGTTTTTAATGTGAGTGTGATAAGAACAGGAGGTTGTGGAGAAGAATGATTTATTTGATCGAAAAAGAATGAGAAATGGAAACGGAAACGGACATAGAAAACAGAAAGACTACCCGGAATTCACAAAGCAATGAGTCTCTGAGCACCGTTCACCATAATTTGTAGAAGCCAATAATAGAAGCGAGAAGGGAAAACGAGGCACTCTGCCGCAAAGACAGTTTTCCAGCCCACAAAACCTTGTACGGAAGACTGTTGAAGCCGCTGATGAAGTCCGATGATAGCCCAACGAGAGTAAGCACGTCCTCCTTCGACTTTTCGATTCCTTTCCGGTAGATTACCCTCAATTGCCTCACAATTCCATTGATCAACGCCATGAGCCAAAGGTAAAGGCACCATTTGTAAAGTTTTGCTGAGTCGTAGGCCAAGAGCTTGGCGTCGCTGAGCCAGGCGAGAAGCTCCACAAGTCCGTAGACTGTGTAAATCACCGTGACCGCTGCTCCTGTGAGGAATTCCACTGGATCGCCTATCTTTCCGGATTGGAGGGTTTGGAGGATCTGCCGACACGCTTTGAACATTCCTGGATGGTTGAACTGCCGGAGCACTAGACGGGTGGAACTCAGCTGCTTGGCCAGCGCCAGAATCTCCTTAGAATGCTCTTGCGCGCTTGTAGATCGGAGTTGGAGGTAGAAAGCCAAGGATCGGATGGCTTTATCCCTTCCGCCGTAAGTAGCGAGTACAGAAGTGAGATGATCGTTGAGGAGGGCCAAAGTTGTTGAGTTTACAGACATTTTTTGTTAGCAATAGTAGACTGAAGGGAAAAAATGTGGAGGAACTGATAAAATAGGTGAAAAGGAAAGGAAAACCGCCTGTGCGTTATCACTATAATGTAGCCAATTCAACGTGATCGCAAAAGGTTAATTGTCTGCGTCTCTCACTACGTTGGGGCTCTATTATAGGCTAGAGGCAAGAATAGACGTACCTGAGCTTAGTAGAAGTAGTGGAAAACTGAAAAATTGAAAAATTGTTGTTGGAAAAAAAACTCTGAGCTTTAATGAAAATATACTGTTTGAACAGGTTATCCAGTTGAAAATGAGCCAAACCTTTTTCGGAAATCTCAGGATTAATTCATTTTCAACAAGGTAAAATATCAGAAGAATCGGTAGCAACAAGAACAAGGAATATATAGGGCAAAGATCAAAAAATGTTCGGTGAAAATCGGGGAGAAATTAGAGCATGCTCTCGATGAGCGTATCTCTGAGCTGGTTGCTGATGCTTGTCGGCGCTCCTTGCTCGCCGAGCTTGAAGATCGACTCGACGACGGAGAGCTCGGTGGAAGTGGAGTCCAACCCGCAGAACGCAACCCAGTCGTTGACGACCATACCGGCTCCGATGAGCTCCGAACCGCGGTTGACCGTTCCGGCAACGACAGGGATCTGGAGAAGAGCGGCGAGCTCGCGTTGGGTCTCTGGAGGCGTGCGAGCGGCAACGAGGCATCCGTTGGAGCTGAGAGTGCAGTAGCTGCCGACGAGAGAGTTTTGCGCGAGGCTCACACGGAACACCTCCACTTTCAGCACTTCCACGAGAGCCTGCTCGGTCTCCGCGCTGATTTCTGCGTGGACAATAGCGACGTGATCATTGCAAGCGATCACGTTTCCGAGGGCCGATAGACGTTCGTCAACTCTGCGAATGGCAACCTGAATTGTTTAATATTTGAGATTTCCTTTAAGATGTTCATGTTTACCTCGTCTGGAAGCGAGTTTCTCAAATGCTGCAGCTCTTGATCGGTAGTAGCATTTGGAACAAGGAGTCCGTGACGATTTCCTGGAAAAACCAACGTTTTCGCCGAAATTTTTGAGAAATAAAGGTGAGCACTCACCGACAGTGAGTCTTCCGACAATTCTAGTAGAGTTGATTGAAGTGTGGACGACCGGAATCAGGTCGCTGAGCTCGGCCTCGAGAATACTGTAGAAGTTCTGGGTTCCTCCGACGCCGACGAGGCAGTAGCTATTGGTGAGGGTGCAGAAGACACCGACATCGTTGGAACCTTCGTAATCAACGCGAAGAGCCATTATTGGAAACCTAGAATCTTTAGAAAATGAACGACGAGAGAGAGAGAGAGAAGGGCGGAGAGACGGATAGAGCGAGACGAAATGTTGTGCAATATTAAACAAGTACAGAACGCGCGAATCTGATAGGTTTTTGACGTCGAACTGCGCGGAATTGAAGGAAGAAATTGATACAATTAGAAAAATTCTCTGAAAATGGCTGAAAATCGAAGAAATACTGGTTTTAGGCTTGAAACGCCAAAAATAAAAATGCGAGTCTGATGCAAACGCGCTCTGTTGATAATCGTAATTTCGGAGCGTCGTTGGCCGACTTCAAATGATTTTGTCATCATTTTCCACAGGATTTCTTCTCGCTTCTCACCATATTCAGACATTTTGCCTCGAATTTTTGCTTTAATTTGCTTAATTTCAGAATGGCTGCTTTGGACGTGAAGAACACCGTTTCGCACATGGAGATGGACCGCGGAGGCGCGTTCGACTTCTCCAACTGTATTCGCAATCAGGCTATGTGCAAAATGGGCGGCAAGGCTCCGAAACTCACTAGCACCGGTACCACCATTGTTGCCGTATCGTACAAGGTAAATTTCTAGCGGAAAAATTGAGGGACATGTGAAATTTTGTGTTTTTAGGGAGGACTCGTGATGGGAGCCGATTCTCGTGCCACCGCCGGGAACATCATTGCCGATAAGCACTGCGAGAAGGTTCACAAGCTCACCGAGTCGATCTACGCTTGCGGCGCCGGAACTGCCGCGGATCTCGATCAGGTCACCAAGATGCTTTCGGGCAATCTCCGTCTCCTGGAGCTGAACACTGGAAGAAAGGCTCGTGTGATCACTGCTCTTCGTCAAGCGAAGCAGCACTTGTTCAACTATCAGGGATACATCGGAGCCTACTTGCTCATCGGAGGAGTCGATCCAACTGGCCCGCATCTCTACATGTGCTCCTCCAACGGAACCACCATGGCCTTCCCGTTCACCGCTCAGGGATCCGGATCCTACGCCGCTATCACCATTCTCGAACGTGATTTCAAGACGGACATGACGGTAATTTTGTCAAAACCGTATAACTGTTCTATGAATTGGGTATTTTCAGAAAGACGAGGCTGAGAAGCTGGTGCAGCGTGCTCTGGAAGCCGGTATGCACGGAGACAACGCCTCCGGAAACAGTCTCAATTTGGTGATCATCGAGCCGAACGAGACGGTCTTCAAGGGACCAATCGTGCCGGAATTCTGCAAGCGGCCAGAGCCCAACGACCTGGTCTACAAGTTCCAGACGGGAGCCACCAAGGTGCTCAAGCACAAGACTTACAAATACGACGTTGTCGAGTCGATGGACATCAGCCATTGATTTCCTTATCATCTAGCCGACCCTCGTGTGTGTATTCATTTCCCTCAATCCTTATTTATTTTCTCCCTTTCGTTCTTGTGTTGTCGGTGATTTTTTTGTTTTTTCGCATCCCCATACACCGTTTTACAACCCTGTCTTATAATTTTCCAATAAACTGCACTAAAATGCGATTTGCAGCTATTTAGAAAGTGTTGATATCAAATTATCAACTTTTTATCGACTTATAAAGTTAACATTTCTTTCCCTTAATTTCTCGGTGATTTTTACCACAAAACCTCGCTCGCTCCAACCCAGAGATGTGCGTGTCGGAAATTGAATCGCCGCGCACAACGCGAGTTAGATGTGCAGGTTAGTGCGACAAATAAGCTCCGCCCACTTGGCTGCAGCGGCGGCAAAATTCGAATTCGGCGCGCTTTGTTATCACTCTCCCCGTTTCGCACGTTTGCTCCCTCGGTTTCAGATGCCTCATCGCTTTCTTATCTTTTTCCAGCCCGAGAATTCCAATCACGTCGCATTTTTATCAGTTTCTACACGGCGTGTTCCAAAACGTCCCTTAGCCACGGGTTGATTTGGTTTGTTTGTTGGCAAATTGTTATTTCGCGCAAATTTTGTGAGAAAACGAACAAGTGGTGAGTTGACTTGTCAGTTTTCGGGCAAACCATTAATGTTTGATGAGTTCATCCGCCGATTGCGAAATCCGCCTAGATTTTCGAAACAATCTTGTTTCTCTGGGTCATCTCCGTTCTCTTGTCCATTTTCCCAGTTGGCGCGCTGGCTTTTTGTTTCAAAACCGCTCTCCTCGGGTGCTGTGCTATTTCATCATTGTTTCTTTTTGCAGTCGATGAGGTGGCCGCTGTCCGTTGTCTGTGCGATCAGATGGCTGTTGTCCTTCCACACACCCGCCCGTTTTTTGTCCTTCCTCTCCGCATACACAGGCACCAAAATTGAGCGGAAATGGAATTTTGAAATCCGGAAGACGGCAGACGGAAGACGGAAGAAAACCTTTTTCCCGGAAGACGGCAGACGGAAGACGGAACAAAACAAACCACGGAAGACGGAACAAAACAAACCACGGAAGACGGAAGATGACAGACGGAATTTCGCTCAACACTGACAGACACGCTCACAGTTAGGTTGGTTGGCAGAATCGGGCGGTGTTAGCCTACTAAGCCCCCCTCTTTTACCTATCTCATTTCCTTTCGTTCCTTTTCTTCGCGCTAAAATCAATTGTCGCCAACTTGTTCCAATCTTTGTGTTTGCAGAAAAGAATGCGTGAGGTTATCTCGATCCACGTTGGACAGGCCGGAGTCCAAATCGGAAACGCTTGCTGGGAGCTTTACTGCCTCGAGCACGGAATCCAGCCCGATGGAACGATGCCAACGCAGTCAACGAACAACGGCGAGTCCTTCACCACTTTCTTCTCGGACACTGGATCCGGCCGTTACGTCCCAAGATCGATTTTTGTCGATCTTGAGCCAACTGTCGTCGACGAGATCCGCACAGGAACCTACAAGAAGCTCTTCCACCCAGAGCAGATGATCACCGGAAAGGAAGATGCCGCCAACAATTACGCTCGTGGACACTACACCGTCGGAAAGGAGCTCATCGACACCGTGCTCGATCGGATTCGTCGTCTTGCCGACAACTGCAGTGGACTTCAAGGATTCTTCGTCTTCCACTCGTTCGGAGGAGGTACTGGATCCGGATTCACTTCCCTTCTCATGGAGCGTCTTTCCGTCGACTACGGAAAGAAGTCCAAGCTCGAGTTCTCGATCTACCCGGCCCCACAGGTCTCAACTGCCGTCGTTGAGCCATACAACTCCATTCTCACCACACACACTACCTTGGAGCACTCCGACTGTGCGTTCTTGGTTGACAACGAGGCCATCTACGACATCTGCAGAAGAAACTTGGACGTTGAGCGCCCAAGCTACACTAACCTTAACAGAATCATCTCTCAGGTATACCAGATCGACTCCATATTACAGAAGGATCATTCAACGCTTTCAGGTCGTCTCCTCGGTCACTGCCTCTCTGAGATTCGCTGGAGCCCTCAACGTCGATCTCAACGAGTTCCAGACCAACTTGGTGCCATACCCAAGAATCCACTTCCCACTCGTCGCCTACACTCCGCTGATCTCCGCTGAGAAGGCTTACCACGAGGCTCTCTCCGTCAGCGACATCACAAACAGCTGCTTCGAGCCAGCCAACCAGATGGTCAAGTGCGATCCACGCCACGGAAAGTACATGGCTGTGTGCCTCCTGTACAGAGGGGACGTCGTTCCGCAGGACGTCAACACTGCCATCGCTGCCATTAAGACCAAGAGAACCATCCAGTTCGTTGACTGGTGCCCAACCGGATTCAAGGTCGGAATCAACTATCAGCCCCCAACCGTTGTTCCGGGAGGAGATCTCGCCAAGGTGCCACGCGCCGTCTGCATGCTCTCCAACACCACCGCCATCGCTGAGGCCTGGTCTCGTCTTGACTACAAATTCGATCTGATGTACGCCAAGCGCGCCTTCGTCCACTGGTAAGACTGACAATTCAGAGAATATTATCATGTAATCCTCTTTTTCCAGGTACGTCGGAGAAGGAATGGAGGAGGGAGAGTTCACCGAGGCCCGTGAGGACTTGGCTGCTCTTGAGAGGGACTACGTGGTGGTCGGCGCCGACTCAAACGATGGAGGAGAGGAGGGAGAGGAATATTGAACGCTTCCCACACCACTCTGATATGAACTTGGAATATTTATCATAAACCTTTGTATTATATCCACGAGCCTCTTGTTTGTTTCTTCTGATTCAGGAAAGTCGAGTTACTTTGTGTATACCGGGTCCCTCCCAAATGTAACAAACGACTCAAAGCAGGTGCTTACAAGTGCCGCAAAAGTAAATAACGGCGATAGGGGTTTAAGGACAAATTTGAACAGCTTTGTCTCGTTTTTCGCTGTTTGTGCCGCGATTTTCTGTCATTTGAAAGAATGAGGAATTTCAGAATTTGCAGTCAAAAGAATCCATGACTACTACGGCGGCACAATTGAACGGAACTCCGTCCTCTTCTCCGACCAGTTCGCCGACTGTCTCTCCGCCGATTCCGAACGTGGGCGACGAAGAGGAAGGTGTAGTGCATTTGATAACGGATCTCAAGGACAAGGGGACGAATTTTGTGTTGTTGAAGAAGACTCCACAGATTCTGGAGTTGCAAACCATCCTCAAAGACAAGTTGGAACTGCAATAGTGTCCAGAAAGTGGAGTAATTGTTCAGAACGACGACGCACTCCGATTTCGTGTTCAACGCCGATCGTCTGATGCGTTTGGTGATCGAAGAGGGACTGAATCATCTGCCGTACTCGGAGCACTCGGTGATCACGCCGACGGGCTTCAAATACGAAGGAATACAGTTTAATCGCGGCAATTGCGGAGTGTCGTTGTGTCGGAGCGGAGAAGCGATGGAAATTGCTCTGCGACAGTGCTGTCGGAGCATTCGCATCGGAAAGATTCTGATTGGCGACGAGCAGAAGGTGTTGTACGCCCGATTGTTGCCCGATATCACTTCCAGACGGATTCTTCTGCTCTACCCGACTATAGGGTGAGATTTGGTTTAAAATTGACTTAAAAATGCGCTCAAAAAAACTTCAGCTTTGCTTCAAATTAGTACTTTTGCTCGATAAAATGCTTAGAATTCAGGCGATTCTCTTTCAATTAGTCACGAACAATTTCAGCTCTGGAACGACAGTGTGCAAAGCGATCGAAGTGCTGAAAGAGGCGAGAGTGCCCGACGAGAACATCTATTTGGTCTCCCTGTTCATCTCGCCGACCGGCCTGAAGAATATAACTCGCAAGTACCCGTACATCACTGTCGTCGCCTCGGACATCACTTCGCTCTACCCGAATCACTTCTCCACCAGCTACTTTGGCGCCGTTTAGATATTTCCTTATTTTCTGATTGTTTCTGTCTTTTACCTTTTTCTTCTCCTTTCTCATTCCCTAGAAAAAACTCACCGAATTTTTGTCACTTTTCTTCGCGTTTTGTGTGCATTTTTGTTTTCTTCTCTTCCTTTCTTATCATAATTCGTCCTACCCCGGCTGATCTGTTCAAATCATTAGGATCCGATCTTTAGAAATTGCAACCTGTTAGAAAACTCGAATTGCCCACCTTTTATGTCATGTAAGTCTATTAAAAGTGACATAAAATCTAAAAATTAAGTGCACACCTAGAAGGTGGGGACTCTCTTTCTCTCTCTCTCTGAAGACGACATTTTGTTTTTAAGGGCCTTTTAAGAGCGTTTTAGTTGTTGCTCGGCAACTGTTCTCATTGAGATGCTCATGAATCGGAAACAAAAAAAAATGCCAAAAAAAACACACATTTCCAAGTTGAAAGTTCGGCATCAAAATGGCAATGAATCATCTGTGGTGGCGAATATTAACAATTCCAGGTTTTAATATGAAACTACCCCCGCACAGATCATATTGTTGTTATTACTGCTTCCATTTTTTTTTGCCGCCGCCTCGTTTCTCTCCGTTTTTAATCCGCATTTTTTGCGAAAACCGAAATTTGATAATTTGCACCGCAAAATTCGGTGCTGCTTACTATTGGCTCGATTTTGTAGTTGGTAGTCTAAGCAGCACCGAAAACATTATGTCTGTTTGGTGCTGCTTACACTGCAAACTACAAAATTTCGCTCGCTTTGGGTCTGAGTCACAATTTTATGCGGAAACGCACACATTTTAGTACTAATAAAAAGGTCCGAGTGAAGATCGAGATCGTATAGTCCTGCGCCCCCTCACTTTTCCTATTTTTCCAGCTAATTACACAGACAAAACGGATACAAACTGTCCGTCGGCGAGCCCCCAATCGCCCGAAGAGAGGCGAAATTCGATATATGACCGTTTCCAATTTCCACGATTTTCCACGATTCGCTCTCGAACACTTCTCGAACTGTCGCGGATTGATTCGGTGCCAGAAATGCGACAGGCGAACATGATTTACAAAAACTATATTCTCTACTTTTTTCTTATATTCGGTAAGCTTTCAGTTCTACAGAATACGTTTTCTAATAATGCGTTTAGGAGCGGTGACGAATATTTATTTGATTGTACAGTTGAAACGTATTCGGTTTTCCGAAAGTTCAGCAAAAATCAGTTGTGACATTGACGTGGAGAATTTGATGAGCTTGATGCAAAGTTCAAGGCTTCAGGAGCACAATTCGATCGGGTTCGCTGATGAAAATGGACCTGTAAGTTATATTTTAAAATATTTTGCAAACAATACTTTGTACAACTTTGTTTCCAGACAGTTTCACCACCAACCTTTGAGAAAACGGTTCAAACTTCGCTGTTTGCGTTTCCAGGAAGCAGTGGGCTTGGTGAGTATTTTTTTAGCTTTGAATTTAGGCAAATATAGTATTAGCAGCATCGCGCTGCTCAAAATGGACCATTTTTTATTAGGGGAGGTACTGAAAGTATTATTTTATAGGGAATAAACTATTCGAGCTGATTGCTCTGCGTGGAATCGCCGATACCCTTCAAAGAACTCCAGTCATCAATGTGGTTCGGGGAGATATTGTGGAATCGCTGTTTAACAGAATCCAACCGATATTCCCGGCTGTTCTCGGTCAATATCAGCTGAGAATCATTCCGGTTAGTTCGAAATAGATCATACACGTGGCATATTATCTTCCACGGTCTCCAGAGCTGAAAATATGGGCGTCGCCTCGGCGACCAAATGGCGTTTTCATGAAATGAGCAGGTTTTCTCTGATTTTTGTGGTCAAAGGCGATGAAAAATGATTGTTCGACATGAAAACACACTAATTCTGAGAATTAATAACGTTTTGGCGCATTTTTCGCGGACTTTGCTTTTTCGCCTCGCCGCCTAAAAACCGCACTTCTCATTTTGCGCTTTCTTGGTCGTTTTCCGACAGAATTGGTTTTGAGAATAATAAATCACGTAAATACAAGCATTTTGAGCGCTCGAACTGCGAAAATTACCGAAAAGCAGCTGAAATTCACGCAGTTTTAGCCAAAAACCTTCAAATGGATAAATGTGATTTGCGACTCTGGCAAAAAAACACAAATTTTGCTGTTAAAATTTGAATTTCGCGCCAATGTACCGCTCTATTGGGCGGGGCGCACTTGCGCGCTCATTGTCAGCTCTGGAGACCGTGTATCTTTTTCTTTCAGTCCTCTGCAATTACGCGCCAACAAGCCAACTTTGGTGCGTGTTGTAAATTCGACGATCCGTTCAAATTTGTGAATAATTCCGCTGAACACTTATTGCTGGACGGACACTATTTTCAGGTACCTCCGAGTGAAAAACACCAAAACAATAAAGATAGTTTTCAGAGTTTCAAATATTTTTCCCATCTCCGATCACATGTTCGTCAGTGGCTCACTCCGAACAAGTTGGCGTTTTTGAGAGCGGAAATTCTGATGCCGGCTTCGCATCGAGAAGATTTCATGTAAGTTTTCAAGGTTTATCAAATAATTCAATAAGTCTGCAGAATCTGTACGCATGTGCGACGTGGCGACTTCCAATCCGACGGAGTTCATGAACCTTCAAGCGCCAATTTTACAAGATATGCAACTGATTATCTGGTTGAAGAATGTAATAATTCGAATTAAAATCAAATCATTTTGAATTTCCAAATTTTGCAGATCAAAAGACTCACGAGCGTGTTACTGTAGTGGTGCTTGGAAATGACATCACTTTTGCCTATACAGTTTTTGAAGGTACCTTTAGTTTCACGCAATTCATAAATTCTATAAAAACATTTTCTTTTTTTTCAGATAGAGCTGAACGATTCTCAACACTCGATTCTAATGCAACTCTCTATAACTACACCCTTCCAGAATCTTCTCCAGAATATACGGTAGGTAAATTTTCTTTAATTTTTCCGTAAATTTTTAGAATTCAGGTAATCCTCACTCCAACTCTTGATCCTGAAATCGATCTGGCATTCTCGAGAGCCTTCTGTGACGTCACACTTATTACAGGTACAAAAATTACATTAAAAACATTAGGGTGAAACGATTGTTCGTTAAACTTTCAGCACCATCGTCTACATTTGGCTGGTGGATTTCATACCTCGCAAAACCGTCAGCTATTTCCTATTATCGGGATATTGTCGAGTCAAAAGACGGGGTAAGTACAGTGATCCAACAGTAATTGTTTTCAAATTCGAGTTTCAGGTCGCCCGGGAAATGAAGGTAGAAGATTTTTACCCGCCAAATTGGATAAAACTGGAAACCGATCCTTCTGGAAGAATTCGTAAAAGTTATGTACATTCGTTATGAGTTGTTTTTGAATTTGCTTTGTCAATAAAATACGGGTACTTGTTAAAAATAATATGAGGCATGAGGAAAAACAAATAAATCGACACAAGAATCCGAAAAGTGCAAGGACTTAGATTAGATTTTTCGAAATTGCTTTGGACATCCATTATCAAAAGCTCAAATTGGGGTTTGGGGGAGAAGAAGAGAGTGAACAAAACTACAGTAACCACAAAAAATGAATGCTAAGAAAACGAAAAAGAGGAAGCTATTGAAAGAAACAAAGCGAAGCCAAATATTATATTGTATGCTCTTTTTGGGGAAGCTTTGTGTCTTGTGTGTCATTTTCAGTTGGGGGTACGGTAATCGGAGGGGACACCGGTACAGTATGAAAACAATATGGGTGTGGAGGGCGTGGGCGGGTGAGTGGGCGTTTAAATGAAAGTATCAGTGGATGTGGGGCGGATTTCGTTGGTTGTTATCAAAACGTCCGGGCTAGCGAGGAAGAAGAAGAAGAGAAACGCGAAAAAAGGATAAGTATTACTGTACCGAGCAGCATCCGCACTTCTTCTTCTTCACGTGTATCAGCTCCACTTTGCCGGCTGGGGGCAGGTCTTCGACGTACTCTTCGTTGCTGAAAAATACAGACTTTTTTGAATTTTTGTTACAGCAAAAACGCAAAAACTACAACGCGGGAAAGTGCAAACCAAATTTTGGTGCTGCATAACGAAATTTCGTAGCTTGTAGTCTAAGCAGCGCCCAGCAGTCGTAAAGTTTGGCGCTGCTTAGACTACAAACTACGAAAATGAGCTCATATTTTCTGCCTAGGTGTTGCTTCAATCGGGATTTTTGAAGCAAAGTTTTTTAAAAGCTATTTTCTATTATCATCTTTTATCAAAACAAATTCGTACCGATTGTGCTCGGCGAGCAGTGGCTCCGAATGGTTTGCCTCGTTTTTCTCGTTTTGCACCAATTGCTCTTTGCTCAACCCGTTCTGCAGATACAACGGTGACTCGTTGGTCGTTGGCGGTGGCGTGCTTCTGAGAAAACCATTGTTTTATGCAAACTGATCATTTTTTTTCCTTACGATTGTGAGTGATGATAGTTTTGTTGTTTGGTGGGCGTGTTCTGTGCGGATCCGGGCCTGCTCGGCGGAAACGGTTTGTGCAAGTACTGCTCCACAATCGGATCGACCTCGTGATAGAGGATTTCCTCCGGTCGGAACGGATTTTCAGCATCCGTCATTTTTCTGAAACAATGTTTGGTTGAGATGAAGCACGTCTTAACAAGGCGGTTCTCAAAGGCACTCGGTGACCACACACAAATTTGCCACGTGGAATGGAATTCGACCACTACTAACTGTATACAATAAAGTACATGAAGCTTCCTTTTTGACAATTTTTGCAGTTCTGAACAAAACTAACCGGAAATGAAGATCCATCGGTCTAAAGTTAGAATAGTTTAGCTGCCGTATTTTGTCTTTTGTCAGAACCAAGAAGTGGAAATGTATAATATCTGAACTCACTTGGATGGAAGTGGCGGCGAAACGGCGACTCTCCTGACCTCCTCAAACTGTGCTGGCGGCGGAATCGGCGACGGAGCTTCGGGAACGACCGTTTCCGAAGTGACGACTACTCGACTGACCGGCGCGTCCGGACTGAAATAAAACAATTGACATTTTGTAAAAAATGGCGACGGAGATGGGGTCAAAAAGGGAAACGAACAGCTGTCATCCATTCCATTTATTCAAATTGGGGTCTGTTCCCATTTATGAGCGAAAATTGGCGAGAAGAAAGGTCAATTTAAACGAGCTAAATGGGCTCGGGAACGGCACCGAACTGGTACTGTGCTCCGCGGGCGGAACAAATAAATGGGGTGTGACAAAGGATTTTTATGTCCAAAAAGCAATTTAGCCGAAAACCCTGGAAAGCTGCAGTCTTTTTTGCGCAAATAACGTTCGCGGTTGGCTCAAAAAGTGTACACAATCAACGAATCGGTCTCAAATTACACGCACTGCTTTGTCGGGGGTCTCCCTCCCTCGTGAAGTGGTTTTGAGGCATGGACCATTATCATCAATATAGGTCGACACAGAAAAGAGACGAGAGGGAGAGAAACGCGCGTTTCCGATTGGATACATAATTGTCGCAGGTGCTCTTTTCCCACATGACTGATCACTATGCTCTCTGCCTCTCCTCCTCCTCCTTTTGAACCTCTTTTCAATTGAATGGGCCTCAGAATCTCGGTAAAAGCGTCGTGTCGAGTCGCATATGTACTATTAATCAAATTACATTAATTTGGTCGCACGCTCCTTTCGCTTCTTCGAGGCAAGGGAGAAATGAGAACAAAGCGACGAAATTGGAAGAAGACGAGGGAGATTGAGAATGGGTTGTCCTGGGGAGGAAAGAAGAAATTGAATGCAAAGAAGAAGAGGAAGAAGAAGAAGAAGAAGACGAAGGCGAATGGGAAGGAAAAGGAAGGCTAAGTAACTTCAATCCATTCGCCGGATTAGTCCAAACTGACGGGCGCAGCGCACTTTTCCGCTTTTGTGTTCCTTCTTCCCGAAGCGCCCCCGGAAAATGGGCAAAAATCATGGTGTTGCTTAACTCATTTTTAGTTTGTAGTCTAAGCAGCACCTAATTTGGGTCTGTTTGCTGCTATTTTTCGACCGGATTTGGGTGCTGCGTGGAGTACAAACTACAAAAACTCACTAAGCAGCCCCACGAGCCGGCAAAGCATGGCAAAGCGGCAAAGAGTGGAAATTGTGAAGCGGTAACCTCTCTGAAACCTTACATTTACCTCTGACCTGGCTCATTTTGAAGAATCCGGTAAAATTGCACTCTTATCAAAAAATCAGAGGTCCCTAAGTTCGATTTCTGGAGATATATTGAAAAAACCGAAAGTAATATGTATGAAAAGCCGGGCCGTGTGCCTTGTGAATTAAGTATTGTGAGAGAAAATCAGGCTAATCAGGAAAATCGAGAAGAAATAATGTTATTTAAGATGAGCGGAACAGAAAACAATACGAGTTTGGGGCCGCTTTTCCTCCTCTTATCTCAACCATTCTTTTCAGTAAGAAAAGAGTGAGGAGACGAGCGGTTTGGCTCCCAATTCCCATCAAATGAATGCGTCCGTTCTCGTCGAGGACATCTTCTTCTCTCCGTCCGTCTTTTTTTGGCTCATTCTCATCGACTGAGAATGGACGCTGTGCTCATTTGGTGGTGATGGCGTGAAGCCATTGGCTCCCAGAGTTTCTCGAAAAAGTGCAACAAACAACAAGAGGAAAAGAGGGACGTGGAGCCGGGGGCCGGAGGAGCAAGAGCAAGGGACACACACAACAAAATGAGGTCCGAATGGCAGAATGGGTGAAGCTGGAGCAGCCAGAGAGTCCTAAAGAGAGAAAGAAAAAGAGGGAGAGAGGAGAGACGACGTTGCGAATGCAATTAGAATGCATATGGCCGTGTGGTGGCGAGTGAGCGTGCATTCTGTGGAGGGCGCAGAGAAAGAGAGACGGACAAAGTGTTGCGAAGATCCGAGAAAGAAGAAGCCCCGAAAAGGGAAGGGGAAATACGTCCTTCCGGTCTTTCTGATTCTAATCGACAACATTATTCAACACACATTTTGAAGGGATTCTCCGGCTCCTTCTAACCTTATGATAATCCCCCTCAAAAACACTAATCCACCAACCTCGTTTTTGCCATTTTTTGTCAGAAAATACACGAAGAAGTTAGAGAAGAAGAGGAAGAAGAAGAAGAAGAACACTGAACTATTTCTCTATCCATGTACACTTTTCCACCATTTCCAAACTGTCACAATGTGTTTTTGTCAATTTTCTCTTCAATTTTCATCTCTCGGTTCGTCATTGAATGGCGGTTCAGGTTCGCAAAAGTATTGTGATGATAGAAGAGGAGGAAGAGAAAAACGCGAAAAAAGGATGGGGCAAAGGGGAGAATTCAATTTGGCGCGATGGACGAGGCCCCGCCCACTTTTTGTTTTGTTTACTGGCCGCTCGATCCTTTGGCGGAATTCGGAATTTGGGTTGAGAACTCGAAACTCGAAAAGCTGCGTGGGACGGGACTTTTTTTTGAGCACTTTAGCGAGAGAAGTTCAAAAAAGCTTTTTTCCTAAAACGGTGGTCTAATTGTAAAGCATGTATTCTGTATCGTCAGTCTCGCTCACAAATCCATCAATTTCACATTCCCCCCCGCTTTTCAATTTCATGAAAATGGAATGGAAACCAACAATATTAATCGAAAAAGTAGCGGCGGGGAGCGGCGGTGGTAAACGAAACGGGAGGCTTTTGACAATATTTGCGATATTATTTGTTCGTTTCGAAAAAATGGAGTGAGCGGAAATGAAGAGAAAACGAAACAGTAAAGTAAATAAAATCCCCTCTTTACTTCTGTTTTATAATTGTCTCTCTTTCTCTCTCTCTCTCTCTCTCTGTCCATCTAACTATATATCAACGGTGAAAGTATGCATTCATAACTAGTTCTGTTCAGGGCATACCGCACAACGTTTTTCAGAAATTTGCAGAACATCATGATGAAATATTCAAAATCGATCGATTCGTGAACTTGATACGCGAACTGATAATCTTACAGCTGTCGACGGGAGTGCAATTCGAAGAGTTTAAAGCCGCCAACTGATCATGTCTGCGTCTCGCACTTCCCCACACTATTCCGTCGAAATTTCGGAGGATGTTGTGTGTGATTCGTTCGCGCCGGTGCTCAGAATTCCGTCCGAAATTACTTTTTCCTCCATCTTTTTGATATTCGAGACGTCGTCAAAAGTGAAAACGAAACAAGAGGAGATGGGGGTGGAAACGAGGAATTTGAAATTTCCGACTCAAACACTTCTATATTCCCACGAGAAGAACTTTGCGATCCTCTCTTCTTCTTCTCGTTTCTTCGTGTGTCGAGCAACAAATTGTGACATTTGACTGCGATGAAACATGAGCGGGAGAGCTCAAAAATGACTCAGTGAGAGAGGTCTTCTTCGCTTGTTTTTCTATGTCTGGTTTTCGCTGAGAAAAATGAGATGGATAACTGGGGGCTCTATTCTGTTTTCTTTTTGAGTTCCAAGCTGGTTTTTTTTTCAGAATTTCAGCTGGAAAACACACACAAAAACCGGGAGCCTAGGTCAACAGTTACTGCAAGGATTCTGACTTTCTATTGAGAGTATAAAATGCTAGCGCGGTGCTTGGTGCTGCTTAGACTACAAACTACAAAAGCATGTACAACTACAAACAGACTCTTTCATGAAACTCATTTCCAGGCTCAAATCTACAAAAAAAAGGAACTGGCTCAGAAGTGAGTCAGGTCGGTGTCACATGATTGATAACAAGAGACTCACTTTGTCATTGACGCGTGGTGATGCAGAAAAAAAAGAAGAAGAAGAAGAAGAAATACGAAGCAGAGGCAAAAAAGCGAGTAATCTCTTCACTTTTCAATGTTTTGCGGGCGGGTAAGTGAGAGGCGAGAGCAGGAAAAGAGGCGGATCTCGAAGGGGGAAGGGATGAGCCGTTGGAGCAGAGCCGAGCAACACAAATGCTCCGAAGAAACAGAGCACGGAGCCACGGCCGAGTCGTCTATCTCTTCATATGTTCTTCTCTCTTTCTCTCCGTCTCTCCTTGATCTTTTGTCTGTATGTCAAACGGGTTGATAACACTCTTAAACTGCCAAACAAAAAAAAAAGAGAGAACAGAGCAAGAAAACAGCTGATTCTTTCCGTTCTTTCACAGCTTTCTTCCTTTTTTCTCCATTTTTCTTGGTTTTTTGATTTGGGAACGGAAGTTTTTTGCGTGTTCCAGACCAGAAAACAGGGATGTTTGGGGTTGTGATTTGGGATTGAAGATTTAGAAGAAAAAACGTACTCAGTGAATGGTTGACGTGGCACGAGAGGCGTCGCATCATCCTCTTTTTCGTAGACGAATGTGTGATCATCGCCGAATGACACTCTGAAAATGAAAAGATAAGTGAAAGTTTGCTTTAAAACATTGGATCTGTTGAACTTTTCTGAGATACTCTAAAAAGCTCTGACGTTTTACGGAAGTACTTGGTTATTTCAGAAATACATGAAAATCACATGAAACTGGTCCTTGTTAACGTGATTTTGTTGTTTGTAGTCTAAGCAGCACCAATCTTTTAAAACTTTAGTGCTGCTTTTGAGTTCGAGTTGTCTACAGTAACCCGTAAATCTCTCACGTCTTTGTCCTGCGTCCAATTCCGAAATGTTTGAGAATACTCTTCATTCTGAAGATCACGGGTTGACCTTCTCAAAAAAATTGTTGTTTGTGGTAAAGTAGCATAGAATAGAATAGAATAGGAGAGGAGGATGCGAATGAAAAAGTAGAAAAAAAAACGAAGAGGTGGTTGGCTTGGAATAGGGGGCAGAATATGCAAACACCGACCACAACGTCCTCTTTTTCTCCTCGTTGTGCCCCCACCCAATTCCTTCTCGTTTCACCTCAAAATGGTCATCATTCTTCGTCGTCTTCGAGATGAACCCGTCGCAGAAATAGGGTGAAATCGAGAGAGGAGTAGAGGGGAAAAGGAAAAGAGAGCGTGAAATATATTATAGAGATGAATGAATGAATGAATGAATGAATGAATGAAGTGGCAATTATAGATGGCAAAGAAGAATGACAGATTGGAAAGAGATGATGATTTTGGCCTTGAAGTCGTTCTTCGTGGGTGCGCGAAAACGGTTCGAAAATATTGTGAGAAAGTGAGAGGCGAAGGCGGAAAAATGAGACAAACGTTATGTTTTCTATGTTTTTTTGTGTGAGAAAGCATGAAATAAGATTTGGGAGCTGACAGCGTCAACCAAAACTAATTTTCCATTTTCCATTTTCAATTTGCACCTGTCAGTGCTCGGGGAGCCCGCGAAAGCTTTAGTTGCAGCGAGTGTGAAAATGAAGTAGAACTGACTACAAAACAAATGTTTCATTCTCACCGCCTTCCTACTTTTTCTCAACACACTAAAATTTTCGCGACGCCCCTTCCTACCTCACAGTTTTTTTTTCAGTTTTTTACGATTTGGTCATTGTATACAAACACACACACACACACACAAGGATGGGAAGAGAAAGAGAAAGACGGCGGACGGGAACCAGTTCAAGAGTTGAATGGGAATGGGAATGTGTCAAAGTTTGAACTGCTTTGCAAAAAAGTACAGTTAAAGACGACGTCAGAAGATCAAAATTAAGGTGCTTAACTTGAACTGTAGTTTTTATTCTGAGCAGCAGCACCAAGCAGCGCATTAGCAGACCGTACAACCTATAGAGCTGCTAAGACTACAAACTACAAAAATCGTTAGGCAGCGCCAGTATCTGAACCTGCACCGCGCCGCAAAACTCCCAAGAAAAGTTCAACAAATCCGTCCAGATTTTGTCAATTGTGATAAACAAACCTCTTGTCCTTATTATTTCCCAATGGCGAGAGCGGGGGCGACGAAATGGCGACAGAGGCCATTCTTCTCCTCTTTTTTGCTTGGCTCTTCTGGTGCCAGATGTTCTTGAGCACTCTCTGAAATGCGAAAAATGAAGCATGAGAGGAGAAGGTCAGAAGTGTACACGGGAGCGATGGACGAAAAAAGAAGAAGAAGAAGAAGGAGAAGTAGATCAAAGATATGGCCGAGGTGCGATTTTGGAACAGAACATATAAAAGTGGGGGGAAGGTTAGATATGACGGAGATAATAATAATAACATCAAGTTGAGAGGAGAAAGGAGAAGGAAGGAAATAATATTTGTTGTTGTCAAAATATTATTATCGCTTTTGAAATGATGCATCGCGGCCTACCGTAATTTTTCAGGATCTCATAAGTCCACGATGTGGAAAAGGACAATGAACTTTTGCAACCACTGAATATTTTGTATCAGAGAAAGTCTAGTTGACAACGCGAAAAAGGAATGGACAAACACAAATTTCAAAGTGAAAAACTTGACAGCTGGGGGCGAAAACGGCGTCTTGAGGCGCGACGACACGTTTTACGATTTTCGGAACACTTCTCTCTCCCCGATTTTCCCCACTGGCGGGACAGATAAGAAGATACGGAGGCGATAAGTGTATAATCACTCGTGTCGTGGATTTTCCTGTTTCTACCATTCTTCCTCGGGAAGAGTGGAACTGTCTAGGAGAAAATAAAATTGAAAAGGGACAGTCTATTTGTTGAATTTAGAGGAATAGACACGACCAAAGTGAAAGAGAGAAAGAGAGAGAGAGAGAGAAAGAGAGGATTACTGTCATGATTGTGTCAACACCGGAAAGTGAGGGGGGTTAGCGAGGAGGGTGTAAATAAGGGGTTAGGTTCGGAGAAGTGCGCGAAAGTTTAATATACACGTAATAGTGATCAGGTCTCTTTGGGAGGTTTGCCAAATTCGACCAAAACAGAGATAAGTACATCAAACGTGATTTGTAGAAGAAGAAAAGTTGTCCTAGAAAGCTGGAAGTGATAGAAATGGAAGATTAAAAGTTGAACCAATTGTTTCAAAGAAAATATTTGAATCCAGACATGGTGGTTTAAAACTTCCTAATTCTTCCTAACGAGCACTTTCCCATCAAGTTAATTGCAAAATGAAAAGGGAAACAGTGCGACCGACAAACTTTCGAAGCTGATAAAGAATGATAAGAAACGAGGCACCACACGTACATAAAATTTCAGCCCAGTTCGCCGCTTTTGAGAGGAAAATGATAAACATTTTGATGATTCTTCCTTTTCGGCGAAAAGACGAAACGAAAAAAAAAAAGAAAGAAACACATCAAAAAGCGGTGGGAGGCTGGGAATTTATGATATTTTATGTGGCAAATGTAGATGGATGGGGGTCGCGTGGGGGCCACTCACAGGCACACACAAAAGAAAAGAAAAACGGGAGGAAAACGGGAGGAAAAGAGGAAGAGTTTTGAGAAGTGAGTGGCATGTCGTCGCCGCCCAAACTGAGAATATATGCGTGGTTTCTAAGCGACGGAAACGGAGAGAGAGCGAGAAAAAGAAAGAGCAACACGGATTAGTTGGGAGAAGAAGCTGCCATTCCCAGGCGTACATGTTCTGATATTGATATAAACGGAAACATGTAGTTGTAGTAGTAGTAGTAGTCGAACTAATATTGCATTGCAAGATTGAGAAGGATATGAGAGGAACGAGGTTGACACGAATGGGCGGGAATTGGAGTGACAGGCGTCTCCTGATTTGACTGAGATTGGATTTGGGTTGAGATTTTGTCTAACTTTTTTGTCAACAATTGCACTGTTCACAATCTTTTCAACAACAAAGAACAAATAGACAATAGTTTAGCTCTCCACCCACAATTCATCAAATTAACAATTTCATTCTATTGCTATCCGTTCTTTTTCCGAACCAAAGAGGTGACAAATCGATGAAAACGTGGTCGGGGAATAGTTGAAAAGACCCCCCTTCACAGTCAAGCGGTAGGTAGATGGAGGCGTGCGCATAATAATTAAAGTGCCAGGGGGGCGCGTTACCGGTATTTCCTATTTCGGAAAAGAGTACTACTCGCTCGGCGGTTTGCCTCTTTTGCAAATCAAATTGGTAGCGAAGGTCATCAAAACGAGAAAATAGTGGGTGAGGCGAAGAGGCGCAGAGAAAAAATCTGATTGGATTGGTTCACTATCCATTCCGCTAGATCCCAAGTCGAGATTGAGGTTCCACTTTTTATGCGGTACTTTTCTTTTTGCGCTAACCTTTCTCCGTCTTTTTTGGATCCGGAAAGGAAATTGAAATGGAATAGAATGGAACTACTTCCATCTGTCTCCAGTGAGGAAACGAAGAGGGAAGAGCAGATGTACCAATAGAAAATGGGGGGAAGAATTGAAAATGGTAATTTTATGGACTGCCTTTGTTTCTACGGCCGAAAGATGGACGCGTCGAACCCGAACCCGAAATGGAAAACGAAACGAACTGGTTAGGAGAAAATGGGAAAAAGGTTTTCAACAGTAATACGGAAATTAGTGGGGTGTTAGCGCTTTACGGCGCTGATTTATGGGCCGCGGACGCCGATGCTTTTCAAATGACCAAGACCCAGTATGGCGCAGTTCATAAATAGGGGTCTGAGCAGCACCAAGCAGTACAAAAGCACAAACTAAACTCTACTTTAAAGTATGATTTAGAGCCTGCAATACTCAAAAAGCGAGAAGCTCTTCGAGCAGCTCAAAAAGATGTCTACTTACGTCACAAATTACAAGTACAGTACTAACATGTGTTCTCAACTTTGCAAAAAATCTTGCTCTCCGAAAAGCTTGCAGAGAAAACTGATTGTGAAGTGAACACATTTTCTCGGGTGTCTCAAATGTGTATTTATTGTTGTTGGACTGACTGACAGAGGTCAATATTTGCAAGCAGAGACACACTTAAAAGCGCGAATAAGGGGGTGACTCTGAAGTGGAAGGGTGTCGAGCATATTATGGGTGAATCATTTACTCGTTCCTTTTTGTGCTAAGAGCTCTTTCGGAGCACTCGGAGCTTCGAGCCTCGTGGGCCTGCTCATTAGATGAAAATCTTGACAAATTTGGCGTATTCAAGAGCACGGAACATTCAGAATTCGGCTCCAGAAGCAATTTCATATGCATTCGTGCTCTCTCTCTCTCTCTCTCTTTTCAATTTCGACCCCCGAAAAAGAGAGAAGCGGAGAAAGAGGGAGAGAGAGAATCGGAAGGAGCACCTTTTATAGAGTTCCGCTCCGTTTTTGTGAGTGAATGACAAAGAAAACCAACAAAAAAGAGTGGAAAAGGACAACATGAACAATTTTTGACAAGAGGGAAAATTGGAATTTACAAGAGTGCCAAGAAACTTGGGAGAGTGGGCATTTAAAGAAAAATGGGTTGTTTCTCATCAGAATTTGAATTTAAAGAGCAGAAATGTCTTGTGAGGGTGACTACAGTAATCCTGTGACTACAAAAAACTCGAATCAAATCAGATATTCACTGGGACCAACTTGGCGAAAAACACAACAATTCGGGTCGGGTAGCGACTTTCAAAAATAGAAAAAGACAACAAACACGAAATTGCTCATGTTTTTGCATGTCGTGCTCTTTCTGGCGGATGCGACAAGAAGCTCCGGAGAGGCCTCTCATCATGAGATCCGGTTCGAAATCTCTCAAAATCACACGATCTTTTCGGTTTTTCTGCTCTCGCGGAGCAGCCAGAGCCGCTAGCGAGTCGGATTGAATTGCGGCAAAATTGAAATGATAAAAGATGTGATAAATGTTTGAGCGCCCTGATTTTCTATTCCGCAGCGGCAGCTCCGCGAGCATACTTTTTTGCTTTTCCGTGTGTGTCTAGCGCTCTCAAGAGCAGGAACAAATGGGAAAATGGGGGAAAAGGAGACGGGGTCGGATGCTTTTGCTCTACTAATGAGATGAGCCGCCATGCAGCACAAGGAGAAGACGTCGAGCAAATTTTCACATTTCCAACGCCTACGCATTTCAATTATGAGCCCCGCAGTGTATGTACAAGAACAATTTTTGAGCAACTCGAGAAGAAAATAAGCGAAGAAGCGAGCTATATATACACCCGCTCTTTTTCATTTCATTATAATTGGAAGAATTATATGGAGTGGAGCTGACCCAGAGGAAGAAGAAATGTGTAAAGTAAAAGTTAGACCTCTCCCCAAACTGAAGAGAAGGGATAATGATTGCCTCGCGCTGATTCATATGAGAATACGAACATTCAGTGACAGATTTATGACTCCATTGGGGTCAGAAACGCAAAAGTTTTTGGCTCCTTTGGATTCTGCGGATATTGAGAAGTTTGGGCTGCTTAGCTAATTTTTGTTGTTTATAGTCTAAGCAGCACCACACGTTAGAATTGCAACTGCTTGGTGCTGCTTAGAATACAAACTACAAAGTCTCGATGAGCAGTGCAAGGTTTCAAAGTCAAAATCACACATGTTCGCCAGATTCATAGACGGACAATAGGAGAAAAAAGCGGAGCACAAACACACATCTCGAATCAATTATTTATATTGTGAGCTCACAAAACCCTTGCACTTCTTCTTCTTCTTCTTTTTCTGCTCTCTGTTTTCCTCCCGAGTTCCGCCGCGAGCAGTTTATCCGTTCGACGTGACAAAAAACAGAGATTTTTTTTTACTTTTTCTCTCTTTTTTCAGCTGACGGAAAAGATAAACAGAACTTTTCCACTTCGCTCACATGATTTGATTATTGAGAAAGGTTTCAGTGTGTGGGAAAACGAAAAGAAGGCGAAAGAGCCACGTTTTGTTTATTTATTCATGTTTTCAAAAAAAGAGAGCGAAAAACTGGAGGAAAAAGTTTAAAAGTGGAAGGAAAAGGGGCGAAAAGTGTTTTGGTAGAGGACGACGAAGAAGAAATTGTATTCTGAAGAGGGCATACTTCAGAAGAAGACGCCTTGAATTTGTTATTCTCAACAAGGTTTGAGTTTTGAGTACAGTGAAGACACAAAACTTTGGCGCTGCTTTACGGGATTTTGTAGTTCATAGTCTAAGCAGCACCGAACTTCCGATCTTGGGGTCTGCATGCACTATAAACTACACGTTTGGTTAAGCAGCACTAAATTTAGGTTTTCGAAACAGAACAAAGAACACCGTCAACACTCGGAGCTCTAGACGGAAAAAGAAGAAGAAGACGACGAGGAGCTAAGCCGTCAGAGCGCATTAGAATATTAAAAGGGAAGGAGGCGCGCGAAAAAAAGAGGACAAGCCCGTCCGGGAGGGCAGTGCAAGTTATGTTTGAAACTGGATATGAGACAAAGTTGGCAAAACGAAACATATAGTTGTGGGGGGAGGGGAAGAGTTGCAAACTGCCCCCAGACCAAAAGCGGTTGGCTCGGGAGAGAGCATTCGGTGCACGGAGAGCCCAAGAGACGAGGCGATGATGAATGAGGAGGAGAAGAAGCCGGAGCAAGAAGAAGAAGAAGAAGACGACGACGAATTTTCGGAGCAGTTGAAGAAAAGAAGGAGATATTTTTCGGGTGATGGGTGGTCCTTTCGAGCGCTTTGGAATTATTTAAAGGTTCCGGGATAAGTTGAGACATTCGCATTGAAGCCGAAGATTTGAAATTTGATACGAATAAATTTCGGATGAATCGTGTATAAAGTGTTCCGCTGAGAATTCTCCTCCTCTGTTCCTTAGACACTGGTTATCGAACATTTCAATTCTTTATAATAATTTATTCAAAAACAAGCAATGTACAAACAACGTGAAGTTAAAGCTCTAAGTGTCTGAAACTGGCTCTTTTTCCTTTTTAAAATAATCGTATAACCTGTGAGCGTTCAACAGGAGAAGAGGTAGAAAAACTAGTGCGTGCGTTGTTCCTGAAATACAATTTTCTTCCATTTGGTCTAAAATCTGAATACCAACAATCTTACCGAATAAAATAACGAGAACAACTGTTCGGAAACAAGTTTGGACTACGTAACTGTCGACTAAATACAGGGAAGACACTCCCAAAAGAACGGAAACAGATGCTTGGGTGACTGGCCATCCAACGGTTCCCAATGTATTACAAAACCGTGATAATATTAGACTTTTTCCAACTTTCGACGGTTTGTTTTCGGTCATGTAGGCATAGGAGACGTGTGCGGCGAAATCTGAAGTAAAATGTTCCTTTCCATCAGTTTATTTTCAAGATTATCCGCTCAGAAGAGCGTGCCACTGCGGCTCCAAAAAAGATTGGCTCCACGCGGTCATCAAGCTCTCAAGGAGCTGCTTCACGCTCGCGGCACGCCCGTTACCCATTCATCGCGGATGGCATCTCTACCAAATTGATGGGAATTACGAGATACATACTGCAGAAATGATTCTGTATAGTATGGTCTCAATGCATTAAACGCGGTTTCCGAAAGTGATGTGTGCGCGCAGCCGACACCTCACGGGTTCCGCCCGCTGCTATGTTTTGTGTGAATGCTAACTCCGCCCACTTTTTGCGAGGCGAGACGGCGGTTTTGAGAGGGCGAGCAGACAGAGAAAATAGGCTGTTGGCGGTGTGATCACTAATTCCATTGATAATATACGAAAATTTTCGAAAAATAACTGTTATGTAATTCAATTTTGCAGAATTTATTGCTCGTTCTGCATAGACTACAAACTGCAACATTTCGATAAGCAGCGCCAAGACAAGGGTCTGCTGAGTGAAATGAAACCTTACCAACTGAAAATCCAACACTCATTGCAACCGTAATCATTGACGTGGCATCTAGACTGACTCCCAAAAAGGACATTGTACCAATTACTCCAAATGCAATTGAAGCAATGTTCAGGCCTTAAAAATCTGAAATATTATACGATTTTCCGACTAAAAGTACCTATTATCAGTGAGCAAAGTGGCTGTGGGATGAATAGCAAGGCTACTGGGATCATGACAGCTGAAATTTCAGTAATTTAAAGTTGAGAATGCGTGGTAAAAACCTATAGAAATGTAAATATCCTGCATAGTTTGGGGCCACATAATATCGTACTCATCTGCGATGTTCCAAAGCGTTGCATATGTTGTCATATTGTATTGTTCATGTTTTCGGCATAACTTTCTGAATCATAAGTTAGATATTCAAACCGAGCTCCTTTCAAAACCTCATAGTTTCAGCACATTTTGAAATTTCCTCATCTGTGCTCACATTTACCAGTCTAGTAGATAGCCTAAATTGATTTTCCGAGAGCACATCATATCTGTACTTTTCGTTTGACATCAAGAACGTCTTTTTTGATTGTTCGAGCTTCTGGAGACAAATATTTCTGGATTTTGAAGACTCAAAATCAAAACGATACTCACTTTCTTGTTATTCAAAACTTTATCGACATTGCCTCCGAATCCAAGTTGCCCCAAGTATTTTTGCATTTCAAAATACCAAAATTGCGTGGAATTCCTTCCTTCAGAACACCAAGTTCTCTGAAAAGTGAGGTTCGCGTAATTGTTTTCATATTTGACCTACTTCAAACTCATCCAAAACGTTCATAAATTTTTCCCGTTCAATGGGATTCGATAGTTGCGGAGATTTCATGATGGCAATGTCCATAATCTGCTCATTTTAATTCAAAATGTTTCAATGCGAAAAAACTCACTTTGGTGTCTTCAGGGAATAACTTGTTACGAACTTCTAGGAAAACTCGAGACGCCGAACTTTCTTGCACAATATTTATAAGCTGAAATGGGGTTCATTCTCTCCTTTTCAAACTTCACGTACATCAAACCCAATTTTCAGATTCTGAGCTCCATAAAACGCGGTGGTCAAATAGGAAATGTAGAGGAGGAGACTTAAAAATGCCATTTTGGGGCTTGAAATGAAAGGCGCGTAGGTGTCTTCGAAAAATTTTTGGTACCACATTCGAACATCTTTCTCTCCGTTTCCCTCTTTTTCATCTAATTTCTCATTGTTATTATTATTTTCCTCGTCTGCTTTAACAGACACTCGACTTCCCATTTTGAAGAGTAGCTGTTTGGTTGAAGCATTATCTAAATAATTTTACATTTTTAAATTCTCTAGGAATCCTCCCTACCGTAATCCTCTAAATTTTCAGTCTTTTCGCCAGTTACCGAATGCCGTAAATCTTGTTCTCGTCTTCCTTGAAGTGCGAGAACAGCCACGAACATTGTGAGGCAGTAGAGGAAGATGAAAACTATTGCGGCGGATGAATAATAGCAGAAGTACATGACAGCTGGAAGCGGAGCAATTGAGCCGATGAGAAAAGCGAGAGCATCCGTGAGACTTGTGATCGAGATGGATACGGCTGCGTGACGCATCGAACGCTCTATTCGGGTCTGAAATATGCAAGTTTTGGTGCTGCTCAGCAGCATTTTGTAGTTCGTAGTCTAAGCAGCACCAAAGTTCGCGCCTGCTCCGTTCTGCTTTGACTACAGACTACAAAAACTTAGCAGAATTTCGTAGTTCGTAATCTAAGCAGCACCAAAATTCGCGCCTGCTTCGTTCTGCTTAGACTACAGGCTACAAGTTTTGGCTAAGCAGAGCAAATTTCACTTACTTGATACGGTAGGTTTCTGTCTGTCTCATGCCAAGCTGCAAGCATTAGAAACGTGTCATCAATTCCGATTGCTGAAAAAATCCATTTTAGATCTTTAACAGCTCAACATTTTTTGAAAGAAGAACATACTCAACGATAAAAACGGCATAACTGTGCACATATCCACAAAAGTGACATCGAAAAGCATGAGCAAGCCAGTGGAAGAGATAATTGCAGAAAGGGTGACCAAAACTCCACAAACCCCCAAAAGTGGTTTGCTGAGCACCCAATCAATTACTGGGTATCGTTTAGTTGACTTTGAATCCTTGTCCACAAAGTCCACAAATTTTATAGTGAACGTAGAGAGAATTGCGAAAATTATAAGGACTGTGAATGTTATGGAAAATCTGAAGAGCACTTTTTTGTGTTAAAAAAAAACGTTTTGCAGCCAGCTTACTTGGGCGTCAGTCTCCTATTCTCTTTCTCCAATTCCTCATCAAACGTGGCAGAATGGAAATAATACAAATTCAGCAGTTCAGAAGGCGTCTCTTTATTCTGAATCTTTTCCGCCAATCCGTCCTCGAAATCCTTCGACAACTGTCCTTTTCCTGGCCCGAACTGTTTCAACTGATACAAAATCATCCACGCGGACGCATTTTGGACGTGTCCATTCGAATTCAAAGTGACATTTCCAAGAACTTTCGAAATATCGATTGGCTCCGTCGCGTAAGTACTACGGTAGATGGGGAACGTGATGTTGAACATAGAACTATGGTTTTTTGAATAAATGTCAGCTAATAACTTTGCGTGAGTGTTCGAGAAACAGTCATTCTGAAAGACGTCAAAGTTCTTGTCAAAAATTTTGTTGGAAATATGAGGAACCTGAAAATGAAGGCAAACATCCTTATAAGTGAACACTCTTCCCGCCGACGATAAAAGTTTTATACTGGATATCCATTCGAGGATTTCCAGAAAGTCTTTGGCATGGTCTTGTCTTAAAATGTCGCCTCCATCCTTGGAATTCACAATCAAATAGATTCCTTGTCTTCGCAAAATATCCTTTCCTAAAAAAAAAACTAAAATTTCAGTAATGCTATCTTTTCCAAACCTGGATAAAAATGTTCGTCATCCTTTGCCCAATTCTCTCCGAAAATTGCTTCTTCCGACTTCCACGTGGCATTTAAAGGCGCATAGAGATAGTTGACGCCACGAACTATTCGGAAATTGAGAATTATCCCCATTGAGAGGCATATTGTTATGATTGAGGGAATTATGATGAATGGCCATGGGTATCTGCAACTTTTTCGTTGAAAAAACAAGAGTGGTGCTGCTTAGACTACAAACTACAAAATTCGGTAAGCAGCACAAAAATTTCTGGTAAACAAACTATCTGTTCTCACACTTCCGCAGCTTTTCACTCACTTTGCCACGAATAGACAGTACTTGGCAACAATATTAGACCAAGGTCGCTCCAACGGAGCTGCTCGAATCTTGAACAGCATTCGTTTCAGGTCTCTGACGATGTCACTAGAATCAGAACAGAAAACAGAATACAGAAGGAGTACGCGGCACACCAACCAGGATGGACAAAAAGGGGAATGTGATCTATGTGACTCCTTCGTCAAGTACCTCCACACCTAATCCGTATTCTTCTTTTTCTTCTTCAGTGATTTTCTCGCTTCGATAATTAGAGAGGAGCTGTCTGACCGGTTCCCATTGGTCATCTGACGACGAATTTTAGCCGCCAATTGCGTGTTGGATGACGCCACACTTAATTGGGCGATTTTTTTCTCGTTAATGCAACATCTACGAACATTTTACGTGTACTTTTTGTTGTCGTTATTTTCCTTTTAGATCCCTGTTTGTCAAATTCATTTATTTTTCTGCAGAGAAGTGGAAATTCCAGACGAATTCACCCAGATTATCTCTATTTTTCGCCATGCTAACGTGAGGACTAACTTTCGCAAGGTGTGCAAAACCTCGGCCAACATATTTTTCTGCCATTTTTGTCATTTTGCAGCTGATTTTCTTCAATTTTCAGCAGAAATGTTGCGACAAATTGGTAAATTTTACCATCAAGGAGACGAAGACTGGTCGAGCCGCGTGTGGATGACGTGCTGGCACCACGGCGGCCGGATTCTGGCGTCATGCGGTGACGACAAGGCCGTCAGAGTTTGGAGCCTTCTTGGCCAACCGGGTAAGCATTTTCATCTTTGCTATTAATGCTCATGACATCAAGAAACTTATTTATGCAATTTATCTTTAAAAAAATCAATAAAATAGCGTCAATAGTTGTGGTCGTGGCCGTCTTGTGACCGTGTTATCAGTACTCTAAAGTTTTGCAGATTCTGCCGACTTAGATTTGCGCCTCGAATGCCGAACAGTTCTGAACGAAAGTCACACGCGAACAGTCCGTTCGGTCACTTTCTCACACGACGGAAAGTTCCTGGTCTCTTCCAGTTTCGACGCCGCCGTCATCGTCTACCAGCAAGAGGAGTAAGTTATTTAAAAAAAAAAACGAAAGTCTGTAACCAGTTTTACTCTTTAGTGGCGAATTCACCGAAGTCAACAAGTTGGAGGGTCACGAAAGTGAGGTAGGGGATTCGGGATTATGAGTAAATGGAGAATCAACGATCAAACTTCCAGGTCAAATGCGCAGTTTTCTCGAAAAGCGACGAGTTCCTGGCCACGTGCAGCAGGGACAAAAGCGTTTGGTTTTGGCAGCGTAAGCAAATAGTTTTCAAGAAATAAAGCATTAAAAATTCTTTCAGAAGACGAAGATGAGGATTTCAGCGTGTCTTCCATACTTCAGCCGCACACACAAGACGTCAAATACGTCGCTTGGCATCCGACAGAAGACGTAAGCGACTTCGACCTGATTTCTGTAATTTCGAGCGAACATTGTCGGTTTTATAGGTTCTGGTCTCGTGCAGTTACGATTCTTCAATTCGATTCTACCGATTTGACGGTGAAGACTGGATAACTCAGCAGAGAATTCCCGATGTTCACGTGGGAACCGTCTGGAGTCTTGCATTCGATGCCGATGGAAATCGGCTGGTGACCGTCGGAGAAGATCACGTTATTCAGGTAATATACCAACGAACATAACATCTGGTGCTGCTTAAACCACAAACTACAAAATCTCGTTAGCCGATCAAATCTTGACGTATTCCAGTTATTCGTCCGCGAGAACATCGGTACAAAATCGGCGGAAAACGACACTTGGAAGTCTGTTGCGCAGTTCCAAGTGGAGAACACGCGATGGCCATTATATTCGGTTTCATGGAATACGACGAACGATTTGATTGCCACTGGAGGCGGCGATTCGAAAATCAGACTGTTCAAAATCACTGGAGATTCGGATGCTCCAATTATTGAGCATCTTGGCGTTGTCGGAAAACACGAGCTAGACGTGAATCACGTCGTCTGGAACCCAAGATTCTCGAATCTTTTGACGTCGGCCTCTGACGACGGAACTATTCGGTTGTGGTCTCTTGAGTTGTAGATTTTCTTTTGAATGATTTCCTTTTTTGTTGCATTCCTGATCGAGTTTGTTGCCTTTTCTTTTCTATTTCAAATTTTATTGTTTAACACAAGACTATGATGTTCTCTTTTTAAAAAAATAGGAAAATGTTTAGCTCTGGAATATATCACACGGCCCCGATGGAGGTTGAAGGGGAGAAACCAATAAATACTATGCACATAAGTAGCCAATTGCGTAGAAAAAAAGCGGATGGGTCTGAGCCTAAACGAGCAAAATATCAGGAGCCACACGATTGATCTCGTTGCGCATTTCCGTCGGCATTGATGGTTTCAAGTCACGAGCCTGGATCAGAGTTTCACGAGTGTACCGGATCGACTGAAACGATTTTATTAGAGTTTCAAGAAGCGTTTTCCGCTTACTTACGTCCGCAATCTGAGTAGCTGGAGCCGGAATCGTGCTGGCCACCACTACGGTAGTGGTCGCCGCGAGACCATCGGCGAGATTCGGTGTGGATCCGTGGAAAGTCTTGGCCGGCTTCAGCACAGGTTCCTGTTGATGATTGGACTGTTGCAAGGGCATCGACTTGCGACGCTCCTTCTTTTTCTCGCGCTCCTCGGCACTCGGACGGGCACGGACACGCAAATAGGCGGAAAGAGCCTCCTGAGCAGCGGCCAAGAGCTCCGGGTCATCGCAATGGAAAGTGAGCTTTCCGTCGGAAGTCTGCTCCAATTTGATGTCCTCGTCGTCGTCTTCATCATCCTCCTCCTCCGCATTTTGAGCATTAAAAGTCGATGTTTCAGTGGTCATTGCCATGGGAGGAGCCATTGGCATGTCGGACTGAAAATGAAAGAGATTATTTTGAAAAGGTGACTTTTAGCTTTCGAAATGTGAAGTTTTACATACCCGAATAGGACTCATATTTCTCCGAATCGTGTCAATGATCATATCCTTGGCCCGCTCGATATCTTCCATGTTGGAAGCGGTGATTGTCAGTGTTCGCTCCTTGCTCTTAGCATCCACCTGAAATCAATCATTTTTGATAATACCTCCAAAATCCAAGTACCTTTTGAAAAGAGATGACGGTTCCAGTGAGCTGTTCCACAGCCGCCACTCGTCGTCCCTTCACACCCATAATTTTGCCGGAATCCGAGTTTCTGATGATCATCTCGTGACGCAATTGTAGCGTTTTGTTCATCAAATTCGGTTTTTTGTTGAGACTCCGTTGACGAAGGAACATTTGATGGTCGGGCGGAAGCATCGAGTGCGGCATGAATGGATTCGGGGGCATTGGCATTAACGGGTTCATCCATGTGCTGGCTGCCGGAATGAAGAAGATTCCGCCGGTGTTCGCTGTAAAGTTGCTTTTATCGGAAACTGCTTATTATAGGGGCATCTCACAGAAATAACGCGTTGTTCGCAATCTTGCCGAATTTCTAGGCCGCGAAGTAATTTTCCACTCAAAACGTGGCCTAACTTTTCAAACTCGGCCCCGAGGTCACTCAATTCGCAATGCAAAAAGAGTTTCTCAACAGAGCGCCATTTCTGTGAGGTGCCACTATAATACCTAAATTTTGGCGCTGCTTAACATATTTATGTAGATGGTAGTCTAAGCAGCACCACACAGAACCGAAGTTTAATTATGCTTATACTACAAACTACGAAATTGCTTTAAGCAGCACCTGACATGGGTCTGAAGTTTTATTCAATGAAACAAAACATACGATTCCCGCCCATTGGATCCTGAGCGAACATCATTGGATTGGGAGGCACAAACTGCATTGGCGGGTTCGGAGATGACGGTACAGGTGACGTCACCGAACTAGATTGCGTCGTCACAGCAGGAATACCCACGGTTGGTGCTGGATCGTGTTCTGAAATTGCTCCCAAACATTTTCACTTTTTTTCACGATATGAGCACTGACGTCCTTCAGGCCTGTTGACATAATATTGGCTGTGTGCCAGATTGGTTCTCCAGTTCATCGCTCTCAATTCGACCAATTCCATAATCTTCAACCGGCACGGAGTACCCAATTGTCCGTTGTCTCGGCAGCAAGCCTGACGCAGAGATGTGAACACCTTGTTCAATTCATCTGCAAATGTTTTCTTGCAATTTCAGCAATATAATTCAGGCTCCACTTTTATGCGATTGTTCCAGCATTGAACCCGAAGTCTTGAGTTGAGCACAAAGTGTAAAAATGGTGTTGGCCAGCTGAGAAGTGAACTGACTCGCACGGACCATGTTATTGATCGTGTTCATTAGTTGCAGTTGCTGGTCTGTAAAATGAGACATTTCGCAACCGTCCCTTCTTTAAAGTTTCCAAATGTTCATTAAACCGCAAGATCTGAAGACCAGTGCGCGACTACAGTATCCTGTGGGCAAACATTGTTAACTGCTCTTTTTCATTTCCTCTTGTCGGCCCGACCCACTTAATCGGCATGTGATATCAAAATAAAGAGAAAGGACATAAAGTATCTTCTTCGGTGTCTCTATTCCTCCTCCAATGTCTATAATGTCTTTGCTAGTTTTGAAGAGTGTCTCGGACGGCTTTAAGGCCCCGCAATTTGTGTTGGGGATGGGTGTTTGCTGATCGGCTCACGGCTCGTGTTGTACGAACATACTGTTGACATTCAAATTGATAACTCCCTTTTGCCCCCTCCTTTCCCTTTTTGTCCCATTATAAATACAGTAACATCAAAAAAATGCCATGTTATTCGATCAAATCGAATCAATACTCCCCGAAATGATAACGGAAGTTTTTTTGCGGGAAAGAGTTTTGTGTGTGGCTTCGGTTTTGACGAGATAAGTGATATATGAGCCTCCCGGACACGAGAAGGACGCAAAAAATGTGTAAAGGAAAGGAGGAGAGTGGAGCACGGCACAGCTGGTGTGGAATGTGTTGAAGTACCCCACACGTTATGAAATATGAGGTTCGGCAACGAGCAAAAAGTTTGGAAAAAGTTTTAGGTCAAAAAGTATTTTTCTCTCAAAATTATCTTGGAATGCTCAGGCTTGTCGAAAGCACAATAATTTTCTTTTTATGCGAATTTTCAGACCTTATGTTAAGTTGGGAGCTAGCCCAATTTCGAAACTAGTGTACATACACTTCAGGTTTAGGTTTTCATAAACCAAGTTAACATTGTGTTTGCTTGTTGTTATCGCTCCTGTTTTTCCTAATTTCGTTAGACACTTTTTCTTTCTTTTTTAATTGCCAACTCACCAACACTGAGAAGAGCATTCCGAGGCGGTTGAGCAGCCGCCGTCTGCATTTTAGCAGCAAAATCACTAGCGACGTCGTACGAAGAGTGAAGCATCGGATTTTATTGTGGTTGATGTATGATATTTTTGTAGTTGTAATCAGAAGAAGTAGACGTAGAAGCTTCGAGTGCAAGAAGAAGAAAAGTGAAAAAGGAGAAGAATGTGTGTGTGTGTGTGTGTGCTGAGAGAAGAAGAAGGAGGAGGAAGAGGAAAGGAATTGTCGTTCGCTTGTCTATTATTCAAGAATAAGGGTCGTCAGAGGAAGATCCAGGTCGTCAGAGTTCGAACACACTCGGAAGGGGCGCCTGGAGGGGAGGCCGTGTCCGGTGGCTGATCAAAACGCTCTGGTCGTCTGCCGACGCTCTTCGCTTTCCGAACTATTCTTCTCTCTTGGCTCAGCTCCCGCCATCCTTGTAGACTCCGCCCCCTTTTTGTTCGTCACCGGACAAAGGCCCTATCACTCCTTCTCTCTCTCTCTTTCTCTTCCGACTCCCGCCCGTCAGCCCGATTCTCGACGCTTTACTACAAAAAGTTCGTCGTTTGGCTCTCTCTCTCTTTCTCTCTGTATGTCAAAGAAGAGATAGAAACATCATTCGGTTCATTTTCTCTCTCCCTCTCTCTTTCACAAAATTGAGAGAGTGTTGGTTGTGGATTATGCTAATTTGGTGATTGCAACGATTGTTTATCGAATGAGTACTGATGAAAACGATCGATTTTGGGAGACTAGACTGTTTGCGGGATATCAGTTTCAGTGCAAAGACGCATAGCGATTTCAGGATAGCTCTGCCGCCAAACTAAATACGTACTGCAGGATGTGACACAACATTAGCTGAAAAAATGATAACAGGGTCTTTGGATGATGCTGACATTCTAAAGAAACTTTTCTAGGAGCCTGCTGATTAAAAATGAGTGTCTGAAAATTTGGTGGCGCCAAGATCAACGATTTTTCTATCATGAATGTGATCAATAGGCTACAACGTGAAAGGATTACCAAAAATGTTTATTATGAGCAGGCCAAACCTATGATGCTGCTTGTAGCAAAGTTTTGTAGTCTATTGTCTAAGCAGTACAATTCCAGAAGATCCTTTTTAGTGCTGCTTAGACTACAAACTACAAAGTTTTGCTAAGCAGCACCACAACGAACAAGACTGCATTTTCATGTTATCCTGAAACTACCCCTCGATATTTGTAGACGTCAAAGTTAAGATCAGAAGACGTAGACACTTTCTGTACCCGATCGTCTAGTCTCTGAAAAATGATGAAATTATTACACTCTGATTTGGTGGATGCGAATGTTCTTACTGGGTTTACACAGTCTTTATCTATCTTTCATTCTGCAATGGTTGTTAAAAGTTTGATGAATGTGAATGTGATATTGTTTTGTTTTTTGATGCCGCGTTGCATTACAGTCTCCTCTGTTTTTGTGACTAACAGTTTTGCACCCGTATAAAACTTTATCAGCATGTCAAAAAATGGGAGAAATAAAGGAAAAAGGTTACCAAACTTTCAAAAACGACTAATTGACACATCATATCTACACATGAAACGTTTAGTGGGAAAACTTTTAGAAAAAATAAAAAGAAGAAGAAATGGCTGTTGTTCGAACTCGTTCTTCACAGAAAACAGAACCGGAAAAGGTATTATCCGTTTGCAACGATGGCACAAACTCCGATGTCCCCGTAGTGGGTGATATTCCTGTACGCTCCACAACAATTGACCGATCCTCCGGCTACTACATGCGTGAATCCTTCTCGGAACCACGTCACATAACACGGAGCCTTTTGCGATGTGAAAATAAGCGTTTCGACGGCAGACCACGCTGAAGAAGCTCCTCCGATGAATCCGAACGCTGAAATTAGTTGAAATGTTAATCTGTAATAGTTGAAATCACAAATCACTTACACAATGAAATAATGTTGAAAGCCAGAATAAACTTGGGAGTATAATACCAGACACTGAAACACAAAATTATTTGGCTTCTACAAAACTTTCACATACTCAGAGAGCGTAGCGGTTTCCATATCAGGACTATTCTGCTGAACAGTACCAATTTTCAATCCGTCCTCTCTTTTTTTGGCCGATGCTTGCATGAACAGCCAGAAAATACTCGGAAGCAGCATGGTCATCAGGGAGATTGTGGTGGCACCGACCTGAAATTTAAAGTATAGTCAGAAACGGCACTTTATATAAATTTAGTACCAAATCCAAGAAAACACCAATTTGTAAAACAGACAGGGCGGTGAAACCGACCAACGCCATGATAAATGTACGGACGAAGAAGCGACGAGCTCCGAATTCTGGAAGAACATTGTTCAATTATTCACTTTCTTTCTATTATCTTTCGGTACCATTCGGAATCTTGATCCATTCCTCAACTTGTTGAGCCAACGGAGAAAGCACAATAATGATGGTGGGAAGGATGTGTGCGGTAATGAGAACATTGATAGTCTGGGCCACCCACGTAAGTTGGATCGATGGGATTACGGTATCCTCCATACTGTCACCGTAAGCCATGAGGCCGGAAACTGACACGGCTAAGTAGACGATTGTAATCACTAAAGTATTTATGTTATTTTCTCGCAGAAACTTCTAATCAGTAAGTATGAACTTCACGTGATCTTTTTGCGAAGAAGCACGTGAATTATCGAGCAATGCGTTATTATAGGGGCACCGGACAGAAAGACCGCGTTGTTCGCAACAGAATTTCTACGCCGCGAAGTAATTTTCCATTGAGAACGTGGCCTAACTTTTCAAACTCGGCCCCGAGGTCGCTCAATTTGCACTGCAAAAATAGTTCTTCATTACAGATACTTACAGATATAACTGGAAATGACAGATTTGTTGAACTGTTGCGGCATGGCCATATCGTGTTGGATAGTAGGGAAAGCGCCGTGACCACCGAATGCGAATACAATCGTTCCGTAGGACAGGGAGAACTGTTTAAAGTTCAGTTTTGGCATTTCACGGTGAGGAGCACATGTGGACATGTCCCACGCGGATCCGAACACAATCAATCCGGCGGCTATAGTACTTGAGACAGCTGAGATAATTGCGAGTTGCCAGAAATCCATTGGACTCTGAAGCAGGCAGAACGGCCACAAAACGAGCGTGATGGCGACGATGAAGATGCAGAAATCGAGGTGGAGTCCGAAGAACGTGTTGAGAAGATTGGTGAAGTTCTCGGCGGACAGAAGGAGAAGCACGCAGGCGATGAGGAATTGGGACACCACCAGACACACGGCGACGGCCTGACGAGCCCAGTTTCCGAGAGCGCGGTACGCCATTTCGGGATAAGGACGACGGCAGTGAGTACGGTATTTCGGCCAGCGATTCTGAAATGCTCAACGATTTTTGAAAATTTTTTCAGCTGAATGTACCTGCATCATTTCCCAATTCTGTCCGAGTTGAATTCCAGTGTATCCGGAGAACACACTGGCCAAGAGGATCAGAATGCAACCAGCAATTAACCCCGCTTTTCCCAATGATAAGGGCAAAGAGATCATTCCGGCGCCCATCATGTCTCCAACGATGAAGATCGCCGCCATCAACCAAGAGATTCCATGCGAGTTGTGATACTGAAATAAAACGATTACTGTACTTTTTCTGAAAGTAATATGATGCACCGTGCCAGAAGAATCTGTTGAATCCAACGAGTTATCCGACATTTTGGACTTTGGATCCTTTCGGTCCGTCACAGTGTACACCTTCTTTGTGCCCATTCTATCCTGCAAGAGGGGGGAGTGAACAAGTTCAAAGTATTGAAACGAAATGGAGAAAATGGGAAAAGAAGAGAATTTATATGAATATTTATAGTGGAATGGAATGGATGCAACATGCTGACACATCGAATCGAATCACCACAGCAAAAAAATTTTGATGGGTTCGTTTCGGGGGGGACTGTCAACGAGACGGACGGAGACGCCTATAAATCAGCGCGTTACCAAGACGAAACTCTTCATAGACTGTTCGACGACGAGATTTATGGCAATTTTGATTTCAGCAGTAACGAATCATGTGATATTGGTTTTCAATGAAAAAGAAAAAGATAGTGGGTTGGTTTAAGGTTCTATCTTTAGCAAAAAGTGTCTGTACGTCAAAGAGTACGTTGGATGATAGAGAGAAAACAGAGGAAGAGATCAGGTTTTGGGCTCAAATGGAATGTCATAAATCAGGAGAATCAGTGGCGAGACTGCTGGATTCATGAAGTTCCCGAGGGCGGGGTCAAGTTAGAAGATGAAGAAATAGGATAGATCAAGGACTTTTCAATCAAGAATGTGATAAATAGGATGCAAAGTTTAAGGATTACCAAAAAAATGAATATTAAGAAGACCGACAGCATGACGCTGCGTGCTAGCTATATTTTGTAGTTTGTATCCTAAGCAGCACCAAAAATGATGTGGAACTTAAAATTTCTTTACTCATAGAAGAATCTAGGAAGTCATCAGAAAGTTCGACCTTCTTCTCTTACCAAACTAACACCATCCTTTTCCTCCATTCGCCCGATACGCATCGGCAGTTAGCTGTACGTTGAAAGTACCGTAAAACAAAAGAAAAGAAGAGGGACACCCTTTTTTCCCGAAATGACCTCCCCCGAAAAGACATAAATCGAGCACCGAACGTCCCTCTCTTTGGCAGGCGAAGCGGGGGCGAAAAGCGGCGAGAAAGAAGAAAAATGCAAAAAATGTAAATTTGCCTCGTTGTTGCCGCATGGAAGGATTGATATGATCGAATCGATAATCGAATTAAACCACACGAAAAAGTTATGCTGTAATACTTAGAAAACCAAAACCTTTTGCAGCTTTTTATATTGTCACCATCTGAAAAGGGGAATCGATGCAACACAAACAATGCTTTTGAAGAAATCAAAAGAAAACGACACACCAAAAACCGTGTTGTATATGGAAAAAAAGTATCATATGAAAATAACTCTTGTTTGTCGAAGTCAACAGTCAAAAATATCATTTCTGGTGCCTGGGAAAGTAGATTCTTGTATAAATATGAATATGTCAGGAGGAATTAAACTCCGAAGAACTGTCATGAGTTTTGCAAACCCAAACTGTTTACCGGCATCATAAGACACTCCCCCATTCATACCGATTGTAGGAGATCGGAAGTAATGGACGGTGTTTGTGCCACTTTTGCTTATTTTTTTGAGGCAATTTTAGTGATAAGCCGATGAGTAAGTGCATAACTTTTTAGTTTTGCAACACCGGTCACAAGGAATGTTGGGCGGAAGAGTGAGTGGAGAAGAGAGCAAAAAGTTGAGTTTTATGGGTCATTCCGGAATGAGAATGGAATAAAAGAGTGTCTAGTTTGTCTATTTGTAATCAAACATTTTCCAATGGAATGAATGACTATAAACAAGTAGTTTGGAGTGCAGTTTGAAAAGAAAATATCAAATGGTTGCCAAGTGCCAATCGTAGTGAAAAAATATTTGAAATACAACTTCGAATTTCCTAGAGCAGGTAAAACGCTTGGTGCTGCTTAGAGTACGAACTACAAATTTTTTTAAGCAGCTACAAGCTTTCGTGCTGCTTAACAAGGCACAATTACTTTGGACTACTAGACAAAACTGAAACTTCTAGTTGTCTCTAATAAACAAAAGAGCATAAATGTGTTTTTCTCAGCATTCTCCAATAAAAACAGAGACACCCTCATGTTTGTACAAGTTTTCGGTCGAGACAGGCATTTTTCGCCCAACTTCGAGTATAACATTGGTGTAATAAATGGTAAATATGAGACCCGTGCAAAATCTGTTTGAAGCGGGGTATTTATGAAATATTACACGGAATTAAGAATCCGAAAAAAGAATTTTGATGATAATTCTAGACTTTTATGCGGTGGTCATAAAAGTAAATAGTGTCAGTTGTGATAATATATCCTAAAAATAGAATTCATCAGGTCGACCTCAACATTTTGCGGAAATTGAAGTGAGGGAAGTTTGAAAGATGGAAAACTAACCTTTGCGCTAGAAATCAGAATGTATCCTTCTTTTTAGAAACCCATCCATTCTCTTTGTGAATTTTTTATGCGTTTCCTATCATTTTATTGCCCTTTCTCGTCTTTTTGCCGAACGACGCTGGGAATTTCATGGCGATTCTCAAGGTGAAAGAGGAGCGGCGTTCTTTGAAAATCCCACGCTGTCCCGACGAGCTACTGTAACCCACTGTGCATCGAATCTGACGACCAATCATCAAATTTATTTTTGGCACGACTTCCGATTTTTCCGCTTCAGCGATGCCGATTTTTGCAAAATTCAGAAGACGTGACATACATACACACAACAAAACGAGCATGTATAAATATAAATAGCGTGCGTGCGCACTCTTCTTCTTCCCAAGTGTTTGTTTCTCTGTAAACATGCGGAAGAATCTTCGTTTTCACACATTTTCAAACGTTTTCGTTTGTGACACACACACTCACTCACATATAGGCCAAAAAGATTTGACATGTATAGAGTGCGCGGAAAGCCGCGAAGCCCAATTCCTTTTCCGCGCCGCATGCGTCTCATCGATTCGCACGCTCTCCGCGCGTTCATCGCCGCGGCGTCTGCGTCTCGCCCGGACAGCTGATGGTTTTCGGCCGCTCACGCTCTCTCTCGCCGCTCACCGCCACTGGCGCTCTTCTAAGTCAATTCCATATTTCATATTTCCACTCCATTCATATATTCCTCTCTCTTTTTCGACCTTTGACGTCATCTTTTCCGTGCCCTGGTCACCGGAAAATGTATACAATCAGCAGAATCCAGCACACTTTTCACCTTTTTCTTTCAGAAATGTCTGCCGCTTCCGGCGGAGACCTTCAAGGTCGTGAGAAGGATAGCAAGTACCGAGCGTACGCGAAAGCCGTCGATCAAGCTCTGAAAACATTCGAGACGCCCAATGAATGGGCCGACTTGATCTCGGCTATCGGAAAGCTCGCAAAAGTGCGTTTGAACTAAATGGATTGCGAAATTTACTAAAATATGACTAATTTTCAGGTTATTCAGTCAAATGCCAAGTTTTGCACAATTCCGAACAGAGTGACAGTGGCCAAACGACTCTCGCAATGCCTCCATCCCGCTCTTCCGATGGGTAAGTCCATGAATACTTTAAGAATAAGAGAACTCACATTTTGAGAATATTTCAGGCGTCCATCTGAAAGCCCTGGATACTTACAAGCAAATCTTCGAAATTCTGGGGCCCAGCAAACTTCCGGAGTGTCTGTATTTGTTCGCGGTCGGCCTCTTCCCACTCATGGATCACTGTGGAATCAAAGTAAAATCCGAACTTTTCACAATTTTCGAAAATTATTTGGTGCCATTGGGAACCAATTTGCGGCCGGCTCTTCCCGGCTTTCTCGGCGGAGTTTTACTTGCGCTTGAGGAAGGAACTGAGTTTTATGACAGGTTTGTCTTTATTTAGGATAATAAACATTTGAAAACATCAAAAATCCTTCAGATCTTTCAATTTGCTCGATAAAGTGTGCGTACAAGTCGGTGAGCGAGCCTTCTACGCATGTCTCTGGCAAGCAATACTCGGCTCTCCGCCCGTCCGGCTCCCGGCTATGATTTATGTGAATGCGAGATTCGACAGATTGAAAAGTTTCGATGATCAAAGTAATATAGTCGGAGATCATGTGAATCACATGGTAGGCACACAACTCTTCAACAATTCTCCTAATTTTGTCATATTTCAGGTTGCTGCTCTCTGTGCAACTGCAGATGACACGGGCTCTCCATTAGTTCAACGCTGGCTGCTCGACTTCCTCGTTTCCGCGTTCCCACTCGACAGCACCAATTTGACCGACGAAGACTTCGTGCAGCTGCTCCGTCGGTGTCTTTTCGTCGTGCTTCGCAGAGACATGTCCCTCAACCGGCGACTTTACACGTGGCTAGTCAACAGAAGTGGCGAGAGTCGAGGCGTCTCCGGATTGTCCCTGGGCGGTCCGGACGATGGAATCGACATGTCGTTCTTTAAGGAAAGAGTTTTGGGACTGGTCAGCAAGGCTCTGCAAGAGTATCTGGCACTGGATACAATTGAAAGTCCGATCGCCAATCATCAACATTCTATTTTTGGAGATCGGAAAGAAGGAGAACAGGTGCAATTCGCTGAAGTACGCGTCTGTCGGCTGCTGCTCTATGTTCAGGATCGAGCAGACATTGGGAGAGCGATTCTGGAAGCTGTGTTTGCGGATTTTCTAAAGAAATCTGCAGAATTTCACCAGCATTCAAAGAAAAAACGGAGAAAGAGTGCATCGGTTGTGGAGAAAGCACGGAAGCCAGGAGACAGAGAAGGACTTCATTTAGACCTGAATTCCGTTCACTCTCGCTCCGATGAGATCACTTCCACGTCGTCGGCGATTGTGGTGATAGATGAGGAGGATGCGGTGCAAGTACGGAGGATCGATGAGCTCTCGAAGACATTCAATATGCTTCTGAACTCTCTGGAGCAGGGATTTCTGTGGACTTTCCTCGGCAACTGGTACACACAGATTGTGGAAAGCGAAGCGGTTGTTGGAGGGCAAATACATGATTTCGCGCAGGTCTAGTAGACTTAAATAGGACTGAGTGAGCATAGTTGTTTTCAGGTTGTCACAGTATGTCTGGAAATGAGCAACGTCGAAAGTGACCCAACAATCCGTTCCCAACATTTGCCCCGTCTTCTCGAAGTCGTGCTCCGCGGACTTGCCAGCAAGAATCTTCTATTTTCATCCGATCAACACGATCTTCTTCGGTTGTATACCGTCTGTCAGAAACTTTTGGAAATAAGCACAGCTCATCCACCATCGCCGATCGAAGGTGAGTGATATTTTCCAGTGTACCAAATTTTGGGGATGCTTAGCGAAATTTTGTAATTTGTAGTCTAAGCAGCACGAAGATCTCGGTCTGCTGGCCTGAAAGCTTCCCATAATTGTTCTGTTTCTCTAACCCTTCCTCATTTTTAGTTTGCGAAGCCGCCGAGGATACGCTGTCACTGAGCCAGGAAGTCACCGCAGTTGAGCATGGTTCGGTTTTCGTTCACTTTAAATTTTTTAGAAGCTTTTCCTCACTCGACCGTTTCTCTCAATCACTAATCGATCATTTTCCAGAAGGCAGCCAAACGGACGCGTGCCTCACCCAATGCGTCGCAGCTCTCTCGGCCATCTTCGAAATCTACACCGCATCCAGAAGCCCCTCACTCATTCCGCTCATTGACGCCTCCACTTCTCTTCTTCACTCGTTTCTCGACGTGCCTATATATTACGTGGGACTTGACAGTCACGTGGACCTAGATTTGGAGCACGACGTCCAGCCGTGGCTCAAGAATATGCTCAAAGTGATTGATGGACCTGGGTGGCTGAAAGAAATGCGAGCGGGAACGTGTACAGATGTGTCGGCTCGTGCCTCTTTGCTGGAATTGCTGTGTAAACTCTACGTAAAATCGGTCAGTGTGCTTCAGCAGCACGAAGAAGCGTCTCAGCGGCCGCATGATGATTACTTCGACGAAATGACGCACGTACTTCTAAAACCGCTCCTCGGAAAGCGAGACGTTCAGTTTGTGGAGCAAGGAAGAGTGTTCGGCACTTGCGGAGAAGCCGTTTGGCTAGGAATCGCCTCCAGAAGATGTTATAGAGAACAACAACGACTCGCGCGTCTTCTCGTTGATCTACACTCCAGAAAACCAAACGATGCGAGCAGTGACGTGGAGAATATCATTGTACAAGCGCTCACCTCCAACGACGATCTCGTTTGTACAGAAGCCGCCAAAACACTGCACAGAGTTTGGGTCTTGACTCGAAATGTGCTGGAAGAGCAGCAAGGAGCGTCGACGTATCGGAAACCGTTCAATCGGGCGGTCATGATCCTGCTGGGAGTGCTCGCCGACGAAAGTGTATCGAGAACAAGAACGGAGTTGAAGGCAGCGGCTTCCGCGTGGTTCGCCGACTGTGCCAAACACAACGACCTGCCCAGAATCGTCCAAATGCTCTCCACAATGCTCATGAATCCAGTGACTGCCCGCATTTCCATTCAATACATTCGCCAGGAGATCAAGATGACGTCGGAGGAATGCACGGCGATACCAGCGGATGTTTCTGCAGTCACTCTCATGACAATCGACGGGAAGCAACGATTATATCACGTCACTGGACCCTCGTGTACTGATGCCACGTGGATCACCGAAGTTCGCAATCGTCTCCTTCTGACGTCAACGGAAGAAGTCGCGCTGGCGCATAGCGGAGAGCAGCGACACGTGTCGCCATGCCAGGATTCAGTGGATATGCCCAATTTCGACGATGACACCGACTCGCTTGACACTCTTTCAATGGGAATGGAAAGTGTGGAAGACGTGGTGAAGGACATCATGGCGATTCTTGTGGACAACGTTTGCGAAGAGTACGAGGAGGAGGATATGGAGAGGGAACGTCTGAACACGTTGTTGAATGGATGCGGAATAGAAGCCGCAGGCGCCAGTTTTAGTCTACGAGATCCTTCCGAGGGAGAAGAAGAAGAGGAGGAGGAGGCGACTGTGAAGCCAGCACCGATTTGTCCGGATCCAATCGTGCAAAGAGTCAAAAAAGGACATCGACGGCAGGATTCACTGCAGGAGAGCATTTTCAACATGACCGAGAAAGATCTGTGCGCATTTGACACATCAGAAATCTTCAGGCCGTCTACAGAAACTGTGAAAGGGAAGGATACGTCTACCTTCCCCGGAACAGTTTCCTCCGCCAGCTCCACAAGCTCTGCGCCCGGATCTTCTTCTCTTTTCGAGGAGATGCACACCCATATGCTGCTGTACGGAGAGAGCGGAAAAGTGGTCGATTTGGCAAGAGCCGAGACTGCGTTCCGAATTCTGTCGGCCCTTCTCTCGCCACGTGGAGCCACTGGAAATCGGATGCTTCTCAACTGTCTCGTGTCGTCCGGAACTACTGCGACGACGCCCGCGTCTCCAGAAGAGCAATCACTGGTCGAGTTGATGCAAAGACATGTCAGAGCCATTCTAGGACAACATTTCTGGTCAGCACCAGCTTCTGACGAGGAGAAACACAAACACATCACACTCCTGGAGCTTCTGATCACAATTTCACTCCATTTTCTCCGCTCCTACTTCCTCAACTCTCCAATCTCTCCGGTCACCGAAGCGGATTTGGCGTCTCTTTGGAAGTGCAAGATTTCTGCGTTGGAATTCCTGTGTGAACTATTCCGCGAGCTGTCCGCAATGCTCAATGAGCACGAATCGAAGCAGTTCGTACTTTTTGTGCAGACCATTCTGAATCGTTCCAAACTGCAAAAGTGTCTTCTCCATTTGCTTCTCACTGCCGTCGACCACAATCCGGCGGATAACAAGCCCTACACGACGTCCGGAGTGGCGCTCTCGGTATCGATCAGCAAGTTCAACGAGGGATTGCTCGGAGAGTCACGGCGCCTTTCTCCGCTTCTCGCCGCCTACCATCGGAGTCTGCTGACGTTCACAGCACACGCGATTCGATTGGAGTGCGATATCAAACGCGGATTCAACACTTTTTCAGATGTAAGACAGACTATCAATTTGGTTCTGCTTTCAATGAGAATTAATATTTGCAGGGCGGCTCCGCTCACCGGCTCTCAATCATCCAGTCAGTCATCAATCAGTCGTTCAACCGATCCTCCAGCCGCGACAATCATGCCTCCACCGTCGAACTCCGCGCATTCCTGCTCATACTTCTGAACGCGCTCAAAAAACAACCTCATCGACACGAAATGTGGCTTCAATTCGTCATTCAGATACTTCCCTGGGTGGAAAGGTACCAAAGCTCTTGCTTCAGAAGAAACACCTAATTTTCCAGGTCCCTGGCCACCATTGTATGCCGAGTCGTCGAGCAATTGTGCAAGAATATGGAGAACGCGATGAGTGTGGCCTACGAGAATCCGCCAACCAGCGACGTCGTTGTGGACAGTCCGGGAGAGACGCGCGACGAGCCGGAAGCCTATCCGGCCAATTACCTGGCGATGACACTTGAATCTCTCACAACTCTCGTGCATTTCTGTGTCATTGACAGTGCTCCATCCACGTCTTCCGCGTCGGCGCCGACGTCTTCTGGTCTTCCGATTGCCGGCCTAACCACTCCCGTTGCCACGTCGTCAAATAATGCAACCTCGATGGTCGGTCATGCAATGTCAGTGATTCCGGGATCGAAAGTGGCGACAGAGCTGTTCTCTCAGCTCGGAAAAGTGTTCTCGATGAGCGGAGACAGCGGAGGAGTGATTTCCAAAATGGAGAGCTCGCGACAACATGGAAATGGGTGGCGGCAGGCTCAATCCGACATGCTCACCTCGCTCCCCCACTCCCTTGCGACCGTATGCAACGTTTGGACACTTGTACGAAGAGCCCAGACCCCTCTGGTGCCAGTCGGAACCAATTCGCAGCTGCGGAGGCTCGTCCTCCAACTGCTCTCTCCGATTGCTCAACATCACAAACACGCGTTCCTTACGTCTCTGGCGCTCGTCTGGCTGACGCGTTCCACTGCGAAACCGACGGTGACGCTCCGGAAACAGGATCCGGATCGCGCGACGTTCGAGTACTCCTCCGCCCAACTGGACATCACAAATCTACTTCTTTCACTGCAAGTCATTCCATTCGAAGACCTCATCTCTTCCGTGAATTCCACACTGCGAGAAGCGTCCTTCAAAGCCAACAAAGTCGGAATAACCACCATCGATAAAGCGAACTTTCCGACTGAAGAGCCCCTTCTGGAGCTGGTGCACTCTTGCGTGTCAGCAGTGCTCCAGACGCAACTTCGTCTGTGCTGGAGCTCACTTCTTTCGCTCTTCTCAGAAGCGCCGCTCTCGGCTCTCTCTGCTCGAGCCGTCTTCTTGCTCTTTGTGATTCTCAGCGACTTTGTGAAATGTGTGGGCGGAGCGTACATTGTCGAAGACAAGGCAATGTATCGGAACGTGCAGGAGGTGTGCAATCGGCTCTCCGAAGCGGTCAACGCCATCGTCGGATGGCAATTGGAGACGACGACGTGGCTGAAGAGGACGCTCGTCGTGAAACAGGATCACGGATCCACGAGCGCGAGCATTCGATCCGTGGACCAGAGCCCGATAATTGAGATTCAGTCTTCGCTTTCCAACCTGTCGGGAAGCTCGCAAGAGCAACAGAGCACTCGCAACTCCACCCTCAGTCTGATCAACAAACCCGCCTCACTGGACACTCTTTCGACGACGAGCACAGTAACTGAAGGCAAGGCCGACAAGAAGAGCTCTTCGAACCTGCGAGCCTCCATCAAAGACACCAACAACAACCGGAGAGATCCCGCGCACAGTACCCAAGCCCTTTTCCTGCTTGCCGAACGACTCACTGATCTTTTGGATTCTGTGAGCAAGAGCGACGAGAAGGACAAGGTGCTGCCGACGCTCACGGCCGTCTGGGCGAACGTCGTTCCGTATCTGAAGGCGAAGAACGCGCGGAACGCCAGATTCTTCCTCGCCAGTTCGCAGTTGCTCGCCTCGATGAGCTCCTACTCGTACATGCGTCCGGTGTGGAAGAAGACGACGCTCGACTTGCTTCTGGACTCGGGATTCTTCAAAATGGACCACGCGGCTCTGAAACAGTGGCTCGTCGTCACCGATCATCTGATGACGCACGATCGCACGTCGTTCAAAGATCTGCTGAAGAGCATTTCGTACTCGCCGAACGCCTCGTTCAGTATAATGACATCGAAAGAGCAGGAGTACGAGGCGAGGGCTCAGGCGCTGAAGCGGCTCACTTTTGTAGTGTTTGGAAGTCAATTGGATCAGTATCACGGACAAATGAATGATATTCAAGGTGGGCAACCAATTTCAGACTATCACAATCGTCCCATTCTCAGAACGTCTCTCCGACAACCTACGAGTGTCCCAATCGCCAGTGATCCGTTCGGCAGTCTTCCTCTGCATCCGCGTGCTTCTTCTCCGTCTCCGTCCGCACAGTCTCATCGGCGTCTGGCCGATCATGGTCACCGAACTCGTGCACGCTCTCTCGCAACTCGAGCAGCAGCTCCAAGGCGGAGAGCTCGACGGCTTCGCCTCCTCGTCCGACCAATGGATGCAGTTGTACGTGGCCGCTTGCAAACTGCTCGAGACTCTGTGCACTCTTCCGGCCGGCTATCTCTCGCACTTTCAAATGTTCCACTGGGCGTTCGTCTCGTCGGTTTCGTCGGAGAAAACGGACATTTTCAAGCCGTTCGCCGAGCGCATTAATGATTTGTTGGCGAAGAAATACGGAGAACTGACGCCCGAGGCGATGAGCAACTACACTGCCTCTCTCGCCGGAATCAAGATTCTGACGTCTTTCGAAGAGCTCCGGCCGTTCTTTTACACTCTCGCCAATCTGAACAAATCGGTGCCGGAAAGCAATGTATACTTAATTCCCAACTCTTTCTTCTATAATTTCGTCAATTTTCAGAACACTCTTCGAGACGCGAGTGCTCTTTCTGGCAGTCTCACCTACAAAAACGCAGTGGCTCGTCTGGAATCAGCACTCTACGTGGATTTCTCGGAACATCTGCAATTTTGAGACGGTTCTCAAGATGAATAACTTGTCGCTTTAATTCCCATTGGCATCTGCTTGTGTACATATCCTAGACGAATTGCACGAAACACTCATTTCCCCCTCCCCTTCATCCCCATTTTACAGTCCTGTGATAAGACTTTCCCGCGTCCTCATCCCCATTTTTTCCTGCAAGTATCATTTGAAGTTTTACGCTTTCTTTCACTCCCCCATATTTTCACGTCACCACATATTCTTCAATTCAATTTATCCCCCGTTTCCGTTGGGTTAACTGTTATTAGCTGGGTGCAATTCAAATTCCGAGTGTGTGTTCTACTTGCTTTCCTCCATTTCAGATGAGCGATATCCCCTTTTGTTAATAAATGGATGAATTCAATATTGAATTTTGAAAGTTTACTACTGAGCCTATATACACGTATTGTACTAAAGAAACAAGAATAAAAAGAAACTAGGAACAAAACAATAAAGGGAACGAGGGAATTAAAGATCACCCTTTCTTCCACGGAACCTCGATCTCATATCAACCAAAGATCGTTTGCAGTCGGTGAAGTTCTGAAGAATGGCGAAGCACTTGTTCGGCACCGTTCCGTCGTGGGCATCGATGCATTCCTTCGCCGACCGGGCGTCGATTTGGACGCAATGAGAGTTCTTGATGCACTTTTTCAACGCCATCCGCAGTCTATCACACGAAGTTCCCGTCTTTTTTATCTCGTTCATCTCATCGTCTTCGAATTGCTGCACTTGCGAGTGCGCCGTTACTCCGGACATTTTCTGTAAAAATACTTTGTTGAAGGAGCTTGTGAGCAAAATACAAATAAAGTCGGCTAATGGTACAATTGTACAAGTAAACGGGAGGATTTTTTAAAAAGAATTTGAATCGGCTAAATTATGAAAATCTGCGTGAATAGACTCAGTTTTCTAAAAACAAAAACCACGTATAAAATGCCGACTTAACTATTTTTTTTAGACCTTTAAATCGAAAAAACTAAAAGAAAACAATGAATTTCAAGTTTTTTCTCTAGAACTCTATGAATTTGGGAAGAAAATGAAAATATGTCGATTTACGAGCTGGCACAGTGCCAAGTTTGGGCAAAAAGCGTGGTAAGACCCACTGGTCATTTATATGACAATCTATGCGCCTTTAAATCCGAACGCTTGAAGTGTCCGGAAAATTTTAATTCAATTTTCCGCACGGATTTGCCTAAAATTGTCGAAACGCGTCGCATTCTTTGTCGGCGGCCGCCGATTTCCCCGTCAAGCACTTGCGAACGACGATGCAAACGCGCTCCTTCTGAACGAATCGATTTGATGACGGCCGTTCTTGGCGAGCGCGACGAAAGTGCCCCCAGACGTTTCCAGCCTAATTCCTTGGAAATTAACGAAATTTCTGAGTTGCACTTTTTTGAAGGTCAATATTTTGAACCTTCTTTCTCACATTTTTCGAAGGAGTCACGAATTTCGCTGAGATTTCGCGTATTTTCACCATGAGGCCCCAAAATGGGTCCTTCAAAAGTTTTGTCGAAGTTTCACAATGTTTTTTCTAACCTCACGTGGTCTTGTGTTTTTTCTTGTGTTCCGATGATTATTCTCGCCATTTTGCGTGCTTCTATTGATTTTTCGATTCTAGGTAATAATGTCAAATCAAACTCCGTACATCGGAAGCAAGATTAGCCTTATCTCCAAATTGGATATCCGCTACGAGGGAATCCTCTACACCGTCGATACGAATGACTCCACCATCGCTCTCGCGAAAGGCTCGTTCACTTTTCAGTAGAGTCACTTGTCTATTGCTTCATTTCAGTTCGTTCTTTCGGAACCGAGAAGCGCCCAACCGCCAATCCGGTCGCCGCCCGTGACGATGTGTACGAGTACATCATCTTCAAGGCCAGCGACATCAAGGATCTGATTGTGTGCGACACGCCAAAGGTATGACATCCCGGAAAAGATTTAGTATTTCATCTTTCTGTTTCCAGATGGCCACGATTGGAGGAGGTCTCCCATACGACCCGGCCATCGTCTCCGTCTCCTCGCGATCGGCTCCCGCCTCCAACAGCGATGGTGCCCCAGCTGCTTCTGCTGGATCCTCGAGAGCTGGTACTCCATCCCGTTACAGCCCTCTGGCTCACATTGTCAACCAGCGCGGCCCAGGAGCCGGACGTGGAGGCTATCAGCACGGTATGTAAATAGTGATTGCATTCAATTTGAATGTTGTTTTCCAGAGTACCAGCAAAACCGTGGCTTCAACAACTTCAACAACCGTGGTGGATTCCAGGCAACTGGCTACAACCACAACCAGCGAGGCCGCAACAACTACGGAGTTCCGCGCGTCAACCACCGCGAGAAGCTGAAGTTCGAGTCTGATTTCGATTTCGAGAAGGCCAATGAGAAATTCCAAGAGGCTCTCACCGACAACCTCGAGAAGCTGACCATTGAGGAGAAGGAGCAGCCAGAGGCCGAGGAGAAGAAGGAAGCTTTCTACGACAAGAAGGCCTCGTTCTTCGACAACATCAGCTGCGAGTCGTTGGAAAAGGCCGAAGGAAAGACCGGACGTCCGGATTGGAAGAAAGAGCGCGAAACCAACCAGGAAACGTTCGGACACAACGCCGTCCGTTCGCTCAACTACCGTCGAGGATATGGAGGGCGTGGACGTGGTGGAAACCGCGGATACGGAGGTAAAAGAGTTTTTCGACGCATCCATGGTCTAAATTTTCGTTTTCAGGATACAACGGCGGATACCAAAACCGTGGAGGATATAACAATGGCTACCGCGGCAACAATGGTGGATACCGTCGCGGAGGTTACAACCAACGCGAGCAACCGCAACAGAATGTTGCTGCCGAGCAATAAACTTAATAAGCGCTAACTATGCCCCAAAACCCCAACCTACCTTAGCCGTTTGTTAATTTATTATGTAAGCAAAATTCCATCTTCAGTCGGAGAAATGTTCATCTAAATAATATCTCCCCTTTGGCGTGTTAAAAAATCCGTTAATCTAGGAAATCTCGTACAATTCAATGCGGGCCTTCTGTTATTTTGAAGTAATTATTGCGCACCCATCCCCACCCTCCATCTTTCCCCAATCATCCCAATTTCTCCCACTACAATAGTGATCTGGTGTCTTCCGACCGCTTATTTCACCTTTTTCCCCTCCCAAGTAATAGCCTTGTGAATTTTAAAGCATGTCGTTCTGTTGTCCTCACTTTGTTAATTTCAGTAAAATTGCAAAAAAAGGCATTTGTTGTGAGCAAAAGAACATTTATAGTTCAGTCTTTGATCCCCATAAAACTTTCTCGCGCAGGCGACACAGCCAATGCACTTCCACGTTCTCCGCCCCTTCTCATCTTCCTAAGCCCCTCTCCTGATCCATTTCCACTTTGTGATGAACGATGTAATCTTTGTAATAAACCCATCCCTGTTTCCGATTTCTGTCCATGTTAATTGTATTTCCGGAGATTTCTGATCATAATGTAAAGGAGAAGACAATGCGTTCCGATGCATCTGCGGTTCAAATGCGATGCATCGGCAATGCAATGGCGATGTAGAGCCTACGAGCGAATAAAAATTTGTAAAGCATCCCGCCACTTTCTCTCTGTCTTCATAATTTGAGTTGCTCCGAAAGGTTCCCTTGTTATACCTGCTAGGTCAGTCAATGTTTCCGATTATATTTCATTTTTACAGGAGCACAGACAAGTGAAAAGTCAACAATAAAATGGCATGCATGTATAAATTAATTATCCTCCATTGTCTCGGACCAAACTGTCAAACAAAAATCGTCGTTTCCAAGATGAACATCAGCGCCCCGTCGTTGATTTTTGTCGGATAATATCGAAAAGAATGTTCTGGAAGCGTATTTCTTTTTTTGAAAATATTCATTCAACGTACCCCATCTCCTTCGTTTTCTTCCGGATAGCGTCCAGTCCGTACAAAACAGATTCCTCGTCCAAAAATTTGATGTTGCGAATTTCGAGCTCTTCCAGTTTTTTGAATGATCCTCGCTGCCACATGGTGAGGAATTGATTCAGATCCGCATTTGTCAAATTCGAGAATTTTAACTCGATGATTCTGCAGTTGGAGGTGAGCAGATTCGAACGGGTGAACCACTTTGCAGACTCGATTCTCAGTGAATCCGTTTTAAACGCCTGAAAATTGACATCAGCTATTTCTAGCAACAACTTCCTTCTCACCTTTTTGTACACGAAATCAGATCCCGGATTCGAGAGAAGCGTCAGCGAGTTCTTTTCGGTGCTTATGTTCAGAATGTAGATCAGAGCTTTCCAGTTGCACTTTGATGCTCCATAAATAGTAATATCTTTAGAAATCGTGTTGCCCAGAAGAGCCAAAGTGTTTTGGATGTTTTTAACCGTGCTCAAGTCGACGATAAGATTCTGTAGAGGCCGTCCGAATGATTTGAATACGGTCAACGCCATTCCGGAGACAGAGTGCTCGAAACTGGAGCCCGGCGGGTTGTGCTCTTTGATGAACAGATCCAGCGAATCATCGGCCAGCTTCCGGGCTTGCTGTTTTTCTGGCCTACTTTGTTCCCGCCAGTAAAACCGAACAAAGATGTAGAATTCTCTGCGTGAAGTCACATATTTAATGTCCGCCGTGTTTTTTGTGAATTCCAGATTGAACTCAGTGTTCGTCAGTGACATGGCTCGCGAGAATGCTAATGTTTTCGACGAGCATTGTGACACTCTTATGCTGCAAATGATACTTGAGAAAAATCTATTTAAATGCAAGGAAAACTCACTGTTCGACAATCGAAAACATCCGGAAAATCGTTCTCAATGGAACTTCTGGGAGGGCGAGCAAAACGAACGGAGCCATTGGAAAGTGACCAATAAATCGATAGTCGGGGGGGACGGTGGACCGGAGAGGACCATACGAACGGAGAGTGGTGTCTCTATGTGGTGTGCGGTGGAGCGAACTTTCTACATGGTGTACACACACGGACCCATAAGAAAAAGTGCATAACGGAATCGAGGCGCGAACTACCGTATTCAACGTGAGTGTTAAACGCTGCTTCGCCGTGACATAAATCAAAATCAAAAGTGGTTACCGAAATTTACGATCGTTTCCTAATTGCGACATTGCATACCACCACACCCCTCGTTTCCTGCCACGTCACACATACCGTACCCCCCCTTGGCGGGTATATAATGAAATGTTCAGGACATGACATGAAGAATGCATTTTTTGAAGGAGGCGAATTGACCCGTCTTCCTCCTCAAGATTATATCGAACTTTCGTGCGGGCATCACTCATTCTTCTAATTCCTTTCAACTGCTTACTCGGAGAAAAAAAAGCATCAGATTGAAGTTATGAGATAAAAGAGAAAAAGTAGAAGAAGAAGAAGAGAACGGATGCCATCTTTCTCTTCTTGCCTCTTTGCCAAGGTCGTGCCGAGAGAAGACACCCCCCGACCTGTGGGGGGCTTTCTCTTTTCTTCCGCGCCTTACAGTTTATACGCATAACACAAATAAATCAACCATGTGGAGGTCTTCCGCCTTGTACCTGTTATCTTTTACCTTTCACTTATCACTATTGTCCATTCGCGTTTTCTATGGTCAGTTCGAGAAGAGAGCAGAGATTCACTTTTGAGCTGTTTTTTTGTGTGAGCTCTGACTTGTTTGCTCGTCGCCCACCATTCATGTTTTCTCCTGATTCTTTGAGCAAACGATTGGTTGTGTATTAGGTGCTAGGTACGTTGCGCTTTTTTGTCTGTTCTAGTACTGGTTTACAGTAGTTTGCACTCACTTTCTCACTGCTTTTTTATGTCGAACAACAAAATTGTAGTCTAGAACTATAGAAAATCTAATGCCGCGTCCAAAGTCTCGGAAAACCCGCAAATCTCGCGGATTTTGCAGTCCAAAGTCGGCAGAAATTTGCGGGAAATCCAAGGGTGCGCACAGCTGAACGAGTGTTACCGTAGACCATAAAACTACGGTATTTTTTGAAAATTTACCAAGAAATTTAAATTTTTTCAAAAAATACCGTTGAAAATTTACCCGAGAAATTTAAAAAATTTCAAATATTCTCTAGAAATTTAAATTTTTTCAAAAAATACCGTAGTTTTATGGTGTACGGTAACACTCGTTCAGCTGTGCGCACCCCGGATTTCCCGCAAATTTCTGCCTACTTTGGACTGCAAAATCCGCAAGATTTGCGGCTTTTCCGAGACTTTGAACGCTGCATAAGAGTACGGAGCCAAAGAAGCGTGTAAAGTGTAACAATTTCAAACTTTCCACCCTTCAGAAGGTCAAAGTCAAAGTCGCATTCGCATTTTTTTTAATTTTCAGATAACCATCTCTTTGTTCCAGAATACTTTTTCGTTCCGTTCTCCATTGTTTCGTCCCGTGCCAATCACGGCCCGTTGTGTGTGTGTGTGTAATCTTACGTTTTCTTCTCCTGCAAACCAACCGAGAAAGCATTACATTTTTGGTGGTAAAGACTGGCGGTAACCCAATACTTCTTCCTTTGCCCAGGTATCAACCAGTCCCTCTCTCTCTCTCTCTCTCTCTCTCTCTCTCTCTCTCTCTCTCTCTCTCTCTCTCTCTCTCTCTCTCTCTCTCTCTGTGTCCTGGTTTTTGACACCTTACCTACCCGCTCGCTCAAAGATTGTTTGCCGCTTGACATCTTGTCCACGGCTCCGAAACTCTGTCTTTCTCCTATTGTTCTTTACCGCTTCTTCTCTCGCGTAGTTTGGCACTGATTTGTGCGAGCTTGTGAGCACTGGGCACAAGTTTGCAAAAACCTGTGCCAAAGAACTTTGAAGATTATTGTTTGCCCACTTATTTTTTGCACTGTTTGACACGTGAAATGTGTTGGAACACTCGGGTGCTCGAGCGTTTATTTTCGGCTAGTACATGATCAACATTACAAAACTGGTACCATGTTAGTACTTCTCCTATTTTTGTCCTCTAATCTAGCACGCTCTTTAGGATCAAGTTGCCCAGTAGATTATATAATGCCACGTCATAGGCTCACAGTCTTTGATTGTGTACATACAGGCTCGACCAAGCTAAGACCACTTTTTCACGCATCTTTCACACTTTCCTCAAGCTTTTCTCAAGCCGACCGACCGACACACTTTTTCTGACACCAAGCCTGGGAGAATTTTTGAGAAGCACACTGTATAGAGCAGAGTTGAGCGGAAGAACTCAACGCAAGAACACGTAAGAATTTTTATCTTTTCTAGAAAATTTTTTAATGAAATGTGATCAACAGACGAAATGTATAGCAAAGTGAACTCTGCGCATAAAAAAATAATTGTAAATTTAGCTTTTCATACAAAAAAGTTATTCGAGTTGTTGCGTGAAAATGTCCTTCCGTCTTCGGTTAGCCCTTAACTTTTTTGTATGAAAAGCTAAATTTACAATTATTTTTCTATGAGCAGAGTTCACTTTGCTATACATTTCGTCAGTTGATCACATTTCATGAAAAAATTTTCTAAAAAAGATAAAAATTCTTTCGTGTTCTTGCGTTGTGCTCTTCTGCTCAACTCTTCTGTATACGTTCTGCTGCCACGTCATAACGGATTTCCTGAGATTTTTTTCTGCGTGCTTTTGTATTCCATTGTTATGCGCATCAAGTGTTTATTTCGTATTTATTTCGTATTCGCTTCCCATGCGAATAATAGCAACTTTTTTGTGGAGACACACCGCCGGAAGAACAAGAATGCTCGCGCTCCGATCCGATTTCACCGCCCTCTTCTTCTTTTCGACCGAACAATTTCCCCCCAGTGCAATTTTTCCGTTTTTTTGTGCTCTTCAAAGTGCGTGTGCTCTCTCTCTCTCTCTCTCTCTCTGTTTCCTCATTGCGGGAGCGCTCATCTCAAATACCGTGTCTTAGCCCAGACACTCTTCTGCGTCTCTCACTCTTCCACATTCTTTCTCCGTTTCTTAGCCTCCCGTGGCCGAAACGAAAGGCGGGATGCCCTGAACACGTCTCTTACGTGGCTTTTTGGCGGCTTCTTCAGTTTCATTGATGTCTGCTCCCGTGTTTGCCACGTCATGACACTGATGTACCAAATTATTTAATGGAAACTTCTTCTTGGCAACTTCTTTTTTCACCCAATAATCCGCTCACTTTCGATTTCTTGTTTTTGCCGCTTGACAGAGGAAGCTTCCATTTTATAATGTGTCTCAAAGTTAGCAGCCTTCAAATTTGGTGCTGCTTCAACTACAAACTACAACAATGAGCTAAGCAGCACTAAAGTTTAGGTCTGCTATGAACCAATTGGCATGTGTAAAAAGCCTTTTCAAAGTAGTTTTTCTGAAATTTAGCATCTTTCCAGCCCATTGGCAAATCTTCGTCAATACTCAAAAGTTGCTAAAACCAGTCCTCTCCTCCCTTCTTCTTTTTCTTCTTGTTCTTGTTGTAACCATATTGAGTCACGGGAGCGCGTGCGTCGTTTCGATGTCAAATTAGGCATTTGTGATGGAAAATCGAATTGGTTCGCGCGGTTCGAGAAGAGGACAATATTTGAGGAATGCGCCCGTTTGATTGATGCCGAATTGTCTTTTTTCTTCGAGAACAGAAAAGAGGTTCGAGGAATTGAAGAGGTTAATTGGAAAAGAATAGGCAGAGAAAAAGGTTATTGTATACCTGAACTTAAATTCCTATTTCTATTTCTATGACCATCGAACCTACCTACCCACCTACCGTATACCTCTAAGAAATGTGATATTGTCTGTTTACGGAAGAAGGTTGCAAAGGAAAAGGAAAACAACTTTTCCACGTAAACAGACAATATACGTCTTTGTCAACTTGTTTATACATACATACCTAACTCGTAACCCCTTTTCAACGTTCCATCAAGCATCTAGATCACACCATTCTCTATAAATACCATATTCCAGGGCTAAACCGCAACACATTGGTCAGAAATGTTGTTGCGATGGAGCGCATTTGTAATTTTGTTTGTGTTTTGTGAAGGTGTTGCACCGAAGAAACAGCAACAGCAGATTCCTCCATCAAATATATCCAATTCTACACAACAGGTATACCTGTAATTGTCATTTTCTTGATCTATCAACCAATTCGTTGCAGCAAGTTACCTATGACGTCATAGTTGTTGGAGCCGGCCTTACTGGCCTTACCGCGGCCCGAAACATTCAACAAAGCCGACCAGGGCTCTCGGTTTTAGTCCTGGAAGCCCGCGGACAAGTGGGCGGTAGAGTACGGTACGCGACTATGCAAACTAGGAACGGAGTCGAGTTCGTGGACACCGGAGCTCAGTTCATTGCCCCGACGGACCAGGAACTGCTCAGCCTGATTCAGGAGCTCAACGTACGGACGACGCAGCAACTGACTTGTGGAAACAACACGGTATTCCAGCAGACTAGAAGGAAGAGGTACTTTTCACTTTTTTTGTAAATAAATAATTTGTTGAATGTAACGCGCCACGGCATCCAAAATAGAAAGGGGCGTGGCCTAGCGGTGTGCACGGTTTATCACCATTTTGGCGCGATATTCGAAATTTAACCCCATTTTTCATGCTTTTTGTCAAAAATTACCCAAATTTTGTACGATTTCGACGATGTAATTGCATAACTTTCTTAAACTAATCATCGCGCACTTCTTGAGCTTAAAACGAGCAGGTCTCATTCAGAGAATGAATCAATTTTTATCGATTTTCAAGTTTTGTGCTGAAAATGCACGAATTTCAGTCATTCGCCGATACTTTTCGCCGTTTGAACGCTTAAAATACTTGTATTAACGTGCTTTATCACTTCCGACACTCACTTCGTCTCAATACTATCCAGATCGGCCGGTATGAAAATTCCGAAATTGCGGCGGCGATTGGCGGCGGAGAGCGTATTGTGAAATATGCCAAAAACGTCTCAAACGCGCCATTTTCACGAAAATTTCAATGTTTTCTCTCTTTAATGTCTCCTTTCGTCAATATCAAACACAAAAATGGCGGAAAAGTGCTGGAATTGTGGCAATTTTCAGAAAACGCTTCACTTTTGGTCGCCGTGAGAACGTCCTCTTTTTGCAGAGACCTTGCTCTCCAACAACAATGGAGCACGACCGTGTTTTCCGATTTCATAAACTCAGAGGCGCTTGTTGGAAATCTGACGAACAGCTCAATTTCAGCAATGGCTCAGGGCATGGAAACTTCTGACGCGGATTCCGTGAATCGGCTTATGCAGGTACTCTGAATAGACACGTTTTTGAAGAGAAACGCACGATTTGTAGACATTTTTCGATGCTCCGGGAGAGCAAGTTGCCGAGATTCAGTTGGCGCTCACTTGCTCCAGTCAGAACGCGACGGCAGTTGAGATATTGAGACGATTCGGGCACGGACAGAGTCTTTTGGCAAAGGGAGGAATGAATGAGGTCGTCAGGCGGATGGCCGACGGACTTTTGATCGAGTACGGACAGAGGGTCGTCTCTGTTAATGATGGTGAGCTTCTTTTTCGATTTTCTTTTTGAATCCTCACTTTCCAGCCGCGTTCCCAGCCATTCTTCAAACGTCTGCTGGCCGAAATTTCACCGCCCGCCAAGTGATTGTGGCTGTTCCCGTTCCAACCTTAGAGAATATGGACCTGATACCAACTCCTGAGGCACCGTTCCAGCAACTTATTCGTGCGAATCGAAATGGTCTTTATTCATAAGCAACCTCACCACTTTTTGCAGAAAACTACGGTCCAACGGGACACGCCTACTACTTCACCATGTCCTTCCAGCGTGCCACGTGGCGATTGAACGGACGAAGCGGAAAAGTGATTTACACGTCTTCGAGTGGGCCGCTCGTCTGGTTGACCACTTTCGACACGACTTTCGCGGACAGTTGTGGTGGTTAACACTCTAGAGGGTAACCGTAGATTACTGTAGCGGTTACAGGCAATTCCTCATCGGCATCTTCATATCTCTGGGGAGTCGCCCACTTCTCGTATGATGTTCCGTTCGAGACCCGAAAGAAGTTGTACACTCAGGCTATTATGTACTCGCTGAGATTTGCCGATTTCTCTCCGCTCGATGTTTCGTAAGTTTTTAGACAAAGAAAACGATGGTAAACCCTTTCAAAATCTGTTACAGAGATGTAAACTTTGCAACCGATGATCTGGCGAGAGGAACCATTCCAACTTTCCGTCTCAACATTCCGTTCGATGCTCTCAAGTACCTGTCCGACTTTCACACCATCTACCAAAATGTGCACATCGCCACCGCCGACATCGCTTCGAAGAGCCTCGGCACCATGAACGGAGCAGTTCATTCCGGACAGGCGGTGAGCAATTACGTGCTCCAAATGCTCGCCGCCGCCGACGCGCAAAGCAATGGCATTCTGAGGGACACCCCGGTCGAATCCACGACTCCGTTCGTCTACAAAACCTCATCCCATTATCCGCCCTCTCTTTTCGTCGTCAACGAAACTGTAATCGAGGAGAATGTTCGGGTGAACGAGGGGGTTAACAATCAGAATTCAAGTGGGTTCCAATACGAGACGTCTTCACAGTATCCGAGTACGGTTGCACCTACGACCACCACCATGAAACATTTCAGCTTTGGAAACTTGGGTAAGTGTGCACTAGTCTAGAAATTTAGAAGCTAGAACTTCGAAACAACAAACAAAAATGTCCGAATTGCAGATAATTCGACGAGCGAAGAGCCAGCCATCCTTTACGATAGTGCTCCACAGCAATCTGCTCCGAATTCGAACGCCACTGTAAACTCGCAAATGCTCTGTGAGCCAGCTTCATTATAAAAACTGTATTTTCAGAATAACACGTCGACGACATTCGCCTACTCGACATCCAGTGTGATGCCGCCCATTCAATCGATCGAAACGACCACTCTCGTCCATTTCAGTAATGGCAACTTGGGAGAAACGACTGTGGCGCCGGCCGCTGTTCAACGAGGTACTCTTCTTGCTCCAAAGGTTATTAATATCATGAAATTCTTTGAATTTTCAGATGACGCTTCAATTCTTGTAAACCAACCACAAAATGGATACGTCTATTCAACATCGACCCACTATCCAGTAGCTACTAGAAATGGTGAATCTCCCAATTACACGGTCTCCAGAGCTTACAATGGGAGCAAGTGCGCCCCGCCCAATAGAGCGATACATTGGCGCGAAATTCAAATTTTAACAGCAAAATTTGTGTTTTTTGCCAGATTAGCCACGAAAAACCGATAGCCTCTCATTTGTCTCTCGAGAGACCGATTGTATAGGCCATTACAAATTTTTTAAGCGAAAGAGCGTCAAATTTGGTCAAGTCGCAAATCACATTTATCCGTTTGAAGGTTTTTCGCTAGAACTGCGTGAATTTCAGTTGTTTTTCGGTAATTTTCGCGGTTCGAGCGCTCAAAATGCTTGTATTTACGTGATTTATCATTCTCAAAACCAATTCTGTCGGAAAACGGTCAAGAAAGCGCAAAATGAGAAGTGCGGTTTTTAGGCGGCGAAGGCGAAAAAGCGCAGTCCGCCGAAAAATGCGCCAAAACGTCATTAATGGGGCTATTCAGACTGTGAAAAAAAATGATTGTTTTCCGTTTTTTTTTCGTTTTTTTACGTCAAAAAATCCAATTCAGCGATAAAAAAAAACAAAAAAAACGGAAAACAAACATACGCTGAATAGCCCCATAATTCTGAGAATTAGTGTGTTTTCATGCCGAACAATCATTTTTTCATCGCCTTTGACCACAAAAATCAGAGAAAACTTGCTCAATCCATGAAAACGCCATTTGGTAAGCTCTGGACACCGTGGCAATTGTTAGAAAACAAAAATCTAATACATTTCAGGCATCGATACGCAAGCGACGCCTTCTCCGGAAGTCGTCAATGAGCTAAAACAAGTTTCGGAAAATGTAGAACAAAAAATACGTTTTCGGTAAAGTCTCGCAACATACTACATTTTCAGGCCTCGAACTCGACCGCAATCCAATTGGCTCAAAGACTGAACCAATTGGTCCACTCGCTTCTAACTCAATTGAGACTAAAGTAATCCTACAGTAATCACTTTTTACCCAAAAACACTTCTTTCCCCATTACGAGTCATTTCGAAAGCTTTTCACCCGTTTTCCCGCCTGCCCCCCGATTTCTGTATTATAATTTTTTTCTTTTTCTAGACATGAATAAATATTTTTCCGCTTTACGTTTGTGACGTGGCAATTTTATTATAATCCCCACAGACACAACGTTACTATTTTCGTTTTTAGTAAAAAGATAGTTTCGCTTTCCCAAACTCCTTTAAACCGTCAAACACCCTTGTAGAAGGCGGGTCTCGAGAAAAAAGCAAGTTTTTAGGGTGGTAGAAAGAAAAATTAGTATTCGTTTTTCAGTTTTGGCTCAGGTTACAAAAGTCTTGTTTTTTCCAGAACAAAGTCATGTAAAGTTATAAAATTCACATTATAAATTGTGTCTGACCACATTAAAAATTCAGAACACAAAAAAGGAAAAAGGTTAAAAGCATCAAACACGTCACTCCGTACTTTTAAGATGATTTTCTACTAATCAGTTAACTACTAATTTCAGATCGAGATAAAGGCTATAATACAGGGGGAGATAAGTGAGGGGTGGAGGGGATTTAAACGAATGTCTGACTAGAATATCACAGGGTTTCAAGGGAAAGGAATGGGGAGGAAAAGCAACCAGGCTGCGCGAGAAAGAACATATTCAAAGAAGAGAAAGAAAATGCAAAGAGAAATTGTACAAAAGCGTGTCTACAACTGATTCGAATCGCTGTCCGAGCTGATGAGCAAGTGCTGCTCTCCTCCGACAATGCTTCCAGCCATTGCATCGCTGCTGTTCCGCGAGTTGCTTCGAACTCTCGTCGTGTCCTCCTTCCGACCGCCCAACTCGACGTCATCACTGTCGGTGACCTGATCGCTTGCGAGTGCTCGTTTCGTAAGCGCCGCCAGTTTGTCGCGATGTTCCATTCGTTCGACGGCAGTGAACTTTCGAACGAATAACGATCGCATGAGGCGTCCGGCGGTGGAAGTGGCGTCCAGCGCCGACTTCTTCGGTCCCCAGTCGTCACTGCCAAAGAAGGACTGAAAAATAGCAGATTTTAGTGGAATTTCATCGTTTTCTTTACCATTTCTTGAGTTTTACTCATCATCAGCGCCGACGAGTTCGCTTCCTTTCGTGGCGTTCTCCTTCTTTTGCGTTGTCGCTCATTTGGATAGCATCGATTGATGAAGGAGATGAACGGAAGAGCAGATCCGCCCAGGAAGATGGTGGTGAACAGAATCAGAAAGAGTACGGTTGTCAGAAGCACCGACTTCTTCTCCTTGTCCAGGTCCATGTAAAGAACGAGAGCGAAGCAGACGGCGCCGCGCATTCCGCTGAACCACATGATAATCTGATTCTTCATCGAAATCTGCACATCCTTCCGGCACTGATTGACGAGGTACGCAAGCGGGAAAACGTTGCACGCGCGTCCCAGGAGACAGAGGACGACGCTCCAGAAAATGAGCCACGGAGCAAAGTTCAGTTTAATTGTGAAGAACGCCATTCCGATATAGGCGAAGGTGGAGGTTTCGGCGACGAACGAAATGGTTCGGAACGTGTGGCGGAATGTGATCTGAGCGATGGGACTGACATTGTGGCGGGTGTACTGGGACATGGAAATGCCGCAGAAAAGGATCGCCATGATGCCGGACAAATCGAGCGCTTCTGCGAATCCGTAGGGGATGTAGGAGAAGATGAGAAGCAGGGCGAACTCCAGAGACGGCGTTTTTCGAAGATCCACGTGTTTGAACAGCTCAAATGTTTGAGAAATGTTTGAGGATATTTGGTAAAACTTAAACTTACCAAAGCACTGAGCAATCCAATACTGACACCGAGACATGCCGAGAAGAAGAACATCTCCATGAAAGTGACAAAAGCGCTCGTTATAATTTCAGACGCTGGAAGTGTGTTGAAAGGCGGCTTTGCGTGCCGGAGAGCTGTCGCGGCGAGCACAATCGAGACGGCGTCGTTGAGCATTGATTCACCGAACACGAGCATGTACAATAGGGATTCCACTTTGACGGCTTGGAAAATGGCAAGAGTGCCGACGGGATCAACGGCGGAGATCATGGCGGCGAAAGCGAAGCACTCGAAGAATGTGAATTCGAAGACTATCCCAAGCTGGAAATAATATAGTTTTACTTTTTTTTCCAGTTTCATTTACTCACTGCGCCTAGCACGTACAATCCTGCTCCGATAACCATAGCTGAAATCGTCGTACCCAGAATTGCAAACGTCAAAATTGGAACGAAATTGGAGAAGAAGTAGCCTTTGTTGAGGTTATACGCATTCTCAAATATGATCGGAGGCAGAAGAACGAGGAAGAAAACGTCCGGACTCAGCGCTTCGATCTCGCTCCAATCTCGTTTTGAATACGAAAGAATCGATCCGATGAGTGCTCCGAGAGCCACAATCGCCAGACTTTCGGGCATCCAGTGAACTTTCGAGACGATGAGCATGTGGACGACAAGAGTGGCGAGCACGATCACGAAAAGAATGAAGAAGATGGCTAGCGAGCGCTTCTTCTCTTCCGAAACATTTCCGACGATGGCTGCTCCGTGCTGCTCCAGACTTGTCGCATTTGCATCGATCGCTTCGCTGAAACTTATCCAGCATTGCCGTCAAAGTGAAAATCAGTACACTCACCCCAAAACATCCGTCTTGTTCACTGCCACCACTACAACTTCCTCGCTTTTTTCGACTTTCTCATCTAGTGAATCAACCCCGGTGAATTGGAAAATTAGTAGAACGATGAATATTGTAAGTCCTAAAAGTTTCAGAGTTGCTTTCGACTTTTGAAAGTTTCGCTGCTTGTCAATATTTTTTAGTAGCGTAGTCTAAGCAACACCGAAAGTTGGATCGGCGTCGCTCCGACGGAACTTTTTTCTAAAATTTCCAAAGCAGTAAACTCAACCAGTTTTGATTGCGAATCGCATCATGCTTGCCGATCTCCTGTGACTTGTGACTAACGGCTCGCGGAGCTGCCACGTGGAACCATTCGCCAGTGCTTTCTGAAAACACACACACACACTTTCAGCAAAAATTGTATAAATGCGTTAGAATCAAAGATTCGGGCTTCCGAAACAGCTGTTTCGAATGCAAATGGAAATGAGTGGGGAATGCTGCGTGGAAACGCGAGAGAGTGTGTCGAGCGCGGAATGCGCAGACATTCGGGAGGGGAGCGTAGCGTGGAAAGTGCGCTCTACTGCACAGTTGTCCTGAGACTAAACCAGTCATTCCCGCTCACCATTTTCTTAGTGTTTGCTTCTTTATACGAATAAATAGACGAGGCGTTGGGCGGCTAAAGCATAAGAAATGAAATCGATTCAGGAACGAACACTTCCATCTTTTTGATCTTTATCGCTTTTTCCGTTTTCGGAAGAGATGCTTCCGCGCGGCGCCACACATAATGCTTCATCTTTTAAAAGATCGCAAAGTCGATCCACTTTTATTTTCATCTTGAATATATATAAATCCAGCAAGACAGAAAATAGAGAGGGGGAAAAAAAGATATCATCGCTTTGAATAAAAATGTGACAAAAAGAAGTATAAATAAAACTACGGTCCAAATATTATAGATCCAAAAACGTCTTGCAGGGAAGCGAAAAGCACAATCGATATAAATTGGCCGAGTTGGAAGAGTGGGAGAGCTCTCGCCCTATCAATCAGAAACATCAAGAACCAAGTACAGTCGGAGCTCTGAGAGTGAGGGAGAGAAAGAGAAAGAGAGAAGAAGACAGATAGTCAAACAGACAGGGAGAGAGCATTTATTTGGCTAGAATAGGAGAATGTACAAAAGACGAAAAAGAGCCGATGAAAAAACAGATAGCGAAAATAGTTTGGTGCCATTGTGGGGTGGATGGATTCGATTGGGTGGGGAGAAGAGCATTATATTGGGCACAGGTAAAAAACAATTACAATCATTTTCATGTGTGTGTGCTTGTGTTTGGTGCGGAGCGAGGAGAAGAAAATTGAAACAGACGGAGATAGAGAGAGAGAGAGAGAGAGACACAGACAATATCAGCAGTAAGAGGAGTGAAATGCTTACTTACACATTCAAACCTACTCATTTTCAGTCAAATCAGGACGACACGATGAATGGATGGAAAAAAGGAACGGAGAGAGAGAAAAGGAAAGGAGATTCGCACGCACATCATCATCCAACACCTAGTGAGCCGAACGGGTCTTTCTACTAAATTCTGAGGCTCATCGGGTGTGCGCCTCCAACTTTTCCCCACTTCGAAAATAATAACAACACATTACCCGTTCGACGAGACTAGAATGTCGGTGTGTTGGGTGTCATCATCTAAAAATAACACAGGCTAACTTTGAAGATGAGAAAACAGAGAGAGGAGACAAGCGTAAAGGATTAGATAGTGAAAGGAAAAAAGAAGAGCACAAAAAGAGTTACACTTGTGTATTATGACTCCAAATAATGAAAACAGAAGAGAGGGGTATAAAGAATCAGAAGAAGCCGGGTGTGCAAGTGGGGAAGGAGGAGAGAACGAGGGGTTGGTTGAATTGAAAAGAATTGAACACAGAAATACAAAAGAGCAGAAAGTAAATGTGTAAAACGCGTTCAAGAGGATGTTCCCGGCTCTCCGGTCGTCGTCGAAACCTCGTTTGGCCCCATTCCGGCAGCTGGGCCATCCATTTCGAGTTGTGGCAGAGGTCGTCCTGATGGAAGTCGCGCCTCTGGGTTTCGCAGTTCGTCGAAGAACGCGTGTTGGCAAGCCTGTAAACAGGAAATTGAGACAATTTCCTCTGGGGATTTCTCGATCAGACACCGGCCGGCTACTATTACAAAACGCGTCTATAATAATAAGTATCCGCGAATATTATGATGCTTACTCACCGCTTGAGGAGTCGGACGCGACGTCGGTGTGTACTCAATGATCTTCGAGATGAGATCGATGGCCTCGGCGGGTGTGTGAACACGGAACACCTTGTTCCACGGATGTGCCTTTATTTGCGGGAACTTGAACTCTTTGTAGTTGGGATTCATGCTCTGGATCTGTTCGCGAGTCGGTGTTCCGAGCACTTTGATAATCTCGACGAGCTGATCGACTCCCGAGTCTCCAGGGAAGATTGGTTGTCCGAGGAGAAGCTCGGCCATCACGGTTCCGGCCGACCACACGTCTATCGAGTTGGTGTAGTTAGTGGCTCCAAAGATGAGCTCCGGAGCACGATAGTAGCGCGAGCAAATGTACGAGACGTTCGGCTCGTTGCGCACCAAATACTTGGCCGATCCGAAATCGCACAGCTTCAGCACGCCACTCTCCGGGTCGATGAGCAAGTTTTGCGGTTTGATGTCACGATGGCAGATCCCGATGCTGTGAATGTAGGCGAGCGAACGGAGCAGCTGATACATATACAGCTTGACGTAAATTATCGGAATCGGCTGTCGCTGCTTTGAATAGTGTCGCGCCACTCTGAAATTATCAAAATTGATTTCGAAAAGATGATAACAGGAATTCTGCTACCTGTAGACCGTCTCCGGGACGTATTCGAGAATCAGATTCAGGTACAGCTCATCCTTTTTGTCACCGCTCGAATAAAAGAAGTATTTGAGCTTCACAATGTTCGGGTGATTGAGCTTTCGCATAATTTGCAGCTCGCGATTCTTGAATCGCTTATCTTGGAGCACCTTCTTGATAGCCACCATTTCGTTGGTCGTCGACAGTTTGGCAAGGAACACGACTCCGAACGAGCCGTTTCCGATGACCTTCTGATCATAATACGAGATCTCGACCTGAAAATTGGAAAAATAGGATGAATCTAGAGCGAAGCGCCTATCTATCTCACCTGCTGATCGACGCCATCTGTGGCCACCGACGCTACGACCATCGTAATCTGCTTGCCGCTCTTCAGTGAGCAGGACAGTAACTGCTTATTCATCACACCCACCACCAGTCGGGGGCGCGGCGCTGGGGCTTTTCTCGCTGGTTCGTCTCGTTCGACACGAGTTCACAATGTGCGATGCCAGTGGAGAAGAGGACAAGAAAAGTGAGAGCGAGAGAGCGACAGAAAGCGAATCGATGTGGTTTCTTCTCCTGGAAACAAAGAAAATCAAGAACCAAATTGAGTGGACGAGGAGTGGGCGGAGAGGAGAAAGGGCATGGGAAAACGGGGAATGCTGGAAAAAACCGCTGATGATGATGATGACGATGATGGCAGCAAGAGGAGCGAGATGAGAAAAGATATATAATCGATAAGAACATCGAGGAAGAGAGAAAAAGAGTGATGGAAACGGGCGGAAGGACAACGAATGAAGATCGCGCACTTGTATCCACACACACACACACACACACAGCTCAACCACATTTTTCTCTTTTTCAGAAAATGAGTAAGCGAGCGAGCGATTTTCAGAGAGCACCGGACCAGCGGTGTGGTGGACAGAGAGAGAGAACGAAAGAGAGAGCGAATGAAAAACAGAGGGAGGAAGAGAAGAAAAAGGCCGTCCGGCCAGTAGTAGTAGTAGACAACGCAGAACGAAAGGCAAGACGACATCGACGACGAAGCGGCCAGAGACGCAGAGGGGGCAAACCATCAGTGATGGCGAAGAGAGGGCAAGACGGACAGAGTCAAGAGACCGCCCGTCCGAGGGGGAGACACAGGCGGACGGCTGGAGCGGCGGGGCGGCGAGGGCACCCCACCAAACTATTCGCTCGTCTCGCAGTGCTGTGGCTGACTGGCTGGCTGTGTGTATGTGTGTGTGTGTGTGTGCGGTTGGCGAGTGTCGAGGCAGCGATAGAGGCTAGTCAGTCAGCGGCGGCGACCGATGGATGGCCGGAGACGTCGGCGCGTCGGCCTAGTCATCGTCGTCGTCGTCGTCGTCGTGGAGAGTGCGACGAGCGAGACGCGGGCAAAAAAGAGGCAAGCAACACATGAGAAGCTGCGCGTTGCGATGCAGGCGCCACGCAGCAGTGCAGTTGAGAAGAAGGAGAGGAATCGATGGAGACGTGGCTGACGGCGGTGCGCCCTCGATGGACGACGACGACGACGACTAGGCTCGTGCTTTTTCTACCACCACAAAACTCGGCGGGATAAAATAGGGAAAGCTCAGCCCGTGGGCTCGCAGTTCCGTGCAAGGTGATATCTCGAAGGAAGGGGGCGACGACGGGAAGGGACGGGGGCAGCAGGGCAATAACATCACAGAGCAGCTTTCGATAGGGAAAGAGAATGAGGAAGAGCAGCAGACACGAGACAGAGAGAATAAGAAAACAACAAAAAAAAACGAGCGTTATCGAGTTTTTTTTTGCAGTCAACACAAAATGTTGCAAATGCGCTCTATCGCATGCCTCAACTCCTTTCTTTCCTTGTAAACTTTCATGAGTTTACCCGCCGCGGGTGTCTGTTAATCTGCTCTTTTTTGCATATAACCGTTTCTCGTCCCATCTTTTCGTCCGTGTTTTGACGTCATCAGTCACTGATGATGGAGCGCGGCGGGCCGGCGACGGTTGTGGCGCTCGCGCTTCTCTCTCGCCACCAAGAACTGTGCGCTTCTCCTCTCGTTCTCTCGCTCCTCTTCTTCGTTCTCTTCCTCAGTGTCATGATCTGATCACACCGTGTCGTCGCGTTCTTGTTTGTGAGATGAATGGACGCGAGAGGAAGAGAAGGAAATAGAACAACAAAAGGAAGGGGAAAGAGGCAAAGTGTTCGAAACCATCATATCAGCATCAACACAAAACAAAGCGCAAAAATTGACGGTGACGGTGGGAAAACGAAGAGGTGCGCATAGCGTGGCGTGGTGGCGAAGAAAAACAGCGAATAGGGCACCCAGTTAGACACGCAGACGCATGGAGCAGATGAAAAATTCAAAGAGAAGGAAAAAGCGGCGCGGTGTTCTTCTCCGCCTCCTTCACTGCTTCGTCTTCTTTTTGTGTTTGTGCGGCTGACGGGCCTGCGATATCCCGCCCCATTATCAATTTTTATGCTAGATATATGCTGCCTCCGTTTGTCGTATATACACGAGCAACGCAGAGCAGAGCACGCAAAGAGCACAATTTTTCCAGAACAACGTTTGAAAAATGGTGGGAATTGTGTCGAAGAAAAGCGTCACATTCGTCGGACAAAAGCTAGCGGCGCACATAGATGAGCAGCTCTTTTCCAAGTACGGATTCAAGGTGGAACAACTGATGGAGCTCGCCGGTCTCGCTGCCGCGCAGGCCATCGCCGCTCACTACCCGAAAAGTAAGAGAGAGAGAAAGAAAAAGAGGGGAGAATGATTTCCGGCTGTTTTCAGGCAAAGTGGCGGTGCTTTGTGGGCCAGGCAATAACGGCGGCGATGGATTTGTGTGCGCACGCCATCTTCAACAATTTGTGAGTGACATGCAAGATCCGAAATCAGAAGGGGACAAATACATTTTCAGGGCTTTACCCCACACATCGTCTACCCGAAAGAGTCGAAAAACGAGCTGATGAAAAGTCAGGTGGTTCAATGCGAAACTTCCGATATCCCAGTGGCTTCTGCTCTTCCCACTGATCTCAACTCATTCCCTCTGATCGTCGATGCGCTCTTCGGCTTCTCCTTTCGTCCGCCCATTCGCGAGCCGTTCACTCAGATTATAAAAACCGTCCGTGCCTCCGGAATCCACGTCTTCTCAATTGACATTCCTTCTGGCTGGGACGTCGAGAAGGGCGCTCCGGAAGCAGAAACCGAAGGCGTGATCACGCCGCATGCCATCATCTCGCTCACTCTTCCAAAATTGTGCATGCAAAATTGGACGGGTCCGCACTTTCTCGGTGGTCGCTTCATTCCACGTCAGCTCGCAAAGGATCTCGAGCTGCAGATGCCAATCTACCCCGGATACGAACAAATTGTCAAACTAGAGTCTGTTTTATGAAAAAGCCTAAGACCATAATCGTTTTTACTGTTGATTAGCAATTCTAATAATCTATTCTGATCAATTCCCAACGTGCTATTAATGCTAATAAATGCGTTTTTAACTGAATATGAGGGCTTCGAAATTTGACTTTTACACGAAGTGTTCAGAATGTTGGCCATCACAACTTTTCTCCTCGTCAGTGCTTCTACCGTTTCTGCTGGAGATGTCGTAGAGATTTTCGGAATTGCGAGATGCCCTGACACTACAAAATTCGTTAAAAATCAACTGATCCCATTCTACAAGGACGCCGGAAACTTTCCTGAAGATTTCAAGATTGATTTCCACGCCGTCCCAATCGGCGGCTCCACTGTTAATGGCTCTTTTGTGTAGGCCATTTCTACAAGAACCGAATTCCGAGAACAACTCACTTTTCAGCAACAAATGCCTTCACGGACCAGTGGAGTGCGCGCTGAACAAGTTGCAAATGTGTGCAAAGGAGTACATAAAAAAGGACGCGCTGGTTACGATTGGATGTATTCAGGGAAAGAAAACGTACGAGTTGGGAGCCAAATGCATTTCGGACGATGAAATCGGAAAGAAGTGAGTCATTTTGAAACAAAGATTAAAAAATGAAGACAAAAGAAGAGGGTTTAGAATCATTGCTTGTGCTGAGTCAGAGGAGGGAGAAGTTATTCTGAACGATGAGAATTCTTACCGCTACAGCGTTGCACCAACTTCGGCTTGGGTGAGAATAAGACTAGTTAAAAGCCAACAACAAACAATAATTTCAGTTGCCATGGATTCAAATCAACGGAAATCGAGTTCAAGACGCCGAATTTCACCTCAAGAACTACATTTGTGCGCTCGAATCGATGAAAAACGAGGATCAGTGCAAGAAGAACTGATTTACTTTGTAATCCTCACAAGTAGATAAAAAATAAAGACTTACCCTTAGCGGAAATTAAACGGAAATGAGCTAGAGCAGAAACGGAGGAAAAATAAAGGAGACAGGGTCACGGGACTGGTCGTCAACGTTTCGGGGGCAAAAATGCACATTCTGAAAGGTTTTCAAAACAGAAGACGTACGAAATACAGAAGAAAGCACGGATTTTCAGTGATTTTCTGGCAAAATCACTTGGATTGCCGCGTTAAAATTACAAAAATCAATTTCGCGCTGGGAGCTTTGTCAAGAAATTATGGTATGCGCCTTTAAACGAGACGATGCGAGACTCGTACACGTTTGCCACTTTTCTTTCTAATTGTCAGCTGGATTATTGATTTTTTTTTTTAAATTTTACGTAGAATTTAGGAGTTTATAACATTTTGAGCAATTTTAAGCATGTCATGCGTCTAAAATCGTACAATTCGGCCCGCAAACAATCGAAGAGACAGCGCGCTCTTACATTTCCGCTCGTGACATTTCTCCTCAACTCTAGGCCGCCATGCGTGTTTTCTAGGCCATTGGCCGTTTCGAAAAGTGTTTGTCTGAACATTTGCCAGCTCTTCAACGCTGATTTCCAGGTAAACAAGGTGGAAAATCGATAAAGAGACACTCTGTCACAATGGACGATGATCCAAATGAAGTAAGAGCTTTTTCATTGTGATTTAAACAAAAAATCTGTAATTTTTTTTTAGCCAGAGTGCGCAAATGAGAAATGTGCGCATATCAGAGACAACCTGAAGTATTTGGTCTCGACAAGAGAACGACAACAGAAAGAGCTGGCGGATTATTCAAAAATCAAAGCGGAAGTGGAAATATTACGGCTGAAATTGGTAACCGTGGAGGAGCACGCACAAAAAGCTACCCAAAGATCCATAGAAGCGACGAATGCGAAGGAAATGGCAGAGGCGGAGATGAAGCAGATGCAGTCGACGGCCGAATACAATCGGAGAAAGATCATAATGCTTCAGGAGCAAGCGGACGATGCAGAGGTATTTTTTCAACAATTTAAGTTCAAAAACTCATACGCTTCCATTTTCAGCAGCACAAAGAGCAGGCTATTAGCTGGCGTAATAAGTACGACACAATCTGCGCGTTGGCCGAGAAACTGGAGAACAATAATATGGATGTGAAGGCGAAGTACGAGGGTGCCGTGAAAATGCTCGAAGTCGTCGGAAAGAAGACGTTGACGCTTCAAGATCAGACAGCAGCACTCAAGACAACGTCGAAGGAGCAGAGTGCGAAATACAAAACGCTGGATAAATATCTGAAATCAGCGATTCAAGTAATTGATGCTCTTTCCTCTGGTTCAAATCTTTCCGAACAACCGAAGACTATCAAGGATTTGGTGACAGTTTTCCGTCGAGATGATGTTCGGCTTCTTTTCAACGCTCCGCAATGGAAGAATTCCATGATAAGCCATGCTGGAACTTCTTCAGATGCCGCCGAAATCTCAGATCAAGAGCTGGAGCCAGAACCAGAAGATCCTTCGGATCCACTGTTCGGCGGAAATACTCTGAGTGATGACGAGTCGGAAGAGGACGAAGACATTAAGCGGCTGGAGCGAGATCTGACGTCTTCTGTGATAGACGCCTCTAAAAATAAGAAGAACGAAGAGATTCCACGGAAACAGCTGAGTCGCAGGCCAGATTTCGGGCCGAAAATGAAGGAATTGCACGCGATGAAGAACGGACCACGCGTGATGCCGGTCAGAAGCGTCAAGAATTGGCCGTCAGGTGTGCGAAAGTCGGCACGAGAATCATCCACTAAGAACACTGCCATAGGTGTGGTGAATTCGCATGCGACTCATTCGACGAACGTGCCCGTCTACACTTACGACGCCGTCAACGAGGCGACGTCCACATCGAGAAAAGCACCTCCCAAGGCTTCCGATGCTCCAGCAGCTGCTCCGTCGACGTCCACCGCTTCGATTCATGGACGGAAAGTGAAGACGGTGAGAGAACAGCAGACGGAGATGATGAAAGGAGAGACGGTCAAAGAGAAGGTGGCCAGGATGAAGGCGGCGGCGGAGGAAGGAAATGTGAAAAGAGAAGTGCATGCTCCAAGTGCCAAGTCTGCCATTGGCACGTATTCGGGCCCAGAGCTCGAGGAAGAGCCAGCGAAAGAACCAGTGAAGGAACCGGCGAAGAAGCAGGAAGAACCGAAAAAGAAGCGTCTTCAAAGCTACAATATATCCGAAGGATCGGATTCAGAAGACGACAGTCTTCTGCAGAAGAAAACTGAACAGATAAAATCGGCGCCTAGACGCTCCAGAAGTGTTTCTCGTTCATCTGAATCCTCGAGGAGATCCACAAGAATGCCGAGCAAATCGGTGACTCCAGCCCCAACTCCGACAAAGCAGCTCCCGGCAAGAGCTTCTCGACAAATGAGCAGGAAAAGTCCGACTTCGGTGAGAATTCAGCTTTCTAAACACTTTCTATTTAATAAATCGTTTCCAGAGCCGCTCCTGCTCTGTCTCTTCTACTGGGGAAACCAGTCGTCAACAACGTGCCCGTGCCCGATCTGCTATGCGTGGCGACGACGTCGATTTCGAGGGGAAAGAACTTCCGATCAAGAAGAATACACCATCCAAGTTGGCCTCTTGTGTTCAAGTTGTAAAGCCTCCCCCGAAACCGGTAGAGCATCAAGAAGAGGAAGCTGATATACATTTAGAATTGCCAATAACGAAAAGTGTTGGAGATGTGCTCAAAAGTCGATTGAGAGCCGCCAATTCTCCGTTCGCCATGAAACGACCGGCTCCGCAGCCGATTGACGCGGGTCCACCAATGAGAGTGAAGAAGATAATGGGGATGACGGCGCCGAAGAAGAAAAATAGCATACGGAAAGAAGATCCGTATGCTTCTGGTCCGTCGCCTGCTCCAGAAGCTCCTGAACGAGAGGCTCATGAGGAAACCTATGAAATACCACCAATACCAATCGAGCAGAACCAGTTAACGGAGGCATCCACGTCTTCTGAAGCTGTTCCAACAGTCGTCCAGGAGCCGTGTCCGAATTCCTCAGCTGCGGACGAAAAAGACAACGACGCAATTGGTGATATCAGCTCGAGCACGGACGAATCGAGCGATTTGACGGTTCAGAATACTTCTCAAGTGGCTGGAGGCGACAGTGATGTCAATGAAGATCATGTAAGCAGATACCTTTAATAGCCGGATAGTAATATTCATAAGTGCGGGATGTTTGAGAAACGCCAAAAATTTTTACGACCAAATGAGCGGAAAACTGAACGAATATGACCCATGGAATTAATTCAGACAGTTAGAACAACTTGACAACCTGTTACAATTTTTTTTCGAACCAGGGCCCTTCCACTCGCCTGTCCCGAACTGCGCTCAACTCAAAACGCCTATAGTAATATTGTCCATTTTCAGAGAAATACCAGCAACTCGCCACTCAGTCAAAGCCTTATGATCGATGAGCCGGTGACTGCAGGAAGTCAGGAATCAGTGAAGGACGAGGAGGATGCCCACAAAGAGCCAATGACCCCCAAGTCTCAAGTTCAAGAGGAATCTGCTCAAAATGTTCCGGAAGCTGCTCCCGTGGAGATTATTGCTCCAGAAGCTCAACTTCTCGAGGACCCTGTTACGGAAGTCGTTCAGAAAGAGTCCATTGCTCCAGAATCCCAAGCACAAAAAGAATCTGCTCCAGAAGCTGCTCCAGTAGCCAATGATGGAGAGCCAGAAGCACCAGCTCCAGCAGAAGCCGAAGAACCAACTCCACCAGCTGCTCCAGAAGAACTTCCGCCGAAAATCACGATAACCGACGATCTGAAAGTGGTTGTTCCGGTTTCTCCACTCACTCTAGCACCGAAACTGGATGTTGTTTCGACTCCGAAGAGTCCGAAACAACTTATGGTTTCCCACTTTGGACTCGATATCAGTGATAGTGAGGAAGAGGAAGTAGAAGCTGTTCCTGCTGCTCCAGAAGCTACCAGCTCTTCTGCAAGTGACGTCGTCAAGGAGGATCCGATTATTGCTCCAGTTGCTCCGGCTACTACTATTTTAGTTGAAAAGCCGGTGCCAGTTCCTCCGAGTGCTCCAGTTCCAGCTCCATCTAGACTAGCTTCGAGTGCTCATGCTACCGCTAAGCCTGCTGCAGTTAAACCTGCTCCAATACCAACTCCGTCAACTTCTACGGCTCCACCACCTTTAGTCATTGCTTCATCTTCATCCTCTTCTTCCCAATTTGATCAGGATCTCGCGGAAGACATTCTTTTTGGGGCTAAAATGTCGAAGCCGCCTGTCAAAAAGCCACCGGTTGCGAAACGTCCAGCCGCCGAGTCCACTCCGGGAACTGCTCCGAAGCGAGCGGCTCCTGTCAAAAAGACGCCGGCTCAACTGATCGGCGCGCCCGGATTGAAGCGTGCTCGCTCTGTGACTGCTCCAAAAGCACCGCCCAAGAAGCCAAAAGCTCCAGAGCATTTAACATCATCTGCCGAACCTTCTGGAGCCGCAGATGAATCTGCAGAGCCCGCCGCCGCCGTTCCCTCGACTTCTGACGGAAAAGACGGAAAGAAAGCGATTTTGATTGAAGCGCGACGACGTGGAAGACCACCGAAAAGCGCGAAGGCGGATGTGAAGCCTATCGGAACGAAGGAAATCGGTCAGAAGCGAGGCGAGAAAGCGGTGAATCTGGCGAAAGCATACCTGCGACAAGCACTGGATCTCAAAGTGAACGTGCAGGAATTGAAGCGTCCGATGGAGGAGAAGGGCATCGTTTTGGGCGATTCGATCCCACTTTCTGCCGCCGACGCCGCCGAAATTATGATGGAATTCCTGAGAGAAACGTCGGCCGGAGACATGTGGGCGGTGATGAAAAAGCAGAGAAACGAGGGAAATGTGCAGCCGTTGCTGAATACGGAAGAGCAGAACTTCCTGCAAGTCAGTGTGTCGCTCATCGACGAAGATCAGTTGCTCTTGGAGTTGTTCATCGGGTTAGTTTCCCCTTTTTTCACCCCCAAAAGACCTTTGAATTTTGCAGAAGAATCCTGTCGGAACTGGCGGTCCGCGATACGATCGATTCGAAACACATAGGTCGATACACCCGCCTGTTCTGCCACGCAGTCCGATTCGTCGAAAAGGAGGACGATCAGAAAGTAACGTGGCTCCGCCGCTTCTTCTTTGTTCTCCTCCACAAACACCAGCACCAACTGATGCGCGCCGTCGCCTACTGCTTCATTTCGGACGTCTCGGAGCACTGTCGCTGGCTCGTGGAGGATATCGACGAGTCCGGAGGCTTCTCGACCGTCTTCCGCACGTACATGCACCTGGATTCGGAGCAAGCGGCGGTGGTCAACTGGCTGCTCAACTCGAAATTCCAGTACGCCTACATTTCGCCGCCGACGACCGAACAGATTCGAGAAACGTTGAAAGAGGCGCATGGACAGTTCCTGACAGCGGAAGACTCGGAGGAGATGTGCGAGCCCTTGAAGACGTCGATTTATATGGCAAAGACGGGACTTCCCGTCTGTTTGGACCTTGCTTTCCAACTGCTCAAACAGCAAATGACCCGTCTCGATGGACAGTTCATCGAGACGCACAAGAGGGACATGGAGCTAAAGCGTTAGTTATCGGGCCGACCAGAAACTTAAAAAAAAACGAATATTATGCAGACAAATCCGTGTTTTCCATGCCGAACATGTACACAAAAATGACAGTGGAAGAGGCGAAGAGCCTGCGAAAAGAGTTCGAATGGCAAAAGTACGTGCTGATGGTGATGATCGACGATCAGAGCACGAACAACTGGAAGCCGATTGTGAATGCGATGCAGAAGTTTTCGGCGCAGGTAAAATTTTTGGTTTTCTGATCAAAATTTGGAAGAAACCACAAACTTCAGGTGGTAGCTGTGCGCGATATCATCGATTCCTCGTCGTGCGACCAGCTCATCGAGCCGTCGGCCGTCGATGCGCTCCGCGAAGGCGTCGATCAATTGGCGCAGCTCATTTCGCATTTTACAAATTTCCCCCTCAAACCGTCGGTTCTTGAAGAGCCGGCTCCTTCCTCTACCACCTGATTTGATTTATCGATTCATTTTCTTTCCGCATTACATCAAAGCTGTGTCATTCCTCTTCACATATCCACATTCGTTCTGTTACCCTTCTACCTCGTTCTTTCTCCAACTTTGAACATTCCGGGTTGATTACCATGAAACAAAACCGGCCTGCTCCCCCCTAATCAGCTGCCCTTAACCCCGTTTCGAAAAGCCTTATTCCGAGCCACCCCCTCCCGCCTGACTAACTGTTGTTGCCCTTTTATAAAGTTTTTGTTGTCTCAGACAACGCGTTCCGATGTATCAGCGGGTCAAATTAGATGCATCGGCGATGCAACGGCGATGTAGAGCCTACGAGAGTATTGTCCTTGCTTTTTGCTTTTTTCATTTTGTGGAAAATGTTCAAAAATACATTAGATGGCAAAATGTCAAAATCCCTCGAAATATGAATGTTGCTCGAACTGCTTCCAAACGATTCTACTGTTGTCCTAGAACCACAATGCGACCCATCTGAACCTGTAAATCTTCGAGAAATTCCATTTCAAAAACGTCTCCGATAACTTTCCGCCGCCCGTATTCACTTATTTTCGGCTTCCGCGGGATCTCACTTACATATAGATTGCAAAGCAGGAAAACTTGAATTTCAATTTGTGCAATGACGGAAACGTTGCAGGATGTGGAGACCCCGATAGTCAGTCACAAAACTCGGAACAGAATTGAAGAATTAAACTTTATTGCAATAATAATATGTCCAAAATGGAGTAAAGGGGTAGTAGTTCCCGTTCAGACGCAAATTTCAGACAGAAAAACAGTGAAATGTTGGCAAGAACAGAAAGAAGAGGGTACAGGAGAGGAGAGAGTCATCAGGGAACATTGTGTGTGAACCTTTCAGAGCTCGGAACAAATACATATAAATATATATATATATGGGTAGATGTCAAAACTCCAACTATATAAGTGAAATGCTCAATGGGTCGTTTGGATGAGTGAGAAGAAGGTATATAAAACAGGAAAAAGTGATGTGGGTGTGTGTTGGTGAGCAATTACGGTAGGTTTTTAGCAGTAAGATAGTTGAAAGCGCATTTGAGGGTAAGAAAATGTCTGCATAAACAACAAGAAAAAAGTATACAACGGGGAAATGAGGGTCCTAGGAATAACAGTGAAAAAGAAGGAGCAAAACCCGGTAAGATCATGGGAACATTGAGTCAAAGATGATGGGGTGAGACAGAGAAACGACGGAGCTACACATAAGACACCACCGGTGGACGAGTATCGCAGGAAATAATGAGATGGAGGAAGGAGGGAAACGGAACAATAAATATGGCAAAACAAAGAAGGAAGTCTACTGCGCACTTTCAATGCTTTCCAGTGTGACGACCGAAATGTTGTCCCGCTCGTCGTCGTAGATTCGCAGTTCGTCGTACGGCGCCGCATTCTGATCCGACTCCAGATCCTTGATCTTCGAGTTGAGCTCGTCGTCCGGCTTGTGTCCGCCCATGCCACGTGGCGGATAGAGTGGCGGCACTCCGCCCATTCCACCTCCCATTCCCGTGTCGAGCGGCATCACTGGCTTTCGGAGTCCGGCAATCGAATACTGAAACGAAGAGTGGGTTAGATTACAGATATAAGAAGAGGGAAACGATTCTGAATCTTACCTGATCATTGTCCGCTTCGCCGCCTCCTTCCACCGCGTACGGTCGTAAGTTGTCTCTGTTCATTTCCTCCGGACGGACCGTCTCAAATGCTCCAGGCGATCGTCGTGTGTACACAACCATCATCATAACAAGGAGAATGAGAAGAGCCAGCGAGACGAGAATGAGAATGATGGCCGGAGAGCTGATGCCGAGCTTCGAGACTGCCAGAGTCTCTCCGCATCCCACAACTTGTCCGTCGTCGCCCAGAATCGAGTTGGCTCCGTCGTTGCAAGTGCAGAACGGTCCCTTCCAGAAGTCGACGCAAACGAACGATCCTCCGCAATATCCGGCTGGAAGATCAGCGCAGGTGATGCGCAAGTCACATCCTTCCTTCACTCCGTTATCGTTCGAAATGCTCACAATCGACTCTTCGTTCTCATCAAGAGCTCCGCCACGCCTCAGCGGCAGATTCTGTTTTGACCAACGATACGTTCCGATGCATCCCTGTAAAATACTCGGAATATTTGACTGTTGTACTCATATCCTCTCACCTGGAATCCCTTGCTCTGTCCCTGTGCTCCAAGAGTGATCTGATTGACTTGCAGCGAGAACGGTTCTCCCTTATCGAGTTGGGTCGACACCGAGTACGCGTTGTCGATAGACAGACTGGCGCGAGTCGGATTTCGAGTGAATTGGAGCCAGTAGCTCGCGTTCTCCTTGAGCAAAACTTCACTGACACGCAGCTCCTGTCTCGCTCTCTTTCCGCCCGTTCCGATGTCGAATTTGGCGGCAGCAGTAACTCCGTTCTGTCCGGATTCGAGGCTAGTCGACACGTAACTCTGTTGCGAGTCCGTTCCGAAACTGAGCTCAGCAGCACCGTTCACTTTTCCGGAGATGAAAAGCATTTCAATGTCGTTCACTTGCTCCGGGAATGCGATGCGTGGAGAGTATTCGATGTAGCCGCCCGTCGCGAACTGCACCCACTCCATCTTCCGTTCGCATCTGGCTCCTCCCCAACCTGGATCGCACACACACTTCGCAACCATCGCTCCGGATCCTTGCACGTCGGCGTAGCAATCTCCATGAACACAGTGATTCAACGAGTCGACCGAGTTGGAATCACACGTCGATCCCCACAATCGGCAGCCCTTCTCCGAATTGGATTCGAATGCGGGCGTGGCCAAATCGTACTGATCTCCGTTCACATTTAGATTACGAACGCATCCGTTGAGTCCGGAACGTGGAATACTCGGCGGATAGTCTTGTCCGGAAAGCGGAGCGAGTCCTCCGATCTGCACTGGCGTCACAATGTTCAGCCGTTCATCGTCATCCGGAGTGTACAATTCCGCGCGACACGTGGAATCGTCGGCGCCGGCGCCCAGGAATCGGCAAGAGTCGACGACGAGTTCGACGCGTTTTCCCTCCTGATTCACCGAAATGTCGTGCCAAGTTCCATCATTGAGAGCCGTCGAAGCGACTTCGAGCGAGCTACGACTCTGTCCGTTCATCGACACTTCCAGCGAAATTCGTCCGCCACGAAGTTGGATGAAAATGTAGTCGGAGTATTCGATGTGCGTGTCGTTTCTCTGCGTCTCCAGCGGTCCGTTGTAGAAGAGAAGAGCGTCGGATTGACTGAAAAATAAAGATATTATAGGAAAACGTTTCTTAAAACATACGTAGTCATAAAACTGAACGAAATGTTCAGACTTGTGCACGCCGGCATCGGTTTGTACCACGCGAATCCGTTTCCGCCGAAGCTTCTCGTCGTTCCCTGGCATCTGGATCCCTTGAGTCCGTCGTTGCGGCACTCGCAGAAGAAGCCGGGGTTGGTGTTGTGGCAGACGCCGTCGTTGTGGCACAGCGAATGTTGGCACGCGGGCGGTGCTCTCCACACTGGACAAGTACAGTCGTCGCGCGAAGTGGCATTTACTCCGACGATGACTGTGCTGTTGGCGGAGACGACGATTCCGTCGTAGTCGGCCGAGTTGAGCGTCTGGCATCCGGCGTCGCACTGTGTGAACTTGCACATGTCGATTCCAACTCCGACAATATCCACGTTGAGTTTGCGTTGAAGATCGGCACGGTGAGCGGCGATAAGTCCGTTTAGTTGGGCAGAATCGCGATAGGTGGAGCCGCGGGCGTTGAATCGAACGTTGAGAACCGGCACGTCGCGTGTTTGGAGCGTCGCAATTCCGACCTGAAGCTTTTAATTTGTATTACTTCAACTGAAAATGAAGTGGAGGATGGCTGGGGTTGCAAAGAGACGGAAAGTGTGCATTTCGGTTGCCTTCCAATCATGACTATGATGGAGACTTTGAAAAAGTGATGTGACAGTGCGGAAAAAGATATAGGTCACAAGAAAGAAAACATTTACTACCGGTTTCACTATGGCTATTACCACTTTTCCGAGCCGACTCGCCCAGTCAACCTGAATCTTCTCTATTTTGCCCCGATCACTTCCGATAATCTTACCTGCACTGAGAAGACGTCGACAGTCACGTCTCCGCCCATATAGGCGGCCATCTCTTGCTTGAAAGTGTCCAACAATGACTGTCCGTTCGAATCAGCACGAATGAAGTCGTCCGGAAGTTGAAGCGGAGTTTCCTCTGCTATGAGCAACTGAACGGAGCCCTGGTTGTCAAAAGCCACTTGTGGAACTGCGTTGACGATCACAGTCACGTATCCGACGGCATCCTCGTCGCGAGCATTATCATGAACATTTGCAGACATTGTGTAGGTTCCAGCTGCCATTTCGGCGGCCATCGTGATGTCTCCCTTGTCGGAGAGCTCGAATCCAGGTCGGCTTTCTTTCCACGAGAACGTCTTGTCTCCGAGGTCCCAGTCATCGGCGTCATCCACGTAGACACGTCCAATGACAGTCTCCTTCAGTCTTCCGAGGTAAGAGTTCACATGGATTGTCATCCGTCCATCGTGCATAGTGTTGTCATTCTGCAAATACAAGCATTCATTAATATATCATAGGTCTTCTCCGTTTCCTCGTTAATCTCTGTTATTCTGAGCACCCTGGGCCAAGTACGTAAAAATTAGCATTCAGCTGATCTTTCATTCATTTTTACGAGATTTGTGGTCCCTTCTTCTGTCCAAAAAGCCACTAACGTCTTCGCTCTCAATGTATGTAAATGTGATGAGATCTATGCAAATCAAGTACTTTCGGACGCTCAGCGGGGGAGCGGCAGAAGCAGAAGAACGCCCTATTAGCCAATTAGCGAATCCTCTTCAGAAGCAGACAACTTCCGTTCGTTCCCCCGTTGTTGATTGGATGCGATGTGCTCTCTCGAGTGTGAAACAAGACCAAAAGCATTCCTAAACATGCGTGGGAACGAGCGGGCGGCAAATAGCCTTTCATCTGCCCTTTCCTATCGCACATTTCATTACTATAAACGATTGCGACGATCAAAGGGATGCGCCTGCCCGAGTGGGAGGAATAGAAGGCGACGGAGAACAAATATCATCAAAAAATATGGGCAAACACACGCTTATCTGGGTCAATATGAGTGGAACGCATCCCATTTTGGTATGGAAATTTGGTTGTTTTGCAGCGTAAAATTTTAATCTTGGCGTGCAGACCCGGGACATTACGGAAGAATTAATATTTCGGCACTGCTTAGACGGCAAACTACAAAACTTGACTAAGCAGCGCCAGAGCTTGGTTCTGTCAAGTGGAACCTTGACGCTGCTTGGGATACAAACTACTAAAATCAGCTAAGCAGCCCTAAAAAATCGCCCGAAAAGGTAAATATCCCTTCAATTTTCTCATCGACATTCCGTCGCTCTCTATTTGCACAATTACACCATTCACACAACCACACAGTAACAAATTAGCGGCACCCATCAAAAAAGGAAAATGCCCTCCCCGCGCTCTTTTCCCTTCTAATGCGTCATCGGATTACGGTCATCAGAGCGAGCGAGCGCACGCTGTCTCCTTTTTCTTGTTCTGCTTGACCCCTGTCAGTGGTGCCGACGGAAGAAGAAGAAGAAAAGAAGAGGAAAAAGAAGAATGAAGACGACGAGCGACACCGCCGAACGAAATTATACGACCATCGTTAACCCAGATGCGTTCGTCCGTTCGTTCTTTCGTCTGTCTCACTTACCAAGTCGCCGATAATAACGTGCACCGATGCTTCGTTCCGTCTTCCAGCACGATCGGCCAACACCAACGGAATCTCGAGAATCTTTCCGGGCACCGGAGCCTCACGATCGAATTCTTGGAGAGGGGTGATCGTCATTGAACCATTTCCGCCGTCGCCGTTCGGATTGAACACAACGCTCAGATATTGTCCGAATTTGAAGTTTGGCGAGAGCTCCATCGTGAACGGCGGTCCGAACTCACTGAAAATTAATTATTTATAAATGAAACAGAAGCGTAAGACACATACGCAGTATCACGGTCGGTGGCTCGGATTTCGCACGTGCCCAGCTGATTGACAGGTGTATTTTCGCGGAAAATACATGGTCTCGGCACTGTGTACGGCTCTGGCCCGTTGTCGTTCACGTCTTGAAGGTAGACAGCCACCATCTGACGTCCGATGTTGTTGGCTGTAATGCAGAAAAATGTCTAAGAAGAGCTGTGGCATTCACAGATGCTTACAATTATCATAGGCTTCTATAATCAGGTTATAGACGGCGATATCCTCTCGATCCAGCGTGTGCGCCACTCGCAGGGTACCATCCTGATCGATGGTGAACTGACGTTTCGGGTCGGATTGGCGATTGATACGGAATCTGAAACATGTTCACTCTTTCAATGATTCCCTTTTTCCGAATGTGTGATGCTCTTTGATTCCCCAAAGAGGTGACGACAGGAGGCCATTTTCAAGTGGTTACCGGTCAAGCGTGTGCGCTCATGTCTCTTTCCATGATTGGATGTCCAAAGTATCATTTTACATGTACACACCTAGGTGGCTGTTGGTGTACACTTGCGTAATTACTCTTTCCTCCTCGCCACAAACTCTCATTACCCATGCAATAACACTGACCATTCCCGGTGCTTCTTCAGATGAAGTGTAGACGGAGAAGAAGACCAATTCAGTTAGTTAGACGGGACATGTGCCACTACACATCTTCGTCGCTGGATTCACTCCATTACACTTGTTTCCGTTATAAGGAGTAGAAATAGGGAGGGAAAGGCACTCACATCCTACCTAATTACCCTCTAGGACCCCTATTTTCGTGTGTGGCTGCTAGTGTGTCCATCATCTGCGCAATGTTTAATCCAAAAATAGACCGACGGACGAGACGAGGGAACGTCTGTTGAAATTTTTCCAAATTCCTTCCAAGTGATTCAAAATTCAAATACACAAACAGCCCACCCTCTCTCCCTATTATTATCACTATAATCTATGGCTCACGTCGTTGAGCAAACAGGAATTATCATGGCGGCGGGTCGGCCAAATGATGCATGTGCGACCCGATCGGAGGAAGAAAACGACAGTGTCCGTTACAAGAAAACCCCTCTGTTGGAGGGTCAACTTCTATTGGGGGAGCGCCACCAGTCAAGACAATAAGTCATCGTGTCTATATAAATGCTCGCACACTTCGTGTAAACAATTGAGAGGAGCGCTGATTCAAACCCGAACGCAACAAGAAACATCAACTTTACACTCTCAATCGGCCCGCCATCGCTTTCATTATTGTTGTTCGAAGATGAGAAGAAGAAGAGGCGCAACAGAAACATACTAGATAATCCACCGTATGCCGTCAAGTACTTCCTGACTGTTCGGCATGTTGTTCACCATAAAAACACTTGATTTCTTTCCGGCCGCGTCCGTCCCGCCGAATGTCATGCACACAGGGAAGGCAGGGAGCGGCGTGTAATTATCATGTTCGAAACCGGCTCTCACCCATATGGATACACGCTCACATATGTGCTAATTATCTTTTGCCCAAAGCTCCTTCGTCTGGTGATTGAGAAAGTGAATAGACAGCTAATCAAGCCGTGTTTACACCGGAATGTTCCCCTTTTGAGGTCACAACCAACATTTATATACAATCGACCTTCTCAACCAACCAGCCAGCCAAATCCCTTCTTCTTCTTCTGTTTCGTATTCTCAGAGACCTCCTGCTGTGAGCCCTATGGGTCAGGAAAGTGAACCGATTGTGCAATATCTCTATCCTTCCCCCATTAACACCTATCGAATTGGAGCACACTCTCGACACTTCCTCACACTCTCGGGGGAGCTTCACTATGAGAGCTGAGTGACCTCGCTCACTCAAATGTGACAAAAACTGTGCAAATATGGAGAAAGGAAGAAGAAGAATAAGAAGAATAAGTCTATCTATTTGTCTCTCGCTAGTTTTGAGAGCATCGAAACCAGGTGTTCATATCCATTTCGCCCCCTAAACAAATCCAAGAACATTTTCACTTTTCCCTCAACAAAAAGCGCGTTGAAACCGACTGCGCCCAGCTGCCACACCTGTCTTCTTCAGGTGGAAAAGTAACGGTTTCTTTCTAGTGGAATAAAGCGGGCAAATGGATTTCAATTCCGTTTGGCGTCATCCATCGTGGAAAAAGCTGGATTCTGAAGGCCACCACCCGCTAAAAGGGAGACACCAACTACTTGACTACCTTGTGGAAGGGGGACCCCGGAAGGCCAAACAACCCCCACACACCGATGTAGGTGGGCAAAAGGAGAGAGACGAGGTCACACCACTATTACTGCCTACATATATGTGTGTCTAGATGTGGTTATGCGCGAAAATGATGGGGGAAAAGGCGAGAGAGAGAAGATCGTTTCCAGCAGATAGTGACTTTTGACAAAAATCCGAAATGACATAGGCATATAGCCATGTATAATTTGGAATCGAAATGGAATAAACGACGAAATGCGGAAGCATTGCATTGCATGAAGAGATAATTGATGTTTTTCAGAATTCCGAGGATTCTTCTTGCGCTACTATCTCCGTAATGAATCATTAATGTGTGAAGAGGGAGAAGAGGAAAAGAGAAAAAGAGATAAAAACTTACGAAAAGTTGAAGGCCGGATTGCTCGGATCGTGAGCCTTGAAAGTTTCAAGAACGGTTCCGACCGGCGTGTCCTCGCTGATATTCTTCATGACAAAAACATGGATGTCTCGGGCGCGTACACCGCCAACTAGCGACGAGAATCGGGACTTGGCTATCGTCGGCTCCAAGCCGAACGGAAGAGACAGGTCATTCGACGCCTCGGCGCCACACACCAACGCCACCCATACCCCCAAAAGTGTCACCCAGATGGGAAGAGCCGCGGAGAAGAGCCCCCTCCTACCTGGCCGAATCGTCGGCGTCCTTGTCGCTTGTTGTGTATCTTCCGAGTCGGAATCCGACTGGAACGTCCTCTCGGATGCGGTGCTCAGTGGCTCCATGGATGATAGGTGCGTGGTCGTTTCTGTCGACGAGTGCCACGTGCACCGCCGCTTCGGCATCGTGTCGGCCGTCGGAGACGCGTAATCGAAGATCGAATCCGTCTCGCTGGACGTCGTCTTCGAAGTCCAGTGGCTAGAATGTATGGTTAGTGGAGGGGGGCTCTATTGGGGTGACACTAGGTATGGGTATGGGAAAAGGCACTTTTTGAGTCTTCTTGTCTGGATGATGATCTTGCTCGTTGAGTTGCGGCTAGGCCGTCTTTTGCGTTAGACGCACACTACACTGAAAACGAACATTTAGAAGGAGGAGGGGGAAGAGAGGAAGCAGCGGAAACAAAAAAAAACGAGACTTGACAGGTGCAAAAATTTGAATAATTTGCATTTGACACATATCGAGAACAGATGAAAGTGAAAGGAAGGGCGGGACGAGATGAAGTTAAAGCGGATTTATTCGGCATTTAATTCGGAGGGTACAAAAATTAGGGGGTACAACAGGGTACAAATGGTTTTGGGGTACAACTTACATGGTTTTGGGGTACAAAAAGTCGAGGGTACAAAATTTTCGATTCTGGGGTACAAAAATTTACCGATTCAGTAGGCAATGATTTAGAGGTACAACTTTTATGATTTAAGGGTACAAATTTCACGATTTTGGGGTACAAAAGTTGCACGAAGCACATTTTCGAAGTTTTCATTCCAGTTTTGAATTTTTGAGAGCTCACGAGACACAGTCGTGTGTATCCATGCTTTGTTTTATGCAGTATTTTGTGTCATTTCGAGAAAAAAACTTTACTTGGGTAAATTTCACACACAACATCAGATGATGAAATTCTGCTGTGAAATTGCAGAATTTAAAGGGGCCAAAACAGCAAAACAACTTGTAAGTAATATTATAGGGGCACCGAATAGAAAGGACGTTCTGTTCGCAATCTGGCCGAATTTCTAGTCCGCGAAGTAATTTTCCACTGAAAACGTGGCCTAACTTTTCAAACTCGGCCCCGAGCTCACTCAATTTGCACTGCAAAAAAGTTTATTAATAGAGCGCCCTTTCTGTTCGGTGCCCCTATAATAACAAAGGGGTCGCCGTTTGAACCACTGTCTATCGGAAGCAAAACGCTTCGAAGGGTCATGAAATCTCATTTAAAAAACATCTCTGGAACTTATCAAGCGATTCGGAGTACAAAACATTCACGGAGTAAAAAAATTTTGTGAAACAACTAAAAACATTCACTGAATTGATGCCCATGAAAAAATGGGGAAAAAATTGTTGTACCAAAAATGGTGAAATTTGTACCCTTAAATCATAAAAGTTGTACCCCTTAATCAATGCTTACTGAATCGGTAAATCTTTGTACCCTAGAATCGAAAATTTTGTACCCTCGACTTTTTGTACCCCAAAACAATTTGTACCCTGTTGTACCCCCTAATTTTTGTACCCTCCGAATTAAATGCCGATTTATTCGCAAAAAGTGAGAGGGTGATGATGACGATGACGAATGAGGACAAAAAAAGTTTCAGCATAATAAATCCAAACTTTTCGTAAAGGATTTGGGATGAATGGCGAATGTAAACGTGAAAGCAGGAGAAGGAGCGAGAGAGTGTGCAAGACGGAAGAGGATCGACTCGGATGCGCGAGCGAGGGAACACGCGCGACCACGGAGACCGCACAGACGTGAACCGGCGAGAGAGTGTCCGAGCGTGAAGAGACGGCCGAGAGAAGTGGACGCAAAGTCTCCGCCCACCTCCAAGGTAAGAAATAAGAGAGCGTGCTGGCCGCGCGCGGACGGATGACCGGCGACGACGGATAGTACGCGCACAGGCCCTCCGAGGCAAAAGAGGAGCGAGGGAGAGAGAGAGAGAGAATGGAGAGGAACGAAAAGGTGACTGGCGGGCGGAATGAATGGTGCAGTGCACAGGTAGACAGGCGAAAAGAGCCGGAGACGCAGAGAGAACGAATGGTGCAGAGAAATGGGAAGGGTAACGACACCGCTAATCGGTTTGGAGGCCGTTTTTTACGTCTGCGCGCGCGCGCTCACACTCTCCGCTGTCCGAGGACATTATTGAGATGGATTGGCTCCAATCGGCTGTCAAACCAGTTGGGTGTGGTTTTCTCGGAAAGAAAAGGAGGCAAAAGACAGCTGTCACGCAAAACATGCCGATAAAATTACTGTAAACGACAAAAAAGAGCGTGAAATTTGAAAGTTATCGTTTTCCGCTCGAGAAAAAAACAGCTGGAAATGCATGCGGTCGAGATTGCGCGCCAACGAATTTCTAGTCCTCCGCTTTCAGCTTTACGCGCGAAAAACGAATTCAAAGCGGAGAGCACTTGTGAACGAAAGAAAAGACGAAAGTGAAATGGGCTAAAAGCGGAAAGCGTAAGGTTTCTAGCGTGAGAATTGCCTCTTTGACCACACAGATAATACTAAATATGCGCGATTTTCTCACTCATTCACTTCTTCATCTCTCTGAAGAACATTCGCGCGGCCTACCAAACTTTAGCTGAAAAGAGCCGTCAGGGAATAAGGAGGAAAACGACGGCGACGACTATGATGATGATGATCGTCGGGAAGAAGAGAAGAAAATGGAAGAGAAAAGACAGCTGTAATGCTTGCCGGAGGGACGGGTAAAAGTATAGGCGACGCGGCGGGAAAAGGCGAAGAGGGAATCTTGTTAGGAGGCGTCGAGAAGACGGCACGCATCAGAAGAAAAAATAGAAGGGAGTAAGGAGAAAAACTGACTGCTCCAGATGCTCTCAAACTGCAAGCAAAAGGGTCAAATTCAGAGTTGAGCGGAATCGATTTTTTGAAAAGGCGGAAGGCGGAAAGCAAGGCGGAATAAAAATTTTTTTGACGGAAGGCGGAAAGCGGAGGCGGAATGAAAAAAGCGGCGGAAAGTGGAAAGCGGAAGGCGGAATTTCGCTCAAATCTGGTCAAGTTGCGTGTAGCAGTTGCAAGTTTGGCGCTGCTTAGACTACAAAATACACGTTTTCGTTAAGCAGCACTAAAGTTTCGGTCTGCTCAGGAAAAAAACGCCGGAAAACAGCCGAAAAAAACGCTTCGGGACCACTACAATAGAAAAAAAAAGAAGAATAGAACCGTCCGCTCAAGGATACCGCTACTCGGCTACCGGTGCGTATTGAAGGCGGGAAAAAGAAAGAAAAGAAGGTCGGCTGGTTACTGCTATATTATCAAGTGGACACGGGAGGCTCGAGTGGATGAGCAGCGGAGCCGGCGAGCCTCGTGGAGCTCAAACACGGGATTTTCCTCTTTCTCCAAGACATTTTTTTCTTATGTTGCGCGTCCACAATTTGTTTGCGTGAGAAAAAGAAAGGGAGAGAGAAAGAGAGTGGTCAGCCGAGAAATTTTTCGGAAAAAGGTTTGAGACATTATTACTTACTCGAGCGGAATGAAAGTGCCCTACAAGTAACTCAAAGGGGACTAAAATTTCGAATATACAATCTCTAGACTAGCTGACCTTCACCTTCAGAACGAACACGTGGATCCCATCGTAAAATAAAAAGGGAACGGGCGGCGCTTCTTCAAAAGAGAACAAAATCGAATAAAGGTGAGAATCAGAAGTGCTTCTTCCTCTCCTTCTGACACACTCGTTTGGTCGCTCTAAATACTTCACACTCGTTTTCCCTCCTGTGCCCATCGCCGTGAAAATAAAATCAAAAAGAGTGGGAGAGAGTAGTCCCTATACCCAATAAAATGAAGAGCATACACCCGTTTCTCCTTCTTCTGCTTCTGCTCCTGCTCACTTTGTATGCTCAAAATAGGCGTAAAATAGGAAAAAGGAGGAGCAAAAAGAGTCGCCGGGAAGTAGGAAAAGAAAAATGAAATGCGCGATTGGACTGAGTGCAAATTGAAATTGGTATGTATGTGATGTACTATAGTTGAATCGAAATGGGCTTGGGAAAATGATACTAAATGTACAGTAATTTCCCCAAAAATGTGGGTTGTATAGATAACCAACCAAACTTTAGGCTGGTTAGCGAGATTTTGACGGTTTTCTTCTAAGCAGCGCCAGCGACAACTTTCGGCCTGCTTAGACTACAAACTTCAAAATTAGCTAAGCAGCGCCAGCGACAACTTTCGGGCTGCTTAGACTACAAACTTCAAAATTAGCTAAGCAGCCCTATGAATTTTATGAAATTTTGTCTAAAATTGTACAAGGTCACCAAAACAAATGTTCAAGTCCACTTTTCATGGTTTGTCGCGGAAAAGAATGGAGAAAAAACGGGCGGCGACCCGAAAAGGAGCTGACTCATCCGAGGAAAGAATTGCCGGTAAAGGTGTGGAAAATACGGATAAAAAAGGGGAGAGATGAGTCAAAAGAAAGGTTGGGCTGGTACAACTGTGTACTACAAGTGTGTGCGTGTGTGCAGAACGAACGGCAAAACATACAAACGACACCTGGAGGGAGGGATTGGAAGAAGAAGAAGAAGAAGAAGAAGGCGAACAACGTAATGACGCATTTGCCGTTCAAATTGAACGGACATCAAATCATCGGGGAGAAATCGAATGGAAGAGATCAGGGAGGAGGGCAGGATTTGTATGTCTGGACATGTAATATATTTAGTATTATAAGAAAAAAAGTGAAAAGGTTTAGAAATGTTTCGTCAAAAGCGCACCGATGCATGGATGGAACGTCAAGCGAAGATGTGTGGGCATGAGCAAACATTTCCCTCTCGCTCTTTCTTTCACCTTTATATATTCGTTTCAATATCGATACGCCACTATCGGTGGGAGGTCGGTCGGAAAGTGATGAGTCACTCACGGGTGATGTGCTCTTTTTTGGCGTATCGATCATTTTCTCATTCACAGCACATTCAATACAACAATACATGTTTGTTCTTCCTTTTTTGTCTTCTTAGGTAATATTATTGAAGCTTGATAGACAGTTCGCAACTAAACTTATCATAATTTCAAAAGAGGTACTCAGAGATCAGGAAACATTTGCAGGCTTGGTTGCAAAATGCTCAGAAATCCGCTTCATGAGATGGTTTATAATCAAACTTTGTGAATTCTTAATACAATCCGTCAAGTTCAAGACAAAAAATAGTTGGCAATAAATTTAGCTACTATAATAGGGAGCCTATAGGAAAGGTAAAACCCGGACTCACAATTTTGTACCGATCAAAAAGTGACGTGGCTAAAACAAAAAGAGTATGAGAACGAGAGAATGAGCAAGCGAACAATAGGTACTAGAGATTGGGCAGGACAATACAAAAAAATCTATGTGACGAGAGAAGGCTGTCCGAAGCTGGTCATTGTCCTTGAAAGCCCGAAGGCTCTTCAAGTGAGAAATAGGTTCAAAAGGCTCTTCATTGAGAGCCGGAGTGAATCGAACAACTCCCTTGGTTTCCGATGAGAAGCCAAAAAATGAGTGAACCGCGAATAAACACATAGAGAGAGAGAGAGAGAGAGAGACTCCGCAAAAGCAGAGCAGTCGGACCGAATGACTGACTCAATGTTGACATGACAGGAAGCAGAATGACCAGTACATTGAGTGCGCTGCCCGGCCGCGCCTCCTCCTCCCCTCCTCGTGTTTTTTGTGCTTCCTCTCCTGGAGAAGAAGCGCAGAGGGTGCCTACTTGTAAAAGAATGAATGATGTGCTGAAGGCATGCAACCGCCAACCCACTAGGCCTAATTGCCAAACATTATTGCACTTTCAATTGAGAGGAGGGAAGTGTAGATAGGTGGAAGATGTTCGGAAAGAAGAACTAGAGGAATTAGTCGGTGAGACTAATTACAATTGTTCACGAGTGTTGCAAAATGATTCAATTTGCGCATCAATGCCTCTTTGCCTCCGTCTCAACCGCTAGTTGACCTAGTTCTCGTGTTTCAGAGGACAGTCGGTATCAGATCAAAGAAAAAAGAGTGTTTTTTTTCAAGATTTTGATCAAAATAGGTGAAAATACGATAAGCACGATAGTAATACATGATCGTCAAATAGGTGGCAACGATTTAGCACTTCGAAAGGTGGAGGTCTTGCGGAAAACAAAGGCAAAGATTCACCATCCCACCACGCTTCGGATGTACTGCTGCTTAAACTACAAACTACAAAATCTCGTTAGGCAGCACTAAAATGAGACTGCTTTTAAAATCTTTGAAAATCATTGCAAAACTTTCTCTTCAGTTTTTTATAGAACTTCTGGGTAAAAGATTCAGGTCTACCTATGTACATCAGAAATTTGATTCCTAAAGCATGGTAGTTAACATGACTTTCCCTATAGCAAAAACAATTTGCTAGCAATGAAATCCGAGACTGTATTGTTTTGTTTTGCGGGTAAAGAAGGTAAACCTCTGACCTAGTCTTCCTACCAGTTCTCTTGAGTACTCATAAAAAAGAGGTATTGTTCTCAGAAATCCTCTCATCGGACCCAAATTCCTAACCAAAATGATCTTCTGGCTTGTGGAAGAGGATGGATGGCCGAATGCAAAAACCAGTTGGCTTTTCATGCCTATTCTCCATTCTTCCCTGTTCTTTTTCGAGTTTTTTGTCTTTGAAGAGGAGGACAGCCAGCAGCTGGCGGACGATACCTACAGTAGTCGAAAAAAGAAACCTCCGCGCTTTTAATTACATACCGTCCGCACCAAAAAACGAGGCAAACTAGAGAAACTAATTGTGATTGGAGGTGAGAAGAAAAGACCGAAAGGAAGGCAGGCAGGAAGGACAGTTGGCAACAATTGACTGTGGCTGTGGTTGGTCGAGTGCGAGAAAGACAATAAAAAGGGTCATCGAGACCCCCCCCTCTTTCCGAGGTGGCGGAAGAATCGCGAAAGGCACCTCATAAATCAGTCAATCAAACGAGCTTTCGCTTTGGAGAGATCTCTTAGCCCCGAGCATCCGAGGAGCATCCTGTTTCCTCCCCGCTAATAGAAAAAAAGTGATTGAAAACGAAGACGAAGAAGAAGGGGAAGGAGATGAAACTCGTCTTGTGTTGCACCGTATTTGGTATCGAGTTTCGTCTTTTTCGGGGCAGCCGACGCACGGGCGCCGATAGCCCGAGAAACAGGCGGCTCAAGGCGGATCATCTTGAGATTTTCGTTCTGACTTGAAGAAGTTTCGTTACTGGTAAAAGGAAAATGCATGTAAGAGGATTTTTGCGGTGCTGCTTAGCGGGATTTTTTAGTTTGTAGTCTAAGCAGCGCCGAATTTTTCTGCTTGGTGCTGCCTAGACTACAAACTTTAGAACAAAGGAATGGATTCAGAAACTAAATTTTCAGACGTTTCGCAACTAAAACTCATTTGGGACAAGAAAGTCGGGCAATCTTCCACTACTGTACATGAAGCATTCGAATAAATGATAATGGGAAAAGTGATAGCCACTCGGATGATTCTCGCATAGTTATCGTTTGGACGCCAAACAATAAGAGGTCATAATCGTTCGCTATAATCTCTTCTTCTCGATTCCATTTCCAAAACTGGCTTATCGTGGATCCGCCGTCATTCGGAATTGGTGGACGAAGAAGCAAAAGAAGAAGAAGTGAAAGATATCCAGCTGTGCTTTTTATTCTAACTTGTTGCCTACACAAAACAAAAATAATATTGGACTTCAGAGAGAGAGGGAAAAGAGAAGTGCGCGGCACTTTCGTCGGCCCGGGGATGAATGAAAAGAACCTTCTATACGTTCCCTCTCTCTTGGGAGCTCGTCAAAATCGCATCAAAGAGAAAGAAGTTGTGGTGGGAAAAGAAGAAGAAGAAGGCACGAAAAGTTTTGAATTGCTGCCAAAAAGTTTGTTTTGTGGCTGTACTATGTCCGTGTAAAACCATTAATCATCAAAGTTTGTGTGTGTGTGTGTGTGAGCTCCGCCGCCCGGAAATACGAAATCCCAGCGCTTGGCTCAGATTTTTGCGGCCACCGAGGATGAGAAAATGTTAGTATGGACTTTCAAATAGAATAAAAATGAAAAATTTCTGGGACAGAAGCAGTTTTGAAGTAAAAGAAGAAGTTAGACAGTTGATAGTAAAGTATTTGGAATTCTAAATCTAAACTGTGTATAGAAGCGAAAATGGAGAAGTGAATGTATGTGACCTAGATCGTAGTCTTTACTTTAACTTTTCCCTATTCAAACAGTTTCCAGACCATAAAATGAAATGACAAAGTGAGGAAAGTTTCCAAGTCAACGAATTCGGCCAAAAGGAACACAGAGGATGGATGGGGGGAAGGCCGTGTAGATTGTAAGACGATTGGATCGAATGGAGCGAGAATCGAGATGAAATCAGCGCCACCGCGGAAAACATTTCCATCACGCCTCCTAGGATTCTAACTTTTCTCGGTGGTGATTCAGTCCGCCTGCAGCATTCTCATTCAAGAGATCCGATCTCTTGGCCGGTGGTGATTCACGATGATCGTGGCGGTGTGAGAAAGACGACGGGAAAAAAGTGTATGGATAATAGAGGGGTTGGACATGTTGCTCGGTCCGAGGCGGCAGTTGTTCTCAGATTTTTTCATTTTACAAATTTTCCGTTGATTTATAACCTACTATAAAGTGTGCGGTGTGTGTGCAAGCTGGTGGACACCAGAGAAAATAGGAATGCGTAGGGGCGAGGATGCATCTGGCGTTTTTAGGAGGGGTGGGTGAGTAATTAGAACTTCTCCGCCGCAGAAAAGTGAGTAAGATGAGATGAGCGCGAAAATATTGAACTAGTCAGAGCCAACGAGTTGGAGAGTCGCAGACAAGGGTCAGTGTGTCGTAAAAAGTGACCTCGAGCCACAGAAAGTTTGGAGCCACGCATCTGTGGAAGGGGGGCAATTGGTGTGAACAGACATGTGATGACAGAGTGAGGTGTTTTTGATGGGGTTTCGGGTCGATTTGTGCAATCCGCAATCACGGAGATCAACAATAGACGGCCGCCAGATACCAGGGAGTCTGGTGGACTACTACAACAAGTGACGTCGTGATGTTGAAACAATGTTTGGGTAATCAATGCTGAGCACGACTTTTCTAGAAAAGTTCTCGAAATCAACATAATTTTTCTTAAAGTTTTTACTTGCAGACCAGTGCTTTTTCGTGCTGCTTGCCGAGATTCTGTAGTTTGTAGTCTAAGCAGCTCTAAAATTTAGTATATTTGGTGCTGCTTAGACTACAAACTACAAAATCTACACATTTTAGTTTACATCCCAAATTTGGCATTGAAAAATGAAAATGTGCATAAATGTAGAAGCTTCGAAAATAAACAAATTGTGATGAGAGGAAGAATGCAAATGAGGCTCGACCGCTAAAACTCTACACAAACTATACGAAATTCATTCATTTCTCCCGTTTTTTTGCGTTTTCGGAAAAAAGAGAAGACGTGAAGGGGATGATGAAGCTAGAAAAAGAACGTCTTCTTGTTGTGGGCGGATACTTGAAAAAGAAAAAATAGCTTCGGGAAAATGAAGAAGAAAAGAAGGAAAAGGATAATGAAAGAATGATGACGATCATAAAAAGTTGTACTTATTCATTATTATCCACTTCTGGATGAATTTCGCTTCATTCTAAGGACAATAAGTGGCCGAATAGTGGATCTTTACTCACAAAAATTGGAATTTCTAATAAGGCTGCCAGGAAGTGCTCACGATGATTTATTACTGTAGTTTCGCAGAATTCATGACGAACAATTAGACAGCTGGTTGACCAAAAGGCCTTGAAAACAGAGGAGGAATTGGGAAACAGGACCGATTAGTATCGAAATTTCTGTATTTACTGTCTAGAAGGAGATTTATGGAAAATAATTGTCCTCGACGAGAATTGGAATAAAAAAGATGACGTGGCAATGAAAGAACAAGAACAAGATCATCATCCGAACTTACCCAGTGCATTTTTTTACCCATACCTTGTGTCAAATTAAGAAAAAAAACATTCAACATACCTGTTTCACTCTCAAAACTCCAACAGACGATTGCTGAGAATCCTTGTCAGTGGTGACGTAAAAGTATTCCGATTCTTCGGCCAATTGGTAAGTGAAAACGTTGTCCTTTGCTTCGATGTCGGCGTCAAAAGCGGAGAAGCTCATGACGGCGGCTCCGACGGGAGCAGTTTCCTCCACGGAACCTTCGTATCGAGTCTGAAACCTTTTTTCTCGAATTCTATAATATCTTCTCTCAAACCTTCTCAAAGAACGGCGCGTTATCGTTCATATCCATCACTTTGATGGTCACATTCGCGAATCCCTCACGCGACGGAACGCCACGATCGTTCGCCCGAACTTCTATTATGAATTCACGTTCCGACGCGATTTCACGATCCAGACTTCTCTGAAAAGTACTTGTGTTTTGAAAAATGCGTTCGAAATGAGCTAGGTTACCATTGCAAAGATTTTGCCCGAGTTCTGATCTATTCGGAAAACTGGCTCTCCATTTATCAGCTTGTTCCTGACTATTGTGTACTCGATGTTTGCGTTCTCTGTCGTCGGATCGTCGAAATCTCTCGCCTGCACGTCCATGAAGTACACACCGTCGGAATCTGGAATTATACAGTGTTGATATTAGGTCCAGGTGGAAAAACTCACGAATTGGCTCGCGGTTCTCTTCGATGAAACCGAATAGCCTTTCCGGGAAAATCGGAGCGTTGTCGTTGATATCACGGACGTTCACCTAGAAAAAAAGAAGTATGGATTCTGTAGTTTAGCTTAAAAATATGTCATGCTGAAGCGTCAGACATGCTTGATAAGGTTTCAGATCTGGTTTGACAGGTTGTGATCATATTTTTGAATAAGATTACCTGAACATCTGCGTATCCAACAAGCCCATTTCCATCATCGTCAATGGCCTGAACCACAAAATTCCACGAGGGAACTCCGGTCGGCGGATCTCTGTCCAGTGGTTTGATCAGTTCAATCGTTCCCGAATACCTTCCGATTCTGAACACCTCATCGGCTCCCTGCCCCTCCAATCTGTAGACAATCTTGCTGCTCTTCTCGTCCTGATCCGCATCCGTCGCTCGGACATTGAACAGAACCTTAGGAACGTCCACATCCTCCTCGACGACCGTCGTCGCGTACTTCTGCTGCTCAAACATCGGCGCGTTGTCGTTGACGTCTTCAATGTGAATGTAGACGTTAGTGGTCGCATTGTGACGTCCGTCCGAGGCGATGAGCATCAGATGGTATTGATCGGCGGTCTCGAAGTCCAGCGGCTCCTTCACAAAGATCGTTCCACTGTCCGTTCTGACTCCGAATGGAATTCTTCCGCCACCAGCGCCAACCAAATGATATCGAAGATTGGAATCTGAAGTGGAACTATTTTGGCTTTAAAGAGACTGCAATATCAATTCTCACGTTTATCCAGGTCATGAGCCTTAATGGTTATGGCATCATGCCCTTCTCCTTCCGATTCTTTGACCCTTCCAATGTACTTGCTCTCCTCGAAAGATGGCGCGTTGTCATTGACGTCATTGATCACAATTTGAACTTTCACATTGTCTACAATAGTTATGACGTGGCATTTGAATCCGCGTTTTTTTGGAATTACCTTTATTCGGTCCGTTGGCTCCTGGAAGCGCGGACATCGAGCGATCGCTGGCTTCTACCGTCAAAATGTACATGTCGACTTTTTCGCGGTCAAATCTGGAAAGGTTGAGTTTAAATTTGCATTTTTTAGACATCTGAAGCCGTGGCACAGATACAGTATTCAGATTCACTCACTTTTCGTTAGGAAAAATCTCTCCAGTGAGTTCATCAATCCGAAAATGTTTCGTCTCTTCTCCATTCGCTTCTCCCACTATCCGATAGTGAACCTCATTCTGCGGACCATCCGAGTCAGTGTCAATGGCTTTCACAGTCACGATTGGCTTTCCGTGCATTCTGGCATTCAAACGATTTTCTACATTCTACTTACAATAATCCCTACTTTTCCAAGTACTCATTCGGCGTCATCTCTTCGTCAATAGTACCTGTGAAGAGGTCGACTGTGAACTGCGGCACCACGTCGTTCACATCCTTCACTTCGACCACGAACGTCTTTGTGGAAGCCACGCGTGACGTCATATCAGTGGCGGTCAGGGTCAGAGTGTAGTTGTTGACTTGTTCGTAGTCCAATCCTTCCATTATCGCCACCTCTACCCACTCATTGCCGTTCTCAAACTTGTTGAATTGTCGGAATTTCGACTCGGCTTTCGAGTTGGGTCCTCCGGAAGCCGACAGTTTGTAAATGGTCTCACTGCTCCGCGAGGAGCCATCGCCAGAAACCGCGCGACAACGGAGTATCACTTTGTTCATTTCGACATTCTCCGCTACAGTGATCACACTTTTACACTCGGGACTGCTCTGCCACTTCGGCGCCTTGTGCTCTTTATCCATGACATTGAGCACGACCTGAGCGACCGAAGAAAGCGGCTCCGGCACTCCGTTATCATCGGCGATCACGTTGAAACTGAACTTTGATTTCTGGTTGGGAATCGGTTTGACAAGAGTTATTTCTCCGGATCTTCTGTTGACCAGTTCGAAGAATTCGACGTCGTTCGCATGCTCCTCTCCAGCGGTCGTGTCCACTTCCAACGAATAGGAGATTTCGGCGTTGTGAGCGGCGTCGTTGTCGAAGGCGAAGACGGTGATGACCGAAGTGCCGACCGCTTCGAATCGGGACACCGAGGACTCGTAGGAGGGACGTTCGAATTGTGGCGCATTGTCGTTGACGTCGACGACTTCAACCGAGAATTGACAGAATCCGATCAGAGGACGGTCTCCACGGTCTGTCGCCTGAAAATTTTGACAATGCCAAATATTGGGTTTAATAATGAAATGCTTACCTTGACAGTAACATCCTCTCTCGGCCTCGCTTCCCTATCAAATACAACGTGTGGTGAAGGCGTCAAAACTCCAGAGTGTCGATCGATCACAAATGCTTTCCGACTCTCCGACTGCGTGTAATACAGCGAATAGACAATATCTCCGTTGGCCGAAGAATCATCATCCGTCGCCTGAACCTTCACAATCGTCGGCGGATCCGATTTGTACGTTCCCTCCATGATCTTGGCAATTTCACTGTACTTGGCACACTCCGGGAACTCTGGTTTGTTGTTGTTGACGTCTTCGATGCCGATGAGAAGAGTTGCGAAGGAAGTGTGCGTGACACTCGGATAGACACAACACGATCCGTCGTCCTGGACCATTACCGTCATGTTAATCGGATTCTCGGCTTCTGCCAGATCAACTGGCGACACTCCGTGCCTCAATTTGACCAGTCCGGTGTGCTGATCAATTGTGAAAAGGTTCATCGTTTGAATCGATCGTTCGTTTTTATCCATGAATGAATAGGTAACCTCATCTCGATCGGCGTCGCGGGCCTAAAAAGTTAATGTAATAACTATTTCAAAACATTTTCAAATGTACCTGAATCTGAATCACCGGCGTTCCTCCCTGAGCATCTTCGGCCACAAAAGCAGTGTAATGGCTTGTCGGCAGGAAGACGGCACTCTCGTCGTTCGTATTCTCCGTCCTAATATGAACCATGGCAGTGCTCCGCAGACTCGGATTTCCGTGATCTCGGGCGGTGACGTTGAACCGATAGACAAAGTGTCTTTCGTTCAACTGATCCGCATCCAGACGTACTATTGCCGAGATCTCTCCGTTTTCATTGATGGAAAAGTTCTGGTTGTCAACCGTGTACAGAATTCTCGCGTTTTCACCCGAATCCTTATCGATTGCCGTCACTTTCAGAATGGTTTGATTCAATGGAATGTCTTCACGAACTTGAGCAGTATAAAGTGGACGTGTGAATGTCGGAACGTTATCGTTAATGTCCGAAATTCGAATCGTCAAATCCACATGGCTTTCGCGGTTGTCCTCGCGAGCTGTCACCACCAATTTGTGCGATTTCGGAAGAGCCGGATCGTCATAATCCAATTCTCTTGTCAGGTGGACGATTCCACTGCTCGGATCTATTCGGAACCACTTTGTTTCATCCGAAGACTCGCCGTCCAGAGAGTAGACGATGGCCCCTTTCGACCGTCCGTCTTCTATGCTCCGGAACGATTGGGCTTTTACGTCAACCACACTGAAAACGAAATGTTTGTCGAAGATTCATTTATCAAAACGTACCTGTAGTCAATGAGATTATCCTCCGACACCGCCACCTCATACTCCTGTTTCGCAAACTGTGGCGGTCGTTCGTCGGCGAGAATCTCCAGAATCGCCACTTCTGACACTTGTGACGTGAAATTGTCGGTTGGTGAGATATCGATCGCCTGGGCGGACACTCGATAAGTCTCTCCGCGTTCGTACTTGCTCCAACCGGTTCGGACGACTCCAGACTTTGGATCAACGACAAATGAGCCGGCGGCTGAAACAATACCTCGCAAAATAGGGTAAAATCTGGAAAGGTTCCCACGTATCACATCAATTTCCTTGTACAAAACGTTCGAATCTCCGTCGCCCTTCTCATCCCGGGCCACAAACTGATAGACAATTCGTCCGATCGTCGGATTCAGCGGCACGACGGCAAGCATCGGGAGTGGAGAATTCACAAAACTCGGCGCCTCATCCACGTCATCCACATTGATACGAATGGTTTGGGCACGGCCTGAAAAAAAAACAAGAAAGTTTGTAATGTTCATGTGATATTTTGCGTTATGTTGCGTGTTGCATATCAGCCACCAAAAAAACTTGCTATTTGGGTTTAGAGAACTAGATGAGATGACTAATTTGATAATAACCGAAAGTGTGTTTGTTTGGTCACTCCTATTTCTATTAGTTAGCGTTCTTCTTCTTCCCTTTTTGTGAACTCAGAAACATGCGTCAGCTTTTTCTTTTGTCTTTTCTGCTTATTCTGGCGCTTGCCGACACTTCTTCTGAAGAGATTTCCAATCTTCAAATTGAAGTGAATTCTCCGAATGGCGGTGGCTTTGTGCACTCTGCGGTGAGTTCAAAATTTTTGGAAAGAACAGAACAGAGAGTTTACAAAAATTTGCGAAAAGAGTGTATGTTTCAGCACGTTTGCCTATTTCCAAAACTTTTGAAAACTGTGAGTTGATCAACTCATTTCATTTCAAATCATTTTTTCAGGTGCCCATTAATGTGCGAGCTCTCGGAGCCCGATTACAAGGAGGTCACGCGGTACCAACCATCAAAGATGACGTATTAGTCCCTTACAATGATCCCAATTTTGAATAAAATCATCCGTTTTCCACAATTCTCTGTTTATCTTTTGTGTTTGGTTTGTCAGTCCCTTTCCATATGCTTTCACTTATGAATATGCGCGCGTGAGCGGAGCGGCATATGCTCTAGTGTTTTCGGACCATTCGGAGAGAGAGAGGGAGAGGAGGAGTGCAGGAAAAGACGCCGACGGAAGAGGTGGCAGATTGAAAAAGTTCGAAAGTTTGATATGTGACAGATTGTGCGCCATTAGGAGGTACTTTGCAGGTTATCCAGTTGTTAAATCCACTCAAACTTATGGTGCTGCTTAGCGATGCTTTGTATTTTGTAGTTTCAGCAGCACTGCGCCCTGCAGACCGGAAAAGGCGCTGCTTAAACTACAAACTAAAGAAATTGCGTTAAGCAGCACCAACATTTTTCCGATGCCCGTTTGCATACCAAAACGACCCCCCGGTGTGCTCTCCGGATCTTTCCTAAATTGTGCTCATTACTCTCCGCAATAGATTATGCAGAATTGGTAGTGGTGTCGGCGGCGGAAATTCAACGCAAAAAGGGGAATCCCACCGACACAATCTGCGCATGTTTTGTCCTTCTTCGCTCGCGCCCGTATGCTGTTCTGAACGACATAAGCCAATTTATCATGGGTGGTGAGCCTCAGCGCAAATCTACCGGCTCTCCTCATTTGTGCATCCATTTTCACTAAGCTCACGGATCAAGTGAGTAATCCGATGAATTGGATGAGGTGTCACTTGCATCAGAGAAAACATCTGCTCAGTCGGTTTGGTGTTGGTGAAAGGAGTGCAGCGAGCGACGAGAGCGTGGTGGCTACTTTATAAATTGGGTGGCAAGTGTCACCGTTAGGCACCGTTTAATTGGAGCCAGTGCACCCTCTATTTTCGGGCGGGAAGGAGATGGATGACAGAAATTGACGGTTGAGAAAGACGGAGCCGGATTTATGGGCTCCAGTGACTTCGACAGAACGGAAATCTGGAAGATTTGTTCAGCAGCACCTTTTAGATCTCCTGACTCGGCGCTGTTTACACTACAAACTACAAAATTTCGCTAAGCAGCGCCATAAAACTTCATGGTCAATGTTGAGATAATCCCTTTGCCTAACTCGATTCCTTTTGTCTTCTCAGCCAGTCAACGTCAGTCCATATCAATTAGAGATCGGGTTCTGAGTAGCCCCTTCCATCTCTTCTCCGAAGGGGATGCTTCCGTAATTATGTTAGGCTCCTTCTTCGCATCATCATGCAGTCAGCGGTGGTCCCTCGAGGCTTGCCGACCTCTAACTGAGAGAGAAGACATCCGGCTGGCGTCCAGATTTGATTAGCTCAAATTCCGTGATGGAACCAAAGCGTCATAAGAAGATCTGGTAGCCATCTGCCACTTGGAAAAGTTACACGAGGAGCTGTAGAAATGTTCATAGAGAAGCGTTTCACTGAGGACTCGAGGACTCGAAAAGCGATATTGTATTTTTCTTAACAAACCTGACAAAAACTCACAAATCTCACACACAACTCACAAAGTAACTACATATTTATATTGCTAGAATAAAGTCCCCGGACCTAGACATCAGAGTCAAGATCCGAAACCATTCAATTCAAAAGGTTGAAGCCCACCCAACCCAATCAATCACAATTAGACCCCCCTTCTTTCTCTCTCGGAAAGGTGATTGATGAAGTGGCAAGAGGCGCAACAACTCACTATTCTGAAGACCATTTATGGGCACGGTCGCGATGATCGAGCTCGTCTTCTCAAAGTTCAACGCCTTCAGCAGATGGATTCGTCCCGCGTCGTCAATCTTCAGCCATTCCTTCGCAACATTGAACTCGCCCACAGACTCGCCCGGATATAACGGGATCTCCTGGAAATGTACTTGAGTATGAATCTATCGTTGCGTCACAAGTACCATCGATTTCCGCTCGATTTCCTCCATAGTCTCATTCTCTTTAATTCTGAAGACCAGATCGTCCAGGTGACGTCGTGATCGCGATTTCGCCGAGTTCACTTCTTTTTTCACCAAAATTTGAAGCCAGGCATCGGATCTCTGCAAAAACAACTTTGTTTTTTTTTTGAAAGATTTAAGAAATGATATACCTGTTTTGCTTTGTTCTTAGCAACCACGTGAAGGTGATAAGTACCGTAACCGATTTCTTGTGACGTGGAAACTATTCCAGAAAATTGGTCGAAGTTGAAGAAGCGTGATGGTTGCTCCAGATGGAAAAGGAGAGGCTCCAATGGGTTTCTGAAAAAAAATGCTTCGTTCTAGAATATGATATTGTAGGCTCACTTTTTCTGAATCTCAAAGACCGTAGAGTTTTCTGGAATTGAATTGGTGAAGGTGACTTTGAATTTTTTCGAAGCAAGTAGTGAATGAGCATCTCCCGAATCCAACACCTCAATGATTATTTTCGATTGCGATACCTAAAACGTACTTTGGAATACAGTTTCAAAATCTTCAAAAAAACTCACCATCAAATCATTCAAGAAAGCTCCGAGATAGATTACGTGTTTTCCAATGTCTTCTTCGTCCAATTTCTTCATTATCATAAAGTTGACAGATCTTCCGAACGGCGAAATCACAAACGGACTCGTTTTCATATCCGTAATCGGCGATATTGTCAACTTTTCATTTCTCACAGCGACTGGCCTTCGGAAGATTACTGTGGATCCTTCCGGCTGCGATGAGTATACTGTACTTTTGTATACGCTATCCAAAAACTCGTTTCCAGTCAGATTGGTAACCGGCGGATCCACGTATAGATGAAGTGTCACGAGACGGTGAAAAACTCCTTCTTGTACATTCAGAAAGAGCTCAAAGAGCTCACCACGCAGTTGAAATATTGAGGTGTTGGTTGTGATCTGGAAAATTGAAGAAATGTAACGTTTTCGGGTGCTGCTACAAGTTTTACGTACCCTAGTGCCATCTTCAACTAGAAAATGGCTACTGTAAAGTGAATTCTGTAGCGTGACAGTTTCAGAATTGGATATCAAATTCTGAAAACGTAGATCGCTGATGAGCCATCCGGGTCGTACGTCCAACGGGATTTTGAGCAGTGTTTTTGCCTGAAAGTTCACTTTTTCTTGACGGTTCCCCTCATTTCCATAATCCCTTCCGTCTTTTTCTAGACCCCCTTGGGGTAGAGTAGCCATTCCATTTGAATGGGCTCTTCGTTTAATGGACTTTCCATTCATTTTTGGCCCAAAAAGAGGAATGAGGACGAATTTTGGCGCGCGCTCTTCCCGGTCGACATTGGGGGAAAGAGTGAGTACTGGTATACATTATTCATGTCATTTGATATATTTGTACCCTCCGGAGTGTGTTGACACCAATTTGTAACCCATAGAGCGAAAAGTGAACATGTACATGGAAAAGAGTTGAATTACACTTCGGGGAGATGTTCCACGTCGCGCTCTCGTTACTCGGAGGTCCCGTGGAAGCCAGGTACCCCCCTTTTGGCTCTTTGGAAGGTTGAAAAGGTAACACGTGTACTCGTATTCAGAGAATTTCAAAAGAATATTCGATGCGTTAAATTAGAGCCTCTTGTTTCCCAGGTTAGACGTTCCCTTTAGAAATCTAAAGCTTCTGAGCTTCTGAATCCAAATCCAAATCCACGTGTCAATCACAATCAAAGATGAACCGCTTCTCTCTCTCACCCCTTCGTTCCTTAAGCCCTTGGGGGGTCCTTGCACTTCACTTATGTGTCTCACTATTCAATTTCCGGTGAGGAGAAAGAGCTCCATGAGCACAAGCAGGACAACAGAAAGGCGCGGACCACCCGGATTGTTGCGAGAGACGCAGAATATGAAACACACAAGTGTACATATGTTTATGAGGCACTAGAACACATAGTAACCAGCGCTTTATGATCTTCCCTCGGCTCTTGCAAGGCTTCCGACGCGGAATGACTGACGGCACGCGCTCATGGCTCGCTGGCTTCCGATGAACTTATTATGACAAGGGGTAATGAGCTGATGGACAAGGGATATCAAGATTATCGGGTTGGATATTATACGCTTTGTGACTTTAGAGATCAAATAAGGGTCGAAAACCTTCAAAATTGCGAGCAAATTTGGTCAAATCTTGGTGATGCTTAATGAAAAAAGTAGTTTGTAGTCTCAGCAGCACCAATTTCGGTCTGCAAACGCGGCGCTGCTTATACTTCAAACTACGCACTTCGTTAAGCATCACCAAATCATGGATCAATCACAATATTCCAAAAACCTGGAATTTTTCCCTCGTCAATCTCAATTTGTTGCCAAGCATCATTTTAATGGAAAGAACACATAAAAAGTCACTTAGCCGTATGCCCCTTTCTGCTTTTCAACGCAATAACTGGTCAACCGATCCATTATCTCCTTCTTTTTCTCCCTCTAAACATCATCCAAATGTGCGCGTATATCCGTATATCCATTTGATGATGGCTGGGGCTGTATAAATGAAAAAGGCAGCTGCTGGTGATGTTGGGTGCGTGGGTGTGTACGGCTTTTTCTCGCGCGCAAGAAGAAACAGTGTCTATGGGATGCCATCTGACGGAGGAGGGTGTGATATTTGTCTGCCTGGAGGCCCATTTCTAATCCGTGTAAATCATCATCATCAGATGCCTAGAAACATTTACAATTGCACTTTGGTATTCATGGGAAAAACATTGTGGCATCTTTGGATAAAGTGAGAAGCTATTGGAAATTCAAAAGTTTTGAATGAAAAAGTGAAAATGCAAGTTGGAGATGATGATGAAGATGAAATTGAAAACACAGACCCGACTTTCCGCCCTGCTTAGACTACAAACTACACAATTTGCTAAGCAGCACCATGCTCTCTGTATCTGCTAGAACTTTTTCCAATTGTCAACTTTCCAAAAGTCCCAAACACTTCAAAAGTGCGTCCCCAACACATCTGTTTGACATCTGCGTCTTCTGCTACTATCCGCTCACTTTTTCCACTTTTTCGCGCACTGACCTACGCCGGATCGGTCGTCGAAATAGGCCTTCTATCATCCGTATTGAGGCGCGTAAATTGCATATATCTATTTCTTTTCCCCCAAAAAGCACATTGTTGCGTGACACGGAACAATGCGCTTTTTTTGGAGGCTGGCCGCTGTTGCCACGTGTTAAGAGGGGATCCCTTGAGGAATTCGGGCCGGACGGATGAGTCAGACGCTCAAAAATAGATGGATGGGCTCTTTGTTTTTCGGGGAATAAAACGGAAATTGGATTCTGACGAAGAAGTTACGAAATATGATACTCACTCTGGAACCGTGAAGAAGTAGAAGAAGGCACCACCAAATGTGGAGGTGCACATTCCGAACTGATAATCGCATTCTACGAAGGGAAGATTACTGTAGTTGAAGCATCTGCAAAAAAAGGACGAATTTATAGAAAAGGAAGTGTGAAAAAGTGGAGCCATCTGCTTTTCCTTCGTCACAGACGAACAAAAAGTAGAAGGAGAAGGGGATAAGTGAGAGGACATAGTAGTAGTAGTAGTGGGTGATGATGGAATTGAATTGCATTCAAGAGTTTGTGGGTGGGAGAAGAAGAAGAAGAAGAAGAAGAAGAAGGACGATGCTCGAAGAGCCAATAGTCACAACCAAAATGATCTTAATGATGTGGAAACGAGCCAAATTTTGTGAGGAAGAGAAGAGGGAGAAGGGCGGTTCGTTCAAAAGTTTGAAAATTTCAAAGTTTGAGCTTCCTTATTATATTTTTTAGTTGATGAACAAGAGATATTAGGAATCATGCGAGGTTTTTACCTAACAGTCTCAGAAAATTGAAAAAGGAAGCAAAGAGTATTTGCTGCTGCTTAGCTAAAAATGTAGTTTGTAGTTTAAGCAGAACAAAAGAGAGAAAAATAACTGGGAGAAATATCATTTGCAGAAATAGAGGAAAAAGTAGAAATAAATTTCATACTATGCGCCTTTAATTGTCTACCGTCTGCGTCTCTCTCTCTTTCTTCTACCGCGCAAATGGTATTTCTCTCGCCCCGCTTTTTTCGCTAAACAATTTCTCAGGCAACGAGAAGCAAATCGCTCGCCCAGGCCTGGATAAGACGCGATTCGTACCCAAAGGTGAGAGGTACTTTGTTTCAAACACAAATCGAGCTCAACGGAGGCATAAATAACCTAATTCAATTCCCGCACCATCGATTTCTAGCGCCTTTTCATTCATTATCCCCCTCCTCCCCCATGGAAAGCAGGTGCTCTAGGTGCTCGAGAACATTTCCTAATACCTCTTCTCTTGTAATGTGTGTACACACGAGGCGAAGGGTAATTATTCGAAGAATTAGACGGCGAATTACTGTAGACCGACAGCTGCTGAACGAAGAACAAGAGGAAGAACAAAAGTCTGTCTTTTTTCTTTTTTCTTCCAAGACCCAAATGGCGAACCCAAAAAAGAAAAAAAAAGGAGGAAAAGGGAGAAACTTTTAGTGTCACACACACACGGACTAATCCCCAGGATGTTCATTTTTCGGTTAGCTTTGCGTGCCATCGAAATATTGTGAAATTGGAAGAGAAGCAGACCAAAAGAGTCCATTTCTCCGTGATGAATTGGTGTGGTTCGGGAGCCAAGAAAAGGCACCGAAATGTAGCGAAAAATTTGAATTTTTTGTTCAGTAAAAACGGAAAAAATTCGGAAGGAGCAAAATGTGAGGGTTGTGGGGAAGAGTATTGTAGTACTGAATAATGGATGTGTGTTCCTATTCCTTATTTTCTTCCGCTCACTTCCCAGTTTATTAACAAAAAAGGAGCGGATCCGAAACATACTGGAAAAGTAGAATTCAAAAAAAGAACAGCCTTAGCACTTACGGCAAAATGACCAGCACAACAGAAGGTTTGATATGCCATTGAGACGCAGGAGGGTCAACAAGAGCGAAAAGTGGGCGGAGCTGAAAGTGGACAACGGCGTATATTGTGGATTCACGGCAAGAGGGAGAAAAGGAACAGGGAAAGGGAGGGAGAACGAAAAAGGAGAAGAGGAGGTGGCGGCTGATTTGTTTGTGAAAACAAAAAAGTGAGTCGAATGGATAGACATGTTACAAATTGTTAGTTAGTCGGTCTAGACTTGGAGACCTACTTTCGCTTTGTATTGAAATCTTGCATTTTTTTTTTCTTTCAAAATTTGCTCAAAATTCACGGCCTCCCGCGGAGCGAATGATTTCAATGAGGCGCACTTGCAACAGGCGGGCTGTGTCGATTTACGCGGCTGCCGATCGATGAATTATTTCTCAACGGGAACTCGCGTTCTTTCTATGTTTTCTGTACAATACACCTATTTTTTATACGCCTTGGCAACAGAAATCTCGCATGTTGTTGAGAATTCGCTGAATTAATTCATGAAATGCAAAATTGGCTGAAATATAAAGGTTTGCAGTTTTGACGAGATGCGAAAATGACGCGAAAAACATGAAAAACTCTAAATTCTGTAAAAAACGGTTTCCAATCAGTAAAATATTGTTTTCTAGGCGATTTTCAAGTAAAAAAAGAGAGAAATAAAGGTCGTAAAATGGCATTAAACTTGATGAACTGCATTATTGGACCTGCAAAAATTCAAAAGTTACAACGACACTCCGCAATTACGGGCGCACTGGGTTTTAGCATTAGCGCCCTGGGAGACCGTGAAATGTAGAGTTTGAATAAGTGTGAATAGATAAACTTTTTGTTTCGTGAGAATATACGTAAAATTTAAAGAAAAAGAAAAAAAACAAAAGTCGATAACTCAAATAGTGCGAAAAGTTGCAGGACTTCGAGGACAATTTTGATCTACCATTTAACAAGTTTCAGTGTTCAAGTTTCTAAAAGAGCACACTTTTAGTGAGCTAGAGCTCACACAAGTCTAGGTCATAACCAAATTAGTCTAAAATTGCACTTTCTCCAACTAGTTTTTTGCTCTCCCTCGAGTTTTCTTTCATTTTCGGTAGTGTCGAGTGCAACACAACTCCCACCTAAATCCAATTTCTTTGCGAAGAAAAGTGAGAAGACTGAGAAATGCCTCCGTGTATAGTGCAAACCCTTCTTCTGAAGATGCTGTTGTGGAGAGAGAGAGGGGAAGAAAAAAGGCGATAAATTTCGTATGGCGAAATGAAATTAAATGTCAACCTTGCTCTTCTTTTTCCCTCTTTTTTACCAGACAGCTCTCGGCGCCAATTGGGGGGGAAAGAATGGAAATGAACCCATGAAGGAAATGGGGAAAACGGGCAAGGGGATTAAAGAATGAGAGTTGAATTTCGAAATTTTCTCTGTTTTAGGCTAAGCAGCGCCGTGTTTTTGTAGCAGGCCCGATTTGGTGCTGCTTAGACTAAAAACTACAAAAACTCGCTAAGCAGCGTCAAAAAAAATCAAAAAGTTGCCCCGGAGAGCCTAAAACCGTCTAGAAAAAGCTATTAATCCGAGGACGACAACGAGATGACCGCCCGAAAGACGGAAATAAACGGACATTTTCTGAATGGACTGAAGGACTCATGAAGAAGAAGAAGAAGAAGAAGAGGGAGGCGATAATGATCACAGTGCAATATCCGGTACTCGTCTTAGGAAATGAATAAAGAAGAGCACAAATCTAATTTCGGTCGGCTCTTGTCGTCGTCGTCGTATACCCAAATACTTACCCCCCCATCTTCCTTTCTCATTTAGCCCTTCATTTTCACATCCGAAGAAATGTGCACAGAAAGAGAGCACATCCTATTAAAAGTCAGCGAGAAGAAAAGGAAAGCGAGTGAGGAATAGGGCAATAGCAATATGCAAAGCACATCAAATTTCAACAGGATTAGTCATGCGATCCTACGAAAGGGAGGGTACCAAAAAGGAGAGCAGGGAGTAATTACTAAAGGCAAATATATATATTTCTATTATTCGTCGGTACGTCGACACCCCGAAATTCTTCGTTATATGGGTAAAGGATAAGGATTAGGCTCTCTCTCTCGGAGTGTCAGATCAAAAAGCATTCAAATTTAGCTGGACGATAGTTGTTGGCGCCACTCGACTAGTCTGATCCACGGGGTGAAGACTCAAACTCTGCGGAATCAAATGGGAACTCCTGAAAAAAACGTTATTTGTCTGTTTCAGTTTCCAGAAGAAAATTATGCACATTCTATATAGCTTTTCAGACAGTAAACTTTTGAATCTACGATTGGAAAGTATTAGGACGAGAGATGAGGCCATTGAGTGAGAAGCCATTATGAAAAAGGTGTTCGTTGCAATTTCTGGAGAAAAAATTATTAAATTTTCGTGACGAGGCGCTTATTACCTTGCAAACTATACCAATCGTAAAGCACGACAAGAAATATGAAGTTGAAAGGGATTATGACAAAGACGAATGGAACGAAGCACTGAAATGAAAACTAATTATAGTCGAACGTAATCCAGATTGTGTACCTGCAAAACCAAATTAATCATGGCCGCCTTGTGCATTACATAAGTCTGTCGGGACAGATGGAATCGCATCTTTTGCAGGATAAATATTGTGTGCAAGCCCAAATAGGCTCCGTACCTAAAATGACATTCCACTATTTTAATCGCCGTCTCGAATTTACAGAGAAAACACCGAAATGTAGGTCATGGCACTGAGCCCAACGGCTGCTGTCCAAAAATTTCCGCTCGGATCATAAATCACGAAACCTTGACGGCCGAGGACGTGCACGCAATTCGGCCAATCCTAAATATAGCTTCTGAAGCTCAACAATAGTCTTGGGGACGTTTCGCAACCGATTAATATTGTAAGTAAATCAGTTGCAAAACGTCCTCTAGTTGCGAAATGTCAAAAAACCTACATTTCGTAGTATAGTGTACATTTGCTCGTATGAAAGTTCAGAGTTAAAAAGACAAAGAGCAGTTACGAAGGGAAATGTATGACAAGTAAAAGTTACGAGCCACTTGGTCAGACTTTTCGTTTTATACTTCTGAAAATGTTCGGTTTTGCTATCATTCAATCACTTTTCTTTTGGGGTACTTGGTCAAGATCCGCCGCAGCGTCATGCCGGTAAATAAAGCAAAGAAGAAGGCTCGGAAGCTCGAAGCAAAGTTTGAAAGATCCAAAAACCTGAATAAGAAAACCAATCGATTTGACCGGCTACCACGTGGCTTACAGTGTTTTGATGACCGGTAAACCATTTGTTAGTTTCACCAATGTTGTATCCTCCCATCATTGGAAAAAGATAATATCCAGGACAAATCCAGGACATGTCGACTTCCACCAGAAATGCGATTATCTAAATAGAAATCTACGGGAAAAAAAAACTAAATTGGATTTACGGGATGCTGGCAAAACATATGGATCAGAGTTGAGCGGAAGAACTCAACGGAAGAATTTTTATCTTTTTTAGAAAATGTTTTCATGGAATGTGATCAACTGACGAAATGTAGAGCAAAGTGAACTCTGCTCATAAAAAAATAATTGTAAATTTAGCTTTTCATACAAAAAAGTTATTCGAGTTGTTGCGTGAAAATGTCCTTCCGTCTTCGGTTAGCGCTTTACTTTTTTGTATGAAACGCTAAATTTGCAATTATTTTTCTATGAGCAGAGTTCACTTTTCTGTACATTTCGTCAGTTGATCACATTTCATGCAAAAATTTTCTAAAAAATATAAAAATTCTTCCATGTTCTTCGGATTTTTGATTTCACATCTCATTTTCGAGAAAAATCGTCGGACTCTTGTTCTCTGTTCAGGAAATTTTCGTGAGACCATTAGATCTAATCAACAAAATAATATTACCGGTTAACTAAATTACCTGAACGTAAGCCAAGAAAAATCTGAACTTTGAGTCCCTCGGAGTGTGGAACCAGACCAAGTAAAAGCATAGAAAATTGATAGGAACCGAAAATAATCCGATAAAGTGTAAAGTTTGAAGATAATATTCGGGAGGTCCAGATGGACAAACCCAGTTCAAAGAGCCCATTTCAGAAAGAAAGAATCTTGGTCTCTTAAAACTTCCAGCACAAAATTTCAGGGCGCAGGTGACTCGCGCCGTCGGAAATTATATGTTTGGGAGGTAGTAGGCTGTAAGAATCAGTAATCAAATTTCCAGTAATTCTTGGAATTTGATTTGGAGCAGATGGCTGGTTTTTTGTACTTTCTTCTCACTGTCTGTGTTAATAAAATAACAAATTTTCATCGACGTTTTTATAAGCTTTTTGTTCTAAACGGTGTATGTTGTTTTTTTCGGATTTTTATTTTTTTTAATACTGCGGTTCTTCATTACTCAAGTCTGAATTCCTGTTTTCTCGCCTTCCTATTCCTGTGTGTATCCGAAAACGCGCCAGCCCGCACAAGAGACGCGCATATGGCGCGTTGCTGACGTGAAGATGGACGTGAACATTGTCGTCTCCGTCGGTCTTCTTCCTATTTTTCCGCTATTCCTCGTCGTTCATTGTGCAAGTGATTCTTGTCCGCTCTCCATTTTGTCCTCCGAATCGTCTCCCGACTATTTCCCTTCCAAAACCGATCGATTTTTCAGAATGGACGCCGGCTATTTTCGTGGAGCCAGTTCAGACCAAGATGGCCGTTTCTCGGACAAAGAAAAGAAGCTCTTGAAGACAATGAAATTCGAATCTCAGTTGGAGAAAAAGGTTAGCCACTCGTTGTTTGGTTTTCAGCATTTTCAGCATTGCGTCACTGCTAATGCTAATCTTTGAAAATTAAAGGTTTTCAAAGGGCTCTTTTCTTCAAGATCGACGTGAATCGCATCAATATGGACGTCATCAAGCCGTGGATCACTGTTCGTGTCAACGAAATTCTGGGAATGGAGGACGACGTCGTCGTCGAATATATTCTGTCACAGTTGGAGATCAAAGATCTCAATCCGAAGTTACTCCAGGTATTTATCGATTTTTACGGTATATTTTCATATAACTGTTGATTCCAGATTAATGTGACTGGGTTTCTGAATGCAAGAAGAGCTCGAGAGTTCGTCGGTGAGCTCTGGAATCTGTTCATCGAGGCGAATGAGTCGGAAGACGGAATTCCGGCATCTCTTGTCAACAAAAAGCTCGCCGAGATGAAGGTGAGCGAGGGTGGACGTGATGCTCTGAGAGAGGAGGACGACTGGACCAACCGATACAAGACGCTGAGCAACGGACGATACACAGGGCCGGCCAAGGAGAAAGAGGTCAGAGATGACCGTATTCCGGCCAGAGCTCTCAGTCCGAGAAGAACGCCGCCGCGTCGAAATGCTTCACCGCCAAAGAAACCTGAAAGCCCAGCGAAACAACAAGTACGTTCCCCGCCTAGAAGATCACCACCAAGAAGGGAAGGAGGACTCCCGCCACGGCGAGAAAACCGTTCTCCTCCAAAAAGAAACGGAAGATCTCCTCCGAGACGTGATGCTCGCTCGCCACCCAGAAGACGTGGATCCCCGCCGCCACGCCGGGACCGAGGAGACCGCAGAGACGACAGAGACCGTCGTGATTTCGATCGTAGACCACCACGCCGTGAAGTAGACGAGAAGGAACGGGAGGAAGAAACACGCCGCCGTGAGATCGAACGCAAGAAGCGGCACGAAGAAGCCGAGCGTCGCAGAGAAGCAGCACCAGCTCGTCGTCGTAGCCCTTCGAAGAGCCGTTCTCCAGTCAAAAGACGTCGTTCTCGCACTCGTTCCCGCTCCCCACGCTCCCGTTCGCCACGTCGTGCCGTTTCTCCTCCTCGCAGACGGTTCGTCGAAAAGAAGAGTGAGAGCCCAGAACCACCGAGACGCCCACGCAAAGTTTCCGAGTCTGGAAGTGAGGCCGGAGCTGTAGAGCCGAAAAGCCCGCCAATCAAGAGAAAGCGCGCTGATTCCGATGCGTCGGATGATTCGGATCAGGAGAGACGCAGAAAGAAGGCCAAGAAGGAGAAGAAGAGCAGAAAGCATAAGAAGGTAAAATAACAAATGATAAAATTTAATAGCTATTTCGAATTTTCAGGAGAAGAAGAACAAGAAGCACCGCAAGCGTCGTTCCCCATCGAGAAGTGGATCGGAGTCTGGCTCCGAGAGCGACTAAACCACTACGTCGTCTATATTTGTTGTTAATCCAATGGTCTCCTCCATAAACACAATATTATCCCCAGTCTCTTTTCTACAACATTTTTTTCCGCTTCTCCCTTTTCCTAATTTATTTTCTGAATTTTATTTTTTATACACGCACATACTGTTCACATATAAATTTGGTTATTGAATTATTGTTTTGATAGTCTTCTCCGAAAAACGCTCGCCTAAATTCTGGCCGGAAAGTATCGAAAATGAAGCTGATAGAAACGTCGTAGAAATCGAAAGTTGTGCAGGTGTATGAGCGAGGTGAACACAGTTAGCACCGGACCGTCCTCTCTGTCGGGCCACGCTCTTGTCGCCATCGATAAGATTGATACGAGCAACAAGGCCGGATTCGTCAAATCCTGTCAGTTTAGCCGATTTCGGGTGCTTATGGTCTGCGGAGCATGTCAAATTTAATCACTATTTCCGAAACCGCAGACAAACGTTTTGTGCTGCCTACCGCTATTTTGTAGTTTATAGCCTAAGCAGCACTATGCATACAATCTGCGTTCTCAATAATTTGTATCAGAAATGACACAATTTTCAACGGAACGTTTGCAGTAATCGGAGGAACATCTCTGGTCACCTTTCTGCTCGGAGTCCGAAGTGCCTGGAAGCACTGTAGACAGCCAGAAGCCGCCGATCTTGCCACAGCCCAGGTTTTCCTAACGTTTCCCTCAAACTGTTTTACCAATCTCTGTTTTTCAGCTCTTCTCGGGTGCCGCGTTCGCCGGTAAAGCGTTGGGAGTGGCGACAGTGATCACCGTCTCCGGCTTCACGTTGCTCATAGTCGGCGTGTCTGCCGTGCTTCAAGTGAACACTCCCCGCCAGTTTGGCTCGGCGATGAAAAACGCGTTTGGCGACGCGATCCGATTGCCGCAAAGCGCCAATTCGCAGACGTTTGAGGAGTTTATCAAGAGCATCGAGACGAAAACTGGAGTGGCCGAAGAGGAAACATCTGAAACCTCGTCTACTTCCCCTGCCTCTTCTCAATAGGTAAATGAAAGGAAAACTAGAAATTCGGGGGAAGAAAGCGTTCCTCGTCGTTCTAATTGTAGCCGATTTTATTATATTTTCACGAGTTCCGTAGGAAGGAAATCTGAGAAAAACACAATTAGAACCCAATAATATTTACGTGACGCCCTCCCACAAAGGCCCGGCCTCGGCCTGACTCATCATGTTCTATCACAATCATCACATAAACAAAATCTGTCACTTTTCTCTTCTTCTTCTTCTCCCTTTCATTTTCCCATTTCCTCTTCATCCATTTGTTAGTATTAATTTTTATACATTCGGTGTGAAACGTTGACTGCCGGTGCTAATTGAGTACAGCTCGGACCAGACTGGACGGACCAGCAAACTGGCCACCACGAAAAATCGATAGTTGCAGTCGTGTCCAGGTGGTCAGTTGGTCTCGTCCCGCTCGTTCGTTTTGACGATAATAATCTCGGAGAGTGGGAGAGACGAGAGATTCTCACGAGAATACGTGTAGGCGGAGAGACGCAGACACACCAGAACATCTTGTCTTTTTCACGCCCTGGACGTGTTCCGTTTTTTCATTCAATTATTTTGCAGTTAACATCTGAAACTTGGGCTCCTCAACTCAAGATGCTCTCCATCATCGGTCTCGTCGTAGTTCTATTCTTTGTCCTTCTTCTTCTTTTCGCCGTCCGCTCCCATCCAATCCCGCTGTCCCCCGGCTCCCGAATTCTTCTAGTCATCGCCCATCCCGACGATGAAACCATGTTCTTCTCACCCATCATACGAGCGCTCATTCACTCCGGACACCGTGTTTTCGTGCTTTGTGTCTCTAACGGCGATTTTTACGGACTGGTTAGTTTCCTAGAACTCTTTCTATTAAAAATTCAATCATTCCAGGGTACAATCCGAGCAAGAGAGCTCTCTCGCGCAGCCTCAATGCTCGGCATTTCTGCCAGCGATGTCACGTGTCTCGATTACGACGACTTCGCCGATGGAGATCAGTGGAATCGCAATGCTCTCTGTCAAATCGTCATGCGCCACGTCGAAGTGCTCTCCGCCGACGTCGTCATTTCTTTCGATTCGCACGGCGTCTCCGGCCATCACAACCACGCGAGCTGCTTCGAAGCGCTTCAGACGGCGTACAGTAACGGAGGAGTGCCGCGTGACGTTCAAATCTTCGTGCTCGACTCGATTCCATTGTGGCGGAAGTACATTGGATTGTTCGATGCGATCTTCTCACTCGGCCGCTCTCCGTTCTTCTACGTCGCCCGATTTCGTGACGTGGCGGCGTGCTGGAGAGCGATGAGAGCGCATTGGTCGCAGCTCAAATGGTTTCGTGTTTTGTTCATCTTTTTTAGCAGGTAAATTGTAACCCCAAAAAAAGCCAGCTAAACCAAGCTTACTATTAGTGCTACTGCGGTCGAACAGGCGATTTCAGGCGCCTGCTCGACCAGCCTAACATCAACCTTTATGTCTGCTTCTTCTAACGTTTTAATGGTTTTTTTTGCAGATACGTGTACATGAATAGTCTCCGACGAATCTCGCCTTTACCGCTGACACCGTCACCACGAAACGCGCATCATCAGAAGTTCAAGTTTCATTAGGTCCTCATTATTTTTGATTTAGATCGTAGAACCGTTTTCTTTTCTTTTCATCATTATCATCCTGTTGTGCCTTTCATTGTGTTCTGTTCTCGTTTACATTTGTTCCGTTTTTAAAATGTTGATCAAAAGTTTATACTACGCTCGCGTTCGACACCAAACATGACCCCGATCGCAATAAAATATCAGCGAAAAGCGGTTGATGTGTTCCCCCGCTTGCACGGGCTCGTTAACCTTACCTGCAGAAAAGTTACAATATATAAAGAAAAGATCAGATGAAATCTCAATCAGAAATATGACAAAGATTCCTCTAGTTTTTGTGGTTCTTCTCGCTTCTGCTCACGCATTCGACTCTTCCTCTTCCAGCGAATCGTGTGAAGGTGAGTTCGAATTCAGAAGACGTCACGAAGAAATATATATTTTCAGGTTCGGATGAAGGACACGGACACGGCGGAGGACACGGCGGAGGTGGTGGCCGTCCAAGACCTGGAAATGGAGGTGGTAACGGAGGATGTGGCGCCGGATGGAAGAGATTTAACCGGCCGTCCGGCGGATGGTGCATCAGAGTCTACGGAGGCATTCTCGACCAATCGGTGGCGGAAAGTCAGTGCCAATCGCATGGAGGACTCCTGTCCGGAGTGCAGAACTATGAAGAGATCACCTACATTACAGGTCAGTTCCAGCGGAAAACCTTCGCTTCTGTCGGTGGGCTGTAAGTATGCTCTACCGCACTTTAGGTGGGAAACTTTTAAAATTCTAGCGAGAAAAACGCTTGAAAACAGCAGAATAGAGATTTCATTCGGTTTGCAGGAGCAGCTCTGTCCGTAATGCCCCAATCAACCGGTTCCCTTTGGATCGGAGCAAAGAGAACGGGCGCTTGCAGCAATCAACCCCTAACTGCCACGTGCACAGCGACCAACTCGTTTTACTGGACCGACGGATCCGCGAGCGGAGTCGCCGGATGGGTCTGGGACCCATCAAAGCAGCCGGATAACGCCCACGGACGGACTCAGCAATGTGTGATCCTGTTGGCGGCTGCGAGTTCGACGGTCTCAGTGGGAACTGCGACGTGGGCGGCGAATCACCTCGACGATGTTTCGTGTAGCCAGGTCGGAATGGCCCCAGTGTCCACGAGAAAAGTGGTCGGTTACGTCTGTGGAAAGAGGCCGCGTCGCAACTGATTTCTGCTCAATTCCTAATTTGAATCGGGAGATTGATGATAAAATCTTGTCTAGTTATCCTGGTCTCATACACAGACAATACATGGCAACATTTTCGCTGAATTCGCTTCAAAATGATTCTACTGCTGTTCTGAATAACAACGAACACAATGGGGACCACTGGTACCTGCCGACCTTCGAGAAAATCAAATTCTAAAATGCCTTTCTCAAACTTTCACTACATATTTTCATTCCAGCGCGCGCTCGCCCTTAAAGTGATCTCTCGGGAGAGTGGCTCCGTATGGCTCGGAGCCAAGAGACGTGCTCCACTAATTTCTTTGCCTGGACGGACAGCTCGACCAGCCGCAGGATTCTTCTGAAATCAGCGCCAGCCGGCCAACTCAAAATTGTCTGATCGTTCTGGCTTCTCCGAAGTTGAGCATGTCGGAAAGTTTATTGGCAAGGAAGATTTCCTGAAATTGACTCTCACTTGCCAGCAGATTTCGAATAACGCGTCCCGGATTCAGCCAATACGACTTCAACGAATTTCTGCACCAATGGATGGAAAGAAGAGATGACCCTGTGCTCAATTGCATGCGAATCATCGATTCTTTATGACGAAAAAACGACGCTTCTTCTCTTTTTGCGATCTGGAAGAAGAGATTCCCGGGCTCGACGAATTTGTGCTAGAATTCAGGAATTTCTAAACATTACCTTCTACTCTTAGAGCTGCTGATTTTTTGCAATCTCGCTCTACCGCACTCTCAATGCTAGAGCGATATATTGAAATAAACTTATTCGTTTCATAACCTGTAAGTTCTTTTTCTTTTATTGTTGTGTAAAGCACTCTCAACATTGTCGTTTAAAAAGGTCGAGAGAGGAATTGCTTTAAAATGTTTTTCCGTGAACCCTTTTTAGCCCTTTTTGCAAATTTCAATAAATGTAACCACCAACTTTGCATATTCCCAACTTTAAACTTTTCAAACCGAATCAATTCTGAATCAGCCACGTAATCGATGAGCAGCACTCAATCGGAACCGTCGCTGCTCAAAGAGCCGGGCTCTTCCAGGCGGAGCAAGTACGAGGACGAGGAGTTTCCGTCTTCGTTCACTTTTCTCATTCGCACCTCTTCCGACTCGCATTGCGAAGATCCGACCGGCAAAATTTCGGTGCTCATTCGCGACGACGAGGGCCGCGCGACGGACAAGCACTTGCTCCGCTTCTCGCACACTCATCCGACGCCTTTTCAGCGGGGACATGTCAGTGGTTAATTTTTCGAAATTTCAAGAATGTATTCTATTTTTAGACCGATCTGTTCGTGATGACTAACCAACCAATTCTGGGGCCACTTGCGTGTTGCGAAATTCACTACAAATCCAAGGACGAAAGTACTAGGGATCTTGTACTTTTTTTTAAACAATAACCAAAATTTCAGCGTTTGGAAATCCGTGGAAGTTCCATACGGTCAACGTTTTCCATCACGACAACGGAAAAGTGTACAACTTTCAAAAAGATGAGAAGCAGTCGACGGATTCCGTTTCGATGCTCGTTTGCAAGGATGAAGGCGTTCAGGCGATGCCGACCGAGTTGCGAAATCCGTTCAAATGAACTTTTACGATAAAGTTTCCTCGTTGGGTTCAAGTAGGCCGAAAAAATTGGCGCTGCTTAACAAAGCGTTGTAGTTTGTTGTCTAAGCAGCACCAAAAAGGGAGAAATGTGAGCGAATGGTTTTATATGAGAAAAATGGTGCGAGTACAAGAAACAATTCAAGAGGAGGCAACTCGCTTTGTGAACAAAACCAGGCACCAGCCAATTGACTGTGAGAGAGGGAGGGAGGGATGGAGAGTCGTGATCACTGGAAACATGAGATGATATCCGAGTAATCAGCCAATTGCAGGTACATTATTGCCATCATTTCGACACATATTCGGGAAGAGCGCTTATCGTTACATAGAAACAGTGTGGGGAGCGAGTTATGACTCGACATTGAACAGAGAAAACGTTAAATGCAGATTTGAAGGGATCGAGAGATTTTGTGTATTCAGAACGAGCTGCTCGGATGGGGGAGGGAATAGGGCACATATCAAGTGAATTAGTGTTTGCAAAAAATGAAAAAGAAAACGAGTGTAAGAAACAAGAAAATGGGTCCATAGAATGCGAATGTTACACGAGTGGGGATGGGTCTTATTGCGTAATAGAAAACAAATAATATTAAAATTAAAAACAAAAGTGAGCGAGGAGTTGTGTTTCTAGAAACGAGACAAAAGGAGGGAGCGATAGACAAAGAATAACACACAAAGACAGGAAAAAGGAAGAAGAGGTTGAAGAGGAGGATCGAGCACCTTGCACACACTGATAATAAAACTTATCAGGGACCGGAAAAGGGGTTTTTGGGGCGATTGAGACAAATCTTATTAAAGTTGGTGGGGGGTTCATTAGATTATGCGTTTAGCACGAGTTGATTATTGTGCGGGGTTGGGAGAAAATTATTACAATTGCACGCGTAAGAAATTGAGGTCTAGAAAAGGGTTTTTTTGGATGGGGGGAAATGAGGAGAGGTATGAGAGGTATGTGCCTAATGGTTAGGTCGCCGAAATCGTCTGTTTCGTCGGCGTCGAGTTCTTGCTCATCGATCCGTTCAAGTTGTTGAACTCCATCGCGTTTGCCAGCTCGAGACACGTCGGGTTGCGCTGAAATATAGCAGATGAAATTAGGCGTGAGAATACGTTAATTAGTTGTTGCGAGCACATTCTAATCCTGCAGCGCTCCCGTTAATATGTATATGTATACATATATATATATATATAATCTGGCACTTTATTATTACCTGTCTGTGCAGTCGGAGTCCGTTCTGCGTTGTGTAGTTGGTCCCACACCCGCGGCATTGATACGCGTCCGGATTAGCGTGTATCTTCTGATGAAGCATCAACGCGTGCTTTTGCGTGTAGCTAGCCTTGCACTTATCGCACTGAAAAATGGAATATTAAAGTTTAGGTCAAGAAATAGAGAGTAACTCACATTGAATCGCATCCCAATGTGAGTGACGAAATGGCGATGAACGGAGCCTTTCTCCTTGAACACCTTGTTGCATCCTTCCATCGGGCACACGTACCCCGCTCCGTTCTCCGTCTTCGGCACCTTCATCGGAGTACTCTTCCGCTTTCGCGACACTTTCTCAGCCGACGCATTCAGCTCCGAGTTGTTGGACTCGGCGAGCAGCGACTCAATCATTGCGAGCGATTCGGTGAGATTAGCGTCGGGCGGCGAGTTTTGCGCCGAATCTGTGTTCTCACTGACTGCGCCGTCCACCGCGCCATTCGTATTCTGTCCGGCGAAGAAGGCTTGGAAGAAGTTGCTGATGAAGGCGCTGTTCTGATCCTCTTCGTTTTCTTCGGCGGACGGAGTTTCCGCTTTGAGAAGATCGGGCGTGATCCCCAGCAGTGAGGTCTGTAGGAACTGATCCAAAAGTGTCGAATCCTGATTGGTGCTCGCTTGTTCTTCCGGCTCCTCCATCTTAACTCCGTTCATTATCGTCTTCATCACAATGTCATGATCGTCGGCGGCGTCTCCCGTCGTGTTCACATTGACAATCGTTTCTTCTTCGTCGGCGGGAGCACTGACCGAACTGCTCACTGATCGTATCGGATGCTCGAATGCGTCCACACTGCTGCTGCTGTCCACCGACGCGACACGGTGCGAATCGACCGAAGAGCACTTCTCGTCGACTTCATCGTCGCCTTCCTCTTCGTCAGAAACTTTTCGCCGCTCTTCAGAAGATCGTTGCGTCGTCGTCGCCGTGCTGCTTGATCCGTCGTTGCTGTGACAGTCCAAACCGACAGATGTCGCGCCACATGTTGTACATTTCTGCAATTAATGACTCTCAGGCAAGCGCCTAATTCGATTCGTGTGTCTCTCAGTCTCTAACCACCGAACAAGGACCCCCCGCTTCGCTCAAGAAGACAAGACGAACAATTAACGTACCATTTTGCCGGAAAGGAGCTCGTTCACCGTTTTCTGCGTTTCCATGCATCGTTCGAGGGCGCCCGTGAGTTTCGACAGCTCGCAGATGACGTCGTTCGCCTCCACATTTTTGTCGACAGCAATGATGCCGTCTCCGGAGGACAAATCGACGACGACTTGCCGCACAAGTGTAACCACTTTTGCCAGCTTTTCACATACACGTTCTGGCGTCGTCTCCGGTCCCATGATCTTCTGCTTTGTGTTGCGATGATGGCGGTGGTGAAGGATGGTGAAATTTCTAGACTAATTGTGTGCTGAAATAACGGAAATATTGGATGAAGGTTGTTTTAGAATACGATTGTCAAGCGGTAAGAAGAAGAAAGTATTTTCAAAAAAAAAAAAAACTCTGGAAGGTCAAGTGGAAATTTCCCAGAAAATTGCACCATAAAATATTTTTCAAACGAAAAAGAACGGTAACGGAAAAGACGGTGCTGAAGGTCCGAAAAGACCGAACAAGGTCAAGTGGATGCATAGATTCCTCTTAAAGTCAACCACGCACACGCACTGATTATAGGGGTTTGAAGGACAGCCCTTCAGAGAATTTCTTTCATAGAATTTCAGAGAACGGAGGAAAAACGAAAAGGATCGGAGGAAGACGGAGGAAATGGAAGGAAGGGCCTGGAGACAGTGTTCAGGGTCAGTCAGAGATGGCAGCAGTTCTGCAATTCCGGTGGTAGAACGAAACGTGCGCGGGCTACCGTGTGTGTGTGCGCGCGGGGGTGACTTCGACAACGGCCGTGGCTGGCTGGCTGAATTCGATGACGGTTGATCGGTGCCCGGCGCCCGCCGACACTCTCTCGCCCTCTCTCCGCACTCGCGACACTCTTTTTCCCGAAATGACCTTCTAGGTGGTGGCGGTGTCCGCGCTCCGTTTTAGAAGAAAATGATGCAGAAACAGACAGAGCTGTTTTGCAACCAAACCGGCGCGGGGATTTATGGCACCTAGAATTATTGGCTTTGAAGCTTTTTTCTCAAATTCTGGTGGTGGAATGCATCGAGACAGTAAGAGCAGCAATTCATTAGACACTTAGCGGGTATCTATTTGCAGAATCTAACGAGTGAAACAGAATAAATGGAAGAAGGAAAAGAAGGAGAAGAAGGAGAAGGCCAGCTGAATGACTCGGGGGGTTTCGAGCTCTCCGTGGGCTCAATTGAAGAATAGCTAACTAATCCCCCCCTCTGGCAGTGGGTTTCTCAACTTCTTCGTCGTCACCTAATTTCGCACTGAAACTACTCATTCGCCCGTCCATTTTCTCGCTCCTCACCGCCCGCTCTTTCTTTTTCTCTCTTTCTTTCGGGTCGCCGGTCAGTCCCCATTGTCCATTCGCCGCCCGCGGGGGGGGGAGGGAGCTCCACACGAAGAAGCGGCCAGAGAGCACGAAAAGTAAAGAGTTTCAGAGGCGAGGGGCGGCTCCACGAGTCCCAGGGTGAGAGGACACATCGCGCCCGTCAGTCCCTTTGGCTTCCCATCAAATATTCAAATGCAAATGTGGGTTGTTAGGGAGCGGAGCGGACAGAGGAGAAGCAGATGTGCTTGCCTGCCGCGTGGCACTGACCTGGGGCCCGACGCGCGCAGGAGGGAGCCGTATAACTTTCACATTTCCGACCAGCAGAGCAAGAGGCACACACCGTTTCCACGGGTTTCAAGGGGAACACATTAATGTCGGGTGTGTTTGGGCCGGAGAACGGGCAGAGAAGGCGAGAAGTCCGCAAAAGGACAATTTGTCGGAGGGCGGCTGGAAGGCCGTGCAGGGAAGTGGGGAGACAAGTGCGTGAATGCATAGTCACAGGCACCCGAGCGCTGCCCAAATGTGGATGTGAATGGTTAAAGGCGGGAAGCAAGAAGAAGGAAGGGAGGGTGGACTGGGAGAAAACGAGAAAGAACGGAGCAAATGGAAGCGGGATATACCATCTGGCGGGTGGTCGTTGAAGACTGAATGAAGACGAAGACGGACGGACGGCTGAAAGGCCCATCCATTCTCAAGTGCTACCGACAGATGTCTTCTTTCATCTAGTTGGCCTGGTTCCCATGCTCCGAACGATAAAATGACGAATATTGTTCTAGAACATTGTTTGAGATCCAGCAAGTGTTTCGTACTCTAACAAAAATCCTGGACATGAAACTTGGATTTTCATGACGGAATGCGAAAATGTTCTTGGAAGCTGTGAAAAGCTAAGTCGAAAATGAATGAATGAAAAATACCGAGTCCACTATACCCTAGAAGATATTGTCTGCCTTATGGTACGTAGTGTTGTGGTGTGCGTCTGGCGTTCTAGACGTCTATTGTCCTCTTCTTCCGCCCGTAAACCCTTTTTGTACATATCTCGCTGCCCCGATTACTTCATACTGTTTGGCTGGATATCTCGCTCTCACAGTCACCGACGAGATATCATCTATTGTGTGGAGAGTGCGAGGGATGACACACAAGGACATACCACTCTTCAAGAGGAGCGAGTACAGGTAGATCAATCGATTCACGGAGGGAGGTAAAGTGGGCGGGTGTGGTGAAGGGAGGAGGAGGAGGTAGAGTGCAACTGCTGCTGCTGCTACTGCTGGAAAGGGCAGAAGGCCGGAGGGACAGCCAGCACAGCCAATCGGTGTCTGGTCTCTCTTCCCAACGCTCATTACATCCCCCAATCCCTCGCTCATTCTCTTCTTTTATTCAATCGGTCGGAACGACCCCAGGGCAGTCAGCGGGAAGGAAGAGGGATAAAGGGAGGCAGACCACCCGGGCGTTTTGGTGGCTGACCTCACTCAACGTCTGCCACCCTCTGGTCTCGCCATGCTCTTTTCTTCGCTTCGGCGGGAGATTGGGGTGTCGTCCCCGGGCGGGCGGGTGGCTGACTGACTGACTACTGAAATTGTTTGAACTGTGTCTGCGCACTAGACCCGCTATTTCTATTTCCAGGGGAGCGCCGGGCCGCGCTCCGCTGAGCTCTGTGCACAAATTTATTGCAAACACCGGCACATACACACAAAGCGACCGTTGCTTCGGGTTGCTGACTGACACTACGGAAAACTAAAAACTAGAGAATTGAGAAAAAGATGATGATGGGATGGGATGGGATGGGATGGGATGGTGATGGTGATGATGACGATGATCAGATGCAGATCAAGCGAACCGAGAATCAAAGAGAGAAGAAGGAAGGAGAAAACGGAAAGAAATCGCATGATTGCGGCGGCGAGAAGAGAGTGGCCCTTTCAGATGGTGTTGGTAGCCACCGATTCGAGGATAACATTGAGATGAAGACCAAAAAACGGGGAAAGAGAGAGAGAGAGATGGGCTGGGCTGACCTCGAATTTGCAATACAATCGCAACGGTGAATTGCAGAAGGATAAATAACAGAATAACGGGTCGCAGGACCAAAGGACCCTTTTTCTACCTCGGATTACAGCGCAATGAACGTTGTTTGAATGACCCGGATTGCGCAATCGGACCAGCCAATGAGATACTGGGACATCTGGTGAAAGAGGGACTTTTTGAACGCTGGGAAAGAAGACGCGTGCAGATTTTTTCAGACGAGAAGAAGAAAGAGGAGAAGAAAATACGAAGATGCACTTTTGTGGAGAAACGGACACACATGACAAAGTTTATAATAGGCCGCTTTTCGGGCATGAGGAGCTTGGCGCGCGAGGACTCTCCTCGCCCGCCAAGGTCCCTCCTCCGTCAATCTTTCATGGCTCACGGAGCTAGTCGCCGCCGAAATTTGAGCCCTCCTCTTCTTTTTCTTATTCTAGCTCCAAATTTCAGCTCTGACTAGGTTGCAGTCGCGAGTCTTTTCGGGAAAATTGCGGAGAGAAAATCGGAACATAAAGCGAAAGAAAGATCGTTGGCAAAGATAGAGAAAGTTTTAAGATTTGAAACGAGCGAGAAAAGTGAAAAGTGGAGAGCGTAGAGAAAAATGGACCACAAATCTCTGGAATCTCAAATCAATGCCTCAACTATCTGATCACTTCGGGATGAGTGTGTGTGTGTGTGAGTGAGTGGAAGACGAGAAAAAGAAGAAGCGAGTGAGAGCCGGAGCTCGAGGAAGCTTCGCGCTGTAAACCCGCTTGCTGGCTAGTTTAAGAGGTCAGATTTCGAGAGCCACCAGTTTCTGCTCATTGCTCACTCTGCTCGTAAAACTGGAGCAAATGTTTCAGGTTTTACTTGTTTTTCTGTGTTGCATAGCCGACCGAAAGTTTGATGCTACTTAGCGAAATTTTGTAGTTTTTAGCTTAAGCAGCTTTAAAGTCAGCCGTAATAGACCCAATTTATGGTGCTGTTTAGACTTCAAACTACAAACTTTTGCTAAGCTGCACAAAACCTGGGATTGCATTGCGGGTGAAACTCTAGTGAGAAAATAGAAAATCGGCGCCAGTTCCTAATCTAGAAATCTAGAAATCCGACACGAAAAAACTGTAATCAGACCGAGAATTGAGGTCAACAAAACCCGTCTTCTTATCGGAAGAGACGTCTTATCACTTCCGAACAATTTCGACGAGCGGCCAGTTCACTCTGAAACTCCGATGAGAGCAAAGAGTACAGCGACGACTAAAACGGGCTGAAAAAAGTGTAGCTGACGCTGAAACTGCGGCTAGAACACAGAATGGAATGGGATTTGCGTGAGAAGAGAGTGAAAAGCGATTCGCCGTTTCGGGAGGTTGGTTCGCAACTGGTTCGTTCGCCCCGCTAGCCATCAGCAGCACGGAATCTAGGTCAAATCGCAGAGGAAAGTGTGTATGTTTGTTGGTGACCTTCACAACTGGAAGAGAACTGGAAGTCGATTGACGATTCGCTACAACTACAGCTGGGGTTGGAGCCAGAGCCGAAGAGGCTCGAGCACAAACTAAAGCAGTTTTGAAGAGCCCAGCTCGGCAATGACAATTCTAGAGGAAAACTTGTTCCAGATGTCCCCCTATTCAATCGGCGAAGATGCAGATGAGGAGGAAGAAGAAGAGAAGGACTTGAAAATCTCGAGTGAGAGAAAACAAACAGTCGTCCGATGATTTTTCGGCGATTTCGTTTCGACACTGATTTTCAGTGACAGATCGAGAGGCGCGGCGAACCCGACACAAAAAACGACTGATTGGACGGCGAACGACTACAGGATGACGGCGACGACGACGAAGAGGTGATCGCGGAGGAAGCAAAGGCGACCCCAATTCGATTCGAATTCGCAACAAATGTGTCTGTATCTCTCTCGCTTTTCGCTGAAAATGTCGGTCAGTATTCGGAATTCGGTCCTCCTCGAGACCGACTGGGAAGAAGACCGGAGAAGAAGAAGAAGACGACAGCAGCAGCCAACCAGCCATTATAGATAACAGTGTTTCTCTGCCAAGCTTCCCGACACACTATTTCTAGGAGAAAGTCTTTCGCCTCGTCCCGATTCGTGATAAGAACAAGGTGGTGTAGGAGGTTGAGGAGCGAGGAGAGTAGACTGTTCTAGACACATTTCAGACAAATTAACGGTAACGAGGACAGTGCAATTTAAGTTGATAGGTTGGTTGGAAAGAAGGAATGTCAGCCCGCGGTGAGTTGGCCGAGGGAACCAATTCAGAGAAAACGGAGCTGCTCTTTGTTTGCTCATACTTTCCCCGTCTCTTTCTCTCCCTCTCTCTATAATATATCGGCTCTTTCGGTGAAGGTGCCGGTGCTCACAGTGCGCACACATAAATACAGTCCTTTCGCTTCGCCTCGTCGCGCTCCGAGGCGTGTTAGTGCGCAAGACTTCTCCGTACACGCTCTCTCTCTTTTTTAGATCAATCTCTCTCTCTTTTCCTCTCCCTCTCGTGACTGACACTGTCCACATCTATAAGTAGATTGGCGGTGCGCGCAAGAAGAAGAAGAAGAAGACGAGACCAAAGTCCGGCACTTCGTCTTCTTCTTCTTTTTCCTCTTCTCCGCTTTTTTAACCACTTTTTTGTGTACGTCTCTTGCAGTTTTTGCTACCTTTTTTTGAGAGAGTACACGTCGACAATATCAAGTGAAGAGAAGGAACAAGAAACAAGAAATTCGAAAGAAAACAGCGGTTTAGATATTCGAATAATCACAAAGTTAGGGATTTATTTGAAAACCGAGAGGAGTTCACAGAATTTACAGCTGATCCGCTTGATTTTCTAAATTTTAATTTTAATGGAAAGATTACAGCAGAAAATCCTGGAATTGCAAAAAGTTAATCTATTAGAAAATGTATTCAGACCTTGCGATATTATTAAAGTTTTTCAGCTGCTCTGGAAAAAATTTAAGATGAAAATTCGAATTTTCAGACGCATGACACGATTTTCGCACTTTTTATGGCTTCTAAGCAGACAACGCTCGGGAGAAACATGAGGAAAACATTTTCAGCACAGAAATGAAACAAATTTGAAATATAAAACGAAAAGAATGACGATTTTCGGTTGAGAAGTGAAAAATCAACGAAATTCTCCACGTTTTGAAAGTGAAACTTCTGAATGCGCCTTTAAATTTCTACAGTAACCCGTCAAGAGCGCAAATTCACATTCAAATCGAAAGCATATTTAAACGTGCAGAAAAGTGCAAATGTTCGAATGTCGATGACCGTCATTTTCTCATAAGGACACGGTCAATGACTAACGAAATGGGTAAAAGAGAAAAAGAGAAAGAGAGGAGAAAAAAAAGAACGGGCGGCCGTTCGGTTTTCCGCCTCGCTCTACCAGATCAACGAGAAAAACTGGATAATTTTTGTTGAGAATGAAAAAAAACGAGACAAAAAAGCATCTGGAAGCCTGGGACACAAAAGTGTCGAAGAGTAAAGGACAATCGGAGGGCAATTGATGGGATGAGTGTCAGCGGGCGCCGAGAGGTGTAATGAAATGGAACCGAGCAGCGGCACCGGAGTTTCAAACAAAAGTTGTGAGTGTTTTTTTTTTCATATTTTACGTGTTTTTGAAAGAGGCAAAGATTCGAAAAATGTGATGTGACCTCGAGGTTGCTAATGTAAGTGTTTTACGTTTCAAGGTTGTTGATCCGAGGGGCGAAAAGACGAAATACTGAAAATAACCTTGCGCGCTCTAAAGGCTACAAATTCCGTTGAGTTAGTTGCGAAATGTCCGGGGAGAACCAAAAAAATGCTGCAAAACTCTAGAAAAAAATCGTCTGAGCTCACAATACTCACGGGGCTATTCACACGAAGAAGTACGAATAGAAGACGAAAAAGAAGAAACGTTTCAAGAGTGCCCTCCTCCTTCTTTTGCTCAAAAGACTTGAAAAGAGCGTCGTATATAAAGAGAAGCTATTCAGTTCCAGCAAAAAAAAAACTACGAAAACGTGCGCGCGCGGGAGTGAGACTCGAAAGTAACGGGGGAAAAGTGAAAATGAAGGAAGGAAGGGGGAAGACGGCTCAAAGAGCAATGAAATTAATTTCAGCCACGCACGAAAGACGAGCAGCGTATAAGAAAAGTACTCGTCGTCGCGCTTATCCGAAATGCACAAAGAGCACACACGACGAGAAAAGAGATGCAGGAAGTGTTGTGGCTGGGACGAAGTTTCAGATGAAGCGTGACAAACTAGAAGACGTTGTTGGAAAAGAGAAAAAGTGGGGCGCGGGGGCTCTTGAGGATTGTGGACGCACACAAACGAGGCAAAAGGGGAAAAAAGGGGGGAAGGACAGGAGGGGGTTAGCTGAAATTCAGATGGATTTGTGAGAGACACATATGCGATTTATGGGTGACATTTGCTGCCACGCGCTGAAAACTCTCGGACTACTGCATAGAGCGACGACGACGACGAAAATTAAAATCTCTCCCCCCTCCTTCCTTTCCGTGTGACCGCCGCAATGAAAAGGGGAAAGAGACCTCACTTTGCACATAAACAAACGAGCTCTGATGATACTGATGATGATGATGGCGAAGCTATTTGAATAATAACAAAAATGGCAGCTATTGTGAATGTGATCTGGACCTGTCCTTTTACTGAAAGCTCATGCATTTTCATTTCCAATTTCCACTCATTCTGTGTTTCGAAGCTCTCCGCCCCTTTCTTGTGCCGTGCCGCGCGGACTCCTTCGCCGTTGTCGTTTCCCTTTCCGTCCACCTGTCCGGGACACCGAGTACCACATAATTATCCCCTGCTTTGTGTAAGTTGCCCGCCTCTCCGTCCGTCTAGATATTTTATGAGTTGTTGAGTCCAGATGGTCATTTTAGAGGATTCATGGGAGGAGGACTACTGTATCTTTCTTTCAATCTTGCTAAGCAGCGCTAAGCAGCTCTTTTGAGAACTGAAAAAAAAACTGAACTATTGGCTGTCTCGCCTAAATTTTCAAGCTGAAAATCAGATGATGACGATGCACACACACACACACACAGAAGCCGAAAATTGGGTGCAGGCAGCAAATGCAACATAAGAAGAGAAGAAGGAGAAAGGCGAAAGAAAGGGCTCAGAGCAAACTCTTTGTTGGCTCGCTGTGCTCTCCTTGGGACCTCTGAAACTCTGAAACTCTTTGTGGAGACGCAGACGTCGTCGAAGAAGGGCGCCGCCGAAAACGAGACGCAAAGGGGGAGGGGCGACTGGAAATTTAGTGCTGGGGGAGGGGTGAACTTGGGGTCGCCTGCGCCGGGGGCCTTGCATTTCAAGACAACATTTGTGTGCCCGATTACACACTCTGCCCCTTCCTTCTTGCTCCGAAGAGCACAGAGGGGGGCGGGAGCGAAAGGGGGAGAAAAGAAGAAGAAGAAGAAGAAGAAGGGGGGGGAGGAAGAGGGAAGATGACTTGAAATTGTCTCTCCTTCTCACTATCTCGCACCCATCGCTTTGCTAGAAAGATCTGAGAAACTTTTTCGTCCCGGAGACGAAGAAGATGGAAAGGAAGACGGGCGGGGAACGACAACTGACTTTGCGCACAAAGTGTTTCGCAAGAAGAAGAAGAAGAAACGCACGTTTTCAGAGAAAGGGATCAGAAAGAGAAATCAGGTTGGGTTATAGGAGAACTCAGTTCTTTTAACAATGTTGCAATAAGTTTGCGCAGAAGAATATGTTCTTCTCTGATTTTAGGATTTCTAGAACTTTTTTCTGATAGTATGTTCAAGCTACACGGTCTCCAGAGCTGACAATGGGCGCGCAAGTGCGCCCCGCCCAATAGAGCGATATATTGGCGCGAAATTCAAATTTTAACAGAAAAATTTGTGTTTTTTGCCAGATTAGCCACGAAAAACCGATAATTTCTCATTTGTCTCTCGATAGACCGATTGTTTAGGCTATTACGAATTTTTTAAGCGCAAGAGCGTTAAATTTGGTCAAGTCGCAAATCACATTTATCCGTTTGAAGGTTTTTCGCTAAAACTGCGTGAATTTCAGTTGCTTTTCGGTAATTTTCGCGGTTCAAGCGCTCAAAATGTTTGTATTTACGTGATTTATCATTCTCAAAACCAATTCTATCGGAAAACGGTCAAGAAAGCGCAAAATGAGAAGTGCGGTTTTTAGGCGGCGAAGGCGAAAAAGCGAAATCCGCGAAAAATGCGCCAATTAGTGTGTTTTCCTGTCGAACAATCATTTTTCATTGCCTTTGACCACAAAAATCAGAGAAAACCTGCTCAATCCATGAAAACGCCATTTGGCCGCCGAGGCCACGCCCATATTGTCAGCGTCAGAAGATATTCAGATTGCTTTGGCAACATTTGCGTCTCTCACGAGAGTCTCTTTTCAAGAATCAAGCTGAGAATCTCGCTGAAGAATGAAGAGAACTGAGCTCGCTTGAAAATTAAAAAACGTTTTGACCTGGAAATTTACGTGTGAATAAAACTCTTCTATTTTCACCAAAATAAGCGTGGCCGTAACTGGAACGTCCTGTTCCCTCATTCTACTTTCACGTGTGTTCTGCAAAATCTGGTTGATAAAAATTAGTTAAATCTCTGGAAAAATGGCGAGAACCAAACATAGATCTTCATCGAAGAACGGCTCGAAAGTCGCCGATTCGTCGACGAGCAAAGCGACAAAGACCAAGGTATTAAATACAGATTAAAAAAACAGACTTACAACGGACCGGGCCGGGCTGAGATTTTGCAAATCTGAAGAAAAAGTCAATTCTGACTTTCTGGAAGAATCACCGTTATGTTTTTGAGCCTAAGCAGAGTTTCTGGGTGGATAATTCTGAATTTCAGTTCAAATTATTTCCAGAAAGAGGTGCGGGTGTCAAGTTCGACGAGAGCCGGTCTCAACTTCCCCGTCGGCAGAATCGATCGCAAACTTCGCAAGCGAATGATCGGAAAGCGCGTCTCGCCGAAAGCGTCCGTCTTTTTGGCGGCCGTGCTCGAGTACCTGACCACCGAAGTGATGGAGTTGGGCGGAATGGTTTCGAAGACGTACAAGAAGAACCGTGTCTCGCCGAGACACTTGCAGTTGGCGGTACGCGGCGACGAGGAGTTCGACGAGCTGTTCAAGAAGAGCACGATCGCCGAGGGAGGCGTCTTGCCGAAGGCCGTCCATCCGTCGTTGATGCCGAAGAAGTGAATGCCTTTTCTATTTATATGAACGTCATAAAATCTTTATAAGGCAATTCAAATGCGTAATTGCGTATCGATTGGCACAGTGGTAAAGTAAGAGTAGAAGTTTTGAGGTAATCGAGTTTTGATAAGTGAAACATTGATTTGTCATCTAAAACTGATTAAAGATTGGTAAACTTTTGCTCATCGGTCGTGCTGCTTCCGGCTCCGGATTCTTGGTTTACGTCTTCCCGATGATTCAGAAATTCTCTTTCTCGGTCTGCGTACTGGAGATGATGTTGATACTGTTGATAGCTGGTGATCGGCTCGTTCTGGTAGTCGAGGTAGTTGCTGGTGTTGTGATTTCGTTGGCCGGGCGTGTAGTACGGCTGCGCGTTCCTGTTGGCCGACGGATTTTCGTAAATTTCGTTTGCCGGTCTGTAAAATTATGGACCTTCAGATTTTTCTTGACAAAATCAACGATTTTACCGAATTTCAGCATAAGTGGTCACTTGACGTGGCATCGGAACTGCGAATTGGACGACTTGTCGAGTTCCGGAGCTCGATTGGCCTTCGTTGTCTGGTGCGTCTGCAATGTTGGCTAAACTTTTTTAAAAATTGAATAAAAGCCTACTTTTAGTGTCGAATCGGCCGTCAATGCCTCGTTTCCTTTTAATCGCGTGCAAATGACGACTCTCGTGCAGGTACTTCTGTCTTTGCAATGGTAATCTTCCCGACATTTCCAGTCGCTGCCTCATTTTCCGTCGCTTTTGAATCCTTTGAAACTGCTTCGGGTTTACCAGAATCGGCGGGTCCGTCTTTTCGTGTTTCGCAGGTGTTCCCTCGTTTCCAAGCAATTCGATGGTCGGAGACGTACCGTCGGCTGAAGAATTCACCCGTTTTCACAGGTTTCACAATTTTATTGGGCTTACGGAATGTCAACGTGACCACTTGTTCCGACGGCTCTTTTTGTGCTCTTTCCGCTTCGAATATTTTTTCGGCCATTTCGGAAAACGAGTCGGGCAGCATTTTCTGAATTGAAGACTCTCGACGGGTGATATTATGAGTTCCGCGAAATAAATACCTTCAGATCTTCTTCCGTCGCATTCATGGGCATCGGCACGAGGAGAGTCCGTTCGACACCTCCGACTACGCACTTGTAAGTGAACAGCTGCAAGAATATTGTGAAGTCTTTAAGTTTTCACTGAGAAATGTGATATTTTTACTTTTACACGTGAAACTTTTAAATTTTGGTTAGAAAGCTCAAATTATCTTCTTGTGGTGCTGCTTAACAAGTTTCTGTAGTTTGCAGTCTGAAACGTTTTGGGCCGACTCGGATGGAACCGGAGACAGCTGCTGGAGCCAGCTGAAGCACATCCAAAGCACTCACTTTGCAGTTCGGCGGCAGTTCGTACGTCATCGCTTTCTTCTCCTCATCCTCTTCGCCTTTCTCCTTTTCGAATATTTGGTTGTTATTGGTGGTAGCTCCAGATGAGGTAGGTTGTGGCTTTCGCGGTACATCTTCAAAAATAAAATAATTGTGAGTTTTCAAAGTATTTTTCGAATGAGCTCACGGCGAGGGGCGTTAGAAGTTGAAGGTGTGGACGTGCTTGGCCCGGCGTAACTTGTCGAAGGGCCGTTATTTTGAAAAATGGTCGCCCGCTGCTGATTTGTTTGGGGCTAAAATTAATTTCGACGTTTTAATATTCGGAACAAAATTAGGGTACAAACCTGTGGCGTCGTGAAGTTATTTGGCGTTCGGGAAGCGGGTTGAGATCGATTCTGGAAAGACTACCACTTATTTTAGAGAAATGCAAGTTTATCGTAATTACCTGTGGCCTATGATTATTTTTTGCGTATGGAATGGTTTGTCGTGCTGGCGGAGCTGCTGGAACCGGCGGTTTTTGCTGCTGAAATTTATTGTTTTACTTTTCGCTTGAAACTTCAGAATTTGTTTAGAATCTCACCGATAACGGTTTCATCGGGATAGAAGGCGTAGCGGACGGCGACGGCGTTGTCGTAGGTGTATTTAGTGCGGAACTTATTGAACCTCTCGCCTTTTTTACAGGCTGGAACCGGAAAATTGATGGCGGAAGCGGTCGGGCAGATGGCGGCATTGGAACGGACGGTCCGGCACGCGGCTGAGTCGGCGTCGAAGCCATCGGAATCACTGGACCGTTACGTTGTACGGGGTTGACGGGCTGTCGGATTGCTCCGCGTTGAGCTGCTCCAGGCCCTCGGGTCTGAGCAGGATGCTGTATCGGCCGGGAAGCCGCCGGCTGCAATTGATGCAGAACCGGCGCCGCGGAGGATGGCCCGGGCTCCCTGAAAAGTGAATATTTTGCAGATAAAGTATGTTTACTAAAGTTTTGTGCAAAAATTAGCAACTGAGAAAAATTTTAAAATTTCTGTGATACAATTTTTGTTTAATATTTAACGAATGGCTTATCGAATGTTGAATTTATGGCCATTTTTTAAATAAATTTAGCACCGACATCCGAAATAATCTATGAGAAACACTTACATCGTGGTATTCTGTCCGCAGAAATGTCGTCGTCGTTGCTGTCGGCCACTCTACTCCACTTCTTTCGCTTCTCCTTCTTCGTCTTTTTCTCCTTTTTTCTCTTCACTACAAACCAAAAGCGGGCGTGCAGAAGAGTGAGAATGGACGAGAGAACGCAGAGAACGAGACGGTGTCAGATAGGCAGCGGAGAGGCGAAAAGCGGGGGCGTCTGAACGGAGAATATATGCGTACGTACGAATGAATGTGTTCGTTGCAGTGTACGGAAGAAAAGAAGCGGGCACGCGGCAGCGTAGAGACTGTGCGCATTCGAGAAACGCAGACAGAGACAGAGGAGGGAGGAAAAAGGAAAGAGAGGACGGTTTGCCCCCGGCAAGGAAGAATGCGTGCAATCGCAATGGTGCTGCTGCCTTTATTTTTCTGTTTACATCTTTTTTGCAATGTATAGTTAGAGTTTCATTTCCGTTTTGTGTCAAAACGGATCAGGTTACTGCAGTTTCGTCGCCGATTTTAAATTTAAATATAATTTCGAGTAGACTCGAATTTTGTGCTGATTATCTAAAATTGTAGTTTGTAGTTTAAGCATCACTAAGCAGCCCTGAATTTTATTTCTGCATGGACTACAAACTATGCATTTCTGTTAAGCAGCACGAAAACTCGGGTTTGCAGGCGAAAAAGTTTGGAGCTGAGGCGAAATTGTTATGTTTCGAGCGGAAAAAGAAGAGAAAACGGCTCCACGACTACGTATATTATATTTTTACGCCTCGATTCTTCTCGCTATCAGCATTCGTTATAAGCGCTAAGCTCATTAAGCGCCCCAAGGGAGCCTGGAAATGCTCGATGATATCCGGCTCGGTTGATAACTTTTAACTTGACATTTAACAAGATTTTGCTGAAAGAGACAACGGAAACACGAAAAGGAGAAACCGCTTTATTTCTCACGTACATGAACCGGATGAAAATGAAGAAGTAAACAACAGAAATATTAGTAATCATAGTGACACGATATTAAACAAATTAGTTACAAAATTAAGGCAACGGGGTGAGATAGAAACAGTATTAAAATTTGCAATTGCTGTAAGGTAAATTTTGAAGTAAAGTTTGTCATTGTTCTGTTCGAGGCTCGGGCGCTGTTTTTTGTAGGTCCGGGTTGCATTCGGCGGCTTTCTGTAATTAGTATTTTTCACGTTTTCATGAGGTAACCACTCACTTTCATGTGCCGTTTGAGACTGTCCGGACTTTGATAGCAGTAGCCGCACGTCGGACACTTGTACGCTTCCTTGTTCTTGTGCACAACCAGATGATGCTTTAGACGGCGCTCCGACGTGTACGTCTTGTTGCACTCCGTGCAGTGGAACAGCTTTGCTTGCTGAAAAAGAATGCGGTGACTGGTTTACACATCGAAAATCGATGGGAGCTTCAAAGATAAACATATCGATTACCTCGTCGTCGATATCGAAATCATCCTCTTCTTCCTCATGATCTTCTTCCTCTTCCTGCTCTTCTTGACGTGGAACCGGGAGATATGGCGGTGATTGCTGCTCCATTCTCACTTCAGAAGACGTCCGATCATCCACGTCGTACACCAGCTCGTACTCTTCATTCGGCGCTTCGGAAAAGACATTTCTTAACGTGGCGAGCACATAGGGACCTTGATCACCAGATGAGTAGTGGTCCCCGGGCGGTTCCTGGAAAAACGTTCTTTTTTTAATCTTTCTTTTTGATAAAAAATCACTTCGTAGCCGGGCTGGAGATTGTAGCTGTCGTGATAGATCTCATCGCTGTGACAGGAATATTCCTGCTTTCTATTTGACATCTGCAAAATTATGATTGCATTACGGAAAATCACAACAACAAGAAAAATGAAAAAGCTTTCACACACCGTAATCATCCAAGGCGCATAGTAGTTTTCGGATGGCGGGTCCCGCAACGAATGGAAATTTTGGCGATCCACTCTGTAAAATAATTGATATTTACACGACTCTTGATCAATTGTTCATGTATAAAAAGCACGAGAAAGATCGAAAGTGATGGGCGTGATGAAAACAGAGGGTACTTGGCTGTCAATAAAATCTCATTGAAAAGGCACGCCGCGGCCGAGAAATTCCGACGCGGCCGTGGAAGAAGTATCGCGTAGCCGGCAAATATTTTTGAAGCGACTTGTCCAAGTATCCCCTCATTTCTCCTCGATTATCGCTAATTTAATTATGAAATTGCGTATTTTAATTTGTGAAATATTTGATTGAAGACCATGACAACCGAATTCAAATAATAATTTTGCAGAAAACCGGGGACAATGGACAATTGGACCGCTTATCATCAGGCGCAGCCCGCAGAAAATGGTGAGTGAAATTCAGAACATAAATCGAATTTAAAGCTCGAAAATTATAAAATGAGACATCTTGAGTAGGCAATTGACAGAAAAACAACAAAAAAACAACTGGAATTCATGTAGCTTGAGTCGGTTCTAGTCTCAAAACTATTGGGATCACTAGAATCACAGTTTTTTATGTTTAAACTCTGAAAACAGCAAAATCATCGTTTTCAAACTTTTTTGGCCAAAAAACATGTAGAAACCGATGCGTTGGAGCGCACTTTGTTGACGCGATAAGAACAGTTGATAACAAAAAAATTAAGCAAATCAATTTTTCAGTTGATTGGGCCCAACTTGCACAACAATGGATGGCGATGCGAGACACCGAGGATCGCGGTGGCGGAGGTTACGCACAGAATGGCCACCATCATCAGCATCACCATCAGCAGCAGGATTTTCATCAGAATATGAATTGGAACGGACCGCCCGGACCTCCACGTCATTCAGAATGGGCTGGCGACTGGACGAGCCGCGACGATCAGTGGAGAGGCCCACCGCCCCCGCAAGCCTATCATCAGGGCTATCAGAACCATCCCCATCCGAATCAATTTGGCCCTCCGCCGCCTGGACCTGGAAACTTCCGGCCTCCTCCTCCTCCTCAATTCCATGGACCTCCTCATGGCGGTGACACGTGGCGAAGCCATGGTCCACCACCACCCGGACCGTCTGGACCTCCTCCAAAGAGCTTGTTTCCGTCGGCGGCTCCTTCTGGACCATCTGTTCCTTCTGGGCCTCCGCGCCCGTTGTTTGCAGCTCACGCTCGCAAAGAACCAGGATCGTCAAGTCTTTTCAACGCACCGGGACCTCCTTCCGGGCCGCCTGGCCGATCGGAACATCACAGAGCACAACTGCACTTTTTCCAAGAGACCCCGCGAGCTCCCCACGCTCCGATGCACCACGATTCGCAGCCACCTCCGCCCCCGCAAGCAGTTCCGCCGCCACCTCCTCCTGCCAACTTCGACCTAGATAAAGAGGCTAGGAAGAGGCTGCCTGCGTGGATTCTGGAAGGACTGGAGAAAGCGGAACGCGAGAAGCAAAAACAGTTGGAAAAAGAGGAAAAGTTAAGAAGAGCGGAAGAGGAGAAGGCGAGACGGAGGGCGGAAGCCGGAAAAAGCAAGTTCGACTCGTCGTCGGATGAGGAGAACGAAGTGGAGGAAGAAAGAGGAAGAGCGAGGAAAGTGGAGGAGGATGGAACCGATGGAAACGAGGAGGACGATGAGGACGATACGGAGGAAAAACGAGAGCTTTTTGTAAGGATTCCCAGCCACAATTCTACGAGAAAATGCGCGATCTTTATCGATTTTTCACTCAAATTTACCCAAAAACTAGCGGCAAATTGGATGAGCGATCTGATTTTATCAAAAAGTACCTTTTTCCAGATGCGCTGTGTGAAAACGCTAATGATGAACGTGCTTCTGGACGCGTCGAACGATGCGATCATGCGAATTGTGCAGGAGGAGCTCCGTGAGCATCAGAAGCGTCGGAAGACATCTTCCGTTCCAGCAGCGCCCAAGATTCTGAGTCAAAGTTCGGCACTTGCAGCTCTCGCGGCGTTTGGTCTGTGCCGCTGCCTACTTCTGGAATTTTTTCTTATTTTTCAGGTGATGGCGATGAAAGTGACGAAGACAATGAAGATGTAGGGACAGCGGAACGAAGCGACGAGCCGAGCCGAGCGCCGACTTCTTCAGAGCAGGAATTCAAGGCTCCCGTGGGTATACCTACTCGAAAGTTTAGTGTTAAGACTGATCACCCAAAAGCCAGCCACCAAAGCCAGGTTCTTGATGGTTCGCGCGCAGAAGGTAAGGTAAACCCTGCTTCTCTCATCTCAATCTCTTTTCGTTCTCTGTTCTTTTTGAAGTTGTTGCATGGGCCATTCTAGTGGAGACTTTTGTAATAATTTTCGAAAAAAAATCGTTCGTTTTTCAGATGTTAATCGAAAAGAGGAGAAGAGCAAGAGAGAGGTAGAGGAGGATAGCAAGAGATCGCACAAGAAGAGCAAGAAGCGAAGCCGATCGAGAAGCCGTGAGCGGGATTCAAGGCGCCGACGCTCGAGAAGTCGATCGTCGGAGCGTCGCCGTAAACGTTCGCGGAGCAGAAGCTCGGAACGACGGAGAAGAGAGCATCATCAGCATCGGCGTTGATTTTAATTGTTCGAAACAAATTTCGCTTTTTTTCCAATTCTCCCATTCCCTCTCCCGACTGTTTTGCGGTTCCATCGTTTTCCTGTCCTGTTTATCGCCATCATCACAATTAGTTTTGTAAATTTATTGATTGACTTATTTCACAAGAGTGACCTCTTTTTTCGCACGCGTGGAAATTATTTTCTTTCATATGTAACATCTCTGTTCGATAGTCCTTTTAACAAAACCAAATCATTTATTCGCCAGGCCCCTTCATTCCGCACGCGTATATTCTCTGCACGGGCTCATCAGTTCGATCACACTAGTGGAACGCCCTCCATTGACCCGGAATGTTCCAGTATCCAGGAGCCAGTGCGAGCAGTTGGACGCAGTTGTTTGGCGCATTTTTCGCCGCCGATCGCCGCCTAAAAACCGCACTTCTCATTTTGCGCTTTCTTGACCGTTTTCCGACAGAATTAGTTTTGAGAATGATAAATCACGTAAATACAAGCATTTTGAGCGCTCGAACCGCGAAAATTACCGAAAAGCAACTGAAATTCACGCAGTTTTAGCCAAAAACCTTCAAACGGATAAATGTGATTTGCGACTTGACCAAATTTAACGCTCTTGCGCTTAAAAAATTCATAATAGCCTATACAATTGGTCTATCGAGAGACAAATGAGAAATTATCGGTTTTTCGTGGCTAATCTGGCAAAAAAGACAAACTTTGTTGTTAAATTTTGAATTTTTCCATTTTTTGACATCGCTGAATAGGAAAAAAAACGGAAAACAATCATTTTTTCATCGCCTGAATAACCCGATAATCCGACTGAAACTACCCTTAATTTACCTGGACGATCTTTTCTATTTTCCACACACTTTCAGCTGTTTCGGTGATTAAGGTTTTTATCAATATCATTGCGAAAATCGTTGGTTGATAAACAAAACATAATAAATTGAACGTTGAATTAGAGAATTACATCCTTCACTTGCGACTTTTGGCGAGTTTCTCGAGCAGTCCGTAATCGTTCACTTTCTTGCGCTCGCCCCCTCCACTCTCAACGATATCATCGTTTCCGCCGAACCAAATGATCTCGATGTCCTCCTTCTCTTTGTACACTTTATCCACAAAATCCGGCCAATAGAGGAGAGGAATCAGGATGACCTGAGTGAGCGAAAAACAAGGATTAGAGCAGGATGAGACGCGACTCGATCGCCTACCAATCCGGCCCAATACGACGAGTAGATGAGAATGCAGGCGGCGGACGGAGCGGCGAAAAACGCGAAAGCCAAGAGGAGAAGAGCGCCGCTGTAGAGCGGCGGCAGCTCTTCCACGTGGTTCTGGAAGTCGTCGGTGGCCGTCCAAATCCGACATTGAACGGTTTGTTTGTTGCCAAAGTCGGTGCTTGTTTTGTACTTGTCGTAGAGCATTCCGCACAGAGTACACGCCAGCAGACATTTCTGAACACACAGTTGTTTGAGTAAAACTCGATCAGGGACTACACCAGAGATGTTGGGAATAAAAATTTTACTCTACGGAACATGGAACACGGAAGACGGAATTTTTTTTTTACGGAACACGGAACACGGAAAACGGAAAAAACTTATTTCTACGGAACACGGAAATTTTTTTTTTTTACGGAACACGGAACACGGAAAAAAAAAGATTTTTTTAAAAATAATGTTTTGTTTAATTCGATTATCTGACTGACAAGGCAGCTGTTTGACTCATGTGAAAGTTTTACTGAAAATTTCATAAAAATAACAAAACCAACAACACAACAGTAAACAACTACAGTAAAAAACGACTGAAAATGGAATCCACTTGTGATCGAATTTTTCCGCGGAAAATATAGTTTATACGGAACACGGAAAACGGAAAAAACTTATTTCTACGGAACACGGAACACGGAACAAGGAAATTTTTTTTTTACGGAACACGGAACACGGAAAAATATTGAAAAAAAACGCGGAACACGGAACACGGAACACGGAACACGGAATTCCCAACATCTCTGGACTACACTTATAGTTGTCACGGCTGTGTCGGGCCGTAAAATCACACGTATGACTAGATTAGCTTCAGTACTTGTTTTCTCTGCAAAAAAAACTCACAAAAACAATGATAGTTGCATATCCGCCGGGAGAATCTGTGAAGAAGTTCAGAATATTCGAGTAGTTCATCACAAGACCACCGACGAACAGAGTGATGAAGAATGGATTCGGTGGACGCAGTTTCGGTAGGATTTCTTTGAACTTGTTGTAATAGAGAACAAAAGGGAAGAGTTCCGAAAAGGTGATCACGGGCGGTCTTTTCGTCTTTTCGGTGCTCTTCGTCTCGCCCGGTTCGGGCTGCTCCTCTTCCTTTCGCAACACCAGTCTTCCATTGTGCACCTCCGGAATGTAGGTGACGTAGTGTGGTTCTTCGGGAGGGAACATGGTGGCTGAAAATGCATAGAGACTGAAAGTCGAAAAAAAGAGGGGAAACATGGACGAGTGCGGTGAGCCGGAGTGATTAAAGAAAGAGGGGCTTATCGGTTGTTATAGCAACCGGCTCACGCGGGGCATTCTGAGAAACACAAGAAACGCGATAAACAATAAGAGCAGGGTAATCACTATTTACCCTTCAGAGAACCACTAATATGTTAATTTCCGTGTGATAGCTAAATGTTGCGCTTCGGGAAACTCGAGCTATAGCTGTTTTCAGGATTGTCTTGAGGTTCATCTGTTCTCTCGGCATTCCCAGAAGATTGCTCCAATTGTTTCGTCAATAATGATGACGTGTCAGATGGTAATGGGGGTCACTGTGCTAATGGGTCTGCTGAGAGGGTATTCACTGCCACAACTGTACTACTCAACAACAAATGGAAACGAAGAAAAATGAAGTAATAAAGGGAATGGAACGGAGGATATTTAGATCTGGTTATCGATAATATCGTACTCGTACGCTTCGTCTACATCATCGTCATCTTCTTCTTCATCTTCATCCTCTTCATCGTCGTCACCGTCATCGTCATGCTCATTTCGCCCATTGCCCTCCTCATTTCCTCGACAAATTGCAGCGTTTTCTTCAATGAGCGTCTCTACGACTTCCGGCCAATACAGAAAAAGCACTAGGAGTGTCTGGAAAAATGTGCTCAACTCAAGTGAACATTCACAAACACTCACTGCAATGATTCGGACGACAGTGTGCAACGTGGCGAGCCAGACGGGAAATGCAAAATAGCCGATGGCGAAGCAAAGGTAGGAGTAGCCGTGCAGCCCGGGACTGTAAGCGGCCAATCTGATGAACTTGTGGAAGGCCGGACCGATTTCGTTGAGGATGTTCACGTTTATTGGTTTCTCTTCCTCATCCGCACCGTACAGGAAGAACCACAGAATGATTAGGAGGTCCAACTGAAAGAAAAAAGACAAGGCTTTCCGCGAGATACGACGAAAATGACTTACCCACGCATGATAATACGTATAATGTCGCATGGGCCGTGTTTCTGCGGTAAAACGGCAGAGAAAATTATAGAAGGTCCCGAGTATTAGGGTGAAAATAGTGAGAGTCCGGAACATACGTGCAATTGTAAGAGTCATTTTTAGAACAACCGAATATTGGGCCGAATAACAGGACAGAATGAGGAGTCCAAGACGGTCTCGTCTCGAGACGATCTGTCCTAATCCTCAATAGGTGATGACCATCTGCTACTGTCCAATTATTTTAGCGCAAAACCATCCTTTGCCGATGTGACAGACGATGTGTTCATCGAGAATGGGCCTATTGGGAAAATATTGAAATCGAGAAAAATATTAAAAACACAAAAATTGAAAACGGATGTGAGAATCGTGTTCTTCAAAACGAAACAAAAAGAGGCGCTTTTGAGACGAGAAAAACGTCCCCCGAGTTCACGTGTAATCCTGAAAGGTTGAAACGTTATTGCATTTTCGAAAAAAAAGGTGTGCGGTCAAAAAAAAGCGCTTCATAATTCCAAAGGCTGAAACTTGGTCGAACATTGTGAGTTGTTCTTCTGAAATTTGCGTTTCACACAAATCGACGTGCACGCGTTATTTCGGAGCATCGTACGAAAAGCGGCGAATGAAACGAAACTGGTGAATTTCGTCAGAAAGGAACTACTTTTCACGATTTTTACGTAAAGTATTATGATCATTTCCGTACGTTCACCTGGATGGTACCACTCATGAGGAATTGAGTTTAACAAAAAAGAAAATCAAGTGAGGGGTACATTTATACTGCACGGCGTGCTGAAACGTGTGTGTAAAAATAAAATCTAAATTTCGCGGGAAAAATCCCTCGTTTGAATTGGCTGCGAAGCGACTCGATTGCGTGGCTGGCACAGTGCCAGGGGTGATACGTAGTCGCTTCAACTTGCCGTGTACCGGCTAAATAGGTAAAACAAGCAAGAATACTGGGATATGGTGTCATGCCGAGATTGGTTGGATTAAAGCGATTGGTTTTGTTTCAAATTGGAGCTCAGACAGCGGAGAACGTTGCGTTGATGGCCCAGTGATCGGAGGGGAAGCAGAGGCACGAGCGGATGCGTTGACGGCCTTCCAGAGAAAATTTGACCTGGTTGATGGGTGCGTGCCAGAAGATGCGGTCGAATCTGAATGATTTCTCAGCAAAATGGTATAAAATTGCCGTTTTTACCTCAATCTAGCGTTGAAAAACCCTTGCTTGTTGTCATTCTGTCTTGTGTCCCACGTGAACCTGTTCTTCGCATCGCTTCCGGCCGACTCCCACGCATCTTTGAGCGTGGGCGGCACTCCGTTGACTTCGTCGTCGCGCAAGTTCAAGTCACCGCCGAAAAACAAGAAGCATCCGGGATTGGTTTCGACCAACTCGCGGCACTTGTCCATGCAAAACGCGAACTGCGCAATTCTCTGGTTCCGGTGCTCTTTCATCGATTCCAAGTGAGTGTTGAGCAGAAAGACTTTCATGCCGCCGACGGAGCCCTCGAGGATTTGAAGGGTACGGTACATTCCGGAATTCTGGAAGTGAATCACGTCGTGCTTCTCGACGTCGAACATTTTCGACACGAGAATCGCCGTGTAGTATTGGCAGCCCTTGTTAGAGTAGTAGATTTTGTAGAGCGATTGGAGCTTGTCGATCGGAGCCAGGTCACGGTCGACGACCTCTTGCAGGAAGAGCACGTCGGGATTCACGCTGGAAAAGAGTATTCTTTGAAATGCTCGGAGAAATCTAATAGCTCACGTCTTCACAATCTGCGCCACGGCTCTCATTCTCGTTAGCAGACTTCTTCCGTCCAAGCCATCGATATTCCACGACATCACACTGATCTCGAAGCCCTGCAGAACCAAAATTCGTTTTGAAATCATAGGTGCTTTGAGTTGAGCGCCGGCAGTTTGGGACAGGAAAATTTGGCAGGTCGGAAACATGTTTTGCCGTTTCTCAAACATCTCGCACCTATGTTTGAAATGTTTTTCAAATACCTTCAAATCATCGGCAGTCATTGGTGAAGCCTTCGGACCGTTTGACGACGAAGACGGACCCATAACGGCTTCGGTTCTCGCGTCTTTGAACGCTTCGCTGCCGTAGAAGACGTCCAACGCTTTCTTCAGATCCCAATCAACGTCCTGGAGAATCGATTGAGCCAGAATCTCGTCGGTATTGGTGATTTCTGCAAACTTCTTCATAGTCTCCTCGTCGGACTCTGAAATTCTTCGTTTTACATCAAATTCGCAACTTCTTTCGGAAAAGAACCTGGAGTTTTCTTATAATTCATAATTCCTACAATCTCGAATGACCCGTCTTTCTCTTCGTTTTTATCATCATCGGAAACCTCGCAAACTTCAGAATCTTCTGTATCTTCCGGTTCTTCGGAGACTGAAATTGTTTTTAATCAAGACTCATAATTATTTTGTGAGTTTTTCGATTTCAGACTCACATCTAGCTTTCTTCTGTTCTGGCTCTTTTTCCGGACTGCTTTCCGCTGACATTTTGTGATTTTCTACAGCAATTTCGCGATTTTTCAATCTGAAAGTGCGAAAAATATGTTGGGCGGATCCTCTGGCGATTGCGTTTCGCAAGTCTCAACGAACGGTTTTGGAAATGCAAAACGCGCGAGACTCATTGCAAGATGCGCGAGACTTCTTGTAACTTTTGAGTTTCATTGCAACATTCGAAAATCTCATTGTGACTTTTAAGTTCCATTGCAACATTCGAAAATCTCGTTGTATTAACTTTCGCACTTTTTGACAACATGCGAAACGAACTTGAAAGAGGAGTCAGTGTAAAGTGGGCGGAGTCTATTCTGCAAGCCTGGCACGCGTTTTCTGCTGCGGCGCGGTTCTATCGAACGTGGAATTATATCGCGGATTCATCTCGTTTCGCAGCGTTCTTTTGACGAATTCCATTCGTTTTCAGATGAAATCTGCTGAAAATGTAAGCTCTAGACGATTTTCAGCTATTATTTTAACTGTTTTCGGCCGGAAATTCTAAAAAAAACCTGAAAATTCAGCTGTTTTCTGACTTTTCCATGTTTGCCTGCATTTTCCGCATTTTCTTACTTTCATCCGGTTTCAATGGCTTTTTTTAGGAACTTGCCAACCTCTAGCGCTTTGAATTTTATCACGTCTCTTTTGACTTTTCTATTTTCTTCGAGAAATCCTCAAATTTTTCCGATTTTCAGATGGTGCAAGCAAACGGAGCCATCACGGGCACAATTCTGAAGGCTCGCTTCGGTAACGACATCCGCAAGTCGTCGCTTCACCACAACAACGACCTGACGTTTATCGATTTGTTGCTAAACGTCCAGCGAATCTTTGGGCTTCACGGCGACAGTAATGTTGTGCTCAAGTACAAAGATCTCGGTTAGTTTTGTCCTAAAAACGTGCGTTTTTTCAAATGAAATATCATTGCAGAGGGAGATCTGGTGACACTTGCCAGTGATAGCGACCTGTTGTTGGCGTTGCACACTGCTGAAGGCGCGCTTGATGTCACCGTGACTGTGGATTCGGAGGCACACGAGCAAGTGCTGGACGTGCAGAGACAAGTTGATCAGCTCAAGGTAAAAAAAATAAAATATCGCTTTTGAATTCTTATGGAAAACATGATATTTTTCAGGCTGCCACCCAGAAGTTGCTGAGCCAGTTGTCTACGCTCGACAACCTCTCTTCCCTGCTCGCGAGAACGTCCATCTCGGCTCCGGCTCATGATCACGTTGTGCTGCAGAAGACCTACGAGGCTCCGCCATCTCCAGTGCCATCCGAGAAGCCAGAGCTGCCGGCGACGATCCAGCCATCGCTCCAGGAGCAAGTGGACAACTTCAACCTTCGTCCAGCCCACGTCGAAGAGGATATTCCATTGGAGGCCTCGTACCCGCCGCAGAATGCTCCATTCCAGCCGCTTCAGGCCGACTCTCTGAACTCGAGCTTCTCGCAACCGCCGCCAATTGAGAACTTAGGCGCGATTCCGCCACCTAACGCCACCATTCCGTCGTTCCCGACTTCGAACGCGGCTCTTCCGCCTGTTCAGCCGGAGTTCAACCAGTATGCTCCGCCGCCGCCGACTCAGCAGTTCCAGGCACCCCCACCGCCAGTCTCTGCTTCATACTCCTCGGTCTCCTCGACCCCGGTTCCACAAGGAGGACCGCCACAGCCGAACTACGGAGTTCCGCCAGCGCCGGGTCCGTTCAATGCTCCATCGCCGCCAACCGGACCACCATCTGAGTACGGAGGATACGCCCCGCCACCACCAAATGCCGGATCAGGACCACAAGGGTTCGCTCCGCCACCACCACCACACCAGCCGCAATTCGGAGGACCACAGCAGCTACCACAATCCTTCCAGCCACCTCCACCGCAATTCGGAGGAGCTCCACCAGCCGGAGGACCTCAAGGATTCGCTCCACCACCACAGCAGCAAGGATTCGCTCCACCACCACCGCCAAGCCAGGGAGCCCCAGGCGGTTTTGCTCCGCCACCTCCACCTGGAGGTCCGAGCGGATTTTCTGCTCCACCGCCACCACAAGGATTCGCTGCGCCACAAGGGCCAGGAGCTCCGGGAGCACCAGGAGGATACGGAGGACCACAACAGGGAGGATTCGCGCCGCCGAATGCATCGTTTGGACCGCCACCGACCGGATTCCCAGCTGGAGGAGCGCCTCCACAAGGAGGAAATCCGTTTGCGAGAGGGCCGTCAGCCGGATACCGTCAATCGCCGTATCATCAGTGAAAGATGATGAATTCATATTAAATGTTTGATTGAACTCTCTAATTTATTGATGTTTTCTCCCCTTCTTCCCGTATTCTTCTCCTTCGTTCTTCCCTTCTCTGTCTAGTGTACTTTCACACACCCCTGTTTTCTTCTCCATTTCCACTCGCGAACCCCCAATTCTTTGTGATATACCAGTCTCCCCCCCCCCTTTCGCCCCTTACCGGAAAAAATGTGAATACGCTGCGGCTTGGATCTCCTATGGAGTTTTCGGCGCACATTCGCATCATTTCAGTACCACACAAATGGTAAAATCCGCCCCCAAGTCTGTCTGTCTGTCCAGTCACCATTTCCACCCCGAATTCGCAATGGTTTTGTGCTCTAGTAGAATATAAATTTATGCAGTGTGTAAACAGTCGAGTCTGAATTTAAAATAATGCAGCGACCCAGACCAAAAATGGTCATTTTAACATGAGCTCCTCCCGCCGGAACAATGCTCTTTTCGTCTCGGCTCTTCTAGTTTTTTTGATACTTCATACACAGATATCCGAGCATTATTATAAGAGGTTTGAATGGGAATTCAGAAAATAGGATGTCTTTTGGTTTCAGCTGCGAAAAATCTGAAATTATAAATTTCGAAGAGCTGGAGTGCGCCAGAATGTTCGACGGAGACGCGAATTCCCTGGCTCGCGGCTCATTATTCAAATTCGACGACGTCATCATTTTGGAGCAAATTCTGAGCTCCCGGGACAAATGCTCAGAATTTCAGAGCATTTTTCAATTTTTCCGAGAGCCGCGGAGTGCGGAAGAGCGCGCATTTCCGTTGGCCTACGGACTGCTCATCCACGACAATTTTGTGCAGGTATGAAAGTGCGCTCCATTGCGAATTCACTAAAAGTTTCAGATTTCTCTACTTTTATCCGCAATCTATCAGCCACAAAATCAATTTTGCCTCGCTATTGACGGAAATTCGTCTCCGGAATTTATTGAGCTCATCCGGATGCTCAGCCAGTGTTACGACAATATTTATTACTTTGTAGGTGCGCTCCACTGAGAATGCGCACTTTTCAGCGAAATAGACGTTTTTCTCAATGAAGCGCACTTATTTCACGTGAGAATTCTCGATAAAATACATTTTGAAAGGTGACGGAGGAAATTCGCTGGTGCGGCTACGAAATCCTCACCTCCGTCTTCAGATGTGTCGAGCATTTGACCGAATTGAAAAGCGATTGGAAATATTATCAAGTGGGCGAATTCTAGGTCATCAAACCTAGGCCACCGCCAATTTACAGTATTTGTCGGGAGTTGATGCGCCGTTAAAGTCGAATTTGGAAATGGTGCGCATTTTCAAAGCGCTGAACGGTAGTTTTAACGCGGAAATCGATCAATTCGAATATTATCGGCTGAATAGAAAACGGGTGTGTGACAATACATTTCTGGGCATTTTTTTTTTGGAAATCTCCTAATTTCAGCCCTGGAAATCGCCGCTTCCGCTGTTCAAAACCTCGCTTTCAGCCACTTTTTCACGAGAATCCGCAAATTTCATGGTCAAAAACGAGGTATTCTGGGCCACCAATTGGGAAAGTTAGGCCATTCCCCCCCTCTTGCAGAAAGTTCAAGAACAAATTGAGTATTTGCGAGGGACCGAGTGCGCCGACGAATCCCTGTGGGCCACAATTGCCGGCAATCCGAAAAGTATCTAGCTGGAAAATTGAGCAGTTTGATAACATTTGAATTTCCGCCAGCACTCGCAATGCCGGGCGGTTTCAACGCCCACACGTGGCTTCAGAAGAACCGCTTCGTGCCACGTCATCTCAGATTTAGACACGAGGAACGGAACGGCACTTACAATGTGACGAGTTACTATGTTTCGAGGTATCAACAATATGTGAATAGGCCCCCGGCAAAGTGTCAAGGTGAGTGGTGTGTCAACGCATATTTGTGCGCTGAAACTTGGTCGCAATTGCCCTCAATCCAAGTCCAACACAATTCAGCAAATTTTGGGCCCGATGGGATCATTGCGAATGGATCAAAAGTCTCGGTCAAGAGCCGGCAAATTGCCCAGTCCATTGAAAACCGCTCTAGAACTTTATTAATCCAGACACACATAATTGGTTCCTAGCACCTCAAGGATCTCATCCACCACTCCTTCCTCAGTCCTCGCGGCTCCTCCTCCTCCTCCTCCTCCTTCTTCTGCTGCTCCGTGGCCATCAGCACGACCGTCCGTTCTTCACTGAAAACTCGCGAGAGTTCGTGCTCCTCCTCGTCTCGCTCCTTCTCCGGCTCCTCCGTCACTGCTGCAAGAGAGCATGGCACAAAAAGCGATGAGACAAACTGGCGGGGCCGGCGGAGTTGCTCGGCGAGCACCTCCTCCTTCGTTCGCATCACCAGTTGGCTCTCCAGTTTCTGGCGGAGAGAACGGACAGACGGCGTCGTCAGCGGGCTGAAAATATTGCATTTTCAGAAAGAAATGGGTCAAGAATGTGACCTCGGCGCTTCTTCGTGATCGGATTCTTCCTCTTCTTGGAGCTCTGGCTCTTCCTGCTGCTCAACCACAAATAGCTCTTCCTGAGCACTCGGGAAGCACTCATGAACGTCCGTTTCCTGCTCCACAGCAGTCATCATCAGAATCTCCTCCTGCTCCTCTGTCTTGACGTCTTTAAGAGATGCTCCAGATGCTGCGGACGTCTTCTTCCACTGAATTCTGGGAAGCGAGGCGGCGGCGTCGTTGATCGCACACGTCCACTTGTGAATCTCATTGTTCCGAACGAACAAATGAATGTTGCCACGCGGCAGGCGGATCTTAATGTGGCATCGCGACTGAAAAGCACAAAGATTGTCAACTTCTTTTCGCCTCAAACTCACATAACACCGGTTGGGGCTCTTGTAGCGATCAGTGACGCAGATGACGTGGCTGGCGGAGCGGAGGTTGACGAGCAGTCCCGAATCGTCCGTCTCGTAAATGATCATGTAGCCGTGGCGGGTGACAAAGATCGGACGGTACTTAAGCGACGAAATGTCGTCGGGCAGGAAGAAGAAGCTGCTTTTGGTGCGAAGCAGACTCATCACCGAGCCGCGGTGCAGCACGTCTTCTTTGTGGACACACGAGTTGGGCAGGCTCGGGAGGGCGATGAACTGAAACAATACTAGTGGGTTTTTTTTATCCCAGGCCACCCCTCGCACGGCGACCAAAAGTGGTTAAATAAGCGTGGCTTAATCTGAGACGCGTTTTCTGAAAATTGCCGCAATTTCAGCACTTTTCCGCCATTTTTGTGTTTGATATCGACGAAAGAAGAGACACTAAAGCGAGAAAACATTGAAATTTTTGTAAAAACGCCGCGTTTGAGACGTTTTTGGCATATTTCGCATTACGCTCTCCGCGGCCAATTGCCGCCGCAATTTCGGAATTTTCATACCGGCCCATCTGGATAGTTTTGAGACGAAGTGAGTGTCGGAAGTGATAAAGCACGTTAATACAAGCATTTTAAGCGTTCAAATGGCAAAAAGTATCGGCGAATGACTGAAATTCGCGCATTTTCAGCAAAAAAACTTGAAAATCGATTAAATTGATTCATTCTCTGAATGAAACCTGCTCGTTTTAAGCTCAAAAAGTGCGCGGCGATTAGTTTAACAAAGTTATGCAATTACATCGTCGAAATCGTACAAAATTTCGGTAATTTTTGACGAAAAACATGAAAAAAAAAGCGGGTTAAATTTCGAATTTCGCGCCATAATGGTGATAAACCGTGCACGCTAGGCCACGCCCCTTTCTACGTTTTTGGTCGCCGTGCCTCGTGTGTCGTTGTACCTTGTTCAATCCTCGGGCGCATTGGAGCGGAAGCTTCATGACGGTTGGCGGCGGCGGCGGCGGCGGCGGCTGCGGCTGAGACATCTTTTCTGTCGTTGTCATCGTTTCGTTGATTGCGCGGGTGTGTGTTAGTAGGGGTTAGTCGAGTAGCTGTGTCGAAGCGGAAATCCTTCGGTAATAACTGTTCGCGGTGGATCGAGAAGCCACGTCGACATTCCGATGCTCCACTTTGATAAGAAATCGGAAAAGGTGGGGTGGACACGTTGAAATTGATCAAATTTCAGGCTACTACTACCGTTTCTCGTGCGTCTTTGGCGTCTATGACCTGCCCAATCTTGTAAAGTAGGTCACCAGCAACCGTACCCCCTACTACCGTAACCTTCAGACGTCACGAACTGATCGCCCACAAACTCTACTTTTCCTACCAACCCGCCGCTTTTCTGTGCCTCGTCGCCAACGCCCGTCGCAAATCGCTCGCCTCTCCGCAGTTCGAGTTCTCGGCCGACGAATATAAACAGTTGCCGAATGCGCCGGAACCTTCGGGTTTTTGAAATTGATATGAATTTGTTGATATAAAATAGTTCGAATAAACATTGCTCTCCTCCTCTTTTGAAACTTCATTTTTCTGCTGGACAGAGCACATCAGTCATGTTCCCTCCGCCGGCTGATTTCGATCCGGACGACGTCATCGCATTCAATTCACTTTATTTCACGGCAACTACCCTCTGCTTTCCGCTCATTTCTTTGGGAGTCTACTTCTGGTTTTTCAGAAACGGAACGGTAAGCATTACCGTAGTCAAACTTCCAAGAGCGTAATGGGGCTATTCAGCGTATGTTTGTTTTCCGTTTTTTTCGTTTTTTTTACATCGCTGAATTGGATTTTTTGACGTAAAAAAACGAAAAAAAAACGGAAAACAATCATTTTTTCACAGCCTGAATAACCCCATAAAGTTGTCAACTACAAAGATTGAAGTTCGTAGTTATCGGGTTAATCAGGCTGTGAAAAAAATGATTGTTTTTCGTTTTTTTTTCGTTTTTTACGTCAAAAAATCCAATTCAGCGATGTAAAAAAACGAAAAAAAAAACCGAAAACAAACATACGCTGAATAGCCCCATTAGTACTATAACTTTGTGATTGATAACCTTTTTCTAAAACAACCCTTGGAAGTTCTCTGCCAAAATTGCAGAGTCAAATTTTCCCCAAATTCATTCACTTCCACGTTCTCATGTGGATCTCTCTCATCTGCATCGTTTTCATCGCCGTTTCCACTCTTCTCTCCACTCTTCTCTCCTTCTACGCACGAATCGTTCTGGCGTTCACTGTCGGCTTTCTGGTGATGAATGGCCAAATTTTGCTCACAGTCGCATTTATTCAAACTCTACTGCTATTCACTAAAATGCCCGAGAAATTGGACATTTTCGGATTCGCATTTGACAGGTTTGACTTTTTGAATTACCCGCGCGCGCACATTTAAATCATGGATTTGCATTTAGAAAACGATTCATCGGCTGTATTTCCGCAGTGCTCTTTGTTCTTGAATTCGCATTTATAGCTTATACAGTCACTGCGAATCTCTATGTCCGAATTGATACAGTAAGAATAAGCACAATTTCAAATGGTTTTTACAGAATTCCAATGATTTCAGTGCATTGCTGACATTGAAACTAAACTAATATTAACAATGATTCTGACGATTGGTGTCTTTTTCGGACGTCGCAAATACCTGGGAAAGTGTTTGCAGCTCTCCGGAGACAAAATTCCGTACCTCATAAATGGAGTGGTCATTCTGACGGCCGCCCTGGTAAATGAGAAAAAAGCGCGAGCGCCTTTAAATTACTGTACTTACAGATGTGTCAATTCGTCAATTGGATTGTCGTCAACACCTCCTCATTAATGCTTCATTATTTCATCAACTCTCAAACTGTAATGCCGTTCGTTTGGCTCATATCGGCCTGGTTGACAATGCAACCGAAGGTGCTCGCAGTGTTCAGAACTAAGGAAAACCCGGTGGAGCTCGATCAAGTTGTTTTGGCCTAGATTTCTTAATTTCATTTCTTTTTCTCAACGATTTTTTAGATAAAGATTGCCGGAAAATTCGCATTTTCTCGTTTTTAGCCGGTTTTTTTCCCACCAAATGTGCGCATGACAAATGAATGCAAACAGTTACACCAAAGGGTGTCGCCATTTTAGCTGCGTGGCGGTCGCGGTGCGGTTCGGTTACCAAAGGTGAATTTTGAATATTTGAGCATATTTATTAGTTTTTGATATCTATCAACTGGAAATTTTTCGCTGCTCCCGAAAATCCACACATCTCTATTGCTACAATCAAATCCACCGAGATTTTCACAGTTTCTTTCATCCGAACACATTGACTTCGCTCCTTTACCGGTTTTCGCTAACGTGACAAAGTTTTGAGCATCATCTTTTTTGTCGTCCACAAATGGCCCGTACCGCGACCACTCCAAGATGGCAAAACGTCGTTTTGCCCCATAACGTGGACTTTCGGGAGAGGACTGGCTCAATCCGGTCATGAGAAGACTGGCCCAGATAAAATGGGGCCGATTCAGTCGGGCCCTCAACTGGCGGCGCTCGTTTTGGGCCAAAATGGAGCAGTGCTGGAACACCGTGTGGCTCAGAGAGTACAAGAGGAAGAGCGCCAGGAAATTGCGCGCGAGGTCGTTGTGATATAATACGTTTATGCTTTTTTGTAATATTTTCTTCCAATAAATCAATTCTCTTCTAAAAACCACTGTTTTCTTGTCATTTTCGTCCACTACAAAATGCGCATTTCTCCGCATGCCGATAAGAGAATCATCACCAAAAATGTCATTGTCATCCTATTTCAGCCATTTAAACCATTCAAACATTGAGCATTTTCAATGCGAAAATGAGCGAAGAGAAACAAGATCTCGAGGACTACATCCAGTACAACTTTGACGATATTCCCTCGTTCAAACTTGCACTTTTCCTCGCAAATGGCAAAATTGAGGTTAAAGTAGCGCTTGGAGAAGTGGAAGAGGCAAGTTTCCCGCAGTTTTATTGGATAAAACTGAAAGAACTTTCAGAATTTTCTCGAAGGCATTCGAAAGGCTTCAACTTCTTCAACTCTCGGCGCTTCTGTGCATATTGGCGAGCGAGAATTTGTGCGAAAATCGTTGGAATCCGACAAAATCTACGTGGCAGCCAGCGAGAGCTCCAGTATTTTCATGCAATCCGTCGCCGAAAACACTTTTGTCGTTTATTGTTGTGGAGTGTCCTGCGATAAGGATGAGCACCGAATTAGAGAGCTTATTCATGGGTTGATGGCTTGAAAGTGTACATGTGAAAGTATTTTTAGCAATAAACAATTTTTTGCAATTTTTCAAAAGAAAAATCTCGTAAACCAATAATTTAAAATTTTCTGTTTCTCTGACATTTTCACCTTGAAAATATGCACTGATGTTTGGTTTTTGGCTTTTGGTTTGTTTAAATTTCTGAGCGATCACTTACTTGTTTGCAAACTTTTCGAGCAATTTTTTCCGCGGAGCAACATTCTTTTCGCCCTGTTCCGCTCCGTTCCGCCGAGCTCCGCCGCTGACCGACGAGAGAGTGGTCAGCGAAGATGGCAGGCAGCGAGAGTGTCAAGGCGCAGCGACTTTTTCGGCTTGCGATATCTCGCCACGAAGAGAGCGCAGTTTTCGATTTGAACTGCGCTCGCTTGTTTACCGAGCCGCCTAGCGCCGCGACTGCATAAACAACCCATCGACGGCCTGTTTTTTGTTTTTTCGCATTCGATTCTTATCAAAAAACAGAGGGGGGCGGTCGCCAGACGTTCGCCACTTTCGAAAATGTCCATTCCTATTTTGAAAAGTGTTTCTCCTCGTTTTCGTCCCAAAATCTATCAATTCCCGCGCTTTTTCAGCAAGTATGGGCGTCGAGATCAACATTCTGAAGGAGGGAGACGGCGTCACCTCGCCAAAGGCCGGCCAAACCGTCACTTGCCACTACGTGCTCACTCTTGAGAACGGAAAGAAGATCGACTCGTCGCGCGATCGTGGACAGCCGTTCAAGTTCAAGATCGGCAAGGGAGAGGTCATCAAGGGATGGGACCAGGGAGTCGCTCAGGTTAGTATAAACGTTCCGTCTGAACAACGCTTTAAAATTTACTTTTTCCCTGCAGATGACTGTCGGTGAGAAGTCGAAGCTCACCATCTCGCCGGATCTCGGATACGGAACCCGCGGAGTGCCACCACAAATCCCGGCCAACGCCACTCTCGTCTTCGAGGTCGAGCTCCTTGGAGTCAACTAGAGAGCCCCCTCTAACTTTCTGCCACAACACGCTTCGTTCTAGAAGCTGTGTGCCTCGTCTCTGATAATCGCTGAATGATGATTCCTCTCTCTCTTATTTATCGGCTCCATAAATATTTTATTTCGAGAAGCCTGTTCATTTGTTTTCTAATCTATTTTCGGTGCTTGCAATCCCAGAAGGGAGCCGCTGATTTTTTCAGCCGCAAACCCTAAATATTTTGAAGGACTAATAATTTTTGATCCACTTTTCCAGTGCCCTAAAAGGCGTGTTTATTCGGCAGCAGTGTGCGCGGCGCCATTGCAAAACAATCGTGCCAGGGGTGCAACTGTCGGCGCCGCCCATCCATTTTCCGCTTTCATTTCAATCGCCTGTTTGTGTTCCCTATTCGGCGGCGATGGTGGTGTCCTTGAAGTCGAAAATTTGCCCGCGTTTACCTTGCCGAAACTGTGTTTCTCACTGTCTTCCCTTCATTTTCTCGGTCTTGAAAACTAAACTGGCGGGCCTCCGGCCGAAACGTAAGCGCAAGCCGGCCATTCATTCGTAATTGTGCGCGCGCCGGGCCGCCCATTCGCCCTCTCTCCCGGCCATCTGTTCGCCCTTCTCCCCGTCGTCCTTTTCCTCTTATTCATTCAATTTTCGAAACAATTCCGCTCCTTTGGTCGTTGTGCGTCTCCTGACTTTGAGGAGGCGGCCGATGAGTCATCCGTTGTATTTTTCTCATTCTGAAGAATTATCACGACCCCGCCCCATTATTTTCCATCAATTGACTTGTATTAAAAACCGGAAGAAGCTGTGATTGTTGCACAATTTAGATTTTCCACAGTATTTTGTTGTCAACGTTTGAATTTGGCGCTGAAATCTGTTTAAAGGTGCACTACGGGTCCCGCCGCGAACTTTCGAATTCCGCGCTTTTCTGCGGATCTTCGCCGCGAATTTTAAGTATTCTCAGTGTTTTTTGATGCTTTTCTGTTTCGCAATCACAATTTTAACTTGCCTCGCCGGCTAAAACTCAATTTTCGGTCGCTTCTGTTGTTTCGCAATCGGTCACTACATGCGCGCTTCTATGATTCATCGTGTTCGGGCCCGCCTCTGCCTGCTTCTGACATTAAATATGTATAGAAAGAGGGAAGGCGGTCTCCTTTTAGTAGTACACCCACAGCTGAATTCATTTGATGACCAATCGGCCGGGGGCCGCCCGTTCGTCCGTCTTCCCTTCCTCTTTGTCACTCTATGCCTGCCCGTGACGAGCTGACCATTCGCCGTCCGCCGGCGTCACCAGCCAGTCCGTCCTCTCCGAGCAGCTAACGACCACCACATGGCATGCAAACATTCGTCCTTTCCCTTCCATCTCTCGCTGCCTTGCCTGCTTTTGCTCTTTCTCTCTATGTGCTCGTTTCCTCGTTTCCTCCTCGTTAAAACCAATTAAGCGACGCCTCCGTTTCTTCATCTGGCTCTTTTCAGAACACTTCTCCCCTACGTTTCTCACTTCTCGCCCTCAAAATGTCCGGATGGAATGCCTACATTGACAACATGATCCTCAGCTCGCCAGCCATCAAGCGTGCCGCCATCGTCGGGCTTGACGGCTCTGTTTGGGCCAGAACCGAAGGCGACAAACAATTCAAGGTGAACATTTTGCTATTCTCCTTCGAAAACTGAAAGAGATGGTTTTAGGCCGGAGAAGCGGAGCTCAAGACGTTCACCGCACTCTTCAATGACGTCTTCAACGTGCCGTCAACCGGAGCCGACATCGAGGGCGTGCACTATGTGGTGCCACGCGCCGAAGAGTCGCTCATCTTCGGAAAGAAGGACAACACCGGCTTCTTTGCCGTCAAGACCAAGACCGCCGTGCTGATCGCCGTCTACGAGGGACCGAACGAGGTGGCCGCTACGGTGCGCAAGACTGTCGAGAGCGTCGGTGGATACCTGACCTCATCCGGATATTAAGCATCTACCACATATTTCCGTATTTATCTGTCCCCCAGAATTGCTTTGCCTTCGTTTCCAATCCCCTTTCCTTCGTCCCTCCTCTCTCTCTCTATCGTTAGTTCCCCCTACGAGTACAACGATGAAATTTCGGTTTTCTTCTGCGTAATCTGCTTGTTTTCTTCAATTGTACCCTCCCCTGTCCCATCGGCCTCTTATATTCCAAGTACGTTTCACTTTCAGCTTTATGTAAAAGTATTGTTCCCGCCCCCACGCCAACTCCTTCACTTTTCCCTATTTTCCATTATTTTTTAAATCAAGTGAAATGTTAGTTTTAATCAGAAATCATCGCAATAATTTATTCGAGTTCACAAGGCGCGCGTTAAAGATACCAGTTTTTGTGAGCACATGCAATAGATAGATGGATATAAGGTAGCTAGCGTCGGGGCGCGGTGCCGGTTGAAATTACGTGCGCACAGACGTCGCATACTCGCACTCGCTTCTCCTCTCCGTATTTTGCGATCGGCATCGTCGTTTCTGAGCATTTGGAGCACACGTGGCGACCGCAATGTCGGCAGTGGTGCTTGCGGGAGGTCAACGAGAAGCGGGCTCCGCAATCGCAGGTATCGCCGTCCGACCAGCGCGGTTCCGCCTCCAACGATTCTGAAATAGCGAAGGTGAATTTTAGTCAGGGAAATCGGAAATTCTAGAGTTTTCTGTTTTCACCCGTACCTAGCAATCCCAAAAGAAGCTGTTTCGTGGCGGTTTCGTAGGTGAACACATTCACGTCTCCGTGATTTCGCTGTCCCATACATGCTCTTCGTCGGAGCAGTGCCCGGCAGACGCCCGCATTGCCCTGCGAGTAGGCGATCATGAGCGCCGTGTTTCCGTCGCCGTCGCGCGCGTCGATGAACGCGGCGAGCTGCTTCTCGTTGAGCGCGCCCGACAACTCTTCGTAGCCGAGCACCAGTTCGACGACCTCCGTCGACGTGGCTCTTTTCGGCAGTTTGTCGATGGTGAGAAGCGCGCAGATGTGCAGTGATGTGTAGCCGCTGGAAATAAGGGGGCTTGAATTTGAAAATTTGACTGTTTTCAGGCTCACATTTTATTCCTCGTGTGTCTGTGCGTTTTCGGACTGTCCGCCACCGCCCGAATACAATCGACGGATCCGCTGCGGACGGCGCACAGCATCGCGTTCTCCCCGTACTCGTCGCGCACATTCGGCTCGGCGCCGTTCTCCATCAGAATCGCCGCGTGCTTATCATTCCGATTTTTGAGCGCCTCGAGAAGCGGCGTGCATCCGTCCGCCGACTTCACGTTCACATCGTCGTTCACGAGAATCAGATTGCGCAGAATCATTTCGTCTTTGGCGACGGCCGCAAGATGAAGCGGACTTTTGAGCGAGCCGTCGGTGATCGGGCGCGTCGCGTCCGCTTTTGCGACCGCCAACAGGAAGAGCACGCTTTCGATGTCGTTCTGACGGATCGCCTGGTGCAGAAGGTTCTCGCCGTTTCCGTTCGTTTGGACGGCCGCGTGCGGTTGACGCGCGACGATCAGCGCGGCGATCTGCAACGGAATGTTGGGTACTTGCTAAGTATTTTATTCATTTTCCAATCAAACCCTTACTTTGCACAATTATCAATCTTGGTTTGGGTTTAGAGAGTTTAATTTCAAAGTTTCAGCTTGACCGGATCATCCGGTCTGGAGATATATTGACTTTAGACCGAAAAGTTTACGTTTTTTTTCAAATCTCCAAATTGCCTGGTTCGGAAAAAAAAGATAATTGATAATAGCAAACCTACCGTATGATCTTTTAAAGTCATCGACTGCGACAGAACAGTCTGTCCGAATCGGTCGCGCATCGGAATGAATTCGACGGTCGGCGCGGCGAGCAGCACTTCCACGCCCTGCACATTCTGCTCGCGCACTCCAATGTGCGCCGCCGTTCGTCCGTCCGAATCCACTTCGCACAGATCGGCGCCTTTGTCCCGCAGGGCGCGGAGCACCTCGTTCTGCGCCCAGGAGACGGCCATGTGGGCGGGCGTGAACTTGTCGTCTTCCGTCGGGCTACTGTACTCTTTCCGCGCGTTCACATCGGCTCCCGAGTTGATGAGAAAGACGGCGCCCTGCTGATCGCCGTCGTCGATCAGCCGATGGAGCATAGTTTGTTTCGTGCTCCAAACTGACGCATTTTCAGGCAGAACTTCAGAGGTGGCCGAGAGGACCACTTTTGATTCGATGTCACATCCAAAGTTGACGAGTAGCGACGCCACATCGTAATGCTGATGAGCGAGCGCCGAATGGATGAGCGTGTAGCCGGTGGAGCAGCGGGCGTTCAGTTTGCATCCGTTCGAGATAAACGCGCGGACCGTGTTGACGAGTCCGCGTTCGCACGCCGATTCGATGTACGATTTGCCGTTGAGCAAACTGGAACAATGGAAACTAATAAAAAATAAGATGTATTTATACTGACTCGTCATTTTTGGCTTTCGCGTCGTGCTCGATTAAAAACACGCCTATTTCGTCGTCCTGCGCCAGAATCGCTTTGGCCAAGAGACTTATTCCGTTTTTATCGCGTGAATTCACATCCGCACCGCCTAAAAATCAAGGTTACTACGGCTACTCATCTTTTCCGAACCTTTTATAACAATTCTGGCGCTTTTCAGATCCTTCAACTCGACGGAAATATCCAACGGCGTCTTGTCATCGTCGTCCCGATTCCACTGCAATCCCCTCCGCGCCTCCACAATCTTGCTCAGAATCTCGGGTGCTTTCGCGAGAGCGGCCACGTGGAGCGGGCTTCTCCCCTTCGCGTCCGTCACTTGCACGTCCACGCCGGCGGCGAGAAGCGCTTCAACGCCGACGACGTCGTTGCGCGAGACGAGTTCGTTGACGAACGGCGTGTCATCGACGATGCGCAGGTCAACGTGCGCGCCGTTTTTGAGCAAAAGCTCCGAGATTCGTCGGTTGGGCGCGTCGGAAATGAGAAGACACGTGGAGAGGGCGGTGTGGCCGTCGGAGGTGGCGGTGTCGAGGTGGGCGCCCGAGCGGATGAGCGCCTCGCAGATGACGTGGTTGTTGTGGATGACGCTTCGCATCAGGGGCGTTCTGGAAAAAAGGAATAGTAGCAGAGCTCTCGGGCAATGTGTTATTCAAAATGTCAATTTTCAGGTTCTTTCAAATTAATTTCGTTCAGAAATTCGCTCTTCGAGGTTCTTTTTGCCAAAATGTTTGCATTTTGCGCTAAAAGTGCGATAGAGCGCACTCGCGTACCTCTCCTCGCCGTCCACTTTATTCAGATCCAACTTCTCCTTATTGCTCATCAACCACTGCGCCAATCGGCTCGAATCGATGCGTGCCGCCACGTGCACTAAATTATAATCGCCGGGAGTTTGGCACGCTCTTCCGTCAGCTCCGTGTTTGAGTAAGAAGTCGCACGCGGCCAGATTCTCCGCCCGGCACATCCTCATCAGAGTCGTCTCGCCTCGATCGTCGCGGGCGTTCAAATCCGCGCCCTTTTCGACGAGTTGCTCGGCAATTAAGAGCGCTTTTTCGTCTGAATATGCTTTTGTCAGATTTACCGCCATTTTTTGCACGTACGATGCGAGCAAAGCGCTTTTTCCAGCGCCGTCGCTCCGTTTTCATCGACTTTGTTGAGAATTGCGGGGATTTTCTGCGAATTTTGCATGAAGAACAGAAAGAGCACGTCTTCGCGGCCGATCGAAACGATCGAGTGGAGCACGTGTGCCGTGTTTCTGCAAAAAATATATCCTAGGATAGTTTGTACGAAAAAGAAGAGCAAACCCATCGATAAGTCGATAAAGGAGCGGAGCAGTCATATTCGAAAAGTGGGCGGGGCCTAGTTGGCTCCACGAGCCGGCAATCATGGATCCACACGCCGTCGAGAGCTGTTTTAGGTTCTGTTTATCTGCGAATTCGTAGATTTGAACGCAGTTTTCGACGTTGAGACGGCCCGAGAGTTGACAAACGCATCTGGAAAATTTGTTTGGAAGGAAATGGATATTTACGTGAAAACGGTATTGTAAGGTAGGCTGGTCGAATAGGCGCAAGCGCCTAAAATCGCCTGTTCGGCCGTCCTATTGTAGGGTCTCAAAATCAGGTTTTTCAAGTACAAAATCGCTAAAAATGCATGACAATGATGTTTTTTGCAATTTCTTAAAGTTCTAAACCAAAAAACCTACACAGTCTGCAGCTGGTCCAATTTGAACGCACACGACACCTCGCACACTTTCAGCAGTTCTCCGTCGCTCATTTTCAGGTCGATCTCGTCCGTGTACATCCATCGGATCACTATTCCGAACGCTTCGACGTCCACCTCTGCCGCCAGCACTATTTCTTCGGCCTTGTCGAGCACATCCTTCCAATAGTCGGTCCGAGCGGCCAGCACATATTTGTGCGCCGCAAATCGGTGCGCGGAGCCCGTGTGCACAATTGACACGTCGCTGAATCGCTCTTTTTCGAGAAGCGACGAGGTGAGCGTGAGAAGGCGACCGGGCAGAGAATTCGAGGCCGACGTTGACGTGGCACACTCCAACTCGTACTTTCTACGAAGCTCCAGATGCTCTGACTGAAAATGGAGAGGTTCAACGTATTTAGAAGTGTTTTTATTTACCTGAAGAGCATTAAACTGCTCTTGCAGAATCTGTAAGTAGTCGATATGTGCAGCTGGTTTCCCTTTGTCACCCATGGTTTACCTGAAGATGCGTTTTCTGCTTCTCTACTGAAAAAAGAAGGAAAGAAATAGAGAAGCATGAAAAAAACATGCTTGACAAGAAAAAAAGTGACTTTTTTCGGGTAGAAGAGTTTATTGAAAGTGGAAAAAGTTGAGAACGAATCGATAATTCTAAGCTTGATTAGCAATTCTTTCGGGAAGAACAGGTTTCATCGGCCGGCGCGGCACTAGATGGACACACAATTCGTTTACACAATTTCTCGGTTTACCTCAATTGTTTATATCAATCGAGTTCACAAACTAACCTTTCATTTCTTTCTTCTCATCGAATTCTAACTGCATTTTCGCCGATTCGTGCCGGGATAACTGGAAAAGTGCTGAAAATCCGCAAAACATTACGCGCAAACGGTGATTTCTGTTTGGGGTCTCGCGGAGGTTTCTAGTCCGCGACCCCGCGCCCATGGCCGCAGGGTCACGCCGTTCTACTAGGCCAAAACAGGTTTTCCAGATCTGGGTGCCAAAAACTTCGTCCCCTTTTTTTCAAATCTCGAATGTGATAATCCTTTTCAGGACAACTTTCCGAGCCTTTTTCAGGGCTCTCTCAGACCATACCAGATAAGATAATCCTGCTTTTCAGAGTTTGTTTAGCAAGAATTAAATAATGTTACCCATAATGGAAGAAGCGGAAGGCAAAAGAGAAGCACCTAGAATAACAATAATGACGAAATTAGGGCCGGGAAGGAAGAGAGGAGGATAAAAATGCGAATATCGTAATCTTAACAAAAGCGATGCATGAATATTTGAATGAATAATAATAAATAAATACATTTAAATAAAGGTGATATTTTTATGATCTGACTCCTCCCATCATATCGAGAATATGCATTGCCGAGCGAGGCACTTGCGGTCCGTCTGGTTCGACACTTCCGCGCAGCTGTAAAAGTTATGATTAACATTCTAAAAAAGACGTTGGGCGTACAGATGCTCCGAAGAAGGTCTGAAGTCGCTCGTGCATCGCGTCGAACGAGGAGACGAGTACTTCGTGGTACGTCTGCTGATCGGCTCCGATCGCGGCGGCGTTCGCCTCGATCGCCAGTTGGCACGCGTTCATCAGATTTCGGAACGCCTCCCTCAGCTTCGCAATCGCCTCCTCCCCATACTTTTCCCTCTGCTCGTCCTTCGTGAACGCTTCCGCATAGGCAAGTGGTCCCGCGTTGACAGTGGGCAGCACGGCGCCCTGGAGCAGTAGTTGCAGTCCTTTCACGTCGAGACGCCTTCCGTTTGCCGCCGCGGCGAGCGTCTTCCGAATCTGCTCCGCTTTCGTCGACAGCTTCTGACACGCAAACTCGAGCGGCGAAAACTGCTCGTGGGCGACGTGGACGACCGGCAGACGTCTTCTCGTGGCCGGAAATCCTCCGGCCGCCACTCGAAGGACCGTTCGCTTGAGCACTTGCTCATGGATCGCCGGCTCCCTCGACACTTTCCGCTCGTTCTCCACAGACGCGCATTCGTAGGAGAACTCGTCGAGGTTCGTGTGGATCGTAAAGTCGCTGACTGGCGCGGCTGGTCCCGGCTCCTTGGGTGCTTCGACCGGTTCCACGTGGGTCACTTGAACGTAGGCGACTGTGGGGTCGATTCGCGTGAGGTCCATGTGCTCGTTCGCCTCGATTTGCACCCGCTCGTGGCCAACTGCCCGCTGACATTTCTCCTTGATGTCGAGGGCGAACGCGGCGAGCGAAGTGAGTCCCAGTTCACGGTAAATCCAATCCGTATTGTGTTCTTGTCTGCAAAAAGGCACGAATTCGGCTGTATTTAATATCGCCAAAAAACTGTACTTGAAATGCGTTGCTCCATAGAATCGAACTCGGAAATACGTGCCCAGATGTCGTTTTCCGCTGCTCCGCACTTCGGCGGCTCGACTGTACGTCTGCTGAAGTTCCGCGTACACACTGACCAGTGACTGCAAACGGGGGGAATTCTTAAGAACTTTACGAAATTCCACCAATTTTTACCGTAAAATTCATATTCTTCTCAAGCACCGGCACAATGAGTCTGTACAGCGGTCCGACGGCTTCGAATCGTTCGGCGAGCATCAGCGCCGCGGCGGTTTTGTCGATTTTTGTGCCCAAATTTTCGGTGGTAAAGCCAGCGGGCTGCACGTTTCCGGCGTCGCCACGCGCCTGTTCCGTCTCAGCGATTTGCGCGTTTATCCAGTCGAACACACGCCAGTCTACCTCGATTTCTTCTGAAAACGGGAAGATTTCAACATTTTTAAAGAATTATCAATTTTTTTTTGTGGAACTTTCAGCAATCCCCTCCAACGCTCACTTCTCTCCTCCAACTCCTTTGCGATGATGGCGACCGAGTGGGCGTGGCAAACGGACGCCTCGGCAAACCAGCGATCCTGCTCGTAGAGCTCTGCCAACGTGTCGAACCAGGCACTTCGCAGCGCCGCCGATCCTCTGTAGCTGTCGGCGAGTTGAAGATGCAGGTCCGCGAGTCGGATCGGATCGTTTGCCGCGTCCTTAAGCGCCACAGTTGCCGACATCACTCCGCGCAGCTGACGTAGCAGATCGAGGACTGCCAGGTCGAATGACGTTGCCTTTCGGTTGTCGACGAGCGCTTCCACGGCTGCGAGCCCCCGCTCAAAGGCGGCCGAATTGGAGAGCACCGACTGGAAGCCGAGGAGACGGGCGAGAGCGACGCCAGTCTGGCTGCCCGGGCGGCCGAGCCGTTCACTCGAAACTCCTTTTCTCGGCGCTGCTGTTTTGGATGTAGACGGGGAGACGCTGTGAGCGAGAGCCTGACTCGCGTAGTAGCCCTGAGCCACCTCGTATCCATTCCGTAGTATCAACTGAAGGAGCGCGGCGGCGGCGGCCTGCACAGCCGGCAATCGGCTGGCCATCTGAATGAGCACCTTCTCGATGAGCATGTACAACGGCTCCAGCGGTCCGCCTTCGAACAGCCGGACCCGGAACAGATTGACGAAGAGCGCGAGGCCGGCGATGACGTGCAGTCGGACGGATTCGCTCCAGTGTTCGTCGGCGAGTCGCAGGTGGAGCGTGAGCAGTCCGACGAACAGATTCTCCGAATGCGGCCAGCAGCGATGACGTTGCGAGGAGGCCAGCTGATGGGCGAACGTCTGCGCGACGTCCAAGACGATCAACGCGACTTCTTGTGATAGATTCACGAGTTGGAGCACTCGGAACGGCACCGAGTTGGTGGCTGATGCATTGGCCGAGTCCTCGTCCGGAGTCACTTCGGCCGACATTCGATTCGGGGTGGCGGCGAGACGGGCGGGCAGGTTTAGAGTGAACAGCGAGCGGGTCTTCGAGTTGGCCGCCGTCCGCTTCAGCGCCTGTTCCTTCCCGCGATATCTGAAGATGTCAACGATGAGCTCCAAGAGTTGCAGCATCTTCTCCGCGTTCGCGCCCTCGTTCTCCGTCCAAATCGCCGCCAAAATTCTTTTGGGCATTCGTTGCAGGATGAACACACAGCAGATGAGCAGATCCTGTATCTCGTCCTCAGTCAGCTTCTCCACGAGAGGAGTCGCCGTCGTCGTCATCGTCATCGTCGCAGTGGCCGTTTTCGGAGGTGGCGGAGGCATCTGCGGCGGTCGGGAGGTGGTCGAGGTGGCCGACGGGACGGGGCTCGAGTTACGGACGGGACTGCCGCGGGCGAATTGCGCGGCGGGCACGATGACGTTGTCCGCGTAGCGATTCACGGCTCTCCACTTCGATTTCGACGGGATCGCGGCGGTGGTGAAGGATCGGAAGCCGGTAGGTGTGGCGTCCACGTCTTCATACTCTTCCGATTCAAACTCGTGCAGGTGGTCGAGCGCGAACGTGAGCACTGGCGCGTAGAGCATTGCGATTCGGCGTTGGGTCGTCTGGAAAGGGAGGTTGAAAAGTGGCCTTCAGAGTAAGCCTACCATATCCGTATATCGTTTGTCAAACGAATGTTTCGCCAACAAATTTCTCAACAGCGAAATCGGTCTCTTTCGGTAGTCCTTCGTCTCTCGTATGCACGCCACCAATTCTTGCATGAGAAGGCCGACGATGAAGTGATTTTGAGCGAAGGAGGCGCTCAAGTGCCATTCTCCAGCGCACGAAGCGTCTAAAATTATATTTAAAAAAAAAGGTTTGAAAAACAAATTTAAATAAGTACGAACATCGATCAGTTTCGTTGGTTTCGAGCGTTGGCGTATTGAATATTTGATTGAAGAATCGCGAAAGGAATCCGGAACCACTGGCTGAAATGAAAAAAAAATAGAATCTTCAGCATGTTCTAGAACTCTTACAATTCGTCGTCTGCATCTGTGTGTCTATCACTCCGCCCGAGTAATTGAGGCGTTGAATTTGGCTGCCCGCGTTGATGAGCACCGGAAGATTGAGCGGAACGTGATGTTCGTGCAGACACAACACTTCCAGCAGATCCGTTTTGTAGTCGCGCAGGGCTCGGTTGTCGGTGTCGTCGAGTCGGGAGACGTAGAAATGAATCCATCGGAAGACGACGCCACGGTCCACGAAGCTCATTGCAAACTGGAAAAAGAAAACGCAAGGTTTTTCAACGCTCAAGTAAATACTCGCTCCTCCCCAACGCACCCTGGTGAAATAGGCCAACGCGAGATTCGCACACCGGCTCTCCTCCTTCATCTCCTTGTGTTTTCCGACAATCTGCGGCACTCCGACCTCCAAAACCTGTCCCATTTGCTCCAAAAGCTCGCCGGGAAACCGATCGCGTTGCGAGATCATGCTCAACTTTTCGGCGCACATCGTCTGCGCCATACTTTTGACGACGGCGTCCGTGAGCACCCAAAGCTGACGGTAGAGCATCGCGAGCTCGTCCGGCTCGTTGTGCATTTCACGCATCAAATTCGGCAAATGTCGACAGATGACCGAGTAGATTGTGGCGTCGTGCGAGACGAATTGTTCGCGGGACGCATCGGAAAAGTGATACTTGACAAAGCGGCGAACCACTTGCGGCTTCCCGTTCTGACAGCACATGTCGCAAATCGAGATTATCGATCTGAAAGAAGATACAGTAATCGTCAGCAGAAGAAACGGGAAGGAGATGCACCTGATGGTGGCCATCGCTAGCTGATCGGTGGGTGCTTGGGGGAGGATGGCGAACAGGCGACCGAGCACAATCGGAAGGTAGACGAGCAGACGATCGAACGGCACGTCCGACAGCAACTGGAATCGGTGGCGTTTGTGGAGAAAGTTGAAGGAGAAGTGGGATTCGGAAATGTTCAGATTGCTGGAATGTCCTTAAGGGGGCAGCAATCTGGAGACAGCTTCTGGACATTTCCGACTTTACCAAAAAAAGGCGAGTTTAGCAGCTTTGTCGGTTTAGTTGGGTTCAAAAATGTTAGGATGTCAGTTAGACGAGAAACAGGGATAGGCAGGACGTACACGAATGCTCTGAAGGAGGTGTTTCATGTGGGGATCCTCGTCCAACGACATCGATCGATGCATCGAGTCGGCGATCGGCGAGCACGAGCGAGGATGTCCACTCATCAAGGGCTCATTTTCGGGCGGCGACGACGATTTCGACTTGACCATTCTCTGCGGTTAAGTGAGATGAAACCGAGAAGAGGGGCGGAGAAAGAGAAACAGTCGACATTTAATGTTAGAAAAGTAACAAAAGGTGTGTCCGATTACCTTGAGACTATCGGCCGCGTCGCCCATGATTCCTTTAGCGGAGAGACGATCGCACGCCTGGAAGAACGTCTGAAGCTTGGCGTCCGTCGTGAAAACCGACGAGACGAGGCGGAGACGCACTCGGAACAGCGGCTTTTGGTCGACCCATCGCACTTCTGACGAGGATTCTTCCTGTAATCACTTTTTTCCCCCTATTTTTCTCTCAAATTCAGCATACCCCTTTGCCCATGATCGTTGGTTTCGAGCGATAATAATGCGTGGGCAGATCGATGGCGACTGGAAGTGCGAATTCCTGCTCGTCGCTCTCCAGCACGAGTCGATCCTTCTTCCAGACGAGCGGAAGCCACGCGTACCCGATGGGCGTTTCTGTCGATTCGGGCGTTTTGACGCTCGTGTTTCCGGCCACCGAAATGTGCGAAAACGAGAAGAGGAGGTGATCGGAGGTCGTCAAATTCAGCGGCAATTGCGCTTTCATCTCGTCGCCAAACACCGGATTCTGCTGATGATGTTGGACGGCGCACGTGGCCGAGATCGTGTACGGTCCGGCCGCCGACATCCGATCCACCATCGCCTTCTCCGGTATCGCCTCTTCGCCGCGCACGAAACGCACGGTACAGGAAATGTTACGGGCTTTCGAGAACGCCTTTTGCGAATCATATCTAAAGGGAAAAAATTGGGGTCTCGAACAGAAATATCGGGGAGTTACTTCAGTCCCAGCGGGTAAATGTACAATAGATTCGTGAGAGAAGTGTGTGGCTGGCTGGGTTGGTCTCCGAATGTTTGAAGTTGGAAAGTGGGTGGAGTCTTGGCTTCTTCCGGCTTCCAGGGGTTCAGCGGGTAGAGCGACGGGTTTACACGACCTAAAGATGGACAAATTGGGGAAAAAAGTTATGGAAATCCGCAAAACTAACTCAAATAATCAATGACAGTTGCGCGTGTGTTCACCGAAACACTGACCGATCCGTTCGGCACGCACATCTTGCTGTGTTTCTCAATCTTATTAAACTCCAGCAAACACTTTTGCAAATCAGTGTCGCCGAATCGATTGGGTTCGCATCTAAACAGCTGAAGAGCGTCGGCGCCCGATCGGGACCAGGCTCCGGAGGCCGCGGACGACGTGGACGTGGAGTTGGTGAGTGTGCTGCTCGCGGAGGAGCCGCCCTCGTTCCGCAGCTCCGGAAAGATCGGTTTGGCGGTCCACGCGAATCGTTGGCGGTGTCCCGCGAGTCGTGTCATCGACATTGCAATCGTCTTCTGCAGTTTTGTCACTGCTTTCGGGTCATTTGCCGATCTGGAACTTGATAGAGCTTAAAGTATGTCTAGAGTGTGTGTCTAAGTTTTCACAAAAATCTTCTATTCAGTAAAACCGTACTTCATGTACAAATCGGCAGATGTGTCCGCCGAAAGAACCCGATCCACACGGCAAACGAGCCACAAGTCCCTGTGAGCGACCGGCAATTGCACGAGCGCTTTCGCTGCGGATCGATCGACGAGCAGACTTCTCCGGATGCCGTTCACTTTGATCGAAGCGTCGAAAACCGGCTCGGAGACGTGCAATTCCTCTCCGTTTACCAAAATCTGAAACTCTTCGCACACTCTTCGCGCCTCCATCGCGTCGAACACAAAAAGTCGAACGTAGAACGGCTCGATTTGCTGGAGAATTCCGGAAGGTGTCGGCAGGCGGAGAGTGAGTGCGTGAAAGTCGATGGAAATGAGTAAGGGACTGGAGGAGGGCAGTCCGGGCGGCAATTGGATGCTGACAGAAGGTCCCGAGCGCTTGAGAGACGACGTTTTCCGCATTTTCGCGGGGGTAATTGTATCGGGCGGACTTCTGGAGCCACTTTTGCGGCCCGAAGACGACGGAAGAATGGTCGAGGTGTCGTAGTTGGCGTGTGGAAGTGGTTGAAGCCGATAGTAGAGCGAGAACATGTTGCGACGCTCGACTATCGGAGGCTGAAGGGCACGGGCGGCCGAGTTGCGGCCTCTCCACGGCTGCATTTCACTCGTTCGCGCTGAAAATTGAAGGAATTCCAGAAATTGTGAATGTGTAAAGACATACAATTGGAGCTGTCCTCCGAGCCAATGCTTTCCGTGTCCGGAGCTGTTGCTCTGGTCGTTGACGTGGAAGTTACGGCTTCTGACGACTTGGACGCTTTGTCAAGGTCCGAGCAGATCGAAAGAGCGTCTTCTGGAAAATTGCGAAATGATTGATTTTCAGATTTTCATCAAAAATGTATTGGAAGCTGGTGAAGCCGTTCGAGTGGCCCACAACTACTGTTTTCGAGCACAAATTTGAATGAATTTCCCCAAATTTTGTAGATTTTAGCCAGAAAACCCTTTAAAAAACCGTGCCTTTGTTGGCAAAAGCGATGGCGGTTTGCAGTGCGACGAGCCACTCCTCCAGTTGCGACGTGTCCTCGCACTCCAACAGAATCGACTTCTCCTCGGTGCCTCTCGCCTCGATTTCCAGAACAGTTTTGCCTTTTTTCGTCGATTTTATCTGCGCACCGCCCACTTTCAACGGCGCCTGCTTCGGCGCCTCTCCGGCCGTCTTGCGGATCTCGAAAGTGCACTCGCCGCCCTCCAGCCGACGCAGCACACAGAATCGCTTTTTCGACGACGATTTGAGGTTGTCGAAGAGCGTCGGATCGGATTTGATCACGTTCAAATGGCCTTCTTTTACGATTCCGACTGTTCCGAGAACCATTCCGAACGCCGCCCGCTCGTCTTCCAGAGCCATGTCACTCTCGAAAACCAACGAGGAGAGCGTCTCGTTTTCGATGGCTGACGAGGTGTTGTTCGCCGAATAGTCGCCGGAGAATTTGGAGTAGTTGAAGATGATGGATCTGTGCGGCGAGGTGTAGAATCGGAGGGCTTCGCGGGTGAGCAGCCACTTCGCCTGCTTGATATCCGTCGGTTTTACCATTGGAACGGACGTTTCCGATTCTTGTTGCATCGATGATTCCTGTAAATTTGAAATTAGGCGGCTTTTGCGGATTTTTCAGTAATTCTTCATCGATTCTGCTATATTTTACAGTTCTGGCTAAAATTTAAATAGATCTTAATGCTTTTTGGCTTGGAATTCGTTCAAAAATTTTGGTTTTCTGCATTTCCAGAAAGAGAGTCTCGTTTTCGCATAGATTGTCGAATATTTCGATCGTAGAATCACTGCATTTTTCCGCGAAAATGCTCACTTCGATGTCATCTCTGGGAAATAGGACGATTTCGCGTTGCGCATCGTTTTCCAGCTGAATACTTCGCTCATTTATAAATTTTTCATAGTCCACAGGCTCGCTGATTGGTGCTTTTCTCTGAAAATTTACATTTTCCGTTTTTTGTTATGGAATCGGGCGAACCAATGGATTCTGAGCGACAAGTGCTGCCCTGACCGCGTCGCGGGCTTCCCGTGCCAAACCGGGCCTTCCGACGCCTGCTGTGAATCTGAAGTTGACGATTTTCACTATTGACTCGTTTTAAATTCAGTATAAAAGTATACTTTCTGAGTTGCGACGTGGCAGTCTTTCCCGAGGCGAGACTGTCGGCGATCAGAGTGGAAGCCGTGCTCGAGTTTCCGGAGACCACCGATCGGCGGTCATCCGTCGACTGGGACCCGCTTCGTGCTGTCGATGATCTCATCATTGTTTCATCTGCAAAATTGCAAAAATTTCACCAGAAAACTGCGAAGAAAACAAGTTTTTCGAGGGGAAAATTGCAGCAATAATTGTCACGTCTTTTACGGCGAAAATACGAATTTTCAAGTGAAAAGCTCGTTTGAAAAAGTAAAAACTAAAATCAAAGTGCACTGAAAAGTCCCTAGAGACTGCGGAGCCGCCAATTTTTAGAGGTTTCGTGAGCGAAGTTTGATGGGGCGCTTCAAAAGGCGCAGAGGGCCGTGGTCGCGGGCTTGCGGATTTCTAGGCCATTCAAAAGATATATAATAAAAATTAATTATTTATTGAAGGACAACGCCGCTTATACAGTAAACGAAAGAAAGAAGAGTGGAGAAAATGATAGTTAAAAATTTAGAGTGTTAAGGATGAAATATTATATATATATATATATAAATATATATATATATATTATATATTATATATTTTTTTCCGACTTCTTCACGGTCACTCATAATCAGACTTGCCAAATCCCGGGCCAGCAAATCGTCGGCCCGGCCCGGCCCGGTCGGCCCGGCTCCGCCCACTCTTGAGAAAAATTTTTCGTAATTTTTTTGTGAAAATTTTTGCGACTTTAAACAGCAATTTCTATTTTTTAACAGGTTTTTTTATGCTATAACATTGCCTTTTTTTAAGTCTATAAAATTTTAAGTCTATAAAATTATGTTCGTTTCGAAGTTCTAGTTCGCTTTGAATTTTTAGGTGCATCCTCCCGAGCCGACCGGGCAGGGCCGGGCCGGGCCGGAAAATTTCCAATTTTGGCCCGGCCCGGCCCGTTGCAAGTCTGCTCATAATAACAAAACACGTATCAAAACTAGATTCACATGGAGCAAATGCAAAACCAAACTTGTCATAAAGTCGTAATAAATAATAATAATAATAAAAACAAATGGCGGCAGTTCAAATCTCGAGGTGCCCGCCGATCGATCGATAATCACGACGTACCTGTGTGTACCCGTTTTTTTGTATTATTCGCAAAATGTCTCGTGTCCCGTTCCCGTTTGAAAACCTGCCCCAATTGTCACAATCCAAAATATTCAGTCACTTTACGCCAATCGATATGTAAGTTCAAGTTTTGTTTGCAGATTTTTGAATGCAAATCAATTTTTTGCAGTTTCGATTACTCGTTGTGCTCGTCGAAAGCGAAAAAATGCGCGACGATGGCGACTCCGAAACTCGGCAAATTCTCGATTGTTTTCGGCTACGAGTCGTGCAAAATCATTGTGCAATTCCAAATGCGATCCGACGAATTCCAGTTCATTTCGCTCGACAAACGCGGAATTCGAGAGCCCCGTTTCATGAGCCGCGCCACGATTAACGGACACGAAGTGTACTTGCAAAAGATTGGAAAATACTTGGAGATCTACTGGGACGATCGATTTGTCGGACACAAAATGCTCGCCGACTATTTGAGCACGATTTTCAAGCGGAAATACGATGAATTGAGCGTGGAGACCGTCGACGGAGCACTTGTCAATTTATGGCTGTCCGATGGTGTTCCGCCGACGCTCAAGAAACTGGACGTTCGATTTCTGAGCGACGATATCGTGAAGAGAATGCTGAATTCGTATAAAGTCACTGATGTGCTCGCAATTTCGAGAATCGATCGGCAATGGAATTGTGACTATTACCCGAAAAGTCTTCGAATCGACATGGTCGAAACGTCCGACTTGAACCTCGTCTACAAAATGAGTTCTCCTCAAATCACCGTCGAATCGTGTCTATTCACGGAACAGCATCTCAACGTTTTCCTCAAACTTTGGAAGAACAACGACCTGCCCAATTTGCAACATTTCCGACTGAATCAGGAAGAATTCGGTGCTGAGGGCGAATATAGTTTGAGTGCGATTTTCGACGGATTCAAATATGTCGAACATTCGCAGATGACGAGGCGCAGAATTGTTGTGTACGTTTTTCAAAACGATTTAGAAGTGCTTTAACAGTTTCAATTGCAGGGATTCGAGAAAGCCGAGGACGATTGAACGGCGCGGAGGATACGAAATCGAACGAGCCGATGGCACGCATGCATCGATTTTCTTCGAGGATTTCAATTTTCTTTTCTGGGCTCATGCCCGACACGGTCTCCCAGGGCGCTCGTAAATTGCGGAGTGTCGTTGTAACTTTTGAAAATTTTCAGGTCTGAAAATGCGGTTCAATTCGAGTTTACGACCTTTATTTCTTTTTTTTTGACTTAAAAAACGTCTAGAAAACAATATTTTACTGATTGGAAACCGTTCTTTACAAAAATTTAGAGTTTTTCATGTTTTTCGCGTCATTTTCGCATTTCGTCAAAACTTCAAACCTTTATATTTCAGCTCATTTTGCATTTCATGAGCCCAACGAACGATAAAAATGTTCGCTGAATCTTTCTTCACAAAATTCAGGTTCCGGCGGTTAGTTTTCTTGAGCAGTTTTCGAAAACTATTCGAAAAACATCAAAATCCAGGCCAAAACCTTCAAATCGAAATAACTCGGCGAATTCTCAACGATATGTGAGATTTCTGTTACCAAAACGTAGCTAGTGCTCTAATTATTCGACGCCAGGTTCCATGCGTGCAAAAAATAGGTGTATTGTACAGAAAACATGGAAAGAACGCGGCCTCCCGTTGAAAATTAATTAATCGGCCGCCGCCGCGTAAAGTGCGCCCCATTGAAATCATTCGCGCCGTGGGAGACCGTGCCCAATAACTGTTTTATGTTTTTAATTTTATGTGAGTCGCCCTCCCCTGTACATGTATATTTCGCCTCATTTGAGCATGAGTTGCTTCAAGTATTTATATCGCCTCCTCGAATACTACTTCATTAGCTTTGTTATTCTAATGTAAGAGCATTTTTAACTCTTATAAACACGGATCGACTAGACTTGAGTTAGGAGAAATCATGAGAAAAAGGCTGCTCACTTTCACGTTTACACAATTAGCGATTTCCGTTCCGCGAGGCTCATTTAGACGAGCAAAAGGGTGCTATATAGCCTATATAGCCTCCTCCTCCTCCTCTCCGCTTTTCAGTTTTATAATATTTTGTGTACTACTAAACCCATCAGTTTCTCGCGGAGGAGGGCGCAAACAAATTGCATTCCGTTTTGCTTGGATCATTATGAAAGTAGTGGACATTGTTGCAAACACAAGTTTCGTGGTTACGCCGCTTTTTGTTTGAACTATCGAAAACTGGAGACTGCGAGGACATTTTTTGAGTCAAAAAACTTTACATCTAGTACTTTTTTTTTTACTGTTGACACTTTAATGCGATCACCTCCCAAGTTGGAGTGTAAGCCTCAGTTCGAAGAGCTACAGTACTCTGGGGAGTGTTTGTACAACAAATGTGTCAACTACAAAATTGTAGATTACGACAAGCACTATCATTTTGTAATTGACAACTTTTTTGTACAATCACTCCCACGAGTACTGTAGCTCTTGGAAGTTTGAGTTGAAATGCACTTCAACGTTTCCCTTCACAAATGCTGGCCAAGTTAAGCGCAAAGACTCTCATTTAAAAAGTCGCGTTTTCCTGGTAATCCGATACTTTTCCCTCCTCCCTTTATTCGCTTTTTACTCTGAGCCTAAGGCCAAGCAGTCAAAGAGAGAGAGAGAAAGCGCATAATATGGATTCTCGAGGATCGGCGGCACGAAATTCAAAACCGCGCCTCCTCTTTCTTTCTCTCTTCCCAGGACATATCCGATTTTTGTGTACGCCAACGACGACGATTTTCAACTTTTTTGTGTGTTTGTGTGTCTACTTTGACAACAGTATATATTGTGAGTATATAAAAGAAAAAGGATATATGGTGGCTTTGGTTTCAGTTTCAGTTTCAGTTTCCCATCCTTGAAAGAGGGCGGAGGAACGGTTTAGGAGGAGACGAATTCAACATTTGGGACATTTTGCAACTAATAGACGTTTCGCAACCGATTCATACTTGTCGAGGCGAGAGAAGTAAGCCACTTTGCAACCAAGCCCTGGTCTTTGAAGGTGAACTTTTCTCACTGACTTTGAGAAGAAATGTTTTGGTTGGTTGTCAAGCGTCCTAGTTGCAAACTGTCCAATAGAGACATTGTCTGGTTGCAAAGTGTCCTAGTTGCAAAGTGTCGCCCGTTTGAAGCGCACAACAGTCTCTCCAGATGGATATAACCTTTGTTGCCACTATTTCTTCCGTCAAACTTCAGCAAACGGTTGCAAAGTGTCCCAGAGTCATAATACAACTGTTTGTGGTTGCAAAGTGTCCTAAAAGCGTTCCATTTGCGTGCTCGTGTTAAAAATGTATTGCCGTGAGAGCGCAAAGCACCTGCCGCTCCTCCCCATCTTCCGACTTTTGGCCCCCCTTGTGTTGTGTCACCTTGGCCCGTTGGTTGTTGCAACTTTTCGGGGGGGGGGGAGCTCTTTTGTTCCTATTCACACACTTTTCCTCAACGGTCAGCTCCCTTTTCTTTTACTACTTTTTTTTGTCGCCTTAAAAGCTCGTCCATTTCATTTCGCACCCCCTCAGGGCAAAAATACCAAGTTTCCAGCTGGAAATATCGCATTTCTCCTCCATTTTTCCACTTGAAACTTGAGCTGTCTGCTGTCGTTTTCGTCACATTTTTCCATTTTTTTTATAGAGGTCCGCCACGGTCTCCCCAAGTGCGCCCCGCCCAATAGAGCGATTCATTGGCGCGAAATTCAAATTTTAACAGCAAAATTTGTGTTTTTTGTCAGATTAGCCACGAAAAATCGATAATTTCTCATTTGTCTCTCGATAGACCGATGTTATAGGCCATTACGAATTTTTTAAGCGCAAAAGCGGCAAATTTGGTCAAGTCGCAAAGCACATTTATCTGTTTGAAGGTTTTTGGCTAAAACTGCGTGAATTTCAGTTGCTTTTCGGTAGTTTTCGCGGTTCGAGCGCTCAAAATTCTTGTTTTTACGTGATTTATCATTCTCAAAACCAATTCTGTCGGAAAACGGTCAAGAAAGCGCAAAATGAAAAGTGCGGTTTTTAGGCGGCAAAGGCGAAAAAGCGAAATCCGCGAAAAATGCGCCAAAACGTCATTAATTCTGAGAATTAGTGTGTTTTCATGTCGAACAATCATTTTTCATCGTCGTTGATCACAAAAATCAGAGAAAACGTGCTCAATTCATGAAAACGCCATTTGGCCGCCGAGGCCACGCCCATATTGTCAGCTCTAAAGAAGACTGTGGGTCCCTTGAAATTTAATCGCCCCTAACGCGCATGTCAAGTTTCTTTTTTTTCCACTTGCTCTCATATTTGTACGTCATCTCAAATGAGCAACGCGTTTCGGCGAATTTGCAAAATTTCGTTCCCACGATACTTTAGTTTGCACATAACGCTAGTGGGTCGACAATTTTCCGTCCACCCAACTACACATTTCATCCGAGATTTTGTCTGAAAAGAAAACATGCGCTAGAACTTTAATCTTTCATTCGACTTTCTAAAAACGGCTCTTTTTATAACGACTTTATTTATCGCGTTCGGACTGAAAAAAGCTTTTAGACTGAACTAAGCCGGAACACTTTTTTTCCCATAAAGGTCCATAGGTGGCTGATCGAAAACTGAAGAACTTTCGAGCACCTCAAACTCATGACGAGGAAGTGAAAGGACAAAAAGATACTAGACAGCGCGCGAGGAACATAAAACTGTGTAGTTGTGTGAATATTTTAGTACATGCAATTAGTCCCCAAGTTTCCTAATCAAAAAGTCACCCATCTTTGAAGCGCTATATCTCGAGAGCCACTGGATATTTTATAAAGTGGTCAACTGAAAAATTGCTGGAAATTTTGTGCTCAACAACTTTCTAGTTGACCATTTTGCTCTAAACTTTATAATTTTTGAGCTACAAGCGTTTACCGGGAACCAGGAACCTGAACGTGTTGCTAGGTTTGAAGAAGTAAATTACAGTTTTTTTTAGTTGATTTCAATTATAAAATCATGTCTTGTTTGTACCAATAAAACAAATGAGTCAGACGTACAAACCCGACGTTTTCCTGTGCCCTCACTCGTTGTTTCCCACACTTTTGCCAGTGTAATACACATTTCCACCCAAAAGTTTATATTTCTTTTCAATTCTTACTGATTCGCATTCACTTTTAAGCTATATAACTTTAAAAATGGCGTTTAGAGTCACTCTATAGAGTCACACAACATTTCCATACTTTCTTCGCGTTGCCCTTGTGAATAGCGCTTGGAAATTGTCTTGTAACTCAAAAACGAAGCGTGCTGCAAGAAAATGTTCAATTACAAAGTTGTTGAGCATAAAATTGTCAACAATTGCTCTGTTGACCACGTTTTGAAATAATAACTAGTTCTCGAGATATAGGTCTTCAAAGTGTAGGTTCTATTGGATTTGCTCTATCCAGTTTGGCACACAGCTCTCTCTAGGTGAAAAAGTCAAAGTTCAGTCATAAAACTTTCACGAAAGCCACGCCCACTCTGCTTTGTGAGGTCGGGTTGCGAAAAAAGCGGAACTGGAACTTTTTACGTCTATAAAAGGTCTATAAAGGATCTCACATTTTATTTTATCCGAGAGAGTATACATCTTGGGCAGTATTGTCATTTATTTTTTGTCTGTGTAAAAAAAGTTGCGTTTTTCACCAACCTATCTACATTTACACATCTTTCCATCGCTTTTTGATGCAGATGATGTTGCTCTCTCTCTCTCTCTCTCTCTCTCTTTCCATTCCCAACTCATCTTTCCGCTTCATCTCCCCTTTAACCGCATACTTCTTCTTTATTCTTCCATCCAATATTCAGTCGCGAAACTTTCTTTTTTTTTTGTAGACCCAAACCTTTGGCCTTAAAAAAAACGAAAGGATAGGCGAAAAACGAGCGGGAATGCATCACAAATTGCCTAATTTTGTAATGCAAATCGCATTTTTTTTTTGCCGCCTCCGCCTCCGCCTCTCTTTCTCTTTTCGGAGCCAAACGCCCAACAATGCCTATTGTCGGATGATGTTCGTTCGCAAAATTGTCCAAAATCCGTTGTTCGCCTCCGGGAATCGAACTTGAGGGCTCTTTTGGATTGATAGTCAACCAGGCGGCGCAAAGTTCGAGTCCAAACCGTTGCAATCGATTTTTGTCTCCTTTTTTCCGAGTTTCACGGTCTCCAGAGCTGACAATATGGGCGTGGCCTCGGCGAAATGGCGTTTTCATAAATTGAGCAGGTTTTCTCTGATTTTTGTGGTCAAAGGCGATGAAAAGATGATTGATCGATATGAAAACACACTAATTCTCAGAATTAATGACGTTTTGACGCATTTTTCGCGGACTTTGCTTTTTCGCCATCTCATTTTGCGCTTTTTTGACCGTTTTCCGACATAATTAGTTTTGAGAATGATAAATCACGTGAATACAAGCATTTTGAGCGCTCGAACCGCGAAAATTACCGAAAAACAACTGAAATTCACGCAGTTTTAGCCAAAAACCTTCAAACGGATAAATGCGATTTGTGACTTGACCAAATTTAACGCTCTAGCGCTTAAAAAATTCGTAATAGCCTATACAATCGGTCTATCGAGAGACAAATCAGAAATTATCGGTTTTTCGTGGCGAATCTGGCAAAAAACACAAATTTTGCTGTTAAAATTTGAATTTCGCGCCACTGTATCGCTCTATTGGGCGGGGCGCACTTGCGCGCCCCGCCATAGTAAGCTCTGGAGACCGTGAGGTTCGAGACCAAATACCCGGCGTCACGACGTCAGAATTCAATTCTATTTACTCCGGCCCCTTCATTTACAATGAAAACAATAAAGTTTGGTGGGTTAGGCGGAAAGAAAGGGTCTTCACGCATCACTTGATTCACTTTTACCTCCCTCTTCTCCCTCAATTAGGTGGTTGTTCCCGACCGACGAATTGTGATGGCTTTCCGCTTTTCTGAAGCCTAATATCGAGACGTCTTATTCTTATTAGTATTGTTAGTCTCTACGTATTGCATCTATTGCTATTATCGACGTTTCTGAAGAACCCCCCCTCCCTCATTTTGAGTGTTTTGACTTTGAAGCGATACTAGAAGTCATTTAGGAGGAGTGAAACCTTTTTCTGAAGAACCTACCACTTACCTGTCTGCGCTTATGAAGAGTGGATTTTCCAAGTATGTATTTCGGTTCCCTTCTCTACTGGCAAAATGTGAGAAGTACAATAGTAGCAGCAAGTTTTGAATGTGTATTATATGGTTCTGAAGCTTTTTTTGTGAAATCTCGACATCTAATACCTCATTTTTGTACTTGACAACTTTTGGAGTACTGTTCCGCTTGAAAGTTGGCCTTAAAATGAACACCGCTTTAACTGCTAAGCCACCCGAACTTCCAAGAGCTACAGTACTCCAGGGAGTGCTTGTACAAAAAACGTGTCAATTGAGAAATTACAGTTTATAACATGTACTTTGCTTTTGTAGTTGACATCTTTTTTGTACAACCACTCCGAAGACTACTGTAGCTCTTGAAACTTTACACTAACATTTGTACAGCCCAAACTGGTCCGAACTTCCAAGAGCTACAGTAATCCAGGGAGTGCTCGTATAAAAAAGTCGTCAACTACAAAATTCAAGCACTAGACATCAAGAACATTAATTTCATTTTCTAGACCACCATTACGTCTCTAAGGCTTCGTTGTTTTGATTTCCACATTTGTAGCCTCTTCTATTTTTTGTATTGCGTCGTCGTCGTCGGTAGGCGATTCCTGCGATTCCCCTGAATTAGTGTCAACACGAATAGCTACAATATCAACATTTTTGCAAGTGAACAACTATTTGAAAACGTGGAATTTCCTTCAGAATATTGTCCGTTTCCGCCACTCACACCCTATCATTTTCCGCTCGTCCGAATCGAATCGTTTCAGCTCTCTACTCTATTTTGTTTTTTGTTCTCGCCGCCCCAATATCATTATGAACATCCGTCCTCCTTCTGGTTTTGTTCCAACTATTTTTCGCCTAAAGCTAAGGAGTCTATTTTGCATAGAGACGTGTGTGTAATATCGCATTTCCTGTCTCTCAATTCATTCACCATTTTTCCCGCTGTTTTTGTGTCTGGCACCGATTGGCCCGCATCAGTGTTGAGCGGAATTCCGTCTTCCGTCTTCCGTCTTCCGTGGTTTTTTTGTTCCGTCTTCCGTGTGCCGTCTTCCGGGAAAAAGGTTTTCTTCCGTCTTCCGGGAAAAAGGTTTTCTTCCGTCTTCCGGGAAAAAGGTTTTCTTCCGTCTTCCGTAAAAAAATTGTTCTTCCGTCTTCCGTAAAAAAATTGTTCTTCCGTCTTCCGTAAAAAAGGTTTTCTTCCGTCTTCCGTAAAAAATTGTACTTCCGTCTTCCGGGAAAAAGGTTTTCTTCCGTCTTCCGTAAAAAAATCGTTCTTCCGTCTTCCGGTAAAAAGGTTTTCTTCCGTCTTCCGTAAAAAAATCGTTCTTCCGTCTTCCGGTAAAAAGGTTTTCTTCCGTCCTCCGTAAAAAACGTTTTCTTCCGTCTTCTGGGAAAAAGGTTTTCTTCCGGCTTCCGTCTTCCGTGGTTTTTTTTGTTCCGTCTTCCGTAAAAAAATTGTCTTCCGTCTTCCGGGATTTTTCCTCCTTACCGTAACAGAGTAATAGCTTTTCAGAAGCCATTTACTAGCCCCGAAGAATGCGAATTTCCACGGGCAGTGACCCAGATGCAAAATTTTTGTTGTTTAGTTATTTTTTCAAAAAAAAAAACCGGAGAAAAAGGTTCTGCATTGACGATTTTTTTGTTCCGTCTTCCGTCTGCCGTCTTCCGTGAGAAAAATTTTCTTCCGTTTTCCGTCTTCCGTTTTCCGTCTTCCGTAAAAAAATGTTTATTCCGTCTTCCGTCTTCCGTAAAAAATGTTTATTCCGTCTTCCGTCTTCCGTTTTCCGTCTTCCGTAAAAGATGTTTATTCCGTCTTCCGTATTCCGTAAAAAATTTTTATTCCGTCTTCCGTTTTCCGTCTTCCGTAAAAAAATTTTTATTCCGTCTTCCGTCTTCCGTTTTCCGTCTTCCGTTTTCCGTCTTCCGTAAAAAATGTTTATTCCGTCTTCCGTCTTCCGTCTTCCGTAAAAAAATTTTTATTTCGTCTTCCGTGTTCGTAAAAAAAATTTTCTTCCGTCTTCCGGACTTCAAAATTCCATTTCCGCTCAACTCTGGCCCGCACGTTCGATTATCGATCGACTACAGGCGGTCAGTGTGTTGCCCCAAGTGTTGGCACATCTTTTGCGAGCTCCCGGTTTCGTACATTGTTCCAAAAAGGGGGTGTGCAAATGAAAAATGATGTTTAGGGGGTCACACACACACACAGAGGCGCAGAAAAAGCCCAAAAAGAGGGGAAAAGAGAACAAGTTTGTTCCTTTCCTTCCTTCCTTCCTTTCGACCCCCCCCCTCTCCTCATTTTCTCTCTTTTTCGCACTGAGCCCGCTCTTTTGGCTCGAACATGTCACTTTTTCGGGTGCTTGGAGCTTCTAACCCTTAACAGCCCAAACGGATTAGTTTTCGCCGCCTTGCGCTTCGGCGGCCTTATTAGTCGGATTATCATTAAAAAGTATTTTTGGGGGCGAGCGAGACTCGACTAATACGTTTCGTGCTTCCCTAGCCTTCCGATATTGTACGTTCACTGTTTTTCAGACGCGTCCATCCATGATTGTTGTCGAAGTTTGAATCGCCGCCACACAAAAAATGATGTCGACATCGTCGTCACTGCTGCCGACGGCGCCGATTGGCAAACAACAAGTGATCGATCTTAAGGCGGGAGCGATTTTGAGAGAAAATGCACGGTTAGGCGATCACTTTTCCGGCTCTTTTTATTCTCTGAAGCATTTGGGACCACTAGATGACCCTTTTTCTGGGGGCTCTAACTTCCAAGAGCTACAGTACTCCGACAAAGATCGTCAACCGTTCAGAAAAAGCGCGCTGTTCTTCGGCTGTCCGCTCGGTGTCGTGTTGGTGCTCATTGTGCTCACCAAGTCGCTTTTCATCTCCTACTGGATCATTCGCGAGTACGAAACGTTCGATTTCCGATGTTCCGCGTGGAACGGCGCACCGATGGATCAGTACAGAGCAAAGCGCTGGGCGTTGTTGTAAGTTTTTTTTTCTCTCTCTTTCCAGAAATAATTTGAGTGATTATAGTGAAAAATCGGATCCACGAAAGTTTTCAAAGACGCCAGAAGATGACGAAGACGAAGATTCGATCACGGAAGTCGTTGTGCAAGAGGAAAAACACAAGAGACCACTTTACGGTGTAGCTTCTCGCCGAGCCACCACCGATCCCACGTCGGATCCACTCAAAATAGACGCTCGCCTCGATTTCGGACCCCTCCCGCCGACGTTTCAGCGTCGAATCGACTCGAATCACATTGGTGACGTGGCAGAGGAAGAGGAGGAGGAGGAGGATCCGCCGATGACGACGATGGTCACACTGACCAACACGCAGATTGTGCAGTTGTCCGGCGAGGAGCACGGAGTCGTCAAGTGAGTACATACCGTGATCGCTGTGTCCTCTGATTTCCTACAGTAGCCCTCAGCGTCCTGCTGTACCGTGCCACGGCGCGGCTTTTGCGACGTTCACCAAACGTTTGATCCTCAGTCTGTGCATTTTGGCACACCGGTGTTGCTCTGCGTACAGTGCATTTTATGTTACGCGCAAAGTTCATTTTTTTTAGTTTTTGATGAATTTTCTCCAAATATTCATCTCTTTAAAGCGTTTTTCTCCACTTTCTACCTGAATTAGACCTTTTTACAGATTCCAGATGAAGTAATACACGAAGAGAAGTCGATGCGATGAAAAGAAACGCGTAAGTAAGTGAAAGTAAGGTTTTGTTCAGAAATTGCACGATTTCTCGAAAAACGTCACTAGATGTTCTAATCTTTTAGTTAAAAATACTTTACTTACATTACTGAGAATGTTTTTGAACCAAAAAGAAGCAGAGTGACCGCTCGCTTTCGCGGAAAAACCGATCGCTTGCCGGAAGACGGTGAAATTTCGTTGAAAAAATTTTTTTGCTTCTACGAACTGTCACTCTACTTTTTTTTAATTCGAAAACCTTCACAGTCATGTAAGTGAATTATTTAAACAAAAAAATTAGACAATCTAAAGACGGTTTTTGATAAAAAAAAATTTTATCGAAATGTCACTGTTTTCCGGCAAAAGACCAATTTTTACGCGAAAGCGAGCTGTCACTCTACTTTTTTTTGATTTGAAAACATTCACAGTCATGTTAGTGAACTTTTTAAATCAAAAGATTTGTAAATCTAGAGACGTTTTCGAGAAATCGTATATTTTCTGAATAAAACATTACTTTCATTTACTTACGCGTTTCTTTTCATCGCATCGACTTCTCTTCGCGTATTACTTCACCTGGAATCTGTAAAAAGGTCTAATTGAGGTAGAAAGTGGAGAAAAACGCTTAAAGAAGATGAATATTTGGAGAAAATTCACCAAAAACTAAAAAAAAAGAACTATGCGCGTAACATAAAATGCACTGTACGCAGAGCCACACCGACGCGCAAAAATGCATACCATTTGGCTGCGTATGTTGCGAATGCCGTGCCGTGGCGCCTGTACTTACCGTAATCCATTGCAGAATGAAGACCATTCGGAATCGGGTCGAGAAAATCGGCTCCGATGAGGAACAATTCATCGAGATTGACATTGCGAACGCGCCGAGGATCTATGTGTCGAAGATCAAGTCCCGACACGGCGGGGACCAGGATGAAGAGCATTTCGACCTGATAAAAGAGCTGCAGAAGGATGGGGAGCAGAAGAAGAAGAAGAAGAATCAGAAGAAGAAGAAGGGGAAGGGACTGAAGAAGGCGAAAAAGTTGGCGGCGCTTGCGGCTCTCAACAATTCTACGACTCCAGTGACGAGGAAGCCGAAGAAGCCAAAAAAGGGATTGGGATTGGGATCGAAAAAGTCGAAAAATGGTGAAGAAGTGACGAAACAGCCACGTCATCTTGTCGGCAAGTCTTCGAGCGCCGGCCCCACACCAAGTCCCCATCCGTCGAGCTGGATCAACGGAGTACTCGACCCCCAGGACCCGAAATTCACGAACCAGGGGCATGTGAGGGGGTATCCGATGCAGAAGGCCTCACGTCTTCCCGTCACCACCACCGGAGCACCTTCAGAAGCATCAGAACCACCCGCTTCTCCTTCTCCGTCTCCTTCTTCTTCTTTGATAACTTCGGAGGAGGAGAAGGAGCAGTTGAAGATATCGGAGAGCACTCGGATGATGTGGAATATGGATGAGCTCAAGTACACGACGTTCCTGGCGCCCAAGACCACCGAGCAGACACGGCCGGAAGTGCTCGGGGAGCAACGCGAAAAGGAGACCGATCGGACGAACACCAGCACGACGGAGAAGCCCCGGCCGGTTAGTTTGGGTGTTGAATTTTAATCGCTTATAACTTCAAAACCGTAATATGCTTCTGAAAGTTGTCAACTATAAAATTGTAAGAAATATTGTGCTGAACACTTGTCACAAAAACGTGAGCTTTTTACTAGACATCACCGGCAACACGAGTCCCAACTTTAACGGCTAGAAACTCCAAAACCAGTGGCTATTTTAAAAAGTGATCAACTGATAGTTTGTAGAGAATTTCATGCGCTCCAACGCTCCAGCGGCTTGTAACTCCAACTGTTTCGAAAAGTGTCCAACTAACAAAATGTGGAAAATGTTGTATGTTCTTCAGGGCGGAATGAGTAAATCGGAGTGGGAGCAGAAGAAGGAGGCGTTCGAGGCGTACACGCCCGCAATTTCCAAGTCCGATCTTCAACCGCCGTTCCACGTGCATCTTCCCTCCTCCGCTCACGCTCCACGCACTTCCACGTCATCGCCTCCTCCTCCTCCGGAAGAAGAAGAAGAAGCAAAAGAAGAAGCAAAAGAAGAAGAGAAAGAAGAAGTTGATCGTTTTTCGTACTTGCCGCCTTCAGAATCGCCGCCCTACTTTGTGGAAGTCAATGAAGCGGACACGGAGACGATTTACGTGAAGGACGTGACGCCGATGTTCCGGAATATTCTAATGGAACGGCAGGAGCCGCAGACCACTACGACGCCCTACGATCCGTTGCATTTGGAGGTGAGCACACTGTCACGCAAAAATGCGGACTTTTGAGGCCACCGTAATCTTTTCTCTTTTGTTTTCAGATGGAAATCGCAAAGCTGAAAGAGTCGTCGACGTGTCTCGCACGCATGGCTTTCGACGTTTGGTGCCTTTTCGTGGTGAGACCCCAAACCCCCCCCCCCCCAAACCTACAGTAACCGATTTTTCTAAAGCTCTTCTCCTCGGTCCCCTTCATAATGGGCATTTGCGTGCCTCGCTGGAGCCTCTTCGTCCTTCACATCGTTTTCGATTTTCTCTTTTTGGTTATCGGTTTTGTGAGCAGGTAAAATGAGCAAAAGTTTGGTTTGGCTATATAAAAAGTAGTTTTCAGTCTGACAATAGCGATAATGGCAAGTGTCATGTACTTTTTGATCGACGAAATGACGTCCGACTCACTTTTCGAGTTTCTACTCGTCGCTTTTGTCATTGGTAAGTTTTTCAGCGGATCAGTGAGCCGCAAGTGGAGCGTCAGAGCGCACTTGACACACTTCCGACGCTTACCTCCGACTAATCCGAGCGATTCGCATTTGCAGACATCGTCCTAATCCTCTACTCGATAATCGTCGGCATCGCGTACCGATGTTGCTGCCGGCTCGTCGACAACTCCATCAAAGAATCGAGCATCATTAATTATAGTGTGAGCTCTCAGGGAGAGCCCGTCTGAGAGCCGCCGCCGTCGCCGTCTACGCACACATTTCCCCCTTTTAATTCAATTACGGGTTTTCGGGGGTAATCGGGCGGTTGCCAGGAGACCGCCCGGGACGCCCGCACTTTCACGCAGTCTTCGTTTCGTTCTTTACTAATAAAGTCTTGTCTCGTATCACCACAAAATTCGATTTCATTGTTTTTCGCGCGAAAAGTATTTAATAAAGTTAGCCGCGCTCCATTTTGCTTAAAAAGAAGGTCTTTCAGCTTAGAATAATCAAAATTCATTCGAAAACTCAAAAAATCCATTGTTTTTCACCTCTTCTTTCGAGGGGACTAGAAAACTCCACGTCCACGGCCTCGCTCTGCACATCCACTGTTTTTTTTCAAAAATGAGCCACAGTTATCGCTGTGCCAAAAATTCGGTCAAAAAGTTGTTTTCTTGGCTCACATGGCTTTTCACAAAGTATTCACAACGTTCCAAGTGTAATGATGCCATAAACTGTCGAGTGGTCACAAAATTCACAAAAAATAGCGTATCAAATTCTTCCTCCTTTCCGCCGGGGCACGCCGAATCGTCGCCTCTTTTGTTTGTATTCATTCGAAACGGTGTAGCGTGGGCGGCCGAACGTTTTCTCCGTTTTCCCCGTTTTTACTGGTTTCGCTATATTTTCCGTCGGCTTTTTCGCTCTTCTTTTCGTGCAAATAATGAGCTTATTCACTGTATGATTTTATTTTGGCTTTATACGTCCGAGACTCGATTCAGCGATGTAGAGAAGCGAAAAAAAACGAACACTGACACGTTTTCATTGAAAATTGTTCTGAAATTCCGTTGTGCGTTTCAGAAACTACTGTTGGGAGTCACGGTGGGAATGTAAAGACGCATAGCGTAAAATTTTGCAATTTTTTCTGATTCACTGATTAATGCGACGTCTTTTCTAATTGTTTGAGAACAAAATCGTTGTGTTGCTCATCGCGACGTCTTTTGCGTGAGTTGTGGCGCCCGCGTCTGCAGTGTTCACGCGAATCATCGATCCGTCGTCTGCGTCTCTCGCTCGCCCGCGTCTCTACCAGAGGGTCACTCACAAACAACCGAATTCGCTCTCTTTCTCTCGCCCGGTCGGCCTAAATATTAGTCGGATGGTGCGGGTGGTTGTGTGCGTTTGCGTTTGCGTGCGTGCGTATCCCCCAGTCAGTCCTTCCTTCCGAGCGGCCGGCCGACGACCGAATTATCGATTATTTGCGTGTGCCACGTCCCCGCTCCCCCTCCCCCACCCACCCATCCCAAAATGACGGTATTTTTTTTGCCCACCCGCCCCCGCAAACTTCTTCGTATTTCTCTTTCTTCTTCTTCTTCTTCTTACTCTTCTTCTCCCCACAGCGGTTTTTCGTATTTCGATAATCATCTGAGATGAAATGAGAGAGGTTGAGTTGTGTACCCATCAATAGAGAAATGAGAAAAAAAAAAGATAATTTTCCATTTTTACATTCGATTATTGCGAAACCCGCGAAACGATGGAACTTTTCCCGTTTTCAGGCGTCTCCAAATGGACGACGAGGACGCCCTTCTCGAGTCGATCGCCGAAGTTGGTGAGTGCAAAGTTTTCGATAATTTTCGCATTTTCCCCTGAAAACCTTGAAATCGCACAAAAATCATCACAATTTTCAGACAGATACGAACTGGAAGAGGAGGATGAAGAAGTAGAAGAAGAAGTGGTTCGCCACGTGTCTCCAGATGACGATGAAGCGTTGGATTACAGTGAAGATCCAGAAGAAGGAGAAGAGGAAGTAGAAGAGGAAGGAGCCGGAGAAATCGAGGAAAAAGTCGAGGAGAAGAAGGAGAAAAAAGAGGAAGAGGAGAAGGAAGAAGGCGAATTGGAGGACGGCGAACTCGAGGATTCCGATGAGGACGAGAAGGAGACGGTCAGGGAACCCGCTGGCAAGCGAGGTAACAAATTGTGGAAGGGCTGGGAAATATTTGGCACAGGCTTTTCGAAACCTCTTCAAAACCTACACTTTTGAAACATGAAAAAGTATTGTTTGCAGTGCCAATCACGGCTCCACCGTCGTCATCGTCGTCGGGCGCCGAATTGCGTCGTAGACCGATAGAGGTTGGTATGAATAATGTGAGTTGATGTCGTTTTCGTCCCGTTTTTGTGCCAATTTTTTGCTGTGAAGCATGCCCTGTTTCCCAATTTTCCCCCTCAAAAATCGGTTTTCCAGTCGCGAATCACGCGTCCGGCGGCCCGCGGATTCCCGCGCGCACAGCTCTTCGTGCCGAAACAAGAAGAATCGGCCGCCTCGTCGTGGCAGGAGACGTTGATGGCGGCGAAAAAGGCGATGAACAAGGACAAGAGTGAGTTGGCCGAAAAATTGCCGCATTTTCGCCGAAATTTAACACACCGGAAAGTGCCTAAATTGAGCAATTTCCGTATTCTTCGCATAAAATTGCTGTAAAACTTGAAAAAGTCGATAATGTTAGTCATTTCTATTCAGATCCCGACGACGACGACAACTCGATCGGAAGTTTCTCGCCACGTGGCGACGAGGAACGACGGCGCGAGATTCCGTCGCTGATGAGCGTCCGAACGCACAAGCCGAAAGGTTCGCTTGGGATTTTTTGCTAAATATTTTGTAAATTTACGAATTTCCTTTCAGATCTCGGTCCGCAAGTAATCTACCCGTCCCAACGTCACGCCCAACCGCAGCAAACCCATCAGCAATTGCGCGTCAAACGAGACTCGGGCGGCGCGCCGTCGAACCACCACAATTCGGTGTCCGCGTCGTCGGTTCCGCGCGGAAGACCGCCCGCCGGAAGAGCCCTTCCGCTTCGCAGAGTCTCGAAATCGCCGCCTGTGCGCGGAATCAGCCCCGAACGGAATGTGGAGGAGATTTCGAGCGATTCGGACGAGGAGGCGTTCCGCAAACGATCGCCGCGACATCGACGCAAATCGGCGCGGTCCCGATCGAGCAGATCAAGCAGATCGAGCTCGAAAAGTACGATCCCGGGCGCGCGGCCCATCTCGGACACGTCTTCCGACGAGGAACGCAAACGACGCGGAAAACGGCTGAGAACGTACTCGACGAGTTCGGACAAGAAGGAGGCGAAGCGACGGCGCCATATGAAACGGACGAGCGGAAGGGATCCTTCGAGAAGCCGTTCGCCACCGCCCTACCCGCCCGGACACCGAAAACGGAAAGAGACGCAGATCGTCACCGGAGACATTCACAACTATCGGATTCCGAAGCGGAACTCGGGCGCAACGAGTCGAAAGAACGGATCGGAGAAGAAGGCGGCTCCCGCGGAGCCGGCGTTCCTCAAAGATCGCAACAAAATAAAACGAAAGAGATCGGAGACGCCGCCGCAGAAAAAACGGAACGAAAAAGGAAGGGAGGGGTCGAAACGGCGAAAGGACGGACGGGCACAGACGATCAGTGAAAGTGATAGTGACGACAGCACGTCGACGTTCTCTTCGGGAGATCGGAAAGGCAGAAAGAGGTCGAAAAGACGGTCGCCGGCGAAGAGCGCCTCTTCCAGCAGCAGCAGCTCGCAATCTCGCTCCCCGTCGAGTTCCAGTGGGTCTAGTTCCGGTGAGTTTGCGTTATTTTCAAAAATCGTTGTCTACTCTAACATGTAACTATTATCCATTTTGTAGACTCGTCCATCTCGAAACTGCCGTCCGCCTACCGCCCACGCGCTCCATCGGAAGAGAAAATCAGTTCGGACGAGGACGAGAAATCGCGCACGGCCACGGCCACAGCGCCTCGGTCCCCATCGCCAACTTCCGCGCTCGGATCCTCTCATTCTTCGGCGCCTTCGTCTCCCAGGGTACCACCTCCTCCGCCGGCGGAAGAATCGGAAGCTCCGCCCCCTCCGGAAGGACCGCCGCCGCCGCCGCCGACGGAAGCGGAAACTCGGAGGCAATTGAAGATGCGCCTCAAATCGATCAATAAAATATTGAAGGTGAAGCCGTTGGACGAGGGGAAAAGCCCGGCGGAAGCATAATAATTTATTCATTTTTTTCTTAAAAAACAAATATTTATGTGATTTCACTCATCCCCACTATTTTTTTCGGCGATTCCCCCACAATTTTTTTATGATTTGGAAGAATCCCAAATAGTCTTCAAAACGCCCACCGCAATCCCAATCCCACTCGATTTTTCTTACGGTTTTTGTTGGTTTAATGCAAAAAATTCTCTCCCTCTCTCTCTCTCTCTCTTCATTTTTCCCCCTCTTCAGCTCTCGATTTTTGTCTTATTTACGCCTCGGTTTTTTGTGATTTTACCCAATTTTTTGACTGAACTTTTTACTGATAATTTCTAATGAATCGACATGGACATTGTTAGTTTTCCACGCTGCCAATATGTTTCTGCTCAGTAACCTACTTTTTAGACGAATTTTGACAGAGAAAATGTGGTTTTCAAGCAAAATGAGCAGAGATGTGAGAATTGGCGACGGCGGAGAGACATCGGCGGGTAAATCGCATTTGAAGGTTCCTAGGCCACGGCCACCATGCTTTTACAGGTATCGATCGTCTCGGCGTCCTGCACCTCGACAAAAATGAGTCGAAGTTCAAGCGGGGCGCGGCGAAAACGAAAAAGACGAATTTGGTACGCGGACGGCTGACGGAGGACCAAAAAAAGGCGTTCAAGTACGGGAATTTCCACGAAGGCGTGCGAAATTTGAAATTTTTGTGAATTTCCGCAAATTAGGCGAATTCTGGCGAAGCACTGTAAATTGTGAATATCGAGTTTCGCGGGCGTTCGTGGCCATGAAAAGCGCGAAAACGAAGAAGAGAACCGTTTCAGATTCGCCGACATTGTGCCGATGAACTCGGATTGGCAAAAATATTATCGTGATCGGCTGGGCGCGCATTTTGCGAGCGCGAAAATCGAAAAGACGATTCTGAAAGCGGACTATCACGGCGCCCTGTTGACCGTTTGGATGGCCGAGAATCCGACGCAGGTATTTGTGGAGGTTCCCTGAAAATGTATCGTAATTTCGCTTTTTTCAGATCGGCATCAGTGGAATTGTGATTCTGGAGACGCGGCACACGTTTCAGATGGTCACGCAGGCGGATCGATTCGTTGGTAAGCGCGTTTACTTCATAAATGAGGCAACTGCGCTCTATCGCCACCATTTCCACCCTTTATTTTTGCAGTGATTCCGAAAAAAGGCTCGGTGTTCCGTTTCATCCTCGGCGACCGCCTCTTCTCGTTGTTCGGCGACGGAATGCGCACGCGGCCGGCGTGGCGCGGAAAAAAACCGCGTGTCCGACGTGTGCTGCCGATGTTCATCCGCGGAACACTCCAACCGGTGCCGACCGCCAAACCCCCAACCGATATTGTGTAACTTGTTGTTGTTGAGCTTCAATTGTTCTGTTGATTTTTTCGCCTTCCATCATATTAATCTTTATTTGTGAAACGTTCAACAAAAAATGCGGATCCGGAGATCAAAAATCAATAAGTTAGCGCAAAAATTTAGCGGCTTTTGTGCGGCATTGAGAGCTTTTAAATAGTTCGGCTCCGAGCGCTCTAAAGCTTGGCGTGTTAGAGAGAGAAAAGGCGATGCACCGAAAGTGCGCCAGCAAACGCTGACACACTTTCGGTGCAATTTGAAAAACTGGCGGGGTTAAAGCTGAGGGTTAGAAAAATGAGCAAAAAAGGGCGCGTGGCTTCTAGTACCAGTCTAGTACATTGGCTTGTTGACGGTCACAATGGTCGGTTGATGCAATTGACGTGGCTCGTCGTCGTTCTCCTCGCGAATGTGCTTCTGAAATTATCGATTGACTCTCTCGGCAAACAATACCGATAAAAACTGATAAAACTCGATATTTACCAATTTTCTGCGGTGAAAAATACCGATATTTCCACGTTTGTCAATGGAGCGCACTTACGATGTAGTTGAGTGCCACGTGGCCTTGCCACCAGTTGAACGCCAGGAAAGAGGTGAGAAAAAGGTAGACGGCCGCCGATTGCAAGTAGAACGCCGCGTTTTTGTCGTTGTGCATGGCTGAAAACTGAATTTTCGCGTTTTCTAGGCCACCAATCGAACTGACTGTCGAACGCCCAATTCGAAACCATGAGAATGTAGAATGGTTTGAAGAAGAAGTAGAAGCTGAAGATGAGCAGAGCGTACACCGACAGAATCACGTGGAACATCTGTAACATGCGTTTTTTTGTGATTTTTTAGAGAAAAAACGGCGCGAACCGAGATGGCAAAGACCGGATAGACGAGCCGATGCTTTTTGGCGACGATCGCCACGACGGTCATGACGGAGACGGAGGTGGGCACGAGCAAAATGAACATGGCCTTGGCGAACTTGAAGTAGAGCAGGACGACGAGCAGCAGAATGACAATGATGCCGAACGAGACGATCGCTTTCATTGTGCTCTGCAAAAGGGTTGCGGTGCGCGTGATTGTGTGTCACACAAACGTACGTTGATGTGGAGTTTGCCGAAAAAGAAGCGCGGCGGCGTGGAGGAAAGTGATCGCTTCTCACGATATTGAGAAGACATGCTCGTGTCTTGTATCATCACCATTTTCTGGAATTATTGGGGTTTACGGTGGGAAACGGAGAAAATTCGAGACGAAAGCACGAAAAAGCGAGAAAAACGCATCACTCTTCTCTTCTCGCTCGCCCGCCATCACCTCTCTTATGATTACCCTCGCCAGCCGCGTTTCTCACGCTCCGTTGTGGTCTAGTGGTTAGGATTTATGGCTCTCACCCATAAGGCCGGGGTTCGATTCCCCGCAACGGAAAACGCTTTTTGCGCCCTATGGTTTTGCACTTGAAAAGCCTGACCGACCGACAAGCTACTTGCGAACTGAATTGCAATTTCGGATCTAATCTTTCACCTTCATCTCCTCGCTCACTCGCCTCCGCCCCCTTTTGCCTCCCGTTTTTCCGCCGAATTCGAATATGCAAAAGCGGCGGGCCTAAACAGGCTGCGCAGAGATGAAAGAGATTGGCAAAAGAATGTGAAAAGCGCAAAAAAACGGATTGATCAATCATACGCCTATCATAATGTCAAATCAAAGAGCGAAATGGGCGGAATCGAGGATGGTTACGGTAATTTCGGATATTGTAGGTCTCCGGAAACGTACAATGTATTCAAGTACAATTTTACACTGAAATATTGTAGATTGTAGACGAAACCGTTTCTTTTTTGGGCAGAAGAAGGAAAATGTTGCAAAAGATAGCGATCGGAAGTGAGTAAGCGTGGCTTGTGTAACGCAAAACTGAGATATTGTCGCTTTTCACAAATTGCGAGAGTTGACCGGTTTTGTTGGCATAAAATTTGAAACGAAATGTGTTTTGCTCTGTCCGAAAAGTTGCTTATCTTCAGGAGCCTATATCTCGAGACCCATAAATTGTTTCAGAAAGTGTTACACTAAAAAGTTGTTGCAAATTGTATGCTTAACAACTTTGTAATTGACAATTTTGCTCTAAAATGTATCGTTCTTGAGTTATATCCAACTTTGTGAACAGCGTTTTTAAAGCAAACGGTTTGCAAGCTCCATCTTTGAAGACCTATATATCTTGTGCGCCAATTGTTAAATCAAAAAGTGATTCACATAAAAGTTGTTGCAAATTTTATGCTGAACATTTTTGTAGTTAACAGTTTTACACCAAAATCACTGATTCTCGAGATATGATTGAATTTCTGAACGTTATCTATAAAATGCTGGAAACCAGAGCTTTAGCTCAAATTAACCGGAATTTTCTATAGGATACAAAGAAAAATGGCTGTTCAGGTGCTAATCAAGCTTGTGGCACTAAACAAGAGACAAAAAGACGTCGGTTAATCCGATCGGAAAAAGCCGAAAACCGTTACGAGATGGCATTGCCCGAACGACCAGTTTGCTTCATCGTGTAATTGGATTTTGGGTCCAAATTGGACGAGTTTCAGTGAGAAGCAAAAGAAGAAGAAGAAGAAGAAGAAGAAGAAGCGAAAAAGGACAAGAGGAAAGAAACAGTCTGTGAAGAGGTGGTAATGAAGTGAGTGAGTGCGTGGGGGTGGGAACAAGAAGAAGAACAAGAAGAAGAAGAAGAAGAAGAAGAAGAAGAGGAATCTTGAACCGCCGAAACTAGTACAAGATTACACAAAAACAAGGTGAGATATCATGAGAAACGGTTTGCAATTGTTGAAACAAAGTAGGAGAGTCGTGTCTATTTGAAAATGATAAATGACCCCCCATCATTGAGGCATGCAAGTGTTCAGTGGCAATCAAAAAGACGGATAGAAAGTGTAAACGCTTTAAAACTGCTACGTCATCAAGTATTGGCATTTGTAACAAAAGTAGGACTACCGCAAGACATTCTAGTGATGAACTTTGTGCACAAGTTTGGTAGAAATTGGATGCGAGAAGAGAAAACTGAGCGTAACTCAGCTGTCAGGCGAGATATCGAAAAGTGGTCAACTGATAAAATGTACACAATGTGTTGACGAGCAATTTTACAGTTGACAACTTTTTTCTATCGCCATCCGCAGCTGAGATATCGCCGCGTTTGGTTGCAAAGATTGCAGAGAAACTGGAAATTTGATGTTAACGATGGGAACAAGTTAGGTGCCCGCAATCGTAGAATACAACAAAAGTTAGGCGACTCGACACGAAAAAAGGCAAAACTTTTATAAAGATCAGTATGATATAATTGGGAAATACATAAAGTACGGACGCGGTTCTTTCAAGAGAACCGCGTCGTTTAAACGAAAGTTTCATTTTACGGATGGACGGCGCGCGCCAGTGTCAAAAGTGGTTGAGGAGTGACCGCGCGGACGATTTAGTCCGAAGAATGCAATGCAAATCCCTTTTGCCTCCCTCGCCCGATTTCCGAAGAGATTCTCGGTTCTTACCCCCAATAAAACCACTGGATGAGGAGAAGCGTGGAGGAGGGCGCAAAGATTCGCATCACACGATTATATGAGGTGGAAAAAGGGGAATAGTAGAAAGCAGATCCTGGTTCGAAATGAGAAAGGTGACGACAAAAAGCGAAAAAGGCGAAAAGATTTGACCCAGGCAGGGATCGAACCTGCAATCTTCTGATTAGAAGTCAGACGCCTTATCCATTAGGCCACAAGGCCACGATTCGGCCGTGTCGCCGAGGGCATACATGTGAGCGCTGACCGGGGCGGCCGGCACGCACCGGCTACAGTGTGCAAAATTAAAGAAAAGGAATGAGGAGGAGGAGGAGGAGGAAAACAGGAAGAAAAAGTGTGGCGTAACAGTGGAATGATTGAAAGCGAAAGCGATGTTTGTGTGTTTTGTACGCCGTTCTCTCATTCTCTCTCTCTCTCTTTCTCTCTTTTCTACGTCATCCTCATTTCTTTCCAAATGAGAAAGAGAGCGACTAAAAGTGCTTGTTTTATGACTTGAAGGCACTTGATACAAGCGAAAAGGGCTATATAGACTTTTATGTGCGTGGAAAGACCACCCGACCGGCGGATTCTAGACGTTTCCAGGAATTGTGTGTAGTTTTATCGAACATTTCATACTTTGATTTGAAAAATGAGCTAAAACTCTGAAAATATCGCAACAAATCGTGTATCGCGCCTTTAAAACGGCAAAAGCGGGATTACTGTATTTTTAAAGACGCATTACTAATTTTAAAGCGTTTTTCGATGACGTGAAGCTCAAAATTCGAGCAGAAATGTGAGAATGCAATATATTCAACTGAAAAATGCCAATAAACTAGCCTTTTTGGTCGCAAAATATGAAAACGTCATTAAACATACCGTAACTTTCGATTCTAAAGCACAAACCGAGGTTCCAGGTTATTATTCGACAGATTTTAGCTTGAAAGCGTGCAAAATCTGAGCATTTCATCGAAAAAATCACAAAAAACCAACGATAAACTTTTGAAAACTCAATATGCGCCTTTAAAACTACAGTAGCCCGTTGTCAAACGATTTTCAGCTCGAAAATGAACAGATCTCGTCAAAAATTCAGCATTTCAACCAAAAAACTCGTTGTAAATCGACAGTGGCCCTCAAACGAGCGGCAAACGGCGTAAATTGTATGAAACACTCAACAAAACGATAATTGAAAATTGAAAAGAAACGTTTGTCTCGTCATCCCGAAATCCCGATCGAATTGAGCGGGTGATTGGTTGGTCGGAAGAGGAGGAACAGGCTTCGGTGATGCGATGATGAAAAGGCCGAAGAAAGCGGAGGGAAAGAAGAAGAAGAAGAAGAGGAAGGAAGGCGTTATCGGGCTGCCAGAACCTGCTGGGACCGCGCGAAAGAGGGTTCCAAGCGCAGAGGACCAGGCGGCGCAAGGAAATCGAAATCTGCGTGTTGCTGGAAAAAATCGGTCATCAATCGGCGCGTCAATGAGGGAAAAAAGAAACGTGTTGACCTTGCCTGGAATTATTGGAGAGTGATGTGGGAATGAGAAACGAAGGAGAGAGAAACGGAAATGAAAAGGAGAAAGTGTTCCGAAGGAGACATGCAAATTGTTCGTCCATGTTCTCAGGTTGGTTTCCGTGCTTTCGCTTCCACGTTTCGCTGTCTAAAACTGTCTTTTCCCAGCTGCAAATCTGAAAATCACATATTTTTCAATGTTTTCTTTGCTCGAAACAAAAACATTTTTTGTCGCCTGCGCTGAAATTCTAACATCGCCATTTCCGATGACCTGCACATCAACCGAGTTGGCGTCAATTCATACTGTCGCACAGTTTAAAGGCGCAGCACAGTTTTTGAAGAATTTTCCCATACGACAAACAGTTTTCGAACCAAGAAATGGATTTTACGCGAAAAAACCGGTTTTACTGGTTTCTAATCAGTCATTTTAGTTTTACTGCAGTTTCGACACATTTTGTGCTCATTTTGAAACGTCGTGTTTTGAGGAATAAATGCCGTCCGTAAGACACGAGATTATCCGGCGCCCTTTCGTTCAATCTCGCGCTACCCCGCTTTTTTCGATTATTTTTAGTGTTTTGATGCTTGGTCGTCGCCGAAATTCGCAATTTCACGTTACAAATCACAAGCCGTACGGAAACTTTGAAGAATTTCCGCAAGTTTTACTCGCGTTTTGCTGGCTATCTGCCGGCCGGCAGGCTGCCTACCCGCACTCTTGTCAACCCACTCGCCGCCTGCTACTCTCGGACGGAGAGATGGCCGAGCGGTCCAAGGCGCTGGTTTAAGGCACCAGTCCCTTCGGGGGCGTGGGTTCGAATCCCACTCTCTTCAGAACTTTTTTTTTGCGTTTTCCGGGGATGCTATGATGTTTGCGTCGTCTTTTCTCCGTTTCCGATTGACAACTGATACGCACGCACACAGTGTGCTGTCGCGTCCTACCGTTATGCAAACATAACCATATTGATCGATTTTCGCCCCCCATCTCCGACCTGTAGGGTCCATTGTCAATCCGTATAAAGGTAGACGGACAATAATAATAACACGTGAAATAATGACGGACGGTTCGGTTCGCACACACACACACACACACAATGTTCAGTGTCATTATTATTCACTCATTCACCTATTCTATCCCGATTCGCTCTTTTTCTCTTCCATTTCCGTGTACATCGAGATGACATGAAAATGGAAGAGAACCACGCGTTTTCCAACGAAAAAATCGTTTTTATTCGATTCGCAATAAATCGAGTATATAGTATGAGCGGATTCGGACCGAAATATGAACACATGGTCGTAATCTGCTGTTTTCAAATTTCAGACCTCGAAAATGCGGGCGAAATGGAAATGGTGGCGTGTCGTGTGCACCGCGCTTTTCTTCTTTTTCCTCTATAAATTTGTGAAGTTTCTGGAAATTTTATGCGTAAGTTTGCCTTAAAAATCTCACCTTTTCTCCATTTTCCATTTTTTTTCAGATCAATTACAGCGCCGGATCGCCGCTCGATTTCGCCGAATTGTTCAGCGAAAAAGACCCGAAAAAAGTGAGTTTTTGCGTCGACTTTGGTGTTTGTGTACTTTGTGCGCTACCGTAACCCATAAATAATTTCAGCTTGTCGAGGAGTGGCTCAAATTCAAAAACGACTACATTCCGTACGATTTTCATCGCATCGCCATAGAAAATGAACATTTGGTGAGTTTTTGGTTGGAAAATGTCCAAAAACAATGTTTTTTCTTCAGATCGCATCGCAGCGAAAAGAGTTTCTCCGTCAGAGTGCCGCCCATAATTACGAGTCGAAAATGATGATTGGAAAGTGAAATTTCCCGAAAAAATCAATAAAAATTCAAAAAAATCTTTATTTTTCTCATATCACAGCGCAGAAAAAGTCGAAAATATGTGTTGAACCCGTTTTTCGCGAATGTTTTGTCTCAGAATATGCAAATAAATAATAATCACACAGAAAAAAAGGGGGCGTGGCCTCAAAAGAAATCTAGTAGCTAGTGGCCGGGCATGAGCATTGGCACTGTTGCTTCGTCAGCAAGTAGACGTTGTTCGTGAAGAGGCTCTGCAAAAATGGGAGAACGTTTTGCGACAATTTGAATCCCAAAACCGACCCCATTCACATGGTTCGGATAGTTTTGATCGACGTAGTAAAACACACGATTGTCGAGATCCGCTTCGCCCAAATACTCGTATCCGTGATCCTGAAAAGAAAAACGTTGTCGATGAAGCGCACTTGCACGGCGACCAAAAACGTAGAAAGGGGCGTGGCATAGCGTGCACGGTTTATCACCATTTTGGCGCGAACTTCAAAATTTAACCCCATTTTTCATGTTTTTCGTCAAAAATTACCGAAATTTTGTACGATTTCGACAATGTAATTGCATAACTTTGTTAAACTAATCGTCGCGCACTTTTTGAGCGTAAAACGAGCAGGTTTCATTCAGAGAATGAATCAATTGAATCGATTTTCAAGTTTTGTGCTGAAAATGCGCGAATTTCAGTCATTCACCGATACTTTTTGCCGTTTGAACGCTTAAAATACTTGTATTAACGTGCTTAATCACTTCCGCGGAGGGCGTATTGCGAAATATGTCAAAAACGTCTCAAACGCGGCGTTTTCACGAAAATTTCAATATTTTCTCGCTTTAATGTCTTCTTTCGTCGATATTAAACACAAAAATATCGGAAAAGTGCTGAAATTGCGGCAATTTTCAGAAAACGCGTCTCAGATTAGTTTTTTTCTATACTTTTGGTCGCCGTGACTTGCATCATTTTCAGACCTGAAGTACTGCGGGAGCCATGCGTGGACTGCAGTCCTTCGAGTAGTCCTTCTCGGAAACCACCGTCGCCATGTCCACATCGATCGCTTTGATCCACGCGAATCTGAAAGCAATTGGAGAGTTTGAATTCGAATTTTCCGCCAGAAGAGCCACGAAGCGCACTTGTACGAAAAATCTACCGAAAATTGTTCTCCTGCTCATTTCCGACGTACTGGACGAGTCGAACGGGCGTGTTTTGCATGTCGGGCGCGGATAAATTGTAAATCCGTCCGTTCCGAATGAAACTGCCGTCCAACCGGTTCTGCGCGTTCACAAAAATCGCTCCCCAGTGAGGCGGTTGGCCACGTGGCGCCCTGCAAAACAATAGCTCAACTTTGAAGGCCTACATCTCAAGAGCCAATGATTATTTCAAAAAGTGTTCAACTCGAAAGTTGCGGCAAATTTTATGCTGATCAATTCTCCAGTTGATCATTTTTCTCGAAAACGCCTGGTTCTCGAGTTATGCCCGGTAGAGCGTACTTACTGACCAGAGAGCAATGTACTGCGTCTGCGGAATGCCGTTGCCACGCTGCAACGGCCGATTCAGCGGAGTGATCGCCGTCTTCGGCACGATGGCTTTCGAGTAGGTGAATGCGACGAAAAATTGACGATCCAGAATTCCGTTGTACTGAAAAACGACATTTTCGGGCTTTTTTTTTTGGTGGCCTAGCTTTTTCTCGTCCCCTCCCAACTCACAAAAGTCGACGTGGCCCGTTTGGTGACAGTTTTCTGGGTGGTCGACCTCAAAAGGTCGATTTCGGTTGACAACGGCGGCAAGTCATTCGACCAGATTGCCTGGAAATTCTCGAATTTTAAGCGTGCTGCGGAATTATCGATTTTTTCGCGGCAACAACTAACCGTGTCCTCCTGGCCACTTCCGCTGCCCTCGGTCACGTTGACGGGTCTGAAAACTGGAAAAGTTAGGTCACGGCCATGAGAATTCCAAAAAAAAAGAAGAAGCGTACATAAAATCCTCGGCGCCGGCCGAACGACACACGTGCCACGTCACCAAAACGGTGACGATCGCACCGCCGATCATGTGCCGTCTATTTTGATCTGAAAAATTGTCAGCATTCGAAAAGCAAATGAAGAAGAAGAGCGAGTCTACAATATTTGAAGGGACGCAATTCGAAAAGAAACAATGCAAATTTGTTTTCGCCACAAAAAAAACCCCCCCCGGGGCCAAGTTTTGAGAGGCTAACAAGAAAAAAAAAGTTGAAACGACATTTTGTTTTTGATCTACCAGCGGATTTGCGCAAAAAATTATTGATCACCTCGTACAGTGCATAGAAATTTCGCGAAACGCTTTTTGAACCGACGCCACCGACGAACAATTTGCTGCGGAGCCATTTTCGAGAAATACACATTTTTCTCACGCCTGCCAGTAAAATCATTTGTTTAGGCCACGCAAAGTCCGGAATTTTCGTTTGGAAATCGGGGAAAAAGTAGGCCATTTTCTACCTAGAAACTATAAAAATCGATAAAAATGCCAAAATTTAGGGTCGTCCGGCTAAAAACGAGCGACGATCGTGAAAATTGATCGACAACGCCGAAAATCCAAAACTAGTCAAACGGGCGGTAAGTCTAAACGCAAACATCATCACAGAATCAAAGTTTGGCGTGTGTAAAACGAGAAGAATCGGGGAAAAAAAAACGGTTAGAAAGTCGAACGATGATGTGGAGTGGAACGAGATGTGCGATTCTGATAATAAAGTTGTAAAAGGGCGACGTAGACGAGACGAGAAGAGGTCATTCCGCGTCGGTGCCGCGCGCGCGGAAAGAAGACGGCAAAACAAAACAAACGAGAGGAACGGATCGTGTGTGTGGGGGGCGGTAAGCCGTACGCGTACAAGCACACAAATGTGCATAGACCCCGCCAAAAAAGGGGAAATGGAGATGCTTTTCATGGGGTTTACGGCCGCTTTTCATGGGAGACCGAACACGTTTTCAATAGGCACACACACCCTTTTTTTGCGGTGTTTTTCCGTGATTTTTTCGAATCGCCACGCATTTTGGCCGGGTGTCTGCAAATCGGCCTACAACTCGAAAGTTGAAGGTTTAACGAGAAAATGATCGACTGCAAAGTTGAAAAGCATTAAATTCTCTACACTTTTCTAGTTTGTCGCTTTTTGAAAAAAGTTATCGCTTTCGAGTTACACGCTGTCAAAGTTCGAGGCCGGTTTTACTATTAGTTGAAACATAGCTTATAGTGGTGAGGCCTATATCTTGTGAATGAAGCGTTTTGGCCAAAAATGACCAACTACAAAAATGTTCAGCACAAAATTTCCGATAAGTTTTTAGTTAATCACTTTTCGAAATATTGATTGGTTATCGAGATATGAGCCTCAGAAAAACATGATTATTTATAACAAAGCAAAAGCCGCAGGATTTGCAGTATAGGGGTAAATGAAGATTTGTGTGTGGAAATTTGAGCATGACGGCAATGAAAATCATGTATATCAAAATGGTATTGTTGGTGCATCGACTGACGTCAACTTAAACGGTAAAAGAAAACCATAATAGCTATTCGAAAAATAGTAGAAATTGAAGAGCTTAGGCCCTAGTTTTTAGGTAAAAATCAAAAAGATGGTAGTGTTCAACATTTTGATAGCAAAAATGTTGTCAAATAAACATGTTCCGACTATAAAACGTATACATTTATGTATAGTCAGTCATCGGAAGGTCGCCAGCGGAACCGTATTGATAAAATGTTGCGACGATGCGTCGGTGCGCCGGAATGAATCACGCACAGTCGAAAATATGGAAAGACGGATTGAATTCGATGTTTGTCGACCCGATTCATATGTTTGATGACAATGCGAACTGAATTTATAATATCAAAAAATGTGCATGTTATTGAAATTTACGTTTTTTTCAACTGTTAATAGGTATTTGCTTCTATGTTCTTCATTTCTTCGTTTTTTCGTCTCGCTATGTATTCCTGGAGAGCGTTTTTCCCGAATAAAAACTCTTAAATTGAAATTCCCTCGCTTTTTCGCACGTGTCGATTTACGATAAACCGGGCGCCGTGGCGTTATTTCGGAGCCACGTAATATTCATTTTTCGTAATTTTCCGTCTATTTTCACCGAAAATAGTTCTGAAAAAGCATGTCGTTCGCTAGACAAATTGGTAATATTATTCCGAGCTTTGCCAGCCGACAAATTCACTCTTCTTGCCATCTCTTCGCACCGGTAAGTCTGAAAACAAACCCTAAAAAGAGAAACACGTATTTTTCAGGTTCCCCTCACTTACACCAGTTACTCGTCGCCGGAATTCGACCGAAACGCTCCGCTAATCATCGTCCACGGCCTTTTCGGCCAAAAACAAAACTGGAACTCGGTCGGGAAGGCGTTGCACCGAAAACTGGAGGCGCCGATTTACGCTGTCGACGTGCGCAACCACGGCGCGTCTCCCCACGTGGCAACCATGTCGTACGCCGAAATGGCCGAAGACCTCGTCGAATTTATCGATAAAGTGCTCGCGGAGACCGGAAAACGGCGAGTGAATCTGCTGGGACACTCGATGGGCGGCAAGATTGTGATGCGGATGGCGATCGACTCGAAGTGGTGCGATCGCATTGAAAAGTTGATTGTGGAGGACGTCTCGCCAAAAGGATACTCCAGAAGACATGTCGGTACGCTTTTCTGTGTCAAAATCCCTAGTTTTTCCAGCAAAAATATTCTTTTTTTGCAGAATTCCGTGCTCTTATCAAAACCATGCGTGACGTGGATCTGCGCCGGAGTCGAAAAGAGATTCTTGTCGATTTGGAGTCGAGCATTCCGGATTTGGCGATGCGTCAGTTCATTTTGACCAATTTGCAGCCGAAGGGCGGAGAAATGGAGTGGAAGTGCAACATTGACGCGATAGATAGCCACGTGGAAGAGCTTCTCGGGTAACGCACCATTCTGTCGAGGGGAAATTGGAATAAATCGAGTGTTTTCAGTGTTTTCTCCTTTTTCTTTATTTTTTTCCAAAGACGGACTCAATCTCTCTTGTTTCTGCAGATACACGCTTCCGGTGGGCAGCTACCGCGGTCCGACGCTCTTTTTGCACGGTTCCAAGTCCGGATACGTGCCCGACGATCACAAACCGGAAATCAAGTGTCTTTTCCCTCAGGTTCACCACTTTTTACCTCGCAAATCCAAACAATTGCAAGATTTCAGGTCGAATTCGACGCGATTCCAGACGCCGGTCATTGGGTGCACGCCGACAAACCACAACTCTTCATCGAGAGCGTTTTTAGATTTTTGAAGCCGTAGTATGTGAAAATTTATATTAATAATAAAATAAATGGCTAGAATTCTATAGAGTTCAGCGATTTTCCAGTGAAAATTCGCTCCAAATGAGCTACGGTAAGCTTAAAGGCGCATAGCAAAAAATAGAGAAAAAATAAGCAAAAAAGAAGGTTGTGCGAGCGCGGAACCTGATTGATTTCCGGTCACAAAAAGGGGAGGAAAAGCGCGGGTCACTTATTCATAGCCTTCTTCCTCGTTTCGGCGCGGTCACCCTACTCGATGATGAGTTGTTTTTTTTGTTTGATCTTCGGAGAATACATTTATGGAATTTCTGAAGAACGATTTTGCTGGGCTCTTCCGGGCGGACCGGGAAATTTAAAACTAATTTCGGCGGCGGCAAGCAATTGGCAGTGGCCCGGGTGGCTCATTGCGAATTCCGTCTGCACGTCGGCCGATTCGAATGCTGTCTCGGCATTAAAAAGACACAAAGTCCTGGCGTTTCTCTCTCTCTCTCTCTCGTAAAACCGGAGAAGACCCATCCATCCGTATGACATCCAAATTCTTCTCTGTTTTTCCATCACGTTTTGTTCTTTTTACGTTGTTTTTTCCGGAAATTTCTGTGAAAATGCGGAAAACGCGCTCTACCGCACTAATTTTTTTCGTTTTTCGTTTAAGAAGCGCAAAAAAGATAAAATGAACGTGTTTTTTCATTCAATCAGAAGGCGTCGCATAAGTTTGCTACCAAGAAATGCTCTAAAAATACATCAATTGTGTTTTCCCTCCCCCCGCAATTCATTTCTCGGGCCCATTCTTGACACGTTCAGAATGGGGCTGTCCCCCTCCCTTCTTCTCTTCCTCTCTCTCTCTTTCTTTCTTTCTTCCGTTGAGCTCTCAACGGACCCGAGACAACACATGTCCGCGCCGATTCTGAGCTCCCTCGGAAGTGAGAGAGTTGGCGTTCCGGAGAGAGACTCAGACAAAGAGAAAGAGAAGGAGCTCTCCTTCTTCTCCATCTTCTTCTTCTTCTTCTTCTTCTTGTGACTTCTCCAATTACCACACACTCCTTGGGGGACCCCTTTCGGACACATGTCAAATACATTCGTAATCCCTTTTTTCCATGTTTTTATAATATCTCCTTGATTGGTTTCTCGGAAAATTTGATTCTTTTGTTTAGTAGATGTCCTTTTGCAACTGGGCGACGTTTCGCAACCAATGGAACATCTCACAACAACCGAAAAACGGTGGTGACCAAAGTTGACCCGATTTTGTCGAAAAAACTCGAAAGGCGTCAAGGGATTGCTAACTAGAAGACGTTTCGCAACTGACTAGACATTTCGCAACCATAAGCTCCGCCCCTTTTCCCATCAAAAAACTTCCATCTTCCTTTGCTCTTTTTCTTTTTGTGCCTATAAATGAGAGCTCCTTGAGAGGCCTTGAATAATTGAATAGTTGGGGAGAAGAAGAAGAAGGACTTCTTCTTCTTCTTCTTCTTCTTCTTTCTCTCTTTCTTCTATGGGGCGTCTTCATCTGAAATTGACGAGTGAAAAGAGGAGAAATCTCATGGAATTCTTAGAAAACGAGGAGAGAAGAAGAGGGAGAAGCCATTGAAAAAGCGAGCGCTTCTTCTCCTTCTTCTTCTTCTTCTCCTCCATTTCCCTTGTGAATTCGTACGTTCTCTTTTGAGAAATTCTGTGTTCTTTTGGTTTGGTTGACGAGAAACCGATAGGGAACCTTGGAAAAGCAATTTCTTCTCTGCCACATAACTTTTTTTCCCTACCGTACTCCTAACTAATGTTTCCAGAAATGTTGGCCGCACGCGGAGTATCGCTGGGTCTCGGAAAGATAAATTTGTCGGATTTGAACCAGTTGCCACAGGATCGGTGAGTCTTTTCGCTTTTTGTGCCGACGGGGTAACGTAGCAAATCGAATAAGCCCGGGTTTTGCCTGAAATCGAATAAAAACAGCCAAACGTTGCCCCCTTTTATGAGTTTTATGTGGCCAAAACTATGACTATGACTCCCGGCTCGCCAAAACAAATGACAGTGATGCGTGGTCCCGTCTGTTGGAGAGATCCGCACTCGTTCCCGGCTTGCAAGTGTCCCAGACCGGTTAGACCGACGGATTTGGAGATTTATAGGAATAGTGTCGATTTGTGAGTTTTGTAGGCTCAAAAGTTTGCTTCAGAGCCGGATTTTTAGTACCTCAAAGTCCCCTATTCTCGCCTGATTATTGTCGCCGTTTTAAGAATGTACAGAGAAATTGAATCATAGCTCGAGAACGAAACATTTTCAGACAAAATGATCTGTTACAAAGTTGTAGAGCACAAAATTTGCAACAAGTTTTTAGTTGACAACGTTTTGACACCTCCATCCGTAGCTGAGATAAATCGTCTTGAATTGGGGGGGAGCTACAGTTTTTCCACATATTCCTCAAAAAAAAAGAAGCAATTTTCAGAATCCTGGCGGCTCATCTCAAAAAGTCGATAGACGCAAAGAACAAAAAGCCAAAGATCATCATCAAAAAGAAGGCGGACGCGAAGGTCATTTCCATCCAAAATTGCCCAAACTCACGAACTTTTCCTTCCGTTGGGCACACATTTTGGCCCAAAATTTGATTTGCTTCGAGAGCCCTCCCCAATTTTGTGTGTGCGTGTGTGTGTGTGTGAAAAAACGAAAATTGAACGAAATAGAGGAACCTCCCACTTTCGAAGAGAGTTTCTGCTCAAATTGACTTCTTCCCGAAGGTACAATGCTCCGAAATTCCGTACCTTTTTGAAAAACGCTTATAACTCAAGAACCAATCATTTTCCAGCAAAATAATCAACTACAAAGTTGTTCAGCACGAAATTTGCAATACTTTTTCAGTTGACCACTTTTTGGAACATCGATTGGTTCTAGAGATATAGGCGGAATTTCGGAGTCTCGTACTGACAACGAGCTTTGACCGAAACTTGATCTGTGCGTAATTCCGGAGCCTCGTCAGAAATGCAAATGAACTCTCGCCGCTTTCCCATTCCGGAAAATTCTCAGGGGAACCCTGTGAAACGTCACCCAACCACTTTGAAGTATATTGAATTTGAATCCTCCTCTCTCACACTCGAAACTCTAACTTTCATTATAAAAATGAACAACTCGCTTTCTTGACACCGGAAATTTCATTTCATTTTCGACACCTCTCGGTGCTCGGCGAGCAAGCACCGGAAATTGTGCACGCAGTTTTGAGCATGTGTAATATTCCCTTAAACACTTTCTTCTTCTGCTTTTCCTCTGGCGAAAGTGTTCTGGCTCACAGAAATATGATGATGAGTGAGAGTATCATCATCGTTCCAAATGCATAGGAGAAGAAGAAGAAGAAGAAAAAATATCCCCCCCCCCCTTTTTTTTCCCTTCCATTTCCTCAGCCTATCCGTTTTTTTTTTTGAATGGACCCTCTAACAAGGCCAGTTCTTCTTCGTGCACTCGCCGAGCACAGAGAAAATGTTTTGGATATTGTAGGCTTACTTGAGAGTGTGTAGCATCCGATCAACTCTGAATGAGTATTGTAGGTTTCCGAGACGTCCCCAAGTTCCAGAATCTTGTCTTCAAACGCTTTATATATAAAACTTTATTCGACGATCACTTCCTGGACGACTGTACCTGAAGCCCCATGAATTACAGTACTCTTAGAAGGCGTTGTACAAAAAAGTTGTCAAGTGGCAAAATAAAGTTGATGTATAGTGCTCTACTTTTGTAGTTGACCATTTTTTCATACAACCATGCCTAAGGCTACTGTTGCTCTTGAAAGTAGGGACGAGTTGAAGGCACTGAAAAGTTTTTGCAAAACGTGATACTCATTCAAAGTTTCGCAACAAGACTAAATCCCCTCATTGTTTTCTTTCGAACAAAATCGCCCCCCTCTCACTCGTCCATTCCTTCGCCACATTCAATTAATTAGAGTGTGTCCTGTTCCGCTTCCCTTTCTCTCTCCATTTCGTTTTTTGCGAACCCTTCATTTTTCCAACGTCTTTTCACACTTCCAGACCTTTCCTTACTATTAAAAATGCGAAAGTGTCAATATTCGCGAGTGGCCACTTCGGAATTTGAAGTTGCGCCCACGACTTCTTCGAACGGCGTCGAGAGGGCGTTCAAGGTGACCAGATCCAAGTTTCAGCACGATAAGGTGAACATTCACTCGTTTGACATGGATATTGTAGAGTTTGGAGACGTTGTAAGTCTCTAGAAACTTTTTTCTTCTGACAAAAATTGTACTTTCTAACACCTTCGAATCCTCAAAAAGTTGGGCAAAACAAACAAAAACAACTTTTTTCCCGCATGCGTGACACTTTTTTTCTGTGAAGACGCCGCCTAATTGACAGTAAAGTAATTGTGTTCGGGGGTAGAAGCTCCGCCCCATTTCGGATGGCTCCGCCGCGAACTCCTCTTGAGAATTAGGAAGAAGGAGCGGAACGATCTGTGTGTTTGTTTTGACTCTCTATCTCGCGCCTCCTGCCCGGCTCCACTCTCAAACTCAAACTCTCATAATATAGGTAACAGAAGAAGAAGGAGAGAGAGATAGAGAGAGAGAGAGAGAGAGAGAGAGAGAGAGAGAGAGAGAGAAAGAGCTCAAGAGGCTCCAGCTTGCTCCACAAGCATATCTTTTACCCATTCTTATTTATTCAAATTATTGTACTACTACTGCTGTTGGAGCTCTCTGAAGTTTGAGCCGTAACCTGAAGCCCAAAGCCCAAAGCCGGAATGCCAATGGTGAGCCTACAGGCCCGTCGAGCATTCCTCGCCTCCTACTATGCAGCTAACAAACGGGTAAGCCTAGTGTTATATGAAATGAAAAAAAGATGAAATCCCATCCCCACCCGGTTCCCATGACAACCCAATTCACACTTTTATTCTTCTTCTTCTTCTTCTTCCCCTTCCCCTTTCCCTTCACGCCTTTCTCTCTCTCTCTCTCTTCTCCCCCCAACACTTCCTTTTGCGTCTAGAAAAAGTGTGATGAAAGTGGACAACCCCCACCCCCACCTCCTTCCATTTGGGGCCATAACACACGAGTTTCGCACGCGGAGAATGTATCAAAAGTGGAGGAGCTTCGAAATTTTGGTACGTTTTAGATCCTGTCACAGTGTTTTTTAAAGATTTTCATCTCACTTGCTCTCCACTTCTCCATCTTGTAGTTTCTTTGTAGTTTCCCATAGCCTGTACGTATACAGGTCGACTTTTTGAGTTCCATGCAAAAATATGAACTTACAAGCAACTTTGGACCATGAAATTCTGCCGGAGGTTTTTTTTTAGAAAATGGAACCACACCTAACACTGATCCAGCTATCCTTTCAATCAAATTCTCTGGATCCGTCAAGTTTTTCGGATTTCCGTTGCACGGGCGGGCCTTTTCCAAATTTTTCGGATTTTTCGTTGCCAATAAGATTTTGCGTAATGCACAACGGATATTCGGATATTGTAACTTTAAGGTTGACTATCAAAAATCGGAAAAACCGGAAAAACCACAGGTTTTTCTGTCCAAAGTCGGCCGAAATTTGCGTGAAAAACGGGGGTGCGCACAGCTCAACGAAAACAAATGTAACCGTACCCCTAAAACTACGGTATTTTTTGAAAATTTGCGCAAGAAATTTGAATATTTTCAAATATCCTCAAGAAATTAGCAAATTTTAAAAAAATATCGTAGTTTTAGGGGTACGGTTACATTCGTTTTTGTTGAGCTGTGCGCACCCCCGTTTTTCACGCAAATTTCGGCCGACTTTGGACAGAAAAACCTGCGGTTTTTCCGGTTTTTCCGAGACTTTGGACGCGGCATTAAGGTTGACTATTGAAGATCAGAAAAAAACCGTTACCCTATAGTTAACTACGTGCGAAACTTCACTAGCAAACTGGAAATCCCTGAAAACCCATACCGTCGTATAGGGGTGCCGAATTCTAATCCTAGCCAAATTTCTAGCTTACAGCAAAAGTTCATAGTAGCAAAACACTTAAAAATGTCGTATAATCCAATACCGAACCCCAACAATTCTGACGTCTTCTTCTTCTTTTGAAAACGAGGATTAGTGGCGCGTAAGTGGACAGACACTAGTACAACTCATAATCCTGCCCGCTCCAACCGAAACATTTTCCCTCCGGCACCCAGATTATCTGCCTCCTCCGCTATTTATCATTTGTGCGCCGCGACGGCCGACGAGACGAGCATTTCGCGGGCCCAGCCACCCGTTTTGGAGCCAGAAATTGAATTTTGTGGACGCTTTCATTCGCAAAATCGTTTCTGTTGTCTTGTGTGTGTGCTGCAAAATTTCAACACAATACTGTGTGCCCAGTGTGTCAAGTGTAAGAGGCCACTTGAAGCGCCAATTCTGACCGCTCTACCAGTCGGTATTACGCACACACAAACACGGTGGAGCACAGAGCAAAAGAGCTCAAAAGAGACGGCTCAAAATAGCTGAGTGCAGTGGGAAATTCTGCTGCTGGTGCTGTGCTGTGCGAAAATGGATCGAGTAGGTTCCATTTTTGTCCACAATCTGAGATCTAAGGTCCACCAGCCTGAGACGGCCCAAAACCTAAAATCTAAGATTCAAGGCCTAAAGCCCCGAATTGCGGCCGCCGGAAAACCGATCAAATTTTGCAGACAGTGTGGGCGGCATGCCGAGCAGTCATTTTCGGATGCATTATAATAGTTGTCGGGCTGGCGATGACCGTACTCGGCTACTTTGACAAGTACTTTTCGGAGGTAACCCCCGTTTTTTTTTTGGCCGAAACTTTTCACCTAGGATAAACTTTCAGAAAATCGAGATAATCGACGGCTCGGAGCATGTGACCTACGATCGAATGGTACAATATCAGCTGAAAAGTATGCAGGTATGAGCTCGTGAACACTTCTTTTCCAACTTTGCCAACTTTTCACTTGTTCAGTACCTCGGTCCGATCCTAATGGGCATCGGCTCGTTCATTCTGATCATCGCCTGCGTGGTCACCCTGGAAAGTCGTGACAAGCACGCACAAATAATCACGGAAGAGTCGATACTTCAAAAACGACGACGATTGTTGTCGGAAGAGGAGAAAGCGGAGCACAACGACGTGTTCATTGACGACGACGACGATAAGGAGGCGTTCTTTGGCGATGGAAGGTTAGTTAGCCGGAAAAATTGATGTAACTCAGCTGATGGTAGAAATATCGAAAAATTGTGAACTGATAAAATGTGCACAGTGTTATAATGAACATTTTACTAGTTGGCAGCTGAGATATAGCCTGTTGAATAAACGGTATTAGCCACCAAATAGTAGTAATTTTCTAAAAGTTGTTTTCCAGAAGGTTCGTGGCCCTGGATGCGAATCGATTGGCTCCGTTGGCCGATGTGGACTCGTTAGGCGACATTTCACTGACACAACGAGGCGGCTCCGATTCTAGATTACGTGAGTTTTTAGAGTTACCGATAAAGACATCGAAAAGTTGTCAACTGCGAAAATGTACACAATGTTGTGATGAACAATTTATCAGTTGACAGCTTTTTGATATCTCATCGGACAGCTGAGATATAATGTCTTGAATAAAAGGCACTGGGGGTACTCTCTTATGTATTTACGGTAACTTATTGCAGATTCGGAAGAAGTGTGCATGGAAGACCAGTACACTTTCGATCACGAGCAAGGAGAAGAAGAAGAAGAAGTAGAAGATGAACCGTTCCCTCAAGACCCCCTCCCGCCGCCTTCCCTGATCGTCGAGTGCTCCGAGAGCTCAGCAAATCGACGAGAAGTGCCGACTGAAGAAATGCCGTCGAAACCGAAACGACTACGGCTGGAAATGTTGGCTGCGGAGCTCGACTAGCGATAATTATCAGTTAGGATTTTCAAATTTGCCTTTCCAATGTACGGGTTCTTTGCGAATCACTCATAATCATCATCACTTGTCCTCGGTTGGGACCGTATTCGAAATTTGTATGTATAAAAGTGTTGAGAGAAGAGATTCTATCGAGCTTTCTTAAAGTCCTAGCACACAAAGCAGTCTCCACCTCATGGCCTAACTTTTCTGCCTCAAAAATCTAGTCCACAACCGTGTATCATCCTGCGAGGGCGTCGAAAGCTCATCAATCGGAAGTGTCACCTGACCCCCCTCCCGTCGAGTATTACAACGAAAAAAGAGAGAAAGATTCTCCGTGTCGCCCTCTTTTTCACTTTCTTTTCGTTTGTGGTGCCCGCCTGCCCCGCTTCTACAATATCGTTTCCATTATTGTTTAATTCTCTATTCCGAGTGCGATTTCACGTGTCCGCTCATGACTTTTGCGATTACTTCGTTTTTCCGTTCGGTATATCTCTCGCGCAACGAATGGACATTTCGCAACTCAATCATCCAACGTTTGCAGATGTCCCAAACCCTGCAGGCCAACTACGATTTCGCCGCGTTGGTCAACAATAGTCGCGCGATTCAGGTGAGCCTAGACACTTGGACACTTTGCAACCGGTTGCCCATTTCAGGTGGTGTGCACGATCGTCCAACTCGTGCTCATCTACACCGAATCCGGCGCGCTTTCCCTCTTCACGTTCCTGTTCTACTCGCTCCTCGTCGCAATGCACCTACTTCATTTGGCGCGCCGCTGGTATTACAACATTGACGGACGGTACGATGTGCGGCAGATCATTCGCGACAACGAAGTGACGCTCAGGATTCAGTACGCCGTTGGTAAGAGTCGTCGCCTAGTTGCAATTTCGCCCGAAAAATGCAAAATGTTAAACGGCGCGTCCAATGGCTCGGAAACGCCGCAAATCTCGCGGATTTTGCACTCCAAAGTCGGCAGAAATTTGCGGGAAATGCGGGGTGCGCACACAGCTGAACGAGTGTTACCGTACACCATAAAACTACGGTATTTTTTGAAAATTTTTAAATTTCTCGAGAATATTTGTAATTTTTTTCAAATTTCTTGGGTAAATTTTCAACGGTATTTTTTTGAAAAAAATTTAAATTTCTCGAGAATATTTGCAATTTTTTTATATTTCTTGGGTAAATTTTTCAACGGTATTTTTTTGAAAAAAATTAAATTTCTCGAGAATATTTGCAATTTCTCACATTTCTTGAGTAAATTTTTCAACGGTATTTTTTTTGAAAAAAATTTAAATTTCTCGAGAATATTTGAAATTTTTTTCAAATTTCTTGGGTAAATTTTTCAACGGTATTTTTTTGAAAAAAATTTAAATTTCTCGAGAATATTTGCAATTTTGCAAATTTCTTGGGTAAATTTACAACGGTATTTTTTTGAAAAAAATTTAAATTTCTCGAGAATATTTGCAATTTTTTTCAAATTTCTTGGGTAAATTTTTCAACGGTATTTTTTTGAGAAAAGTTTAAATTTCTCGAGAATATTTGCAATTTTTTTCAAATTTCTTGGGTAAATTTTTCAACGGTATTTTTTTGAGAAAAAGTTTAAATTTCTCGAGAATATTTGCAATTTTTTTAATTTTCTTGGGTAAATTTTTCAAAAAAATACCTTAGTTTTATGGTGTACGGTAACACTCGTTCAGCTGTGCGCACCCCGCATTTCCCGCAAATTTCTGCGCCGACTGGACTGCAAAATCCGCGAGATTTGCGGGGTTTCCGAGACTTTGGACGCGGCATAAAGGCCGCCTGATCTTTTCAGCCATCTTCTCACCGCTGATCCTCGGCTTCTTCACCTGGACGTTCGTCGAATTGAACAACGGCCTCGTGCACTCACTCTTCCACCTCTCCGTCATGATTCAGGCGATTGACAATCGTGAACAGTTTTTTTGTTTAACGCAAGTAGTTTTCAGGTGATTTTGGCGGCGGCTCAACTTGGACTCGAATTCTACGAAGTGGTGATGGCGAACAAGAGCAAGTGAACGCGGAGAACCATAACTTTTTTTGTCGATCGCACAACATAAATCATTGTTTTTTGAAAAAACGCATTCGCTGCTTGTTTCTGAGAGAACAATGAGAATTCGTAGGGGCGTGGCCTAGCGTGCATGGTTTATCACCAATTTGGCGCGAAATTCGAAATTTAACCCCCTATTTTTCATGTTTTTCGTCAAAAATTACCCAAATTTTGTACGGGTTTCGACGATATAATTGCATAACTTTGTTAAACTAATCGCCGCGCACTTTTTGAGCTTAAAACGAGCAGGTTCGATTCAGAGAATGAATCAATTTAATCGATTTTCAAGTTTTGTGCTGAAAATGCGCGAATTTCAGTCATTCGCCGATACTTTTTGCCGTTTGAACGCTTAAAATGCTTGTATTAACGTGCTTAATCACTTCCGACACTCATTTCGTCTCAAAACTATCCAGATCGGCCAGTATGAAAATTCCGAAATTGCGGCGGCGATTGGCCGCGGAGAGCGTATTGCGAAATATGCCAAAAACGTCTCAAACGCGGCGTTTTCACGAAAATTTCAATGTTTTCTCTCTTTAATGTCTCTTCTTTCATCGATATCAAACACAAAAATATCGGAAAAGTGTGCTGGAATTGCGGCAATTTTCAGAAAACGCGTCTCAGATTAGGCCACGCCCCTTTCTACACTTTTGGTCGCCGTGACAACGTGAACTTTGTCGAACACGTTGCCCCAAAACGACAACAAACGAGAAATCAGTATTCGAAAACGGAAGCATGGCTGAAGCGGCGGCAACGCCGGAGAAAGGAAACAAAGGAACCAGCGATAAGCAAAAGGTAAACTCGAACTTTTCGCTTATAGAATCAAGCGCACAAGAATATTGCAGGCAAAAGTCATCGCGTGGCTCAACGGATTGGTGGAACGGCTGAAGGCGTGGACGCCCGGACACTGCCAGCAGTTGTTCGTCGAGAAGGAGCTCATTGAGTTGTGCTTCCGAGCTCGCGAGCACTTTTGGAAGAACAATGTCAAGCTCGAGGCGCGTGTGTTTTTGTGTCTGTCTGGCGCCCTACCTGGCCTAGGAAAGTCAAATGTGAAAGGCCGAAGATTTTCCTAGGCCACAGTCACAACGCGTTGACTTCATTCGTTCATTTGCAGCTGGAGGCGCCTGTCAAAATTTGCGGTGACATTCACGGACAGTACGAGGACTTGCTCGCTTTGCTCGAGCTCAACGGATGGCCGCCGGAGACGAGGTCAGTTCGAGAATGATCGTCCCAACTAACGGATCACTTGCTGAAGGTATCTGTTCCTGGGCGACTACGTGGACCGTGGTCCGTTCTCGATCGAGGTCATCTCCCTGCTGTTCGCCTTTCAAATCCTCCACCCGGACAAGGTGTTCTTGCTGCGTGGCAATCACGAATCGCGTCCCGTCAACATGCAGTACGGCTTCTATTTGGAGTGCCGCAAACGCTTCTCGATCGCCCTCTACGACGCCTTCCAACTCGCCTTCTACTGCATGCCGCTTTGCGCCGTCGTCAGCAAGAAGATCATTTGCATGCACGGCGGCATCTCTGAGGATCTCGTCGATTTGAGGCTGGTTTTTGGAGTGGAGAGAGAGAGAGCGATCTCATGATTTCCGGCCAATTTCAGACAATTGGAGAAAGTGGAGCGTCCGTGCGACATACCCGACATTGGAGTCATTGCGGACCTGACGTGGGCGGATCCGGACACGACGATCGAGGACTACTCGGAGTCGATGCGCGGCGCGGGTCGAATATTCGGAGCGAACGCGGTGCGCAACTTCCTCGCCCTCCACAACCTCGAGCTCGTCGTGCGCGCCCATCAGGTCGTCATGGACGGCTACCAGTTTTTCGCGAACAAACAGCTCGTCACCATCTTCTCGGCGCCCTCCTACTGCGGACAAATGGACAATGCGGCGGCCGTGATGAACGTCGACGCGGAACTCGTTCGTCGTTGCCCCGAGAATCTCGATTATACAATTGGTTTGCAGGTGTGCTCGTTCACTGTGATGCGTCCCGACTTGAGAAAGGACAAGGAGAAGAAGGCGTTGACGCCGACGGCCGCTTGACAGCGAAACGGAGAGAATGTGAAGAAGCGCTTGATGATGATAATAAAGGAGTTATTTGATGTTTTCGTACTTTCACGTCGCACGGTCTCCAGAGCAGACAATATGGGCGTGGCCTCGGCGGCCAAATGGCGTTTTTATGAATTGAGCAAGTTTTCTCTGATTTTTGTGGTCAACGGCGATGAAAAATGATTGTTCGACATGAAAACACACTAATTCTCAGAATTTATGACGTTTTGGCGCATTTTTCGCGGATTTCGCTTTTTCGCCTTCGCCGCCGATGGCCGCCTAAAAACCGCACTTCTTATTTTGCGATTTCTTGACCGTTTTCCGACAGAATTGGTTTTGAGAATGATAAATCACGTGAATACAATGCAATGCCCCTATAATAGGTCCGGTTAGAAACGAGAATTAGCTAGTTAGATTAGAAACGATTTGTCTGGGTGTTTTTGAGCTCGTTTTATCAGTGTCCTTTCTTTCATGATGGTATACATTTTTGAACTATTTATTTTCGTAAAACCGTCTGGCCTCCGATCATGTTTCTCGATATTCGTTGCGCTCCTCTGAGAAACGGGAGAAAACGAGAAAGGGCTGATGTTCTGTTCTTCAGTTCTGCGCCTTTAAATTTGAAGACGGAAACGGTGGATCACAATTCTCCCCATTTTCCGGCAACAAAAAGCCGATTTCGGACGGCTTCCTATTTCGAATATTAACAAAATCGGCAGGAAAGGGGGTGTCTCGTGGGGGTCCAACCGAGATAAAGATCGGAGACGTAGACGGTCAGAGTGCACACGCCGTCTGCCTTCTCCTTCTATTCGTGCTTGCTTCTCCTCTCCCCCAACACACTTCCCTGCCGATATTCCCATCGTACTAATGGCCTCTTCTCAGCAACTGCTTCCATTTTCAACCAAAGACACCGAAAAAGGCTTGAAAATCAAAGAGAAATACAAATTTATTGAGCTCAGGCGAGATGATCTTCAAATTAAGCTTCATTTCGATTCAGCTCACTGGGATTTTTCTCGAAAGAATGAGGACGAAACATGGCAAATGAAAGGAGTGGACGGAAGAAAAACGAAGAATGTCCAGGATGAAAACGTGGATGCGATGATAGAGGATATCGTCCGAAAGTACCTGAGCAAACCTGGAATCGAGATTCATGAGCTACGCTTAATCGTGAGTGAAACAACTTTTTCGTGATTTTGTCTGCGCTTTACTCAAATGCATTCATTTTCAGAATGTTTTCATCTGTCCTCTGCTCTTTTCTCAACTCAAAGTGAACCGTTTCATGGCATATGTAAAGGGTACGGCTGTATACCCGATTGGATATTTTCGATGTTTGAATACAACTTCTATCACTTATTTTTCGGTTCTCGATTTCTCTCAAGCGAGGGATGTTATCGCCGATATTAGAGTGAGTGTTCTGTTGAAAATAAGACATTATAGTATTATTTATCAGTGCCTGAACTTGAATCGAATTGAATATTTTGCCTACGAACCGAATAACCCAAATTTGCTTATCAATTTTTCGTGTGAACAGTGGGAAGTCACAGAACAAATTGAAAAGGGTTCGATGCCATTGATATTGGAAGCTTGCCAGGTTTTCAAATGATCCAATTTCCTTCATGAGTTCTTTCAAACTATTTTTTTCAGAAAATACTGAAAGATCAGCCAGCAATCGGCTCTTATTACACAGCGTTTTGTTCAGATGAGGATGATCATGAAATGAAAAAGTTATTGAAAATGATTGACGAAACGATACCCGGCGGACAATGGAAATGGGAATATGGATTGTGAGTCTAAACTATATTCTTCCCTTCACAGAGTTTATTTTTTTCAGAAAACTGCTCTGCTATGAAATGGAACACTCGGAAATGTTGGTTCTGGTGCAACCGCCGATTACAATGAAGAGATTCCCAACATTATCGACTTTAGTCATCAAAAAAGGAACAGCTGTGAGTAGTTGAGCTTTACTTTTTCTTAAACATAAGAAAGTATGAAAAAAGCATAGTTGCCACGGGCCGAAATTTCCAAAACTCCGGCCCGGTTCAAAAAGCGGGAATTCAAAATTTGAATTATTGATCGCATAAAGCCATTTTTTGTAGAATTAGGGGTTTTTTGCAAGCATCGAACATTGAAAAACAAATGTATTTCTCATAAAAAATTCATAATAGCAAAAAAAAAACAAAGAAGAAACAATTAGAAAAATAACAATTAACAAAAAACAACGAAAAGTAACAAATGGGATATTTATGCAACACTCGCAGAGTTTCCCTCAATCCACTTTGGATATTTCGAAGCGATTTGTGCTCCGAGCACTACAAGTTCCGCTTTTTCGCAACGAAGTCGTGTTCTTCTTTTGTCAAGTAGGTATCCGGCAGTGCTGAACGATGTTTCACATACACTTTCGCTTGGAATTACTGGAAAAAACTTGAGCAGTACCGTAATATCGGAGTGTCGTAGTTTTACAAAATTTGAATAAAAAGAACAACTTTTTGAAAAAACTCAGTGAGATCTGAGTGAATAAAAACATCAAAAAAAACACTAAAACTTTAGTTCGAAATTTTTTTTTGTAATAACGAAAAAAAAAGTTTCCGCGAAAATTTGAATTCCCGCCTTTTGAACCGGGCCGACCGGGCCGGGCCGGGCCGGCACTGGCAAGTCTGGAAAAAAGTATTGATTCCGATTTTAAAAGTTTTCTGTTTAAAAATTCATGAATTCTGAGAATACAATTAGATGGTAATATGCCTTGAGTACTCGAATCAAATGTCAAATATTCTCATTTCAGAATGACAACATCACTATTATTCAACGATGCTTCCGTCTCCGATGGCAGATCGCTTCTTTCCTCCGGCCCACGTTCATTTCGATACGGAATGCCGTCCGAAAAGTGATTCCTGGATTCGAAGGCTTTGCTTTCGACTGGATCCTCGTCTATTTGCCCGTAATCCCCATATGGCTCACTGGCTTTGTCATCATCGCTTTTCTTTATATCACGGCCATACTACTAATTAAAGATTGTGTAATTGTTTTATTTAATTCTCTGATTTGTTCTTAACATCCCCACACGATTCACTATTAGAAAGTGTTTTATTCGCATTTTTTCCTGATAGTTCTTTACTAGTGTTATTTCCCATTGTTCGGCCTCAATGAAGAAAAATGAGTAGATCACCTCGATTCATAGCCCTTTTTCCGTGTCTTTGGTTGAAAATGGAAGAAGATGATGAAAAGAGAATCGACGGAACATTTTGTATGAAACGTTTAAGAATGGGATACTAGTGAAGCTGGGATGTACTCTACTCAGGGCCAGGACTTATGCGCTTTCTCCAGAGAACGAGCGTTCACTGTCTGTCGTTACGATACATCGGTGAGAGAGTTTTTTTGGCAAGAGAAACCCTCTAAGCAATATAGTTAGGGACCGCAACGGGTTTCACGAAACTCAAAATTTCTAAAACATTGTTGTTGGAATGTGTTCCCCTACTCTATATGAGTACACTCCCAATTTTTTTTTCCAAAATTTTCGGTACATCCCGAGTTACACCCATTCAAAGTTGGCCTGTTTTCTCCCCGGTCGGCGGCAGAGGAGGTGGCGGAGTCTCAGGAGGTGGCGGCGCCTCAAACGTCATTTACGTCCACGTCATTGGCTCCTTTTCCCATTTCATTTCTTTCACAATCCATCCCCCTCTCAACAGGACCCTCCCTTCCGCTCGGTCATCCTCTAATTTCGTTGCTCCGTCTGCGTCTCTCTGCACGCGCACCTCGCCTCATTGCACTTTCTATCGATCCGCGTGCTGACCGAAAAGCGATTCCATCTGCATATATAATATACCCCTCTGCTTTTTTTTTACTCATTTCCCCTTGTGATTTGGCCAATTTTTGTGTTGCAGTCAGTATGGAGACGGACGATAACGCAACTGCGAGCGTGCTCCGGACTACGCTTTCTTCTATATTGCCGCCAGAGGAAATTACGTCTTCTTCGACGAATTCGACGGATTCGGAAGCGATGGAACCGGAAGGATCTGGTTATTACGTTATCATCGGAGTGATATTGGTACCAATCGCGATGCGTTTTGTAAGTTGCACTCTTTTGGGTTCAATCAAAACGGTGTATCTCAGTTGTTGTTTTAGCTATCAAAAATAGGGTCAATTGATAAATTGTCGATTAAGAAATTGTCTACATTTTCTTAGTTGGTCACTTTTTGATATCTCTATTGGCAGCTGAGATAGATGCGTTGAACTTTGTTGCATTACACAAAGTCATAGAAACGATATCTCAGTTGGCGCGCCAAACCTTACTTTCACTTACTTACGCGTTTCTTTTCATCGCATCGACCTCTCTTCGCGTATTACTTCACCTGGAATCTGTAAAAAGGTCTAATTGAGTTGGAAAGTGGAGAAAAACGCTTTAAAGAGATGTATATTTGGAGAAAATTCATCAAAAACTAAAAAAAATGAACTTTGCGCGTAACATAAAATGCACTGTACGCAGAGCAACACCGGCGTGTCAAAATGCACAGACTGAGAATCAAACGTTTGGTGAACGTCGCAAAAGCCGCGCCGTGTGGCGTTGGAGATAACAAAAAGTGTTCAACTAAAAAATTGCTAATCAAAACATTTTCTACATTTTCTCAGTTGACCACTTTTTGCCATTACAACGGACTGCTGAGCGACACAAGTGTTTGCGTTTCGTAAGTTGAACTAGCTGAAAATTGTGTAAAAATTTATCCGCGAAATTTGCTCCCCAATTTCAAAGTGTGCTTGCAGCTCATCTTCCTTGTCTGCCGTCTACTCAACAGACGCGGCGAAGTGCGCACCGAACCGACCGTCTTTCCGTTCCTGAAAGCGCTCCAGGACTCCGACTCGCTGTGGCAGTCGCACGACGGACTCGTCACGTTTCAAAGTCGGATCAATGTGAGCGATTGGAGTCGGCTCCGCCGCCGGCTGACTCCGTACCCGGCCCGCGGACACGACCACCTCCAAAACCTGCTCAATTCCATGTACGGCTACCGACCGGGCGGCACGCCGAAAATTAAGCTGCCTGCCGAAGTGGTGACCGTCTCGATACCCAGACAGAACTTCAAGTGCTCGAACGATTGTACGAGTTTTGAGACGCGTGACGGAACGCCCGGTAGATGGTCCTACCGGATGTTGAGTGTTGGCATTCAGGCGACGTACTTTCACCTCGGACATCAGACGTACCTGGCCGGAATCTGCGTGTATCTGGACAATCGGTACACCGCCTGGCGACTTCCCAAATCGCGTTTCGAATGGGCGTTCTCGAAAGAGCGCAAAGTGTACTGGCCGAATTCGGAAAGGTTGAAGGCGAAAATGATGGAGAAGAAGTGGTGTCGACTGCGCAATCAATGGATCATACTGACGCGAAACGAGTTTGGCGAGATTGACAAATTCGTGTTCGACGGAAAAGAGAACCGAATGGAGGCGGTCGAGTGTTTCGATTGTCAAATGAGCGACAACGATAGTATTGTGGACGAGATTCCGACGGACGCCGTGCTGCCGCCCGACTGCCTCAGTTGGCTCAAAGTCGAGTTTTGCGAGGCGCGAAAAAAGCCGGTGATGATCGGAAAAGACGCCGCTGGCGATATTGTGCACTTCGAGTGGAACACATCGATCGGAAAGTTCAAAATGGAGACGTGCTATAGTTGTAAACTCACGGCGCGTGGACGTTTTGAGCGAGGAGGAGGAGAAGAGGACACCCCGCCGACCTACGAGTATTTGGAGTTTATTGAGATGGTCGACGACGGACGACAAGCGTGAGTTTTGACGAGGGGACTAAGTTGAGTCCTTGACAAAAGGACGGAAAGCCAAAAGATCGGAAAAAAATGCCAAAGATCGGAAAAAAATGCCAAAAGATCGGAAAAAAATGCCAAAAGATCGGAAAAAAATGCCAAAAGGTCGGAAAAAAATGCCAAAAATCGGAAAAAAATTCCAAAAAATCGGAAAAAAATTCCAAAAAATCGGAAAAAAATTCCAAAAATCGGAAAAAAATTCCAAAAAATCGGCAAAAAATGCCAAAAGGTCGGAAAAACTGCCAAAAGGTCGGAAAAACTGCTAAAATACCTGTTTTCTGACTTTTTGTAATTTTTTCAGACCTTTTGGCATTTTTTTCCGACCTTTTGTAATTTTTTTCCGATCTTTTGGCATTTTTTTTCCAACTGTTTGTCATTCCGACCTTTTGGCTTCCGACCTTTTTGGTTTTCCGACCTTTTGTCACGGACTCACTACGTTTCGCGTATGGGGAAAGTTAGGCCACGTCAATCTCTCGTTGAGACTCGTGGCCTACCATTTCTCAATGAATAAGCTAGGCCACGTGTCGAGAATTGGCCTAGTTTTTTCAACGTTTTTTCTAGGCCACACTGTGCTTGGCCTAGTTTTCCTATTAGCTTCTCAAAACTATACAATTTTCAGACCAACACTGAAAGCGAGCGAAAAGTGAAAATATGTACAAACTACCGTAGTCCCTCATATTTATCAGTACTGCCAACTAAAATCAACGTGTAATCGATGTGATCTCGCAATCTTTCTCTCATTTTTCCAGCTCAATAAACGTGTATTGACCATTATCACTCGACTTTTTGTATTTGTTTTCTGAGCGGAATTCTCTCCGTCGCCAATTCTTTTTTCTGGGTCTATATTGTGTCTGTATTTCACGCGATTTCGCTTTTCAGATGGTTGAAACTGTGGCAGAGGAGGCGCAAAAGTTGAAGCCCGATTTTTCGGAATTCATCTATCTCGCCTACGTTCTGCTTTTCGGAATCGTCTGTTCGTTGGTGAGTTTCGAGAAGCTAGATCTTTTATCAGTGTATCTCAATTGCCGACAGAGATATCAAAAAGATGTCAACTGATAAATTGTTTAGCACAAAATTCTCGACATTTCTTCTGTTGACTGATTTTTGATATCAGTACAGACAGCCGAGATACATCAATTTAAAGGAACGCTACTGGTGCCAGACTTACCGTCTATTCAAAACACTGTATCTCAGCTGCGGGTGAAAATACCAAAATGTTGTCAACTGATAAATTGTTTAGCACAAAATTCTCTACATTTGTTCTGTTGACTGAGTTTTGATATCATTACAAACAGCTGAGATATATTGCTTTGAAAAGACAATAGTTGCAAAATGTCCACTTTGAGGTGTTCATGCTCCTGGTCTACATCCGTGATCACTACAAGTCCAAGCAGATCGGCGAAATGACCCACTACCCGACGGTGCCCGATTGGCTGGAGGCCTCAACGGATTGCGAGCTTCAGACGACGCCCAACTTTAATTTCTACACCCGCTACTATCACGTACGGCTCAACAGCTACGGGCGCGTCAAAGAGGACGGGCGGCCGACGATGCAACGATTGAGAAAGATTCTGCAGAAGATGTTCGGAGGTGTGCGGGTGGACGTGAAAGATGGCAACAATATAATTCCCGACGAGACGTGTGTCATTCAAATTCCGCGCAAAAACTTTGTCTGCGGCCGCACGTTCACCGATTTCGAGCCCGTGTTCGGAGCAGCGCCCGGCAGTCACTACACGTATCAAATGTTCGGCAACGAGAAGCTGCAGGCGACGTACTACGTGGAGAGCGGACGGAGCCACGTGGCAGGCGTGTGCATCTACGTGCACAGTCCCTACGTCTCGTGGGTCCACTACGACGAGCGCCGCATTTTTGAGCTCATCGACTCGCCGCCAGCGTACTGGCCGCAGAAAGAGCACGCGGAGCCGCCGGATTTCAGTGTGCGGTGGAGCGAGACGCAAATGGAGCCGGTCGTGCACACGCGAAGTCAGTACGGGCTCGAGCGGATCCAGCGGATCGACGGCGAGCGCAAAGAGTTTAGCGACGCGAAACCGAGTCTCGGATACGGTCAGTACCCGCGGAGGGAGGAGCCGAGGGCGACGACGAAGCGGATCCGCGTGATGTTCTGCAAGGAACGGGCGGCGCCGGTCATGTTCGGGTTGCGGAACGGAAAAGCGAAGCACGTCGGATGGAATGCCCGCGCCGAAGACTTTGAAATTGTGGAATGTGCAAAGTGCGAGCAGGAACAGGAACTCCTTCCCAATCTTTAAACGATTCTCTGAAAACGAAGAGCACGGTCTCCAGAGCTGACAATATGGGCGTGGCCTCGGCGGCCAAATGGCGTTTTCATGAATTAAGCAGGTTTTTTCTGATTTTTGTGGTCAAAGGCGATGAAAAATGATTGTTCGACATGAAAACACACGAATTCTCAGAATTAATGACGTTTTGGCGCATTTTTCGCCGACTTTGCTTTTTCGCCTTCTCAGGTAAAATTTCAAACTTTTCTTGGCTATTCTGAAGACCTTTTCAAACTTTCTCAAGAAAAAAAACTTTTCCAGAACTTTCTGAAGCACTAACAACTTTTCTAAGCCTTTCTTAAACTTTTTCAAGAAATTCTCAAACTTTTTCTAGCCGAAACTATTTCAAACTTTCTGAAACTTTTCTAGGCAATTCTCAAACTTTTCCAAGAATTTCTTAGGTGAGTTCGAAGCCTATCGCCGCCTCAAAACCGCACTTCTTATTTTGCGCTTTCTTGACCGTTTTCCGACAGAATTGGTTTTGAGAATGATAAATCACGTAAATACAAGCATTTTGAGCGCTCGAACAGCGAAAATTACCGAAAAGCAACTGAAATTCACGCAGTTTTAGCCAAAAATCTTCAAACGGATAAATGTGATTTGCGACTTGACCAAATTTGACGCTCTTGCGCTTAAAAAATTCGTAATAGCCTATACAATCGGTCTATCGAGAGACAAATGAGAAATTATCGATTTTTCGTGGCTAATCTGGCAAAAAACACAAATTTTGCTGTTAAAATTTGAATTTCGCGCCAATATATCGTTCTATTGGGCGGGGCGCACTTGCACCCATTGTCAGCTTTGGAGACCGTGACGTCTGTTTTTCAGACAATCATTTATTCCACTTGACACTTCACTTCGTTATTCGTATGTACTCGAAGATCTTGATCCTCCCCGAACGGTTAACTTTTCTCGAAAAAACCTGTCATTTCTCATCATTTCTCAACCAGTTTAATTGAAATAAATGCGTTTTTCTTACAATTACTCATCGTTTCCCGTCCCGTTTTCATCTCGGAGCTCTTACTTCACTGCCCTCGGTGCTTTCTCTTTCTCTCTTCCTCTTTTTGGACCCCTCTCGCTCCTTTCTTTTACTCTCTGCGTATCTCGAAACATTTCTTCAATTTCCACTTTTCCTCTTTCAGATTTCGATGGAAAACGCGGTGTTTTGGGTCCTTTTTCTCTATGGATGGATCTTTATTCCACTGGTGGGTCAACTTTAAATCGATATTGTAGGGCAGTTAAGACGATCAATTGACCCCCCAACTCTTTTTGTGAAAAACTCATACCTAGAAGTTGGTTTTTGTACGTGACCACTTTTGAGAGTACTGTAGTTCTTGGAAGCATCACCAACTTCCAAAGCCTACAGTACTCTTGAGTTTGGTTGTAGCAAAAAGTGGTGAAGTACAAAATTGAAAAACCAAAGATTTACTATATCTTTGCAGTTGACAACTTTTCCGTGCAACCATTTCTAAGCTTGCTGTAGCTCTGGGAAGTAAGCCCTGAATTGACGATCCCTAAAAGTTGCCCCAACTTCCGGGCGCTACAGTACTCTTAGAAGTGGTCATAGAACAAAGCGGTCAACTTGAAAAACAAAGTACTAGGTGTGAAGTTTTCACAGAGAAAAGAATCGGAATCGACAAAACTACGGTACTCTTTCAAAACAAGTTTCCAGACAATCTTCCTCGTTCTCTACGTGCGCGCCTACCTCGAATCGCGCAAAATCGGTCCGATCACCCGTTCGCCGGTGATTCCCGACTGGTACCGCAACGAATTCCCGAATGGATCACAGCTCAACGCGCATTTCAAAGCGTTCACGCACGATTACGAGGTGAAAGGATCGCGAGGAAGATGGGGAGAATGGAGTGAAAAAAGAAGATGGGCGATTTTGAAGGTCCAGAAGATTCTGGACGATTCGTTCGGTGAAAGGAGCCAAATCTTTCGAATCTCCGATCGAACGTGCTTTGTTCAAATTCCGCGCAAAAACTTCAAGTGCGGCGAGGTGTGCTACGAGTTTGAGCCCATTTTCGAGCCGTCGCCCGACACCTATTGTACGTATCAAATGTTCGGCAATCAACGGATCCAGGTCACGAATTACGTGGAGGATGGGGTGAGCCACGTGGCCGGCGTGTGCATCTACATCCACAATCCGTACATTTGGGGCGTGCGGTTCCGGACCGAGGTGATTCGAAAGTATTTGAAAGAGGGAAAAAATTTTGGAAAAATTTAAAAGTCTGGTTTATTAAAGCAAATAAATGATCTCAAAAACTTGTTATTTCTTATATTACACTTCCTTCAGAACACTTTATACACTTTCAGATTTCCTTACTGTAATTACCAGGTACTTTGTTTCGAAAACGTTTTTTGCAAAACAAAAAAGTGGCGCCCCTTTCCCTTTTTACCGCGCGTGTGTGAGATGAAAAAAAATTGCCGCGTACCCGTGACCGTCAAGGGGTCCATGCCAATTTTTAAAAATTGCCGCGTACCCGTGACCGTCAAGGGATCCATGCCAATTTTTAAAAATTGCCGCGTACCCGTGACCGTCAAGGGGCCCATGCCAATTTTTAAAAATTGCCGCGTACCCGTGACCGTCAAGGGATCCATGCCAATTTTTAAAAATTGCCGCGTACCAAATTATACTAATTTTTTTGTTCTCGTCCGTACAAAAAGGCACCTAAATTCCATTTTTTTTAAAATGAATTTTCATCAAAACGACTGGAACAACAGAACAGAAAAGAGTAAATAGTCTAATCTATGACTAATTCGGCAGGAATTCATTCGGAAATGCTCTTCGATCCCTTGGCGATCGGCCGTCTTTCGGCTTCTTCTCGTCGCCGGCGTTCTCTCTGCTCCTCCACTCTCTCGTACACTTCGCCCACTTTTTGAGTCTCTTTCAGCAGCGATACCATCTTTTTCTGAAAATTTGCATTGATTCTCCGTACAAGGCATTGGAAAGTGCAATTTTCGGAAAAATGCATGGCAAAACGCCATTTCCAGCAAAAATGCACAGTTTCTTGATGGAGCGCACTTACAGCGAGTCGGATCTGATCGAGTTTGTAGTCGAGTTGCTTCTGCGAAGTCACGTGCACCGTACGACCGTCTTTGAACGAAAAATCGGGCGTCTGCTCGAAAATGTGCTGGTGCGGCGCCGTGTAGATTCTGAAAACCGGAATTTTTTCGAGAAACTTGTGAGCCCTGTTTCGTTATCGCTCTATTTTCTCAACATTTCACAAAAATAGTGTAAAAACCACTGAATTCATATCTAAATCTGCGGATTTTCCCATTATTCTCAATGGAGCGCACTTGCATCTCGGGCCAACAAAAAAGCGCTTACGGTTTTCTCCACGACTGAACTCGTCCTTTTTTCGCTTCTGACGGCTTTCGAGCCACCAAACTCTCCATTTGATCCTTAATCGGGTCTTCTGCAATGAAACATTGTAGCTTTTCCGGAAAATTCCGCGAAAAACGTACTGAAATCGGCGACAGTCGAGAAAGCGGACGCGGAAACGCGAACGGCGAGCGGAATCCGCGCGGAAAGCATCTGATTATCACTTTGAATTTCGGGGAACATTTCGGTAATAAGAAAATATAGAAAAGAGCCAGTAGACTTTGAGTAAACAGAGAAACTAGTTAAAAAATTAAATTTTTATACAAAGGAGTTAGTTGGGGGAATACGCATCACTCAAATTACAAGAAAAGACATCGAATGACCAGAATCGCTTGCATTAATCATAATTGTTCAAAAAATTACTGAAGAAAAGTGAATTAGTGCATAAATCTCAATCGTATCGGAATCGCGGCTCCGGGCACATTTCCTTGACCACTTGCGTGTTGGCGCTTCTGCAACAAATGACCGAATTGGGAGGAGAAAAAACATGAAAGAATATCAAATTAGTGCAAAAATCCTATTTAAGAGGCTTTTCAAAGGCCTGCACTTTTGGCACACTTGCAATGATCCGATCGGGCCCAAATTCCGCAGATTTCTAGGACTTGGATTGAAGTATCTTGGGACCAAGTTTCAGACCGATCCGATTATCTGGTCCCGAGATGCACTGGGTTGAGGCAGAAAATGTCGAGTAGATTGCTCTTTTCTGCATCTCATTCACATATTTCGGGACCAGATGATCCGATCGCTCTAAGACTTGGACCCAAAATACTTCAACCCAAGTTTGAGAGGCCTGAAAATTTTGAACCCAATCGGATAATTGCAAGTGGGTTTAAAGTCAGGATGGACCGACCGTTTGTTGTTGAAAACAGACGCTGGCCCTGGCGCGGTCAACAGTAAAACATTGACACAAGTTCTGTCACGTGTGAAAGTGTGAAGGTACCTGGCGTGTGTGAGTTCCCTGACGAGCATTTTCTTCTGCTCGTTCGCCTCGCGGCCCTTCATCTTGGCCTCGTTGAGCACCATCGAGACGGTCTCGAGCTTCTTGTGCGCCGTCTCGTACTCCTTCTTCATCGCCTCGTTCTCCTTCCGCAACACGTTGATCTCGGTCTGTAGCCGTTTCAGCACCTGAGCGTCCTCCATCATCGCCTCCATTTCGTCCGACGACATTGGCACGTACGTCCGTTTCAGCACTCGTTTGTTGGTCCGCCGCGTCATTCCTTGCGTGTACGTCTGCACAAAATTGATCTGCTGAACTCAAGCGATTTTGCGTACCGTCTGAAAAGTGATCGGATTGTAGAGTGGTTTTCCGGCCGGAATGCCCGCTTTTCGTATGTAATACGTGTTCGGATGGGGTGGGGCTCCGACGGATGAGCTGGATGATCCGGCAGAAGAAGCGGAAGCGGAAATTGTGGCGGCACAAGAAGAAGACGGCAGGTAGGAGACGTCCAGATCAGCTGGGATGTGATGGTGGTGGTGGTGGTGATGGTTCAGCTCGTGAATTTGTGACGTGTCCTGCAATACAGATGTTTAGATTTTCGATAAAAATTCGAATAATAACCTCATCGTAAAGGTAGACGGTTCCGGAATCCTCTTCCTCTTCGTACGGATAATATTCATTCGCTCCCGATGGATCTGAACTCTTTTCTGTTTTTTTTTTAATTGATTTTTCATCAAAATCTATTGCTTTCCGCTTGTCTTTCACCATTTTTCAAGTGAAAATTTTCCATGGATTTTGTCATTCCCCGTTTCATCAGCAGTTCTGAATGGCCAGATCACTTTGAATGTGTTACCCTTCTTTTGGCGCGCCCTGTAGAACTCTCCAGCAGAATTCCGTCGAAACTCGTACCGTGCGCGTCCTCGACGTATTCGGCCGTCTCCTCGTCGAATTGCACACCGAACCCGTCGATTTCGACCTCGCAAGCGACCACTTGCTCGTCGATCATCACCATTTCCGACGACGATTCTTGTGACGACATTCTGGAGGAAAGCGGGATTGTTTGAAACATTATGAAGAATGTCTATGGTTTTCAATGAAAATAAGGGAGCTTTCAGAGAACGCGAATGTTCTTCGAGTTTCGGAGTTTAATGTGTCGTTCGTGGACAGCCGCATCGGCCGCGTTTCAATTCATTTTTAGATCAGATTTTCCTATCCTAATGTTCAAGAATGTTTTGTGTCCAACTAGGCCAGAAACACAGAAAAAAGTCGCGGCCGGCAAATGCCCTTATTTTTATATTTTTTTCTTATTTTTCTCCAATTGACGCGTCATTTAATATTTGAACGAACAATATTTTATACATTCAAAAAAAGATAACCACAAAGAGGCCAGTTTCAAACTGAAATCACCGTGAATAATTGTTTCACATTCAAAATTTTTAAGAATAAAACAAATTTACTGTGTTTTCTTCTCTTTTTCAATGGAATGCGATTCGATCGATGAAGAGCACTTTTTTCTCTGTAAAAATTTGGAGGAAAAAGGGAATAATTAGAAGCAAAAAAGATAAACGGGCGAGATACAGTGACAAATAACGGAGAGAAAGAGAGACTCGTACATGAGAAATCATTAATTCTTCCAAACAAAAAAGAGCATAACATTCTTATTAATTTTCTCGCAATTCTCTTGCGGACAGCAACAATTAATTCCACATTTTGATGAGTCCGTCCCATCCGGCCGTGATCATTCGGCTCTTTTCGTGCGGATGCCAAAGCGCCGCGATGCACGTGTTGTCGTGTGCTTTCCATCTGCAAGAAAAGTCGATTAATTTTAGGTTTACAATTAAACGAATAGGGAGCCGTTAGTGGGTTCAAGTGAGTGGAAACTGAACGAATATGACTCATAGAAGTATATATACAACTTGACAACCTGTTACAGTCCGGGAAAATTTGACAGCCCTATGGCTGCCAAAAGTTCGAGATTCTGTCAGGTACAAAACCGGCTACTTGATGAATAGAATAAGCCCATGAAAATGTGTGTGAAAATTCGAAATGTCTTACTTTCCAACAATTTTGTGTGTGCGCCAGTCCCAGATGAATAGTTTTCCGTCGGCGTCGCCGGAAATGATGAACGATTGGTCGGGCGAGAAGTCGATGTTGCACGCGTAGCCGGCGGCGTTGTGTCCGCGGAACGCCTTCTTCTTCGAGAATCGCAGCTTGTCGTCGACCAGTTGGAACAGCACTATTCGGTTGTCCATGCACTGACCGACCACCCATTTATCTGTAAATTTGCCCAGTTGTTCGCTTTTTCATCTAAAAAAATCTTAAATCCCTCAGTTTTTGAGTCCCCGAACCACGCTTTTCAGTATTTCCACTCTAAAACGCCACACATTTCAAGCTGCTTACCATTGGGACTCTTGGTCATTGTGGGAATGGCGTGGAGTCCGACGTTCTGGATGAGTTTCGTGTCGACCGGGATCTCCCACTCCCAGATTCGCACGGATTTGTCGTCCGACGTCGACGCGAACCGTCTGTTTTTGTCGAAGAACGTGATCGAGTTGACCGCCTGCAGATGCCGATCGTACTCTTGCACAATCTCGCCGCTTCGCGAGTCCCACTGAATGATCTTCTTGTTTTGCATTCCCACCAGGAACATGTGGTTCTTGTCGTCGTCCGGATGGTACTTCAGGCAGTACGGCACGTGGCCCGTGTGGAATCGCTGCTTGACCTGCAAAAATTAAAAGTATTTTAAATATTGGAAGAGAAACGATCGAATTGTTGAAAAATTCGAGACGATTCGCCGGCCCTACCTGTCCGGTTTCAGTGTCCCACAACTTGACGTATCGATCGAACGAGGCGGAGAGGAATTCGGTGCCCTCGTTGTTGAAAGCCACCTCACGAACGGGCAGTTTGTGTCCCGAATAGGTGCGTACCACTCGTTGCCGGTCGTAAACTTCCCACAGTTTGATTTTGGTGTCCATCGAGCACGAGAGGAACAAATGCGCGCTTTTGGGGAACCATTGCAGGAAGTTGACGCCCTTGTTGTGGCCGCGGTACGTGTGCACCAGCTTCTTCGGCACGAAACAACGCTCCGGACAGTAGTCTTCGCGCAGATTGACGCCCGTGAAACTCGGAGGCACCAGGAACGAACGGCCCTGGTAGTCTTCCGCTTCTTTCACTGAAAAATGAAATTTTAGGTGAACAATTCGTGCAAAACTTGTGAATTTTGATGATCCGTTTTTCGGATTCTTTTCAAAAATTCGGCGGAAAAAGCTAAACATTTTCGGTCGCTTTTCGAGCTCATTTTAAGCTCCGAACTGTAATTTTCTTGTAAAAAAGAGCGCGTACAATGCAAAGTGCTGGACTCGTCGGCCATCTGCTCCGAATCCTCCTTCTCCTTCTTGAATCGTCGACTCTTCTCCTGCCGCTTCTTCACAATCTCGTCCATTTGTTTCTGCAGTTCGGGCGTCGGCTTCGCGACCGTCTTCTCGTCGGCGAACCGGCTCCACGGTCCCGTGTAGCCGTCGACGTCGGCCGAATCGTCGTTGCGCACCCGCTTCCGCTTCTCGCCGCCCGTCTTTTTCGACTCGAACAGCGAGACGCCCTTCTCGGCGGCCGCCTTCTTCGTGTCGCCGATGAACGCGTTCGACGATTCGGCCGACGGATTGTTCGCGTAGCCGAGCGTGTCGAAGCTGCGGATCTGCCGGTTGAAGTGGAATTCGTTGAAGTGCGCCGGTTCCACGAACCCCGTCAGCGTGTTCTTCTGCGATCGCTGCTTTTCGGATTTGAACGGGTTCACTGGGCCTTTCTGCAAGCAAACGTTTTAGCGTTTTTTACTCAAAATTGCTGTCAAAATAACATTATTCGAAAAAAGATGGAAAGAATGGATTTTGCTTCATTTTCATCAATTTTGTGTTGGATCAGAGATCTGAGGTACTTTTTCCTCGAATTTTGTCTCAATTTGATCAGCTCAACACGATATTGGCTCTTTTCAGTCAAAAGCGTGAAGTTACTCGAAAAAATAACTGGGAACTCAAATTTTTACGATTACGGACGTGAAACCGTCCCCATCCCCATCCCTTCCTCAAATTCTCACAAACAACGCACTTCTGGCTGAAATAACTGCTCGAATTTCGGGTTCGACTTGATCTCCTTCGTCTTCGGATCAATAATAGCGACTTGCTGAATTGCGCTCTTCGACTCGACGTCCGGCGCCATCACAATCGCGCGTTCGACGCCGAGCGTCGCCGTTCTGCCGGCGGACACCTTCTGCATTTGCACGTCGTCGTCCGAGTGCTCACTGTCGCTTCCGCCGCTGTACGCTTGAAGCGCGTCCATTTTTCGCGTGTGTTTTCAAGGATTTCCTGCAAAAATCAAGAGTTTTCGGCGAATTTCTTCTTTGACTTTCGACGGAAAAATGGAAAAATATCAAGTACAACAATGTCGACTACAGAAGTTTATACTGGTCGTTCGCCAGTTTCGCCTCCATTTTCGTGGCCACCGTCATGGACCTATTCCGTCGAGTAAAATACTGGTATTTTACTCGACTGAATAGGTTCTGTGGCATTTGGAGACCGAAATCGCGTTGATAAAGGCGAAAACAAAGAAAAAACGGCGTAAGGATAAGAATGGAACGGTTTGTGAATTGCATTTTTTGGTTCCAAAAGTGAAGCTTCTGTTTTCAGCTTTTTACGGAGGAAATGTGATGGGCGACGGCTTTAACGATTGCTTTTTGACTAAAGAAACTCTATAAAAGTGTGTAAATACTGGGGAAATTATAAATAATGATAAAAATCAATGGGAAACACTATTTTTTGGCCAATATCTCGATTCGAAATGGTTTGTGCGATGGAGCGCACTTGCATACTTCCCTCGTGAACAAATATTCTAAACGATTTTTCCGTCGTTCTCATAGATTTTTCTGCGATTCTTAGTGTTTTTTATAGGAAAATTGTTTAAAAACAGTATAGAAATGTGTTTCCAGTTTATTTAGTTGTATAACCCCGCTCTAAGTATCAAAAAATCAAGGGCATAGGAAATACAATATTTTGTTTATTGTCCGTCGATTCTCAATAGGATTATCACAAATTCCAGTGAAAACGAGTTGATCATATTGTTTTGCTTTAATTTTCTTAATGTTTCCGTAAAAATCACATGCCTTCCGTGCGATGACTCACCGGAAGCCCTCAAAACAACACGCTCGTCACTCCGCCCGCTTCGTGATTACAAATTTCTCATTTTCCGTTTTTCGCGTCTCTTTCGATATCAAATATACTTGATTTTACTATTTTTCAGACGAAAAATGGGTGACGCTCCGTCATTCTGCATCAAATCGGTGGCGGTTCAGATGAAAAAATTGTCGGACGTCGTCGTCGACGAGAATCCGACGCCAGAAGACGTGGAACTTCTCACTTTTGTGAGTGTCTACGAAGAGCTGTGCAAGTTCATCGGAATGCTCGGCAAAATTTTCGAGTTTGTCGAAAAAGACGTTCGTGACAAAATCGATTTGCTCAAAGAGCTTCATTCGGCCGATCCGGAAGGCTATAAGACGGTTCTGACGATGGTCGAGGCGGAGAAATCGATTCAGAAGGGCAAGGAGAGCGGAGCCGTCGCCATTTTGCACTTGAATCGGTAAATTTTTGTGAAAATCTAACTTCTCCATGGAAAAATCATAAAAATCCATTCGCTATAGCCTAAAGCCTTTCAAATTCAATAGAAAATTGTTAGATTTCACAAAATTCTGGTGAATTGTAAATTCCAATTGAATCTGCTAATTTCAGCGCTCTGGAGTTCATCATCGAGTTTATGTGCGCGACGGTGGCGGCCACCAACGAGGACAGCATTCCGAAGATTTGCAAAGGGTGCTACGATGGAACTCTTGCCAAGTACGGACGGTTTGACAGCGAACACTTGCGGAAACAATAGTTGAGCGAGGAAAAGAAGGGAAAAAAGACGACGGTCTTAGCAGAAACATTGTTGAAGAGATCGTAAACATCGACATACTGTTGAAAAATCAAAGGTTCGACAAGTCACCGAGTCTCGCAGCGATGCGCGTCTAAAGAGTGTGCACCGGTTGACATGTGTCGCAGAGATGAAAGGGTGTTCGGGTGACACGTCAATCAAAAGTTGTAGTTTTTTTTTAAAAGTTTCTAGAGATTGTTTCCAACATTCAACACTTTTCAACACTGAAAAATGCGCGAAAATTGTCGTTCTCCGTCGTTTGTTTTTTTTTCCTCTTTCGAAGAGACTGGCCGAGTGGACCAACGGAAATTGTTTGGTCGCACGGGCAAAAGATCGCATCCCTTCGCTCGGTCAGCATATTTTTCTGTCACGAAACACTTTTTTCTTTATACAAATGCCAAAAATGTCCCAAACGTTCAAAAAGACAAACATTACTTGCAGACACCACCCGTGGATCATCCGCACCGCCGTCAAAGTGGCCGTCTACACGCTTCCGTCGCGCGACAAGCTGCTCGAACACATCAGAGGTATACAGTTTGCAAAGCTCGATTTTTTGAAACTAACCGCGTTTTCTGCTCAAAAAATCGAAGAAATTCGAGAAAATGTGGTGAGATCTGTCCTTTTCCGCTTCTTATTACAGAACAAAGTCGCATTTTTCAATTTTCCCCCAGAAAAAATCGCAAAAAGTCCAGATTGTGCTCTCAAAAAAATTTGAACGCATTGCAGGCCCGCACACGGACGAATCGGCGATCCGCGAACACATCGACGACGTCGTGAACCACGGAAAAGTGGTGCACGCGCGCATAAACACCATTTACGCAGAGTACGAGCTGCATCAGATCGCCTGAATATTGTACATTTCGAAAAAGTGCCTTTCCATGTCCACACTTGTATTTAGCTTTTGAATTCCACTTCCCTGCATAATGATGTGCCTTTTAGCCGATTCTAACGCATTTTCCCTCCTTGCCTTTAAAAAAAAAGAGATTTCACGGGAATTTTCGATCGATTGTCTGCAATTTTTTTAAGGGTTCTCCACCCATTTCTATCTTGTTTTCGACATTTGTTCCAAATTGTCAATGGTTTTTGCAGATGGAAGGCTCTGAAAATATTGAAGAGACGCTCATCGGCGAGCCCTATTCGAGTTTGGTCTTTTCGCCGAATAACAAGTAAGATTTTGTTGGGCTTTGGTTGAAAGTGTCAATTTTGGCAGATATCTGATCGGTTCGGCCGGTTCGACGTGCGAGCTGATTGTCGAGAAGAAGCCGGACTTTCGTCGACGTCTCAAACACGATTCCGACGTCGTCGCCGCGTTTTTCCAGACAAACGAGCGTCTGGTGACTGTTACCGTCAGTGGAGAGGTCACCGAATTCGAGGCAAACGAGCAAAAGTTCGAGAAGATTGTCTCGCGAAGAGTCACCGCGTTTCCCGTTGTGTAAGCGATTTGTGCAAATTTGCCTGAATTTCCATGCGATACCGACAAAAAGCTAGAATTTGTCGAAATCGTATAGAAAATCAACGCCGCGTGACAGCACGTAAAAAGGAAGGCATTAGGAACGATTTTCAGACTCATCTATCGGACGAATTTGTACCCATTCATAAATTTTGATATTTTTGCATTTTGTATCGAATTTTAATTTTTAGCGCCGCGTTCCTGCAACCGTCGAAGAGCGAGGAGGACAAAGAGCTCGTCGTGTGGCTCGTCGTCGAGAAGAGCGAGTGGAAGAAGGAGAAGGAGGAGGCGTCGACGTACGACGTGTGCGTGACCGGCGCCAACGGCTCTCTCGACAAGGTGCTCGAGATTCCGGCGGGAGTGCGTCGCGAGCAAATCGCCATCGCCGACGGCGTCGTTTCGTACTGTCGCGGGCTCGAAGTGCACTCGATCATTCTCAACGACGACGATCGGAGTGTCGTGAAGCGGACGAAGCACGTCACCAAAAATGGCGGCGGAGAGGGTGAGTGTCTCTTCTATTTAAGCCTTTTTTGGTGATTTAGTACTTTGCTTCTCAAGTTGTCACCGTTTTGTACGACCACTCGGAGTTTGGCACGCTTTTAGGCGGTTTTGTAACTGAAAGTAGGACAAAAAAGTGTGGCGACAGGTCTTGCAGAGACTCTGGACGTATACAATCTACACACTTGGTTTGTGAGCTCAGAAGGTGTGAATCGGTGTTCTATAGAACAGTTGAGAACTTTCAGAAAACAAGTTTTTCAGTCTGAACTGTTAGAATTCACTCACAGTGAAGTCTTGAAGCTCGAGAAAACGTAGAAGTCGACACAAAATCTTTATGTTCCAAAATAGGTGTTCCAGCCAGCGGCAAACGTTTGCGAGTCTTCTTCATTAGTCTTCGTCGAGGTCTTTGAGAAATTTCGCACGCTGCGCATTGAGTTTTATTTTCGCCAACTGCGCGTCCTTCATTTCTTTCGGAATCCGTTTCCTGTCGAAATCGACGTAAATGCGTTTGGCGCCTTCCCCCGGTCCTTTGACGCCCTTCCACAAGTCACGAATCGCATGCTCATCGTTCAGTTTCACGTCGCCCACTCGGATGTAGTGAATCGAGAAAAAGTGCTTTCCGTTTTGCGGAGTTTTCTCTTCCGGTATGAAGAATATCTGAAAGTTTGCAATCCCGTTGCGAAGACTTGTCAGTTGTAATTTTCTTATCGGACCCAAACTTTGGAGGACTTCAAACACTAAGCTTCACTGGGGACAACACTGTCTTGCAATATTTCAGAAGTCTCCAAATTCATCTCAAGGCCGCGATTTCCATCGAAAAGCCTGCTCAAAAATTTAAATGATTACCATAACATTGATCGACTCCTCCGGTTCGAGTATTCCGAACACCTTCTTGATCAGGAAAATTGTGTTCGACGAGCACTTGACCTTGTACGAGACCCTGTCCTCCAACGGATTCATAATGTTGATTGTAAATGAGCCGGGTACGTCCTCGAAAGACTTGAAAAGCACCTGGAAGACGATTTTCTGCTTTCTGCGAGCTCCTCCCAATTACCCGTTCGCAATCGAGCTTGAGCTCGAAATTGTTTTTTTTCTTCTTTCCCACCATCTCTCCGATCGAAATGTTGTCTTCCGAAGCGAACCTCACACGTGGATTTGTCGATTTCCGAAAAAGCGGCAGTAGCAACGCTGTTCTCTTGTTCTCAGTTCCCTTATATTGTCGATTTTGATCGTCGTGACACCCTGATTTACATTATGTGCACTATTTTTCAGACAAACAATACACGCATCAATTCGAACGGATCACGACGAATGGAAACTTTTTGGCTGCGGCGATCAGTGACGGACGTGTTCTTTTATGGTAAACTTTTGTCAGTGTTGACATTTTTGGAAATATTTTCAGACAATTGCAATCTTTTCGAGGTTTCGGCCGATAAATTTGATGTGCGTATTCTGCATGTCTAGGGCTTCAATTGTTGTGCTTACAAGTTTTCCGTACGATTTTTGTCAAGAAACTTATTGACCCGGGCAGGTGAGACTTCGAAAACGAGATTTCTGAACAGATTAGGTTACGTTGTTCGCACTGAAATTGGACTTTTTCAGTGCAGAAATCTTGTTTTTGCTGTCTCGACAGTCCGGGCTCAGAAATTGCAGAATACGCACAGCAACTTTATACACCCAAGCCTGTTTCACCGCCATACACAATTTTGACCGTAACTTTTCAAAATTTCAGGTCGAACCTGAAAAGAGAGGGCGTCTCGGACACGTACCACCGCATCCACTGGCACAAAGTCGGCGCGCACATCGCCGTCACCCAATTCGGCAATGTTTTGTCGGCGGGAGCGGAATGCGTGCTCGCAAGGCACGCGAAAGGCGCCAAAGAGGCGACGTTTCTGCCGAGATTGGCAGCGCCCGTCGTCGGATTGACGCTCTCCGGCGACTCGTCCACTTGTGCCATGATCATGGGTACGGACCGGAGGCTTGCTTCTTATCTATCATTATCCGCCAGGACGCTTAACTTTTCACGAGTATCAATTTTGGCCTGATGTATCTACCTGACAACTTTCAGCCCGATTAGGTTATCTAATCTGGAACTATCTTGTTTTGAGTGTTTTTGCGAAAAGTGAGGGTGTTTGGTCTGAAATCAATATAACCCCTAGATCAGATGATCCAAAAGAGTGGAAATTTTTCAGGTAGATACTGTAGCTACAGTAAAGCAAAAAGTGAAAAGTGAACATTGAGATGTTCAAACTATCATGTTACACTTCCCTCATACACACAAACAGAAATACAGAGTGTTTATATTTGCACAGCTCTGATCTTTGATTATCAGTGAAGAATCCTGGGAAATTAGGATCCACGTCACTTTGTTTTTCTGAAAATTGTGAGCCATTCTAAACTGCGAAGTTTAAATGCAAATCGTATGGTCATAAGGGGGGTTTAGGTGAAATTTTCATATTTGGTACTTTACTTTACCAGTTGACTGCACATTTGGGAGCGGTTGTACGGAAAAGTCGTCAATTGGAAAAGTATAGTACTCGGTGTGTAGATTTTATCCGAAAAAGGTTTTTGTCGAGCACAATAGGGGAGGTCCAAAAACGTTCATTTTTCTTTCAGAAGACAATTCGGTCCACACGGTTCTCCTCTCGACGATGGCCATCAAAACGACGATGGCCACCCTGGAATACTGTCCCAGATCGTTGAACACGGTCTTTTCCAAGTAAGATCCCCCCCCCCTTGCGCTCATTCATTTGCCCACGCTAAACACACGTCTTCCAGCGACCCGGCCCACCCGCGCGACATTGTGATGAACGGAAAGCCGGGCACGATCCAATGGTTCGACCCGGTCTCGGTCACGACGCGCCGCAAAACGCACGTGACTCTGGAGAACGTGATCGACGGTGACATGACGTCGCGCGGCATCCGGCTGGCGTTCCGCGACGTTCTCGTCGCCTCGCTCACGCCGAATCTCATCGCGACCGTCGAGAAGTTCGTCAACTACGACGGAGAGAACCACGTGCGATTCTGGAAGCGCACCGGAAACAGCGAGGCCAAGTTGGTGGCCAGTGTGGCCGTCAAAAAGGACGTGGTGTTTGTGGGAACGTGCTCCGAGCCGGCTTCTCGTTTTGCGGTAAGCATTCTGCACACGTTGGAGCATTAATATCAGAGGGAAGACGGGACTCTTCGAATTTGAACGTTTTTCCAAGGCTTTCCCTCACCCTAGTTAGCGCTATATTTAGATGTCTTGAGCTGATTTCTCTGATATAATCCAATTCGCAGAACACAATTGTGACGGCGTCGACGAGCGGCACGATCAGTGTGTGGGACTACACGGAGAAGGACGTTCGCGAGGATATGGAGCGCTCGCGCAACTGGCAAGACGCCGAGATCCACGCCGTTTCGGCCATCCAACCGAACGGAACGTTTGTGAGCGCACACGGAAAACATGCAGTGCTGTGGAGCGTCAAAAATGTAAAATTTCTATTGATTCCCACCCGAATTCACACACGTCTTGCGCATTCAGATGAAAGTGATCGACGTGCTGAGCTGCGAAGACGACATTTCGAGTGTGTCGTTCTCTTCGGAAGGCCGCTACCTGATCGTGGCCACGAAAAAAGGCGTCGTCTGCTGGGACACCCTCTGTCTTTTGGTCGTGTGGCGCATCCAGCAGAGCGTGGGCGTCTACGTCAACTCGGTCGGATGCTTCGCGTTCGACGGCCCGCAAGTGATGCGATTCGACGTGGAGACGGGCCGAGTCCTGGCCACCGTCCAGTTCTCCGCGCACGTCGAGCAGCTCGTCGTCATTGAGCAACGCAAAGGAGCCATCGTCTATGTGGCGAAAACGGACAAGGTGGGGAGACGTTTTGCAACCGGGATTTGATGGAAAACGGCGGAAACAAGTTGTTTCACTCGTCATTGATCTATCTTTTTTTTTGTCAAACGACACGTTCGATGTGGAAAATTCTACGCCGTATTATTTTTACTACTTCTTATTTATGTGCGTTGTTTTTCGTTTGTGAGTGAGGAAAGTGATGTTCAGTTTTGACACGTCGACAAATTTTTAGTTTGATGGCATATTCAACATTTCGGCTTCTAAAGGTTTTTACCGAGACGCCAAGGTAATCTTGATGGAGGCTAAAATCAAAATGCTGGCAAAAACAAGTCAAAAACGGACATCACTTTACTCGCTCAGAAACGCAACACACAAAAGAAAACGTTGTTAAAGTAAAACGACGTATAATTTTCACTATAGAACGAGATCAATAACATGTGAAGACAAGGCTGCAAAATATTCCATTTTTTTCAGTTCACTAAAGATACACACGTTTCGATTTTGCTAATGAGAACCACATTTCAGGGACTCCTCTGCAACCGTCCGCTATTCATCAAAACCAGCGGCGGAGGAGGCGGCGATCGGAAATCGACATCGACGACGCCGAAAACGCCGTTCGAGCAGCTGGCGCGAGTCTCGACTTCATCGTCGACGTCTTCGCAGCCGACCTGCGATCAGCCGTTTGTGCAGCAACCACGTCCCGAGTCGGCGCGTCTGTTCGCCGGACCCGTACAATCCCTACCGCCCATCTCGTTCATTGCCCCACTTTTCATTGAGAAATCGTTGCTCCCGCCGCCTGTTCGCATCTGAATCATCGCTTTGCTGTCTGTTGTTCTTCATTCGGATTCCCATTCTCTTTTTGTTATCGTTATATCATTGTTGATTTTCTTTTCTTTCCCATTTCTCACATCTGAATGATTTTTGTTTTTTTTGTTTTGAATTTATTTCCCTTTCAAGCATCCTATTGGCTCCTAACTTTACAGTGATGTAACCGTAAAAACTGTGATAGAAAAGGCACCGCAATGCTGTCTCTCAGCTGCCGGTAAAATGAACGGTACTGCGGTGGTGCCCTTCTATTACAGTATTTACAGCATTACTGACATGGAGAATTTTTAGTAGAAATGGCAGCTCAAATGTCTACTGCAAACCCTTGCTCTCTTTGACTAGGATCAGTGTTTTAAAAAAAAATCCGTGAGGCTATATAGAACGGATTCCCCCCGGCCGGGGCCGAAAATAACAAAGTTCGCGCGCAGTTCACTCTTCACCTCGAAAGTTGCAAAAGAGTCAACACACACACACACACACACCACCGAATCCCGTTTTTCCTCTTCCTTATCGCTCTCACCGCAACCCGGCCGGCTCGAGAACAGTCTGGAATGTTGTGCTGCTCTTTCGAAATATCGCTTCTCGAAACAGTCCGTTCGTTCTTCGCTCACACACACACACAGCGGCGAGACAGCCACGCCCCTATTTCGGGCTTTTCCTCCAAGCAGGATGACTCGGCTCAGCGTCTCAACGTCCTCCCACACACACACAAAAATCAACACTGTAACGCGGGGCGCAAAATAGTGGACGGTGCGGAGAGAGCGAAGAGTTTGACGGGGGGGATATAAAGGGCTCGGTGCTGCGGAGAAGAGCACTCACACTTTCACTCAGATATCGTCATGTCGCAATCGTATCACCGCCCAAGACCGGCTGGAATGGCCGGAGCCATTCTCGATAAGCAGGCGAACAAATTCAACGAAGTCGAGGCCGGATACCTGCTCGAATGGATTCGTGTAAGATTTTTGCCGTTTCTTTTATTTATTATGGGGCTATTCAGCGTATGTTGTTTGTTTTCCGTTTTTTGTTCGTTTTTTTACATCGCTGAATTGGATTTTTTGACGTAAAAAAACGAAAAAAAACGGAAAACAATCATTTTTTTCACCCCATTAGCAATTTATTAGCGCCCACTCAGCAAACAACCGATTTTTAAAATATTTTGAACAAAAAATTAAGTCCTAGCGTGTGAATCGATTCAAAATAATCTTTATTCGTATAGTTAAAAGGCGCTAGCTTTAAAATTTTCGAAAAGAGAAATTCAAGAAAGCTGTCGACAAAAAAGGTAAAAAACAGCATAACAGCTGACAGCATTTTTTTTTAGTTTTTGCAATTATTTTGATTCAGTGATGTATTAAAAAAAAAAACGTAAAACGTTCGCAGAATAACCCCATCGCCGTAAATTAGCGAAACATCCAGCGCATGTTTGTTTTCCGTTTTTTTCGTTTTTTTACACCGCTGAATTGAGTTTTTTGACGTAAAAAAACGAAACAAACGGAAAAAAATCATTTTTTCACAGCCTGAATAACCCCATAACACTAATTTTGTTGCAGGATCTGACAAAAGAGGAGTTCGATTGCGAGCCGTCGCGCGACAACTTTCGCGAGCAGCTCAAAGACGGTTCAAGACTTTGCAAGTGAGTTTCGGGCGCGCAAATGTCAACACAAATCTCGTGTTTGGCGATATATCCGAAGAGTGAACGGACGAAAAAAGACACGCGTCGCTTTTAGCCCCCGAATGATCAAATGGCGCCATAGTTCGCGAGCGCTTTGTGTTGCGGTTTTCAAAACACGAATTAAGTGTGTAATTCTACGCAAAGTCATACATTTTTGAATGTTCTGAGACTAAGCCAACTCGCAAGTTATTGTCGAGAATACGAGCATCGAATTTGAAATGTTGGAACATTCTAGCCAGAAAAAAAACGTTCGATTATTCCAATTATGCTCCAAAAAAAAAAAATGCAACGGGGGGAGCTCTTGACAAATTTTAGCGTCTTCAGTGTTGAAAGATAACAATTAAGAACTCCAAGAACTCTTATTCTTCAGACTCGTGAACGCGATCAAAGAGGGAAGCGTGAAGAAGATCATGAAGCCAATCTCGAACTTCAACTGCCTTGAAAACATCAACCAATTCACGAGCGCGGCGCGAAAACTGGGAGTCAAGGATGAGGAGACGTTCCAATCGGTCGACCTCTTCGACGGACGCGACCTTTTCTCGGTGACTGTCACCCTGCAAAGTCTCGCCAGAAAGGTCGAGAAGCTCGGAGTGGCGCCGCCGAAGCAAGTGTCCAAGGACCAAATTGTGAACATGTGAATGCACATTTGCAACCGAAAAAACAATGTTTAATTTCTTGCTGCTTTTCCTCCGAATTTCACTTTATGTGTAAAATGCGCTTTTTTTTTGTGTCGGTGTGATGCATAAATTATATTTATTTTTGCCAATAGAACAAAGAATAGGAAAACTTTTGTCTATCTTTGAACAAGGTGCACCACATGACGGAAGTGTGCACCTTAATTCAAAAATCGAAAAAAGTAATCCACTTCCAATGTAGGCCGGCATTTTCTCGAAGATTAGGAGGTTTCAGTGGGTCCCATCGTGTTTTTTGACATCTACAGACACAGTAGAAGCGTTCTAGAGCAAATTGAGTGAAAAAAGTTTTCCAGGGAATGTGAAAATTTTCGCATTTCGCATATTAGAAGGCGAAAATTTCAGATTCCGTAAAAAAATATTGTTGTTTAAAAGGCGATTCCTGAGAAACGCGAAAAGCGGATGGGACAAAAAATTCGGATTGATCCTATTTGTCCAATATTATAACCATGAGGTCCTCCCATGACACTGACACCCAGGAATAATATTTGGTCCGGCTCTGCGAGCCCTGGTCGGAGCACTGGCTCCAAGAACCTCTAAACTGTAACTTTTTTCAAAAATATCCTGTCGACTCAATTGTCAGGCTCAACGCCATTCGATTTCTCGCATCTTTTTGAGCACATTTCATGTTGAGACCAAAAATTTAGCACCCCTCATTCATAGAGAAAAAAATTGATTTGTGGTCGTTTTCAATTTTTTTTTAACTCGATTTTCTGGAAAATATTTGTACTTTTTTCCAAAAAAAGAACGTTGAATTCGGATTCTACATAAATTTTACACCCGCATGACTAGTTTCCAAACAAAAATAGGGTTGACTCCGGGGTGTTTCAGCCCAAAATACGTGAAAATGGGGGTACTTTTGCATAGTCTTTTTTCCAAATTCTGAAATCTGGGTTTTCTTGCTTATTAGACCGTTTTGAGACATTTAAGCGTTGTTTTCATGCAATCTCCACCATTTTTAAAATCTCCACCATTTTTAAAATCTCCACCATTTTTAAAATCTCCACCATTTTTAAAATCTCCACCATTTTTAAAATCTCCACCATTTTTTTAAAATCTCCACCATTTTTTTAAAAATCTCCACCATTTTTAAAAATCTCCACCATTTTTTTAAAAATCTCCACCATTTTTAAAAATCTCCACCATTTTTTTAAAAATCTCCACCATTTTTTTAAAAATCTCCACCATTTTTTTAAAAATCTCCACCATTTTTTTAAAAATCTCCACCATTTTTTTAAAAATCTCCACCATTTTTTTAGCTCTCCACCATTTTTTTAAAAATCTCCACCATTCTTTAAAAATCTCCACCACTTTTCAAAAATCTCCACCACTTTTCAAAAATCTCCACCATTTTTTTAAAAATCTCCACCATTTTTTTAAAAATCTCCACCATTTTTTTAAAAATCTCCACCACTTTTCAAAAATCTCCACCACTTTTTCAAAAATCTCCACCACTTTTTCAAAATCTCCACCACTTTTCAAAATCTCCACCATTTTTTTGTACTCCACAATTTTTTTAAAAATCTCCACCATTTTTTTAAATCTCCACCATTTTTTTAAAAATTTCCACCATTTTTTTAAAAATCTCCACCATTTTTTTAGCTCTCCACCATTTTTTTAAAAATCTCCACCATTTTTTTAAAAATCTCTACCATTTTTTTAAAATCTCCCCCATTTTTTTAGCTCTCCACCATTTTTTTAAAATCTCCACCATTTTTTTAAAATCTCCACCATTTTTAAAAATCTCCACCATTTTTTTAAATCTCCACCATTTTTTTAAAAATCTCCACCATTTTTTAGCTCTCCACCATTTTTTTAAGCTCTCCACCATTTTTTTAATTTTTTTTAATGGTGGAGAGCTAAAAAGGGTGGAGAGCTAAAAAATGATGGAGATTTTAAAAAATGGTGGAGATTTCTAAAAAAATGGTGGAGATTTTAAAAAAATGATGGAGAGCTAAAGAAATGGTGGAGAGCTAAAAAAATGGTGGAGAGCTAAAAAAATGGTGGAGAGCTAAAAAAATGGTGGAGACTAAAAAAATGGTGGAGAGCTAAAAAAATGGTGGAGATTTTAAAAAATGGTGGAGAGCTAAAAAAAATGGTGGAGAGCTAAAAAAAAAAATGGTGGAGATTTTAAAAAATGGTGGAGAGCTAAAAAAAATGGTGGAGATTTTAAAAAATGGTGGAGATTTTAAAAAATTCAATTCGAATGGACTTGAAAAAAAACAATAACTTCGGAGAGAGGAAGAGAGAGAGAGAGCACCCAATGGGTAGAAATAAAAAAAAACGAGACTACAATAGATAAAATGATTATTTCTGCCTTTATATACGCATGTGGGCGTGGCCATTCGCATTCCAATTAGTGGGCGTGGCTACTGAGTGTAGTTAGTGGGCGTGGCAGTCCTTTGTCGGCATTCTTATCACTAATCTCCGCCGGTAATTAAGCCGGAGGTGTGGGTTTGTGAGCTTCGAGCGGATTTGCGACAAGTTTCAAAGAAGCCGACTTATTTGCAGACGGAGATTAGTGATAAGGACGCCGATGGGAAAGAACGATTGGGATTTCGAAACGTCATGGCACTGTGCCAAGAGGATTCGGAAAAAGAGTGATAAGGAATAGCCCGATCGGTCTGTAACTTGAACCCAATTTACAGGGTGCGCCAAAAGTATGGTAACACATTCAAAGTGATGTAATCTTTGCAAAAATACTCGAACCAACGTGAAAATTCAACTATAATTTATTGAAACCACTATAAGCGAGAAAATATCCAATATCGAGAGCCTCCGGACAGAAAGGGCGCGCTGTTCGTAATCTAGCCGAATTTCTAGGCCGCGAAGTAATTTTCCACTGAAAATGTGGCCTAACTTTTCAAAAAAAAATAAGTGTATTGTACAGAAAACATGGAAAGAACGCGGCCTCCCGTTGAATATTAATTAATCGGCCGCCGCGTAAATCGACACAGCCCGCCTGTTGCAAATGCGCCCCATTGAAATCATTCGCGCCGTGGGAGACCGTGCGATGCCACGCCGACCATATTACAATTTTAAACATCTCCCACTTCTGCTACCCGAACAAAGTTTCTGCGGGCAATTGTGGCCCACGACAAGTCGCGGATCTTTGTGCTGAATGCGGAAAAAGGCAAAGATGAGAAGGCGAGGAAGGAAAAAAAAAGGAAACTTGAGACTGGAAGGTTCTGATGATGGAGGTATTGCGCTTGGAAGTTATCGGCTAGAACCTTAGAACCTCACACTTGTCAGCAGAGTCCGATGCAGTAGGAAGACCCGACTTCATGATAAATTCAGGATAAGAGAGTTTTTCTTTTTTTTCAATATGAATTTCGAGAGTTGAGAAAATTTGCTGCAGCCCTTGATTTTGAGAAGATTGAGCTCTACGATTTTTTTTTGTATTTAGTAAATTTTTTTCCGGAATTTTTTGCGCATATCAATTAGCGAGGACACTGTCTTAATAAGCGTTGCCGATTTTTCTGACGTATAGAAGAAATGCGAGAAGATTCAGAGACGCGGAGGCGTCGAGTTCAAAAGAGAAGGTGTTCATTAGACAGAGCCACTCGGATTGCCCCCCTCCCTTCCCTTCCACACATAAAATCGTCATCTTTCTTCATTTCCTCTCTCGTCTTGTCGTTTCTATGCAATTTTTGGAAAGGTTGACGTTTGTCTTGTTAGCCTATATTCTAAAAAGTAGAACGATGGGTCTTAAAAAGGTGTATTATAACCCAGTTTTTCAGATCGAGCACTTTATTTCTGTAGTTGACACAACTTTTTTGTAAGAACAGGAAGTTGATGACTCAACTTTCAAGAGCTACAGTACTCCAGGGAGTGATTGTGGACAAAAGTGTTCAATTACAAAAATATAGTTCACAAGAAGCACTTTATTTTTGTAGTTGGTCACATTTCTGTGGCCCATCCCGTAACTCTACAATACTCGTTCAAAGTTAGTCGTGTAAGATCTCAATTTTTCTCCCTTCAAGCCCAGAATTTCAATTAGCACACACACACTCATTTTTCCTGTTTTTGTTTTTTTTTTTCGTAGTTTTTTGGGTGAGTAAGTAAGTAAGTAAGCGTGTGGGAATTTCATTTTCCACAGTGTTTGTTTGTTACCAAATCGAAGAAAATTGTGATGGCCTAGAATTTGTTCAAAATAAAAGTTAGGCCACGTTCTTCTAATCTAGATGGTTCTTTGCGTTTACATTACAATCATTGCCTTCCATCTTGCTCCCAAAGGAGGAGCGCTGACGTTTCTCGGCTAGTGCGTGATGAAAAAAGTGGGCGGCGTTTGGCGTGCGCGCGACTATAGCCGGGCGGCGAATATTTTCCAGAAGAGCCGGTTATGTGCTCCAAACCTATTCTCATTAGCCCGTTTTCTCATTTTTGGAAGCGCCAAAACGGCTAATTTCATAATTCTTCTCTTTGACCACGAAAAAAAAGTCTCGTTTTTGTTCGTTTTCACTTTAGACTCTGAAATTTTCGAACATTTTCGGGTGGACAACCCGAAATTTGTCCATTTCATTTCAAATTTTGGGTTGCGACACAGTGAGCGGCAATTTTTGTGGAATGTGGAACGCGAAACGTCCAGAAAAAGTCTGAATTAACAATATTTTTGAGGGGGACGGGTGTGGGAAAACAATTCGGAATTCCGTAAAAATACATTTTTCCCACCGACCGAAAAATTACGAAAAATTTTCGGGCTCACAACTATACTTTTTCACTGAAATCTTCTCGTCTCGTTGTGTTCAGTAATTCAATGCGTTTGCACTGTTGAAAACTATTTCAGGGACCACAAATGTAACCTGCGCACGGCGACCAAAAGTGTAGAAAGGGGCGTGGCCTAATATGAGACGCGTTTTCTGAAAATTGCCGCAATTCCAGCACTTTTCCGATATTTTTGTGTTTGATATCGACAAAAGAAGAGACGTTAAAGAGAGAAAACTTTGAAATTTTCGTGAAAACGCCGCGTTTGAGAAGTTTTTGGCATATTTCGCAATACGCTCTCCGCGGCCAATCGCCGCCGCAATTTCGGAAATTTCATGCCGGCCGATGTGGATAGTTTTGAGACGAAGTGAGTGTCGGAAGTGATTAAGCACGTTAATACAAGTATTTTGAGCGTTCAAACGGCAAAAAGTATCGGCGAATGACTGAAATTCGCGCATTTTCAGCAAAAAAAATTGAAAATCGATTCAATTGATTCATTCTCTGAATGAAACCTGCTCGTTTTAAGCTCAAAAAGTGCGCGGCGATTAGTTTGACAAAGTTATGCAATTACATCGTTGAAGTCGTACAAAATTTGGGTAATTTTTGACGAAAAACATGTAAAATTGGGAAAAATTTCGAAATTCGCGCCAAAATGGTGATAAACCGTGCACACTAGGCCACGCCCCTTTCTACGTTTTTGCAAACTTTTTTTTTCTACAAAAAGAGTTTGCAAAGCTTCCGCGGAATTCAAAGTTTGGGGCAAGTATTGCCGGCAATATCCTTGCCCTGGGCGCAGCGAAGATTGTGACATCGTGGCGCAGTTGAAAACCTTTTGCCCACCAATCTGTCGGTTTTGCATGGTTCCATCCCCATTGTGCGATCAATTTACGCCGTAAATTCTCTTTTGCTCTCCCACACTGTTTTCGAATTCTGTGCCCGCGTTCTATTTTCATTCAATCGCGTAGATGACATCATTCTAAAACGTCTGTTTCGTTCGTACAATGCACTTTCGTTTGTTGTCGCCATGCGGTTAATTCTAGTTAATTCCATTACCGCCCTGGATTTTTCCCGTTTTCTCCGGCTGTTTCTTTGCAAAAATACTACACTATCGAGTTTTGTTTTTCAGGGTCTCCACACAAAAATGCAACTTGTCCATTTTATTGTCGGTAAGTGAAATCTGGGAACAAAAAAACGAGTCCCTAGGGTCTTAAATGATGAATTTTTTTTTCTCGAATAAAATGGTAAATGGCAGTCTTGGGACTTGCTGTGACCCATATTTTTGCTTCATTTTTTTTTGAGGTTTGGCACTTTTGCTGGCCGTCTCGTTGGCCGCCGACGATCGTGTGATGGGATGGAACAAGGCGCACGGTCTGTGGGGAAAACGATCCGTTCAGGATGCTTCGGTACGCGTTTTCCGCACTTTGCGCCACCGTTTTTACCATCAATTTTTTTTTCAGCAAGACAAACGGACGCCTCAGAACTGGAACAAGCTGAACAGTTTGTGGGGTAAACGCTCGGCCGGAGTCGCTGTTGATTTCGACGCCGAACCGTTGTATGAGGACGACGACGTCGCCATGTTCATCAAAAGGTCTCTCAAAAATTGTTCTGCATAATTTTGACACCTGGGACTGCACACGGCGACAAAAAGACTAGAAAGGGGCGTGGCCTAATCTGAGACGCGTTTTCTGAAAATTGCCGCAATTCCAGCACTTTTCCGATATTTTTGTGTTTGATATCGACGAAAGAAGAGACATTAATGAGAGAAAACATTGCAATTTTCATGAAAACGCCGCGTTTGAGACGTTTTTCGAATATTTCGCAATACGCTCTCCGCCGCAATTTCGGAATTTTCATACCGGCCGATGTGGATAGTTTTGAGACGAAGTGAGTGTCGAAAGTGATTAAGCACGTTAATACAAGTATTTTAAGCGTTCAAACGGCAAAAAGTGTCGGCGAATGACTGAAATTCACGCATTTTCAGCAAAAAACTTGAAAATCGATTCAATTGATTCATTCTCTGATTAAAACCTGCTCGTTTTAAGCTCAAAAAGTGAGCGGCGATTAGTTTGACATAGTTATGCAATTACATCGTCGAAATCGTACAAAATTTGGGTAATTTTTGACGAAAAACATGAAAAATGGGGTTAAATTTCGAATTTCGCGCCAAAATGGTGATAAACCGTGCACGCTGGCCACGCCCCTTTCTACCGGACTTGCAACGGGCCGGGCCGGGCCAAAATTGGAAATTTTCCGGCCCGCGGCCCGGTCGGCCCGGGAGGATGCACCTAAAAATTCAAAGCGAACTAGAACTTCGAAACGAACATAATTTTATAGACTTAAAAAGGCAATGTTATAGCATAAAAACCTTTAAAAAAATAGAAATTGCTGTTTAAAATTGCAAAATTTTCACAAAAATTGCGAAAATTTTCTCAAGAGTGGGCGGAGCGATTGATTGCAACTCTGGCACGCCATTTTAGCAATTTTGCCGCACGCGTTTTCCTCTTCCTTCATATTTTTTTTTGCATATTTTTTTTGAGGTCTAACTTCCGGGCCGACCGGGCCGGGCCGGGCCGACGATTTGCTGGCCCGGGATTTGGCAAGTCTGCTTTCTACGTTTTTGCTCGCCGTACTGCATTTCATCAGTTGACTCACTTGACTACGCTTGAAAGTTAGGGTTAGCTCAATGCGCGAAATTTCCTCATGACTAACTTCTAAGAGCTACAGTACTCCAGGCCGTGTTCTTACAAAAAAGTGGTAAACTACAAAAATGTAGAGCTTATCATGAACTGTCTTTATGCACTTGACAACTTTTTTGTACATCAACTCCCTGGGGTACTGTGGCTCATGGAAGTTGGGACCAGTACTGCTCCATAAAGTGGTCCTATAAAAAAATGGTCAACTACAAAAATACAGTTCATGATGTGAATATTCATTTCGCAAAACAATTCCTAGACCGATTGATTGTCTCGAGGCTCTACAATACTCATTCAAAGTTTACCAATTAAATTGTCCTACCGCTATTATATTTATAGTTTCAAATTCATTTTTTTTTCCAGATCCCCGGCTCAATGGCAACGCGCCAATGGTCTCTGGGGCCGTTAAACGGACACCTACCGTATAATCTACAGTAACCCGATACCAAATATACTTTAAATGCACAGCGTCTGAAAATACCAATGAAGATCACGATCAAAACCACTATTATTCCATGCCACCCACGCAAAAAAGCTCCCACTTGTTCGAAGTTTCCCCTCCCCCCCACTCTATTCCGTGCTTTTTGTCATCTTTAGAATTCGAAGTGATTGCCCCAAATTTCTCGAGTCCACAATATTCAATGAATCCGTTTTCCCACCCTGTTACCACAGAGTTTGAGTTGGTTTTTGGAAGATGCTAAATTTTATATCATCATCAATTATTAAATACTTACTTATACGATTAAATATCGAAACAAATGTTTTTGAGAGCGGATCGAGAAGGGGGTCGATGTATTTCCAAAAAGCGACGAGAATGGTGTGTGTGTGTGTGTGATTGGAAGAGACAGAGACTGAAAACGCAAAAAAAAAAACGAGGGACAAACTAATGAAACCTTTTGAAGAGTTTGGGGAACACGAAAAACCAAAAGGCTAATTTCTTTAGAGTTTGACCGAATTAATAGAAAAATTGGGGGGAAAACGTAGAGAGAAAACAATAATAATAATAATAATATAATAATGAGATAGGTGCTTGGGGGGGCGGGCTTGGCTGCAACAGGCTACAGCAAGTTTCACAAGAAAGTCGGATGAAGACGCAGAAACCAGCGGACGAAAGAGTTGCGAGTACTCGAAAACCAATGCGTTAGACATGAGAGCAAAGAAGAAAGGAGAAAACACATAAATAGATGAAAAACGAAAGGAAATGATTATTTCTGGGTGGGAAGAGACAATGACTGCAAAACGCCGAACAAATCACAGAGGAAAAAGACTATAAAGTGGGAGGGGGAGGGGGAGAACCTTTTCTAGAAGACAAACTCATCGTCGGACGTCATCGTCATGTCGATCGCCCAACGGAACTTTTCGCGATGCGTCTTTGTGAACACCTGAAAATTACAAGAAAGTCAGTGATTTGCGGCCAGAAATGAACAAATTTTGCTTAAATTTACCGGCTTTTTGTCAAAGTTTTGTTAAATTCGTTACTCCTACCTTCTCCAACGGCACCTCGTACTTTTTGCACCAGGCGACCGTGATTCGCGGATCGAGATAGTTGAGTTTGGATGTTCCCAACGCAACCTGCTTGTTCTCGTCCTTGTCGGTCCTCGAGATTTTCAGCTTTTTGAGCTGTTCCTTCAGCCGCTCGTACTTCTTTTCGGCCTTCTCTTTCTCCGCTCCGCGTGCACTTCGCATCGCCTCTTCGGCCGCCTTCACCTCCTTCTTTTTGTCTTTTATCTGAAGAAAAACAAATAGATGACATAGATTTCGGTTTTGTGCTCACCTTCTGCTCCAACTTCTCCATCGCCTGATCGAACGTCTTCGAGACGGCACGTTGATGGTTGCACAGAATGGCGACCTGTCGATTCGCGCGGTTGTACGACAATATCTTCGCCGCCACGTTGTCCTTCGGGTTCGTCAGCTTGATCAGTTGATCCTGGAGGGTGATCGACGCGTTGTACGTGCGGAACACCTTGACGGTGAGTCCGGGCATGAGCGAGCGGAGATGCTCGTTCAGCGAGGCGGTGTCGAGTCGATCGAATAAATCGTCGCCCGGCGCCTTGGCCTCCATGAACAACGTCAGATTCTTGTAGACGCGTTTTTCGACGGCGACGCGGTTAAAGTAGCGGATCGAATCCTTTCCGAGGAAATCAAACTCGACGACAAACTCCTTCTCCTTCTTGTCCGTCTCGTTGAGTTTCGCCGAGTCGAACAGTTTGATGTGCTCGACGCGGAGGGAGCAGCATCCGACCGTGTCGGCCGCCTCGTCCACGTCCTTCTCGTTACCCGCACGCAGCGCGAGTTTGTCGATGAAATAGAGGGCGACGGCGCGTTGGCGTACTCGCATTTCTTTCGATTTGAAGTCCTCCGTGTACCGTTCGCGGATGCCGCCAATCTTTTTCTTCAGACGTCGCGCAGTCTCGTACTTCTCGTGATCCTTTTCTCCTTTGATCTTCGAACTCGGGTTCAGCATGATGTACTTGTTCTGGCCGAGCACACTCTCCGTCCACGAGCAGAGCCACGTGACCGTGTTGTCGTGGCGCACCTCTTTCCATTTGTGGCCCGGCGGGGCTTTCGGGATTACCGAATCTTTGCCGCAATTGATGATCACGTCTTCGGGCATGATGCGCTTCTTGATCAGACCCATCTTTGGATGTCCACCTCGTCCGCGGAAGACGCCGGGCGGTTCGATGCGGAAATTGGCCACCTTCTGCCGGTGTCCGTCGATGACGGCGATTCCGTAGATTTTCATCTCGCCCTCCTTTTCCTCCTTGATCTTCAGCTTTTCCTCCTTCGTCATCGCCTTACGGATCTCTCGTTGCTCCTTCTGGTAGACGTCGATCGCGCGGAAGTCGCACTTCTTCAGATCGGTAATCTTCTCGCGTTCCCGCACGGTCATCGCTTTGCGCCAATCCTTCATGAAGTTCTTGTTGAACGCGTCCTTTGTCGCGTACTCGTGATCCAGAACACCCGCGTAGAACTGTGCCACCTCTTCGGCCTCCAGACTCAACTTCATCACCTCTCCGTTGTATTTGAAGTGCACGTGGTCGGGAAGTGGCACGTACGGAGGCGCGAACAACGGACCCATGTGTGCCAGACTGTTCCACTTGACGCCGTCCGGCTTCTTGTCCTCTTTCCACCACTCCCAGATGTCCTCCACGTCTTCCTCCTTCTTCACCTTCTTCTTCGGAGGCTCTTTTTTCGAGTCCTTCTTCGAGGACGGCGTCGAAGTGCTCGGCTTGCTCTTCTCCGAGTTGGACTTGCGCTTCTGAAATTGAGATGGGTTTAGTGAGGATATTGGGAAGTTTATTCAATTTTGTGAGTGGGTTGGCTGTGCAGGGAAAAGAGAAGCGTAAGTGTCTAGACTTTTGGCCCTCTTGCAATTGGCTACTATCCGAGCATGGTCGAAAGTACAAGCGCGGCCCTAAAGTTTGGATCCGTTCGGATAAAGGTTAATAGCAAGAGGTCCCGGCAAGCAAATGCAGTGCAAAACAAAGGGTAAATCAGGAAAACCAAGTTTGTGCACCTTTTTCTTCCTCTCCTCATCATCATTGCCGTTCAAATCCTTCTCGTCCTCGCTGCTCATTTCCTCTTTTCTCGCCTTCTTCTTCTCCCTTTTCTCCTTTTTCCTCCGCTTCCGCTCCTCTTTCTCGCGTCGTTTCCGCTCCTCCTCGTCTTCTGAATTCGGCGTCGATTCGACCTCCGTTTTTACCTGTCAAAATGTGCGAGGTGAGAAAGAAAAAGCAAGCAGGGTGAAACATGCACACAGGTTAGAGAGCGTTTATACATGCGACTAGCGATTCTTCCAATACATCTCCAAAAGCGGAAGAGTTCTCTGCTTTTTTGACAAAAATTCAATAGTATTGTTTTTCGAAAATGAGACTGGCTAGAGGTGAATGTAAGGATTCTGTCGGAAGTTATCAACGCTGCGCTCGGCACTTTGCATTTTTCGTTCAAAATTATAGAAGAAAACTGAAAAATGCAAAGTATTGAGTGCAACGCAGCGCGTTTGCCTAGCCAAACGGTTTCCCAATTCGCAGACTGTGACCGACCTGTGGCTTAAAGTCCTCCTCCTCATCCTCGTCGGACTCCTCGTCGCTGGTGCCGCGATTCCGCTTCTTCGAGCCCTTCTTCTTGTGCTTCTCCGGCTTGTACTCGTCACCCGACTCGTCTTCATCGCTTCCGCCCCTCTTTCCGTTCTTCTTCGTCGTCTTCGACACCTTCTTCTTATCGGGCTTGTAGTCCTCCTCATCTCCACTTTCCGCTTTCCGCTTCTTCTGCTGCTGCTTCTTGTCCTTTTCGCGCTTGTTGTCGCGCTTCACGAGCTCGCCCCATGGCACGTCGTCGTCCGAGTGCGCCTCCTCCTTCACTTCCTTCTTGATCTCGTCGTTGCCGTTCGAATCGTACGACGCGGCGGCTCCGTTGCCGTTCGTGTGATGACTCGTCGCCGCGACACTCATTCTATTCGCTTCTTGGCCGTGAAAAGATGCTTATGATGATGTTGATGTTCCTCCAGATATGAATGAGATGACACGAGGAGAAAGAAAGTCGGGTTGAGGTGGTCACACTGCAAAAAAAAAAGAAGGATATTTGGGCGGAAAACGGAGAAACGCTTATAAGTGACGTGTAAAAGATCAGCGGAGTGAACAAAATTAGGAAAATCTACGGAAGAAAACCTATTTTTACGGAGAATTCTCACTTTTTCAGCTGCGAGCGGAAAAACAACAAATGCAACAATAAAAATGCTAAAGCAAATCAAAATTGACGTTCTAACCATGAGCACATACCAGGAAACTATGAAAAATCTCATTCAAGGCAATAAAAGTCATGGAGACGTTATTCGTTGCTTTTTTATTGAAGTCTGAAACCAACAATCTGAGATACAGGATCTCGCAACAAATTTATTCACTACTGGGGCCGTATCGTCCACTAAATCCGAGAAGTTTCATCGAACTTACGCAAGAAACGGCGGGTCCCGCCACGAAAAAATGACAAGTCCCCAGGCCGCCTCCAGTGAAGGAGGGGCCGGCTAGAACTTGACATTTTTCGTGGTTAGACCCGCCGAGGATTTGGAAACGACTGCATGAATGCTACTAAAAACTAATGGAATTGACATAAACTATTATTATTTTTCTTCGTCTCAAAACTGGTTATGGTAGCGAAGGTGTGTAGAAGAAGAGTAGAAGGAGAAGGAGAAGGAAACGACTGAATGAAAGTTGTAATAAAGTCGATCGATCCGTCGCTTTTCTGTACTTTCATTACATCCGCCCCATCCCATCCCGGACCGACACGACCCCTCCCTTTCGCTTTTCAGTTGGTCTTTCGAAGAAGACAACGGGCAGAAAGAGAGATGAAAAAGAGGCGTAAAGGGCGTGAGTACTGCACCTACGATGCCCTTTTCCTACACAAGAGAGAGATAGAAAAAGAGAGATAGATACAAGACGGGCGGTTCACGCGAGAAAGAGAAAGAGAAGGGAGCTGCGTCTGCGCCTCACGTGGCGCCCGTTTCTTTTCGCGTCCGGAGTGTATAGTAGTGGCGACGACGACCGAGACGGCTTGTGTAATTTATGGGTAGGCAGCAGGGCCGCCGTGTTCTTTTCGACCCGTAACATGTACATCTGCTCCTTCACTAGTTAGAGACGCTTTATGCGAAGCCTGATTTGGTCGGTCGGAAGAGGTGGGCGTGGATGGGAGCCGGAGCGGGACGCCAAATGAATCAGCTTTGAGGGCAGCCGAAGCTAATTCTTCAAGCCAGAGCTTATGACTCACACTAATGGGAATTGGCTTGGTTTGTGAGCGCGAAAAATGAGTAGTAGCACTTTTTGTGCGCATAATTGGCTTGGTAAGAGAATGTTAGCAATTTTGATGATCGTAGACTTTCCGGTGACGGAAATAGATGGAAAGGAGTCTTCTCGCCGAGAGAAATGCTCATTTAGTTTGAAAGTTTTTAGGGTTACTGGAGAGGTCTTTCTAAGGAGCGCTTCGAAAAAATCAGGCTTTTTTGTAATACTTGTGACTTTATGGTAACTTTTGGCATTTTCTATCGATTATTATTGTTATTGGGTAGAAAATGGCCTATCTGTGTCATCGTTAACATCAATATCACCGAGATGAAGAACGCCAAATCATTATTTGAAATTTAAAGTTTTTCTATGACCCGGCCCGGCCTGTGGCTTTTGTTATTTTTTTACTACAGGAATTGACTTTGAAATCTCATATAAAATGAGCAAGAGCCTGCTTAGCAAATTCTGACGGTGTTAAGCATTTTTTTCACACTCTTCTCAACTTTCCTAAATTCCTATACTTCCTCGTTTTCAAAACCGTTCAATTCCATAAAAGCTTCCTCCCCGACACGAGAGATCTTTGTTTGCAAATGCGCTCCCCTTGACCTCTGGTACACAATGAGTACAGTAGCCAATGCGGCCCACATACTAACGATTAGATAGGGTCTGGCTGGGGGCGACAGGTCAGCAAACAGACGAAATCATTCGTTTCAGTTGATAAGGAAATGTATATGATTTTTGGGACAAATATATAAGAGATAGAATTCGAAACGTATTGCAGTTTTTCGGTTTTTGACAAATTCGGGGTCATTATACAGTTTTGAATTTTCTGGTGGAAATTGGGGCTTTTTGTGACTAAATCAGGAACTTTAGGGCTCTGTAGCTCGAAATTTGACCGTAAACAGTACAGAAACAATGCAACATGAACGCGTCCGAGAATTCAATTTCTTTGAGCGCTCTAAACGCTTTCGAAGACGTGGAACCAAAATGAAAAGTTTCTTCTACACTTCCGCAAGCTTTTCCACGTAATTCCAGAAGTATTGCGAAATCCACATGTTCGGACAAACTTGGTCTGAAAATGGTCTAAAAATGACAATCTTGCACGTTTCTCCAAGTCTAAACAACACTTTGCGCCTAGAAACCATCAAAACTATCACTAAAAATCGTCGGATTGCATCAGAAATCGATATCTACGCGAACGGGCCACTTGGACGCTTTTTGGGGTGTTCGGGGTGCGAAAACCGGAAAAAACCGAGTTTTTCGACGAAAATGCGATGAAACCGGCTGAAATTTCGGCGGAATATGGAGAAAAAATCGGTGAATCCGGCAAAATAGAGAAAAAAGGGTGAAAAACGAGCGGTTTTGGCGCCGGCACTTGTACAAAAAACTGCAAAGTCCGCCGTGTTATTTCGTACCAGACGCGAAGCGCGGCGGTCGCGTCGCGTGTCCGATTCGCAATGGAGCGCACTTACTGACTCCTTTGGTCTCTCCGATATTCGCAATAAAGACGAGTTTGCACGCGCTTCCCGCCGGATTCTGAAGCCGATTCTTGAGATTTTCAACTATTTTTGCCGGATTTTAATTTGAAGAGAGCCAAGAAAGCCAAAAATCGTAAAACAAACTGTTCATTTCATGATTTTTCATAATCTTTCGGCCATTTTAACGTGGGCCAAACTGCAAGTATCGATTGATTGTCAAGTCGTAAATCCATTCAAATCCATGAATTTCCCTATTAATTCTCCGTCAATTCTGTTCTATATTATCTTTTTTGCCCTTCACTCGTTTTTTTCATCCCTAATCAATAATTCTTGACTCCGCAGAAATGACACGACCGCCGCAGCCACGCATCGATCTGAACCACGGCTACATGCGCTTCATCCGACGCAATCAGCTCGATCGTGACGAATTCGACAAAGTGCACGAGCGGCGGAAATCCGAGATTCGGGAGCGGCTCGCCGAGCAGCCGGCTCCGACGCCGACGAGCACAAAGTATATTCCGCCGCACTTGCGAAGGCCGACAACGGCGCCGCAGAAGCCCTCCAACATCTACGTTCCGCCACATTTGCGACAGAAGCGCGAGACGCCGCCCGGCAGTGTCGCAGGTTCGCTTTTTCTTCGATAATTTTTGCAAAATTTCTGTAATTTTCCAGCTAGCCGCTCGGTTTCCCGCTCGGATTCCGACTCACAGGAGGACGAGAAGCAGCGGATTGCCGACGATCGCATTCGGAGCCAAGTGCGGCGGCGGATCGAACGAACGCACGCGACAGTCGACGATATCTGCGTATCGCTGGCCAATTACAGCCTCAAAGAGGCGCAAAGGTGCGCTGAAATCGAGGATCGGTCGGAAAATGGCGGATTTTGCAGGGCGACGCAGAAAAATAAGGAAGAGGAGGACCTGTTCATACTCGAATTGACATTGCAGACCGGCGAAAAGAAGCTGATCAGTGTGCCGAGGGTAAGGAGAGAAAAATTTGCAAAATGTGGGCCATTTCTTACCTAATAACAATACATATCGGCCCTGAAAATGTTGATATTTTGCTGAAAAAATGGCCTCCAACAGTGCAGACAAAGGCGATAAATCATCGATCCCACACACCACCCGATTTAGGTCATATCTTTGCGCTTGTCACCCCTCCACCCCGTCAAAAGTGACATTTTTCACAAAAGCCTTACACTTTTCTCGATTGCAGAACACTCAGGCGGCGCGTTTGGCCAAATCGCTGTCGCGCGAGCACAGTTTCGACGATTCGCAGTGTCGAAATTTGCGGATTTTCATCGAAGAGCAACTCGAAGTGCGATTGGAGCGCGAGCAAAAGTCGACGGGCGGCTCGGTGAGCTCGTCGAGCTCCACGACGCCCGACTCGTCGATTCCGACGTCGCCGTGCTCGACGGCCTACTTTTCGACGGCTTCTTCCACCTCCGACTCGTCTCCGTTTTAGTTGTGTTTCGTTTTATCTTGTCCCATAGTACAATCGATTAGATTTCAAGCGTTTTTCTGTATTTTCGAATCTTTTCTCTAGTTACAAATTCCATAATTGTCTGTGAGCGTCCTGATTGTTTTACGAGTACTCCGCCCCCTATCAAAAAGCCCCCGTTTGTCATTTATTTGTAAAAAAAATTCGGTTCCCCAAACCCCATCCAGACTTGTCCTGTTTCTTCACTTTCTCTGGAATTTTCGATCTTTTTTGATCTACCTTCCACTGCCGAGCTTCTTCTTCGATTTTCCCTTTCAAACGCGCGCGCGCGCCGGCCGCCGTTTTACTCAAACTCGAAAAAAAATGAAATTTTTCCGATTTCCGGCCAATTTGTGGTCGTTTTGACTTCCACTTTCGCTCCTTTTGTCGTTCCTTATCGACACTCGATACCTCTCTCTTTTCATTGACTTTTCTCGGTTTTCAAATCGCAAAAATTTTCAGGGTCTCTGGGAGCGCCTCTCACTCACACGCACGCACACTCACTCTCTCAATTTTTCACCCAGAAAAATCGAGAAACAAACAAAAAATTGGCCGCCGGTGAAGTTTTGAACGCAAATGACGATGGTGAAAACGTTGGTGGCGCTGGCTACCGAACGAATGCTCCTCAAGACGAGCGGCCCGACTTTTTTGCGCGGCATCGAATTTATGTACGCCGCCGGATTGGCGCCCGATCGGCTCTCGGTCATGATGACGTCGTCGCACAAATATGTGCTGCAGTTTCACTCGAAATGCGATATACGCCCGTTTGCGGCCAATTATCCCAATTTCGGCAGAGTTTTACGCGGAATTGGTGGGTTTCGGCGAGGATTTTCACGTTTTGTGACGAGGTCTTATTTCGATAAAAATCAAGAAAAACTCACAAAATGAAGAATTTTTCAATTTTCTCCCCGAACGCCTTCTTTAAACTTTTGTTTCAGTGCACGTGCGCGAGTGGCGAATCAAATCGATCGAGTTCGTGAACGTGGCGTTCTACATGCGCGACGTCGACAATCTGGAGCGGGCGATCGAGAAGCTCGGCGTCGAGCTGGTCCTTCTCCGCAACTGCACGTATCCGGGAGTGCAGCGCGGCGACGAGGCCGTCAAATTTTTGTCGGCGCTCAATCGAAAAAAGCAGGCGGTGGTGTGCGAGTACGGCGACGATCGCCTCAAACATCGCATCGGCCGGCGCTCGAGCAATCACCGAACGAGGCGAGCGAGCAGGAATGGCGGCCAGGAGATTATTCCGCCGCCCGGAGACGTGGCGGCCGATGGGGCCGCTCCGGCTGCGATTCCAGGAGGGCAGGCCGCGCCGGCGGTCGGGGAAGCCGGCCTGGCGCCAGTTTTTGAAGCGCCGCCACGTGGAGCACCGCAGCCAGTCGGTCAGATTCCGGGAGGAGTTCGACGTCCGGTGGCCATGAATCCGGATCCGGCCATAAATGTGATGCCGCACTTGATTCCGCAGCAAATGGCGCAAGGAGCAGCCGCACAACAGCATCAGCAGGCGCCGGTGCTTCCGGTGCCGGCTCCGGGCAGAGCCGCCTCGGGAAGAGTCGTCGTCGGCGCGCACGTCTACGAGTTCAGAGCGGTCGACGTGCCGAACGCCGAGAATTTGCCGACTGTTCAGAATGTAAGCGGATTGAAGGAGATCGAGCAGGTCTTGGGACTTTTGATGAATTTCCTCTTATGTATTATTCAAACACGTCATAACTTTGCAAGATTATCAGTCTTTGTTTCGAGTATTCAAGTTTCTGCCCGATCGAATTACCTTGTCTTTACCTTGTCAAAAGTCCATTCCTCTCTCCCTCTCAAACTATCAGCATACTAATTCCCGCCAGGATATGCAGGTCGGTCATCTTCTAAACATGCTCGCCGAGAACGCCGGACAAGCCGGTCAGCCGAACCAGGATCAGATGCGCGTGCTGCTGCTGCCGCCGAACGGCCAACCCGCGCCGCTCCACGTGAACAACAACAATCAGGTGCTGTTGCGCGGCGCTGCCGGAAATCCACACGATCGGCAGGTGCCGCCCCCGCAGCAGCAACAGCTGCCGTTCGGAGGCGATCGTCTCGCCCGGATCAGGAACCTTCTTGCGAATAATGAGCACGGCGAGGTGGCGCGACTGGCCGCCCATCAGCCGAGACCGCCGATTCCGCCTGTCTGGAATTGTGAGTGATTGGGGTTCACGTGGAGTTTCAGTTTTGTTCCTTTTGTTGTCAACCAAAGAACAATATTTTGAGGCTACTCTAAAACAGAACGCTCCCAAGTCAGAACTGTGGCACAGCAATCTACTCCTTATTTCTTCTGATTCGGGAGCGTTCTGAATTGGGGAAATGGCGTCTTGAGACAGTTCTAAGCCCCAATGCTTCAACATGGCATCCCCCTAATGATCGATTTTCCAACGTCTAACCCTTGACAAGCTTCAGACGCGGTCGCACACGTGCCGCAAGTGAATCCGCCGCAGCTGGCGTTCCAGGTTCCGATGTTCGGTGTGGCGGTCAACGAGCCACAAGTGCAACGAAACGGCGACGATTCGAACGACAGCACGGTAAGCACATGGATGCGCGATCGGCCATTCCTGAACGGTCGCACGAATTACAGGACCGCGAGGAGGCGATGTTCGATCCGGATCAGATGAGGAACGAGGTGTTGAGGGATTTGGTGGCCGGTGAGCGTTTGAAAATGACGATTTCATAATTGTGTTGGAAAAGTTTCAGATCCGGAAGCGCAGCCCAATTTTGCGCCTGTCGAAGCGCAGGCCGTCGATTTGGAGGAACTGGAGGAGGAAGGAGATGGTAGGATCGGAAATTTACGAAATTTGAATTTCGCGCCAACGTTATGTTAAAAATCCAGAGATTTTTTCCAGACGACGAAGGAATGGAAGGTGTGGCGCCGGAGGGACAATTCATGATGGAGCAACATCCGTTGTGAGGCACTCTTCGATCCAGACACATTCATAATAATATCAATTTTATTCGTTTTTCTCTCTTTTCTTTTCGTTAATTTTTTCCATTCGATGCCACCATTTTGTCGTCGATTCGCGGGTGGTTTCTATAGGATATCAGTGTCTTTTCGTCCCATTTCCTCTCCGATGTTCCCCATTCAATTTCACCGTTTTCTTCATAATTCTCGCTGAATAGAAAAAGTAAGAACGTGCCTTAACGTTGTTCCCGAACCCATCGAAATGTAAATAGTCTATTTCTGTTCCCAGTGTGTGTGAGAATTTGTCCCGCTTTTCCTGTAACCCCTCTTTTCCTTGTCATTTGTTTTACAAACCCCACCCCCCAATATTATTAATCTCTTTGCCGCCACCACCGAAATGCGCCTTTTTGTGTCCCGTAAAATGCCGGATTTTTCACTTTTTTCCTCAAAATAATATTACTCCCCGATTCATTTCTTGTCTCATTTTGTGTCCGTAGAAGACTATCAATCCCACACACAATTCACTTTCTTTTCCTCCAACTTCCTTTGATATTATCGAATATTTCAACGTTCAACTTCATATATAGTTAAGTCCCGCCCCTCCTTTTTCACCGTTCCTACACGACTTTTGCTTCATTGTTCCCCGTCGCGCTGCGCCAACTGTCACAGTTTTTCGAGTTTATTTTAAAAAATGAATTAGTATAACCATCTAGAGGAGCAGGTTTCGCAGTGTCATGGATCATTCCAATCATATTACATTTTATATTTAGCACTCCCAATTCTATGCCCTGCCCCTCTATTTTGTTGCAGTCAATGCGCACAGCCCATAGATTGCTAGCGCAGTTGTCGCGAAAACCGATTCTGGAGGCGCGGAAGCCGAAATCCGATGGAGAAGCGACGTCGTTCGTGGACTTCCGACGCGTTCGGTGCATTGCCGGCAACGGCGGAAACGGAATGGTCTCGTTCTTTCGCGGATACAAGAAACCGTTCGGAGGACCCGACGGCGGTGACGGAGGACACGGCGGACACGTTGTTTTTAGGGGTACTGTGGTTTAGACGCGGCTGAAATGGGGCACAGAAGATGTTTTGGAGTCGGCCGGCCCCAATGATCCACATATCTCGGGACCAGGTGATCCGATCGAGCTGAAACTTGGTCCCAATGGTCCTCAATCCGAGACCAACAATCCTGCAAAGTCTTGGCCCGATCGGATTATTGCGAATGGATCAAAAGTCCAGGTCAAGGGCCGGCCAACGAATTGTCGGAGAAAATGGGCCGAATTTCTTCAGAGATGGTTTGGCGTTTGCGAAAAACAAAACTTTATAGTATCGACCAGTTTATTTTAACGATAAAAAGCGATACGATACATTTATCGATCGGTTTTTCGAATAGCCGCTACGAATTCGCAATGTTCTCAATTTTAAGCGAGTCGCGGCGCGAAGGACCTCTCGCCGGTTCACTCGATCGTCAGAGCGCACAACGGAGAATTCGGAAGGTTTTTCTTCTTTCTTCTGCTTAAAAATGTCCGAATTTCGGCGTGTTCAGATCGAAATCGTGTCACGGAAAGTCAGCGGAGCACAAAGAAGTGAGCGTTCCGTTGGGAACCGTGTTCAAGGCCAACGGAGCGACTGTGTTCGAGCTCAACGGCGAAAATGATGTACGTTTTGCAACCGGTCACTTTGCAACTGAAACAACTGAAAATCTGATTCTAGAAGGCATCATTTCAGGTTTTTTTTTAAATAGAAAAACCTGTAATTTAATCGAAAAATGAATCGGAACTCATCGAAACAAGTTTAAAGCTTCTTTTTTTGTCTATTTTCAACCTAATTTGTTCGATTTCCTGTTTCAGATGTTCATTGCGGCTCGCGGAGGCGTCGGCGGTCGCGGCAATCAGTTTTACGTGTCGAACGAGGTGCGAAAACCGTTCAAAGCCGAGTACGGCGGAAATGGCGAGGAGGTAAGTGCGCTCTGATGCAAATGAAAAAGCACGCGGGTTTTCAGTTGACGTACGATGTCGAGATGCGAGTGATGGCCACCGCCGGACTCGTCGGATTCCCCAACGCCGGAAAATCGTACGATTTTAAGAGCTTCCGATTGTCAAGCTCCGCCCCTCGTGCCGCTTTTGCTGAAAACCTAATTTCTGTTCTAATCTCGCTCTCTTTCGCGAATTGCGCTTGATTTCAATACATCTTGTGTCGGAATCGTGTCGGTCACCACACCACAAGAAAAATATCGCAAAAAAAGCGTTTCCCTTCGAAAATTACAAGAATTTTCTATTTTCCCCCTAAAATCCAATGCTTCCAGCTCTCTGCTGCGCGCGATCTCCCGAGCGAAACCGAAAGTGGCGGCGTACCCGTTCACGACGCTCCGCCCGCACATTGGCGTCGTCTTCTACGAGGATTTCGAGCAAATCGCCGTCGCCGACATTCCCGGACTCATCGAGGACGCCCACCTCAACAAGGGACTCGGCATCTCGTTTTTGAAGCACATCGAGCGGTGCCAGTCAGTTGTTTTTTTTTTCGAATTTTCTAAACCTCGAATATTTATTTGACAGATCTCTCTGGTACGTGCTGGACTTTGCCACCGGAAACCTCGTCGATCAGTACGAGAAACTGCGAATCGAGCTGGAAGGGTACCAAAATGGCCTCGGAGATCGCGCTTCGACGATTGTCGTGAACAAAATCGATTTGGCCGAAAAGAGCATCGAAGTGAGTATTCGTCAATTGTCAATCGAGCGCCTTTCAACTCCATTTGTTTTGCAGAAAGAACACGATCGTCTCCGCTCGCTCTTCCCCAATCTTCCCGTATTTCCAGTGTCTGCCGAGCAACGGATAGGGCTGGAGCCACTTTTGGAGCATTTGAGAGATAAATATGATAGCAGTTTGGTGGAATAATTATGAAACTTTCTTTTGATGTTTACGCGACCCGTCTTTATGGTTTTCCGTTTTTTTTTAATATCGAAAATGAGCTCTCAGGGTCCGAATCCGATGAAAATCCGATGCGAAAAGTGCCATTCGAAAGAGCAAGATCCGTCCTTTATTCGAAATCTCATAGAATTTGGGAAATCTTCAAAAATTCTGGAATTTGAGGCACGTCTTCAACTTTTCGATAACATTATTTAAGTTTGCTTTTTGTTGAACTACAATACGAACATTATCGAATCACTTCTCGCGGCTCCTTATTGTGTAGGTCAATCTGACGGTGCCAATGGAAATAATAGGTCAGGCTGAGCGCCAAGAACACAATTGTCGGGAAAATTAGTGCGATCATCGGAAAGTCGCGCTGAATCACAATTTTCAAACAATTCGAGTCCCCCAAAATACTCACATTATAATAAGTGTGACATCGCTGAATACCATGAATCTCTTTGACGCACACCAGACCAAAAGTCAGTGAGCAGTTGCTGAAAAACGGGAATTACATGAAGATAGAGTGATCCTAACGTGCCTGTTACTCGTACAATATCGATCGGTCGCGCGGATCGGTTGAAGCCACCGATCGGAGCGACTGATTCTAGTGGTCAAATTGCGCTTCGGATCGCAGTAGACCATTTCGAGGTGGGCGGGTAGATCGGCGGTGTCGAAGCACGGATGCTCGGGGAAGTACCACGGCTTTTCGGACCACACGAGAAGTTTTTCCTTCTCGCGATTCACTGAAAATGCGTCAAACTTTCCAAGCACAAAAGTGAAACAGAAGCGCGAAAAGTCGAATCGCTGAGAATGTGTCAAGACCAGAAATTTGCAAAGAATTTCTCATTCCGCAACTTTTTCAAGGTTTTTTTTCCTAATTTTAAGGTGGATTATAGTTGCGAGACTCATCTTACACGCGAAAAATACAAAAAATTGCCTACGCATTCCGCATTCCAGAAGCCTCAATGTTCATACTCACTCAACGGACAGCACCGATCCAGAAGACAGACGCCGGTGCCAAAGTTACAGTAACCGGGCGAGTCGCACGCTGGTTGCTCTCTGCGAACCGTCTTAAGATCCGGGCACAAGTAGCTGCTCTCGCCCGGATAATCTGGAAACCAAAGAAGGATCCGCTCGGGCAACATTGAATTGGAATATCTGCCCCGACCTTGACAACAGAATCCCGAGCTCGTTGAGCACCACTGACTCGTCCGCTCTTTTCCGCCACAATGCGCGTCGGTGGTGCAGTTCTGGGGCGGAAGGAGCGGTCGGCCGACCGAACAGAGGTCGGTGATGTTGGCGATGCAGCACTTGCCCCAGCCGTTCTCCAGTTCTTGCATACAACGACCCCAGTACAGATTCCGACTGTCGGGACCGTCCATCTGCTCCTTGGTCCTATTGGCCAACACTTGACACTCTTCGTCTCCAGAGCACATCCTCCGACCGATCGGCGAGATTCCATAGGGTTTGAGGTCCCGATCGATGAGGCACGAGTTCATTTCTGCAATTCGGAAGAGCTATCAAATAGTTGTGGAAAGACATTCTGCACATTTTATCAGTTGACCACTTTTTGATTACTCTACCAACAATCCTTTTTTACCGTAACAACAAGCCGTTCGCCGAGTAATTGTGTCGTTGACGCATCGCGGAGTATGGATATTATCGGGATCCCAGTCTTTTGCACAGTCGTCGTCCGTATGGCATCCGAAATTGGTGCCACGCAGGCGGAGAGCCGATTCGGAGCAGTGGATGTCATCTGGAAGGTCAAAGAGAAAATTTTGGTGGGTGCGGAAAGTGTTGCTGGCACGGACATCCCACACAAATATTCGGCACTAGGAGCGTGTTTCGGTTGGGACCGGCGGCCACGCATTCATAACTGAAACATAAAAGTTATGGTACTGTACTCGGGTTACAGTACTCACGAGAACCAGTTCTTTCCGTTCCGCTCGCACTCGTTCGCTTGCTGGCACCCTTTCTCTTGATCCGCCAAGAACCACTCCTCGATTCCCTCCGCATAAAAGAGATTTTTGAGCGGAGCACACACTCCGATCGTCGTCGAAATCTCGCGTTTACAGTACTGCGACGAGCTCCAGCAATCCGAGTTTTTCTGGCACAATTGGAATTCGTCAAAGTTCGTTTCGGAGGAAAGGGCGAGGGAGTAATCGGCGAGCGGAGGCTCTGAAAACTTTCAAAACGGTGTATCTCAGCTGTGGGTGGAGACATTCATAAGTTCTCAGCTGATGAATTGTTCAGAAACACATTCTGCACACGCGGTGGCCTCGGCCAAATGGCGTTTTCATGAATTGAGCAGGTTTTCTCTGATTTTTGTGGTTAAAGGCGATGAAAAAATTATTGTTCGGCATAAAAACACACTAATTCTCAGAATTAATGACGTTTTGGCGCATTTTTCGGGGACTTTGCTTTTTCGCCTTCGCCGCCTAAAAACCACACTTTTTATTTTGCGCTTTTTTTACCGTTTTCCGACAGAATTGGTTTTGAGAATGATAAATCACGTGAATACAAGCATTTTGAGCGCTTGAACCGCGAAAATTACCGAAAAGCAACTGAAATTCACGCAGTTTTAGCCAAAAACCTTCAAACGGATAAATGCGATTTGCGACTTGATCAAATTTAACGCTCTTGCGCTTAAAAAATTCGTAATAGCCTATACAATCGGTCTATCGAGAGACAAATGAGAAATTATCGGTTTTTCGTGGCAAATCTGGCAGAAAACACAAATTTTGCTGTTAAAATTTGAATTTCGCGCCAATGTATCGCTCTATTGGGCGGGGCGGCTCTGGAGACTGTGGCGCATTTTATTAGTTTACAATTTTCGGATATCTCTACCGGCAGCAGAGACATACATCGTTTCAAATAAATGACATATTTTTTGTGCAGATTTACATGAAGATCACCTACTTGTGAAGCAAAATCGCAAAAAAATCTTCGAATGATCTTTGTCCCGGGTGATTGAAAATTGAGGTCCCGCCGGCCCGCGCACTTTTCCGCAATACTCATTCGTGGCACAATCGATCGAATTTGTGCAAGTCTGGAATCCAACGGCCGTATTATTGGACACTTGAAAGCCTGTAAATTATTTTCGGGATTTTGGGATTCTGGGCCACGTTCCGACCTCTCGGGCGCCAAAATTCGTCCTGAACAAGTGGTCCCGACGATTTTCCGTGTAGAAAAGCGCTGATCGGCACCGGGCAACATATTCTCGCGCTCTTTTCAGGCGTTTCAGGGTAATATCGATCGGTTTGAGTGTCACAATCGGCAATTACAGAACGGTTTTCCGGTAAATACTCTACTCCGAACATCATTCCCGTTGAGCAATGACCGCCTGAAAATTTGTGGGAAAGTTTTGATTTTTTTTTTGATTTTTAACGAACGACAGCATCCAGAATCGCCGGAACTGCTAGAAATCACATCACGATAGCACAAAAATCCATTCGGACACTTTCGCTCCGCAGTACAGGTGAATTCGGGACGACTTTTCGAAATCGGACATTCTGAAATTGGAATTCCCTCGCGTTTTCTGCTGAAGGTACGCGAACACGGCACGCAAAAGTGCAGATCGTCAGCAGAAATTTGCAAGTTCGAAAATCACTCACCTCCCTCTTTTTTTTCTTCAGATTTTACGAGAAAAACGTGCAAAAGCAGAAGAAATATTGTTAGATTCATAATTTTAATGCGACAAACTTGTGTGTAAGTGCGCAAAGCGCTAAATTTCTCAATTTCCACGTAAGAAAACGTGTCTTTTCGAAAGGTTCACGTTTTTCCAGAAATTTTGCGATTTTTCAGACTTCAGCACGATAATGTACCAAATTCACGGAAATCGAGTGAGTTCTCTCAACAAAAATGTGAAGATTTTCAGGAAAACTGAATTTGTAGATCGCTTGCGGCTGGAAAAACTGTCTGGAGACGTTTGGCTCCACTTTGGACATGAACGCCCACGTACAGCTGAATCATTTGTCTTACTCGGTTCAGGTGCAAGTTTCGGCGTTCCATCGACCGCCTGACGTGTTCACGCTTCCAGGTTCGAGATTTTGCATCATTTCTCTTTGTTTTGTCCAACATTTCATTTCCGAGCAACCAACCAAACACCATTTTCTCGTTCAGAACTCCTAAAACCATCATCGGAAGACCGAAAACCGCATGTTGCGCCACGCGTTCCCCCGAATCCATCGAATCCGATCGAATTGGACGAGGATCCGGCGGTGATCGATCTGGATTCGTCGAGCGTCTCCGATCCGTCGACGAGAGTCCGCAAATTCCGTTGCGGACCGAGAATCGGCTTCCATTCTGCCTATTGGACCTTTACTGACTCGGTTTTTGACATTTTTATTGGAAGAATCAATTTTTTTGTGTTGTAGAATGAATACAAGTGCAAAGAGTGCTCGTCGCAGTTCGTCGCGGCTTCTCTGGCCGTCAGTCACTACAGAAGCCGGCACGGAATTAAGAAGGTACCGCACAGCAATTGTCATTTTTCAACCAAAAAATCAACCAGAGCTTGTCTCGAAAATCTCCTGCCGGTCTTTTGGAAACGAAGAACGAGGAGACGGTCGAAGACGCTCCGAATTCTTCGTCGTCGTCCTCTGGCATGTCGTCGTCGAATGCGATTCGATGTGTACGTCGCGGATGCCGACACGTCTTTTCGTCGCAATCCGACGCCAACGAGCATTTTTGCGCAAAGCATGTGAACAAGAGAAATCACAAAAAGGAGGAGGAGGTATTTTTGGGGAATTTTCACATTCAAATTGATGAGATTCCGATTCAGATCGCTCCGAAAGAGGAGCCCGGCGGGGATGAACCCACGGAGCCGGCCGATCAGGTAAACATTTTGCAAAATGATTCCTCTAAAAATTGATTTAAAAATTTTAATCAATTTTCGATTTTTCAGACGATGAGCACCGAGCACAACGACTAGGCCACGCCCAAACCCACACTTTTATTCGCATTTTCTCATTCACAACACTTTTTTAGCGCTCTTTCTGACCAAATTCACGCTTCTTCTTGTTATTTGTTATCCAGATGTTCCGCTTTTTTGTTGTTGTCTATAAAAGTTTTTCTTGTTTTTTGAAAATGGGAACGTTTTGTTGCTATTAGGCGTTGGTGCAACGCTAGAAAATATTGAGCTTCTACATTTGTGATTTTCTGGGCATTTGCCGGCCTATTGCAGAATTTTTTTTTGGCCCACTTCCAGTTGACCGATGGAATTCAAAACGTGTTTGGGTCCGATCGGTCAAAAACAGGCCGCAAAAAAGCGGCGACCGGCAAATGTAAATCTCTTTTTTTTTCTTACCATCTAGAATTCGCTCAGCTGCCAGAATGGGCGTCGTTCTCAAAGAGTAATAGATCCAAGGAAGCCTGTAATAAAATTTGCAAAATTGCGAGCAATGTTTCCCATTTCTCTGTTTTTGCCCAATTCTTCATACGTTTTTTCGCACAAGTCAAAACCCGCCCTACTCGCAGACTGGGCGTGGTTCCCAAATAGTGTAATGGAGAGAAACGAAATGTATTCCATTTCGGATGAGACTTCTTCTTCTTCTTCTTCGTCCTAGTTTCCCTTCCCTCCCACTTTTAGAGAGGTTTTCGATAGATAGGACATCTTCCTCTTCTTCTTCTTCTTCTTTTTCGTCGTTATTCTCCGCCCTACTACTCCACCCATCCTCCTACTCCTCTTCCGACGAAAACGATGCGTATAGAATAGAAGAAACGCGGAGAAACGGAGGCGACGAGATAGTGCAGAAGCGCAGACAATCCTCACGATTCGGCGGCGGCGGCGGGGCGAGACAAACAGTGAGAAAATAGTTCGGAGGTTCGCGAGACGCATACAACACATTTTTGCTGTCGAATGGGCGGATAGCCTTGCCCCCCTCTCTCGTCGCCTCGAGGCTGTACACACACCCCTTTCCCACTGACTGCCAACCCCCTCGGCCGGCCGGCCCCTCCGCTTCTTCTCTCCTCCCCCAACACGGGTCTCCACCCCTTCCTGCCCCCTTCCAAGTCCCTCCTCCTTCTCCCCATATTTCTATCCTTTTTGATATAAAATGGATTGGAAAGCCGGCTGGAAATGATGAATTTGGAATGTTTTCAAAGTGATAGCATTGGGAGGGAATGACCGAAAGTGGATGAAGGAAGCAGGAGGAGGAGGAGGAGGAGAGAAAGAGAATGAACTGTTTTCATTTTTTCTTCCTCCCGCCCCCCATCTTTCAATCGATATCTAGGCAAGGCCTAAAGCCTAAAAGTGCTTTCATTGATAAGAGGGGGTGTGACCTTGTACCGCCTCCTCCTAGAATTTCGCGCCTGAGGCCTAAAGCCTAAATATGACATCATAAACCAGACATCAAAATAGTTTTCATTGATAAGACTTTTGTTCCGCCTCCTCCTTGAATTTCGCAACCTGCTGTAAAGATGGGTTTTCAGCATGTTTCCTAGAATTTCAGGAACTTTTCAAATTAATCACATCGGACCTTGTAATGCTTCTAGGATTTGGATCACGAAAAGTTGAGCTTTTGTAATCCGCTCACAAAAATGTTTTTCCAGGATCATAGTTCAGCTCAGCAGGCTTACAAAAGCCGGAAATGTTGAGCTAGATGCTAGATAAGATCATTGGCGCTGAAAAATTTGGGCTTTCACTGTAAGACTCTAGATTTCTAGTATTCCGGCTCTTTGACATTTCGAAACTGACTTTTTGGTTCCAAGACGTTGTGGAGCCCAATTTTTGAAAAGTACTGTACTGGTTGTTGAACAATTTTCGAGCTAACCTCCTTCTTTTTCTTCCTTTCCCATCCCAATCACTGTGTGTGCTGCCGGGTGTTCGACATTTTCGAATCGAGTCCACCCGAGGGTCTCCGCTCTTTTTCTCGTCCTCCCCCGAGAAGCCAACAAGCCACTCCTCCTCTCTCTCTCTCTCTTTCTCTCTCTCTTTCTCTGTCTCTTTGAAGCATGTGAGAAGGGAGGAGAAAAGTGGGCAAACAGGCCGTTTCACCGACCGATTGCTCACCCCGAAAAGCGAAAGAGAGAGGGAGGGAGAAGAAGAGGAAAAGGTCTTTTGGGCCGTATCTCTGTCGATCGGTACGGTATACACAACACTCTTCCATCGACAAACACACCCACTTTTTAATAGGAGAATGGAGAAAAAAAGGGATGGGGGCGGAGGAGAGAGAGGCGGTTATCGGAGGACCCATCCATCATTTCGTCGGGTGCTGTTCGCTAGAACTGTCTGATTTTGAAGCAATTTTTGCATCTAGCTTCTGTCCGGAACGGATTCGAACTGAAAAAAAAACCCGGTTCGAATGTTTTATGAGCATCTATCAAGAAAATCACAAAACATTTCAGTACTGCCATGACCCGTCGCGGTGCAATTCCTAGAATTCCAGCTCTTCACACCTAAAAGCATTTTTAGGACGTTTTTTATAGCATAAATCTAGAATTTTCCAGAAGCGCTAGCTCTGCACACCTAGAAACAGAAAACACCGGGGAGAAAACCGAACCCCTTCTCTTTTTCTGTGTTTCATCTCTCTCTCTCTCTCGGCCTCCCATCACGTTAACAATGTATTTTTCTTCATGACTTCCACGTCGAAGTTCTCATCATCTTATCAGTTATCACAACTGACAGGTCATATGGCTTCCTTCCCGCACTCTTTTTCTTCCGAATCTTCTTCTTCTTCTTCTCCGCCCTCCGCCTTTCCATTTTCTTCTTCTTCTTCTTCTTCTTCATATCGATGGATATTCGATATGATGTTGATGATCAACCGAATACGGCCCACTTTTTCGTTCTGCCGAACTCCCTAGTCCCATGCACAAGGTCATCAGATCGGCGTGGCCGAACATTTTTCTAGGCCACCGACGCGGACAGTGTGTCGTCGTTTGTCGGTCGTGAGGCGGGCGCAGAAAGTCGCCGCCCGCCCGCGAAACGCCTTTGTTTGCTGCCCTTTACCGGCCCGACAGACCGTCCCTCCCATCCCACACTGCCCGATTTGAGTGAGAATCGGAGAAGAATTAAATCGAAGGAAGGAGAAGGAAGGAAGGAAGACAATTTTGAGAAGAGGAGTACACTTTGCCCCTGCGGACAACCATTTTGTCCAATTCATGACCCCAAAAATATTTCGATCGAGCCCAAACTTTGCAGGCTTTTTGGACTTGGATTAAAGTGTACTGGGACCAAGTTTCAGCCGGATTGGTTCATCCGGCTCAGAGATATGTGGATGATTGGCCAGAATCGGCTCTGAAACTTGAGCCCAGTATACTTAAATCCAAGTCGAAGAAGCCTGCAAAGTTCGGGTCCGATCAACTGAAAACGTGTAAAACTAAAGTTCTATAACTGATTTTTCTTCAAAAAACTGCACCGAAGGCCTTTTTTTCATAGTTGCCACGGGCCGGGCCGGGCCGGGCCGGGCCGGGCCGAAATTTCCAAAACTCCGGCCCGGCCCGGCCCGTCGGCCCGGCCCGGCCCGGCCCGACCCGGCCCGGCCCGGTCGGCCCAGTTCAAAAAAAGCGGGAATTCAAAATTTGAATTATTGATCGCATGAAGCCATTTTTTTTGTAGAATTAGGGGTTTTTTTGCAAGCATCGAACATTGAAAAAAACAAATGTATTTCTCATAAAAAATTCATAATAGCAAGAAAACAAAGAAGAAACACTAAAACTTTAGTTCGAAATTTTTTTTGTAATAACTAAAAAAAGATTTCCGCGAAAATTTGAATTCCCGCCTTTTGAACCGGGCCGACCGGGCCGGGCCGGGCCGGCACTTCACCGACCCGGCCCGGCCCGGGCCGGCACTTTACCGGCCCGGCCCGGCCCGGCCCGGGCCGACCCGGGCCGGCCCGCATGGCCGGCCCGAAATCTGGCAAGTCTGCTTTTTTTTGTTGAGTTCTGCTTGACAGTGAACAAGAAGATAAAGGGCGGGTGGGAGCCCGAAACACTTGACAATCGACACATTTACACACACTTCTTCCTCCTCCTCCTTCTTTTTTCCTTTTTTCTCTCGCTTTTCTGCCTAAAACAAGCAGCAGAAGCAGCAGCAGCACTGTGAAGCGAAGGGGAGGGGAAACGAACAAACCGGGCGTGGCTTTTGTGACGCACACCCCCCATTTCCTTCTTCGTCTTCTTCTCCGTCTTTCGCCCCAAATTTTACTCGTCCTCCCACGAAAAAAAAAAAACGGGAAAGCGGCCTACTTTCGAAGAAGGAGCGACGGAAATTATTGTTCACGCGAGACCTCACCATTTTACTGAATTTTTTACGTGTCTACTGGTCCACCCATTTTTTTTTTTGAAACATGAGAAAGTAGAACTAGCTTAATAACGAGCAAAATTGTGATTCCGTGTGAAAAGTCGATAAGCATACAGTATTCCTTTCCTGGTCTTACAAATTTTGCCGCGAATGGAAGTGATCTACGAGTTTGCACAAAGGCCGGTTACTATTTTAAAAAACGTAAAGAAACGATTTTCCGACATTTCTGGGTCTAAAAAAAATCCAAAATTGCGTCAGATCGTCGTTGGAATATCGATTTTTCGCCTGAGCTTGGGATTTTGGACACAAGTGTCATTTGAAAAAAAAACAGTCCGCACTGTCACCCAGACCCCCCCCCCCCTGTTTCCTATGGACGGACGTCTCGGACAATATAAATGGGCTCGACAGGTGGTCGACCTCCGCCCATTCTCTTCCACTTGTTCACTCTCACATTCAATACAGGCCCCACCCACCCACCCATGAATTTTGCGCAAAAACTCTACAATTTTGCAGTTTTAATGTTGTCTTCCGCGCATTTTTAAGCTTATCTCGTTGACAATGGGTTTTTCTCGTCCTTTTAGTTTTTTAGTCCATAATCACAAGATCCATTGAAAAAATCGATAATCCAATGATCTGATCGATTTTTTTTTACATTTTCCGAAATTAAATTTTGTACACGTGTGTTTCTTAAAGAAGAATACTATGACAATGAGACTTTCTCGAGCTTTTATCCATTTCTGTACCCGTTTTTCAAATAAGCACTAAAAATTCTGGAAAGTTCGATGATTTTCTTTCATGAATAAAACTAGAACCCTTCACACTTTTTTCGCTCGTGAATAACCTTATTCTCATAAAAATTAGCTCAAAGATAAGATCCTCTCTCAATTTTTGCCATTCGTCACCCAATTTTTTGGTCTTCCCCTCTCTCTTTCACTGTCATTTCTCGACTATAAAATGCAGTATTACTCCTCCTCCTCCCTGTTGTACAGTCCTTGCACGTGAGAGAAGAAGAAGAAGTGGAAATGGAGGCGGAGAGGGAGAGTGAGTCGAATGAGCGAAACGCAGACGAGCAAAACCAGTTAGCGCCCCCCGTTTTCATTCGAACAATCAGGCCACGCCCCCCACCTTTTCAACCAACTTTTTTGCGTCTGTTTCCCCCGTTTCGATTACTATTCCGATGGAATCGCACCTTCGTCTTATCGCCTAAATCTTTCATTTCTTGAGAAATTTTGAAAAATTTTGGCGTTCCCGCCAAGTGTGGGCGATCAAAAACCACCCACCGCACGCACGTTTTCTTGCGCGCGAATCGAATTGATTAGTTGCACTTTTGGGCGAGAAAAACACAACGAATACCTGCTTTCTCGTTCCGAAACCTGTCCGCCTCGCCGATTCGAAACGAGACAGCGAAACCACGCCCACCCACCTTTTTTTGAGAGGCTATTTTTGACCCCGTATATATTTTTTTTTTTGAAGAAGCGTAGCTTTTATGCGCATTTTGACAAATAAGGCCTTGGAATTCACATGTACTTTAGCAATTTTAATGCTCCCCACCACAAACGTTCATTTTTCACTCACTAATCGTTCAGTTTTCGCCGTTTCAACCCATTTTTCACGAATTTCTTGCAGACCCCGTCAAGAGCCGGCCACTGCCAAAAGATTCCGGAATCGTGTGCGTGCCACGTGGCGTCCGTCTCCACCGTCGAAAAAAATGTCGAAGCAGGCTCAAATGCAGGGCAAAATGATGGTTCTGCAACATCAGCGCACGACGACGCCCGACGGATCGCAAGTGTATCTGTTGCAGCCGAGTCAGGGCGGCGGGCAGAATCAGCACCCGGTAGGCGAGCGATTTTGGAGAATTTTCGAAGAACTGCTCAAAAAGTCGATTTCCGCCCGGGCGGGGCAATTGGCCGTCCCATGGCCTGGACTTTTGAACCACTTGCAACGATGCGATCAGGCCCGAACTCTGCAGGCTTCTTGTGCGTGGATTGAAGTATACTGGGCCCGAGTTTGGCCTAAAAGGTCGAGCTTTCGGCCACATATCTCGGGACAGGATAATCCGATCAGTCTGAAACTTGATCCGAACATACTTCAATACAAGTCCAAGAAGCCTGCAAAGTTTGGGCTCGATCACATTATGGAAAGTGGGCCAAAGGTCCAGACCTCAGGCCCCAGTTGAAAAACTTTTTACAAAGCCCAGACACCTAAAACTGCTCGGTCCCCACTCAAAGTCCGCAGATTATCATAATCTCTTTTTTTTTCTTCGTTTTCATTTTCGTCCTTCTCATCTCCACCGACCGAATTATTAGGTTTATAATATCGCAAAGTTCATCGGAATGATCTCGGACTTTTCTTTTTTTACATTTCCTAAATATATATATATATATATATACATTGCCTCGCGGTAAACCTAATTTTGAGCGCCCAGATTTACTTTATCAAATCGTTTCCCCTCATTTTCACGCTTTCGTTTTGCACGTACTCTACTTTTACCAGCTTTTGTCCAAAAAATTTGTAGTAAGTGTGGGCGGAGCCTAGAAAGGGAGGGCGGCGCACTTTGAGAGCCAGCTAATCACGAGAAATAGTGAGCGTGGCTTGAGCATCTTCTTCAAAATCTGCTCTTTTACTCTTCAAATCCTTCTGACCGCCCGTCGTGATGTCAGAAGGATTCTTGCTCATGTTTCACGCTGTTTAGAGCATTGTTTGGAGCACATTCTCGTGACGTTTACGTCAAAAAACCCGATTCGAAATAAAGTCGGAAAAAGCCTAAAAGATTTTACCCGATTTTTATTCAAAAAAAAAAAACTACCAAAACCACTAATTTTTCGTATACTCGTATGCTCCAAAGTTGTGTATTTTGTGCCAAACCCTATTATTATTATTGTCTTTTTCTTGTTCCCCTCCGCTTCCGGCTAGAAGCCTATAATTATACAACTTTGGGTTGTTTGTACTAAAAAAAAAGAGGGGGTCTAATGAGGAGCGCAAAAAATCATAGATCCAGCGCGAAATTGAGCGAATCTTGATGATTCAGAAGACGTTTTTCCCCCAAAAATTGGCCTCATCTATATCGGCTTAATTTTCAGCAAGTGACATTTATTCCGGTGCAAGTGCAAGGCGAGAAAAAGCCGATGATGAGTCAGATGATGCAGCAGGGACCGTCCGGCTCCGCGCCCTCCTCCTCGTCCCAACAACAACAGCAGCAGCAGCAGCAGCAGCAGCAACAACATCTGATGATGGAGACGATCGACCAGGTGTCGAGTGGTGGAGGCATGTCCCAGCAACAGCAGCAGCAGCAACAGAACGGAGTGCCGACGCGCAGGGACCCGGTCCCGATCGCTCCGGCACCCGGACACGGACGACAGGCAAACGGACCGTCGACGAGCAACGGAATGGCGCCGCCCATGCCCGGCGGACAGCAGCGAATAACACTGGGTAAGGAGCGAAACAATCGAGTATAGAAAGACTGTGATTTCGAGAAAAAACTCGGGGGGAGTGGGGCGATTTTAAAGGCGGACTCAGTTTTGAAATGACATGCTCAGTAAGTTCATGGAATGCTCGGCATCGGATCCCTGGTCAAGTTAAAATGCTAGATCTTACTTTTTCATTGAAATTAACTATTAAACAACAACCTGGGCGACGTCATTTGATTTTTCGAAAATTTCACAGAAACCCTTTATTCATTTAGCTTTGCCTAATTTCATTGAGTTTTAGGGAATCTGCACTTTCAACAAGATCCGAACGATCCACAAAAATGGATCATCACGAACGACGGACCGACGAACGGACCCGCTGTGCAGGTCAGTTTTAGCAGCGAGAAAAGGCGCGCTTTTTTCCCCGTAAAAAGCGGTGCTAAAAACATGCACTGAATCTCATTCGACGGTAAATATTTTGCAGCAAAACCAGGGATCGCACCAACGAATGCAACAGCAACACCACCAACGGCAACAGCAACAACAGCAGCAGCAGCAGCAGCAGATGGGCGACGATTCGATGAACATGAACAACATGTCGCAGGACTTCAACTCGATGGACCACAATAACGTACTTTCGGACGCGCCGAAGCGGTGCGCGTGCACGTGTCCCAACTGCCAGCAGAACAATCGACAGTGAGTTTGTTTTGCGGTGTATCGCCAACTTTTACATTTTTGCAAGAGGCTTTTTGATCCACTTGGAATTCTCCAATCGGAGCCCCAACTTTTCGAGATTTTTGAACTTGGATTGAAGTATTTTGGGACCAAGTTTTAGATCCATCGGATCATCGCGATCAGATAATCCGGTGGGTCTGAAACTTGGACACTGTAAAATTTAATCCAAGTCCAAAAAGCCTGCAAAGTTTGAGCCCGATCGGATTACATTACAAGTGAGTCAAAAGTCCAGGCCTCGAAAAGCCTGGGCCCTGGAAGCCTGCAAAGTTTGGGCCCTTTCTAATTTTCACTGTTTTTGCAGAGGCGACGGAAAGAGCAGGATACACGTGTGTCACATTTGCAGCAAAACGTACGGAAAAACGTCGCATTTAAGGTGAGCTCAATTGTTTTGTTGGAATAAAACAGCTTAAGGCTAAAAATGATTGTAAATACTTTGTTAATGTGAACTTTTGCAGGGCACATTTGCGAGGACACGCCGGAAACAAGCCGTTCGCGTGCGACTGGAATCACTGTAATAAGAGGTTTACGAGGTGAGCAATCAAGTGATCAACTCCAAGCAAGAGAAACACGGGCCGGCAAATAATACGGGCGATAGAAAATTGTGAAGCAGTAGCCTCTAATCTGGCTCATTTTGAAGAACACAATCGAATTGAACTTCATCAAAAAAGCAAAGGTCCCTCTCTATGCATGCTCATTTCTCGGGATAAATTGAACGAAGCGTTATGGGGCTATTCAGCGTATGTTTGTTTTCCGTTTTTTTCGTTTTTTTACACCGCTGAATTAGGTTTTTTGACGTAAAAAAACGAAAAAAACGGAAAAAAAAACATTTTTTTCACAGCCTGAATAACCCCATTAGTGCGCGCACGTATGAAAAGCCGGGCCGTGCGAAATAAAAAATTCTCCATAATTCGGAAACAAGAAATGAACATTGTAAATATTGCAGAAGCGACGAGCTACAACGTCACCGCCGGACGCACACGGGCGAGAAGCGCTTCCAGTGCAACCATTGCGGCAAAAAGTTTATGCGAAGCGACCATCTGACAAAGCACGAACGGACGCACCAGTCGAATCGAATCGCCAACATCAACCAGCAGACGTTGCGATTAAACTAAGCTCTGCCCCTAATTTTTTAATTTGTTCTCCAATTTACATTTGTCTTCATAATCAAAAGAAACAGTTCACTTTTTCGCGCCTTTTCCCACCCCCCCACAGAAAAAACCCACCCTATTTTGCCTTTTGTTTTCTGTAAAATAACCCTGAAAACACACGAGTATTTCTTCTCTCCATTCTTCCTCATTTTTTTTCGCTTTTCATCCAATCAGTCCCTCTCAACAAATTTTTTGTTGTTGCCTTTTCCCGTAACCGTTTTTGTCAAAAACCATCCCCTTTTCGCTAATAATTTCTTCCTCCCAAAAAGTGTGCAGGTAACTTGATTTTCCACCAGCAAAAGAAGAAGAAAAATTGAATTGCGCAATTGGAAAAATGAAAATGAATCGAGGAAGCGAGTGCTGAACAGGTTCTCAATGTTTTCATACAAAACAACAGACAATAATTGCAAAATGCTAAAAAAAATAGAACACATTGAAAGATTTCGGGCGGTATAGAGATTCCTAATGGAGAGCGAGAAAAAGCGTAACCCGCTATTTGTTTTTGTTTGACACGATAATGAGATGATTTGGAATTATGGGAACAAAAAGGAAAGAATGGGAGAAATGTTTGCTAGGAATTGTGATTATTATTCGTGTTATTTCCAGCCACATCTGCAATTTGTATCGTCGAATTGTTGTTGGTCCCGGTCTCGACCACGGTAATCACCGGATTCGTCGCCGCCGTCTCTTGCAGTCTTTTGATCACGTCCTGCAAAGAAAATTGTACTAAAACGGTTGCTAATCTGGCCCTACAGGCCTTTCACTCCTGGTTTCCATTTCAAACTGTACAATATTTATGATCGTCCTCTTCTAGAATGTCTTGGATCTTTCATGCGGCTCACTCTCTAAAAAACTCGAACGACCTCTGCAATTCACAGAATGATAACTATCAAACTGCGAACGTATCACAAAATTGTTACCAACGAGTACCATTTCGCCTCTTTCAAAGTCCCCAGTTTTTTTATCGTTGACCAGATTTTTCTCTTGAGCTCCCAGGCCTTTGCTGCGCGCGTAGGCTCTATTCCCCTTACAAGGGAACCTTTTAAGTGATTAAAGGAACCGGCCTAAACTAACGACACAGTTCGAGAGAGGGACTTTCAAAACCTATATTCCAGTTTTCAAAAGCTGCTTTCGAGACCTCTGAAATGCTGAAATTCCAGTCCGAAGTTTGACATTTCTTAACCATAGATTTCGCATTTTGGTGGCGCGGCGACCCACTCTCACACCCTCGCCATGCGCCACGATTGTCACCGCCCGCAACACCCTACGAAAATGTCGTCGAGTGGCGCAGGAGTTAACGGTGGGGATGAGGGGAGTGTGGTCACGGGTTCGACTCCCTTGTTATGCTTTTTCTTTTTTCTTTCTTTTTTCATGTATTTTTGACGAAATTGTTTTGAAATGTTGATTTTTGAAGAGATTAAAGTGGCCAACTGAAGTTCCTCATCGTGTATGCGGAAATTCTTCATCAACACATGAATCTTTTTCGCGATGTTTTTTTTCAGAACAGCATTTGAGTGCAGTTGATTCTTTGATCCATAACTCGAAGGGGAATTTTTGTAGAGAATAATGCTCAACTACAAAGTTGATCAGCATGACATTTGCTACAACTTTCCAGTTGACCACTTCTTTCTACAATTTTTTGTTCTTGAGATACAGACTGTTGATTAAAAGTGGGTCGTATCACAAAAATCAGCAAGTTTTCAAAAAAGTTGTCAACTAAAAAAGTATTGAAAATGTCTTCAGTAATGTTTCTTTAGTTGGCGACTTTATGATATCTCATTCAATTCGCGAGATACAGCAAGATTTTGCACTACCATCTTTAACAGTCTGTATCTCAAGAACAAAAAATTGTAGAAAGAAGTGGTCAACTGGAAAGTTGTAGCAAATGTCATGCTGATCAACTTTGTAGTTGAGCATTATTCTCTACAAAAATTCCCCTTCGAGTTATGGATCAAAGAATCAACTGCACTCAAATGCTGTTCTGAAAAAAAACATCGCGAAAAAGATTCATGTGTTGATGAAGAATTTCCGCATACACGATGAGGAACTTCAGTTGGCCACTTTAATCTCTTCAAAAAAATCAACATTTCAAAAACAATTTCGTCAAAAAAATACATGAAAAAAAGAAAGAAAAAAAGAAAAAAAGCATAACAAGGGAGTCGAACCCGTGACCACACTCCCCTCATCCCCACCGTTAACTCCTGCGCCACTCGACGACATTTTCGTAGGGTGTTGCGGGCGGTGACAATCGTGGCGCATGGCGAGGGTGTGAGAGTGGGTCGCCGCGCCACCAAAATGCGAAATCTATGGTTAAGAAATGTCAAACTTCGGACTGGAATTTCAGCATTTCAGAGGTCTCGAAAGCAGCTTTTGAAAACTGGAATATAGGTTTTGAAAGTCCCTCTCTCGAACTGTGTCGTTAGTTTAGGCCGGTTCCTTTAATCACTTAAAAGGTTCCCTTGTTAGCATGGAAACAGAAAAGTTCTGAGACTACACTACACAGTTCTCAAAGGAGCTCATTGAAAAGAAGCGTGGTTTTCTCAGAACGAGGCATTTGGAAAAAAGAAGAAGAAGAAGCAAAACCCACATCGATGGCTTCCATTCTTTTGGAGAGTATGTCGCGCATCTGATACCTCGTGTCCAGATATCTCTTGTTCAGCTCGAGAAACTGCATCGTTCCGATCAGGCTCGTCTCCAAATGAATCGTGTGGCGACGCGTTTGCATCTGAAAATGCACAATTACAGGCGTACCCTCGGAATTTCACAAGCTTTCCGAAAAGCCTACATTTGCTGTGTTCCCTTAGGAGATTAGTAAGAAAAACAATAGTTAGTGAAGTAAGTTTAGGATAGTTGAAACCAGAAAATAGCCTTTTTCCGGATTTCGGCCCGGCCCATTGCAAATGATAAATTTATCGAAGAAGCCGAAACTCACAATGAAATGTCGCTCCTCTTCGTTGTTCGGTCCCAACTGCTTCAATGTTTCGTTCGCCGACTCCGGATCGTAATACTTGAGCATTTCGGCGATCGGCAATTTGATTTTCTTCTCATCGACGGGCGGTGCCGGTGGCGGTGGAGGCGGTGGCGGAGGTGGAGGTGGAGCCGGAGGGCTGATCCGTTGCAGTTCCGCCGATTTGATAGAGTCCGTCGGCGAGCTTCTCGACTGACGCGACGAAGAAGTCTCCTCGTAGCGCCGCTTTTGAGCGCCGACTTCTCGTGGAGCCGGCGGGCTCACTGTTCCGCGCGAACTGCAAGAACTGGAGAGTTGTGCAACTGTTGGCCACTGTTTTTACATTTTAGAACTTAAAAAAACACAATTTCTGAGCCCTCAAAAGGCCGGAAAGGCCTAATCTTTGGCATAAACCTGGTCTTTTGATCTTCTCTGGCAGAGCAGTATGGAATTCCGTTTTCCTTTTTCCAAAATTGTGCAACTGCCGTAGTACCACTATTCTTAAATTTCAGACTGTGCGGAAGCTCCAAGTATGGATGTTTTTACTTGAATCTACGCAGAGTCTGACCGGAAAAGCATAAAAATAACTCGGACTTTTCAGCCTCAAACCAGTAAATCTCCGGACCGGATAACCCGATCGGTTTGAAACTTGAACCCGAAACTCTTCAATACAAGACTATGAAGTCTGCAAAGTCTGGGCCTGATCTCAATATTGTAGCTGGGTGAAAAGTAATGAGAACTGCAACAAAACAGAACTAGAAAGGATGATGATTCCACCAGTTCTCATTCAAAACAATTCTCATTTATAGAAGTTCTCACTTGTAACCGCGTCTCTACAAGTTTATTATCATTCGTAGCAGTTCTTGGCTCCGCGACGTTTTGCAACAAACGTGAACTACTTTGCGATAAATTGCACTGTCAAAGTTCACGTGGGTATCGAAACGTCGAGTTGCGAAACGTCGGGGAACGCAGTTCTTATTCCTTGTACCACCGTAAAAACTAAAACTAAAATGCTCCCACATTTCCTACTTATCTACCTCTTTCCGCTGATACTTCCACTCCGTTGCTCTCTCTGCATCGCGGCCACTTCCCTCTTGTACTGCGACTCTTGCCGTCCACTCGTCGATCCTCGATCGCTGGGCGTTCGCGGCGGCGACTGCACACTTCCCGCACTACTGTAACGGCTTCACACGATGGTTAGAGAGCATTGGCACGGCTGATGCTTACGATTTGTGTTCGATTGGCGGCGGCGGAGGTGGTGGCGGTTGAGCGGAAACGGCAGTTGACGATGCGGATGCGGTCGGGAAGAGCTCGCGCGGCGACGGAGACGCGAAAATTGGCGGCGCGCCGGGCGTTCGAGCACGCTGCTGAAAATGTGAAGTTTATGAAAGTGTCTTCAACTTTTGAACTTCTTTGATTTCATTAATTTTCAAGTGTTTGGCTAGCTCATTCTTCTCAACTGACCTGCATTGGCGGTGGCGGCGGCGGAATTCCGCTGCCGCCCAGATGACGTGGCTGCGACGGCGGTGGCGGAGGAGGTATTTGCGGCAAAGGGAGCATTCCGGGCGGGTACTGGGACATATTCGGAATCTGCATTCTGTAAAAACTTTACGAGAGAGTGAGGCGACACACGTTCAGCCGAAAAAGGCGTCAAGTTTGGAGGATTTATAGCAGGATTAGGTAGCGTCATATGGATTCTAGGAAAATTGAGATGTAGCCGACAAACCTAGAGCTTCATTTTTCCTTCTTTACAACTGTTTTTGTATAAGATTACTGTGCTTGAGTAACTTTACGAAGCAGCGATGTAAAACGATGTAAAGTAGGACAAATGAAGCGCTAGGATTGTAGGTTACATTCAAAAAGGTTTGAATCGATATGAACTCTGCCAGGCACACTTCAAAATTACTTTCGCATTTAGTTTGAAATGTCCTGATAGTCCCAAAGACCGACACTTTTTCACCTTACCCAGGCGGTGGTGGTCCCCTCGGCGGTCCGACGGGAGTCGTCGGTCCACTAGTCTGTCCCGGATGATGGTACGGATGGTACTGATGTCCGGGCGGAGGCGGCGGCTGAGTGAAGTAGTGTCCGGGCGGCGGATGGCTGGGAGGTCCCGGCACGACGCCCGGCGGGTACTGTAGATGGTATTGGTGAGCCATGAACTGCGGCATTCCGGGTACCGCAACCAGTTGTTGCGCTTGTTGCGCCAGCGTCGGAGGCGCCTGGAACTGGGTAGTGGTTGATATATCGTATGTGGAATTCTAGACATCAGAATCTAGCATTTTGTTTAGAAAATAACAAAAATTGGTCGGATTTGTGCAGGCTTATCACGCTTATCACATTTGTATAACAAGGTTTTGCACACATGGGAAACTGCTTTAAAACCATTTTCAGGCTTCGATGATGACGTGGCGGCGGGTCAAATCGACGACTGGAATGTTCATGACGACGTCGTCGTTTTGCCGTGCCCACAAAAGATAGAGAACAACGAAAACGAGTGCGCAGAGAAGAAGAGGAGGAAGGTTGCGCACGAAATGGAATGTAAGATGGAAGAGAACGGCGCGCGTGGCGGGCGGGCGGCCAAGTGAAGTACAGATGGCGCCAGGAGGAGAGAGAGAGAGAGAGAGTGGGAACACAGAGAGAAAGAGAGAGGAAGAGGGGCACCGGTCCCCGGGAGGTGGAGAAGAAGAAGAAGAAGCCGAAAGGAAGGACGCATTACGCCACCAGCTGTCCCCCGTTTTTTATGTCCATGTTGCTCTTCTTTTTTCGTTTCAAGCACTTCATGTGGGGATAATTTGCCAGATTTGCCAACAAACAATTTCAAGTCAAATTTGTCAAATTGTGATGACCAAGTCTTCACAAGAATCCTATTTTTGGGCAGATCATGTTGTACATAAAAAATGTCGCCAAACTAATACACACACACACATACAAACGTCTCGGACTAACTCAATTACGCTCGAAAACCGAAAAGACCACTAATAATCCAATTGGCTCCGGAATTTCTCGGTAACCACTCGGCTCAACGCCCCTTTTTGAATCGGTTCCCTTTCCGATACTTAAAATCACCTCTGAACTGCCAAAACTTTGCGTGGCTCTGATCGAACTTGTCAGGAAATCGAATAATTCCGATGACGGTGGTGTGCTCGAGGAGGACATTGCGGGTTTCAGTCATCCATTGTAAAAATTGTGGACGCGAGGGGTGAAGCGATGAGAATAATAATAATGATAATAATAATAATAGTTGGCGAATGTTCTCATCGTTTCTGCGTTTCCCATTTTGACGCAATCATCGGCGATCGACGAGAGAGCGCGTGAATCGGAGAGGACATTGCCATGAATGCGAGCGATGGGCAAAGGTCGAAGATAAATTGCCAATTTCTGATGATTCGAAGGAAACATGTACTTCTGACCCACTTGCAATCATTCGATTACTTTTCAGACGTTTAGACTCGGCAATTTTTGGCACTTACGAATCGCGGCGGCGGCTCCATTCCGGGCGTCTTGCTCGGATCCCTCTCGCCGGAATTCGGACCCGATCCGGGCATTCTCATGCGTTCCGCCGAGCCCGGAGTCAACTGCATCTGACCCATTTGCTGCGGGTGCATCGGCATTTCGATGCCGATCACGAGACCCCGTTCCCGCATTTCCCGCTCCTCGTGCTCCCGCCATTCGTGCGGTTTATCCCATTGAGATATCTGCAAGTCTGCTTTTCTCGCACTTTTTCCATATAAAACTGAGAAACCTCTGTCTTTTTGTTGTAATAGTACATGCGTCCGCTGGAGCTCATTTGCTCCGCCCAATCGTTGAACGTTCTCGGCTGCGGTCTTGCCATTTTTGAAAATTCTCTAAACAAACTTTTCTGCAATGTTTTCTTACAATAATGTGAGGCAATAGAAGGTAATAATGGCTAAAATACCGTTTTACGGAGAAAAAAAAAGCAGATTGCCAAATAAATTTATTAGTTATGTGCACTAAAAGTGATGTGTGGTAGTGGTAGTGGTATTTACATTTTCTGTCGAGAGAATTGGGATCAATGGAACAGGGAGCGGGGGAGCACTCGGGGGTGAGATCGGAGATTTGTGTGTGTGGGCCGGCGGGAATATGGATTTTTTTGAGATTTTTGCGGGGCAATTTTGGACGGGTTTTTCGGCTGAAAACGATGGATTAGGAGGCGGCGACGGGACGAGCTTCTTCTGGCTCCGAGAGCAGCGCCTGAACACGACAATTTTTCATTTTCTTGGGCATTTATCAAGTGATGAACATTTTTCTCGTAAAACCTGTAAAATGTGTTAAAGCGTACCCTGGCCTGTTGTTCGGCACTCAGACTGATTCGGGCGCGTCTCTCCGCTTCCCACCGCGTCTGTTCCTCGTCGAATGTCACCCATTCGGGCGGTTTCGGCCACGTCGACTGCTGAAAAACCGAATTTGTTTGTTGCTCACGGATCTCCCTGCGCTTTGTATCGATTTTTCCAAAAACAGTGAACGTTCGAAGGATTTAAATGTAAATCGCAGAATCTTTTCAGTATTTCTTCGATTGAATTGATTTTCCGTTTTTCCCAAGTGCTTCTTCGAAGAAAATGATTTGAGTTCGCCAATTGTTCAGTTAATTTTCAAAAAGAAACAGATTTTTAGTTTAAATGGATTAGAAAACCCAATTTTTTTTTGACAATCCGGCTCAAATATACAGCACAATTCGCTCCTTTTGCCCACCTCGGTGACCCGATTGTAGTAGTAAATTCGTCCGTCGCGCGTCTTGCTCTGCACCTCTCGCCACAGTCCGAACACTCGCAACGGGACCGCTCGGAACCGGGGCGGATCTTCCGGCTCCTCCGGATTCCGAGCGGAAGAGGACTGCCGCCGCTGCCGGACGCTACCGTTCTCACCCGCCGCCGACATGTTTTTCGGTGTTAACTGCAAATCTCCGCGCTTTTCCTCCTTTCCTTTCCCATCGTTTTAAAGTATAAAAATGGCATGAGAACCAAACGGAGATGGTGCCGATGAGTGAGGAAACAACGTGGAATTCATTAAATAAACAGAAAATTTGGATAAATTTAGAGAGGAACAAGTTATGCAAAGGCAAAAAAAGGATGGAAAATGGATAACAATCGCAGGGAACAGACTACTAATTTGGTGGGCAGACAGACACAGCCCACGGGGGAAATTATCAGCAAAATTGGGGAACAATAGATGGACATCTACTTCTTCTTTGCCTGAAGGCCGGCGCCGGCGTTGAACTTGAAGAAAATGACGTCACCGTCCTGCACAATGTACGTCTTTCCCTGTTGACGGTACTTTCCGTTGGCTTTCACCTGAAAATTGAACGGTTTTAGGACTGTAAGTGCTAGAATACCTTGGTCTCATCGCCCAACTCGATCAAATCGGCGACCTTCATCACTTCGGCCATAATGAATCCCTTCTCAAAGTCGGTGTGAATGCGTCCGGCGGCCTTCGGAGCCGGCGTTCCGACCTGAATCGTCCACGCCTTCACCTCGTCCTCTCCGGCGGTGAAAAAGTATTCGAGTTGGAGGGCCTTGTAGCCGGTGCTGACAATCTTGTCGAGATTCGACGTCGCTCCGGCCTCCTTCAAGTATTTGTCACGCTCATCTGGCGGCATGTCAAGAAGCTTGAGCTCAAAAGCTCCGGACAGTGGGATAAGCACCGCGCCGGCGTCGTTCGCGTCGATCCACGCCTTGATCTTCGGCAGCCACTTGTTCTTCTTGCGAATGTAGTCCTTCTCGGACAGGTTCACCAGGTACACGATCGGTTTGGCGGTCAGGAAGAGGTACTTGTTCAGGATCTCGATCTCCTTCTCGTTCCACATCTCCTGACGCACCGGCTTCTTCTCGTCGAGACATTTTTTGACGCGCACGAGCGTGTCGTACTCGAGCTTCTTCGTCTTGTCGTTCGCCCGGGTCACTAGCTTTTCGACCTTGTCGAGCGGCGATTCGATGAACTGCAGGTCCTTGGCGAACAGCTCGTTCGAAATGATCTCCAGATCACGCACTGGATCAACGTCTCCTGGAAATTAGAGGATTTACGAGTTTCATGACAAAAGCAAGGCAGGGCAAGGATCATCTGTTCCCGAGATATACTGGTTTGAGGGCGAATAGGCCGAGTTTTTGAAGAATTGCGGCCTTGGCAATCCCGCACCAATGAGCAAAAGACGGCCAACTGCCCATCCCTGGACGAAAACTCTTTCCCACCTTCAACGTGAGTGACGTCGTCGTCGTCGAACGCACGACACAGATGGAAAAGTGCGTCGCAGGCGGAGACGTGCGAAAGGAACGCGTTTCCGAGTCCCTGGCCCTCTGAGGCGCCCTTCACGAGTCCGGCGATGTCAGTGACGTTCAGGAACGCCGGAACTTTCGACGCCGGCTTGTAGTGGTTGACGAGCCAATCGAAGCGCGAGTCGGCGACCGCTACCTGCAATTACAAGTCTTAAAATCGAGAAATTATGCATTTCTCAGTCTCAAATCGCTTTTCCTGCACACCAAGATCTGGGAAAACGCGGATTGTTTCAAATTAGTTTCAGCATCCCAAATCCACCAATTTTTACAGAAATTCTCCGATTTTGCGCACTCACTCTGCTCTCATTCGGGTCGATGGTGCAGAAGGGAAAGTTCTCGGCCTGCGCCTCGGACTTGGTGAGCACGTTGAAGAACGTACTCTTGCCAACGTTCGGAAGACCCAGAATTCCGACTTTGAGGTTAGTGCCCAATCGTCCGATCAGCGCCGGCTTCTCCTCGACCGCCTTCTTTGGTGGCATTCTTTCCCTGCACAATTAAAATTTGGGGGAGCTCGGGGACGATTAAAAAATAGAGATTGGTTTAAAGAACCAGTTGAGAAACGAATCGAGCAAAAAAACACGAAAACGCTTAGAAGAAATGTGGAAAGAGCGTTTATTCGAATGAATGAGAAAATAAACAGAGTGGGAAGCAGAAAAATGGGTGTTGGTGGCGAAACAGATCTCGAACACCCGGAAAAGAGTATCGATATTTTTTATAAAAATAAATTAAGCATAACAACCACCAAAAAATTACAGATCGTGGGCAGGGACAGATGGAGGAAAAATTTATAGAGCGTGCTTAATATGGGCGTCCTCCCGGAGCTCCGTAGGCTCCCGGCTGCATGGCGGCCATTCCAGGTCCTCCGTGTCCGCGAGCGGCTCCGCCGAGTCCTCCTGGTGGCATTGGCGGCATTCCTGGCATGGCTGGCATTCCACGGCCTCCTGGCTTACCCTGACCGACTCCTCCCGCTCCACCGGCCTTGGCGATCCTCACCGAATCGTCGTCTCTTGGCGGCGGTCCGTCGACGGTCATCGAGACGATGTGCTCTCCGCGGAGAAGCACCAGTCCGAGAATTCGCTTCTCCTCACCATCAGCCTGCAAAAATCGATACATTTTCTCGTTTTATTCGAATTTAAAGAAAATCCCTCAAAATTCTCAACAAACACACCTTCTTCCCGGCCTTTGGCTTGATCTGTCTGTGCTCCTCGCACTCGGCGAGCAAAATGTTCATGTGCTTGTCGAACGCCTTGAAGAATCCGACAAACGTTCTCGAGTCTTGAAGAATGATCTTCATTCGGAAGTTAAGATGTGCCATCATCTTGTTGTTCTTGGAGATAGTCTGAAATCAATTACAGCGTTAACTTTTGCACAAAAACTCGCTTGGAACCTACCATTTTGAGTTCTTTGTCGGTTTTTTGTAACAAAGGCCTGAAAATCAAGAATATAGCGTGAAAATCGATAAACTCGAGTTTAAATCAAGTGGAAGAACGTGTAAATTTCAGTAATTTGATTTTTGGTGAAAATTTCTGAAAAAAAAAGGTGCAAAGCGGTTCAAGATAAGCAGTGATCCGACGCGAACCTGGCCAGAAATTCGAAAATAGAGCGGTCGTGTTGAGACCCGCGCGCAGCGGAACACCGTGCGCCTTTAAACAATTCACGCGGCAATTCAAATGCGGGCCGGGTCGTCCCACTTTGCACTTTGCGGGTTTCCGGGGCATTTTGAACAAAAATTGGCATGGAAGAGTCGCGTTCGAGCCCGCCTAACGTGCAAAAACAATACGTTGTGCTGGATCAAGTCTGAAAATCGCTGAAAATCCGCAAAAATCGCACAACTTTGCAGACATTCGTAGTTTTCGATATCGATCAGCCGAAGAACGCGTGTCAAAAACTGAGATTGAATCGTTTAGCCGGCGTCGGACCGATTTATTGGAGATTTCAAGTGAAGTGGACAGGGCGGAGGCGAAAAAATCGATAATTTGCAGACAAATGCTCCGACGCGCTACATTGTGAGCCCGAATCACGGAATTTTGCGCGACGACGAGCCCGTCGAGGTGACGGTGACTTTGTGGCAAAATCGTTTTCGTCCACGTCACGAGCTCTTCTTGCAAGCGGCTCCCGTTGCCGAAGGATTCGATCCCAAGGTTGTTGTGTGTGTGTTGCAAGTGCGCTCTACTGTTAACGCGGACTAGTTTTTGCAGTTTTAGCGCACAAGCGCGGCCCGAAATTCTAGATCCATTTGCAGACCCTGTTCGAGACGGTCCACGAGATGCAAGTGACGTACCTGGACCTCGGGACTACCGTAATGAAAATCGAGTCGGCGGTGGAGAGCCAAAAGTCGGTGACCGACCTGACGCAGGCCCTCGACGCGACCGCCACCACCGGCCGCGACCGTCTCGACCAACTGCAATGTGAGTTCGGATTACTGTAGTAGCGTCGTAAGATGCAATGTCCCCCCGTCTGCAGCCATCCTCAATCTGGCCGTCTGCGATACGGAGCAAATTGCCGCCAATATCAGCCAGGCGAAACAGCTCAAAGTGACCCTCGACGCGCAGTTGGAGCAAAAGTGAGCGCAAAAGTGGTCATGAAACATTAGAAAAACTGTGAACTCCTAGAATAGCTCTGGTGGCCGAGTACAAGTCGAAATTGACAGTGTTGGAGAGCAGTTATATGCGTAAAAGTGCGGAGGTGAGTACGCCACTGGCTCCTCCCCAAGGAAAGTCGGCAATTTGGTGTGTTTTAAGGTGAACCGCCTGCAAAACGAGCTGCTCAATCAGCACAAAATGAATGCGATGAAGGCGTCGACGGCGGCGAAAAACGTTCAGAATTGCACTATTTCGTGATGCCGAATAAAGGGTTTAGTCGAAGAGTGTGGGCCATTTTGGTAATGGTGGAAAAAATTAATTTTTTAATACTTGTACTGAATTGGTTTCTTTGCCCAACCACTGCGTTCCCAAATACTGTATTTAATGAACAAAGTCTCAAATAGTGCCTCCTGAGCGGAATTCCGTCTGCCGTCTTCCGTCTTCCGTGGTTTTTTTTGTTCCGTCTTCCGTCTTCCGTCTTCCGGGATTTTTCCTCCTTACCGTAAAAGAGTAATAGCTTTTCAGAAGCCATTTACTAGCCCCGAAGAACGCGAATTTCCACGGGCACCCAGATCCAAATTTTTTGTTGTTTAGTTATTTTTTTCAAAAACCGGAGAAAAAGGTTCTGCATTGACGATTTTTTGTTCCGTCTTCCGGCTGCCGTCTTCCGGGAAAAAAGTTTTCTTCCGTCTTCCGTCTTCCGTTTTCCGTGTTCCGTAAAAAAATTTTTCTTCCGTCTGCCGTCTGCCGTCTTCCGGATTTCAAAATTCCATTTCCGCTCAACTCTACTAGAGATCATCGATAACTTGTCGGATCCTAGGCCACATTGTAAGAAGCCTAGTGCCTACTGTTCATTAGATTCCTACGGAAATCCAAATAATTTATGTTCGCGGCCACCTCCGTCCCTCTCGTTTCTCAGCGCCCTCTCGCTCTCTCGCCGTCTTCGTTCGATTTTCGCTTCGAGACCCGCTCGTTGGGGGCGAAAAGAGCGCTGAGCGTGCGGAGAGCGTGCAGCATCTCGCGCACTCTGCGTCTCTCCGGCCCGCTGTACTATACTACGCAGTTCTTACGCTAAACGACAATAGTTCGCGAGTTTCAAAATGAAACGAACCCATCCTTTCCACTTTTTGCCACCGAAATTGACGACAATCTAGACGCTTCGTTTGTCGCTTTTCATCGTCTTTACATCGCCCACTTTGCACCGGATTTTCTGGAGATTTTCACATTTGTGCCCAAAATTTTTTTATTGATTTTCACATCATTTCAGAAATGGCCGCCGAATCAGCCACAACGGAGACTGTCGAAAAGAAGGAGAGCGGCGAGGAGATTAAATTGAAACAAAACGGAGATGTTCAGGTGAGGCGATTACGGGTAAAATTGTGTAAAATTTGTTTGATTCGCGTCAGGTGCCGACAGAGTCTGAGCAAAAGAGGGAACAGGAGGAGGATGAGCCGGCGCCAGCCAAGAAACGGGATGCGAATGCGAACGATGAAGAGGAACTAGAGGAGCAGGAGCAAGGTAAGGCCTTCAAGTGCAAAAAGGCAAGAAAGAGAAGTTGCACCAGTTAGTTTTGTACCAAAACGGTCATTTGCTTGAGTGTAGCGCGCTCTTGCACTGCGCCGCACGCACAGCTTTTTCACTGCGACTCCAGGGCGCATATATTCTGGCTCACCGCTGCCAAATATCAAACATGAGAACATCAGTTTTTGCAGAAGAAGGCGGCGAAGAAGGCGAAAAGAATCTGGACGACGATCAAAATGTGGAGAATCCGGCGTATATTCCGAAGACTGGAAGATTCTACATGCACGACGACGGCCGCCTCGGAGACACCGTTCAACATCCCGATCTGGAGGCGTGAGTTTTCAGCTTCGAAGAGCACAAAAATTTTTGGCATTTTGCAGTGAGGATCTACGGAAAGCGATGAAAAAGAGCCGCGCGGACGGCGACTGGAAGCACGATCGATTCGACGAGAAGTTTCAGCGACCGAAGACGAAAAAGCAGATTGTGACCAAGTACGGATTCGATATTCGGCACAAAGAGGGCGAGACGGAGGAGGAGGTGCCCGAGTCGACGGAGGAAGAGTCTTCGGATGCAAAGGCCGCGGCGCGGCCGCAGAAGGATCGGAGAGTGGCGACGAGCAATCCGACAAAGGGCGGAACGAGACGGCCGATGAAGCAGAGGGAACGGGAGGATACGGTCGACGAGTCGGAGGGCGGAGAAGGCGGAGAAAAAGAGGAAGAGGAGGAAGAGGAGACTCGGCCGGCACAGAAGAGACAGGTCAAGATTCAGCAGCAGCAGCCGAGGGAGGAGAAGCCGCCCAGAAAGCCAAGTGAGTTACCGTCGATTCAGAGCGATTCATCTTAGTTGCCGGTAGAGATAACAAAAAATTGTCAACAGAGAGAATGTGCACAAAGTCCTTCTGAGCATTTCCTTAGTTGACAATTTTTCGATAGCTCTACAGGCACACGGCGCGGCTTTCACAACATACGCAGCCAAATAGTATGCATTTTTGCGCGTCGGTGTGGCTCTGCGTACAGTGCATTTTATGTTGCGCGCAAAGTTCATTTTTTTTAGTTGTTGATGAATTTTCTCCAAATATTCATCTCTTTAAAGCGTTTTTCTCTGCTTTCTACCGCATTTAGACTTTTTCACAGATTCCAGATGATGTAATACGCGAAAAGAAGTCGATGCGATGAAAAGAAACGCGTAAGTAAATGGAAGTAATGTTTTATTCAGAAAATATACGATTTCTCGAAAAACGTCTCTAGATCTTGTAATCTTTTGATTTAAAAAGTTCACTAACATGACTGTGAATGTCTTCGAATCAAAAAAAGTAGAGTGGCAGCTCGCTTTCGCGTAAAAATTGGTTTTTTGCCGGAAAACAGTGTCATTTCGTTGAAAAAAATTGTTTTCTCAAAAACCGTCTCTAGATTTTCTACTTTTTTGTTTAAATAGTTCACTTACATGACTGTGAATGTTTTCAAACCAAAAAAAATTAGAGTGACAGTTCGTAAAAGCAAAAAAAGGTTTTTCCGCAAAAGCGAGCTGCCACTCTACTTCTTTTTGGTTCCAAAATATTCTCAGTAGTGTAAGTAGCGTTTTTTAACTAAAAGATTAGAAAATCTTCGAGAAATCGTGCATTGTCTGAATAAAACCTTGCTTTCACTTACTTACGCGTTTCTTTTCATCGCATCGACTTCTCTTCGCGTATTACTTCACCTGGAATCTGTAAAAAGGTCTAATTGAGTTAGAAAGTGGAGAAAACGCTTTAAAGAGATGTATATTTGGAGAAAATTCATCAAAAACTAAAAAAAATGAACTTTGCGCGTAACATAAATTGCACTGTACGCAGAGCAACACCGACGCGCAAAAATGCACAGACTGAGGAACAAACGTTTGGTGAACGTCGCTAAAGCCGCGCCGTGAGGCAGCTGAGATATATCGCCTTGCAACAACGTGGCTATCGCACGGCGACGATTTTGCAGAACAAGCCGCGCCGGCAACGAGCGAAGAAGGAGAGGCAGAAGAAGAAGAAGAGGACGAGGACCGCGCGATCCGACGCGGACAACGACGAACGGTTCCGGTGCGTCGTGGCACCGGCGTCGGTCCGACCTCGCGTCTACGCGGCCGCATGAGTCACCCGCTCGCGCCGCCGCGCCGATCTCCCGGCGGAGCAGCAGCAGCACCGCCACGCGGACCACCGAGGAACGGCCGTGAGGAAGCACATCGGTCGCCGGCCTCGCGAGCACCCGCGTACCGACGCGACTACAGTAATACGCACGCGGATCGGCACGACGATCGCTTCGAGAATCATCGGCGCGGAGTGATCCGGGGAGCGTCGCGCGGCGTGCAGAGCCGCGGATTCTCGACTCGTGGCGGAGCGGTCCGGGGATCTTCAGGACCTTCCAGGGGCCACAACGGTTTCGCGACAAGACCCCAGGGATCGGCGGCGGCGAGAAGAACGGAGACGTCGGAGCAGAGCGAGGGCTATCAGCGCGGATCGGGCACCGACTTCTCTTCGCCCCGTTCACAACATCATCCAGCGACGACACGTGGCACCTCCTCCACGTTCCCCGCACCGTCCGGAGGAGGTGCGTATCGTGGCGGATCGGCGCCGCACCCGTCCGCCAACGTCTACCCGCCACGTGGCGGATATTCGAACGGTGGTGGCGAGTATGTGCCACGTGGCGGTTATCATGGACATGCACACCCGCCTCCACCACCACCACCGCCACAACACCACCACCATCATCACAACAACAAGCGATTCGTGCAGCCGGGACCGCCGCCTCCGCAGTCGATGGGACCGCCGATGGTCGGCGTCGGAGTGGTGCCGCCGCCGCAAATGACACGTGGCGCCACGCATGGAGGACATGGCGGACATGGCGGACATGGCGGCGGTCAGCAGAGGATCCGGCAGCCCACCGACGTCGTCTATTTCGATCCGCAACAGCAGCAGGTGAGGAAAAAGTGTGCCATGGCCTAGAAAACGTGTGTTTGTTGAGTCATCAGTTTGACCAGACTGTTCGGGCTCCACAACGATCTGTTCAGGCGGCCTAGGCCTAGTTTTCATGTTCCGAAACCCTAGAAATCCAAATTTTGTCGAGTCTTGAGTCTGATCAGAGTTTTAGGCGTCTAAAAGGCAGAGTTGCCACGGGCCGGGCCGAAATTTTCAAAACTCCGGCCCGGCCCGGCCCGGTCGGCCCGGTTCAAAAAGCGGGAATCCAAATTTTGAACTATTGATTAAATAAAATGGTTGTTTTTCGTAGAACTAACGAATTTTGCAAGTATCGAGCATAAAAAAGAAATGTAGTTCTCAAAAATAGTTTTTATTGGCATCAAAGCAAAAAATTGAATCCGAAAGTTGGAAAAAAATGGCTAAAGAGCGCGCGCGACCGTAATGCCGGAGTGTCGTAGTTTTTTTTTTAATTTTGATCCCCGCAAAAAAAAAACGAAAAAATAGATTTTTTATAGATTTTCTGTTGCGTACCCTAGAAAACTCGCCGGTGGCCTAGAAATAACCGCAGTTCTCGTCCAAAATGCGCAAATTTTTCAGAGCAATCGTCAACTGCCGCCACGATCGAAAAAAGTGATTCCGATTGTGGACCCGAAGGACCAGAAATGAAACAAGCCCGAAAAAAAGATGGCTCTTAAATTATTCCTCTCTATTTTTCAGCCAAACCATTTCCTTTTCTCGACTACAATTCAAAAAATATATTTATTTAGCACCCCCCACCCACCACGCAAAAACCGCAAAAAAACCCAATGATATAATCTCCCTCCCTCTACACATTTTCATTGTATTTTACATTTTTTCTAAAAAAGGCCCCGCCTGCTTATGGTATGTATTTTGCTTAAAAAAGTGAATGCACAATGTTTTTTTGTTGTTTTGTTAACGCAAAAGAAAAGCAAATACGTTGTTCTTTGTCTGTCATTCAACACTTGTTTCTTTCACAGATAAAAATATTTATTTAAGAAGAAGATGTATGGCAATTAAAAGTAAGAATAATTTTTTTCAGCAAATTGCACAAGTCGGCGATCGAACATGATGACTTCCGGGATCCACGCTCGAGCCGTTCATCTGCAAAACAACCCCAATTTGAATGTTCGGCCGGCGGATTCTAGGCCACGGCCGCGCGTACATCTACACGATTTTTTCAATGATTTTCCGGAAAATGACGCGATTTTAATTGATTTTATTTGATGTTTGATATATTTTAACGTCCTTTCCGCTAATTTATTGTGTTGTTCATGCTTTAAAGGAATTTCCGCCGATTTTCACATCTAATTCGCGATTTTCGTCGATTAACATGCTATTTTTTCGCTTTTCTGCTTCTTGTCGTTCGATTACCTTTGGAAACGTTAATTTTTAGATGTATTACAGAGAAAATCGACGGAAATGCCATGAAAGCAAGACAACCAGAAAAGATGTATCGAGAAGCCAATAGAATCCATTGAAATCGTGTAATTTTCGGGAAAATCATTGAAAAACGTCGGTTAAATTTACGCGGCTCTTCGTGTCGAGACCCGCGCGGCCGAGCGATCATATCTTACCAATTTCCGTCCCGAATGATGATTGTTATTGTGATTCGCCGCCGATGCGCCGTTCTCCACTGTCAGAGTGTCCTTCGCGCCCTCTTCCTGATAAATCGTCTGATCGTGCAGCTCCATGTAGCCGTCTATCGTCTGCTCGCCGGCTGAAAACAAAGAGAGAAAGTGGTGGCCGCGTGGCCTAGAAGATTTCTAGGCCACCTAGGAAATTGAGTGAGACTACGTTTTCATGAGAGAATTATGCCTCTCTTTTCTCATTTCCGTCTATATACCTTTTGTCGGATTCTAGACCACCAGGCTAGACTGAGGCGATGGCCCAAAGTGTCTTGGTACTAAACTGAACCGGATTTCTTGGAGATTTTGACTTTATCTGGCCTAAAACTCTAGCCAACAAGGATTTCCTCTTCCACTTACATCTCGGCCTCGCGCACAACTCCCACACACTTTTGCGATCATTGCGCTCCAAGAAATACGTGTACATCATTCCTTTTCCCTGAAAAATGAGAAACGAGCAAAAAACTAGAGTAAGCGACAACGTGTGTACGGTACCCGGATTTCGGTGTTTCCGCGGTCGACGAACACATAACTCGGATTGGCCTTGAGCCCGTTCGCGCGGGCCGTCTCGCTCACGTGGATTTTGCACTGAACTCCGCACGCCTCCATCTTGTTCGCCACGTTCACCGTGTCGCCGAACAGACAATATCTGAAAGTGGCCTATGGTAGGATTACGGTAGAATTGCGGCACCTCGGCATCTTGATTCCGACCACCCCCGCCACGACTGGGCCACTGTGCACGCCGAGTCGAATCTTGATCGGTTTGTGAGTGATTGGCGAGAGAACGAGTTTCGATTCCATGAGCATTCCTTGAAAAATATGTATTACTGTACATAGAGCTACTGTAGAAATACTACTGTACCAATAGAAATGTTGAGCACTCGTTCGGCGTGGTTCTCACAGTGTTCGGGCACACCGCCGACAATCATGTAGGCGTCGCCGATCGTCTCCACTTTGTAGGCGTCGTGCTAATAGAGAGAGAGAGACGAATTACGGTAACTAGGACTGGGGCCTAGATCAGAGATGTTGGGAATAAAAATTTTACTCTACGGAACACGGAACACGGAAAACGGAAATTTTTTTTTTCGGAACACGGAACACGGAAATTTTTTTTTTTACGGAACACGGAACACGGAAAAAATATTGAAAAAAACGCGGAACACGGAACACAGAAAAAACTTATTTCTACGGAACATGGAACACGGAACACGGAAATTTTTTTTTTATAGAACACGGAACACGGAAAAAATATTCGAAAAAAACGCGGAACACGGAACACGGAATTCCCAACATCTCTGGCCTAGATTTCAGAAAACTTCTGGAAATGTAGTCCCCCCGGGTTACTGTAGAACTTACGAGGCCGACGAGTCGATCGAATCGCAAATAGAGATCGTTTAGGAGAGTGACAACATCGTACGGAGTACACATGGCACAAATGTTTGTGAAAGTGACAATATCGGTGAAGAGCAGTGTGCAGTCGATGAACTCTTCTGGAAATGCGGAGGATGCGAGGGCGCACATTTTGATATTGTTAATTTATACGGGACACCGTTCAGGTATCATGTATTTCAGAGTATTTATGTCGCGTCCAAAGTCTCGGAAAACCGGCAAATCTCGCCGATTTTGCAGTCCAAAGTCGGCAGAAATTTGCGGGAAATGCGGGGTGCGCACAGCTGAACGAGTGTTACCGTACACCATAAAAACTACGGTATTTTTTTTGAAAAATTTACCCAAGAAATTTGAAATTTTTTTCAAATATTCTCGAGAAATTTCAATTTTTTTCAAAAAAACACCGTTGAAAAATTTACCCAAGAAATTTTAAAAATTGCAAATATTGTCGAGAAATTAAAAATTTTTTTTCAAAAAAATACCGTTGAAAAATTTACCCAAGAAATTTTAAAAAAATTTTAAATATTCTCGAGAAATTTAAATTTTTTTCAAAAAAATACCGTTGAAAAATTTACCCAAGAAATTTTAAAAAAATTTCAAATATTCTCGACAAATTTAAATTTTTTTCAAAAAAATACCGTTGAAAAATTTACCCAGGAAATTTGCAAATTTTCAAATATTGTCGAGAAATTTAAATTTTTTTATTTTTTTATTTTTTTGAAAAATTTACCCAAGAAATTTGAAAAATTTTCAAATATTCTCGAGAAATTTAAATTTTTTTCAAAAAAACACCGTTGAAAAATTTACCCAAGAAATTTGAAAACTTTCAAATATTGTCGAGAAATTTAAATGTTTTATTTTTTTATTTTTTTGAAAAATTTATCCAAGAAATTTGAAAAATTTTCAAATATTCTCGAGAAGTTTAAATTTTTTTTCAAAAAATACCCTAGTTTTATGGTGTACGGTAACACTCGTTCAGCTGTGCGCATCCCGGATTTCCCGCAAATTTCTGCCGATTTTGAACTGCAAAATCCGCAAGATTTGCGGGTTTTCCAAGACTTTGGACGCGGCATTAGCGAATTTTTCGTAGAAAACAGCGTTTTCGGGCCATTCAAACGACTCTCCGTCTTTTTCGGTTCTGCGTCGATCCGTGCAACAACATGCATACGCTTGGGGATTTGTTAACCATTGCCTACAGTAATTCCGCTCGCCCTTCTCTAGCCCGCTTCCGATGCCGATCTCCTCCTCTTGCCCCCGCCCGAGTAGAACATCTCGAACAACCAGTTGTGTGTTGCAAACACCGTTTCGCCGCCTGCTCCTTCGCCCTTTCCGCCCATCTCTCGAGAGTGTCGTCGGTCGTTTCTCGCCGTCCGCGTCGCCTCCTCCCACGCACTCTCTCGCCTGATGGGTGGCCGTCGAGGGACGGCCCGCCCGTCGTGTTTATCGGGCCTTTGCGCACGCACGCAACACTCCTCCCCCCCCACAGTCCACAGGACACGAAAACGAAGGCTTTCTTTATGGGCTCACCATCGCCTTAGACTCGCGTCGGGTTACTATTATTACTTCATATTCTATCCATCTAGTCCCCTTATATATATAATCATCAAAAAATGCAACACGAGGATTATGTCAAAACCCAGTGGTATCTGCGCCATTTGCTCGAGACCGATCGGAAGATTGTTGGAAGGTTAGTGCTACATTTTCTGATATTGGCTAGAAAATGCGTGGGGGCCCAAAGGGCTCGGGTCCAAGCCCAATTCACAAATCTAGGCCATAACCCCAGAATTAAACTTGTGAAGTATGATGCTGTTTTCACTAGGCACCACAACGCGATCGCGCTAATTGTTAGGCTTGGGGAGGGTGTAATTGGATGTTTACTGGAAAGGCCGTCTCGCATTGAACTACGGTAAGCCTAGCGACCATTTTTATGAGATATGGGCAACTACAATGTTGTTGAGCACCAAATTTACAACAACTTTCAATCATCGGTCCTCGAGATGCAGTTCTTTAAAAAAAGTGCTTTTCAGAAAACGTCGCGACGTGCAACGGCTCATTCATCAGTACCTGACGGTGCCTGAAGACGCGAACCCGCTCGCCGTGGTGCCGTCGAAACCGCGTCGGATCCTGTTCCGCGACGAAGTCACCTCCGAACCGCTTTCCTCGTCCGCCAACGCCAGACACGTGCCCCGTGTTCGTCTGGATTGGGACGCCAATTGGCCGTCGATGGAGTCGTTCTATCAGCAAATGTCGCTGGCGATGGGCTCGCTGACCAACTCGGAACTCGCGTTTGCAATGTGTAACCCGACGAAACAGATCACGTTTCATCGCGAGGATCCGGTGAAGAAGAAGGAGTTGGAGGACGAGATGAAGGACTGGCTGCCGAAAGTGGGCCAGAGCATTCTCGGCGCGAAGAACAAGTTCCACGAGTATTATCCGCCGGTGAAGCCGATCATTCGCAATAAGGAGAACATCGTCTGGGGCCCACAATATCGGCATTTGGACGTGAAAACGTTGCGGACGGTGATGGAGCACGAGCTCGCCGAGCTCGGAATGACCCGAATCCAGAAGATGGTGTGCAGCGCGTGCTGTTGCTACTTCCCCTCCAATCAGCTGTTTCTCGTGAAGGAGAAGTCGGTGGCCAAGTGCACCGCCTGCTGGGACGCCCGAATTCTGCGCCGTCCCACCCAGACGCTCTTCGATCTGCTCGTCGTCGGAATCGCCGAGAAGTGGGCCGAGATGGTCGGGAAACGGATCGCGTTTTTGTACGGCGAATGGGATGAGCGCCTGACGCCGATGGTCCGGATGCTCAAGGAGAATGTGCTGCTCGCCGGCGAGATTGCCGCACTGCTCAAGAGTTGCAATGATCCGGAGGAGTTGGCGGACGCGTGTGAGGCGGTTAGTTAGTTGGGCCTAAGAGTGGCCTAGGAACTAAGGATTCGACTGAGAACGCTTGTAACCTGTCAGAAAATGACGTTAGACTAATGCCTTGATGACTTGGATAGAATTTTATTGGAAACCGATTCTTGTGGCCTAGAAACTCATAGGAACGGCCTAGGATCCCACAGAAACCAATTGTGACAAGCTAGATGCATCTTTGATGATTTTTCCAACATTGTTCGTTTCAGATCATCGTGACCACAATGGTTTTCTACCTCGAGTACATTGATTTTCGTCGAAGCTGCGAAGCGCTAATGAGCATGAAACCCGACGTAACGTACGAGCAACTCTTCAACATTTTCGCAATCTATTTCCCAAATCGGGCGAAAAACGTCAAAACTGGTGACTTTTTGTGATGATCTACTCCTACCTGAAATCTCGTTTTCCACCCTCTACTTGTACCACTCTTTGCAGCACGGATTTGCATGTTCATATGATAATAATAATAATAATAAAAATAATAAAATGTGATGACCCACTTGCGTCCATCGTCTTTCCGCTCCGCAGCGAATCGGCCACAGAGGCGGGCATCAGCTCGCACAGCAACTCGTCCGTTTTCTGTTTTTCAACCTCGAGCTCCTGAGCCATTTTCTTGAGTTTTTTGGTCGTTTCTTCGAGAGTTCGACTAAAAAGGATCATGGGGAAATACCGTTAGTGCTATTCAAAACGTTATAGCGAAGCTGTATGTGAAAATATGAAAAAGTTGTCAATTGCAAAAATCTGTAAAATGTCATTTTGAGCATCTTTTCAGTTGACAACTTTTTGATATCTCCACTGGAAACCGAGATATAGTGTCCCGGAATAAACAGTACTTGGCAAAACTCACTTCAGCTCCACCTGACTCATTCTGCTCTGATTCAACATGATGACGTCACGCGTACCGTCGTGACGTTGCATATCCGACAGATGAAGGTTGCGTTCGATCAACTCACGGACCTAGAACGATTACTGTACAAGTAGAAGCATCTGGAATTTTTTCCCCCGATTACTGTAGTGACGTTGACGGAGCACATGTACAAAATGTACTTTCCCTCGTCGATGAACACCATCGATCCTTTGAGAAGTACACTTTTCGCGTCGTCCGCCGCACTCTCATGGACAATATCGCCGACGCCCTGGAAGAGTTTGCGTTTTCTCGGCCACGGCCACGGCCACCGTCACCTACTTTCAGCCGAAAGACAAACAACGAATTCTTGTAGTATTTAATGGATTCGTAGGAGAATGGCACTTCCGGATGCACCAATTCAAGCAAATCTGTCACTCGAGTCTCTTGACGGCACGCGTTTGGAAAGGTTTTCTGCAAGACATTGGAAAAAGATGGAGGAATAGTAGGAGGAGTGTGAGAGACCTTTATGAAATTGCCAAAATGCTCCAGAAAGAGGTCCGGGTCGAAGCAGATGTGATACGGAAAAGCGATGGCGAAATCCGAGGACGAGATCTCGTAGATTCCCTAAACTATGACACTCTCAATGTGAAACTTTGGCCAGCTCCCATCTTGGCCTAGCTTTTCCTCTTCTACCAGCTCTGCATAACTTTTGTCTTCTATGCCAGACACAGTTCGAGAAGGAAGAGCTGGGTGACCTGACTTTCTCCTAGGCCACGACGACCAATAGTGTAGAAAGGGGCGTGGCCTAATCTGAGACGCGTTTTCTGAAAATTGCCGCAATTCCAGCACACTTTTCCGCTATTTTTGTGTTTGATATCGACGAAAGAAGACAAAGAAAGAGAGAAAATATCGAAATTTTCGTGAAAACGCCGCGTTTGAGACGTTTTTGGCATATTTCGCAATACGCTCTCCGCCGCAATTTCGGAATTTTCATACCGGTCCATCTGGATAGTTTTGAGACGAAGTGAGTGTCGGAAGTGATAAAGCACGTTAATACAAGTATTTTAAGCGTTCAAACGGCAAAAAGTATCGGAGAATGCACGGTCTCCCACGGCGCGAATGATTTCAATGGGGCGCACTTGCAACAGACGGGCTGTGTCGATTTACGCGGCGGCCGATTAATTAATTTTCAACGGGAGTTTGCATTCTTTCCATATCGTTGAGAATTAGCCGAGTTATTTCGATTTGAAGGTTTTGGCCTGGATTTTGATGTTTTTCGAATAATTTTTGAAAATTGCTCAATAAAACCAACCGCCGGAACCTGAATTTTGTGAAGAAAGATTCAGCGAACATTTTTATCGTTCGTTGGGCTCATGAAATGCAAAATGAGCTGAAATATAAAGGTTTGAAGTTTTGACGAAATGCGAAAAACATGAAAAACTCTAAATTGTGTAAAGAACGGTTTCCAATCAGTAAAATATTGTTTTCTAGACGTTTTTCAAGTCAAAAAGATAGAAATAAAGGTCGTAAACTCGAATTGAACTCCATTTTTAGACCTGCAAATTTTCAAAAGTTACAACGACACTCCGCAATTTATGAGCGCACTGTGTTTAGCATTAGCGCCCCCTGGGAGACCGTGGAATGACTGAAATTCTCGCATTTTCAGCACAAAAATTGAAAATCGATTCAATTGATTCATTCTCTGAATGAAACCTTCTCGTTTTAAGCTCATAAAGTGCGCGATGATTAGTTTAACAAAGTTATGCAGTTAAATAGTACAAAATTAGGGTAATTTTTGACAAAAAACATGAAAAATGCGGTTAAATTTCGAATTTCGCGCCAAAACGGTGCACGCTAGGCCCCACGCCCCTTTCTACGCTTTTGGTCGCCGTGTAGGCCACCAATCCCTCACCGTGGTCAAATCGATCTGCGAGTCGGACTTTGACGAGATCGCCTTCTGCACACTGTTCGCATTCTCGATCTGCGTGATCACAAAAACGACGTGCTCGGTGACGAAGGCGTCCAAATGCTCCTGTTTGCGCTCTTGCACCTTCATCACCACTTCCGTGTCGTAAATTCGACGCGCCACCTCTCTCACGACGCCTGCAATGCAATGCATGCATCGGAATGCGTTCTCGGCGCCACTTTGGTACCTTTGACGATCGGATACAGCCCGCTGCGTTTCGAGTAGTAGTGCAGCAAAAGTGTGCCGTCCGCCTGGACATCGCACCGAAAAGACGGACCGCGAAGTTTGGTCTTGTAGACGACGTGATCGATGAAATAGTGAAGAGAATCCAGCGAATCCAGAAAGCCCTGAGAGGTATCAGAGCTTTAGTTTTTTTTTGCGTGTACTTTGGGCGCGGCACACCTCCAAATCCGGCGCCATTGCTCTCAGCAACTCGTCCCAACCGGTCTCCATCGTGAATTGGATCAAGAAGCCGCCGTAAGCCTCCCAGATTTCTTCGATTGGAATTCCTAATTATCATAAACGTGTTTAGAAACAAAAAAAAACCCCCTCAAAGCCCCAGAATACCAATAACATTCGCCATTGCATTCACAATTCGCAAAGTCTCATCGTCGTTGTAATAGTGCGCAATTTCGTTTTCCGTTCCCAACTCGAACTTGGCCATGTGGCTGAAAACGGATGGGAAATGAATGGCACCATAGAGGACGAAAGTTTGCAACTTACACAATCTTCTCCCAAATATCCTTGCCATACTTTCTCGTCACCAATTGCCGAAAACTTTCGTGAATCCAACCAAACTGTAGGCACTCACACTGTTTTTTTTTTGAAACCTTTTTGAAACACAATTCTCACCATTTTTTTTCAAAAAGACGGGGCGGAAAAGTGACGACGCGGAATACGAAAGCAGTAGGTTGTGTGTGTGTGTGTGGAAATGTAAAAGTGAGGTGCCGGAGCCGAAGCGACGAAGGAAGGAAGGCAGGAAGGAAGGATTGCGTGTCGGAGAAGCATTAGCCATTCGACACATATATACACATTCGCATGATGATAACCTGGAAACGGGGCGATGATATGCGGAATTGCTGATGATGACCGACGACGGGAGGAGGAGAAGCAGTAGAAGACACGGGACGATGCATGAAACTTGAGATCCAGAGGATGGAGTTGAGGTGGCACGGTCTCCAGAGCTTACAATGGGCGCGCAAGTGCGTCCCGCCTAATCGAACGATACATTGGCGCGAAATTCAAATTTTAACAGCAAAATTTGTGTTTTTTGCCAGATTAGCCACGAAAAATCGATAATTTCTCATTTGCCACTCGATAGACCGATTGTATAGGCTATTACGAATTTTTTAAGCGCAAGAGCGTTAAATTTGGTCAAGTCGCAAATCACATTTATCCGTTTGAAGGTTTTTGGCTAAAACTGCGTGAATTTCAGTTGCTTTTCGGTAATTTTCGCTTTTTTTTTAAATCAAGAATTGTGCTCCCCCGATTGAAGTGCACATCACGTTTAGAAAGTGTTTGAGACAAGTATCTGGGAGAAGTGCAACTTTTATTGAAATCCAACGTCATGCTTTATGCTTCATAAACGTTTCGGTTGCAAAATGTCTGGTTCACGGTCTCCAGAGCTGACAATATGGGCGCGTGGCCTCGGCGAAATGGCGTTTTTATGAATTGAGCACGTTTTCTCTGATTTTTGTGATCAACGACGATGAAAAATGATTGTTCCGCATGAAAACACACTAATTCTCAGAATTAATGACGTTTTGGCGCATTTTTCGCGGATTTCGCTTTTTCGCCTTCTCATTTTGCGCTTTCTTGACCGTTTTCCGACAGAATTGGTTTTGAGAATGATAAATCACGTAAATACAAGCATTTTGAGCGCTCGAACCGCGAAAATTACCGAAAAGCAACTGAAATTCACGCAGTTTTAGCGAAAAACCTTCAAACGGATAAATGTGATTTGTGACTTGACCAAATTTGCCGCTCTTGCGCTTAAAAAATTTGTAATAGCCTATACAATCGGTCTATCGAGAGACAAATGAGAAATTGGCGGTTTTTCGTGGTTAATCTGGCAAAAAACACAAATTTCGCTGTTAAAATTTGAATTTCGCGACATTGTATCGCTCTATTCGGCGCGGGGCGCACTTGCGCCCATTGTAAGCTCTGGAGACCGTGACCGGTTGCAAAAACGTTAAAGTTTATTAATATTCGCTACCATCCTTCTTCTTCTTCTTCTTATTCTTCTTCTTCTCAACTTCCCATCGTCACCGTCTTATCCTTTCCCTTTGCATTCTTCTCCTTCTTCTGATCCGGACGCATGATGATGAACGAGCACACCTGAAATACGGACGTTTCGCAACCAACTCCCCCCTCTTTCGTTCTCTCCATTTTACCATGTTCTCGTCGACCAACAGCACGGCGCCGGCGTTGTCGAATTGTCCGCAGTAGGCGGGCGCCGAGAAGATGGTGACGAGTTGGCGATCGGCGAAAAACTCGTAGCCGTCCATGACGACCTGGTGCGCGCGGACGATTAGCTCGAGGTTGTGCATCGCGAGGAACTGACGGACGGCGTCGGCGCCGAACGATCGGCCGGCGCCACGTGGCGAGTCTCCGTACCCGTGCGTTTTCTCGTCCGGATCCGCCCACGTCAGGTCCGCAATCACTCCAATGTCGGGGATGTCGCACGGGCGGTCCACTTTTTCGAGTTGTCTAAACGGAAGCCTCGTTTGAAAGCGGCGCAAGTTGCGAGATGCTGAAACGTACGCCAAATCGATGAGATCCTCGGAGATGCCGCCGTGCATACATATGATTTTGTTGCTGACGACGGCGCAGAGCGGCATGCAGTAGAAGGCGAGCTGGTAGGCCTCGTAGAGAGCGGTCGAGTAGCGTTTGTGACACTCGAGATAGAAGCCGTACTGCATGTTGACGGGACGCGATTCGTGGTTGCCACGCAGCAAGAACACCTTGTCCGGATAGAGCAGTTCGAGGGCGAACAACATCGAAATGACCTCGATCGAGAACGGGCCGCGGTCGACGTAATCGCCGAGAAAGAGGTACTTGACGCAGCGATCCGAGTTGTCCGACGGCCAGCCGTTGAGCTCGAACAGCGCGAGCAGATCCTCGAACTGTCCGTGCACGTCGCCGCAAATGCTGATCGGCACCTCCACGTCCAGCTTCACATTGTTCTTCCAGAAGTGCTCGCGCGCGCGGTAGCACAACTCGATGAGCTCTTTTTCAATGAACAACTTTTGACAATTTCCGGGACTCCACGTTTTGAGACGATCCACCACCGTGTTTAACCACGCCACAACTTTTTGCTGAATTTTAGAGGTGTGGGCGAGATTGTCGAGGAGAATATTGATGGATGGAATACCTTCTGACGATCACTTCCTGGCGTTTTTGGGCCCGGAGCCGGTGATTCGATGGTTCCGACCATTGCGAAATAAAGTTTTTTTCGCGTTTAAACAAAAGCACGAGGGTTTTGGGGGTTACACGGCGACCAAAAACGTAGAAAGGGGCGTGGCCTAGCGACGTGCACGGTTTATCACCGTTTTGGCGCGAAATTCGAAATTTAATCCTATTTTTCATGTTTTTCGTAAAAAATTACTCAAATTTTGTACGATTTCGACCATGTAATTGCATAATAACTTTGTCAAACTAATCATCGCGCACCTTTTGAGCTTAAAACGAGCAGGTTTCATTCAGCGAATGAATCAATTTAATCGATTTTCAAATTTTGTGCTGAAAATGCGCGAATTTCAGTCATTCGCCGATACTTTTTGCCGTTTGAACGCTTAAAATACTTGTATTAACGTTCTTAATCACTTCCGACACTCACTTCAGCTCAAAACTATCCACATCGGCCGGTATGAAAATTCCGAAATTGCGGCGGCAATTGGCCGCGGAGAGCGTATTGCGAAATATGTCAAAAACGTCTCAAACGCGGCGTTTTCACGAAAATTTCAATATTTTCTCTCTTTTTAATGTCTTCTTTCGTCGATATCAAACACAAAAATATCGGAAAAGTGCTGGAATTGCGGCAATTTTCAAAAAACGCGTCTCAGATTAGGCCACGCCCCTTTCTACACTTTTGGTCGCCGTGGGTTAGGGAAATTTATCGATTCGAAAAGTCAGTATTCATTCTAGTAGGTTCTACGTATCCCTGCGAAATCAGTTCAATTCTTGTCTTCCGATTCGTCGCGCAGCTGGCGCTGAATCTCTCGTCTGATCTCCTCGCAAATCTTCCGATTACTTCCCGGCCGCAACTTCACATTCCACACGTTCGTCGGCGTCGTTTCGGTGTCCGGAATCGCGGCACGACGTCTGTGTGAAGTTTCGTAGAATTCCCTTAACGTGAATCTATCTCGAAGAAGAGCTTACGGAGTGTGCAATCCGTCGTCGCCGAGCACAATCGTCGAGTTGGAATGCTCGCCGGACGCCGAAAAGCGTCCCAAAGTGCGGATGGTTTGACGCGAATCCACTGTCTGCGCAGAAGCGTCGGCGTCAAAGTCGAGCGTGCGATTGAAGTGGAGAATCGATCGGCGATGGGTGCGGCCCGTCGAAACTGGCGAGATTTGGTCAAAGTTGAAGCTGGGCATGCGCGAACGGACCGTTCCGTTCATGTCGCTCACGTCGGCCAGGAAGCCACGCTCGTTCTGAGACAGCACCGTTTGCAAGCTACCAAAAAACTACAGAAACTCACCGTCGACTCATCCATATAAATCGAGGTGTCCAGGAACGTCGACGCTTCGACGATGGCTCCGATTCGTGACGGTGACGAGAGCGAGTGACGGTCGACTTCCATCGGAGAGCCGCGGAGCATGTTGAGCCGCGATTTGGAGGTTCTGAACACACACAAATGTCTTCTTTTCGAATTCTAGACTACCTGGAGAGACGGTTGCGATGGAGGAGCATCGAGTCGTTGAGCAGCGGCGACATGCACTGGCTCATCGGCTTCTCGTATTCGTCGCGAAGATTCTTGAGCAATTTCAGGTATTCCTCGACTTGACTCACCGTAATATCGATCGCTTTCTCGCCGAGAAGCGGCAAATGCGCGGCGGTGCTGTGGCCGATCACCTCCAGAACGTTCTCGATCGTCTGCGAGTAGGCCTGAAATCAGAAATGATGGAGAAAAAATATGAAGAAGAATAAACCGACCGTTTCCATTTGCTCAAGACTCATTTTGTGTTGGCGACGTCTTGATTTTCATATTGAATCGAACAACGAAAGAATGAACTGAACTCGATAAATTGTTCTCTTTTGTTTTGTTTCATTTTCGCGTGAAAACGAGATTTTGAACGCGCGTATTTAGAGTCACTCACGGTGATTCTTTGCGCGGCCGCACCGCGGTCTCCCACTCGGCGCGAATGATTTCAATGGGGCGCACTTGCAACAGGCGGCCTGTGTCGATTTACGCGGCCGCCGATTAATTAATTTTCACTGGCCGGCTCTTGCGGCTTTTCAATTTCAGGAGAAACTTGCTCTGGCTCTGGCTTCGGCTTTTTGAATGCATCAACTGGCGGCGAAATCTCTGGCTCCACGTCCACGACTGGCTGCTGAAAACATACCACTACCATCACGAACCACAACATTTATAGAAAGAAATGCGACACAGAGAGCAGTGGACACGCACGGTCTCCCAGGGGGCGCTAATGCTAAACACAGTGCGCTCGTAAATTGCGGAGTGTCGTTGTAACTTTTGAAAATTTGCAGGTCTAAAAATGGAGTTCAATTCGAGTTTACGACCTTCATTTCTATCTTTTTGACTTGAAAACGCCTAGAAAACTATATTTTACTGATTGGAAACCGTTCTTTACACAATTTAGAGGTTTTCCTTTTTTTAGCGTCTTTTTCGCATTTCGTCAAAACTTCAAACCTTTATATTTCAGCTCATTTTGCATTTCATGAGCCCAACGAACGATAAAAATGTTCGCTGAACTTTCTTCACAAAATTCAGGTTCCGGCGGTTGGTTTTATTGAGCAATTTTCAAAAATTATTCGAAAAACATCAAAATCCAGGCTAAAACCTTCAAATCGAAATAACTCGGCTAATTCTCAACGATATGTGAGATTTCTGTTACCAAAACGTAGCTAGTGCTCTAATTATTCGACGACAGGTTCCAAGCGTACAAAACTATAGGTGTATTGTACAGAAAACATGGAAAGAACGCGGCCTCCCGTTGAAAATTAATTAATCGACCGCCGCGTAAATCGACACAGGCTGCCTGTTGCAAGTGCGCCCCATTGAAATCATTCGCGCCGAGAGGGAGACCGTGACACGTGGATTTATAACATCTAAGTTACGTAAGTTGGCCTAACCTGCAAAACTTCGACAACTCCATTCAACCCTTTTCAGTTCCGAGAGCTTTGTTTTTTTCAGAGTTCATTCATTGGCAACATTCAAAGCTGAAACCTTTGCAATTGTTGCCCGACAATTCAAATTAGCATGAGAGCATCAAAGTTCTGCTCGAAAATGGGCGTCGCCACAAGTTCTTCTTTTTTCCTCTTCTCATATTTGCATGTATGTGTGTAAACTTTTAAATGTATGATTTAAGTGTAAATGTATTTTAAATAAAATGCTTTTTTTTCGCGAAATTCAAATTTCAACAGCAAAATTTGTGTTTTTTGCCAGATTAGCCACGAAAAACCGATAATTTCTCATTTTTCTCTCGATAGACCGATTCTATAGGCTATTACGAATTTTTTAAGCGCAAAAGCGTTAAATTTGGTCAAGTCGCAAATCACATTTATCCGTTTGAAGGTTTTTGGCTAAAACTGCGTGAATTTCAGTTGCTTTTCGGTAATTTTCGCGGGCGCTCAAAATTCTTGTATTTACGTGATTTATCATTCTTAAAACCAATTCTGTCGGAAAACGGTCAAGAAAGCGCAAAATGAGAAGGCGAAAAAGCGAAATCCGCGAAAATGCGCCAAAACGTCATTAATTCTGAGAATTAGTGTGTTTTCATGTCGAACAATCATCTTTTCATCGCCTTTGACCACAAAAATCAAAGAAAACTTGCTCAATTAATGAAAACGCGATTTGGCCGCCGAGGCCACGCGCCCATATTGTCAGCTCTGAAGAGACCGTGGCAGCTCTGTAAAATACGGTAGCCACGGAGTGTTGTAAGTCCGTCGGATCCATCTCTCATCCACCACTTAATCCTACGTGACGTTGTTGTTTTGCACGCTCTTTCGTCGCAATCATCAGAATCCTACAAAACCCCGTCTTCCGGCTTGTCAAATCCCTCTTGTTATTTCCTCGGTTGTCAAACTAAACATTGCTCACAGGAGCACTTTTTTTTTGATATCTTCACCAAAAGCGGAGATATGCGGCACCTGCTTCGTACCGTATTTCAGAATGTTCGCATGCCAAGTGACCGTGTACGATGTTGGGAATTCCGTGTTCCGTGTTCCGTGTTCCGTGTTCCGCGTTTTTTTCAATATTTTTTCCGTGTTCCGTGTTCCGTAAAAAAAAAAATTTCCGTGTTCCGTGTTCCGTAGAAATACGTTTTTTCCGTTTTCCGTGTTCCGTGTTCCGTATAAACTATATTTTCCGCGAAAAAATTCGATCACAAGTGGATTCCATTTTCAGTCGTTTTTTACTGTAGTTGTTTACTGTTGTGTTGTTGGTTTCGTTATTTTTATGAAATTTTCAGTAAAACTTTCACATGAGTCAAACAGCTGCCTTGTCAGTCAGATAATCGAATTAAACAAAACATTATTTTTTTAAAAATCACTGGAATTCTCTTGAAAACGCTTTTTTCCGTGTTCCGTAAAAAAAAAATTTTCCGTGTTCCGTGTTCCGTGTTCCGTAGAAATAAGTTTTTTTCCGTTTTCCGTGTTCCGTGTTCCGTAAAAAAAAATTTTTCCGTGTTCCGTGTTCCGTGTTCCGTAGAGTAAAATTTTTATTCCCAACATCTCTGGTGTACATCTAACTAATCATCAAAACCCCGATTGTAACTTTACTTTTTCCACTCGGCCAGACGAAACATTCCGTCTCGCTCATTATCTCGCGCTTCTTACATTTCTAATAATTCTCTTTCTGTTTCGTTGGCTCCTATCGATTCTGGGGGCCCGCGCGAGCAACTAGATAACGAGCTCCACGAGGCGAAACAAGAGGAAGCGCCCTTATTTTGCTCTTGCTCTCACGCGCCACAGGAAATGATGATGATGATGATGGGTTGTCATGACCACGTTTCGCGCTTTTGTTTACCGCCTTTAGTGCACTCACTCATGCGCTCGCTCATTTTGTCTCGACAGTTTTTGAACCCGGTTTTTGAACCCACCCGCGCAATAAAGGAACTTTCAGGATTGTAGTTGATTCGAGAGTTGTAGGCCCATCAGGAAGACTCCAATGGAAAAAAGGTACTGAGAACTAGGACTAGGACTAGCAATAAAAAGTGATCAGGGAGCGTCAAATCAGAAACCGTCAGGTACGAGCATTCAAGACGGTATATCTCAACTGTCTGAGGAGATATCAAAAAGTGGTCAACAAAAACATTGCTCAGGAGGACATTTTGCACATTTTATCTGTTGACAACTTTTTGATATCTCCACCGTCAGCTGAGAAACATCGTCTTGAACTGAGGAGTGCTTTCAGTCTATATCGTTGCTCAGCCGGAAACAGACAAAATGAACAAACGACGAATCAATCGGGCGGAGCTCGAAAATTTGCAGCCAGGAGTTGATGAGCAACAACGAGAAAAGAAGCTCAAACAAGAGCAGTCACAAGCCGAAATGCGCGAAAAGCAAAAAGAAGTGCTAAGGCTCATGATGTGGAAAGATCAAGAGGCCGTGAGCATGACCAACTCCTCCCCGGTCACCGCACCGACTTTAGCTGCCATGGTCCCATTGCACATTGGTATGTTCGGGTTTGGCGACTGGAAAACTAAACATTGTGATTCTTACAGATATTCCGCAAGTCAATTCACCACCTGAACACGGTAAGAAATAGTGTAAGCATTGGGATCATCCACGCCATTCGAGATATCAAAAAGATGTCACATCGTCTTGAATTTTCATTTCAGTGGGCGCCGCCGCACCTCAAGCGTCAACTCTGTTCGCGATTGCGAGAGCTCGCAGAGAAGGTAAACGCTTTTTCTTTTTCTCCTAATGAAACGTCATGATCACACGGTCTCCCAGGGCGCTAATGCTAAACACAGTGCGCTCGTAAATTGCGGAGTGTCGTTGTAACTTTTGAAAATTTGCAGATTTCTAAAAATGCAGTTCAATTCGAGTTTACGACCTTTATTTCTATCTTTTTGACTTGAAAAACGTCTAGAAAACAATATTTTACTGATTTAGAGTTTTTCATGTTTTTAAGCGTCTTTTTCGCATTTCGTCAGAACTTCAAACCTTTATATTTCAGCTCATTTTGCATTTCATGAGCCTAACAAACGATAAAAATGTTCGCTGAATCTTTCTACACAAAATTCAGGTTCCGGCGGTTAGTTTTCTTGAGCAGTTTTCGAAAACATCAAAATCCAGGCCAAAACCTTCAAATCGAAATAACTCGGCTAATTCTCAACGATATGCAAGATTTGAAAGAACGCGAACTCCCGTTGAAAATTATTTAATCGGCCGCCGCGTAAATCGACATAACCCGCCTGTTGCAAGTGCGCCCCATTGAAATCATTCGCGCCGAGAGGGAGACCGTGAAGCTGACAATATGGGCGTGGCGTCGGCGGCCAAATGGCGTTTTCATGAATTGAGCACGTTTTCTCTGATTTTTGTGGTCAAAGTTGATGAAAAATGATTGTTCGACATGAAAACACACTAATTCTTAGAATTAATGACGTTTTGGCGCATTTTTCGCGCTTTTTGCGCTTTCTTGACCGTTTTCCGACAGAATTGGTTTTGAGAATGATAAATCACGTAAATACAAGCATCTTGAGCGCTCGAACCGCGAAAACTACCGAAAAGCAACTGAAATTCACGCAGTTCTAGCCAAAAACCTTCAAACGAATAAATTTGATCTGCGACTTGACCAAATTTAACGCTCTAGCGCTTAAAAAATTCGTAATAGCCTATAGAATCGGTCTATCGAGAGACAAGTGAGAAATTATCGGTTTTTCGCGGCTAATCTCGCAAAAACACAAAGTTTGCTGTTAAAATTTGAATTTCGCGCCAATGTATCGCTCTATTTGGCGGGGCGCACTTTTCGCCTTCGCCTCCTGTAAACCGCACTTCTCATTTTGCGCTTTCTTGACCGTTTTCCGACAAAATTGGTTTTGAGAATGGTAAATCACGTAAATACAAGCATTTTGAGCGCTCGAACCGCGAAAACTACCGAAAAGCAACTGAAATTCACGCAGTTTTAGCGAAAAACCTTCAAACGGATAAATGTGATTTGCGACTTGACCAAATTTAACGCTCTTGCGCTTAAAAAATTCGTAATAGCCTATACAATCGGTCTATCGAGAGACAAATGAGAAATTAACGATTTTTCGTGGCTAATCTCGCAGAAAAACACAAATTTTGCTGTTAAAATTTGAATTTCGCGAAAAAAAAGCATTTTATTTAAATAAGCCTGCCCGGCATTCAAAACTTGACTGATTTCAGCCCAACGCGAACTGGAATTCAGAAATGCTTCGTCGCGAACGATTGTGCAGCCTCAACGCGATGCATCGAGTCACGACGACGACGAAATCGCGATCATCGGAGAGTGTCGGACACGTCACAACTTCTCCGACGAGTTCATGCGACTCATGCGTCGGGGTCATGCGGCCGCGACAATGCCGACTCCTCTCGTCGCCTCCTTATTGTCGTTGGTGAGTGGAAAACGTGGTCATTTTCTACATATTTTCTTCACGTTTCAGGAAGTGATTTTCGATCCACAGCTGCTGAAACAGGAGGTTCGTAGTGCTCCAGTTGTCCTCGTTCCCACGCCGCAGCTTGGCAAACCGTCGGGCGTTCCCCGCGCTCCATACTTCCAACCCTCTGATATTGTTCCGATCTTTCCCGACCTTCAAGGATCGGCTTTCTCGTTTGTTGTCCCCAGATCCTTTACTTCTCAAACCACCCATTCCCCGGATGTTCTCACAATACGCAACGAGACAGATCTTATGCTCGTTCTCGAGCTACTGATCGCCACTCCGTCTTCGAACGGCGCCAGCAAACAAGAGGCTTTTCTATGGTGGTGGATGCTGAATTCGAACAGAACGAGACAGAATCGGACAAGTGTGGCCCGGGCTCCGGCTCCAGATCAACATGACTATTCCTCCTTTGCTATGGCTCCGCCGCCGCTAGCACCACCAAACCGTAACAGAGCTCGAGGAGCTCAGCGCTCGGGCATGCGTGTGCTCACGTATCGTGAACCACCCGGTCAGAATGCTCCACGTCGTCGTCGTCGCGCCACCACCACCACCGCCCGGCGCCAAGCCGGAGAACCGCCGAGACTCCGAAGAGCTCAGTGATGTATATGTGTGAAATGTGCGCAAAACGAAGCACTTTGTGTAGTACTTGTGATCACCGAACCCCTTCTTTGTTACACTGCTTTGTTGATGCACCATGCAACAGTTTATGATGCACCATGTTTCAAAGTATTCATCACTCGATATATACCTCTAATAATCCACCTCTACCACTCCAATACTCATACCTCACTCATATTTTTCTTTGTGATTTCCCTAAGTCTATCTGAATCGCGCAATTATCTGTTTACAAATATTTGGCAGTTTATGATAAACACAATAAAGTTACCTACAACAAAGCGGCAATGTGTGTACAGTTCATTCATGGCAATATATCTCAGCGCTGTAAAGAGATATCGAAAAGTTGTCAACTGATGAATTAACAATCGAAACATGTTGTACATTTTATCAATTGACAACTTTTTGATATCTTCACTTGCAGCTGAGATATATCGGCTCGATAAGACCAAGAAAAGTTTTCAGCAAAGTCGGGTTTTCATCAACACGCACCAGGACGGTAATGTCCGAAATTCAGAGCAAACCCGAAAAAAAACGTGGCAATTATCATCGAATTAACAATAATCAAACGGTTGCTCGTCGTTTGGCCGAGAGACTCGTGCGCAACACCCGTCTATCGACCCAAGATCTCTACGAGACGTGCCACGCAATTATGTGACGGGCCGAACGGAATCGTATAACAAGAAAGAGGGGGGGAAGAGATAAACGGAACGGAAGAGACCGAGACGATCGATCTTTGGTCCGTTTTGCGGATGCTCAGTGGGTCGCAAAGGTCCCCCGACACATTTTCTTCTGTTCTTACAGACATTCACGCACCCTTTTTAGAGTATTTACCAGAGTTGAGCGGAATAACTCAACGGAAGAACACGGAAGAATTTTTATCTTTTTTAGAAAATTTTTTCATGAAATGTGATCAACTGACGAAATGTATAGCAAAATGAACTCTGCTCATAGAAAAATAATTGTAAATTTAACGTTTCATACAAAAAAGTTAAGGGCTAACCGAAGACGGAAGGACATTTTCACGCAACAACTCGAATAACTTTTTTGTATGAAAAGCTAAATTTGTAATTATTTTTCTATGAGCAGAGTTCACTTTGCTATACATTTCGTCAGTTGATCACATTTCATGAAAAAATTTTCTAAAAAAGATAAAAATTCTTCCGTGTTCTCAACTTTGGTATTTACACAGTTTATTGGAACATTTTCATGTACGCCTCTTATTTGATTGTCTTTTCTTCAAAAATTTGGTTAAAATTCTTCTTTTTTTCCAGTAAAAATGGCCTCAACCGGTGACCCGATCGGCAAGTTCCAATCGGCTCTGATCCAAGTGATCCTCACCGGAACCACCGATCCGCAAGACGTCTCCCTCCACGGAATTCCTCGAATTCTCTTCGACGCCGTCTCCGAATCTCTGCTGCACCTTCTCGAGTGGAGGATCCGCGCGACGTCGCCCAAAAAAGAGGTGCATCGGAGCATTTTGAAGTGGATCAGGAAGAGATTGTTGGCGGTTTTGGAGCGGAATTCGGATGGCCAAGGGACCGAGTTTAGCAGAAATGACGTGGAAGTGGAGATGATCCGGCTCTTCGAATATCTGGGAACTCTCACGTTCTCCAGAATTTTGTTTGAGAATCAAGGTAAGCGATCTCGTAGAAACATCAAAAAGTTGTCAATTGGGAAAATGTACAAAATGCCGTATCAGTTGACAACTTTTTGATATCTCTACTCGCAACGCACGGTCTCCAAAGCTGACAATTGGTGCAAGTGCGCCCCGCCGAATAGAGCGATACATTGGCGCGAAATTCAAATTTTAACAGCCAAATTTGTGTTTTTTTGCGAGATTAGCCACGAAAAATCGATAATTTCACATTTGTCTCTCGATATACCGATTGTATAGGCTATTACAAATTTTTAAAGCGCAAGAGCGTCAAATTTGGTCAAATCGCAAATCACATTTATCCATTTGAAGGTTTTTCGCTAAAACTGCGTGAATTTCAGTTGCTTTTCGGTAATTTTCGCGGTTCGAGCGCTCAAAATGCTTGTATTTACGTGATTTATCATTCTCAAAACCAATTCTGTCGGAAAACGGTCAAGAAAGCGCAACATGCGCGAAAAATGCGCCAAAACGTCATAAATTCTGAGAATTAGTGTGTTTTCATGTCGATTAATCATTTTTCATCGCCTTTGACCACAAAAATCAAAGAAAACCTGCTCAATTCATGAAAATGTCCATATTGTCAACCTCTGCAATTTTTTTTAGAGGTTCGCCGAGTTGTAATTAACGGTATCCTTTCAGAAAATCGCGAAGCCGCCCACGCATTCGTCGCCTCCGAACAGAGCCACAACTCGAGCAGTTCCATGCTCAATAAAACCGATGACGATGGGAGCTACGTGATTTTGCAAAATCTCAGTGCGAATCAAGACGCGGATACTAGTTTTCTTGTCTTTAATTCGTTAGAAACGGCCTAATTGCAATGTTGTACATATGTTGCCATTTACGGGTGTTTCCCAAACATTTGTGCGTTTGAACGAAACTGACTCTGATCTTTACTGATTTCGAAATCAAAATCAAAATCAAACGAATTGGTCACCGAACACAATCTTATCAGTGTATATTATTTATAATCATAAACAACACCCAAAGTGTACTAGTTTGTCGTGTCATGTGTCCCGTTATCAAGAATCGGAGCCGATAGTTTGTAGTTGTTGCTCTCTCTCTCTCTCACAGAGAACAGGTGATTTTCATGTGTACCTGGTACGGTGTCGCGCTTGACACTGTCACTTTTTGATAAGAAGGAATGGAAGCGAAAGTGCTTTTGCCACGTCATTTTCGGCGTTTTTCGAATCGAATCGAATTGGCCAACTGAACTTTGGTGGGGTGAGAAGCAGAGTTGAGCGGAAGAATTTTTTAATCTTTTTTAGAAAATTTTTTCATGGAATGTGATCAACTGACGAAATGTATAGCAAACTGAACTCTACTCATAGAAAAATAATTGCAAATTTAGCTTTTCATACAAAAAAGTTATTCGAGTTGTTGCGTGAAAATGTCCTTCCGTCTTCGGTTAGCCCTTAACTTTTTTGTATGAAAAGCTAAATTTACAATTATTTTTTTATGAGCAGGATTCACTTTGCTATACATTTCGTCAGTTGATCACATTCCATGAAAAAATTTTCTAAAAAAGATAAAAATTCTTCCGTTGAGTTCTTCCGCTCAACGCTGGTGAGAAGGAGACCGAAGAAGGCTGCGGGCCTATTCAGATTCAATAAAGTTTCGGGCCTTGATTTTCGAGCTCATATTTTCATCTTTTTCTGGTCCAAACTCATTTCCTATCGAAAAAAAAGGTGCATGTCAAATATTTATTTTCCATTACCTGCTCGGCTAACCGCAATTTCTTCAATTTCAAGCTCTCAATTTCACTGGCTCCACACTTCCTCTTCCGCCGTGTTCCCTTGAGGCCCAGAGACGAAACCGCCCAAAAACCAATGATGCTTTTAGTGTGCTCTTTTTTTTCCGAGAAACTCTGCCAAAATGCGTGAGACGGAGCCAGTGTGTGTTGTTTTTACTTGGAACAACACCGTCGTCATTCAAAAAAAAACACGAATCCCTCTGTGCACATTTGCACTGCTTACGGTCGCCAGAGCTGACAATATGGGCGCGTGGCCTCGGCGGCCAAATGGCGTTTTCATGAATTGATCACGTTTTCTCTGATTTTTGTGGTCAACGGCGATGAAAAATGATTGTTCGACAAGAAAACACACTAATTCTCAGAATTAATGACGTTTTGGCGCATTTTTCGCGGATTTCGCTTTTTCGCCTTCTCATTTTGCGCTTTCTTGACCGTTTTCCGACAGAATTAGTTTTAAGAATGATAAATCACGTAAATACAAGCATTTTGAGCGCTCGAACCGCGAAAATTACCGAAAAGCAACTGAAATTCACGCAGTTTTAGCCAAAAACCTTCAAACGGATAAATTTGATTTGCGACTTGACCAAATTTAACGCTCTAGCGCTTAAAAAATTCGTAATAGCCTATACAATCGGTCTATCGAGAGAAAAATCAGAAATTATCGATTTTTTGTGGCTAATTTGGCAAAAAACACAAATTTTGCTGTTAAAATTTGAATTTCGCGCCAATGTATCGCTCTATTAGGCGGGGCGCACTTGCTCTGCCCGGCCGATGATAACATTATATTGATAGGAGTACGTGCACAGACGTAGTCAGACATTGGCTTTCGACGAAATGGCTCTGCGAGCACCGAGCACAGTGCTCTAGGCTCCGCCCGCTCTTCCTTATCACTATTGTTGTGTGTCGGGCAGTCAGTCAGTCAGTCGTGCACTCGATCGCCCAAAGTTGGCCTCTTCTCGAGCCTGCCAAAAACGATCAATCGATGCATGCACACACTGGCACTTTATTTGCCCCTTTTAAAACTCGTCGAAAAACCCAACCAACTTATTTCAGCGACTCCACACACACTTCTCACCGCCCTCTCACACGCCTCTCCGAGCACTTTTTTGCTCCACTTTTTGAGACTTGTGGGTGCTGTGAGCCGTTCCCCCGGAGCGCCGCAGCTAACTCAGGTGAGTATGCATGCATGCATGCAAAAAAAAAAATGGATGGACGAGGAAAAGTTAGGCCACACTCTTCTCTTTTCAACTGTACGATGCTGGCCCTAACCTTCTTCGCTTGCAAAAAAAACTAGGCCATTAGTTCGCTCAATTCTCTTTCCCCCCTCCTTTTTCTAAGAAAAAAGAAGATAGATTGCTCCGTCAAAAAAGCGTTGGCGCCAGACGGACGCCGAGCATTTTGTGCAGCGGGGAAGTGACGTCAAGGAAGAAGAAATTGGAGGACAATTACAGTAGTCCTCATCCAAACACAAACAATTTCAGGGTCACCCTTACCCAGCCAAAATCCGTACAGTGAGCGTGCCCCGTTCTCCCGACGAGTCGCCGCCACCGCGTCCACCTTCGGACACCTCTGTCGCCAGGTACGCACAGTAAGCCTAGATATCCGACGAACCGGAAAACGTTCAGAGACAACCCCGCCAGCGTAGCATCGTGCCAGTTGGTCGCCAGCGACAAACGTGCTCGATTCCGCTGATTGAGGATTGTATGGGTCCTGACCGCAAGACCCGCATCCTCGTTCTCTACCGTCGTCCCCCTTAGCGGGTCCGTACTGCCTTCAACTCCAAAACTATCGTCTTAAAATCCATCAACACTTTTCAACGTTTCCGTCTCACTTCTTCCGAACATGTCCGCCGCCAACTACGCCGTTCAGACGCATCAGCTCGAGGCGCCCATCGAAGAGTACTTTTTCGAAGGCGCCGAGAAGCTTCTCGAGCTCTGGTTCTGCAGCTCCAGCAACACCAAAGGATCGTTGCGTCAAATCCCGCGCGTGGAGATCGACGCGATGCTCGACGTGGCGAGATGCAAAATTCTGCACTCGAAGCACAACGAGGCGATCGATTCGTACGTGCTCAGCGAGAGCTCGCTCTTCATCTCCGACACTCGGGTCATTCTGAAGACGTGCGGCTCGACACGCCTTCTCGCCGCGCTTCCGGTCATCATGCAGCTCGCCGGCACCTACGCCCATCTCGACCAGGTCCAATCGGTCTACTACTCGCGCAAGAACTTCCTGCGCCCCGACCTTCAGCCCACTCTTCACAAGAATTTCGACGCCGAGGTCGAGTATTTGGACAGCTTCTTCGAGGACGGTCACGCCTTCTGTCTCGGATCGCTCAAACAGGATCGCTGGTATTTGTACACGTTCCACCGACAGGTCGAGTTCCCCTCCAACAAGGAACCCGATCACACGTTGGAGATTCTGATGAGCGATCTGGATGAGTCGGTGCTGCACAAGTTCACCAAGGACTTCGCCGTCGACGGCAAGGACTGCTTCGAGGTTAGTGGTCGCCGGGTCCTGACTGGTAGACGGTCGGCCAAATGGCGTTTTCATGAATTGAGCAGGTTTTCTTCCGAATTTTGTGGTCAACGACGATGAAAAATGATTGTTCGGCATGAAAACACACTAATTCTCAGAATTTATGACGTTTTGGCGCATTTTTCGCGGACTTTGCTTTTTCGCCTTCGCCGCCGATAGCCGCCTAAAAACCGCACTTCTCATTTTGCACTTTCTTGACTGTTTTCCGACAGAATTGGTTTTGAGAATGATAAATCACGTAAATACAAGCGTTTTGAGTGCTCGAACCGCGAAAATTACCGAAAAGCAACTGAAATTCACGCAGTTTTAGCCAAAAACCTTCAAACGGAAAAATGTGATTTGCGACTTGACCACATTTAACGCTCTTGCGCTTAAAAAATTCGTAATAGCCCTATACAATCGGCCTATCGAGTGGCAAATGAGAAATTATCGATTTTTCGTGGCTAATCTGGCAAAAAACACAAATTTTGCTGTTAAAATTTGAATTTCGCGCCAATGTATCGCTCTATTAGGCGGGGCGCACTTGCGCGCCCATTGTTAGCTCTGGAGACCGTGTGGTAAGATATTGTTCGTTTCTAGCGCGCCGGCATCGACAAGATCATCCCGGCCGGTGCGGATGTGCACGACGAACTGTTCGATCCGTGCGGCTACAGCATGAACGCCTACATGAACGACACGGATCAGTACGCGACGATCCACGTGACGCCCGAGAAAGAGTTCTCGTTCGCCTCGTTCGAAACCAACCAGGACCTCGTCTGTCTCTACTCGCAGACGCGCAAAGTCCTTCAGTGTTTCAGGTTGTTCACGAATTAGCGGCAGCCACCCAGAAATCAGCGATTTTCAGACCCGGCAAGATTCTGATGACCGTTTTCGCCAACGACGTTTCGGTCAAAGGCAAAGACGCGCAACAGCAGCTGTGGGACCGCGAGCTGCCCGGATATCGCCGCACTAACGTTCAGTTTGTGAGACTTGAGGTAAAATTTGCGTTTTTGTGCAAAAAAAAACCCTCACAAATTTGCAGACGGAAACGCTGGTTTACGCGCATTTCGTGCGTAAATCCACCCAAGATTCGACATCATCGAGCGACGAGGACGACGGTGAACGCTCTGATTGAATTGCAAATTTTCGCTTTTTTTTCCCCCAACTATATTATGCATTCATAGATGTTTTGTATTGTCCATTGTTTATTGTCAACTCCCCCCACCCGCACACACTAATTATCGATTTTTTTGGTGTCGCCACCACGTTTTCTCGTTTTCCAGTTAGAAACTCGTAAAGTTTACTTCTTTCGGGCGTAGTGTTCTCTATTTTTGATGTGCTTAGTACTTACGTTTAATAAAAAATGGGATAAAGTTCGCTTGATGACCGAAAAAGTGGAAAAGTAAGGCCACGCGTTTCCTAGGCCATTACATCTGTTTTATCAGTAAAATCGAGAAAAAATCGCGTGATGAAATGTCGAAACACGTGTTTTTAGAGTTTCTAAAGCAAGAAACGTTGGCAAAAGTGCGTATTTCTAGGATTGTTGGCGAAAAATAGGTAAATTGCAAGGGTTGTCGTGTATAAAATCCAATTTTCCCGTTTGCAGCAAAAAATGCTCAGATTACTCGGTCTTTTTGCCGTTTTTCTCGCCGCCAGCCTTCTGCTCTTCGCCGTCTGGAGTTACGGACCACTTCCCGAGGTTTGTCGAGCACTTCTCAACGGAAAAAAAAATCATGTTTTTGTGCAGGGAGCCCAACGGCCCCGTTTTCCACGCGATTTGGACGGTTTGAGAGAGTTGAGCTCGAGTTTAGGACGATATGAGTGAGTTTTTCCGTACAAATTCCGAATAATTAGAGAAAAATTCTCAGAGAATCACATGCGGCCTACACACTTTTGCTCTTCTCCACCGCCTACGTCTACAAGCAGACTTTCGCCATTCCCGGATCGTTTTTCATGGTGAGTGTTTCTTCGAAACATTTTTGTAGAGAATGAGCAGAAAATGTTTCAATGCATGAACCAGCGAGCTGTTTTTTTCCACTGAAAATCAGTTTTTCTAGACAAATACGAACATTTCGTTGGCCAAGAGCCGTAAGGCGATTTCCCGAGTTGAACGCTTCGATTTAAGCGTTAAACCGTCGAAAAATATGCAAAATTGAGCCAGTGGAGCCATTTTGACAGTCTTCGACTAAAGTGAAAATTCTCTCTTTCCAGAACCTTCTCGCCGGCGCCCTATTCGGCACGATCCGTGGCGTCCTACTTGTCTGCTCGCTCAATTCGATCGGCGCCTCCTTCTGCTTCATTCTCTCCTCACTTTTCGCCGCGCCCATCGTCGAACGATGGCTCAAATCCCGAATTGAGAACCTAAGAATGACGGTGAGCAAGATCCTAATCCTGACAATCCAAAAAGCTCTATAATTTCCAGGTGAATTCGGAACGCGACCGACTGTGGGTGTTCCTTTTGTCGGCGCGAGTGTTTCCGTTCACGCCGCATTGGTTGCTGAACATTGCGAGTCCGTTTCTGAACGTTCCGCTCAAGTATCATGCGACGTCGGTGCTGATCGGTGAGTTCCGGAAGAAACTTCGGCCACAAACCTCCGTCCGCTTCCAGGCCTCTTCCCATACAATTTTCTGTGCATCCGCGCCGGCACAGTGCTCTCGGAAGTGAATTCGATGTCGGACGTCTTCGACATCTGGACACTTTCCGAGCTTTTCGTCGTCTCGCTCTTCCTCCTCATCGCCGCCCGACTCGCAAAACGACACAAATTGGTCGAAGTGCCCAGCCACAATCATTTGAACGGCGTTAAAATGTCGTAACTCGTTGTTTTATTGATTTTTAGTTGTTTTAACGTAATTTTTCCTGCTTTGTAATTGAATGGGTGAATTTGATTAAAAGTACGGGTTTTTAGAACGTTTTCTTTGTGCATGAAATAAATGAATCCTCACGATGTTTTGTGACACTGCTTGAAGGTCGGAAGCCCCAAAAAATTCACTATTTTTAGCTGAAAATTGGAAATTATAGAGTTTCTTGTTCTCCTTGTCTGTTCGATGCTTTATTTCAGAAAATCGATTGGCAATCGCTCGATTTGATAGCAGAATAGAAAAAACTAGCTATCGCAGAAAAAAGACGGAAAATTGGTCGCGGAATTTGAACATGAAACTGTCCGTGTGTGGCAAAACTTGAAAATAAAGCAACTTTTATTGCTAGAAACAATCATTTTCACTTGATCCAAAGAAGTATGCCATGGTCTCCAGAGCTGACAATGGGCGCAAGTACGCCCCGCCCAATAGAGCGATACAATGACGCGAAATTCAAATTTTAACAGCCAAATTTGTGTTTTATGCCAGATTAGCCACGAAAAACCGATAATTTCTCGTTTGTCTCTCGATAGACCGATTGTATAGGCTATTACGAATTTTTTAAGCGCTAGAGCGTTAAATTTGGTCAAGTCGCAAATCACATTTATCCGTTTGAAGGTTTTTCGCTAAAACTGGGAGAATTTCAGTTGCTTTTCGGTGGTTTTCGCGGTTCGAGCGCTCAAAATGCTTGTATTTACGTGATTTATCATTTTCAAAACCAATTCTGTCGGAAAACGGTCGAGAAAGCGCAAAATGAGAAGTGCGGCGAAGGCGAAAAAGCGAAATCCGCGAAAAATGCGCAAAAACGTCATTAATTCTGAGAATTAGTGTGTTTTCATGTCGGACAATCATTTCTCATCGCCGCTGACCGCAAAAATCAGAGAAAACCTGCTCAATTCATAAAAACGCCATTTGGCCGAGGACAAACGTTTTTGAGCACTAGTCCGGCATCTATCCGTGTTCGGGGCGGTCACATCTTAGGAGGAAGTGTTTGTAAAGAAAGAGGAGATGGATAATGTTGAAGTGTAGAAGTACATAGAGCAAACTGATGAGCGACAGAAAAGTTAAGCGAAGAGTTTATATAGGGAGCGCAACTTTCACCGAAATCTTAAGCATCATTATGTATATCACAGAAATAGTTCCACAGGAGGCGGAGGTCCCGGCTGTAATTGTTCAACGTTCCACTCGCTCCAAACCAAGAATATTATCGCCTTTTTGTTGCACGCCAACGTGCCGACACTACCGTCCGGACGGACAATATCTCGACCAGTTCTCATTGCCATCGTGTTGCTACAAACGCAGAAATTGATGTTACAAGACTTACTAGAAAAGACTTACTCCGTGGGCGGTCCCATTGGTGAAGCGGCTCCGTACGGCAGAACTTCAAGACCGTCGAGCAGTGGCGGCACAAACGAAATATCCTCCATATCGTAGTTCTTCACGTTTTGACACTCTACGTACAACAAATTGAATATCGGATACTGTCCGGCGAGCCAATTCTTGACGAATTGATTGACAGTTCGCAAAACTGTGGTGAACGACGGCGCGTATACGCTGAGTTTGGCCAAGTTCGAGTTGAGAATATCGTCGGGAGTGACCCAGTCTCCCAAATCTTCGATAATTACAGAGTTTCCGACGAAGGCCTGCAACCAGAGCACACTTGCGCAAAATTTTTTAAGGGCTTTCTTTGCGAAACAGCAGAGTTGAGCGGAACACGGTCTCCAGAGCTGACAATATGGGCGTGGCCTCGGCGGCCAAATGGCGTTTTCATGAATTGAGCAGGTTTTCTCTGATTTTTGTAGTCAAAAGCGATGAAAAATGATTGTTCGACATGAAAACACACTAATTCTCAGAATTAATGACGTTTCGGCGCATTTTTCGCGGACTTTGCTTTTTCGCCTTTGCCGCCGATCGCCGCCTAAAAACCGCACTTTTCATTTTGCGCTTTCTTGACCGTTTTTACGACAGAATTGGTTTTAAGAATGATAAATCACGTAAATACAAGCATTTTGAGCGCTCGAACCGCGAAAACTACCGAAAAGCAACTGAAATGCACGCAGTTTTAGCCAAAAACCTTCAAACGGATAAATGCGATTTGCGACTTGACCAAATTTAACGCTCTTGCTCTTAAAATATTCGTAATAGCCTATACAATCGGAGAGACAAATGAGAAATTATCGGTTTTTCGTGGCTAATCTGGCAAAAAAGACAAATTTTTCTGTTAAAATTTGAATTTCGCGCCAAGCTATCGCTCTATTGGGCGGGGCGCACTTGCGCCCATTGTATGCTCTGGAGACCGGAGACGGAACCACTCGGATAACTTTTTTGTATGAAAAGTTAAATTTACAATTATTTTTCTATGAGCAGAGTTTAGTTTGCTATACATTTCGTCATTTCGTCATTTCATGAAAAAATTTTCTAAAAAAGATACAAATTCTTCCGCTCAACTCTGCAAAACTGCTCGAAGCAATGCGTCCTTACCCGATCGAACGGCGCCGCACTTCTCTCCAAACGCTCGCTTCGGCCGCGTAAACGAAGCTCGCTGGTCGGATTGAAAGCGGCGAGAATGTCTTTCAAATGCTCTCCCGAATCGTCGTACACATTCAGATGCATCTTTTTCAGTTCCAGAGTGCTGATCAAGCGCATCGTCCGCGCGTAATTGTCGATGCTCTTTGTGGAGCACTCGAACCGATCGATGGGCCGTTTCAGAAGGTCGACGATGAACGAAAGGGCGGTGCACACGGCCTGATCCACGTTCGCACACTCGGTACGCCAATCGTCCATCTCGTGCGCAACTTGAGTGTTGTCGGTGAGATCCTGAACAATAGGTTATAATCAAAGTCAGAGTGGAGGCCTAGAAAACTCTTCGGCCATGGAATCTTGTGAGATGAGAGACGTTATGAAACTAAAATGCTTCAAGTGTTTAAGTGTCACTCTTAGTTGTCGAAAAGTTACAAAACGTCCGTCTCACCTGAATAGTGTTGCCTTGCACTCCGTTCACGTTATTGAAAAACGTCCAAACGAACGGACTACGCGACTCATCGGACAATATCTCGATCTGTCCGCAAAGCACACGAATCTTCTCGTCGGAGAAATCAATTTCTGCTTTTTCGACGGCTTCTCTGGACTGTGGACTGACCGCCGCGAAGGCTATTCTGAAAAAATTTCGGTACAAGTTTACAGCAAAAATAGCGCTTACATTTCGGGATTTTGAAAGTTTCTCAGCACAAGGCTTTTCGAGAAGTCTGACAATTCGCCAAAATCGATCCGTTTGTCACGCGGCATCATCTGGCAAAAAAAAGAAGGGGTTAGGAGGTGGAAGTGAGGTTTTTTGATCGAAAAACGAAAAGAGAGAGAGAGCAGCTGTGTGAGATATTATGAATTCAGGAGTGCGTTAACTGAATATAAAAGTGAGAGACGTCTTCAGGGAAAAAAATCAAACAATAGTAGTTTATTCGACACGACTGAACAAAACAACTTTGAACCCTAGTCACTGGTTCCCGGCTCTTCTCCACCGGCCGTTGTGTTTCGCAAAAGAATCTCGGGGATCCAGTCGCCCCAGACGACGAACAGAAGCTCAGAGTTTCCGACGTAAATGGAGGCGATGGCGCCGTCGTCGCGGTGCAAGTCGTAGCCGTTTTTAAAGTCGAGATGATGTGTGACTACTCTTCTGAAAAATCCGAAAGCCTGAAGCGCAGGGTGTGGCGCTTTATCTGGGGGGGGTTGCCATGGAAACTGTGAAAAATGCCGTCAACTAGCGGGTAATCGCGGTAAAATGCACAATTCGAAGGAATTAAGGTTCTAACTAGTAGGTTAGTTTGATTTGTTTTACTTAAAATGTACAATTTGAAGACGCACTACGACTTTTCTGCTGAAAACTTGAAATTTTTAAGGCACATTGTGATTTTGCACAGGTTTTATGCCAGAAATACGAATGTTCGGTTTTTCACCGAAAAAATGCCTTATTCGGATGAATTTTGTAGAGAAAACAGGTTTTTTTCAGACTTTTCAAGAGTGAAATTGAGCAAAAACGGGAAAAAAATGGACTACGGTAGTTTTAAAGGCGCAGCACGCGATTTTAGGCTAAAATTGAGCAAAATTAGATTTTTCTGTGATTTTCTCCGGAAAATGCCTACTTTCTACCATAAGCCATAAAATCCTATGGTACTCATATAATATCAGGTCATACGCTAAATAAAGAGTATAGGAAACTAGTCGATAAACTGTGAAAATGGTCAGGAAAGTGTGCGCTAGAGTCCAATTTTTCGTCAACTGAAACTATCGATAAACATTGGAAAAGCTACGTGTTTTTCGGAACGGTGTGTGTGCAAAATGTCGTCAGATACAGTGCATCGACGGAAAAGTGTCAAAGTTAGCGCTTAAAGAAGGTCAGTCACTTTTGGGGTCAGACTTGAGGCCTCAATGCACGGTCTTCAGAGCTGACAATATGGGCGGCGCCTCGGGCAAATGGCGTTGTCATGAATTCAGCAGGTTTTCTCTAATTTTTGTGGTCAAAGGCGATGAAAAATGCATGTTCGGCATGAAAACACACTAATTCTCAGAATTAATGACGTTTTGGCGCATTTTTCGCGGATTTTGCTTTTTAGCCTTCGCCGCACTTCTCATTTTGCGCTTTCTTGACCGTTTTCCGACAGAATTGGTTTTGAGAATGATAAATCACGTAAATACAAGCATTTTGAGCGCTCGAACCGCGAAAATTACCGAAAAGCAACTGAAATTCACGCAGTTTTAGCCAAAAACCTTCAAACGGATAAATTTGATTTGCGACTTGACCAAATTTATCGCTCTTGCGCTTAAAAAATTCGTTATAGCCTAAACAATCGGTCTATCGCGAGACAAATGAGAAATTATCGATTTTTCGTGGCTAATCTGGCAAAAAAACACAAATTTTGCTGTTAAAATTGTCAGCTCTGAGGAGACCGTGTATCAAAGTCCTTTTTTACGTAAAAGAAAGACTTACAAGTTGGTGTAGACGTAGAAAAGCGGCCTGAAAAAACCAAAAATTACCCAAATGTGTTTCACTTCAAACGCTCACACTCACATGATATACTTGTGGTGCCTGTCCGGATCGACACAGTGCAAATTCAACTTGTTCATAAGAGTCATCCGCCCGATGCCGTCCCTCGGATTCTGCTCGTTCTTGTTGAACTCCCACTCGAACGTCTGCAGGCGCGGATATTTGCCCGCGAGCCATCGGTGCATGAATTCGTTGACGGTGCTGATTTGCAAGTTGCACTGGAACACGGTGATCTTCTCCGCGTCGGCCGTCAGCAAATTGTTGTTCGTCAGCCAATTCGCGTGCGACAGTTCCAGGTATTTGGCGCGGAGCGGCTGAAATTGGGAATGATTCATGCGCGGAAAACGGAAATGGAATTTTGAAATCCGGAAGACGGAAGCAAATTTTTCTCACGGAAGACGGAAAACGGAAAACGGAAGACGGAACAAAAAAATCGTCAATGCAGAACCTTTTTTTCCGGTTTTTTTTTTTGAAAAAAAATTTCTTTTACGGAACACGGAAAACGGAAGACGGAAGACGGAACAAAAAAATCGTCAATGCAGAATTTTTTTCCGGTTTTTTTTTTGAAATTTGGTTTTGGTTTTTGGTTTTTTGGTTTTTGGTTTTTTGGTCACTTCCCGTGAAAATTCGCGTTCTTCGGGGCTAGTAAATGGCTTCTGAAAAGCCATTACTCTTTTACGGTAAGAAGAAAAAATCCCGGAAGACGGAAGACGGAAGAAAAATTTTTTTACGGAAGACGGAAGACGGAACAAAAAAAATCACGGAAGACGGAAGACGGAACAAAAAAACCACGGAAGACGGAAGAAGGAAGACGGAAGACAGAAGACGGAAGACGGAATTCCGCTCAACACTGATGCTAACCTCATAAAAGCTGAAATTGCGCGGCGACCTCGAGTAGAGTTTGAGCCTCTCGTCAATGTGCACATTCTCGAGAATCTCTCTCAAATTCTGTTCGCAAAAGAGTCTCGAGACGGAGATTTCCATGTTTTCCACGTGGTCGATGGCGAGCAGTGCGAGTTTTTCGACGCAAGACTTGTCGTCGGAAAGATCGAAATGGTAGTAGGTGACTTTTGAGCGGAACAGTTCGAAAAGGTATCCGACGACCGTCGACATGGCCACGTCCATGTCGGCGCAGTCGGTGATCCAGTGCTGCTCCTTGTTCTCGCGCACGTTTTTGATGATTTCCTGCAAAATCGGGATGTTTAGAGTGCAGAATAGTATCGTTTCGGGTGCACGCGCCCTATCCGTGCTGATGCCATGCCGGATGCGCGCGTGACACATGCTCACCACCACTTGCCGAAAATTACCTGAGCACTTTAGTCCATTTTAGGCTCTCGAAATCTACCTTTATAGTCTTCTCTTTCGGCTCTTGTTTCACTTCGTTGAACCTCCAAACGAGCGACGCGTTGAGGCGTGTCGAGAACAGAAACTCGATTTGTCCGAGTCCGACGTGAAACTTTTTCGTGCGTATCTCGGCGTTCTTCACCAGATCCACCGATTTCGCGTCGCAAACCGAGAAGCACATTCTGCACAACAGCGTTCACTTTTTCGCCACAAAATCGTGAAAATCCGACACTTACAAGTCGCGTTCGTTAAAGTTGCGGAGCACGAGCGACTGTGCCATGTCGGGCAATTCCTCGATTTTGAATTGAAACCGTTTCGGCGTCATTTTCTGGACCGACATTGACAAAATTGAAGAGTGAAAGAGAGAGAGAGAGAGAGAGAGTGGAGACGCCGAGAAAAAGCAGTCGGCAGTATCGATTTTCGGAGGGTGAGAGAGCGAGAGAGAGAGAGAGAGCGAGAGCGAGAGAGAGTGAAGGTCTTATCACTTTCCTTGTCGTTTCCCGGTTTCCGGCCTTATCAGGGATTCGTGGAGAGACGCGAAAAATGGCAAAAAAGTATCATTTCATCGGAAAACCCGCCCATGTGACTTGAATATTGTACATAATTGCACATTCCCAATTTTTACGGGGTGCACGTAAATTCGAGAGGTTAGGACGTGTTTGGGGGCCACTTTCAGAGTAGTTCTTTCATGGAACAACACATGCGATGGCCTAGCAACATCTGGTGGCCTAGTTTTCCGCACAGACTCTGGGACGCATAGATTTTAGGCCAATAAAATTGAAAAGATAGTTTTAAAACACAAAAAAATGAGTTTTTGTTGGTTACACATCCGCAGACAAGTGAGAAAAACGCCAAAACATGCAATGGCCCGCCTTTTTCAAATTATCGCCACAGAAACAGTTTGATGACCTAGTTTTCATACAAAAACTCGGTTTTTTTCCAGCGATTTCAAAAGATTTTCGACAATTCCAACAACAAAGCAAATAATTTTATTCAGTAGTTTTAATTTTCACATCAGAAATGGCTGACATAGGTATAGAGCAGAGTTGAACGGAAGAACTCAACGGAAGAATTTTTATCTTTTTTATAGAATTTTTTCATGGAATGTGATCAACTAACGAAATGTAGAGCAAAGTGAACTCTGCTCATAGAAAAATAATTGTAAATTTAGCTTTTCATACAAAAAAGTTAAGGGCTAACCGAAGACGGAAGAACATTTTCACGCAACAACTCGAATAACTTTTTTGTATGAATCGCTAAATTTACAATTATTTTTCTGCGAGCAGAGTTCACTTTGCTCTACATTTCGTCAGTTGATCACATTCTATGAAAAAATTTTCTAAAAAAGATAAAAATTCTTTCGTGTTCTTGCGTTGAGTTCTTCCGCTCAACTCTGGTATAGAGTGAGAAGCTCTTGGGGAATCGGTCTGAGAACAAAGTAATCTTTTCCGTGCATGTTGAATCCACAAATGACGGCGTGACAGTGACCCCAGTCGCGACGGATCACCGCGTAGTTTCCGGTGAACTCGAATGGACGGGCTCTGAAAGTGAAGTACATTAAAGACTTGAACTCTAAGACTTATATCTAGAGAACCGCCGAGTATTTCCAATTGTGATCAACTAACAAATTGTTTAAAATGTTATGTTGAACAACTTTTTAGTTGAAGAGTTTGCTTCAAAATGCTTTATTCTCAAGTTATGAGCTCATGAACTCGAATGAATAGGCTCTGAAAGTGTCCGCTACCTTTAAAGACTTACAGGGTGGTCCACCGTTACCCGTACAAAAGTTTCACGCGGCGCGCGCAGGTACTGACGCAATTCTGGTGTGGCCCTAATTCAAAATTTTGTATATTATCATGTTCTTAACTATTTGGCCGAGTCTCAGACCAAACGGATTTGTTTCAGCCGAATAGCACCGATTAGTCTGCACCCCGTTCCCATTGTACGCTTTTTCACTGAGGGGTGAGCAGACAAACTATCATGAAATGTGATGTGGAAATGAGTCCAATATCCGTGTAAATCACTCTAAAATGCAAGCTGAGTCCGTGCCATGATTTCTTGTCCCATCAGCTGAACATGCCAATCTCAACGCGTTTTCATCGATCATGATGACAAAATCAGAAAAGTACGTTATGTAGATGAGACGTCAACAAAGAAACGTTTTCTTCGGTCTCACAAATACTTTGGAGAACAACATTGGGTGTTAGATTAGGATAATACGCCTGCTCACACGGCCAAGATCATTTAGCAGTGGTTCCAGGCCAATTTGGCAGCGTTCATCAAGAAGGAAAAATGGTCCGATTTCTCGCCGGATCATTTTTTGTTGGACTATTCGTTGTTGGGGTCTTACAGGCCAATATGAAGGCTAAACCCCAGACAAGTAGGGAGTGAGGAAAAAATTCCTTGCCAGGTAGGGGGTCAATTTGTTCACGGACTTCCCGCGTGCCGCGGCAAACGGTTACTTCGGAAGTCTTCGGGCTGTCATTGTTAGGAAAGGAGGTCGGGTGCAACACTATTAGCTTATAAATATTGTCAAACATCTTAGTAAACGTTTTGTTAAGTCTCATGTCTTTCTGACTTCTAGTTTTGGAATTACACAACTTTTATTTTGTACGGGTAACGGTGGACCACCCTGTATATCAAGAGAACCAATGATTACTTCAAAATGTCGTCAACTAAAAAAATGTTCACAATTTTGTGCTCCACAACTTTTCAGTTGAACACTCTCTTCTAAACTGCTTCATTGCCAAGTTATGAGCTGTGTTCTAATCGGAACTCACTTCTTCAACTCGTGCATCAATCTCCACGGAACCATCAGGTTATCCACCAACGGAACCCCGCTAATTGCCGATTCCCAGTTGAGAACGTATCCTTCGATATTATCGAATCGAATTCGGAGATATTCGACAGTCGTTGACAGGTCCCGCCATCCCTTCAGCACCTCTTTTATACTGTCCAAAGTGACGACGCACGCTTCGACGTACACATTTTTGCATTTTACAGTTGCCAGACTTGTAGAATCTATCACGCATACGCCGGTTCCGATGAGCGTTTCGCAATGCCAACTCTAAACAAAAATACAATATCCGTGGGTTACTGTAGCTCTTGGAAATTCGGACAACGTTCAAGGCACACTGACTGCATTTCAACGCCAACTTCCAAGAGCTACAGTACTCGAACGAGTCGTCGTACGAAAAAGTTGTCAACTGAGAAAATAAAGTTCATACCATGTACTTTGCTTTTGTAGTTGACACCTTTTTCGTACAATCACTCCTAAGACTACTGTAGCTCTTGGAAGTTAGGACTGCATTTCAACGCCAACTTTCAAGAGAGCTACAATACTCCCAATTTACATGACTATTGTAAATCTCTCAAACTGACCTGATTCAGGGGGACATTAGTCACTTGGACCACTTTGATATTCTTCGACATCTCAACCATGTGCATCTGCTCCTCGGTGTACAGCGAGCTAACGTCGGGGAAGATAATTTTCGGAATCGGACCCTTTATATATTTCCAGATGAAGAAGGAGCGTTGCTCGTGACGTGGCATCTCGATCTCGACAATTTCGCCATTGAAGAGGCTCATAAGGTACTTGAAGATGTGCTCCAAATCGGGCATCAGAGGCTCGACGAGCGAGGTGAAGTGCCGCGCGTTGTTCCTGTAATTATAGCGCTTCAAAAGGTGGTCTCCAACGTGACAAACAACATATTTTTAAAATAAACTTCAAAGTGGGCCATTCACTTTCCCGAGGTCACGAATTACGGAAAAAAATTCCCCGATTTTTAAGATTTTTTTCAAAAAAGTTAATGGTACCGAGAGAAGTGGTGCACGGCGAAATGGAAGAGCTGGCCAAGATTTTTCTAGTCCCCCCGGATGGAATTCCCCTTTCTATCGATTTTTTTCGGTTTTCGTGCAAATTTCTTAAATTTTCAATTGTTTTTACACACTGAACACACTTATTTGCAATATTTAAAAAAAAAATTTACGTTTTTTTCTGTGCCGTGGCGTCAAAAAAATCGATAATCTGAAACTTTCAAAATTCAGCGAAATTCAGAAAAAATCTGCCTTTTTTTGTAAAACCGAAAATAAGAAGTTTTGGATTTTTTGCATTACTCTGAAAAATATAACTTTCTGTAACTCGCAAATTTTAAATAAGACTCAGGAAATGATTGAGCGATCTCTTTCTATTTAGTTTTCAGCGCGCAAACCGAAGATTGAGCGAAAAACCCGGAAAAACACCAAAAAAAGTTTCAGATTATCGATTTTTTTGGCGTCACGGTACAGAAAAAAACATAAATTTTTTAAAAATATTGCAAATAAGTGTGTTCAGCGTAAAAACAATTGAAAATTTAAGAAATTTGCACGAAAACCGAAAAAAATCGAAAGAAAGGGGAATTCCATCGGGGGGGACTAGAAAAATCTCAGCCAGCTCTTCCATTTCGCCGTGTACTTCTCTCGGTACCATTAACTTTTTTGAAAAAAATCTTATGGGGCTATTCAGCGTATGTTGTTTGTTTTCCGTTTTTTCGTTTTTTACATCGCTGAATTGGATTTTTTGACGTAAAAAAACGAAAAAAACGGGAAACAACCATTTTTTCACAGCCTGTATAACCCCATTAAAAATCGGGGAATTTTTTTCGTAATTCGGGACTTTGGGAACATGAATGGCCCACTTTGAAGTTTATTTTAAAAATATGTTGTTTGTCACGTTCGACACCACCTTTAAAAGGTGATGGAAAAGTTATGGAAAATGCTATAAAAACAGCTCACATCAAAGTCCTAATCTGCTTTCCGTCGATCGTCAGCAGTTTGCTTCCATCCTCATCGTCGTCGCTTCTTCAAAATGTTCACTAAAAATCGCGCACAAAAGCGCCATTCGACGAAACTCACATTTGCCAGAGCGCGCGTCCGTCGACAACGACAATCCGACTGTTCACTCGTCCCGCTCCATCCACTTTCCACTCAAAAACCCGCCTCCTTCGCGGCGAAACCAACTCAATCCGCGTGGCCTTCGATTCGGTCGGATACTGACGGATCGAGACGCCAACCGTCGGTCTCGGCAGCGTTTTTCGCATTTCGCTACTCGTCAGACTCATGTTCACACTGAAAACGTGTGCACAATATTGGGCCCTAAGCCCTAAGCCTAAGCCTTACATTTCGGCCGGTCCCATTTGTCTCAAAACTGTCAAGAGTGGAACTGTGGTGAGCTTGCGAAAGTTTGGAAATGTCGTCGGCTTGTTGCTTCTTTCGGTCATTTTCTGGAAAACAATGTGAGTGGGTACACGGTCGCCAGAGCTGACAATATGGGCGCGTGGCCAGTGTGCCTTACCGAAAGGGTTTCGGTAAATTTACCGGTAAATTTACCGGTAAAAATTTCGGTAAATTGTCGGTAAATTTTCGGTAAAACTTTTTTTTACCGAAAGAGTTTCGGTAAATTTTCGAAACAATTTACCGAAAATTTACCGAAAATTTACCGATAAATTTACCGGTAAATTTACCGAAACTATTTCGGTAAAAGTTTCGGTAAATTTTATCGGTAAAAGTTTCGGTAAATTTTATCGGTAAATGGATACTTTTTCGAAACAATTTTCAATTTTGAGAACGGAACATTGAGGCGACTGTTCAGCGTGTTCCTGATGTTTGAGATGTTGTTCAGAATATTCTAAATTGGTCACATCAGTCACTTCCCTTGTCAAAAAAAGAACGCCGGTGCCGCGCCTTTTTCGGTATCGACGGCACCGCTCGGCGCCTCAATTTTTTTCTGTTTTTCTTTTTAACGAACAGTTTATTTTCGAATGAGGAACTTTGGGGACACATTAAATGCTAAACTCGTTGCATAGCATTATAAAAAAATTTAAAATTTAAAAAAATAAATTAAAAAAATAAAAAAACAAAAAAATTAAAACATTATTAAAAATTATTAAAAAAATTTAAAAAAACATGTTTTAACATTTTTCTCCGCTCTCAAAATTGTTCTTTCGGTAATTGTCGAAAGGACCGATTTACCGGTAAATTTACCGGTAAATTTACCGAAACTCTTTCGGTAAAAACCTTTTTACCGAAAATTTACCGAAAATTTACCGAAAATTTACCGAAATTCACTTCTTTCGGTAAAAAAAATTTCGGTAAGGCACACTGCGCGTGGCCTCGGCGGCCAAATGGCATTTTCATGAATTGAGCACGTTTTCTCTGATTTTTGTGGTCAACGACGATAAAAAATGATTTTTCGACATGAAAACACACTAATTCTCAGAATTAATGACGTTTTTGCGCATTTTTCGCGGATTTCGCTTTTTCGCCTTCTCATTTTGCGCTTTTTTGACCGTTTTCCGACAGAATCGGTTTTGAGAATGATAAATCACGTAAATTCAAGCATTTTGAGCGCTCGAACCGCGAAAACTACCGAAAAGCAACTGAAATTCACGCAGTTTTAGCGAAAAACCTTCAAACGGATAAATGTGATTTGCGACTTGACCAAATTTAACGCTCTTGCGCTTAAAAAATTCGTAAAAGCCTATACAATCGGTCTATCGAGAGACAAATGAGAAATTATCGATTTTTCGTGGCTAATTTGGCAAAAAACACAAATTTGGTTGTTAAAATTTGAATTTCGCGCCAATTTATCGCTCTATTGGGCGGGGCGCACTTGTGCCCATTGTAAGCTCTGGAGACCGTGGGGTAGGCGCGCGAAAAAGCGAATATTATCGGAAAATGACGCACAGCGGTGCTATTATTATTGATTTTCGGCAAAACAACGTTTGGGGGACGGAGGGGTTGGTTTCCATGGAGAATGTTCGAGAGAAGCGTAACAACTGGATTTTGGGTGTTAATTACAGAGATATGAGTAGTTGAGAAGAGAAACTGAAAAGAAATAAGTGCATAGAGACTATTGCCATGGAAACGATGATGGACGCGTGAAGATTTTGCACTCTTGCTCGTCCTTCTTCTCGTCGCAGCTCTTCTGCTGGGGCCCGCATTTGCGCGAAATTCAAATTTTAGCAGCAAAATTGGTGTCTTTTGCGAGATTAGCCACGAAAAATCGATAATTTCTTATTTGTCTCTCGATAGACCGATTGTATAGGCTGTTACGAATTTTTTAAGCGCAAGAGCGTCAAGTTTGGTCAAGTCGCAAATCACATTTATCCGTTTGAAGGTGTTTGGCTAACACTGCGTGAATTTCAGTTGCTTTTCGGTAGTTTTCGCGGTTCGAGCGCTCAAAATGCTTGTATTTACGTGATTTATCATTCTCAAAACCAATTCTGTCGGAAAACGGTCAAAAAAGCGCAAAACGGTGATCGGCGGCGAAGACGAAAAAGCTAAATCCGCGAAAAATGCGCCAAAACGTAATTAATTCTGAGAATTAGTGTGTTTTCATGTAGAAAAATCATTTTTCACCGCCGTTGATCACAAAAATCAGCTCGAATCTCGAATGGAGCCACCGAACCGAACAAATCATCCATTGTTACTGACGTATTGTGACTCGAAAACATTTTCCCTTTTGTCATGTGCCTCTCAATTACTCACTACCTCCAGTATGGAAAAGAATAAATGAATGTGTCAACCAGAGTTGAGCCGAAATGGAATTTTGAAATCCGGAAGACAGAAAATTTCTTTTACGGAACACGGAAAACGGAAGACGGAAGACGGAAGACGGAACAAAAAAATCGTCAATGCAGAACCTTTTTCTCCGGTTTTTTTTTTGAAAAAAATAACTAAACAACAAAAATGTTGAATCAGGGTCACTGCCCGTGGAAATTCGCGTTCTTCGGGGCTAGTAAATGGCTTCTGAAAAGCTATTACTCTTTTACGGTAAGAAGAAAAAATCCCGGAAGACGGAAGACGGAACAAAAAAACCACGGAAGACGGAAGACGGAATTCCGCTCAACACTGGTGTCAACGAAGCAGCGAAACGTGGAATAGTCAACAACTTTTCATGACGTTTTGTTTTGAATCGGGCGCTACATTCCATCACACCTTTTGATCACTTTTTCTCCGCTCTTTTCCACCTGTCCTTTTACCGTACCCCCCGCGACTTTACTAGTATAAGTTGTGGGAGGGCGGGGCGTCGTGCCAAACTTCAGAAGTCAGGCTCAGTTTGATTTCCAATGCCCTCGAAGATTCTTCTGATCCTCGGAGCTTTGGTGCTCCAGTCGGCCACCCAAGTGTACCCGATGACGGATATCTATGGATTCTATGGATATTTTACCGAACCTCCGCATGCGAAGCAACGTGCCTGTGCACTGAAAGTCTGGCACCGACTCGAGCAGCTTTGCGGAACATGTGACCCCGGTTCCGGTTAGTTTTAAAGGCTCAATGATACTTTTGAATAGATGATCACTTAAATTTCAGACATGCTCGTTAGAAAGTGTTCAGAGGACATTTCCGACGTCGAGATCATTGAAACTTGCTGTCCGCATCGTGTGAACATTGAATCTTCAACGTCCAATGGGACCACGGAACCCGAAAAACCCGCCATCACTACCGATGGACACTGAAAACGACTGACAAGATGGTTTTATCCTCTACCTCAAGATTTGTTCAGTTGTTCACTGTTAAATGCGAAAAAATAAATAAATCAGCTATCTGACAAACAGTTTTTGGATGAACGGAAACAAGATTTAGACGGTCTGGGACAGAGATGTTGGGAATTCCGTGTTCCGCGTTTTTTTGCAATATTTTTTCCGTGTTCCGTGTTCCGTAAAAAAAAATTTTCCGTGTTCCGTGTTCCGTAGAGTAAAATTTTTATTCCCAAAATCTCTGGTCTGGGAGCTGTTCAATCATCGTGTCATGTTCAGGCAATACAGTAATGCACAGAATGTTGCAAGGAAATAAGATGAAGTAGCATAGGAGCACATAGAAAGCTACAATAATCCTAGAATCTAGAGCGTTAAGCGTCAACTCAGAAACCGAGAGTTTTCCATGAAAGCGGTGGTCGTGATGATCAAACACGCTGCATGCAATCCCGTTTTCCATTTCGTCGTCTGCACTTTGCGAGTCTCAGCTTTTTTTTTTTTGTCGGGTGTTCAACAGTGTTGAGCGGAATTCCGTCTTCCGCTTTCCGTGTTCCGCAAAAAAAAATTTTCTTCCGTCTTCCGTCTTCCGTGTGTCAAAATTCCATTTCCGCTCAACTCTGGTGTTCAACAAGAGTTCTCAACTTTAGGTCCCTCAAATCCGCTCAGTCGTTCTCCAATCTCCCTCGTCACTGCAAACCCGCATCCTCGGTGCCGGGTACCGCTTGGCGCTATCTAGTTTCCGAAGACGTCACCTGAAATCTCTCTCTCTCTCTCTCTCTCTTTCGAATTCTCATTTCCTAGCGCTAATCCTGCCTAGCAACGGCCGAAAAGCGCGGAAGTTGCATTGTGCCCCGGCACGCCCCTTTTGAAGCAAAGACCAAGGGCGTGGCAAATTGGAAAAAGAGTTAGAAATAGCTTTGCAAAATGAGTCATGGTCACGTGAGAAACGAAGAAAAAAAAATGTTGTGTTGAGCGCCTGATAAACAAGCGAGAGAGAGAGAGAGAGAGAGAGAGAAGAAAAAGGAGAGGGCTAGACTTGAGTTTGTACCTACATAGATACATACATACATACACAAACCACAGTATGCCCGGGGCATGTAATCATGGCTAAGACACTCCACATGCAAACATTCAGATTAGGAAGCCCAAAGATTGAACATGCAAGGTTTTTGAGCGGCACGGGAGCAGCAACGGTAGCAGCGGTTGTGGCAAGGAAGTGGCACGGAATCGGCACTCTTACAGCAATTTGCCCGCGGAAAACGGCACGGATGCCGATTCATGCGGCCGTTTGCTTTAAATACAAAGACACAAGCTTCTTAGACTCAAATCTATAGCCGTTCCAAGTTTTTTCTTAATTGGACAGCGTTCGACATTCCCAGCAAGCAATCCTTGTTTGCACCTCGTTTTTTCGGGTCTCAACGCTCTGGGAACAAAAAATCAAGGAGAAGCATTGAAGAACAGTGTCTAGATGAAGCTTTCAGTGTTTTTCGACGAGATCAAGACCATCCGGACATGTTGTGAAGCAAAACACACCTCTAGACCCGCATAGCGACCGATTATCACGCATGCACGCGTACACAGCAAGACCAACTGAAGATCTACAAGTTTGGTGCGTAAGAACCAGAGATGTTGGGAATTCCGTGTTCCGTGTTCCGTGTTCCGTGTTCCGTGTTCCGTGTTCCGTGTTCCGTATTCCGCGTTTTTTTCAATATTTTTTCCGTGTTCCGTGTTCCGTAAAAAAAAAAAATTCCGTGTTCCGTGTTCCGTACAAATAACTTTTTTCCGTTTTCCGTGTTCCGTGTTCCGTATAAACTATATTTTCCGCGGAAAAATTCGATCACAAGTGGATTCCATTTTGAGTCGTTTTTTACTGTAGTTGTTTACTGTTGTGTTGTTGGTTTTGTTATTTTTATGAAAATTTCAGTAAAACTTTCACATGAGTCAAACAGCTGTCTTGTCAGTCAGATAATCGAATTAAACAAAACACTATTTTAATAAAAATCACTGGAATTCTCTTGAAAACACTTTTTTCCGTGTTCCGTAAAAAAAAATTTTCCGTGTTCCGTAAAAAAAAAGTTTTTCGTCTTCCGTGTTCCGTGTTCCGTAGAGTAAAATTTTTATTCCCAACATCTCTGGTAAGAACTCGAGATTACATAGGGAAAGTAGAAACTAAACTAGCGAAGGCCAGATATGCGCACTTTCTCATTTGCTCGCCAACTTTCACCGGGCGGATTAGTGCTGCCTCGTGCTTTGCTTTCTGCCCGCTGCCAACACATTTTGTTTAGTATCTAGTACGTATGTAGTACGTCACCACGAATCATTCACCTAGCTTTTCATTATCCATTTAAAGCCTAGAAAGTTTGTCTAGAATTGAGTGAACACGTTGATTTTATAACATTGCAACTTTTTGACAGTATCTTTCTCGCTCATCTGAAAATTTGATGAACTGAAATTTTGGGAGGATGTTCTTCACAGTCACATCTATAACTCTTCTCATTTTCTTATCAATGGAACTTTTGTGCGCCGCTTAGCCTCGAATGTCCGTTGCCAAGTGGCATTATTTCGGTTCTCAGTTGAAATTAGGCAAAAAATCTTCAAACCCGTACTGAGCGTATTGTTAACAAGTAGTACTAGTGGATTTTTGATTCCTGCTCAATTTTGAACCGCCGAAACTACAGTATGCCATCTGGAAAGTGTCGAGTTGTCTGAAATGTGAGCGAGTAGGAAAGTTTTCAAGTTTTTCGGTTATTGGAACCGTACCCTGGGGGTTATGAACATTTCAGTGTTCCAACACAACAATTTTATTGAAGAGGTAGGTCTCAAATCTCAACGAGGTGGTTTAACGGCAATATGACTATTCCGACGGGCAAGCGATCCTTTTCATCTTGGCGTCGCTATACTTTTTGCGGCACCACGAGTAGGCTTGCTCTGAAAACAGGACAATAGGAACAGTTTCAGGTGAGCGGCAATTTGTCACTTACCCTCTGTTAGAAATCCGTTTTCGCAGACTCTGTCGATCGACTCGTAGAGCTCAATCAAAGAGCACCGGCTGATGGGCACATGAGCCGGGATCTCGTTGCGGGGGATCATTCGGAAGATCAGTCCGTCGTTACCGTCATCTTCGTCGTCGACGACGACGTTCCCACTCGGCTTGGAGCCCTCGTACCAACTCTCGGCGACCGGAACCGGCACCGGGACGCCGGGAATGAGCTCGAGCGGCGAGCCGAACATGGTCAACGCGAGCAGAGTCATTGCCGCCGGGAAGATGAAACGAATCATCGGACTGAAATGAGACAGAGTTGTGTTTTTTTTTAAAAATTTTTTGAAAAGAAAACGTTTGGAGCCATCTCCATTCATCTGGTTATAAAGGCGCTCTGCTCACCCTCCGCCTCCTTCTAAACTCCGCCCACTGGCGCCAATGGGGCAAAAGAGCTTGGAGTACTGTAATACTGATACATTATCTTCTTTTCAGATGAACGAGTTTAAGAATCGGCTCGAAATGCTTAATCAACCTGAAAACGAGTATTGTAATTGGATTTTTTCGGATCACTGACTCTTGAGAAGTCTATGCGATGTCTCATAATCTCATTTTGATTGAAATCCAGTACAAATAACGTAAAAGATAACCTTTTCCATTCAATTTATGTTATGCCGCGTCAAAAAAGTCTCGGAAAAGCCGCAAATCTCGCGGATTTTGCAGTCAAAAGTCGGCAGCGCACAGCTGAACGAGTGTTACCGTACACCATAAAACTACGGTATTTTTTTTGAAAAATTTACCCAAGAAATTTGAAAAAAATTCAAATATTCAAATATTCTCGAGAAATTTAGATTTAAAAAAATACCGTTGAAAAATTTACCCAAGAAATTTAAAAAAATTTCAAATATTCAAATATTGTCGAGAAATTTGAATTTTTTTCAAAAAAATACCGTTGAAAAATTTACCCAAGAAATTTAGAAAATTTCAAATATTCAAATATTCTCGAGAAATTTAAATTTTTTTCAAAAAAATACCGTTGAAAAATTTACCCAAGAAATTTGAAAAAAATTGCAAATATTGTCGAGAAATTTAAATTTTTTTCAAAAAAATACCGTTGAAAAATTTACCCAAGAAATTTGAAAAAAATTGCAAATATTGTCAAGAAATTTAATTTTTTTCAAAAAAATACCGTTGAAAAATTTACCCAAGAAATTTGAAAAAAATTGCAAATATTGTCGAGAAATTTAAATTTTTTTCAAAAAAATACCGTTGAACATTTACCCAAGAAATTGGAAAAAAATTGTAAATATTGTCGAGAAATTTAAATTTTTTTTCAAAAAAATACCGTTGAACATTTACCCAAAAAAATTTGAAAAAAATTGCAAATATTGTCGAGAAATTTAAATTTTTTCAAAAAATACCGTTGAACATTTACCCAAGAAATTGGAAAAATTGTAAATATTGTCGAGAAATTTAAATTTTTTCAAAAAAAATACCGTTGAACATTTACCCAAAAAATTTGAAAAAATTCAAATATTGTCGAGAAATTTAAATTTTTACAAAAAATACCGTTGAACATTTACCCAAAAAAATTTGAAAAAAATTCAAATATTCTCGAGAAATTAAAATTTTTTTTCAAAAAAATACCGTTGAAAAATTTACCCAAGAAATTTGAAAAAAATTGCAAATATTGTCGAGAAATTTAAATTTTTTTCAAAAAAATACCGTAGTTTTATGGTGTACGGTAACACTCGTTCAGCTGTGCGCGCACCCCGGATTTCCCGCAAATTTCTGCGCCGACTTTGGAGTGCAAAATCCGCGAGATTTGCGGCGTTTCCGAGACTTTTTCCGAGGCGGCATTACAAATAGGCTCCAACTTTGCTCAGACATCTCCTAACACACGTTTCCCCCAAGTGTTTCTGATAGACTTTGCTGTGAGCAGCGAGCAACGAAGAAACGGAGCATTCCACATCTCTTTTCCGTCTAATTCTCTTGCAATCTCCGATCTCAACACAAATTCTTTATTCAGAAGTTTCAAGTTAACATATCAAAGCAATATTCTTCGTCAAAGGAAGATGAGAGTAAACAGTGCGAGTAAATATATGTATTTAAGATGAACTCTATGGGCAACAACAACAGACAGTCCAGTTGTTGAGAGAGATTATGTAGTGTGAGGTAGAACCGAGCGGCGACGATGACCATCACATGCGAAGATTGGCGCTGCAGCACTTGGCCTGAAGTAGCCTATCGGTCATGCCGATGCCGCACGCGTACGTGGAAATGTCTGAAAGTTTTCGTCGGGCGTTCTCTCTCTCTCTGTGGCACTGCTGCCAAGTGCTCTCTTACCGAATCTCTCTGCGGAACATCCTTGGGGGCACAACGAGTAGACTCTTTCGATGAGAGCAATTCCGCACGAGCGTAGCGAATTGGTGGTCGTCGGCGACGAATCACGGGGGAATGCTTGGCCGGAAATGAGGCAAATGGCCAGGAGAATGAAGAGACGATTCTTCGTGCCCGAAGCCATTTGTTTCTTCGGTTTGTGAATGAACAATCGTTGACTCGGCCGCTTTTAAACCCTCAGCACGGAAGCTCCGCCCCTTTTCTCTCTCTCTCTGTCTCTCTGTCTCTCTTGGCGCCGCGCCACTCCTTCCCGACCACGCCCACTCTGCTGCCAACTGGAAACGGTAACAAACAACAACTGAGCAGCAAAGAGTAGAATTCATCAATTTCTCGAAAAAAAAAGGTCCGGACGGCTCAATTTTGGTGCCAGGCACGAGTTTTTTGGTAAATTGGTATCATTTTGCCGGCTCGTGGACAATTAATTGGCTCCAATCCTCTTGATCGGTCATTGAGAGCGAGCGAGGAGCAACAGAGCGAGGAGCAAAGGATTACTGTAGGTCTAGTGACACTTGACGTACGTTGTTTTCCATCTGAAATGATCAGGGGTTGTCATGCGTGAAGACGCAGTGGGCTTTGATGCAAATTTGAAGCGAATCGCTACTTGGACACCCTAGCAACCGAGTCTCAAAGTGAAGTTGTGAAGTCAAAACGTTGAACGGACCATCCTGACATCAAGTAGGACGTCCGTTCCAAGATTTTAGACCAAACGTTTCGTAGAAGCCGAGTTACACCTTCTGGAACTGAAATAACGCGTGTGTACTCATCTGAATCGTTGAATAGCGTCTAGGAGGCTCTATAGACGTTGCTTGCCGCATCCATGCTCAACCCATGCTGCTCGCGTGCTGTTTTCTGCAGCAAATTGCTCGCTACGTGCCGCACCCTTGCTCAAAATGGATTGTATGAAGAAGCGTCAACAAAAATCGTTTATTTTCTTCTATCTAGGACTTCTAATAAAACCGATTGAAAAAAACAAGCACGTTTAACACAAACACGAGTTGGTGAGGACGCTCTCATCAGTTTGTCTTGTGAAGCACGCGTCGATAGCCACGTCTGCAAAAAAAGGGTAACATTGGGATCTCAAAAAGAAACGGTGCTTACCGATTGCTGGTTGACAATTTTCGGCACAAACGTTTGCAAAGTGCTGTTGGAGCGTGCGCACGCACAGAGCACGGCTTCTCTCCGACGTGACGAGAAGAAGGACGGTGCAGAGCAGGAGGAGACACATCGAAACGGCCCTCATCCTCCTGCAAATGTACTCTTTTAATATGGTTCGAAAAACAATGAGAAAACAGCATGGCGGGCCCAATTTGTGCCTTATATTATCGACTTCTTCCCCCGGATGACCCCTATCCCTTTGTACTCGATTCGCCGGGGCTCCGCCCTCTCCATGGAGCCACGACAACTGTTCCAAGAGAGAAAGAGAGAGCGACCAAACTTTACGGCCGTTCAAAGTGTAATGTGCCGGAAAATGTTGCGAAAAACGGGGAAATAGTATGGGAGTTCTTGGAGCGATTGCGTTGTTGACAAAACGAAGAGAAAAGATTGGCGTATCTTTGGAGCACTGGAGGACTACGGTAGGTTCTTGGTCTGATGGGATCCAATGATCTGCTGGGAATGAGGGTCTGAAAGTGAACGAGTCTATCGAGGGCAAGTTGCCGCATGAATTGGCATGGGTGCCGACTGGAAGCGGCAAATTGCTGTAAGGATGCCGATTCCGTGCCTGCTACGCGCTCAACCCTTGCTACTTCCTTGCCACAACCACCCTGATACCGTTGCTGCTTCCGTGCCGCCTAAAAACCTTGCTTCCCTGAGGGAGGGGAAGTTCCCTCCGATCCCACTCTTTTCGGTTGCACGCCCTATCTATGCTGCTGCCATGCCGGATCCGTGCGCGACACATGCTCACCCCATGCTACCGTAGCAACTTGCTGTTTGCTTGCCGCTCGCGCGCCGCACTATTGTCCATTCAAAGCTATGTATCTCAGTTGTACGTTAAGATATCAAAAAGTTGTCAACTGACAAAATGTGCACTGAGACATTTTGCACATTTTTTCAATTGAAAATTTTCTGATACATGTACAGACAACTGAGATATAACGCTCTTTCACTGACGGATCACACACCCAGCAAACTTCAGTGCTTGCTATCCGATTTTTCAGTGTTTAGTGGTCTAACAACAAAAACTGTTTATGATTTCATAGCAAAACAACGCAAAATGAGGTAGAATTAGAATTGAAGCACCAAGGAGCGGATCACGCAGAAGAATGGGTCTAGCAGTGGCACAACTCGAACAACTCCTCGGGACTGGTGCTAAGCTGCTGGCAAGCCTTCGCGTCTATCACATCTGAAAAAAAAGAGGGTTATTGTTTGTTTGTAGACGTGTCTGTGAGACGCGTTTACCGGTCGACGGAGCACAGTTGGCACCGCACATGGCCACGAGATATCTCCTCAGCGCGTGGGCGCACTTTCTCTTGTTGGCCGCCGATGATGCGCAGAAGAGGGTGAGCAGAAGGAGCAGCGAGACGGTGAAGCACAGTAAGTTTTTCATCTCAATGAAAAGCTCACCGAGCCCCTTCCAATTCCCCCTTTATACTCGTTTTCGCCCCGCCTCAGGACAGAACGGCAACTGTTCAGTGCATCAGAGAGAGAGAGGGCAAAAAAAAAGTGAAAGTGAGCAAACTTTGTGCCGTTCGAGCAAATCGTACGGCAGTTTGTTTTGTGTTGACTATGAGGAATCGATGGCAAAAAAATCAGTCGACTTTTTCGTTTTTTTTTGTGCTTGTGTCCCCAGGGTGAACGTCTGCGTCTCTCTTTTGACAAAGTTCGAGAGAGTCTCTCCTCAGCACCTCCTCCTCACCAAAAATGAAGGTCCCTTTTTTTTTGCTCGTGTGTGTGTGTGTACACGTCCTAGAAAGTGAGACAAACAAACAAGCACAGGGCCGTCAGTCAAGGTTCTCTGGTCCGATTTTTCACGACGGCGGCGGCGGCGGCGGCGATGGCTCCCCTGACCGACAAAGACAACTGCTCCGAGAGAGAGAGCAAACTTCAGTGTGTGTGTGGAGTGAGTGGACGAGTGTAAAGAAACGCAAAATGTTGCGAAAATTTTGGAAAAAGAGTATGCGAGTTCGAGGAGGGCGACGAGACGAACTGACTGGGGGTTCAGGGGTACGGGACGGGGCCGCCAGCGACGTGGTACGTGGGCATTGAAGATTCGAAGAAAAACGCAAAGTGGGGGAGGGAATTGTTTGCAACATTTGGAGAGTTGGGGGAGAAGCGGATTTCTGAAGAAGAAGAAGAAGAAACAATGAAAAAAGGGACTTTTGAGACCCACTTGCAATAGTCAACAATCCTCTTGGACACCCATACTTTGCAGGCTTTTTGGAATTGGACACGAGTATATTGGGTCAAAGTTTCAGATCGCTCGGCGCATTAATGCCGCGTCCAAAGTCTCGAAAACGCTGCAAATCTCGCGGATTTTGCACTCCAAAGCCGGCAGAAATTTGCGGGAAATCCGGGGTGCGCACAGCTGAACGAGTGTTACCGTACACCATAAAAACTACGGTATTTTTTTGAAAAATTTACCCAAGAAATTTGAAAAAAATTGCAAATATTGTCGAGAAATTTAATTTTTTTCAAAAAAATACCGTTGAAAAATTCACCCAAGAAATTTGAAAAAAATTGCAAATATTGTCGAGAAATTTAAATTTTTTTCAAAAAAATACCGTTGAAAAATTTACCCAAAAAAATTTGAAAAAAATTGCAAATATTGTCGAGAAATTTGAATTTTTTTCAAAAAAACCGTTGAAAAATTTACCCAAGAAATTTGAAAAAAATTTAAAAATATTATCGAGAAATTTAAATTTTTTTCAAAAAAATACCGTTGAAAAATTTACCCAAAAAAATTTGAAAAATTGCAAATATTGTCGAGAAATTTGAATTTTTTTCACAAAAAAACCGTTGAAAAATTTACCCAAGAAATTTGAAAAAAATTTAAAAATATTATCGAGAAATTTAAATTTTTTTCAAAAAAATTCCGTTGAAAAATTTACCCAAGGAATTTGAAAAATTGCAAATATTGTCGAGAAATTTAAATTTTTTTTCAAAAAAAACCGTAGTTTTATGGTGTACGGTAACAGTCGTTCAGCTGTGCGCACCCCGGATTTCCCGCAATTGTTTGCCGACTTTGGCCTGCAAAATCCGCGAGATTTGCGGGTTTTCCGGGACTTTGGACGCGGCATAAAGGACCAGGGAACCCTCTTCCGAGTTTATGTGTCTGACTGAATAGACACAAAAAAAAATTTCACAAAAAAAAAATAAAAAATTCGAGCGTTCCCTGGTCCTTTAACTCCTTCAATTCAAATATCCAAGAAGTCTGCTGCAAAGTTCGGGTCCAAAGGCCAGGTTCGCGTGGATTCTATCCTAAGCGTCTCGGCTTCCAGAAAAATTCAACTGACTGCAAGGTCTTGATGTTTTCTCTCCGGTTAACCCGCCAAGTTGCCCTTCCAGCTTCCTCCAGACGTCAAGACGTCACAAGATTCCTGAAAGTTCGCCCCTCGCTCATGACGACCTCATTCGCCTGGAAAAAAGGCCCGAAAGAAAAGCGAGAGAGAGAGAGAGAGCGATCCGGGCGATCCGCTTTTCGCCGCCCACGACGTCTCGCCGCCGGGCTTTGTGTGCTCTCGGCAGAACGGGGAAAAGATGATGATAGGGCGGAGGTCCAGTCCAGTGGGATAAAGTTCCACACGAAAATGTTGCGACGAAAAGGTTGAGCGAGGAGATTAAGAAGAAGAAGAAAAGGGATAGAGGCGAGTTTTCGTGAGGAAACGGGAAAAGTGATGGATTTTTAGATTTCGACTCTCTTCCTCCCCGCATCGAATCAATTTCACGTAGTTGTTGTTGTTGCAGAAGAAGAAGCCAATGCGCAAGCAAATTGTCAATGGAGCGCGCTTGCATCCACCGTCGACTCGCAGTTTCTTTATTCAATTGAAAACCGGAATTCTTTCGTTTTTCTCTTAATATACACTCAAATTTTGTTCTTTGCGAACCGTAGGGCGATTGTCAGAGTTAAAAGCATCAATTTAAGCGCGAAACGGAGCAGATTCGTTCAGAATTGACCAAATTGAGGGATTTTGTCGAAAAATACTGAAAAAAACAGAGTTTTAACTATTATTTGCCGAATCGAGCTCGGACACTCAACAAGGAGTTTATTGCGCATCTTTTAAGCGCTCAATCGTCGAAAAATATACAGATTTGATTCCAAAAGGAAAAAATTCTGTAATTTTCACATAAAACGTTTCGAAATTGATGACGAAGCAGCTAAAATTTCATTTTTTATTCATTTCCAATCATTATCATAAGTTTTGACAATGATTCGTTCTGAAAAGATGGGGATAATGCAAAAAAACGGGAAAATTGAAATGAGAAACTCTACAACGACGCTCCGGAATTACGCGCCGTTACGCGCCTTGTTTAGCGCACGTGAATTGCGTGCCAAGGGAATTTTTTATTGGACGGGGCTGGGGTTCCGTGAGAAGAAGCATAATATCACATCTGAAACGAAACATTTTCGCTGCTTCACGCATTTCAAGGCCTCAGAACCGACCTTTACGAGCGCATAATAACCAAGAGCCACACTCGGCCAGAATGCGTCAGGACGATTGTTCGCGCCAAGAATGACATTCAGTGCATAGACAACTGATAAAAGTGCCAGAATTTTTAGCATTTCTCAAAAGTCGAAATGTTCGGCTTCATGTTCTTTTCCGGTGCCAAGGGACCGCCGCCCGAGATGTGCAAAGATAAAAAAGATAAAATAAATGGGCCCTCAAGGCAAAGAGTCTGCGAAACACCAAGATTTTTGGGGGGATCTCCGATTAACTCCAATGTTCTGAAGTGTTCAGTAGTTCTTCCTCATTTCTGTACCCTTTTTCCAGTACTGGCACTGAAAAGCAATGGTTTTGAGCAGTGCCAACTTCCAAGAGCTACAGTACTGCACAGAGTGATTGTACGAAAAAGTTGTCAACTGCAAAATGAAAGTACAAGAGATGAACGTTATTTTTGTAGTTTACAACATTTTCGCACAACCACTCCCAAGCCTACTGTAGCTCTTGGAAGTTAGGACTAGCTGGATTCTGGACGAGGGAGGACCGGGTCATGGACCTATTCTTTTCTGCGCCTTTTTGCGTCGTTTCTCTCCAAACTCTACAATATTCATTCAAAATTGACCAATTTTCCAGCTGTACTCGGGGGGAATTAGGTGGCCTAGAATTGTCCTTTGCAAAAACTAGTCCCCAACCTAGTGCAGCTTTTAACTCAGACAATCGCCCAACGGTTCGCAAAGAACAAAATTTGAGTGTTTATTAAGAGAAAAACGAAAGAATTCTGATTTTCAATTGAAAAAAGACGGTGGATGCAAGCGCGCCCCATTGACAACGCGCTTGCGCATTTGAATGCTGGGGTTCCGTGATTAATGAATAATTTTTGAATTCAAGTCATCCTTCTACTGGAACTGCCTGAACCGGGAATAAAGATTCTGTTGCTGCCACCAGACACGGTGCTCATCACTTTGTGCACAAATTTTTTGTGTCACAAAAATGGTTCTCAACAAAAGTTAGAAGAAAATCGGACGTCGACAATATCATCAACGGACTCGTGACTGTCGAATAAATCAGTTATCAAGCTTGATCTTTGCTTATTTATTGTAGACCCGACGATCCGATCAGACTGAAACTTGGTCCCAAGACCAAGAAGCCTGTAAACCTTCTAAAAAAAACCCAATGCACCATGCAGATCCCTTTTCGCCTGAAACGATGCTCCAGTTTGTTATGTGTCGCCCATCTGCCTGGTTCCCTTTTTCATAATCGAATTTGGTTTTCTCGAGAAGCGCCAACTAATTGGATCAACGCGAAGAAGAAGAAGAATTGGCTGACTTCAAATGAGTACCGTTGAGCTGGGAAAAGTCCTAGAGATCTAAAAAATTGTTTTCAGATACTAGACACCTAGCACTTTAATTTTCTAGTTGACACCTTTTTGCTCCGTCCACTTCTACGAGTACTGTAGCTCTTGGAAGTGCTGGCACTGAACAGCAATGGTTTTGAGCAGTCCCAACTTTCAAGAGCTACAGTACTCCACAGAGTGATTGTACGAAAAAGTTGTCAACTGCAAAATGAAAGTACAAGAGATGAACGTTATTTTTGTAGTTTACAACATTTTCGCACAACCACTCCCAAACCTACTGTAGCTCTTGGAAGTTAGGAGTAGCTGGATGCTTCAAAACTGACCAATTTTCCAGCTGTACTTGGCGGGAATTAGGTGGCCTAGAATTGTCCTTTGCAAAAACTCGTCCCCAACCTAGTAGACAGTGACTCGCGCCCTCCAAACACGAAAAACTAGTGCCCCAACCGCCCCAAACTAATGCGTTTTGCGTTCCGCGCTGCTCCTGTTAATCCGTGACTGGCTCAAAATGGTATTAGCAGTCGTTTCGCCGCAAAAAGTGTTTTTTTTCTCACTTCCCCGTGCTTTATGGTGCCGTTACCGAAACCTTCAGTACTT